CTAAGTATTTCCTTAGTATTTATAAAAGAGTTTATAGTACTAACTTTAAACCAAGGGAGTAGGTAACTCTAGGCGTTGCTCTTAATATAATTATATACTACGGCTTATTAGGCCTTCTTACTTAGGTAGTAGTTAGTATTAATATCTAGCTTACTTATTATAGATGCGGACTAAGTATACTATTCTAAGCTATTAGGGGTACTAGAGAACTTTTTAATATATAGTTTAAGTAAGAGTCTCTTATAGCGTCTTTAGCGAGTAAAGGTAGGCTTTACTAGTACTTAAAAGGTATTATCTTAGTTATCTCCGGATAATCTACTATTATTAGAGTTATTATTATCCCTTAGGTTAAGAGCTTATTATTAGGAGCTTAATAACTTAGACTTCTTAGACTTAGAAGTTAAGTTCTTAAGTATCTCTAATATCTTATAAAAGCTTTTATTTTACTCCTCTTAATACTTAGCTAGTCTCTAAAGTTCCTTAGAGCTCTTTATAACTCTAACTATTAGTATAAGAGTAGTATATTCCTCTTAAGAATAGTCCTATTAGTCCTAGGGATTATTCTCCTTAGGAGATATAATATTACTATAAGAGGTTAAGAGGATAATATTATTTTTCTCTCTACTATTACGTTTATAAGGAGTAATATATAAGGGAGAAGAAATTAAAAGCGGATTTCTTTCCCTTAGTATTAGTGAAGTAGTAGATTTAATAGTAAGAGAAACACTATATTATATTCTATTACTTTTCTAGAAAAGATTAAGATTACTTATAAGAAAGTATAAGTATAAAAGTAAAAAGTAAGAAGTAGTACCTAAGTTATAAATATAACTTAGTTACGCTTAGAAAGTACTTAAGGAAATAATAAAGTATAAGAGATAAAATAGAAAAGAGAAAGCTAAAGATACGACTTAACTACGTTTAAAAGATACTTAAGGAATTTAGTAAAAGTAGATATTAGGACTTTTATAAGTAAAGTTAGTTTTTTCTAATATAATAGTATAACGAAAGTTTATTAGTAATTATAATATAAAGTAGAAAAGATAGCAAGAGAAAGAGGTTCCTAAGGAGCCTTAAGAATAAGTAGGGAGGATATAGCTGCTAGTGAACTAGGCTAGTCCTAGGTTCGCTATATAACTCTAGCCTTATAGCCTTACGACATTAGCCTTACTTATGTAACTCGCCTATCGTGATCAGTTTATCACACTTTAAATAGTAGTTAGCTTAGTTAGAAGGTAAGGCGAGAGAGTACTTCCTAGAATAATTATAGCTAAAGTATTTCTTAGCCTCTTAAAGTATTTCCTAGCTTCTTAAGGTATATCTTATTCTCCCCCTAAGTTATATAGTTATAGAGCTAGCGAGGTAGCCTTAAACGATAGAGCTAACAAGGTAGCTTTAAACGATAGAGCTAGTAGGTAGCCTTAAATTAGATAGTAGTTAGTTTAATTAATAAGTAAAGTAAGAGAGAACTTCCTAAGAAAGCTAAGGCTATTAAGTTAGTAGTTTATAACTTAATAGAGCTGAATAGGAATATTCTTAAAAGGCTTTTACTCTTTTACTTACTTTCTAGTAATATAAAGAGACTGCGAGGAAGACGGAGTAGTTTAATATTAATATATAGAGTATAGTATCTCTTTATACTACTTTTAGAATATAATAATATAAGGCTTCTAATAGTAGAGTTAACTATTTACTAAAGAGTAGTAAGAGAATTAAGTATTAAAGAAGATCTATTAGTACTTCTATCTAGTATAAGAGCCTAAGTAGATAAGAAGAAGAACTACTAACTAATTAGCTTAGAAAAGCTAAGTATAAGAGAGAGAAACTAAGAGAAGTATAAATTAAAGGAAGAAAGTACTTAGCTTAGTTTAGAGTTAATTCTATACTAAAGTAAGAGTTAAATCTCTTTAACTATATATAAGGCTAAAGTTAGTAATATAAAAGACTATTATAGGGAAAGACTAAGAGCTAGCTTAAAGTTAGCTAAGTTAGAATACTAAAGGTAAGAGAGCTTACTTATAGATATTCTTAAAGTTAGAGTTAAAGTTAGAGTTAAAGTTAAAGTTAGAGTTAGAGTTAAAGATAATAACGAAGTAAGTACTAAATATATAAGAATATTATTTAAATAATAGTAAGAGTAAGAAGGAAAGTAGAATAGAATACTAAAGGTTTAAAGCTATAATAGAAAAGAAAGAAGGAGATAGAGGTAGAGATTAACTATAAAGTTAAGGTATTATTAAAGGAAAGAATAAAGGTTAAAAGAGAAAGCGAGGGAAGTCTTTATATAATTATAGAAGTAGTAAAGTAGTAAATAACTGAACTTATAACTATAACTTACTAAAGTAAAGATATCCTTAACTTAAAGTAAACTTAGTTAAATCACTTATAACACTTAAATCCCTTTATATATAATAACAGAAAACTTATCTATATATACCTATAGTATTTAGCTTTTATTTAATATAAATATTACCTTTTTCTATTATTAGAGTATAGAGTTATTAAATATATAAGACTAGCTTATTTAAGGGAGTTATTTATAAAGTCACTTTAGCTGTAATTATTAAGTTAGCTTTATTTAATAAGTTATTAAACACTTACGTGCCTTTATATTATTATAAACTACAAAGTACTACCTATAAAACACCTACTTATATTAAGAAAGCTATACGATACTATTTTCTAGTATATCGCACTAGTATAACCTCTAGAATTAATTATTTTAGGTTATTCTATATTTCCTAGTTAAAAAATCATATTTATAATATATTATATTATAGAGATATCACTATTTCAGCTATCGCATCTAAACCTTTTACTTCTATTTATACCTTATAACTCTTATATCTACTACTCCTTTATATTTTCCTTCTCTACTAATTTTCTATATTATTATATTATAAAGAATTCCAGAATTAATTATTTTATATTATTTTATATCTCTTAGTTAAGAAATCATATCTATAGCAGATTATATTATAGAGATATTACTATTTTAGCTATTATATCTAAAGCTTTTACTTCTATTTATAGCTTTAGCTTTATATCCTTTATATCTATTACTTCTTTAATATTCTCTCTTTACTAAGTTTCTACTATATTATATTATAATTTCTAAAATTAAATATTTTAGCTCTCTTTATATTTCCTAGTTAAAAAATTATACTTATATTATTCTTTATTATAAAGATATATTACTTTAAAGATTATATTCCGTGTAATTATTAGCTATAAACCGCCTTATATATTATATCTACCCTTATATTTCAGCTTATTTACACGTGATAGAAATCTACTTAAAAATACTAAAAAAGAATATATATTACTTAGAATTTTAAACTTATTAATAAGTCTATCTTATACTTATAAGTAAGGTAAGCTAAGTAAGTAAGCTTAAAATATCAGCTTTTTAACTTTAAGTTTATTTATTATAATAATATATCAGCTGATTAGTATAGCTACTAAGCTATACTACTAGTCCCTACTACTTTTACTTAAATTATATAACTTTACTTTATATTTAGCCTAGGAAAATTCCTATTATCTTAACTCTTTACTTCTTATATTATTATACTAATAAAGTATAATTATATCTTCTATTAGTTTTATATTATCTTATATACTTTTAGGATTCTTAAGTATATATTAAGTTCTACTTTATTCTTAGATATTATATAAATATAGCCTTAAGGTTTCTCTACTTTTAGAACTAATACTATAGGAAATATAGATAGTATTTATATTTCCCTTAAATTATAAGTAATATCTATATTCTTACTCTAAATCTTTAAAAATTAATTAGAATCAGAGAATCTAGCTAAGAAAAATATAAATAATTAACTAAAATATAGATAGAAAATCCGTTTAAAATACCTGTTTATAGATAGTATCTATAAGAAGTGCAGATAGTGTCTGTAAAAAAAACCCCTGTAAGGCAGGTAACTCTCTTCAAATCAAACCCTTTGCAGCACCAACACATGAATACCTACCCAGGCCATCACTACCTAGGTAGCGTGTTATCCCACACTGTTAGATGCTGTAGCCTCCCATCTGCGCACAAATATCCGCATCAGCTGAGCTAGCCCACTGCGATGAGATGAAGCCAACATATTCTACCTCAGGTCTTGGATGAAGCTTGCAGCTTGGGACACAATACGGACTTGTTACATCTCACACAGGATGTCCTTGAAAGTCATAAGCATTCGTCACAATTCTGTCAAGCGCGGGTCTCCAAAGTATGTACAAGAATTGAAGTGAAGTAGAATGTTTTCAAAGCCGCTATGCTTTTGGAAAGAAATTATCACAAACAGAAGAAGAGAAAGTCGGTGATGCAACAGATCGAATGTGTTTTCCTTTCCTGTGCGCTAGACTGGCTACGCTTCTCGTAGGCCTCAATGATCCACACAATGGAGCCTGGCCACGAGCAAATATATATTTGTGCTGGTATCAATGTCCGAGAGAGCGGGAGTCAAATAGGTATGCAAGTACGCCTGCGGCTTTTGAATTGCCGTAAAACAAGGACACCTGCCAGAAGGTACCGCCAGGACAACCCCCTCCGATGACACATATGTATGGTATAGTGAATGAGTAAGAATGCATCCTAACCAAGGGAATGATCAATCGAAGGAATCCGGCACCTCCGCCTGAAGGACCAACACCTTCCTGAAAACCCTCAGGATCCCTCTCCACGTCTATCCACAACCATTTGGAGCACGTATAAACACACACTCGCACTGATCCACCACGCGATTGATGAAAAAAACATTAGCGACATTGAAAACAAAGGAGAATAAAGGCGCCGAAGGATGTCGAGCGACCAGAAGTTGAGAAAATCGGTACACTTCAGGGTATTAGGTGCTTCGACGATTGCATTGATATTTGCGAGTAGAGCGTGTTGCAAACATCAATTGAGTATCCTTCGGTCGTAAGGGAGAATCAAGTAACAGTCATGAACCAAGTTGGCGCGCGAGCGGTCGGTATATGCACGAAGAGTAAGATGCTCAAGGAAATTGAAAGCTTAAGCGCCTAGTAGAACTCAAAAACGGCTGTACCCGAGACAGCAACCTATTTTTTTTAGAGTGTGTGAGGCAGGGATCAAGGGTATAACTTACAGTGCATCCAGTTGGCGATTCAACTCCGTTATTGTAGTACTTGCCAGTTCCACCCTCGTAAGAACACTTGCCGCTGACACCGCCTGTGATCTTGATGTTGAAATCGAGGACACCATCGGGGTTGGTTGGCTTGTTGGGGAAGATGGAGATGAAAGTCTCACCAGTGCTTCCTCGACCGACACCGACGTTGACGGGAGCGAAGTTACCGATATTAGAACCTGGGGTTCCCCATTGGCAGCCTTTCTCGACACCGACGCCTGAAGGGTTGATATAGTATTGCGCGGTGGTAGCCATTCCTTGCCAGACATAAGAGGTCTTGGAATCAGGACAAGTGATATCAACAGTAGCGCCGGGGCTGACATTTGTGAAGTCAGTCTCGCTCTCAGTACCAGGGTAGTCAGTACGGCAAACAGCAACGTTCTTTGAGAGCTTGTTCTGAGCCTTAACTCCACCGACACCAGCCATGCAGAGGGTGTTGTAGCCATCACGGGTGAGTTCAAGCTTTCCCTTGGCGTTACAGTAGATACCTCCAATAGATTGGCCGGTGTTTCCTTGAGCTGCGGGCCATTGGGCCTTCTGGTAGCCAGGTGGGCAGGCGTATGAGCAGAAGGAGTTCTTGACGCAACCACCTCCAGAGATTGCAGTCTCGATGTAGCTGATAGCAGCCTCACCAATGCTGTATGAGGGAGTGATCTGTACACCAAGATATCCGCCAAGTCCAAGCCAGTCTGCAGCGACGGCTCCGTACTTGGTCAAAGCATCAAAATCATCACAATCAATCTCGCCATTGGGAAATTTGGCATTGACACCGGTGGCACCCTTGCTAGAAGAGCTGCTATCAGAGGCGGCTTGGGCAACTGACGGTGCCTTTGCTGGTGTAGGTTCTGGGGTGGCCGAAGCCTTTGGTGCTACGTAAGTTGAGGTTGGAGTAGTACTGGTGCTGGCCTTCTGCTCCAAGAACTTTGCGGCCGGGTTTGACGAGGTGGTAGGAATCGGGGTGGAAGTTGGAGTGGTAGAGGTAGAGGTCGAGGTAGGTGTGATGGCAGTCGTAATCTTGTCTCCCACAAGGACATACTTTCCAGACTTCATGCCAGCCTCAACCTCATTCCAGGGAATGAAATCTCCATTCAGCTCGTACACGGTGACGGTTGGTCCCGGAACGGTGGTCGTAGTGGCGAGATCGCGCCCTTCGAGAGGAGACCCATGTCGAGCTGGGTGCTTGTGGACATGGTTGTGAGGTTGGGCCACGGAGAGCGATGCAGCGCTGAGAATCGCAAGGCGGGAGAACTTCATTGTGAAGAAGTGGATTCCTGAAGTATGTTTGTACTAAAGAATGGTGTGGGTCTCTCGGAGACTGGAAGGTGATAGAGTACACCTGTATATGTCCAACGAATGTAATCGGGAGCCGTGCTGAGGAATGGTTGCGACCGAGGGCTGTCAAGAGAATTGTTAGCTGTCTAATCGTTTCAAGACGCTTGAATATCGTTCGGACTTCCGACCAGCACAGTCCATCTGGTCGCTATCGCAAAACCGACCTCGAATCCCATGATTGAACAAACAGCGACATCAGAAGTTGAAGGAGCACGTACATTGACTGGCGACCGAACACTATCGACGAATAGAGACTTCCCGGGGGAGGAATGGTTGTGTTCGTAGGGTTGTGAGGTGAAGGGAGACAGTGGGCTGAGGGGAGTCCGATTAAGTTTCGCTGTTCCAAAGGAATGTGGTAGAGAGTTCCGAAAGGACGAAACTTCTCTAGTTGGAGGGAATGCTGGGGAGGGAAGGGAAGGGGGAAGATGGCGGGACTGAGATCTTGAATCAAATGGCCGTGGGTTGAACGAGCGTCTGAGGTGGAGAGGGAACGAAGAAAGGGTGAGTGAGAGTGAAACCTGGAATCGGGATGGAGTCGCTTAGCCCCAGGATTAGCTTGAAGTCTTGCCTGATTCGCTGGGGCAGGGGGTTTTTCTGGGCCAGGAACGCGCCAACCCAGTCAAAGATCGGACGGCAGGGGGGTGGACAGGGGGGTGGACAGGGGGTGGACAGGGGTGAGGCCAGCAGTCGCAGTGGAGTTGGATGGAGGATTGGATGCGGATGCAGATGCAGGACCGCAAGCAACGCTCGGAGAGACGAGAGGAGAGACTGGATGCCGTTGACGCAAGACCAAAAGGCAGCGACGACCTTGCTGGCGCCAGATCAGGAACGACCTGCACTGCAGTAAATTTACAGTAAATCTACGATCCTGTACCGTCCGTAGCCTGAGACCAGTGGCTTGGACAGAAGATGTTCAGTGCAGTGTTGGCAGATCGGATGGCCCCCAGTTAAAATCTCCGTCCCAGGCTAGACGATGTCTGTTCGGACTCTCTGCTTTCTGGATGCAGACCAAATACAACCCTCTTCTGGTCTCTCCTTGTCAAGCTGCTGGAGTGCAATTTGCTGGTGTATGTAAATTATGTGGCCTGCCCAGCGCTTCATACGAGCGGAGTGGCGAATCCAAGCAGCCGTGCAGCAACGCTGAGGGGAGGGGAGTGTGGAATTTCAGGGTAAAGGGGCGGCTTTTTCACGGACGAGATGAGATGAACACACGAGCCGACAGTGCGATCGTCCGAATGATTTCTGGGCTGTGGGAAAAGGCAGTCTCGGCAAAGGGCAGTGCCCAGAGCAAAGTCAACAAGCTGTCCAGGCAAATTCCTCAACAGCCGAGAGTTGTTATTGTGACGTCTTGATCTGATTTGATTTGATTTGTTTTGTTTTGATTTGTTTTGATTTGTTTTGTTTTGTTTGTCAGACTGCCGTCAACCCGAACATGACCATGACCATGACCATGACCATGAGTTCTCCAGATGACAGGCGAAAGCCAAGCTTCAGTATTTCCTTCCTTCGACTGGGATGGAGTGCCTTTGTTTGTTGGACCGTGCTGCAAAATTGAAACGCTGGACCTTCACTGCAATTTCGCTTCGACGCCAATCTCAACTCTAAATTACAGAGCACGTAACGTCCCCACCGCTGGCTAAGATGACGTCCTTTCTCGTTCAAGATTGGCAGAATTGGAGATGGATTATTATTGAACACACCACACAATGTTGTCCTGCACACCGTGCTGTCCACGCGCATGAAGCTGTCGTGACCCGTGGAGTGTAATCGTCAGCGCCTCGTTCGATGATCCTACTGTCCAAGCACCAGTCCTCTTTTTAATTCTGTACTCGTCTCTTTCCTACGCGTTGGACAGAAATACAGGCGCTGCAGGTCGCTGCCGTGGTCTCCTCAGAAATGGGGCTGTGAGATTTCGAGGAACTGGCGGTAAGGAATGCTGAAAAGCCGCGCGCTCTTGTCTATCTATATATCCTATGTTGAGAGCTTTTCAATGAAAGGTTGACTTTGAAGTTCTAACGACTCTCTTCAGGACACATGAAGAGTGACATCTTCAGTTGCAACAGCTCCTAGTGGGCAACCAATTATCTGAAACGCCAACAACAGAACTGAACAGACCATCTAAAAAAACAACAAAGCGATCCTAACTAAATAAAAATTTGCAGCCACCAGCATCGCTATTTGTTCCCAGGAGCCGGTTACAGGAGCCGGGCCATCTCCAGGGCCGCCTCAAAGAAACTCACTTGATCAAGTGGTTGGAAATATATCGTGTAGAGGCTTCATTCGCAGATGCCCTCTCCTACCAACGTCGAGCAGCACAGCAACATGAATTTGCACAGCCTTCTCTTTCGTCCTCAAATAAACCAACATAAACACAAACAAAGACCCCACTCTACTCCACTCATCCTACAGGATCCTGGTCAGCACATCCCTGTTTGCACAGACTACGTAGTACGACTCTGCAACCTTGCGGGCTCAGCCGCTGTTGTCTTGTGGATAAGGTGCTTACCCCTGAATCCCCCCCCCTAAATGAATGTTAAATGTGTAGAAAACTGGGGCTAGTGTGGGTAGCTTTCTGGGGTGTCTATCCAACAAAAATCGCTGCTCAGAGCCCTTGTAGTCCTCTCGAACCTTCTACAGCTACCCTTGCCTTTACAACAGACCAGATTTTGGCTCGTGCCTTCACGTTGATAAGGCTATTTGACCACTCAGATAGACTTCTGAGCCTCCGCCCCATAAATCCAGCAGTTTAAAATTCATTTAGGGGCGGGGATAGTAAGGAGGCCTAAATCCAGGAACATGCTTTTCATAGGTCAGGCTGGGTAATGATGCATACGGAGGTACACCGGCACCGGCCCCTGCTTGGACGAATGCCAGGCACGATGATGAAATTGCTCGTGCTCCAAATTTAGCCTTTCTGATTTGATCTGTCTGGACGAATGCGTCTGGGCGGTTATCCGTGCAATCAAATCCGGATTGAAAGACTCTGACAAGATTATGACAGAATTGACTCAGCTTTGAGACTCATCCTGAAATGAATTTGTTCCAGTTTAATACGGTTGTCGTCTGCACAAGCGTGACCCAGCATTCCAAAGGAATCCAAAACGTGACTCCAAAAACATCTACGTGATACAAACAATGACAGTGAAGCTCTCAAGACTACCTCGCAGCTGCTGAAATTTAGAAACAAAACATTCCAACAGTTATCATTCTGAATCCAATGCATCGCTCTCCAGCATACTTATCAGGATTATCATCAAAACACCAACTGCAGATAACACCGGAACATACACAACCGGGGCTTGCGTCTCCAATCAACCGTTGGTCAGCCCTCATCTACTACGCAATACCAACTTCGGAGGATTCGTTGACAAGAAGCAATTGCCAAATATAGACAGAATTGGCCTCGACTCAGCAGGATAATGCATTCAAACAATGTTAGATTCAATGGGTGTATCGATACCCATCAACTCCAATCGGCATTCCTCTCGAGCACGTTTCTTATCGGGTCGTTGCAGGTGAGGGGTATCTTTGCATCAAGGCCAGACTCCTTCCATTCCAACCAACTTTTCAGGCGCAAAATATTCTCGTTGCACAGTCAACACGACGTCTGTCGTCGTATCACCAGGGTTGCGCACCACTTCTAGAACACGGCAGCTCGATTTCTTCGTCTTTCCACGTGGAACAGTGGCTCAGGAAGCGCAGAAGGCGATCATTGGAGATCAGTGCATGAGAGATATACACAAGAGCTGCAAGTACTCTTCGTGGCTATTCCCTGCTGACGGCTTGAATCCCGAAGATGGCCCCTTCTCGGCTTACACGAGGCGTGTACAGAAGCAATGGATATTTTCGGATCAATGTTGGATAAGCAGCGCCTCATGGTGTTTCTATTCAAGATGCTACTGTTACAAACAAATCAGTCCATTTCAATGACAAACTTTCCAATCCCACCTTTCCCCTCCATTATCTGCTGGCATCCATTCCTAACACCCTCAAGATCGGACAGCTTCGCCGTCGAGCCAACAATAGGCTTCAGCTTCCCCTCCTCCACAGCTCTCGCCAGCGCTTCCAGATCCTTCGTGTTGCCGCTGACTTTCAAGTACTCATACTGTACCCCCTTCCAGCCGGTCCAGGACTTGTAGAACCAATCCACGAAGTTAAGAATATACTCCATCCATACCGGCATATCTGTATAGACTTGCTTGAATACGGTGCCGTTAGGTACCGTGCTGATAGACACGATCATGCCACCCTTCTTCATCACCGGTAGAGCAGAAATCGTGTTCTTAACCGTATCGAACATGAAGTCCACAGTGCCTTTTCCAATCGCCTGTACCAAGTCGTCCTTCGTGTAATCCACAATCTGATCCGGTGCACTCTTCCCCATCAGCTCCTTGATCCTTGGTATCTTGCCCGTCGATAACGTGGTGATGACTTTGCCGGCCCCGAAAACGTTCTTCGCAAGCTGCACTGCGAAGCTACCTGTGCCACTCAGCCCGCCGGGTACCAGCACCGTCTTGCCCCTCAAGCCACCTGGTATCCTCGCCTCACCCATTTGTAGAGCCTGGTACGCAGTCTGACAGGCGAGTGGTATACTGGCAGCTTCGGTATAGCTCAAGGATTTCGGTTTGAGAGCAGTGGTCGATGCTGTCGCTAAAGCATACGGTGCGATGGTGCCTCGATATGATTCTGGTACACGAGAGTATACTTCATCCCCAAGCTTGAAATTTGAGACTGATGTACCAACGGCAACTACTTCTCCTGCTAGATCATGTCCCATCTTGTATGGAAATCTGCGAACCGGGTATTAGCAGATGGAGGTTAGCTGGAGGGAGGTACATGACAAACGTCGCTTTCTGCATTAATTTCCCCATACTGCATCATTGTCAGTAACTGATTGCGGGCTTCACTAGGCGCACTTACTCTCCAGCAAGCTTCACATCCACTGGGTTGACGGAAGCGGCATGGACTCTAATAAGAAGCTCATCTGGCTTCGTGATTTTGGGAACTGGCAGATTCGCAAGGTTGTAGGCGGATGGATTGCAGTGTTGCGCCAGAGCCAATGCGCGCATTGTTGTTGGAATTTTGGTAGCAGCCATCTTGTGATTATTCAAGTTGTTAAATCTATACTGCGAAATTTAATGCTCAAAGACTTGGAGGACTGGTTGTTGCGAGATTCGATTATATATTTAGATGTAGAGTAGGTAATGGCGTTCACGGTTTGGAGTTGTCCCGCGTCGGAAACATTTTACGAGCGGCGTCAGGAACCATATCGAATGAAGACAGCTCCCTTCGGAAAATCGGTCTCCAAGTTCAATTCCGTGTTACCGGGAGTCAAGGAATCGCCTGTAAATATTTCCGTGGAGATTCTCCTTCAGACCTTGCAATTTGCTATTTGCGATGCGAATCTTTGTAAATTGGACCATGTTCAGATGGATGACCTGGCGTCCGAGTTGGGCGTCTAGGTTGCATGTCGACTCACTATCCTGGGAAACGTCTCATACCGGAAGAACAGCATCCTGAGAGTGTGTATGGCCTGGTCTGTGGTAGGTAGACTGCTTCATTGTGGACAAGTTGCAAGAGAAAACTTCAACCTCAGGGGATATTGGTTCAGTCAGCACTCTAACATACCACCAACCCACGTGATCTTTCTTCTTGACAGGTGGGTCTCCGCTCCAATGGTGTCGGATTCGAGAGGTTGCCAGTCAGATAGAGATCGAGCGTATGGAGAGGTATAGGAGCTTTAAGTGAGTAGTCGAGCTTCAATGACCTGCAGCATAAAATCAGCCACAAAATCCTCAGTGCCAGGGAGGAGCGAAGCAGGAGGAAAGTAGATACAACCTGAGAAGCTATCACAAAGTTGAGATTATGAGATTGTCTTTAAAAGTACACTGTTTAAGCTAATCCTGAGCTACAAATAAGGACTCTCTCCTATAAATTTGCGGTCCCGTCAATGTCTCAAATATAATCACTTCGGTGATGTGAATTAGTTCCTTTCGAGGTTTCTCGATGACGCTGAGTCTCGAGAGTGCATTTAGTAGCAAAGTACTTCTAAGACACATGATTGGAGAAAATGAAAGAACATAGAACAGTAGCATAGGCTGACGCCCAGCGCATACTACTAGAGAGTATTTGCCTCGGATGTTTGCACATGATCCGTTCTAACGGCACCGGGTTGGCTTGTAGTTCTCATCAAGAAAACGATTCCCTGCCTTCTGAGCAAAGTACGATAACAAACAAGGCATCAGCATTAGTTATATGGCACGAAGTAAGCAGCTCAGATGTGTCTGATAAGATGGCGGTCAATGTAAACACAGGTAGACGCCAAAACTCGACTTTGTTCCTTTCTCTTTGCAGACCATGAGGTCTCCATCTGGTGGTATTGGGGCTGTTTATCCGACCTGACTCTCACCAAGGCATAATACAAGACATCTCTTTTCCACCTCTCAGCGCAGAATAACTTTCTCATTTCCCCAATCCCGTCTTTCGCTCTCAAGAAGCCACGCGCCGCCTTGTGGACCGCTGGCATCTAAACTAACAGTTGTCTTTAGAGCATCAGTGATGGCTCTGATAGTCTCTCCAGCATTTTTGTAGTCCGTCTCGCAGCTGACTGGAATAGTCTTTTTGGCTGGACTGCCGTTGACTTCAACTGAGCTATGAAGCCTAGGACTGGACTTGATATCCACATTCGGGAAGGGTATAAACCCTTCACGAAGAGGAATAAGTACAACTGGAAATGCTACATTGTATTTGCCTTCCAGCGCTGAAGACTTTCTTGGTACTCTGAAGTGGCCCTTCCGTTTGCCGCCAATGATCCAGGTATCAGTAGCTCCTGACACTTCGTAGAAGAACTCCATATCATCGTCCTCGCCGGCATCATGTTCTGAGTCCGGTGACGTGTCCCATATTCTTGTGCACTTGACTGCTAAGGATGCCGACAAAGGTTGGTTACAACCAGCAATAATGGTATCGGAAGGGACAGAGAGTGGCTTGAGAATTTTCAGGTCGGCTGTGCACACAACTGACACAGATGGCACGTCGACAGGTATGATGATTGATCGACTTTTGCCCAGAGTGCCATCTGTGAGAGATATTGGGTTCAGTGGTATAACTGGTGTTTGTTGTATCCATCCTTGAAGGCATTCCTCGATGAGATTACCTATATCTTGATTCTGCTCGATACTACGACCAAGACCAGCAAACTGATCGCGCCATCTAACGGAGGAGATGATCGAGGTTGAAAACTCGCTGAGAACCGCAGTTCGTTCAAGGTCGTAAGCTGACACACGTATTCGCAGTTCACGAAGCACAATGGGCACAATAAGTCGAACGTACTGGTGCCACGGGCCATTAGTCAGAATATGTTTGAGATTCATGGTCAGGGCATCCTCGATTTCTTCTTCCAGACAGATATAGTTCAGAACAAGAGACAATGTTGTTTTTCGTCCTCTTCGTGAAGTTGGGCGTGCGGTTTCAATAGGTGCGGATTTCGTAATCTTGTACAGTATTGACGCAGGTTGGCGCGGGAAAACCACCAGAGGGCTGGAAATCGTGAGTCCGCTATGAGTATCAAAGACCTCGGAGCTTTCCAACTTGGAGCCAAGAAGACGTAGAGGGCTAGCTGTGGAAGATGAAATTGTGAACTTAGAGAACAGAGCTCTGTGCTTGAAGACGTCCTGGACATTCACGCCGAGAGGGAGCATGATAGATACCGATGCTGTTGTAGCGAAGAAGAAAGTTCCTTTATCAGTTGTGTATGATATTTCCAACTTGAGAGAAATGTCATTGACCTCGTGCTCAAGGCTGAATGGCATCACGATCCTTGCGCTTGATTGCGAACCCATGGCTCCGAACCGAACAACGCCAGCTTCTGCTTTTTTGGAAAGCTCAAGAGAATCCGATAAAATTGTGGCTTCGCTGGTCTGGACTCTCAACCCTGCTGTGGCGGCCCGAACGTGTAGTTCACCATATTCTAAAGTGTTCCAGCCAGACGAGAGAACAATCTCGAGAGAACGATTCCGGTCGAGGTGCATATACCTTGATGAGTACAGTTGGACATCGAACGCTTCTGGTCTATGGTAAACAAGAAGCTTTGGGCACTTGAAATAAGTGCTCTCCTTTGGCGAGGAGAGCCCTGAGGTACTGTGATCATAATCCAAAATGATATTGTTGGTTTCGAGGGTAATGTGGCTGACAAGGTATACACCAGGTACAGTTACCTTGATAGTGTTAGAAATTGCTGTATTGAGGGATCAAGCCAGCCACTTACATTACTATGGATAACAAATTTTGCTACACCTTTCTTGAATACCATGGACGTAACGGATTCGAGCCATATCTCTCTATTCATGTCTCCCGTAAGAGGTGTAATACGCACTCTAGCTCTGTCGATAGGCATATCGTCAGCCAGAAGATATTGAAGTCGAACCTCCAAGCTGAAACTGTCATTTTCAGAACTGTACCGGACAGTTCCATCGACCTCAATATTGCCAAAAAAGTGTTCCAAAGGAACACGAACTTCATGCTGTAGTCCTTTGGTAATTTCCAACAGCTCAGGAATGTAATTTTGTATCGGAGCCATCTCTGGACTGAGACTGGCCCCACGACCAAACTTTAATACAGAATTTCTCTGAAGTCTAGCGTTTTCCACTAAGGCAGATTTTGAAAGCAACTCCAGCACGACTTTCACGTACTCTTCCTTACGACTCAACTCCTTGAGGCACCTTGCGTACATCACGAGCATCGACAGTTCAACTTGTGCCCATCCGCTCTCGCGATAGAACGGTTTCATACGATAGAAGTATGAAGCAGCGGCAGCGAAGTCGGTAAGATGATACTTGAGAACAGCTAGGTCAGCCATGCTGCCTTGAACTGACTGAATATGATTGGCGACGGTATAATGGCGAAGTGCCTTGTCTGTGAACGTCTCGTAGAGACGGTAGAAGTCCTCCTTATTGTCAAGGGCAGTAAGGAGCAGCTTGCTATCAATTCCATGAAGAGATGGTGAAGGTACCAGTAGGCGTTGAGCATCCGCTGTCTCTTCGTTGAGATCAACTTCCTGCATCTCCCCCACATCTGCTCCCTCAAGGTGTGACATCTCTTCCCAACCAACGCTCCACCCGTGATCCTTGGCAATTCGTACCAGAATACTTCTTGACAATAGGTAAAGCTCGGCTCTATGGCCAGCGAGCTCTTCCAGACCAGCCTTGAGAAACGGCGATGCAGCCGCTCCGTGTTCCGGAACACTGGATCTTCTCATACCAGGAAACTTACCCGGACTTGGAGGTTCTCGAGATCTTGACCGCAAAGCAAGAGAACTGCTTCTAGCAGGATGCATCATCGTCTTAGGTTCTGGAATTGCTGCTTTGGGCTCTTGCCCATCTGCCCCGGGGGTGCCACTTGGGGGCGCCAGCGTGGACGGCGGAATAGGTAATGCCTTTGTTGATGTCTGAGCAAGAATTTGCTGGGCAGTAGCAAATGTGAATGAAGACACCATGTTGTCCATAACTCGGGTCATGATCGGGTCTTCCAAGGTAGGAAGACTCCCTTCTCCTGCTTGTTGTCCAGCTTGCCAGGATTGCCAGATATCATCCCGCATAATTTGTGAGATGGATGCCATGAAGTCCATAGACCTTCGACAAACTTCCCCAAGAACAGACAAGCTTTCTGCATCCTCCGATGCCTGCGATGTAGGGAGTCGAGCAGCAACACCCTGCAGGCTCGATTCTCGCTGCTCTTTGAGTTTTGCGAGAAGCTCTTCTTGGGATGAAGAAGCATTCGCAAGTCGAAGTAGAAGAGTGAGTTGTCGTGCAAATATATAGCAACGAAAGTCAAAAATTGAAATATCATTTGCGAGTATGAGCTCCCTGTAGCGTTTCCTCGTTGCGTTCAGGGGGATCTCGCTCCGCTCATGATCTGATGAAACTGCCACTGATTGCATATCAATTGGATCATCTGATTCCACATTCTCGTCTGCTCCAGTATCCCTCAGGATGGCAACTCTTGCCCTTTCAGCTCTGCGTTTCAGATCTTCTGTGTAGGGTAAAAATGATCCGCCATGTTGAGCACCCGTTTCAGTGATAGATTGTTCTCTCACAATGAGATCAAGACCGACAGCAAGTTCGTCATATCCAACAAGGGCATCTTCAACTAGGCCTACGCTTTCAAAACCTCTCGCCAGACCTTCTTTCAATACAAAAAAAGTACAGAAATTCCATCCTGGTAGTGATCTCTGGGCGTCCTTCTCTCGGATATCTTCTTCATACTGGGTAACGCGCATATCAAAGGATGTGAGTATTTGGAACTTCAACTTCGCTATGAGGTCCAGCCAGGCATTTTCATTCTCCTGTGGTGTCTCGGAATATGAACCAGGTATTGCAGGAACGACTCTTGGGAGCATGTCATACGGGACATCATTGATCCCGATACGTATTTGGGCAATACGATCGACGGCAGATTTGGAAGAACCATTGAAGTCGGCTCGTAACTTTTCCAGTATGGTAGATGATCCTCCACCCCTCCAACGCGCTGTGGATTTCTCTGAGCTTGAACCTGAGCTTCCTTCGACCCCCTTCCCACTCGTCCTCGGCTGAGTCGCAGCAGCAGTATTTGGCACAATGACATGGACTACCAGCCATTCATATGCATCGTGGTTCTCTTGAGCAGTGACCTTAGTTGTGCTTTGAGTTGGCGGTGTGTTTTCCTTAACCCACTCTCGAACCTGACGCCGTGCCTGCGCCTTGTATGTATCATTATCATCGCATCGTAAAAATAAAATCTTTAAATATGGTGTTTGCCGCAATCCTGGGATCTGGTGTCTCCGTTCTTTCGCAGCTGCTTTAGGGGGTCCAGATAAAGACTCTGGCCTTTCAGCTACCGCCTGAGCTCCCAGCGCTTGTGTTCGGAAGCCGTCATCCCCACTCGCAGTAGAGTCTTGACTCTTGACTCTCGCAAGACTTGACGTACTCGCAGACGCATTTTCAGTCGACACAAATGAGGGCGGGCTCTGGGCAGATGGGACAAGATCTACATGAAGCGACGATATTGATCGCAGAGGTCCAGCGTGGGATTCCCAGTGCAGGTTTCGCAGAGGCAATCGGGGGAGGAGGCCCGGAGATAGTAGCTGGAATACCCCATAGGGATCAAAGTACTCAACTTATTGCAAGAATTAGCGGGGAGGTATGGTTTTGAAAGATGTGTGGCTATTACCTGTGACTTTGGAGCTTGAGGATGGCTGCTCCATTTCTTAAATGAATCACGATATCATATCACAATATGACAGCCGCAAATCTGAGAAAAGAAGGCTGTCAATGTTATGAGCGCATTTGTATAAGTCCTGGCGCATTGCTTGTTGACACCGAATTCACTGGTGTGGTGAATGGGATACTGCCGCCTTCAAGAACTCTATCAGGACTAGAACGACTCGGGGCGGTGTCATCCATGCACTTGTGTAGAACCGCCCTGATATGCTACGGTTCAGGACCTTTCCACAATCCTGACCTTGTAATCACTGTCGCCGCCATTTCATAGACTTATAGTCAGAGGCTCCTGGGCATAACTGTCGTGATTTTCATGTCGTTTCCGCGGTACTACCGGCAATAATACTTCTCTTGCTGCTAGAATTCACGGACAAATACCGAAGTTGATCCTGGGTCACTTTCATCTCTCCCTTGTGAATATAGCCACCAGCTCAATTAGTTCTTGACTCGCTCAAATAGAGTTGTCCGAATCCCGTTACTAAACTCGTCAATATCTGCTATCTTTGGAGCACCTCAAGACGTGATGACGTGAAATAATTCTAGATATCTCTGGTAATGTGGATGTTCTCCTACATTCACTATCTCATTCGAAGTTCTGAACCGACTGAGACCAATTGTTGGAAGCCAGAAGCCACAAGGTCTGGAATAATGTCGACCACAAATCCTAATGGTCGTACCGGTGAGGAGTACTACCAACCCTGCTCGGACATATGGCTAATTCGGTGCCAAACATCAGGAGTCCATAGATTGCCACATAGATTTCAAACGGCTTCCGCACAGAGAAATCAACCTACATGATCCGGAGCCTATCCTAGCACATCGAAGTCACTACCTCCTCCACGTTACTCGGTTCTAGTTGAATGTGAGTTTTCAATATTCGTGGGTATTTGCAAGCTAATCAATCATCAATACAGGCATATCATCCATTTCACAATTAATGTCGTCATATCCTCAGTTCGTTTCAATAAGTCTGCACTTCACAAATCTCCATCCATCGAATCCTTGCTAAGCCGTTCGGGATGTTCAACCCGCTAGCTGCCCACTGAAACAGTCAGTACTTGATAAAGTGTCTCTGAGAAATACTCCAGTGCTACTTACACTTGCTATTGTGGTCTCGAACGTCCACGCCAAGATCGTCTTCAGCCAGTGGTTCTTGTGGCCCCATATTGCGGCTTCTGATACAGTGGCAATCCCGTTGAAGAAAAAGAACAGGCCGATCCGAACGAGCCCCTCTTTGTTGAGAATGGGGGAGAGCGCATACATGTGGAACACGGCCATCAGACTGAATGCGCCTAGGACGCCGAGCGATCGAGCAAGCACCACTGGAACGCCATATTTGGGAAGACTGTAGCGAAGGGGTGCGTAAGCCAGCGACGTGCAGGGAGAAGCAAAAGCGTTATGCCACGACTCAGACCTGTTCAGAGGATCAGAAAACATCTTTCGCTGTGTGGCGAACTTAGCGATCTCTACGGACTCACCAGAACCCAGTCAAACTCTCAATCAAGTACAGCGGTCCGAAGAGGGCCGGACTGCTCTTATACCTCAATAACAACTGCAAACTAGTCCACAAGATGTATATTGCCAACATCACCTCAAAAGCTAGTACAGTCGGGAAATTTTGTGGCAGTGTTTGCAGGAGGGCGAAAATGGCGATGTGGATTCCCAATTGTGTCAATTCGTTAAAATTCTCCTGGTCTTTCGAAATCCTGATATGATTTGGGGTGAAAGATTCGTAACGGAGCTCTGTGAGGATTACAAGTGCCAATTTCCAGTCTGCTGGCATCTTGCCTGCTGAATAAATAGGGAGATCATTTTGGCGGGCCCAAATATCGAGAACCTTCATCGTCCCAATCGCCACTGGGAAACATCAGCAAGAATCACAGGGTTTAATTTGATCTTTGCGTTGTACCTGCAAAATGTTGTAGACATCTGGCTGGTCCGCAGGAAATCGGTGCAGTGTATGCAGCAACCCAGAAAGTTGCCAGAGAGAGCAAAGTCAGTGTCTTGTATACCCTGCGGAGCCCTTTTATATGGAAATATATAGCGAAGTAGAGTAGCTCTGCCGGAATCAATAGGAAGGCAGTGGCCTTCGTCAATTCATGGCCAAGCTGCTCGACTGCTGGCGGCAGATTTGTAACAGGAATAGGCGAGTAAGAGATATTCATGTTGGCCTGTTATCATACATCCAGGAATAAGACCGCCTCTGCGCAGATACAGGTAACTGTACTGGATGTCAATGTTTCGTTACAGCGATCGCACTTGTTCTGATAGATCTTAAGCCTAGAGTTGGAGCAGTTGCCGGCCCAGGATCTGGTACTTCAAGTACCTATTTGTAGCACTCGACACCTAGGCCAAGGGTACGGGTAACACGGCTCTAAACTGGAACCCTTCTCTATTGCTCTCGTTGCCCCCTCAAATGACGTTGTGCGAGGGGAAATCAGAAGATGTCTCGGGATCTTCGGGGAGGCTGACAAAAGACAATGAAAATCGAGCGGAGATCAGCTCCGTTGTGCCAATGTTCAGCCCTTTCTTCTACTCAGCCTCGGACAGGGATGCGTGATGGGATGGAGCAAGAAGTGACTGTGAGAAAAACAAAAGAAGATGAAGGAGTGGGGAGAAGTGCTCAAGTAGATCAAGTATTTGTTTTGGTAAGCAAGTTTGATCTAGGGAGATTGGGGAAATAATTGCCGCGGACGTAAATCTTACGGTTGGTGATATCGGTTCCGCGAGCTTCCCAAATTCGGTTTGGCTCTTCAGCAACCCCGAAGCCTTCTCGCTGCACCGTCAGCAGGTTTTAGTGGGGTAGAAACCATACCGTCCATTATGCACATAGTTCGTAGTAGGATGGTCTCAATCAGCCGAAAGTGATTGATTGGATAATGGACCAGGTATGCTAAATGCATTTGTTATGCTTAGATCGGATATACCCTGTTTGCATATCGTTTGGGATGATCCTGAGTGAAGAAGTGGCTTGCAAAGAATTTGAAGTTAAATAGTATAGATATATGCAACTGCCAAGAATAGAACGATTGTAATGATAGACAAGAATATGTACTTCCATACTTCACTGCTGGAACTTGAGACGCAAAGTGTTATCTTCATCACAGCATATTGCTTTTCGGTTATGTATATAGTACAGTAGTCCTTTTCGTCTTGATGAGCGATCCGCCCAGACCTTCCAAATACAGTGCTACAGCCTGTGCTTGAGCGACTCCCAGTGATGCAAAGTATTTGTCAACGCCGACGCCAACCCATGGTCATGTAACATGACTCATTCTACGTACTCAAACAAAGTCGGCTCGTAACCTCAAATATTGTTATACAAAATCGAAAACCACCAATCATCGCGCGCGATGGGAGCGATGGTCCCTTCCTCGTTTGCTCTTGCTCTTGTCTTTGGGCAGCTCCAGCGGAGTGTCCTTGACTTGATCAGCAACTAATCGTAGCAAGTACTCGTCTGTCGAGCGAACTCGGTCACCCCATGCATTCATCTCGTCGTCACTGTCTACCTCCATTACTTCTTCAATGGCTGGGGTCCCTGATCCACCCGGTGTAGGCGCAGTTTCTCGTGGAGTTCCAACTCCTGCTGGGGTTGCAGAAGCTGTCGCATTTTCGTCAAAGTCAGCGGCATCTGTTTGAACGATTTCCCGCTCAGCTACTTTTGCCGCTGCAACATCTTCCTGATCCTCAGCTTGTGCAAGGACCTTTTGCACATCCTTTTCATTTCCAGGACCCCCTAGCAAGCGATCCATGGCTGCATTCGCGGCAGCATCCCCATCGAGCACCTCTGAATTCTCGCCAAGAACGTCACGGACCGACATCTTGTTGAAATAATCGGTTGTGAAGTCTCCCTCTTGAATGACGACGTCGTCGAGCATTTGTTTTTGGCTTGCTTTGCGAAGGATGTTGGCTTCAATTGTGTGCTCTGACACCAACCGATAGATATGCACATCACGAGTCTGGCCAATACGATGGCATCTATCCTGGCATTGTTTATCCATAGCTGGGTTCCAATCGAGGTCATAGAAAATGACAGTATCAGCCCCAGTAAGATTGATACCTAATCCTCCAGATCTAGTTGATAGGATAAATGCAAGAATGCGGGTGTCGTTGTTGAAACGATCTGTAAGTACTTGTCGTTGTTCGATCTTCGTCGAGCCATCAAGACGAAGATATTTGTGACCATGAATGTTAAGAAACTGTTCCAGGATATCCAGGACCTTGGTCATCTGCGTGAATATCAAGGCCCGATGACCTCCAGCCTCTAGCTTGCGAAGAAGTTTCGCCAAGGTCTGCAGTTTACCACAATCGTACTGGAGCAATCGCTTGTCTGGGAACTGTATGGATAATCTCATACGAGCCTCATGGAATGGATCGGCTTTGGAGCTGGTAAGTGAGCTCTGAACAGTGCCTAGTCCTTTAGACGAGAGCATCATGGAATTGATATCCCTTGCGACTACCGGAGGTGTTACACAGGCGAATTTCTGGATGGTGGTGTTTAGAGCTTCGGACCTAGATTCTAGTGTTGGAATCATTGACATCAACGTCGGCGAGCGGGTTTCAAGCCAGGTCATCATTTGTTTCCGCTGCGTGGGGCGAGGCTTCAAAGGTCGGTCGTTGATATCCAGGGTGAGACGATTGAGAAGCTGGGTTCCATAAATAGGTTTTTGTTGACGTCTGAGGGCGTTGAGGTACACACAGTGCTGAAGTTCCTCGAATCGCCCCCACCTTGAGGCGCTTTCCAAGTAGATTAGATTGGCCCTTGCGGTAGACGGATCAAGACTTGTCAACGCGTTCTGGGCCCTCAGGCGCTGAGCTTCACGCATATCCATGAGTACGCGCTGAGCACTGAGCGCAGCGCTGCGTGAAGCGACATTTCCTGCAAGTCGTTCGTGCTTTGTTGGGACAAGGTTCAGGAATTCTAGGCTGGCTTTGGTCATAGGATCTTCACGAAGAAGGCGTCTTCGGACGAGTAGTTCTTTGATCTCAAAATCTGCGATGGCTGACTTTTCCATTGGGAAGGAGGTCATGATTGCCCGCTCCACGAAAAGGTCAGGATGATTGCAGACCTTTCTCAATTGCATTAAGCAATTGATTATGGAGAGGTAGTTCCCTCCAGACAATGTGTCACGGGTATCGCCTCGACTCAGAAATCCATCGTAGAGCTCGCGTTGACGTTTAGACAAACGACAGAATTCGACGTGCTCGTACTTGGCAGGCATCTGCTTTTCTACATCTGCTTTCAATCTGCGGAGAAGATAGGGCCGCAGCAGTCTGTGAAGCTTAGTAATGATTCCCTTGGATTCGTCGTCCATCTGCTCGCGGCCGTGTTCGAGAATTTGTTCCGAGGGTTTTTTGAACCAGTCTTGGAATTCCTTCAAGTCCGCAAATCCTCCAACTCCCTGGCCGGTACCATCTGAAGGCATTAAAAAGTACAGCAAGGACCATAACTCGGTCAGGTTGTTTTGAAGAGGTGTCCCAGTGATCAAAAGACGTGCTCTGGTGTTGAAATTCAACATCGTTTGCCATCTCTGTGAATTGAAGTTCTTGATGTTATGAGCCTCGTCGAGAATCATGTAATGCCATCGGCGACGCTTGAAGACCTGCTGATCCTGGATGACAAGCTGGTAAGATGTTATAATGACATTCCAGGCATCGTCAGTCTTCCAGCCTTGTCGCTTCCGCTTGCGCTCCTCCTGAGACCCGTAGTACGTCAAGATCTTGAATCCCGGACACCACTTCTTGAATTCCATTTCCCAGTTCAACATAACACTGGTGGGCACGATGACCAGATGTGGTCCCCAAACTTCGTGCTCACAGGCAAGATGAGCCAATAGGGCAATGGTTTGAATTGTCTTGCCCAAGCCCATCTCGTCCGCGAGAATTCCATTTGTGTTGTTGGCATACAAGCCAGCTAGCCAATCCAGACCATAGTGCTGATATTCTCTGAGGGTTCCCCTGAGTAAGAATGGGACCTTGGTCTTGAGCTGGTTGCTAGGCTGAGGCGTGATACTTCCAGTGACCTGGCGACTGTGGTGAAGTTCAACCGATGATGCAGAATCACTTTCGGAAGGGCGTGTGTCGGTCGTTCTTGGGGTCGGCTGACTACTTCGGTCGGGACTTGTAGGAAGCATTTCGGATAGAACCTGCTTCATAGGTTTTGGTCGGTCAAGTGAAAGGCTATCTTTGTCGCCGAATGCAGTCGGTTGCTCAGTCAGCTTTGCAGATTCCTCTGCGTTGATGAGTCTATTCACTGTCGAATCTGATGCGTTGCCTTCAATGGCATCCGGAACGAAGGACACCTCGCCTTCACCATTCGCAGTTTCTTCTATACCAGCCAGTTCTGTAGGATCTGCATCACCTGTTTCAACCGCTGTATCTGGTTCTGGCTCAACAGTGCCGAGCTCCACAGCTTTCAGTTCAGAAGGAGCGAGGAATCCAAGGAGTGAAGATTCTCCCATTTCATCCTCCTCCTCGTCACTGCCGTCCTCGTCATCTTCATGGCTTTCACGGTCTTCGTCACTGGATCCCATGTCATCATCCATGTCAACCGACTCATCGCTATCATCAAGATTCTCCTCTATATCCAGGCCAGGTCCTTGTTCGTCTGGAACGCCCGATTCACTGTCAACATCCACCATTTCTTCGTCGACCGAATCAATGTCAGGCCCAGGGAGAGCAGCGTATTTTTCCCGAAGTTGCTCAACAGTCAAATGTTCATCATCCGCTGCATCGACTTTCACTTGTTCTTCGTCCGGTTCTGATTCAGACTCAGACATATTGCTCTCGCGATCGTCCTCTGTCTCAGAAACAGAACCTTCTTCATTGTCTGATGCATCGGAAACATCAGTCTCACCTTCGTCCGTGGCGGCACCAGAGCCAATTTGCGACCTTCGCGCCTGAAGCTTCTGCGTTGACACGTCCACCGCTTCACTCAAGGCTTTCCTCACTCGAGCTTGTTCTTGTGCTTCCCATTCCAATAATCGCCGTCGATTGACTTCCATCTTCACATTCTCGAACACAGCATCCAGAGTTCTCGTTACGAGCTTCTTGTATTGGGCCCTACGAGCTTCTTCATTTTCTGCTTCGATTTGGGCCAGGGTCTTTGGTTGCCGTCGATACCATTCAGTAACACAGGCCTCTGCGACTCGTTTTGCAGCTGCACGATGTTTCTTCTGTTCGATCAACATGAGTCTTCTAAATTCGAAAGCAGCTCTGATCATATGATCAGCATGCGAATATTGCCGTGGAAGCTGATCAGTGGCCTCTGGCTGATAGACTGAGCATCTTTCAACACTCAATACTCCACCAGGTTTGACAGCTTCCTCTGCCCGTAGTATGACATCGGAATCTTTTATGATTTGCTCCGAGCTATACTCAGATGGTTCGTCAGCATCATAAAGCCCACCATCCTCAACGCGTATGTTTGCTCCAAGATCGAAATAGTCTTTGAGGGTCTCGTATTGCTTGTGGCGTGGGAGAACGAGTCCAGGATGTATGAGAGGAATGGTGGCGGACTTGACGCGAAATCTGATACGTGAAAGAATGGCTTTTGGGCTTGGTATTGACTGCTCATCAGCCTTGGAGGCCTGTGGTTGAGGGGTCCCTTCGTCATCCAATGTCTCTGCGACTTTCCCTGACCGACGGCCCTTGAATGTACGAGCTTGTGCTGGGGCAGTTTGCGGAGTCTTCGGAGTTGAGGACTTCTTATGCGAACGTACTGGAGTTGCTATTTGTGCACTAGGCATCGACTTGCGATGAGATCTTTTGGGAGATGCAGGTTTGGCGGGAGACTTCGGGGGATGTTGAGAAGCTGTGCTAGACGATCCAGGTCGTTTTATTCCATTTATTGACGTTGTGGGTGCATCTCTTGCCTGAAGCGATGGGGTAGGTCCATTCGCGATTCCATGCTTGCCTTTCGAGTATTCCTTCTGTACAGCGCCTCGTGTTTGCCTTTTATCGGATGGCGGTTGCAGCTCCAGGGGTACGTGATTTGTCCTGCCAGACTTCCTCTTCCCATCCTGTGTAAACGACGATAGGCCCTCAGCTTTTATCTGCTTCCATGGCGGGGATGGTGGTTTGTCCTTTGGCCTCTGTTTGGAGTTCGGCGTAGTTGTTGAGACTCGACGCCTTTTACTAGGTGGTTCTCCATCTCCTTCAGCCTCGTCATGCTGGCCATTCACTCTTGGAGGGTCATCGCCATTCGTAGGGGGTTCTAACAGTCGAAATGATTAGTTATGTTGCGCCTGTCGCGTCGAGTGATGTTTGCGCATACCATGTACTTTTTGTTCGTCTTGCGCATCCGACGCGGTCTGTGTCATGACTTCTTAGGAGAGGGGGCAAGGCACTACCGTGAACTTCATGAATATCACATCTGCAGGGATGGTACTAACTTCGGAAGATGCGCAGTCTACAACAGATTCCAACTGCGAGATTTTGGCATGCCCAGAGCTCATTTGCAGCTTCTGTTGAAGAAAAATGGTAAACTTGAGGGTTTGGGGGTAGTCAACAGAAATTTGAATTGCCACAGAGCGGAGGAGCCATCGAGATACGGTGACCCATAGTGAGAATAGGCGAAGAACTAGCGCGCTTTTGGGACCGCAACTCCATGGGAGCTCGACTGAGATGATGAGGAGAGGTACAACGAAATCTACCCATTGCGACCACAAAAATCACGGTAGACGTCCACAAATACCCCAAGGCAATGGCCCGATGATACTAACATTTACTCCCAGATGCTTTCCCGGCGAGTTGCGACAGCTCGCCCGCTGCGGAATGCTTTCCCTGTCATTCGACGAGCAGCTCTCAATCAACAGCGAGGAGTTGCGCAGGCTGGACCAGAATATCCCAGATTAGTCAGTGGCTGTACTTTTCAGGCACAAAGATGAAGCTGTAGCTAATACTGTTTGCGTAGACTGACGTCGAGGATCCTGGAATGGTCAGCGACATGGACATAGCCCGTTCCATTCTCACATGGCTAATTTTCTATACAGAATGGAGGATACATCAATCCACCACCGGTCAAACGTCAATTTCGTGACCCTCATGCAGATTGGTGGGACAAGCAAGAGCGTCGAAACTATGGAGAGCCAGTTCATGAGGACAATGATATCCTAGGGATGTTTTCGCCGGAGGAGTATACGCACACCAAGCCAGGCAAGGGTTTGTTCCAGATCGGATGTTTTATTGCAGCCGTTCTAGGACTCTGTACTGTAGTTGGGATGTCATACCCGGATAAGCAGTCGGTACCAAGAGAGTTCGAAGGCGGACTGGAACGGGAATTGGGAGGGCCAACCGCAGTCAGGGTACGTGATATTCCAAGACATGATGTGTATCGACCACTAACTCGTCTTTTTCTTAGGCGAGGGCTCCAGGTGATGAATAGAGAAGAGAGTAGACAATTTGTACATATGAGTAACATCGCTCACTAAGTGATTGACGTTAAGCAGCCTATCATAATAAGGCTGCCAATGATTTAACCCGAGAGGCACTGCTACCAGCAGCAAATGTAAGAACCTGCTAGATCTCGAATACTACTTTCAGAAGTTTCCAATTAGTCTGGTCATGAGATTCCAGACTTAGGGCTTTCTCTGAGACGGAGTCAACAGCAGTCGTTCAGGACTGTAATAAGCCTTAGAAGTGCGCGGAACACCTCATCGGCTTCTGCCCATATCCAACTGCTGTTCGTGCGTTGGCTTCAACCAATGGCTCCTTCCTTCCATCATAAATGGTGAATGAGGAAGTGCATATGCACTGTTCCTGCCTTGAAGATCTCAAGTTCATCTACACCGTCCCTTCCGTGTCGTGCCCTTTAGTTTCTTTACTCATCTTCTTGCAACTGCGACGTCTCTGCTTCTCTTCTCAGCTTCGAGATCTCCTTGGCTCGGTCGACAGTTGTCTTTCAAGTCTTGCTACATCAAGAGCACTTGCTTACCCCAGCCGTAACAAGCTTTGCATTCCTTCAAAATGCGTTACCAAAATTGGGACGTTCTCCTATTCCCCGACCAGTACAAGGTCCCCTTGCAGGAGTTCAAAACCAGCTGTCAAGTCATACAAGATCCAGGTACACGGCAGACTAAATCATTCTTGGAATTGTCTGAGAGCAATACACTAATTACCAATCAGAATCTCATAACTTGCAATCGAATCCTCTTTTATTGCCAACCGTAACGTCCTTCATACCAGGTCTGCCCGCCGGAGCTGCTTTCCGAGCCTCTATCCATTGTTGGCAGAATCCTGAGATCAGTCGTTATATCCAAACCTTGAAGAAGTCATCCGATATTGTCATGTTCGAAGCGCGACTATTCATTGATGGCAGGCTTGCAGGGTAATTCTAATCTATCGAGCCTCCTTGCCTACGCTGACGATTCAGTTCCAAATGGTTCAACCAAAGCGGTCCGTGGCCAACCATTATCGAGCTTAGTGTTGGTAAGTCGGAGAACTTATTTTTCCTCGCTCGATGACTCGTTGACGACCACAGATCTCGATAAGAATGGCGAGTTTGAAAAGATGAAATTCCCGACTTTCCACAAAGAACTACTTTCCCAAAGCTATTGGAATCCAGGAGATGATCTCGGCCGAATTAAGGTTGTCATTTCCGAAGGCTTCTCTCGTGAGCAACTGACTTATCCATTCGAGCGCATCAAAAATATCGTATCATTCTCATTCCAGCATGCGCCGCTGGGTGGGTCTTCCCAGCGCTCTTTTTTACTATCTTCATATTCATCTAACATAATTGTCCCATAGACGTCCTCGAAGCATCCTCTATCGCCTGGCCAAACGCTGCTATGTGGCGTCATGTATCTCTTGTTGGACCGTACTATGCACAGAATTCTTCACCACGACATGGATCCGACGGGATCGAGGCTCATAGCCACTCTCCCCGTCATGGACAGTCAAGCAAGCCAGCTTTCCCGATCCCAAGCGCCGGGGCAATGCCACCGCCTCCACTCTTCCCTCGACAGCCTGCTTACGATCCCTTCATCACTGATCACAACAACCCGGCATTTAGCGGCTGGCGACACACCTCCACAACAGACACCTCGATGCCAGATTACTCAAGCACCAATACTCGTACAAGCAGTAGCCGCCAGGTATCAGATCCTATGCAATTTGAGAAGACAGGCCGCCAGTTCGAGTCTATGCAGATGCCTGGAGCTTTTGAATCTCTTGTCGAAGCACTAACACCAGCTGCACCAGTTGTGCCAACGAACACGCCCGACAATGGTCTTGCCAGAAACATGGCTGGCTTAAGTGCTGCATCACGGAAAGCTTCTTCCAAGATGTCCATAGATAGCTCTGGTATGATCGATTCATGAATGGAGAAGATGTCGAGTACTGATTAAATCTTGCAGTCAAAGCAGATGAGCAGCAAATTCCGAAGCCATCCAACGTCTTGAAATCATCCGGATTCAGTGGCATTAAGAGCAGAAAGGAGAATATCCAGGATTCACCACTGGTAACTATCAACATCAATCCCATTGGCAATGAGAACGCCACCCGGAAAGTCAGTATTCCAAAGACAGGTACAACCATTTCCCCTGGAGTTGCAGAAACGAAGGTAGCCAGCAGTGAAGACACTCGAAAGCCTAGCCAGCCATTAGAATCGACTGGCAACCAAGCTGGAACCACAGCATCTGGTTCGGCAAACGACAATCCTGCTCGCCGGGTCAGTCGGCCATTTGCAACAACGAACAACAGCGGCACCAAGAGACAACGTGTCGTTACTCCAGCTGCCGCTAAAGTCATTGATGATGAGGATGAGCCGCGGTCTTCGCCCTCTATCAGAAAGGCGTCTCAAGCGAGCGCAAGAGCCGAGAACAAGGAGAAAGACCGAGTTGTCCTGGGTGGAATCGAAAATGTTTGAATTATTGTCATCATTACTTGCTTCCAACTTAAAAGTCATTGACTCTTTGAAAAATTGTTGGAGCGAGGCTGTTCTCAGGATTATCAATACTTACCAGTAGAATTTCTCGAGCTACCGATTCATCACAAACGACTCTCCATCTCATCGGAGAGAGGTTATGTTCATAAAGTGCTATCATTAAATAAGTATTGTACAACCCTCACTGACAGCTGTGGTATCCTCCTTTGACGGGTGTGCCCATAATGATTGCCGTCCCATCTTCGTGTCTTGATGTTTGGGTGTATGTATGGAGCGGGTATGATGAGAATTGATATAAAAGACGCCGACGCTTTATGCCGTTTGAATCCAAACCCGGGATAAACCAATTGTGTCGTTGAACCCCATCCCATAAAAGTCATCATGTCAACGCCACCGCAATGCATCCCATTGATTTCAGTAAAAATCATCTTGCTACCAAATCCCATGGCTCTCCACTCTTGTCCCTCATGCTCTCATGCTTTTTTTGTACACGTTATATGCCTTGGTCTATCCTCCTCGCCCACCTTGATGAGCCGGAAAGATGGAAAGATCACAGAGCTTAGATTTCGTTCCTAGTTCGGCATGTGTAATCGGCGGTGGTCGCTTCGATTCACGAATGCTCATTTCTTCCGTCCGCCTGCGGCGCCAGTGGCTGTGATCTTCGACGTTGACATCAGATCGCCAATGTATTTCTGAAGGAATTTGTTGTTGCTGTCGAGCTTGTCATGTTCTTCCTTCACGGCTTCGATGCGGTTGAAGATCTCGAGGAGGGACTTTTGGAGGATTTTGGCGTGTCTGTTTGGATCCTGTTAGCGTTGTTTGTCTCGATTCATGGTTATTTTCAGGTATGGAGGATTGTGCCTAGATCTGTGGGGTTGGCATACTCATTCAGCTGCACCTTTGCATCCTCGCTCATCTTCTCTAGGTCCTGACTACTCCTCCTGGGACTCATAGCCCGTGCATCATCCTCGTCGAATACCTCGTCGCCCTCCTTCAGCTCAACTCTTGGGTGCTCGCGTGGCACGATGATGGTACCGCTCGATTTTCTTGAGTGTAGACGGGGTCGTTTAGCCGTGGAGTCTGCTGGTTGTGGGTGAGGGTGCGTGCCTCCTCCTCCGCCTTCTTCGTGGACGGACGAGCTAGATGATGAAGCCGACGACATTATTGTTTGGTTGGGAGGCGAGGCCATACTATGGGGTATTTGTGTGCTTGGTTGTGTGGAGGGAGGTAGCTGTGTAACGAATACTTCGTTACGGGCGAGCACTCTTTGCAAGGAAGTAGGTACTTTGCTCCACTGCTGGTTGACAAAGTCGTTGCCGTACTGCAGTGTAGTCTTGGTACTGCAATATGTAGGTAGGGAGGCGCCGGTACAGTATCGTGACTGTTTCAGTGTGGTGTGGTGAGTGAGTCGTTCCTTGTTCGGTTTCTGGAAGAATGAGGGAGGTCAAGAGCGGCTTGTTTTCAGTATATCGGCAGTGCCTAAGTAGGTAGTATGGTCACATCGAATATCTGCAGTGCTGCAAATCGGATCAATCAATGGCTGAATTGTCGAAGTGAAGTCGGGGAGGGAAAAGTTGGGGGTAAGGGACCATTTGCAAGGCGTAGAAGTGGAGGAGAGAGACGGTGGTGGATGTGGTGGTGCTTGCAGCTTGCGGTGGAGTGGAGTGGGAGTTCTGTCCGCGGCTGGCTGATGGGCGGACGGTGCAGGTGGGCGAAAAGAGTGGCAGGCGACTGGAGACAGAGAGGACAAGGATGGGACAGGGAGGCAGGGGAGGAGAGGACAGGGCAGGGCAGGGCAGGGCAGGCGTGCGGCGTGCAGCGTGCAGCGTGTGCAGTGCAGGGTGTGTGGACCCTGAAGTGTGAAGATCCGAGAAGGTTTGAAATATGTGACCACCGTGGACCATTACAATACAGTATCATTTACACTTATAGTAGTCCTAAATGGAAAGTCAAGCCAGCTTGGAGCCCCTTGAGAGCACTGCAGTAACAAGTCCTTAGTCCTTCTCACCTCACCACCGCACTTCCCAAGTCATCCTTCCCTTCCCTTCCCTTCCTTCCACACTTCCGTCGTCGTACAGTAGTTTGACTGGCCCCGCCAAGCTGCAAGCATGTCCCAGGATTGTTGACCGACGATCAACAGGCGAGGAATGGAAGGCTTGGGACTTGGGAGACCCGCAGGCCGTGGGAGACGCCATCCCTGTCTGCATGCCCGAGAATGGCTCCGGGAGGGTCGATATTAGACTGCAAAGGTCTGTGGATATCGTGAGCTAGGTGCAGACTACGAGACAAATTATGATATGAAAGATCCGGGAGGGGAAGGTGTAGCGACAGCTAGGAAGGAGGGGTTGCAATTTGTTTATTTATTTGGTTGTTTGTCTTCATTCCTTACGGTCCTTTAAATTCGATACTTAACACTGTATGGACTCGACTTGACAAGACTCGACAAAAGACTCGAAGTGATAGAAGAGCAAGCTCTCTAGAAAAAACATCGGAGGTACTCTACTTTGGGCAGCACACTAGATGAGAGAGTTCTTCTTGCGGGTCTAACACCAGCAGCACCGCACTCCAGAAGGAAATACTGTGCGAGTAATGTGCAACTACTGTACAGCTGTGGGTGATACTATGTCGGCTAGCACAGCAGCTTGACCAGCTTGACAATAGGGGCTGTTTGGCGGGTGGTAACTTCGTAAATTACAATCTACGATTTTAGATGGATAATAAGCCATAAAGGCGGCGGGCACTATCTATATGGTGTGTGTGTTTTGGCGTCAAGAGGCTCAACTGCACTCAGGTAGGTAAATTATGGTCGATACAAGTGCCGCTCTTGAGGATCTGCAAAAGTTTCAAGATGGTTCAGCTAATCAAGACGTACCGTATCAACAATCTGATCTCTTGATTGGATGCATAACTTTAAGCAACAGGGTTTAAAACATTCAAACAGCAATGTGCTGAAAAGGCGCTAGACAATTAAACCGGGGAGGGGACCATAGGTACGAAAGTACCTAAGGTAGGCGTCAAATTTCGGTGCCCGCTTGATTAAGGCTCAGATATGACCAGTTTTGCAGGGCTTCACCTGTATCAGCATCTGTACGAGTTTGAGTATCACATCGATGTCCTTGCGCCTCAAACATCTCGTGAGGCGCGCAAGATTGAGATTGCAAATGACGATATTTCGAAGACTCCTGATCCGAGCGAATGGGAACATCCCAGTCGTCATTTCGGGGTTGGATTAGGTAGAGTTCAGTTCAGATGGGACTCATGGCCCATGGGAGGCGTTTTACGATGCGGCCGTGCCATGTGACCATCCTGCCCTGCCCTGCCCTGCCTTCCAATACTAGTTGCCCTGCACTGAGGCGAGGCGCTGACTTGACCCTGACAGAGATGGGCTTGGTGGCGAACAAACGTTGAAGCTCAAGCGACTTGATGCTATTCGTTTACTGCTTCTGCTCAGCTCTCCTCTTCCTACAGTATCGTTCCAAACTCTCCTCTTCTCCCTCTTCATTATTATCATTCCATTCTCAAGGCTCGTCTCCTCTCTCTCGAGCCGCCGCAGGATGGAAATGCCCCCACTGCACTCGGCCACTGTTGTTTGGGTGGGAGGTGGGATTATTGGCATTGATAAACCGACACCCTCCTCCCCCATTCACCACCCTCGTCATTGTGCTGCCCATGCCCATGCCAATCCCTCCGCCCTGACATCATCGCCAGGCATTGCTGTACTGTAAGTCTCACTGCAAGAGAAGAGATCAACGACCGCCTTTCCCGTTGTCGCCTCCGTCGTCTTTCTCCACAAGGCAGCCCGTTGCACCATCAGCACTTCTTTTCCTCTTTGGCTCACAGCAACGCATCCTGTGAACCAATCCGTGATGTTTCACGCTCCCGTCCCCCAGCATCCTGACAAGACAGGAAGCCGGCGATAAACCTCTGTTTTCCCCACTGTACTGTACATTATTAAGTATTACATCGTGTGCCGATGATCATCTCAGGAGATTCCAACAGCATCCCTCAATTTCTCCGAGTCGGGTGTGCACTGGCCTATGAGCATAGCATATAATACTGTAGCTGAACTCTGGCAGCATCCCTTCAATTACACGGTTAGAGCCTGAGAGACCATGGCATTCTCCCTGCCTCCAATCCCAGGTCGTTGGGTCCGCAATATATCCCAAAAAGACCCCAGACAGGCTCACTCAATTGTGAAATTATCAACAGGACAGCAATGTCAAAGGCATTTATTTAACTCGGCTCAGGTGAAGGCTGATGGTACAAGGTAGATTGGGCCTTTCCTGCTCGAAGCAAGTAAGAAATGATGTCGTCGTTATGCGAAATGATGAGGATCTACCAGGTGATCAGCCATTCTCTCATCTGTCATTGCCCGTTCAGGGATTTTTGTCAAGACGCAGACATCATACCTGTCACCTGGCTGAACTTCAACCGCGCAAAATCCGGTACTGGTAGACCTCTCCAGATCTTCCAGATGCAGGTTCAAGGGCAAAACACACTTCAAAACGAGCTGTCAGTTCCATTAACTGCCTCATTCGTTCAGAACTTGACAACACGAAACATTTCACGATTCACCCAAGCAGAGCTTATCTTGGGACGACATAGAAGAACGCTGTTGGATGCGTGTGTTCTTCTGGCGGTGAAGTGATCGGCTCAAATGAAAGTCTCTTTCAATATTTCGTCCGGGTCCTGTGAACAGCCGGCTGCTCCATCACTCGGCACCGTCATCCCGCAGCACTTTTGTTACAACAACGCTACTTCGTACTTTCGTACATCGGAGCCGTGCACTCTCTATGGGCAGGCTTCCTGCCTGAAAAACTTTGTTTTATTTTTTGGTTTTACCCCTCACAACCGTGCGGGATCAACTCAAAGTTTTAAGGGACTCAGGCCGGGGAATATAAGCATTTCATTGTGCATCCGCTTTCCACGAATCACTTCACAGAGTCTAGTGGGACTTGTGGAGAACCCATTATTCAGAAGGATTGGCCGAGGAACATTTCCGAACTTACAGATGTCGTGATCGGAAATTTATGGGTTCGCTACAGTAATTGAGTCCCTGCATGCGTGCAGCTTGCACTTCAAGTTCAGGTTTGTGGGTATTTCCAATTCAAGATGTATCCTCGCACGTGTTCGGTATTCTTTCCTTGGGCTTCCCCATATATCCTCATGTTGCCCAGCCATCGTTGGACCTGCGGCCGCCGTTTAAAAGCAAGCCGACTGGCCGTCAAGCACGAAAAGGAAGTATGCTCCGCGCTTGGGAACACAAGAGTGGAGTAGCCGAGTACAATGTTTCCCAATCACCAGCTCTGAATCGGATCTGTGTATTCTTCTTGAAGTCACTGGGAGCTTGGAAGATCAGACGGTGGAGAATCAATAATAGGTCTCATGCATGCGGCAGAGTGGTTCTGCGTACAGTTTGCAGCCATCCAGTAATTAGTCCTTGCTTTGGATGTTACTGTTCTTTGCCACTGACTGGGAAGGCTAAGAATGGGTTATATTGTGATGAATTATTCTCTCAACCAGATTCACGCACTCTGTTACCGGTGGATAGGATGCACTTAGAACAAAGTAACCCGTCAAGTGGGTAAGGCTACACAATCGACCCTGTTATTTAGATGTCCTAGCATCTCATTTTCGGGCCGTTGGATCGATCTCCAGTACCCAACATAATACCAGCAGCTATCAGAACGGATGAGTTGATCATCGCATAGAAGTAGATGTTGCGTATGATCGTTGAGCCGCACCTTGCTGCCAACTAGGCATTATCATATTAGGAGAAGTCGCTAGTCAAAAAAGCGAGGAGTTGACATCGAAAGCAACTTTCCTGTGGCGCCAGATCCACACTTCCCAGTCCTACATGAGGGTTAATTCGATTCATTACTTTCCATAATTCTAGTTTTTCTTTTTCTTTGTCCGCCGATATGTCCTTTCTTGCATTCTCGGACAACCGCATTCGTAGATCCTTCTTGTTGCTTGAGGTGGCTGTGGTAACCGGGTATCCGCCTTGGCACCTTGTACCTTTCTCCGCAACAACGAATGATAGATGGTCGTTAAAATGGGCCCCATGATGAAGTATCCTGTAGATTGCAAGAATGCCATGTCCGTTTGTCTTGGGATGTTGGTCCCACAACAGGTATCTCTCTCTCGTCCGGAGGTACAGCTCCCCGTTTTCACTGCCATGCATGATTGGAGCACAGCCATTATGCCAGCAGACCAAAGACTAGGTGACTTGAATGAGTAAATTCTAGCATATTTCTTGTCTATGCAAACAAATCCTAAAATGAAATGTACACGAGTATCACAGTCTACGCATTCCAACCCGCGACCTAATGCCCTTTCAATCCAAGTCGATTCTAAACCTCTCCCTCAACCGCCCCCCAAACACATAGAACAACAAAGGACTCGGCGCCAGAAGCAAACTCACAAACCCGAAGATACTGAACCCCCACCCAAGCCCGACTCTCTCCAACAAGGCCCCTGTAAAAACAGGCACGACGCCCCCCACCACACTCCGGAACAAACTGCCCGCCGCAATAGCACTAGCAGCATACTTCTCGAACGAGTCAATGTAGTAATTTTGCACGGCGTTGAAAATAGCAACCTGCCCGATGCCGTAGAAAAACGTCGCTGTGATGGGAACCATGAAATGAATATGGTACTCTGTCGTCCACGCGAATGTGAAAAGAGATACGGGGATCAATACTGAGCCGATGTTTGCGAGTGGGAGCCTGTACTCTGGTTTTGGGACATTGTTGTGTTTTTTGGAGAGAGAGTTGTATACTGTCCCTATCCTCGGCACGAGAAACCACACCGCCGTCAAGAACCCCAGCCCAGGACCCAGGTATGTCAATCCAACCTGCAGCGTACTGAAGCCGTATAGTCCGCCATATATACTCTGGAACTGCGTATACATGCTGTAAGTGATAGCGAAGAGCAGTGCTTGGTACAAAGCCATCGTTATGACGATAGGCTGAGTAAAGAGAATCAAGAGAGGTCGCTTGATAGACTGTGTTAGCTTCGCGCGGAGAGGCCGCAAGTCCTCGCCCTCGTAGTAGTAATGAGTCGAGTCTTCTGCCTCAAGGGTCTTCTTGCGCTGCGAGAGGATTGCGGGGACGTAGGTCTCCCGGAGGAAGAAGAAAGCACCGAAGACGGCGACGGAGCAGATTATTAGCAGAACCCAAAAGAGCCATGGCCAGGGCAAGTTGTCGAGGATCACTGCGCCGAGGAGAGGCCCGATTGTTGGGCCTAGGAGGGGACCGAGGAGATACCAGCCGAAGATACCTGCTCGTTCGCTGGGTGCATACATATCGCTGATGGTGCCGCCTCCGTTTGCGATCCCGATACTTCCAAAGAATCCAGCAATCGTCCTCAACGTAATGAGCACTGGTAGGCTCTTCGCCAACGCGGTAGGTATCTGAAGCAGAGTGAAGATAGTGAAGCACACGAGATACAGTGGTTTTCTTCCGAACGTCTCGGACAGTGGTGCTAGGATCAACGGGCCAACACCGAGCATTACGACGAAGCCGGTTTGACACCCTATCACGCCGTCGGTGGTGGCATGCAGAGACCCTGCTATTTGTTCAATGCCTGGTGCAAACATTGAGCTCGCGAGGGGGCTGAGAACTGTGCCACGTTAGTGTGGGCTGTGAAGAATAACAGGGTCGGCGATGGAATGCCGTACTGGACATGGAGGCGATGACGGCGATGTTTGCGAGTTTCTTCCATTCTGACCAGTTTCTTGGGTTGTCGTCGTCTTTTTTGCTGAACTGTAGTAACTAGTTTGACTATCAGTGCTATGGTGATGGGTCAAGCGTAGCATTGGAACAAACATGTCTATCTTCGTGAGATGATGCGCTGCCGTTTGAGAGGAGTGGCGCTCTCTCGTCGGGAGTATGTTGAGGCATGTCTAGCTTCTATCATAGAAGCGGAGAAGGAAAATAATATTTGGCAAAAAGGAAATAGATGCAAGTCTCAGACCTTAGGTGAGAAGGCAAGGGAATGAGATGAGGGTGAGATGAGATGAGCTTCTAGCTTGTTTACCAGAACCCTGGAAAGGGACTAGAATCGATGACGACGTGCCACAAAGCACTAGAACATCGCCAGCCGTCTTTCAGGGCTTGACGGCTGGATGCGCCGGAATTGCTCGCTTCAGTTCAACAACAAAATAGAAATATATCGCCGTTGAACTGTGGTCCTAGGAGAGGAGACTTGTTTTGATGGCCTTTTATAAGAAATTCCAAGCAGTGGGTGATGATCAGAGGTTGGGATTGTGTGAAGTTACAGCAATATCAGAAATTAACTTTGCGGGGCTAGCCTCGCTAATTTTTTTCGCCCTTACAAGGTCTTAAAAATCGCTTTGAATAATTATTATATAGTAATAATGTTGGTCCGCAGACTATTCAAGGGGGACATAGGCAGCAATCAGGAGGACGGGCATTCCCGGTCAGGGTGACGGGCCCCTTTCGGAGGCGAACCGGGGGTTAATCAGGAGTAGTATATCCTTTTAACTGCGTTTCTATGCACTGTCCTGAAAGCCCTGAGAGTGAAGCCTGTAAGCGAGACTGTTATGCCTAAAGAGTTGCCAGATCGGCCGCTAAGGCTTACCCCACACGCTGTTAACACCCTGTAACACACTGAAGGAGACGTGCATGCCGCAGTTAAGGGGATATTCTGAACCTTAGACACGCTCCTTAGAAAACACAATTTTGAACACCTTTTGAACTGAACCTTTGATTCTTACGTATATCGATATACACTTGTTACTTGTTTACTGGTACGATGACATCACCTACTCCTATATTTCTAGTTATCCTCTTATAATCTTTATGGATATGCGATTGGAGTAGAAACTTGATTTATTTGTCTGAGTACTTGAGTGGCCTCAATACGAGGGAATACAGTAGGTCAGAATACGAACTAAACGAGCGTACAATGTAAACCCGGAGTAGCTTCGTTCTAGAGCTGATGTTGATACGAAATAGTGTGGAAAATCAAACTTGAAATCAAGTAGCTGATAAACCAGGGACTAAGTAGACGACCAACACTTAGGTCACTGTTCTGTGATTATGGGATTCATGAACTTGACCAGCAGACCCCGACACATTGCACTTGCACTTACATCCACGCTCCCAAAGAGGAGCGGAGAAGAACCATGCAGCGATACGAGATTTCGTGTCTGGATCGAACTAATAGTACTAGGTTAACACAACTCACTGAACAAAAGACAGGGGGTGTAAATTGTAAGGCTTACTTCTCCAGGTTTCATGTTAATATTTGCTCGATCCTGTGTGATTTCTATCCGACCTCCAAAGTCATCTCCGGGATGTGGGCAGATACCGAACAAGCCTTTAGCATTGTTGTCCGCGAGGGTGTTCTAGAATTCAGCTAGAAAGGTAGCTGTTTTTAGATCTGTGATATCAGGTTTAACTCCCTGACTACCATCGACAGAATAAACAAACTCATAAGGAATGAGATTGCCTTCGTCCGAGATCATCTAATTGGCAGGTCTGCTATGCTCGTCCTAGAAAGCAGATTCGCCTTGGGTCCAGGGGACTGATGGTCCACGGAATTTCACGAGTTTCTCATTGTCATCAAGATCAAAGTGTTGATAGAGAAGAATGAGGCCGTACTTTCGGTCTATATTATGGTCAAGAAAGAGTTTCTTCAATGAGGATTCCACAAGGGATTTTCCTTGGATAGTGTTAAAAGCCCTGCTTGCGTCACCAAGCGAAGGGAGATTGTTATAGACATCAGAAGAATAAGTGCTGATAAGCATGATTGAATAATAGATTGGGGTGGAAGGTGTTATAATGAGGTCGAAGGTTGCCTAGAGTGGAAGATGAATTGCCGTGGACGATTTTTCTGGGTTCAAAGAAGGATATTGAATCTTATATATTTTAGAGACAGAGAGAGAGCCTTGATCCAATTTGGATTGTATAACTTTGATGAGAAATGAAAAAGTATAACGTTGCAACTTTACAACTCACGAATCATGCTAAAGAGTTTCTAGAGGAAGAGAAAAACATAATTACTATCAGCAGACCATTCTTGGAAGCCTGTTGTAAATAAAGTTTTCGTTTGATCAAGCCAAAACTAATTATCCACGATTCCTCTCACCGTCTTCCCTCTGTACGAAACAGTAATATATCCAGATCGACGATCGAACGTCTGCTATCCCTCAACTGCTGTGTTAAACACACCAGCAGGACCCTGTAATTAAGCGAAGAACGCTAAGATTTGAATGCTTTGTCGTTGTCCAGGTAGCCTTAGCGCTTCGCTTTTGTGCCCTGGAAAAGTGTGGTTTCGACAGTTGAGGGGACTGGCTATAAACTCCCTGTTAAAAGTGTGCTCAATACGGCAGTTGAGGGGATACGGGCTGCTGCCAGGATTGCACTTCGCTCCAGACCTTCACTCCAGGAACAAGATCAGCGTCTTCAGTACCGTCTTGTGATAAAGTGTGATCCTGGCAGCAGCCAGACGGATACCCCACGGATCTCGTCGAATCGAAACTACGAATTTCAATACAATTTGAACTCGTCACGAATGGCGTGGAACCTGATCGCCACCTCAAAGATCCAACCCCGGTGAGTTGCGAACATCAGACGCTAAGCCTAATATAGCCTAACTCTTACCACTAGTGCAGGATAACGTGGCTCTAGCGCACGGATCGGTCCGATCCATCCTTACGAATTGGGTGACAGAAGTCCGTGCTCTACAGGCTACCTCGCTTGCCTGAGGAACTCGAACTCAAACATGAAATTCTCTACTTTGCGCTTTGGTATTCCGACTAATAAAGGTTTTAAAGAAAAGATATTGTATTCAACTGAACCTTTTTAGTCAAAGAAGAGTTCTTATAAGTGGGAATATTGAATGCAGTATCGTGGCGTTGTTAGTACTCATACTCGACGTTTTCAAGCTTGTAGCGCACGGACTTATGCCACCCAGTTTGTTACTGCCACATGATAAATCCTCGCGGTTATACTTTTCCTATGCACTAACGAGTCAGCCGAATAGGTGTGAAAGTCAGATCAACCACAGGGCATTAATTCACATTGGCTCGATTAGCAAACATAGAGAGCGGGACAGGCAGGTCACAGTATATATTTCTCGATTTGCCGAACACTGCGATAAGATATTAAGGTTCTAGCACAGTTCTCGATTTGAAGAAACTGCAACGTATGACTAGTAGAAATCCTTCTATAAGAAGTCAAAATGGTCTGTTGTTTCGGAGAGAACGGATAGAGAGATACTGTCCCCTCAAGCCTAGATTTTCCTTTGCAACACTTTGTAACGGTCGAGTATTTACTCGGTGTCAACACGGGAAGGCTGGGGATCTCAGAAGATCAAGAGATAGGTGTATCACGTACGGGGTAGACAGTTGACAGTTGCTAAGTATCGGTAAAGATACTATTTGAAGTTGAGCACGAAGTTCCTGTCTAATGACAGACGTGCCAGTCTTATATAAGACCTCTTCGCCCTCGCAGAATCCTCCAGATCCGTTGGAGTCCCATTCTGTGGAGCCTCCAAAGAATGGAGTCGGATAGTGAAGTTGGATATATCGTACCCGGCATTCGGCAAAAGCCCGCCTTCAGCTATCATAGACCCGTTGTATATGTAAGGGAGTGGATCGTCCGCGGTGAGGGTTTAGAGTCGAATGCGGAAGTGATGCAGTTGGTGCAGGTACTCTCCCTTCTACGTCACATATTAGCTGGGTCAGGGAAAGGTTGGTTACATTACAAATGCTGCAGGAAATGCAAACAATGGCACGAGTCCCGTCACGCTTGATTCGAAACTGGTTGGCGGGCAGCGCGCCTCTTGTGCCGCATTTCAAATTACTACACCTGTACAAAGAGTCCATAACAGATGGTTGAGGAGTTTGTAACCAAAATGCGGGAAATTACGAGCTGGTGTCTCTGGTTCTTCGAGCCTGATTAACAGCCCGGTTACCAAACGGAGACGTATACTATAGAAATACGCGCTTCCTCCGAACTTGTATTCAAATGCAAATTGTTTCTTCTACTGTCCACTAAATCTCAGACCTGCGACGGACTTTGAGCGTCAGTTTGGCGGCGGAGGTAGATGTTGATATCAGAGATACCGAGAAGAACAGCGATGGCAACGATGGAGACAAACACGGGACCGTTGTCGAGACTGTAGTTTTGTTAAGTTAAGTTGCTTGAGTTACGCCTTGTTCCGAACAAAGGCAATTGGTAATGGAAATTTTCTTTTGGTAAATTCGTCAAAGAAAATATCACATCGAATCGCATTCGAACAGAAGATCTATATGTGAAAGGGAACACAGTCTATCTTGTCAAACGTACAAACCCTGGCTCCCAAAGCCTGATGCCGTGCTGAACAATGCCTTTGAAATCCCGCAAGAATTTGAGAACAAGCCCCTGAGACGTACACATTGGGTAACAACACCCTATCTTGGCCTCAGGATCTTTTTCTTTTAAGGTGACTACGTTCAACACGATCCATCATCTTTGAAGGGCGGTAAAGGGAACCTGTCCTTTCTTCGTAGCTCCTTAGTTCGTCCCCAAAACAGAACAGACACTGGGTCTTGCCACAGACGAGGGGAAAGACAGGAGCGACAAGTCCAATCTCAGGAGACAAAGTCGGTAGCGTGAGGCGAACTCACGATAGCCACATAGAGCCTCTACTGTATCGGCTTGTCGGTTTCAATGCAGGGGCTAACAGCGTCCTAGAGGGTGGTGTCCGTGATGCGAGTGCAGACAGGTCAACAGATTGCATTCTCTGAGCCGGATTGAAGTAGTATATACCCGAAGAAGTGAAGTTGCAAGATGAAAAAAATCAACGAGGAAACACGCTCCTGACCTCTCAGCCCTCTTCTCACGTCTACGAGTACCTAGGTACCTACGTAGTCACATAATACTAATTTTGCGGGGCGCCCCACACCAGGTACCTAGCTGGTTTCTGGTTTCACGTGCTTACGCACCACCTTGACGCGACCTCGTGGTAGGTATCTTTCAGGCAAGCAGCATTTTGTGACAGCCACACCAAATCCTGACCAAACCATGATCCTGAGATAGCTTTACTTCCGGCCAAGTCCGCCTCACGGACAACCAATATTCAAAATGGGCAGCCGCCTCGAGAAGAATTCCGAATCCGTGCGTAAGCGCATCGAAGCTCACACCTTCGAGGATGAAGAAGGAGAAGAGTACAAAGGCTCCAAATTTGGCGGCTTCTCGGACTATTTTCGCCGCAAGAAGATCAAGCTCCAGAATCTCGACGCGGAATTACGTTCGGAGTCGGCGGACAAGCCCAGGATCTTTCGAGGCGTCGTCGCACACGTCAATGGCTATACACAGCCTTCGCTCAACGACCTTCATCGTATCATCGTGGCCTATGGAGGGGGTTTTATGCAATATCTCGATGGCAAAACAACGGTGACGCATATCATCGCGGCGAATCTGACGCCGAAGAAGGCCATCGAGTTCCACAAATATCGCATCGTCAAGCCAGCATGGATTGTGGATAGTGTTGCTGCTGGGAAATTGCTGCCATGGAATTCCTATAGGGTTGTTGATGAGGGCGTGGGACAGCGACTTTTAGGCTTCAATGACGGCAAGATGGTCAGTCAGACTAATACCCAGCAGCGTGGGTACCGAGAACAAACAAGCACGAGTTGGTATAGCAACCAGGTTCAGTCCGTCGTCGACGATATCGATGATGAGGATGGGGCTCATTTTCCGAGCACACAGAATGTTGCGTTCAACGGAACAAGTGCGTTTATGGAAGATTTGGCTCCAGGGCAACCACGCCGAGAGCAAAAGGACCCAGTAAAAGCAATAAAAGTGCTCGAGAACCCCGAATCGTCAGGCGACTTTGAGGTTTCCTCATCGTTGGAGGACGCTTTAAATAGTGCCGCAATACGAGATGCGGCTCGAAGGTCCAGTCCACTCAAAACTGGACAGAGTGTTCCTGTTCCAAAGGAATACGAGGATACCCAAGTGTTGCCACATATCCAAAAACCGACAATCGAGGTCGAGACTATAGACGCGGCCGCTCCTTCCGAGTCTATGGAACCATCCAATTCTTTGCAACGGTCACGCGACGTCGAAAGTCCGTCACCATCCAAGAGAGCCAGGATCATGACAGCTGAAGAGCATAATGCTATTTTGCTAGCTGATCCCCACATTAAAAAGTCCTCGACTGCAAATCCAGACTTTCTCAAGCAATTCTACTCAGAATCTCGTCTCCATCACTTGTCGACCTGGAAAGCTGACCTGAAGTCTCGCTTCCAGCAGATGGCATCAGAAAAATCGGCTTCACAGAAATCACCGACCAAAAAAAAGCCAGGAGCTCGACGATATATCATGCACGTCGATTTTGACAGCTTCTTCTGTGCAGTATCTCTCAAGAATGCACCAGACTACATCGACAAACCTACGGTCGTTGCTCATGGCAGTGGTACTGGAAGTGAAATCGCGAGTTGTAATTATCCCGCTAGGAGCTTTGGGGTGAAGAATGGGATGTGGATGAAGAAGGCTTTAGAACTATGCCCAAATATCAAAGTCCTCCCCTATGATTTTCCAGCTTACGAAGAAGCGAGCAAGGGTTTCTACGATGCCATCTTGGATGTTGGAGGCATTGTTCAGAGCGTGAGTGTGGATGAAGCTCTTGTTGATATCACCAGTCTATGTTTGCCTGCAGGAGGCACTGATGGTCTCGGGGTTCACGAAGGAAGCATCTGGAGGGAGCAAGAGAAGGCAGACCAGATTGCGGACGACCTTCGAAAGCAAATCAAGGATAAGACAGGCTGCGAAGTATCTGTAGGAATTGGAGCGAACATCCTTCTTGCCAAAGTTGCGCTACGTAAAGCCAAACCAGCAGGCCAGCATCAGATCAAGCCTGAAGATGTTCTGGACTTTATTGGTGAGCTCACTGTCCAGGATCTCCCTGGTGTTGCGTACAGCATCGGGGGGAAGCTCGAGGAGGTCGGGGTAAAGTTTGTCAAAGATGTTCGACAGTTAACGAAAGATCGTCTCATGACTGTACTTGGCCCCAAGACCGGGGAGAAGATATGGGATTATTCCAGAGGCATCGACCGTACTGAGGTCGGAGAGCAAGTTATCCGTAAATCCGTGTCTGCGGAAGTCAACTGGGGCATACGATTCATTTCTCAACCAGAAGCCGAGGAGTTTGTCCAGAATTTGTGCATCGAGCTGCAGCGTCGTCTTGTCGATCAGGGAGTCAAAGGACGACAATTGACAATGAAGATCATGAGAAAGTCTGCGGACGCTCCATTGGATCCACCCAAGCATTTGGGACATGGGAAATGCGATACATTCAACAAGAGCATTGTTCTTGGAGTTGCAACAAACAATGCTGAAGTCATCGGACGAGAAGCAGTATCTATTCTGCGAAGTTATGGTTTCTCGCCTGGTGAACTCAGGGGTCTTGGTGTTCAAATGACGAAGCTGGAACTCCTTAAAGCTTCAAACATAAAGATGCCAGATGGCAGTCAAAGAAGGATCAATTGGGGTGCCGCACCGCCAAAGTTGGGAAAGCAAATCACAGCAGATCCTATCGATGACCCACAAACGCCAAGCAAACCGAAGTATACGTCGACGGGTTGGGACAAGTCAAACCTTGAGGAACCTCCGGATCCAATGAAAGACATAGTTACTCCCACAAAACCGAAGTCATCAACTGCTCGCTTACTCTTTGGAAAACATGTAGCCGATGATATTGAAAGTCCACAGAAGACGAAAGACACTCCTTCTGTTCACCCCGCCGCCGTCATCGCCAGAGCAAATGCTGCAGATCAAAGTGCTAAAAAGGTGCTTAATGTCATGGGCACGCAGTTCATCATCCCCAGTCAAATTGACCCGCAAGTCCTTGACGCACTTCCCCATGACATCAGATCGAAGCTCATGGCCCAAAGCAAAAGCCTGCCCTCCTCGAGAGCTCAATCCCCGTTTATGGATTCAAGGTCAAATAGTGTCACTCCGGAAGAGCCTCCACGCCTGCCCTCCCGGCTTGATCCAGATGTATTCGAAGCATTGCCAGATGATATGAAAGCGGAGGTGCTTGCATCGTACGCGTCTCGTGCTGCGCCAGCTCAGCAAGGTCTTCTGCCACAATCTCCTCGCAAAGGTCTTCATATTGTACCTCCCAAGAGAGCAACTCCAACCAAGAAGCGCGGTCGAGGACGTCCTCCAGGTGCTCGGGCCAAGCCCAAACAAGATTCGCACTCCAACCTTACTCAGGCTAATTTCGTTGCGAGTAAAGGAAGTACCTCTCGAGACCAAGGCGGCGACTCTGATGGGTACAACTCAGACACTTTGGATCCTGAGTTCCTCGCTGCCTTGCCGGAAGAAATGCGTCAGGAGATAATGAATGAGCATAGGCGCAAAAGACTTGCTAAGAAAGGCGGGTTGATGACCACAGCTGCAATGAAGAAACGACCTCCTCCTGGCCTTCTTCTTGGCCAACGGAAGATTCGGCTACCACCTCGAGAGCCGAGGCCAACGTTCACAACACAAGAACTAAGTACGTTACCCCAGCTAAGAGATACTCTCAGCGCGTGGTTCAGGGAGTTTGCAGACGACGGGCCACATCCAGATGATGTGGCTGCTATGGAAAGATATCTACGAAGGGTAATACTGGATGAGCGAGACATGAGCAAGGTAGCTGCTATAGTAAAGTGGCTCGAATGGCTCATTGATGAAGCTGACGATGATAATGAAGGCACGAAGATATGGAGTGATGCATTTGACGGCATAAAAGATAGGGTCCAGTTGGCTGTCAGAGAACGTGGGCTTGGGAAGTTAGAATTATAGCATTAGTGCTCTCATCTTATTTCGTTCTTGCTAGACAAGCAGCATGCAAACCATTGGCCTATCCTTATGTCTCTGTGCGAGCAATAATGCAATTGTCTCTCGCTCTCTGTCTTAACCTTCTATCCGCAAACGATACAGTACCTGCACGCATGATCCCATGAACACTAAACATTTCCAACGCTCAAGAACAATGAAAGAAGCCAACACTTGAACTCCAAAACTACCTTTGCTGACCGCGCCACCCATATAAAGCAAGCAAGCTCCTCCAGTCGTATACGTGAAGCCTGGCTAGCAAGCGTGTCCAGCAGTTCAACACGGCTCAGCCAAATCCAACGTAACTTCCGCCTCTGTCCGCAACTCCGCCAAGAGAATATACACCACTTCGCCGAACTCTCATGATCAGGGCGCATGCGCGTTGTTGTCGCAATTAGTAATTATTCCTCCCCTTTGTTCCGTGAATCACTCTCGTACCAACCGATCTCAGCCATCTCAAGCCAGACACAACAGAACACCCATCGCAATGCCTAATGCCAGAATGCTGCCCACAGGAGTCGTTCGAATGACCTTGCCTGTCGCGCTCTTCTTCGAAGCCTTCACGGTGTACACGCTGAGCTTGAGGGAACCGCCGCAGATCTGTGTCGTGTTGCCGATACATGCGAGATCGCAGGCGCTGTCTTCGAGTTTGTCGGCAATTGCGGAGAGGAAGTGCGAGCACCAGCATTCTCTGTAGAGGGGAGAATTGTTAGTGAAAGTTCCGAATCATATACTTACAACTGACAGCAGAGGATTACACGAATGAGGCGTGTAGGCAGGGAGGAAGGAACGCAAAAAGCCCGAACGTACTTCGTATACTCCAGCCCAGCAAACTCATATCCATCTTTGTTACAGTAATCCAAACAGCTCTCTACCGTCATGGTATCCACACTCTCCGTCTTGCCGCTGTTCAATGTCCGCATGCCATTCGTGCCGTTGTTGAGCGTCGTCTCGGAGTAGCAGCCTACGTACTCGTACTTCGAGTTGCCGGGCGAGATCTTCGCATTGACTGAGTTCTCGGGCGTGATTGTCTCGTTGGCTACTTGTGCGAGGATTGTAGATGGGAAGACGAGTGTGAGGAGCGTGAGGAGGACCGGGAGGCGTGGGAGATGCATCGTTGGGTTTGTTATTGTTGAGGAGGTGTCTAGAGATTATGAATTATTGGCGATGGACCAGCGAAGCCTCTTCCTGTTTTTGTTGACGTGGAGGAATGTTGAATTGATCGCGACAGAGAAGTGGGGGATCGCCTGCAGTCCAGATGTCAAGACGTCAAAGTCAAAAGTCTTTTCGATGGAGAATTGCTCTTGATTTGTGCTTGGGGCGCGATGGGGGACGCTGAGATGGCTGATCAGAGACTGACTGGGCGGGAGCGTGGAGCTTGGGGGAGCTGAGCGGGAGATCTGCGCCACGAAAAAGGGGATTTGGCGTAGCTTAGCGGCCGCCTATTGGTGTCTCTCTTTGGATGCGGACAACCGCTGAAATTCGCGATAATTACTCCTTCCTTTGCACTGTGCTTTCAATTTTGTGTGATATTCATCCGGGAGGCTCTTGTTAAGTGAGATGACCATCGATGGAATTTATAAAGGCTTGTCAATGTTGACAGCTTGCTTTTGTCTACAGTAGCAGCAGCAGCAGCAGCAGCAGCAGCACGTTTTATTGACAAGCTGCAGGACGCCAGGCCTGCGCCTCGTCTGTCGAGCCGAGATAGGCTCGTTTCTACATGCAGCTGCATGGGATATCGATTGGACACAGGCACAACGCCACAAATCTCCCCATTCGTGTTGTGGTGAGCCTGCAGCGTTGGGTAAAGCGACGCCGCAGTATGATACCTAGATAAGAAATAAGGGAGGATGGGGGATGGAGGATGGAGGATGAATTTCGGGTTTGTTGGTGCGGAACCGGAAACTGTGGTGGCTGAGATACCAAGGTCGTGCTTGATTGAGGCCACGACCATCTCCAGTGACTTGCATGCGAGATGCAGAAATGCATGTCTTATCTTCTGTCCGAACGTTAGCTGGATGTGTCACTTCAAGGTTGGCGAGCGAGCGATGTTTATATTCCGAAACAAACCGCTTGAACTGGTCTTCCACCTGTGGAGAAAACTCCTGAACGATCACATTTCCGTTATCAATAAACGCACGGGTTATCATGGTGCTCTGATTTCCAAATATTGTATTTCAGCGAGGGGTTTCGACAGCAAGGGCTCTAAAATCTGACATCTTAATGGCTTGCAGCACTCCACACCTCTCTCGTAAGCTCGTCTGTGGGTAATCCAGGGGCAAAGCTAGAGGCAGTCTCGATAGATATGCCATTCATCGGATCTAGAGATTGACGCCTACAAATTTTGGAAGCAGCCTTCAAGCGAATATGCTAGCTTCGCTTTCTATTCTAAACTTATAGGACTTGCTTCTAAATCCTTCCAGCTTGGGGAAATTTTGATATGGAATGCTTGCAGATATCTGATAGCTGTAAAAGCTTCACTCCTTGGAGGGATTTTTTTTTAGGAATCAGTCGGCAGAACCGTGTAGCTGCAAAACCGATACGTACGCATCGTTGTATTTCTCTACCTTCTCTGTGACCGAACTCCGTCAGACCTCAATCCCAAATAGACACGAGAGTAATGAAAATCAAGCCCGCCGATCATATTGCTTCAGTACGCGCCTGTCGTCACCATCGCCCTCGATGGTCCTGATCCCTCCCTTCATCCTTCAATATGTTGAGTCGAACTACTGATCACATTCCCCGTACGCCACAGTTAACCAATGCATCAAACCAAAACACAAAACTCCACTCTTTCCAAGAATAAGGGTATTTGACCCACTGCGTTCTACTGCGCTAAAGTCTTCATCGTCTTGATGAGAAACGGATTCCGCTCGCGCACCACTCTCACTACCCACCGTCCGAGAACCGATTCCTCGCCGCGAAGCCTGATCCAAATTGTAGCCATGGCCCAGTGAAGCGTCGAAGAGGATGCTCTGTGCGAGTTGACAAGGTGGTATGGGATGCTGCGACAGATATCTTGGATTGGAGTGTCTTGGGCCAGGAGGTAGGGATTTATCGTGTGTGAACTCTGGTTGATTATGGGAGTTTGGGTGTCCGGGGGTTGGGACCAAATTTTTGGGAAATGAGGTGGGTCGTTGAGGACATTTTCTTTCTTGATGCTTGGTGTTTGTAGTCGCGATGTAGATGGATTTTCGGCAGGAAGGCATTTGGGCGGAGGTGATGTGAGTAAGGCGAGGATATGGAGTACGTGAATGAGGGCTATGTTGTATAGCAATACTGTAATTGCGACGAAGTCGTTTGGGTATTCCAAAGTTCTCGTAAAGAGTAATGCACCATCTGAACGACTGGTTTCTGATGGACCGAGGTTATTGCAAGTCAATGGAATTTCGGTTGCTCTGTGTTCCTTGTCATCATCCCATCGTTTCTTCCAGGAGTGAAGCTGGTCCAGTAAGGACAGTGCATTTACCTTGAGCAACTTGAGTCGGAATTGACTTTTCTCAAAAGATATTTGAGAGTCCTCCAATGCATGATCACGTAGTGCAATCACAACAGTGCACTCCGCCAAGATGTCAAAGACCTCCTGCCTCATCAACTCATCTGTCGAGTCAACATGCTCTCTCAACTGTCTCTTCCATTCCGAACTAGCCAGTATAGATGTTCGTCTCGATCTTAGTGCCGCGAAAAGAATCATCTGCCGTAAACTCCGATACAGCTCCGACGTTTCAAGGGAAATCGGTAAGTTGTGATCTCGCAAGGCAAGCAGATGCTCAAGCCCGTCCATATGCTTTAAATGATTCCCTGCCCCTGTAGATACGAACATCTCCATGATACTGAGGGTCACTACTGCGTAGATCAAATCATCGTTGGTATTATGAGCTGGATCTGACAGTGTTTCGTTGAGCCGTCGGAGCACCATGCCATATAAGTCGAACCCGGTCTGGGTGATGCGAGCCTGGCGGTGCTGCATCCCGAAGAAAATAGCCGCAAAGCTAAAGATAGCTTGGTGGGAGATCTGGATACGGTGCCTGGCGGCTGGAACTGGTGGAGTGATGAGGTCGGTTGGCTGAATGCTTCTTGTGGATAGTTCAATACATCCGCCACGACGAAGGTTTTTCAGAGCATAGCAAATATAAATCTCAAATTCGCTACTACTAAGTAAGGCCGTTCGAGGGATCCGACTAACACAGAGGTTTGTATCAGGGGGGCATCTTGAATTCGATTTCGTGCTCCGGCGAGACTTGACTATGGTACCGACGACGAATGTGATAGGTTTCTGGCCATCACATTGGAGTCCGCTTTTCAGACACCGCATACAAGTGGGATGGGCTTCATCTTGACGACTGTCAGTATCAATTCACACTACAAAATAATATATTTCCTGCTGCGTATCAGGTGTAAGTTTCATAGCCTACCGCATTTCAGATGCCTCTTTCGGCATGGCGTGCACCCCCGAGACCGCCCACCTACATTGACCATGGTATTCTAATCTAGTCCCAGCCACACGGGCTAATAGGAGGTGATATGCGGTATAATATGATGCCGGTCTGTTGGAATTTAATCGCCGTCGGATCCAAATCTACAAGAGGCGTTGAACTCTTGAGTGGCATTACATACGGAGCTAAACCTTTTGCGGCTCAATCCGCGATCGTACCCCTGCATCGCTTATGCATGTATGCATGTGGAGAGCAATGTTTACGGGGTATGGCTCGGTGTGGATCAATACGCGATTTAGCGCACGGCGCAGCCTGAGAGTTTGATATTTACTGGCAGCGCTAGAACCTTTGCGGCTCATTACACGTAAATGATCAATCCTCGAATGCTTGAGAAGCGGTATGATAAGGATCATGTGTGCATAGCTCTGAGTAATAGTATATATTACCTTGGGGAGCTGCACATTTGCACACTGCAACTTGAACCTCATTCTAATACCACTCATCTGGCTTGTCACAAGAAACTTGCGAATTAGACAGCTTCTATTGAGCATCCGAGTAGACAACAAAAGACTCTTACATCGGCAATCGACATCTTGACCATCTTGGAGCTTCAATTTTGACATCACGACCATGCCTATCACTCAAGTCGCGATCGATGGCGGCATGCTTGCCGTAGAAGTCGAAGGCAAGGATAATGCTCCTCTAATTGTCTGTTCTCCCGGAATGGGTGATACTCGGGATGCCTACGGTCCCCTCGCCGCCAAGCTTGTCGCTGCAGGATTTCGCGTTGCTCGCTACGACCTTCGTGGCCACGGCGATAGTACTGCTGACTTCAAGCATTACGGTGACGAAGCGGTGGCAGATGACTTCCTGGCGATCATTGGCGCTCTCGGTGGGGCTCCTGCAATTCTTGCCGGCGCGTCGTTATCTGCTGGAGCGAGTGTCATCGCAGCAGGGAAGAATCCTGAAGCTGTCGCTGGATTGATACTTCTTGCGCCATTCCTCCGGAATGGAGGGAATGCCCTCATGTTGGGAATTCTTCGTGTGGCCCTTTGGTGGCCTTGGGGTCCATATGTGTGGAGAGCGTACTCTCGAACATTGTGGCCTGGTCTTGGAGATAAGTCGAAGGCGAGAGCGAATAGTTCTACAGCATTACTCGAGCGACCGGGGAGGTGGTCGGCATTTCATGCAACTGTTGTGGGTGCCAATCATAATGTTGTCACACCGTGGCTGGGAAAGACCAAAGCTCCAGCGTTGGTGGTCATTGGGGATAAGGATCCTGACTGGTCGGATCCACTCAAAGAAGCCGAATGGGTGGCATCGAACTTCAAAGATGTAGAAACTGTGGTAGTGCCTGGTGTTGGTCATGCGCCAATGTTAGAGAGTCCGGAAGTAGTGGCAGCGGGGGTTCTGAAGTTTCTGGAGAGGATAAAATTTGGTGGAAGGAAGTGATGATATCCCGTCGGGAATCTTGTGGAGTTCTGCGCAAGTAATGAATACAAGCTTTTGTGTTGTGATGGTCTACTTAGATGAACATAGAGATACAGGTTGTGAGATCGTTTGTCGAGCTGAGCCTGGGTATATTCCAATGCCCTAGTGGCTGAGCGGACCGATATGGGGGTATTTCTATTCTAGCTTTGATGCAGGCTGAGCATTGCTTTGTATTCTCAGACACCTGAGTCCTAGGGCCTAGTCAAGGAACGGTAAAATCACCTTTCCTCCAGCAATTTGAATTTCATTCTCTTCAAGGTATTACAACGAAATCAGGACCACGCTTGACAAGGTCCAGAAGAAAACTCGTACATCCATTACTCCGCTTCATCCACACCCAGTCTATCAAAACAGATATCTTCGACATGAACACTGGAGCCGCAGCCGACAACGTGATATAATTCCAGATGTCCTTAGGCAGATCAGGTATCTCCAACGCCACGAGAAGAATGGGAAATCCAACGTTCTGTAAGCGTGTTCCTGGTTTGAGCATTGCCGAGTACCTCGAGAACTCGGACATAATGAGGTGGGCATGCTCTTTAGCAACTTCATCGAGAGTGCCTATTGGGTGCAAAATTCTATGACAGAATAGGAGTACTGCTACTCGATACATGGCAGCCTGTGCTTCCATCTTCAGTATTTCCTGACCCGAAAATTTCTCAGTCAGATCTGAAGGGGATTCTGGCCGCCACCAAAATACTTTCTGCTGAATGTGTGCCAGATCAGCATTGTCGGCCACTGCGCCAGCAAGACTATCCGTGAAAGTTTTGCTCGCCACACACAAGCTGTACAATACAGGAAGCAAAGTTGTGCAATGTCCTGCCATCCGGTCGACAATTGGAGTGTCCCCCAAGATATGCTCTAGAATAGGAATCTCGCTTTTCATCAGACAGTTCAAAGTGTCCCAGAAAATCGATGCAATGATGACAGGGTCCAGTAACGGGTTCCTTGCAACTCTCTCGTGCCATGGACGAATTGATGTGAGCGAATATCGTAAGATCGAAGTTGAGCCATTACAGCTAGTGAGGAGATCAAAAGCTGCTAGGGTCTGGCCAAGAGCAAGTATTGCAAGAGCATCGCCAATGCCAGATATCCGCGCCGTTCGTAGTTGCTGAAGACTAACGGCACCTCTTGCGACATCATCTTGGTCCCACGCGACTATGTTGTTTCTAGCCCGTTTGACGGTTGTCCACAACACAGCAATGATATCGTGCAAGAGGACTGGAGAGCAAAGGTAAGAATATTGAAAAGCAGCACGCATTTCCCAAGCAAAGCTTGGGCCAAGCATGAATAGGTCATATGTATCTGTGAAAAGTTTGAGAACTTCGGGCGAGTCGACTTGGAATGGCGACGCCAAGGACAAAACTTGGTCATCCTTTGGATTTGAAATTGGCTGCAAGCCATTTCCTCGCAAGTCTGTAGCAAGTTCCGCTACCGTGAGAAACTTAGGCGTACCCCAGAAATTGAAACTCAGAAGATTGGGCCTTCCTTGAGGTACGAAGGCATGGTTCTTAGGAACCGCAACATTGCAATTCGATGGTCCATCAATAGCCCATACCTGAACAGAGCCTTCGGGACCAAGATTCTTGACCTTCGGACGTCGTCCCTGGCGCACTCGTAAGCGGGACGTTGTACAAGTTGATTTCGAGAGCTCGCACTCAAGACATGCTTCTTCACCGTCCTCGAAGTTACATCTTTGCTTGTCCTTAAAACATCTGTCGCAAGCCCTGCGACCAGGCATGTTCTGAAGTTTGTCTCTACGCAGAGTTACAATCCGAAACAATCTTTAGGGACCAAGAGGCATTCCTTCAACAACTTGCAATCCCCGGTGGATGTCAGGGCGTTCATAAGCCTTCTAGGCAACAAGAAAAATTCACTCTACTTACACGCGGGCGTGAGAAGGGCGTGTGTCTAGACAAAGTCGAAGAGTCAAGGCATCTCAATCTGTCAGCTTCGATTGAGAAGGATATCAAGCATTGGGCGCGGTCAAAGAAAGCTGGTGATTTGCAGTAGAGATGGAAGTGGAGGTTGAGAGGTTGGGGGAAAATGGGGCCTTGAATCTCCTGAGCTAATCCCAAACTAGACTTCTTGGCATGTCGGGCATGTATCCGATCTTTCCAGCCACAAAATGATAGACAGCTTCTTACGAAGCTTTCAAATACTCTCACGATACTTCTATGGCGTTTCTATTTGCAAAAAACGACTAGATGGTGGATATTACCTTGTCGTGGCCAGCACTGTCAAGTGCATTCCAGGCATTTTAGCACCTGCTAAGACACGCGTCAACTTACCAGGAGCTACATCTTTTTCAGCTCTCATGAAGTCTTAATGTTTTCCTTCTCTTCTAAGCTTACGAACTGAGAACTAAATTTCTCTGATACAGAATCAACAACACTACTTAGAGTCTGCCTAGACACTATGGAAGCCGACGAATATTACTGTGAAAATCACGTCGGTCTCAATTCGCGTACAAATAAGATATTCAGAAGTGGCATCAAGGAGATGACAGAATTTAATAGAATTTTATCCCTAAACATAACTACATAACGAGACATCCAAAGCTTGCATCTTTATTGTAGATACATATGCCAGGCCGAGCCTCAAACAGCCTGCATTGAAAACGGCGAGGGTGAAGGTAAACAATTTAGTCGAGCATGATCGCAAACCATTTCGACAAAACTTTCAAGAATAAAAATGGGTAATTCTAATCAGATATGCTTGAAGAGTTGGGAAGACGATTCTGCCAATCATGATGCGAAAAGTATCCTTCTGCATGATCGACTTTGAGCTTGTTATGAAGGTTTGTTTTTTGAGTCCACGAGAAAGCGATTCGGGTATATTCAATCTAGCATATTTATCTACCATCTTAACCCATTTACATTGCCAGCTAACGTCTCTTTACTATTATCAGCTCACTGCGTCCTCGAAACCTGTTGTCTCGGCAGCATGAGGAAACAACAAGAGCAGAGTCTAACAAGCCAATTCTCTTACCGGATACCCCTTTATTCAAAAAAACGTATGTACAATCTCACTACCAGCCCGAATAGCAAATTCCACAGTCTCAAACCCATTCAAGCCACTCGCAAAATACGTCTTCTTCACTCCTTGCAGTTTATTGAACTTGTCATACCAACCCCCCGCTAGTTCTGCTGGATCGAAATGAGGGAAGTAATCATTCGGCTGAAATCCCAAGATATCTTTGTCCGTCACTGGCTTGGCTACGGCGTTGGGATCTGTGGGGTCCTTGTTGATTCTTGACAAAGTTTCTTTGAGTAGTTGTCGAGCAACGGCAGTGGAAGTACCATTGCCCCATGACCAAGTGGTTGCGATATCCGAGGTATTGAAAAGATGGAGCAGGGACACTGGTGCCCCTGTTGCTGGTACCGGTACTGTGGGTGGACTGGCGGCGCTGAAAGTCAGGTTCCGTGGTGTTTTGAGACGGACCGCGCCGGAGAAGTAAGATGTGAGCCGAAGCGGTGAGAACACAGAGACTTCTTCGGCGGTCGGTTTGAGGTTTGCTGCTTGGAGAGCCGCGATGGTGGGCGGGAAGGCGAGGATGATTGAGGAGCACAGTTGATTTTCGGTCCTAGATCTCGTTGTGCGTTTGTCCTTGCGGCCTTGGTGGTAGGATACTTTTGGAAATGGTCCCGATCGGTCTGAGTCTAGTATTAATAAACGTAGCGCTCAGATAGTTTGAGAGCATACCAATTTTGTTTATTTTACTGCGAAGGTATATTGGTCCTTTAATTGACTTCTTTGTCCAATCTACCCACACTTTGTGAAAGTCTACATCGAGTTAAATGAGATTCCAAAGCCAGATAGACTCGGCTTACCAATGAGATAAACACCGTGAATTTGGGCAAAGAACCCGAGGATATCTGGTGTCAAATACTGAAGCATGTAGAGCTGGAACCTGAAGTCAGCAAGTATGCACAGCAGACCCATGTAGAAATAGCCTACAATCGGAACTTCTCTTAGATCCCCATAGCCGAAGGCCACCATCGCTTGAATAAACAGAACTGGCAAAGCTTGGAAATTGTTGCTTGCTAGCCATTGTGAGGTAGTCACAGTCAGCTCTTGTGGCACACCATTCTGTGAGCGGGTTAGATTTGATATCCCAAGAGGAGCGCATCTCAACTAACCTTGTATCTCAACGCGGAATAAGGAGCAAAGATGGTGTTCCAATACACAGCGTATCTTTGGAATTCCTGGCCCACAAGTGCTGCAAATCCTGATGAGATAGCGGGTGACAAGGCGAGATTACCAGTCGGAACATCATACAACCAGCGTTGTCCACTACAGACACATTTGATCAGCATATAGAACGAAGTCAGAGCAATTTAGGGGCAAACGAAGGGCACCTTACGTTACAAAAGGAACAGCAGGGACACCTGAGGTTTCGATGACTTTCAGAGTCTCGGGATAACTTGCATTCGAGAAGAGGAGGGCACCCAAGGGATGGAAAGTGTTCCTGAAGAAAGTCTTAAATGTGGCCACAAACTGACAGCCATGAGAATAACTTACGCCTCGTAGACAGCTTGACATTTCCCTCCTACTTCATCTTGTTTCTCGAATATCACAACCTTTCGTCCTTTATCCTCAAGCTTCTTGGCGGCAGTCAGGCCGGCAGGTCCAGCTCCAACGATACAAACCGGAAATGTCTGAGGGTGAGCATTGGTGTGAGCCAGCAATGCTACAATTGCCGAGAGAAGGTAGCCTTTCATCCTGATGAAAACAGATAGGATGTCCTGTAACCAGGACAGGTGGACGAAATGAAGACATGATGGAATCTTATACCAGACCACTACACTGAGAGATTACTCCCAAGACTCATGTGTGGAATGCGTGTAGCTGAAAATAAAATTCAGTAGCAATCCTCATCCAAGAGCGCCCGCTTCTATAGTAGGTGCGCCACATTTCAGCCCAGCTCATGCCGACCTTCGGACAAAACAAACATCGAAATCCAGGCCCATGGCTGCTCAACTTAGAGAGACTCGACCCGCGTCTCAGCCCTTTCTTGGCAACACGTTTAATATGATAACACATGGCATTCGCTCATGATCATGATTTGGTCGCGAATGAGATGTCAATAATAGAGCGTGTTTGCAAACAACGGCGCCAGCTAGCAGAATACAGAGGTTTAGAGGGCGCCACTGGAGAATCTGAACGGGAAGGTGTTCAATAGAATGAAGGAATTCCGAAAGCTTCAAAACTTTGCGTTTGGGCCGTCGTTGGTCAACCTTATGTGAGCTTTGGGCTTCCGATGCAGAGCTAGACATGCAGTTGCTGTAAAAGCAGATGATTCGGAAAGCTGAAAACGATCTTGGCTTCTGTCCACATGGAGTTTCTCCTGACAATTACATCTATAAGACATTCGGAAACCTAGAGTGATGCTATCGCCTAAATTCTAGACAACAATAAACTGACCTGTCGAAATTAATAGTCTTATTTTCGTCCAATCATCTCTATCCGTTCCAATATCGTAGTCTATGGGTATTCAAATCATCTCATTAGCCTGTCCTTGTGTTCGCAATGTCTAATCTTCACTTTTAGATAGACGTTTTTTGGTGTGTGTAACAGCAAAATGAAGTTTTATTATTAAGACTGAAGAAATGTTATTCTTAGGAGATTGTAGGTCCTAAATGCGACCTTGATGAGGAGTGAGGCTGGTGATAGGATGTGGCTGTTTATTCTAACCACATTTAGACAAGCGCCCCTTCGCTAACAAGCCCTGCTGGGAGGCAAGAGCACACTGAAGAGTTTCGAGAATTTCGACGAAATCAGCCCGCTATCAAGTCAAACTTCAACAACCACACTCTCCCGAATCCCCGCGCATTCATCTAAGTCAGTTCACCGAAAAATCGAGATCACGGAGCAAATACTGATATCAACAGATCGCAAATATGGATTCCTCAAAGGTCCCAGTCAAGCTTGTGAAGGTCACCCGTGTGTTGGGCCGTACCGGTATGTTCGAACAATCACGATGAGGACATATTTGGCAGACAGATCGAGAGAAGAGATCCTGATAGCTACTAGGTTCCCGTGGAGGTGTTACTCAAGTCAGAGTTGAGTTCATGGACGACACTACCAGAAGCATTATCCGTAACGTCAAGGGCCCAGGTACGAATAAATCCATTTCTAGAGAAATCAGTCGGACCAGAGACATCGAATCAGGGGAAGATGTGGCAGGAAAAGATAGGATAGTGGTTTGAGGATATGCACAAGCTAACGCAGAATTTTACAGTCCGCGAAGACGATATCCTTTGCCTGCTCGAGTCCGAACGTGAGGCACGCAGATTGAGATAAGGGAAGTGGTTCTTGGAGTCGGAAAATGGAATTCTTTTGAGTCATCTTTGCAAGGCATTTGCTTCGGGATGGGTGTACTATGAGGTCTTCGCTGGAGGAAGCTAAGGCAGATCTCGCAAATACAAGGTCCATGAACAATCATCGAATGGTCAGATTGAGAATGAGACAGAGGGTCCCGACCTGTGACCGAAAGAGAACTGGCATATTCGACGAGCGGTACATTTACCGACTTTACCAGCATACCCGCATCGTTCTGTGAAGACGAAGGTGTGCCAAGTGGCACACAACTTTTCTCAGGGAGGTTCTCATGCCGGCCAGCTGAAGCCTTGATACCATACTTCAGAGGATGCGCCAGTTATCCGCAAGGTTGTATCAGAACCCAGTTACATTACTTTACCAACAACCGCCTCAAAGTGCATTACATGTTATTTCAATCGTCTCCGTACATGTTATCGTTATTCTGAAGACCAAGTGGTACCCAGTAAGGTGGCTGACTGTTGCTCGCTCTCGTTTATTTCTGGTATTTCTCGTTCCCGTACCTCATCCTCTCTCTATCGCGTGGCTGGACGTCGTATTTCCCACAACACCCAGAAATACACTTACTGGTCCGAATTTTGCCATTACTTGTGCCGTTGATGGCCTATCGACGACCTGGACGTGCCATCAATGAAAGGATGTCGTGTATACCATCTTTGAAGCCAAGAAGCTGCCACAAATCATGCACAGAGGAGCTTTGTATAATTCAGAGCCGATGGCCCTATCGGTGTCCATATCATTCCTCCACAGATTAAAGAACTTCAACTCTTTTGTACTGAGACAATCCAATTATCCTGGTATATCATGATAGTGGATTAATAGCAGACCGTCTGATTCACTGGCGTCTTCTTGATCTTTCGGCAAGAAATCTGCCAACAGTTTTTGATTGAAAGAATGCTTTGAAGTTTATCTTAGATATAAAGTAAAAAATGAAGTGGAGCTACACCTTAGATTGTGACCGGTACAGGCACATGCATTCACTCGCTATCGTGGGGTTGTGTACTTCAGTGGACATTAAAGGTAAGTGAATCGGAGTTAATGGGCCGTAGATCTGATTTCTTATATAGTAAATGAACTGGCAATAACGTGCTCTACATGTGTTTCAATACGTGTAGAAAAGGTAGCTGGGATCATGAACATTAGGTAATCAAGAATCTTTGTATTGAACGGAGGACAGGCACAAGCACTGATTCGCTATCGTATCCCAAACAGGCAATATTCTTCGCACACCTGCAATATACCATCTCATGGGATAACTTATGCTAGACGTGGGAGACGGTGCAATGCTGGAGACAGGGCTCCACAAGTTCAAATTGTGTGATCGACGAATAGGATGGTTTTCTTTACGGACCTTGAAGTACAGTGCTGTACCTAGGTATGGGCCCATGGCGAACACCAAATACTGTATTACCTCTGGCTTCAAGGGGTTGCGAGCATGTCATATGGTATTCTCCCTGCAGGGGAGGTTGTGTGCGTGCCAAAATTCAATCACGCCGCATCAGCCATCGCAGATAGGTTTTAGCTGGGAAGGGGCAGCAATATTCTAATTCAATATTTTGCGAACGATGCCTACCCTGCGCTGCCCTGCCCCAAGCTTACTCGAGATAACCTCGGCCCTCGACCCTCCCAAGACATGGCGCGGCGTGGATTGGATGATGTGCAGCAGGGTTTCGGGGCGAAACCCCTCCGTGGCCGTTACTGCAGCTGCATTTTGGCCAATCACCGCCCCTCGCATCAACTTCCGTCTAAGCTGGAACAGGAATTCTTCATGTAGTTGCACCGACAGTCCAGTCTCGCATCAACAGCTTCGCGCCGTCAGCCACGCATACCCTCCCCAGTGCCCGTCTTGCTTGGATATATGTTTCGTCCGTTGTCTTCTCTTCTCTACTCTACTCCCAATGTTTAGTATGCGACTACTTCTGTCACCCACTGCCAACCCCTGATCTGCATTTTGGCGTTGAAAACGTAAGGGTCGCTCGCTACCAGCACGAACCAACAACAAATATTTACCACGCCTCACAAGCTCGACAATACGCTACGATTTCAATTTCTGGCTACTTCTCCTGTCCGGCTGGCACCATGTTAGTCTAGCATCTATGTTTATTGTTGCGACAGAAACATGCTAACATCAGAAAGAAACAGGCTGCTACCTCACCTGCTACCCCGCCGCCGCCTGCTCCAAATTTGAAAATCTCGATCTGCGAGCTACTCAAAATGTCCGGCATACCTTTCAAACCTGTGACAGTGTTTTCAGCTGCTTCTTCGGCGTTTCTTGTTGGGTTTAGACCTGATTTACTCGTCTTCTCACGGCCGAGTTATGTCGGAACGTTTCTACAAATCTGGCTTCTGTCATTCTCGATATGGGCATTTTACAAGATCGTCTTATATCCCAAGTACTTTTCGCCGATAAGACACTTCCCTACTCCTCCTGGTGGAAGCTGGTGGAATGGCCACTTTGATCAGATCAAGGCTTTGCCTACTGGAGGACCCATGGTTAATTGGTGCGTTGAATGGATGAGATCTACGGATATCGGAAGCTGATCGTGGCAATAGGATCGAGAGTGTACCAAACGATGGTATTATTCGCTATATGGGAATGTTTAACTCCGAACGTCTGTTTATTACCAGCCCAAAAGGCCTTGGTGAAGTTCTTGTTACCAAAAACTACGATTTCATCAAGCCATCGCACGTTGCCACCGGACTCGGAAGATTGCTAGGTATTGGTGTGCTATTGGCAGAAGGCGAAGAGCATAAACGACAAAGGAAGAATCTAATGCCAGCTTTTGCGTACCGTCATGTTAAGGATCTCGTCCCCGTCTTCTGGGACAAATCCAGGGAGGCTGTTCTCGCGATGACCGAACACATCAATGCAGGCGGCATGCCGAATTCAGAATTACCGCCCTCGCACAAGAGACCAGACGTTGAAAAGGACGACGCAGTCATGGAAGTGGGAGAATGGGCAAGCAGAGCTACCCTCGATATCATTGGTTTGGCGGGCATGGGACAAGATTTTGGAGCCATCAAGGACCCTAATACGGAGCTCAACCACACTTACAGGACTGTCTTCAAGCCGTCCAGACAAGCAGCTATACTTGGCCTTCTCAATATGTTTCTCCCCGGCTGGTTTGTCCGTAACCTCCCCGTGAAACGAAACGGCGAGATCGAAGCTGCCGCAGCAGTCATCCGAACCACCTGCCGTCAACTCATCCGATCCAAGAAGGACAAGCTGGAAAAAGGCGAGCTCACAGATATTGATATCCTTAGCGTGGCCCTTGAGAGTGGTGGCTTCAGCGAAGAGAATCTAATTGATCAGTTGATGACATTCCTGGCTGCTGGACATGAAACGACGGCTACTGCCATGACTTGGGCTATCTACATGCTCTGTCTCCACCCCGAAGTCCAGACGAAGTTGAGAGCAGAGATCAGAGAAAAGCTACCTAGCATCAACGGCAATGCAGATGTCACAACCCAGGATATCGACCATATGCCTTACCTCAACGCAGTGTGCAACGAAGTCCTACGATACTACCCACCTGTGCCTCTCACTCTTCGCGACGCAGCCCAAGATACCACAATTCTTGGCCAAGCTGTTCCAAAAGGTACTCGTGTGATGATGGTTCCATGGGCCATCAACAAGTCAAATGAACTCTGGGGACCAGACGGAGGAAAGTTCAACCCAGACCGCTGGCTACCGTCCGAAAAGAACCCTCACAGCGCGAACGGAGGGGCCCAAAGCAACTACTCATATTTGACATTCTTACACGGCCCACGCAGCTGTATTGGACAGGCATTTGCAAAAGCGGAATTCATGTGTCTTCTCGCCGCATGGGTTGGCAGGTTCGAATTCGCGCTGAACGATGAGCGGGAATTGGACGAGAAGAATGTTGTCATCAAGGGAGGTGTCACTGCCAAGCCAGCGAGGGGGCTTTATGTCAGGACGAACGTAGTGGAGGGATGGTAGAAAGCATCTGTGATGACGGAGACGGCGAATGGAGTTTGAGTGTTGTAATGAGTTTATGAAAGGCAATGGATGAGACGAATGGCTTGAATGGGACCATACCTGCAGGATATGGCAATGCATATTAGAATCATCAAGTTTTGTCTCCTGGATGCCGAGCTTGTATTGCACCTAATTGTACCTATTAACTGTAATGAATGAATAGAAACACTACAAATGAGGTTTGAACAACGACGAATTCCATGACTCACATGTAGATATTCATGCACGACGAACAAGTTGCCCCAGTATAGTACCCCTTCCCTCATCGAACAGCATGTATTCCCGAGCAACTAACTTTCTCAAGCCACGAGAACGAGTCGAAGCATAAACCCTACTACAGGTTCACAATCCAAGAAACAACCAGATGCTTCATCCTATCGGATTTCGCAGCCTGAACACCAACCAGTGAACAGCTTGGAAGCAAAACTTTCCAGTCATACCACCCTTGGATCCCCAGAAGACAGTCGTTGCGAATATGGCTGGGATGAACCCCGGTTGGCTTAAAGATTACCTGGTTTGAGAGACCAGATGTTCTGTAACGAGGTCTTACGTGGACTGTACAGTGTACGGGAGATACTAAATACCGAAATAGCAAGAAGGAAGGATATAGATACACAATGATATTGATATCAAGGATTCCGTATCAACGCAGATGTTTGATGACGGAGTTTTAGAGCCTCACTCTCATTGAGGGCATTGGTAGGGAACTGCTATTAAGATGTAATGCCAGCTTTATGCTGGGGAGTGAGGAGCTGGATTAATAGGAAATAAATACTTACGATTGCAACCACATCGTAAACAACCCACCGGGTTTCCATTTCCTCTGATCGTCATTGCATTAATTAAGCACAAGTTCTCCTCGTCATCCTGTCTGACGTTGGGAGCGATCAGATCTCCGAAGTTCTGCATGGGAAATCCAGAAGCTCCGAGAAATTGGGTCTTGGGCAGGAAACGAAGTAACGCGCACATCTAGACCCAGAAGAAGGCTTGACAGTTTGACCTGTTCGATCGACGGATGGATCATGGTTGACTGTGGCGAAGTTTGGCTTTTAGAGTTTAGAATTCGAGATTCCAGAACGTCGCAATGTGGACAAGGGCTGTTGGCTGTCGTGGTTTTAGGAAGAAGCGTTCTGGAACAGGCGTTCTGGAAGCATGGAGGATGCTGGCTGTTACAAGCGAGAAATGAAAACACAGCCATTTCAAGTTTATGGTACTGACAACAAACTTGCTTGGAGTCTAGCATTGTTTCATTCGAGACTGCTCTACAGCTAGGCGGTTTAGCCAATTTAATCGAATGGTATACGCCTCAGTCCCTGTCCTCCCGCGCCTCTTTTCTTCGCCTCCAGAGCTGCTGCAACACTGCTGGGCACTTTGATGCCGCAGCAATCGCCCCAGCTATTCATCTGATGCACATGTCTCATGCCATCCACCATGACGACCGTCTCTCCGCCTTCAGGATCCTCTTCTTCGCTTGGAACTCCGAACTCTTCCTCTGTGCTCATCTCCTCGACTGCCGGTACTAATGACCCAAACAGGAAATGTTGCATAACAGGCAGTTTTTTCAGCACTTCAGCCACGAACATACGACGCATGCCGGCCTCGACTTTGCTCCAAGATTTAGCAGATGAGATGTCATCCAGCATAGGGCTGTGCCAGCGAAGTCCTTCAACGTTCTTTACACTGTTGACGAAGTTTACTTGACCAAGATATAGGTAGTCATTACCGTATTCCTCGAGAATGAGATTCTGGTGGATAGAAAGGGGACGGATGAAAGGGTGATGGAGGAGTTGAGAGGATCCAAACAGGAAGGGTAGGAATTGGTAGTCGTCCAAACCCCATACGCCATGTGAACCAGCTGGCTCTAGATAATATGACGATTGTATTATTCTCATGAGAGACAGGTATTGTGTGAAGACTTTCAAAACCAGGGGGCGAAAGTCGGATCGGGTGACAATGCCGAGTTGGTAGAGGCATAGTAGCCACAGCATGAAATTGAGCTCATGTCCTGAGCCATAATCTATCCTCGTCCGGTTACCAAAAGATTGTAGGAAGTACGTAGAGATCTCGGTAATCACACTGGAGGAGGTGATGCCCAGCTGCTTGTGCCACTCCGTGTGTTCCTCTGCGGCTAAGTCGAGGAAGTCGCGGAAGCCTTTATTTCCAAATCGAGAGTCTCCCTGTTCTTCCGGAGGACTCCGCTGAACGACGTCTTGTACTTTATCGAGTATTTGAAGGATTGTTTTGATTGCCGGGCTTAGATCGGCGTCTCGTATTGCTGAAACGGGGGTGTCAACCACTGATTCTGTGAGACCGAACACAAAGCTCACAACTAGCTTATAGGTCGGCGAAGTGAGAAATAAATCATGATCTTTTGGAGAGAGGATCCGCCTGGAAGGTTTCTTGAATGTCAGAGTTGATAAATCTGGCGGAGAGGGCAGCTCTGGTGTTTCTGGAACTGGTAACGGATTGGATGGAGGAGCCTGACGGCGCCGAGGTTGTAATTTTGGTAAACGATCTCGCAGATCGGGTGTTGCTGCAGATGGTAAGCCCCTCGAGCTTGCTGGAGTCTCTGTTGTTGTTGGCATCTTGGTTGTTGATTTACATGCCCGTTTGCTTGTCAGAGATGGACCTTGATGTTGATCGCCAGGCCGAGGACCTTTCAAGGAGGGGTGCGCGGCGGTGGCGGCCGCATTTTAGCGTCATGCCAATCACTTGCTGGAGAGGGCCAAAAAAGTTAGTCGATATATTGCGGCAGATCAACAAACACAGCTTCTTTACCTGACGACTTCTTTCACTAAGTCCAGGACGTTCAAGCTGCCATAATGGCACCTTCAGCGGATCCCACGGCAATTCTGTCGCATCTACACCGTACAGATGGGTCTGCAACATTCTCACAAAATGGTTACACAGTCATTGGTGCCGTGAATGGACCACTCGAAATCCAAAGGCGCGATGAGCTTCCAGAAGAAGCTGCAATTGATGTTATCGTACGACCTGCGGCTGGGGTTGGAGGTCTGGAACCCTCTTTCGAATATAGTTTGCCTTCTTGCTATTATACTGACTTAGCGTTTTAGGAACGCGGGAGCGACATCTTGAATCCATCCTGCAATCTACCCTCCGCCAGATCATACTCATTCACAATTTCCCGCGAACCTTAATTCAAATAACTCTTCAGATCACGAGCACCCCTGAGAATGATACTGCGGGGTCAAAGTTGTTGCAAGCAAGCTCGGTACTTATGCATATAACTGTCCTGTGGTAAATAGGAGCTGACCCAATGAACCCAGAATCTACCGATCCTTCCCACTCTCCTTCAAACCGCTATCATGGCCCTTCTGTCCGCCTCAATTCCTCTATCCATGACCTTGACCTCAACGTTCCTTGCTTTGACCTCAGGCGGCGCCTCCAGGAGCATTGTTGTAAATCCTACCCTCGTCGAATCTCAAGCCGCGAACTCTGTCCATGTGATGGCTTTCACATCTCATGGGGATCTACTGGTTGCGGAGAGCGAAGGAGACTTTACACTGAAGGATTGGGAGGCGGCTCATGATGCGGCAAAAGCAATATGCTACGACGATCCAAACATATCTGGAGTCATGGCTGATGAGGGCATGGGTGAGAAGAATGAGAGCCTGAAGATGTTTGTCAAGTCAACACTGGAGGATAAGATCGAGAACGATCTCCACTGGAAGGACTGAATGGACCAAGCGAAGCTTGATTGTTGCCATCTCCTCGAATATACAGCCGGCAGAACTCTCCACGATAGCAGCTCATGGGATCTCCCGCTGCGTGGAACGAACATGACAGCGCTTTCCGAGGGAAAAGAATCTCTAGAAAGTGCAAAGGCATGAATGCCAAGACAGTGAGAATTTACAGCGGCTAGGCTCCTTGAACAAGCTAGGATCGGACCGTGGGCTATCACGACTCATGAAGGAAGGACTGTAGCTTAAAAATAGAGTGACATGAAAATGTCCTGGGGGCATTTTGACTCTTGGGATCTGAATGGCAGAAAGGATGGGCTGCGACAAGCATTCGGTAGCGAGCGGTTTGGGGTATCCGAGCCCCTGATTGAAGCGAAGTTTCACAGACGCTCAGTCCCCATTGAACGCGGCGACTTGCCTTTACTTTTGTGACAGTAGTCGGGACTTTCGGAGCTCGTTGACACAAATGACCAATTCAGGATGTGATGCTTGCTGATACCCCTTTTCCTGACAGCGTGGGGCCTGCAGTGTTGTGGCTTCTTGAAGCTTTACAGCCTCACAGGATCAGACGAGGTCTCGAAGACATACGCAGTCGCCCAGCATAATAGTGTTTGATGGCCCGGAGCAGATGCCTCAAGAAGAATCTGCCCCACAAGCCGGCTAACCATGGTCAAAACATCATGCAGATGTCAAGTGTGCTGGGGCTCTGGCTGGTTGTGGGCTGATACTTGTCGCCGGTGCCCATCGACTGAAAACGTTAGCCTGTCGCGCCCGTGATCTTTGAGACGACGAGACAGCGAAACTCGCCTGCGAATGCTCCCCGCCCGTCGTGGGCATTCGTGGGCACTCGTGGGTACGGTAGCTCCAGCGACGGCGGCTGGTATAAGACAACTTTGGGCCTTCGCGTTAGATTGTGTGTTCTGCAGTCTTCCTCGCCAGACCCAACGCACCGCACCAGCTTCAACTTCCAAGCAGAGCTCTGGCAGCTTGTGCAATTCTTGCCTTTCGTTTACCGTGTGCATACATTCTTGTTTCTTCTTTGCCGAATAATGTTCGCTTGCTACACTTAGACTACATCTGTTTATTGTTTGCATTTTCGGGCGTCGATTCATTTTAATAGACCATAGACCGGGCGTCGTTTTTCCTTCACTTCTTTCATCTCGATACCCGCATTCGGCGACGTCAACATCACAGCAAAACTTGCACCAGTCACTTTCTATATACACCTGCCTATCCCGTCTTCGCATCCTCGTGGACTTCTGCATCCTGCAAATCGTCGCTATCACTATCGCTACCACTATCACCATTATTAGCTTTTCGACAAGCGCTGCTCAGAAGGTTTGTTTGACCTGCACCTGGAGCTCTCGGATCGACGAGTAGGGACCAAGATCACACCTGCATCCTGCAGCCAGCTTCTCTCGCTTAACTGACAGCTTCTACCTTATCGATCGAGTAAGTAAAGTCTATTCATGTCTCATCAACACTCCCAAATCTAGATCATGGCTCTCCAAGCATCTTCTACATCACATGGACAGCACCAGAGCCACAGCTTCACGATCGAGCATTTTGCTGCGGGAGCCATCCCAAGTGTGGTTAGGAATCCTGGCTGGCGCTGTCCCGCTCCCGCAACTGGCATTGCAATCACATCACCGAAGTCACTTTGACCCCTCTTTCTCTCGACTCCTGCAAGATATCACAACATTATCGAACATTCGCGATCACCTGCTGCTCCACGGCCTAGCAAATCCAATCGGATTCATGGCTCTGGATATGGCGCAGACGTGATATATGGATGACGGTGCTAACTACAAACCCTCAGCTAGACTCACTTTTCGGACAAGGTCCCCCGCCTTGATCAGAAATCAAAAATAACCCCGGTCACTTCTTACGGCATCTCTCGGACACCGCTCCCCACATTCCTCTAGGCCAAGCATCAACGGAAGGATTCAGATCAAGACGCTCTCATTTGGTAATATTGGCCGGCCTGCCCAGCAATATTCCAACAGTCTTCCCAGCATCATCTATTCCCGTCACTTCGGTCCGCTTTATTGCCAAATCGAATCAACAACTCTATTCTTATCATTGCTGCGAAGTCTCCTCCCCGACGAGGTCCCGCCGTCCGATAAAAAGCCACTCCGTCGGGAAACCTTATCAACAACACACCCCGGTCATAATATCCCATCTCCGAGCCTCCACAACACCTTACCTTCTCGATCATGTCTGACCTTCGCTCTCCCACGTCAATCCACCCGGCGCTGACAAACCCCGACAACTTCAGCTTCCCCCTCCCCTCCATCGATGAAATTTCTCCTCTCAAAAACAAGAAAGACGTCCAGTCTCACAGCTCTGCGAATAATGGTCTGAAAGGATCTGGGGGCATTGGAGACATTCTCCTGCGCGAATACGCACAACAGCTTGGTCCTCTGAACATAACACATTCATACGACATTGACAATGATCCGTCCGAGTCCTCCTTCTCTGCTGCTACCACAGTAGGCCAAAATTCGCCGAGCGACTCTGCATCTGTTCCTTCATCTCCCGTTTTTCCGTCACGGCTCTCGAAGCCTGCTTTCACGCACCGCAAAAACGCGTTGTCCGTCGAGTCCATCCCTAGACAAACTATCATCAAGGCATTGGCGTCGGCAGGAAGAAATCATAATCCCCGGGACTTGTCACTTTCAGGGATGGTATCGTCACAAAATCAAATGGAGAACCGACCGGGAACATCTACATCGCAAAGGCTGTCTGCGGCTCTTTCAGATCTTGCTCTACGTAACGGCACGCCCACGACACCCCGGTTCAACTCGCTACAGTCACCGTGTTTCTATCACGAACGATTCGACGATGTTCTAAACATTGACAAGGTGTTGGAGGAGATCAGAGGTAACGAGTGGATGTCTCATTCTCGACTTTTGGCTACTGCCACTGGAGTTCGGGAAATCTCAAAACAATTACAACGTCGCCCAATCAAGAGAGCCGTTCGCAACGTCATGATCGTTACCAAGGCCAGAGACAACCAATTGGTGCATTTGACCAGAGAGCTTGCAACATGGCTCATGAGGACTCCTAGATACGGCTCGGAGCTCGGCGTAAACGTCTACGTTGACGCAAAGTTACAGAGCTCGAAACGATTCGGTGCCGAACAGATGTTGGAGGACCACCCTCGTTTCCAACATTTACTCAAGTACTGGAAACCGGAAATGTGTCGAAACCAACCCGAGAAGTTTGACCTGGTTTTAACACTTGGGGGCGATGGGACAGTGCTGTTCACATCTTGGCTTTTCCAGGGCATCGTTCCTCCAATTCTTTCGTTCAGCCTCGGCAGTTTGGGATTCCTGACCAACTTTGAATATGACAAGTTCAAAGACCAGTTGAACAAGGTCATGGGCGAAGAGGGTATGCGAGTGAGCATGCGAATGCGATTCACATGTACTGTCTACAAAGGAGGCGCATCGAGAAACGATCCCGAAGAGGCCGAGCAGTTTGAGGTACTCAACGAGCTCGTCATTGACCGTGGACCATCTCCCTACGTCTCCAACCTCGAGCTATATGGAGACGACGAGTTACTTACCGTTGTACAAGCGGATGGCTGCATTTTCGCCACTCCAACTGGTTCGACGGCGTACTCTCTCTCAGCTGGTGGCTCTCTTGTTCACCCAGACATCCCCGCCATCCTCCTCACACCTATTTGTCCCCACACATTGTCCTTCCGGCCAATGGTCTTGTCTGACACGATGTTACTTCGTGTCTCCATCCCACGGAATTCTCGTGCCACAGCGTACTGTTCGTTCGATGGTAAGAACCGTGTGGAATTGAAGCAAGGCGATCACATCACCATTGCAGCATCGCAATACCCATTTCCCACTGTCATGAAATCAGGTGCGGAATGGTTCGAGAGTGTATCGTCGTCTCTCAAGTGGAATACCCGAGGCGCAGCCCAGAAAGGTTGGGATGGTCTTGAGGAAAATCAAGAGCAAGAGACGGAATGGGATATCGACTTTGATGATTCGGCCTACGGAACCAGCGAGGAAACAAGCACGGCGACAAGTCCTCTGCGAAAGAAGACAAGCTCGATAGACTTGTAGATTTCTCAATCATTCTGTTCTGGGGTCTTTCTTCCTTATCCTCGCTGGCCGTCAGGGGTTCTTTGTGCACTGTCAGATCGACTTTGCAATGGGTAACGGGATCAACTTATACTAGAAATGTCTGCCAACGGTATGACAATTAGACGGGATTCTTCCGTGAATGCAAGAATGGTTTGCTGGCCGGCCGTGCTGGTAATCAAACCTATACCCACTTCTTCTGTGTTCTATGATCTGTTAGCCGTGATTTGTTCTCATGCGGGAAAAGCATATATCTATTTCTGCGAGCCCCATTTCGCTGGGTACCTAGTGATGAGCGATGGTGACTGACGGGGAGCGATACATACCCACAGGGCCGTTTGCTGCAGCTCAACCTACCGGACGTCGACGCAACTTTCGTTTAAAACGGTCGAGAACTCAGCAAACAATGATACTTCGAGTCCAGGCAGGCAGGAGATCATGTTCTTTATCATCACAGAATACTCTATGCTGCCCCGCCAGAAAATGAGCTGATTTCCCAGACTGGAAAGCAAGTTGAAACGGAGTGGAGATATCAGCCCATCAAACAATCGATTTCTGATCTCTATTCGCTGGACATTATTTAGCACGCAGGCGAGATGTTGAGATGGTCATGCTTATGGTATCAAAAAACTCTGTTTGCCCTGATTTATCAGACCGAGGAGTTTCGGATCTTTAGTGGAGTATCTGGCTTGCGTGATCGTCTGCTAACATCAGTTAGATGTTAGCTAGACTTGAAGCCGGTTGAGGGTTCAAGTTTCAAGCTGTTCAAGTGAACCACGGTTTGTTTCCGCCTTGTGACTGCTTTAACTCAGATCAGGGCGTCAATCCTGAGGATAAACTGCACATAAATATACACCCCTCGGTAATGCACGACGTCGACAGTGAGCTGCCGAAAGTCAGGCCATATTAAAAGTCGCTCTCACAACCCATGCCTTATCCTCAACACAGTCTGGTCAATAGCTATTAAGAAAAAATGTATGCAGATTTGTACCAAAATGATCACCGACTCCGGCAGAAATGTAATCATTAAGACTCACCTCTTTTCGTCCCGTAGCGATGTCAATAAAACCTTGCTGCCTAATCACAAACCAATCAAACCTGCTCCTCGGTGAGCATCCTCACGTGCGCGCCTTCCTTCCACCTCAACTTTCCACACTGTGCTCGCAGCCTATATCTGCTTCATTCTCATACTCGGATATCATCAAGAGTATCAGCGCGTTTGCACCGTTTATCTTCAGCCTCCATCAGTCTGTTGATACTGTCTGCCACCAGCATCTCGAGTCCAGGGGATCAAATAAAACAATAGCGCACGACGACTTTTGAGGATCGCATATCATTATGGCAACCAAGGTAAGCAATCAAATCCACTAACGACTTCCGGAAAGCTTGTCAGGGCACTCCATTTGTATACTGACCTTTGTATTGATAGAAATCGCATCGAAATGGCATGAAGCCGTTGCTAAGAAAGAGGAAGTCGAGAATAGTCAGAGATGATAGACATTACAAAATTCCAGGATTTGCTGCATTTAGTGTTAGATACCTGCCTCATATTTCCTGTTCATTTTCTGACCTTGAACAGCCTCACAATGTCCCCATCAAGAAGGCAAGCAAAGGCAAAAGACCAGAGCTTGTTCCATGCGATGAAATCACCGAGCCTGAACAGGGTATTCATGTCAGTTCTCCCATCACTTAGAAATACGACAATATGCACTAACACATTCAAAGTCACTTGCGTGGGCAGCATCAATTGTTCCACAAAACACAGGATTCTTGAAACTGCCTTTCGAAGTCCGAGTAAAGATTTATGAGCATGCCATCGAAGATTTCTCGTGTGGTGAAGATCCCATCAAGCCTAGAAAGAACGGCGACAAGTTCCGGAGCCCAGGATGGGCCAACATTGCAGACGGTACACCACTACCCTATACGCAGTCCAGATCCAAAGACTAACAACCCTTCTAGAAACCACCAAGTTCTACCAACTATCCCGACAAGTTTACGTCGATTTCGTTGGCAGCAGCCTCCTCTACAGATTTAAGCCCTTCTCTTTCGACAGCCCAACCCTCCTGCTTAATTACCTCTGCGTCATCAACCCACTTCACAAAAACGCCATCCGCTCCATCACACTCCACATTAAGTTCCGCCCAACCTGCACCACGCTCCCCACGAAAGCCTTCACTTTCCTCTCTAAGTGCGAAAGTCTCGAAGAGCTTAACATCAAAGTCCACCTCCCCCATGACTTGTGTACCTTCTCACCCCTCTTCCATCGTCCAGCAAACTCTCCAACCATCCGCTCGTCGTTTGACATTTCGGATCGGAGACTAGCCCTGAAGCGCATAAAGGACTGCGAGACGCTGAAGAGTATTCAGGGCTTGAAGCGATTCGAGTTCGTGTTCGTCTTGCCTAATGTCATTTCGGCTCGTTATAACAGACACTTCGCTCATCCTCGATATGTTCATCCAGTGCTTGAGCCTTCGGAGTTGACAGCGGCTTTTTATGCCGAGATGAAGGAGATGATGCAGAATTGAGGGATTAAGGCTGTAGAATGATCTATAGAGTTGTTGTTTTGAAGAAATGTTCGGTCAGGGTGCGGAGTTGGTACATTACCTTTTTGGATTTCGGCAGGATAACGAGGGCGTTTATTGACTTTGGAAGCGAGATTGGTAAACACTTGGGCACTAAATGAACAATGATAAAAGTTACAGTAAAAATCTCAGGTTGACTTATTCCTTGATCCTATTGACCTGTGTCCGGAGGCTGTTTCGAGCTTGTGGACCCGAAATTATCAAATGGCACGCATGGAACTGAGAGCTCAGCCGTCTTTGCAGTCTTCTGTCACTGGCACACTCGTTGACACCTACCTGTACACGCATTTTGTTCCAGCTTTTGTTCACAGCAACTCTCCCACAATCAGGTTACCCTTCTACAAGGAGCATCTCAGGCATGGGCCTATTCGCATACACAGTCTCTCAGTTCAAAAATAATAAATATGCATTACTTCACTACCTATCCTAACGGGTTACAACTTGTACCTCTTGCGTCCAAGCCGCCACACACACTTGATAAACCGATCATGAAACACCACCCCCTATGCAAAAGAATGACCAGACAGGCAGGTATGCAATAATGGAAAAGGCCTGATTAGACCAAGACCACCTCACTAAAATACATTGTACAACAAAGCAAGAACGCCCCACCCATCGGAAAGAGAACAGCGAGTCCCCTGATCCAACCCTCCCAATGCATGCTTTCATTGATCACTTCCCAATTTTTTTCGTCCCTTTTTCCTTTCCGTGCCTCTAATCAGTCTCCGCTATCCAACAATTACGATCCCTCCAATGCATGCGCAACCGGTCTCGCTTCAATAAGAAGCTCGTGTTTCGTATCTAGATGTCGGAATACTCCTCGTAACCGCCATGATGACCTGGGTAGGCTTGTGTGCTCAGATGGCTACCTTCCTTACTGCCATAGGCATTCCACCCTGCTTGCGATCTCTGTCTGCGGTCCCTCTCGAACTCACCCCATCTCTTCATGGTGATCTTGGAACTGTCGAATTCACCTTCATACTCGATACCTGCTTTCTTGACCTTGCCCTCGCCAGCTGTCTTGCGAGTGTCACCCCAGGAGAAGTCGTCGAACTTCCAGAATGCGTAGACTGGGAGAACAAAATTCCAGATTGGGAGGGAAAGAAGATAGATGAACATCCATACGACATATGACCAGCGGTGGGCGGTGAGGACAATGAGAACTGCTGGGAGACCGAGAATCAGGGCAAGGAGGACCAGAGGAATGATTTGAACTGGTCCAATGATCGAGACGATAACTAAAATAAGAATTTAGTAAACGAGCTTAGAAATGGGGAAAATTGACTTACCGACGTAGAGAGTGAATGCGATAGCAGCCGGTAGCACCAAAGTACCGATCAATTCAATACCAACAACGAACTGCATACTGAAGCAGAAGGTACCACAAAGATCCCTGACGAGAACAAGTTCCATAAGATTGTGGATTGTACTGTTGATCCATCTACGTCTTTGAGACAAGAGGACAGAGAATGTTTCTGGGACAGTGGTTTTGCAGACGGCCTGGGGAACGAAAACTTGCTTTCGCTTAGGGAAAGTTCGAAGCATGAGCGTTGACAGATAACGATCTTCTCCCAGCAGTAGCAAGTTCTTCTTGTGCAGAGTATCGACGACGTTCTCCGAGTAGTGCTCCACAACATCAGGGTTGGCGAGAATGGGAACCCAGTAATTTTGTCCACCCTTTGGTGCCTTGATGCGGTACATGCAGAAACATCCAGGAAGACAGGTAACACCACCGAACACTGACTCGAACGACTTGGAGAGATGATGGGAAATGAAGTACTCGAACACCTGAATAGCTGATACCCAGGAAGCTCGCTTGTTGGCAATCTTTGTCTCGCCACAGAGACCCATGATCTCAGGATCCTTGACCATTGCAGAAACCATGTGGGTCAAGCTGTCGGGGAAGACCTTCGTATCGGCGTCAACCATGAGAACGGTCTCATAGAAGTCGGGCGAGATTCCAGTGACCTTCCACAATCCGTTGAACATCTCAAATTCAAGCTCGGTCATTCGCTCGTCGAACATAACTTTCTGCAAGAAGGACATCAAGATGATCTGACTGTCACGTTTGCCTCTGTTTCCTGGTTTGCTCTTTGTGGCCTCGTCCGGTGTGCCGCATTTGACAATGCACATCATGGGTACTCGCTGCTGCTTTTCCACTGGAATCGAGGAATCCAGCCCATAGTCGTAGAATCCAGAGTATACCTTGGCCATGTTGTGTCTCTTGGATCCACTGGAGACCGCAACATAGGAGAAGGCAGGAACCTCATCCGGAAGAATTGAGTGGTCCTTCATCATGCTAAGTACAATGTCTGGGGTCGACATCGTCTCTCCTTTACCCTTGATGATACCATCACAGATGACGAGGATTGTCTTGTGGCTGTTGGGATAATCGGTCATGGCAACCGAATCTAAGGTCGTTCGGATACCAAGCTCTCCTTCGGAGTAGGCAGTTACTAGGCAGATTGCGTGGGCAAGAGGGTAACCGAATGGCTGCCAATCAGCCGGTGGTTGAGGTACGACAGACTCATGAATGAAGCCAGCAGGACCAGGACCTTCGAAATCGGTCGTTGAGCCGCTGAATCCGTTCTCTGAGCGTAAAAAGCTCGTTCGGCTGCTGTTCTGGTGATGCTTGAAAACAGGATTGGGTGCGAGGAGAGCTGCAGTAGAAGTTTGGCTGGCCATGGTTGTGGGTTGAGGACGGCCAGCTCGAGAAAGTCTGTTCTCTGCAGCATATGGACTGGTAAAGCGAGAGGTAGTCGGAAGGAAGGCGCTTCCTCGCTTGCTCAATCGGTCGGACCCAACAACGGTGCTTCCAACATCCCCAGGGATTCTGGGTGGAGCCCGATAGATGTCATTTGACCAATCCTCGATTTGCCTAGCCCTCTTCTTCTTATTCGATGATTGCGAAGTCTTTGAAGCCGCGAATTTTCTGCTGAAAAACCACTGGAAAAGGAGCGCCAGAACAAACTTTGACACAACAATCGACAAGATGAAAACCAATGAGACGTAGAGAACAACTTTAGAAGCAATGCAGCCAACTGTCTCGGTATCCACTGTCCCAACCTTGATGATCTGCTCCAAACACTGAGCGATGTGCTTGTCCCGCTTGCCTTGAAAGGCGTGGGTAACATCTCTTCCGTGGACCGCCGCGTTGTATGATGAAGTGCGATCACTGAGTCTTGCAAATTCGGTTGGAACTGTGACCTCTGTTCCATTGAACCACTTGAGAAGATCGAGATCTAAGACGTTTCCAGAATAGACCATCAAGTTTCTCGAGACGTTCTTGATATCGTCCCAGTTAAAGTAGACGTCTCCAGCGCTTCTGAGTCCGTAAAAGGCGTCACGGCCAACGGCTGAGGTGTGGCAAGCATATCCAAGATAATAGGGAATAGTCTTGTTGATAGGACTTGAGCCATCCTGATTGAAAGTTGTGCATGGGAAATACCAGGCCAAATCTTTGTCCGAGTTCGTTGGCACGTCTGAATCCGGGCTCAATGTGATGAGATCCTTGCACTTTCCATTAACATTCTGGAAGAGAAAGCTTCCATCTTGCCCTCCGTGCTTTTCCGGAAGATCGTATAGAACGTTTGCGTTTGCTGTGACTCCTCTAGCAATTGGATGTTTTGATCGAGAGAGGTCGTATGCCTTTCCGTGGAAAATCATATACCCAGTATCAACATGATTGACACGCAGTCGAAGCCCTGGGTTGCCGCAGACGGTCGCTGTGAATCCAAAAGTAAGAAAGCCGACACAAGCCATGATGAATAGAATGATGCTAATCAGGCCCATCTTTTCCCTCCAAGCTCTTTGCTGCTCCTTAGCTGGCATTCCAAAGCATTTCATACAAAACGCAGGACACCAGAAAGTAACAATTGCGCAGTAAACGTTCCACAAACTCGGTGGTTTGACTGCATCCAGTTGCTTTTGTAGCTCCTTCTCCTCTTTAGTCATTTTTCGTGTTCGCTCCCTCTTCAATTTTGTCCGTGTTCGAGGTGCAGCCTTCTCTGTGGAGTCTAGAGCCTTCGGCCCTGCACCATGGCCACGCCTACTCTTCTTTGCAGGCGGTGAAGTATCAGAGTCTACGTCTCCAGAGCTTCTCAATCCAGAGGTTTCCGTTGCTGCGACTTCTGTCTCCTCCAGGTCCTCCATAATCGGATCATTCCCAGTTGAAGAAGGCAGAACATTCATATTGGCGGCATGCTGTCTATAATGGTAATTCGGATGGTTTTGATCGATTCGGTTTCGCTCTGGTCGAATCAAACTCCGCTTCCGTCCAAGGTCCTGGCCGGGCATTCCTGAGTGGAGTGGCTGTTCCAAGGGATCTGTTGAAACCGTGGGAGTCAAAGGCGTTGTCGTATGGGTTTCTGCGAAAGAAGACTTCGAGGGATCGCGAACATGCCTTGAAGGTGATCTTGGCCCTGACTGGCCTTGAAAGTAGCCTGTCTCCTCATCTTGTGGTTGGCGCCGTCGCGAAGGAGAGTTCTGGTATTTGGATTGCTGCTCCTGTGTCGGAGACTCGGGTGCATTAGACGTTGCCATTCTTCTGCAGCGAGGAGAAGGTTAGTAAATGCTCAAGTTTTTGTCTACCAGCCATAATTACTTCAGCCGTCCCATGGTTGGTGTTGGTTGTGGTGGTGTTTGTTCAGCGTTTGATTGTTGTTTTGATACAAGAAAAACAACACGCGAGGTGTTGACGGCACGCAACAAAAAGATGTATGAGAACGGATTCACGAAGCTGCAAATTGGACGTACATAGATATTGATAGAAGGCGGTGGTGAAAGGAAAAGATTGTTGGTTGATTGTCGATATACCACTGACCCCTGGCAATATGATGGAGCGGGGATTGGTTCCTTGGTCGACGAGATCAGGGCAGTGCCTCCTTCCAGAATCCCTTCAGCTGCTGAAGAGGCGTTACTACTCTGCCAATGCTAATATTTAAAAGACCGTCGAACTGGAGGCGAAGGCAGGATGGATGGTTTCTGTTTATATTCCCCACAGGATTCGTCCTCGTCGTCGGCCTACAATGAACGAGGGTGAAAGAGGGCGGGTTTCGAATAGGGAGAGCGACCGTACGGCAAGAGAATGCCTTTAAACGAACGTGAGGCGTCAAAGCCGACGATGAGGAGGAGCGAAAGAAGCCCTCGTCGACGGGAACGAAAGAGACGCCCTGGATGGGGTGGAGATAGATGGAAATAATTGACCTCGTTGTGCAGAAGCAAAGAGCTCGCATAAAGTTGTGAGCTCGTCTTCCCTCCCCTCTCGTCGAGATTTGAGGTGGGACCACGACCACCCCTGGAGCCAACCTCCACTTGTAACCCTGCAAACCCAACCCAACCCGGCCAACCCAGCAGCCAAGCGACCCAACCGAGCCAACACAGCGCCAGCGGCGATGTTTTGCTCGCTTCGCCGCTGCACCATGCACAAAGGGGCAAGGATCTGAAAATGCTAAAAATACTGTACTGTAAATTTACGCTGCACGTTTGCTCGTTGCTCAGGAGATGCCCCCTGCCGGACTTTTGGTAGCCTCGTTGACAACCCTAAAGTCACACTTCTAAAAGTAAGAGCTTGCACAGGTCGCGATGGATACCGGGCAAAGGCGAGGTCGCATGGCAAGAGAGGGCAGGGCAAGGCAAGACGCCACCTACCGTGCACAACGAGATGTGGTGCGGTGAAGAACTGCCGTCCAGATAGAGACTGTGCCGTGCGGAATCCGGATGGTGATTTGAAGCAGCCTGTCTGCAGTATCTGTTCGGCGGCCAAAGTACCTTGGACCTCGTAAATTACAGCGGACAAGATGGTCTTGCATATGGAACCTCGGAAGCAGATGTCACTTTGGAACGATATGCATGTTGTTGCGAATACTCGAGTAGCTAGCAGCTGAATACGAAGGCCCGTGGAATGAGGCGCCTGGTCACCTGGTGTACCAGGCTTAGCAGTGGCAGTGGCAGTGGCGTTGAAGGCTGTGGGTCAAATTGATATCTTGCCATCCACAACCCCTCGAGGTCTCCGTCCTGTCGATGACAGACATATCTTCTCTCGCCCCATTCAAGGTTATCGTGGTAAGCAGCACGGGAGATGAGCCCATACTTTCATAGCTAATAATATCGTCGCTGGAGATGGAGTTTCAACTTAAATTCCCCGCAACTCAGTAGGTTCCGGGTTTCACCGTTTCGGACACCACAGCCTGAGAACTCTACCTGGGAAAGTGTAACAACTTTAACAACCTTAACAGCTTTAAGCATACCATTATTACTCTACAAAGCCAGTGATAAGAGAGCAACATTGCTGGCTTTGTGTATCCAAGAGCTGTGATGACGAATATGTAGCTTGGATGGTGAAGCTCCTACGGTGTACCCCTCCCCCACTTGCAGCTGCAGCATGGAAAACATCTCAAATTCCTGTTTCGGCATGGTCAATAATGGCGAACCTTCGATGTCTGATCTCGTATGACAGGAAAGACAAGACTTTTGCCGCGAACTCTAACTATTTTCAACATCAGCTCAAGCCAGCTGCGAGTCGGCTTGTGTATATTATGGCAAAAACGAGGCAAGTAGTCTGTGGGACCGAAACGGAGTAGGTACTACAAAAATGCACTCTCCAGACGAAGATCTTGGGAGTACCTTATCACTGTGATTGTTCAACTGGTTTGAAGTCAGATCGCTGGCACTCCTGATATGCGAAGTAGTGTCTCGAAACAAGAGGACCTGGTTGAAAAGGTCAAGAACAAACTCATTCCTCGTACAGTGGACACTTCTGCTGTGCAAAAGTGGAACTCATCGTCATGATATAGTGGAAGAGTGGATCTTCTCGTATGAAAGTTCCAAGCCTAGCAAGAGAGATCGACATCCAAGGGCACGCCCATTCTCATCCCCACGGTACGAGATATTGGCATATTGGCATTTCTGGAAAGGGCTTCAACTGCAAGGGACGAGGGGCTGGGTGCGTAGACACAAACAGAATCATTCTCTTTGCAGAACATGAATTTCTTCTCTCCAGGGAAGTAGCGAAGATGACTACAGACATGCAAGTGTTTTGTACTGTACACTGGTGTCGCCTTTTCAAAATCAGGTACTCAAGTGGCTGGCTGTAGTCAACTAGCCGCCGAGATGGGAACCAGATCTAGGTACCTTACTACTGTCCTCGAACCACTTGATCTGGCAACCCCTATTGTTATTATTATTATTTCGACAGACGCTGTCAAAGTAAGATGAAATTACCTAGGTAGGATTTCTTAGACCCCAAGGGTCCCAGGGTCCCAGGGTCCCAGTCGGGCATAGGGGCGCCATCAAATGTGAGCATGACCAGCCACGACTTCCGAATTGAGATCCTGTGCGAAGATGTCAGCGTTCCACTCGAGGTACTCGTAAGGAAGGGAAATTTGAATCATACTTTACCTTGGTGCTGGAATACCAAGTCTCAAGTGCCCACTGCCCAGTACCAAGCACAATCACAACCACCCTCACCGACTCGAGGCCATCACTACTCTACTCATGAGGCATGTCCAAGCGGGGTTTCTTGTCCAACTCTTCCGAGTTTATACATGACCATAGGAACCAACGCTTTTGACTCGTCTCCTCTCTGCATGAGCTCCTTTCTCCCTCGCAGGAACCGGAGAACCCTGCTCAAAGGATTTATCAACGCCGATCCACCGTCCGCCCGCATTCAAAGCTTCTTCGTCTTTGCGTTCGGAGATTATTGTCTCTCGATCATTTCCAAACTGCGGGAGGGCGGCATATCTCCTACTTACAGTAGAAAGCCCCCAGTCCACCACTACGAGTACTACTGGTACGGCACAATCCCTGAGGCTTCTCGATATTGGGTAGAAAGCTGGACAGTTTCCCCGCACTTTTCACGCCCATTATTTATTTTATTTGGACAGAGCAGGCAGGCCGGCATCGCATCGCATCGCATCACGTCCGGCGACCCAGCCAGCGTTGGATGCTGCAGCAGGGGAATGTTCTTGGTGAACACTACTGGCAGACTGGCATAAGACTACGACTACTTACTGTAAGCACGCCTGTCCGCCTGCCCGCCTGCCGCCTGCGAAAAGCTCCCTTCCGCATTGCAGGGTCCTGTCCAATTGAATTAATAGGCGATCTGACGTGCGTGTGTCTTGGATAGGTAGACCGTAGACAGGGCAAAGGGGACGGTGCGGCGGATACAGGCCAGGCCGGCTTTGCTTGCGGGTGCATTCTCCTCAACTCAACTCGAGTGAGTCTCTCGCCTCGCCTGCATTCCACACACCCACGATCCAGCAAATAACGGTGCAGTACGCGGCTCTCTTGAGCAAAAGGGTTCGCGGAGGGGAGATAATTGTACTGTACCGCGGACTGCAACCCACCCTGCATCCCTACAAGCAAGCGCCATTTTCCACGGCTCGTGTCGCCGACAATATTCAAATCCACTGCTTTCGTATTCGCGGCGTCATATCCAACGCTGCTCTGCCTGCTCTGCCGCAGGTACAAAACGACAGGGTATTGCACAAGGGTTGAACGCTAACCTTAACACTTTAACCTTAGCTACGTGAAACAGTGCCAGTCGCCGCCCACTGGCACGACACCAGCACCAGCTAGCCGTGTAGAGTATTTCTCTCAACTGCTCCTTTAATTGTCCCAAGGGGTTTGAGGACTTACACGGCTTTGCAAGTCCAACAGCGGATTAATTCCTCTACCATTCGCTTCAGAGTCCGAGGAGATTGACTGTCGTCGATTCACCAACATTTTGACGTTTACCACTGCGCATTTGGGTAAGACTAAGACATGTTCCTTCAGGAGTAGACAATGGCATCATATTTCCATACCGTGGCATCCGAAATATCCTTCTGACTCTTACTAACTTACTTCTACCTCACAGGTCTCCCAGAATCCCACCTGCTGCCTGCAGACCATCATTCTTTTCCTCGCTATAGTAGAATTTCCTAGGTTCAAGGTTTCCTTGCTGCAAGGCTACCCCACCAGTCCCACCACCGATCAACTTCAGAACACGACAGGAGGTAGCCCCTAACGCCCCGAACGATATATCAGCATTTAAGCTCGGAGGATCAAAAGTCCAGGATACTTGGGACTTCATCTTAAGGCAGCATTTACAATGGCGTCACAAACGTCTCCTGCATCACCGCCTCGGAAACCTCTACCAGCAGAGTCTCCTCCCAAATTCGTGGACAGCGACGAATACAAAGAGAACAGTGGCAGCAGCCCAAATCGAAAGCCACTACCCAATATTCCCATACCGGCGTCAGGACGGATACAGGGAGCACCGATGTCCCCAGTCAAGGTCAATGTGCAGCGGGAGGATTGGCCGCCTCGGGCATCTGCAGCTACAATTGAGGATGGGACTGGGACTTTCTCACAAGATTCCGAGCAAGACGGCTCTGCACAGTACGAACGTGCAGAACCTCGAATGCCTGTGATGCAAGACATACCATTTCGACCAAGCTACAACACATCGAGAGGGGAGCAAATACAACAGCCACAAACCGCGGTGATCTCGTCAGGAGCAAGTTCAAGTTCTAGGACTCCCTCAGACGAATCACGGAGGCGAGGTGGATATCCAGATATCGACGAAAATGGTGCTGAGGTGGAGATTCAGCCAGTTCCCCGTCTTCAATATCACCATCAGACGCACCATTCGGAAGGCGGTACTCGTCAAAGGGGACCCTATAGTCCGTATGGTCCATCAAACGACCTTGTCGACGTTGGACAGTCAATAAACCGACATTTAACACCAACTTCTCAAGTTGGTAGACGTACACCTCTTCAGCGACCAATCTCTGCATACTCGGATATGGGACCTCGAGGTCGTTCGCCTGGCTTGCCTGGGTCTCCCAGCTGGGGAGGACGTGCTCCATCAGCACATTCTGGACGGTCCAATGATGGCCGGCCTCTTTCATATGTTGACCTAGCAAATGTATCATATCCGCAGGCTCCTCCTCCGCCGATCTCCATGGACAACTCGCAGTTACGATCGGTTGTTGGGACAAACGCATCGCTGCTTAGCATGGCAAAGACTCTGGAGATGTACCGACAAAATGTTAAGAAGCTCAACGACGCTGAAACACAATATGCTTTTGCCATTTTCCTCATTCAAGCTGCTCAAGAATCGGGGTTGGGACAGGAAGGAGATGCATCACCTAGGAAAACAAGTCCGAAACCAGGAAATCGCGATCTTGAAAGCCCTTATATTGAGAAAGTCCAATCTTCACCTCAAGAACTCCTGGCCGAAGCCAAACATATGCTACAAAAGCTGTCGGATCGAAGTTACCCATTCGCACAATACTATCTCGCCGATGGATACGCTTCTGGTTTGTTCAGTAAGGGAAAGGAGGATTACGGGACAGCATTTCCCCTGTTTGTGGCCGCAAGCAAGCATGGTCATGCCGAGTCTGGATATCGAGCTGCACTGTGTTACGAGTTTGGTTGGGGTTGCAGGAAAGACCCAGCAAAAGCTGTACAATTTTACAGGCAGTCAGCATCGAAGAATCACCCTGGCGCAATGACTCGTCTTGGACGAGCTTGTTTATCTGGAGATCTTGGCATGAACAAGTATAGAGAGGGCTTGAAATGGCTCAAGCGAGCTACGGAATCTGCAGATTTGCAGTATAACGCAGCGCCATACCATCTCGGTCTCCTTTACGAAACTGGTTATGGGGATGACATCTTCCAAGACGAGGTATATGCAGCACAGCTCTTTACGCAAGCAGCAGATCTCGGGCATGCTGAAGCTTGTTACCGACTGGGCGATGCATATGAGCACGGAAAGCTTTCTTGCCCACGAGATCCGGCGCTAAGTGTGCATTTCTACACTGGAGCAGCACAAAAGGGTCATCCAGCTGCCATGATGGCTTTGTGTGCCTGGTATATGGTTGGCGCAGAACCCGTCCTTGATAAAGACGAGAACGAGGCATACGAATGGGCACGCCAAGCAGCAGAGTGCGGTATGTACTTTTATACTCTACACATACGATTGCTACTAACGTTTGGCACAGGTCTCACCAAAGCCGAGTATGCTGTGGGCTACTTTACCGAAATGGGCATCGGTACTCGACGCGACCCTCTAGAAGCCAATGTATGGTACGTGAAAGCAGCAGACTCTGGCGACGAGCGAGCCAAGCACCGACTTGCTGCCATTCGCGCAGCAGCCAGTGGAGGCACCCCGATGGAAGTTGCTCCACCAAGGAACGGAACCAAGATAAAGAAGAGCAGCAGCGGCAACGAGAAGACGGCGCAGAACGAGAAGGATTGTGTGGTTATGTGATTTGATTGACTGATTGTTTGTTTGATGTGGAAATGACATGACATGACATGATCAGAAGGAGCTTTATTTTGTCGCGGTTGTAGCTTGTTTACTTGCTTGTGCGCTGGCAGGAGCAGGCTAGGAGACAGAAAGATAGGAGAGGAGAGAGCTGCAAAGTCTCAAGCCAGAACCTTCTGACTTTGTTCAACTCTTGCTCGTTCTCTGTCCCCTTCTCCTGTTCTTTCTGTTTCTTGACCGACGTCGTTCTGCAACTCAGGGGATTGGCTTTTCCATCAAGGCAGACTCACAAGAAGATTGGAGAACTTCGGACCAGAGACCTAAGACTTGGGTGTGGTAATTTAAGTGTAAATAAGCATACGGGGGGGGGGGGGGGGTTTCTGGTCATTGCTCTCTTCGAATTTCCTACTGACTTTTGAACTTGCATGCATACACTGCTGGGGGGCGTTCTTTTTGGGGGGCCGCTTCTTTCTTTTCGAGCCAAATGAAAGGAGAGCAGCATCATGCATAGTGTGGGGACGGATTGGGGCATGGATGGATGGGGGTTTGGATCATTTGGGATTGGGGTCAAGCGTGCATATAAAGTTCTTCTTCTTACTTCTCAAAGAGAGATTGAAAGAGTCAGAGAGAGATGGAATACTACTACTTAATTTTTCTGGACTTTGATTCATAACGCATTCATGATAGTGAAAGTTACGAATGTGGGTAGTGACTTTGTAGTTCCGCTACAGCTATGGAGAAAGAATGCAAGGTAGGTACTGTTATCCGCTTCGCCACCTTGCAATTGAGGGATACTTCTGTTTAGAGCAAGCAAGCCAGTAAAGCAAAGCATTCAAGCCATTTCGTTACATTAAAAAGAAGAATAGTATGAAGAAGCCAGCCACCGAGCGCCGAACGCTTATGCCCAGCCCCATATCCGGGAACGCCATGATAGAATCGCGCAGCCGGCATGCTTCCATGCCCATCCACAACCATACCAGGCAAAGTCGTAAACGCACAGAGGATGTTGAAAATGCAGTTCGTAATTCGTTATTCAATATCCGGGATCAGGGCAGATGGCTTACGGGGGTCGAACCAGGCGACTTTTCGGTCGTCGCTACCCGGCCCGCCGACAGTAACCCAGACGTGTTTGTAGGGAATCTTGACATTGATAAGCTCTCGGCTTCCAGTCCATCGTAGACGACCCTCGATGGACGTGTCACTGAGGCCAATGCCGCCGTTGGAGGTCCATTCATTGACAACTTGTCTGATGAACTCAATTTTCTTCCGGAAATCGTTGGCTTGAGGGATGCCTTGGAGCATAGGGTCTATCTCTGGCCGCTTTCGAGTAGTCGACTTGCCAGTGCGCGTAGGTTTGCTCATAAAGTTGAGCAATGTCTGTAATGGGTAGGAGAGAACTCGACGATCATCTAATGCCGATGCAGAAATGGTGCCTCTGATGGAAAGATCACGAGCAGCTTCGAGTGGAAGGTGATAAAGATCACACCATGTACCATCGGCAGAGAGGATAACTTTTGTGTGGTCAGGGAAATTAAACTATACGGTATTAGCATAAAGTCTCATCGCAAGGCAAGGAGACCTACTTGGAAGTGGCCGTCACAGAATACCCAACAGCCAACATCTCCAAACCGCTGATAAAACGTCACAACATTACCAGGCGCAACATTGTCGGACGATCGGTCTGGGGACGATCTGGACAATACTTCGTCGTATGGATAGTCCTGATCTCTGCCAAATGCAGTCATGTAATTCGCAAATTTCTTCCAAAGAACGATCTTCTCCCGCTTTCGAGTATCCCATTCATCCCGTCCTCGAGTGAGCCTGGCAGCTTCACCATCTTCGCTAACGGGCACTTTGAAGTTTTGGGGGCTGACCTTTCCACGGAAGATTCCCTTCTCTCCTCTGTTCTCATAGAACTCGATATTTGGCCCTGAAATGGGTACGATTTGGTGTCGATCAGTGTAAGCCTGATTGTTTCTGTTCTGCAGATGTCTCTCCGCGTCTCTGATCACGACACATGTTGGTGGGATATGACCTTTGTTCGGGTCATCGGCATATGCGGGGGTCGCCTTGAATATGCAACCCACACTACCGTTGCTCAAGATATAGCCTAATCCAAATTTGTTCGTGTAATCAACCCACTTGACCACGATGGTGGGAGTTTTCCTGTTATCGCTCTTGCTTTCCAGAGCAGTCGACCTACTGTTCAGGGCACGCTCCAATTCGGCTTGGAAGCGTTTGAGACTCTCTAGGATATGATCCGGGGCTGTGTTTGGCAGAGCTTCCAACTTTTCTTTGGGGTTGAACAGCGATGCATTAACGTTCAAAGAAATAGTAGGAGCATCGACTTCGGCCGACTTTCGCTCAGCCTCTGCCTTGTTAAGCTGATTGACAAGGTCTGCTGCTAGTCGATCCTCTACATCAACAACCTTTTCTGGTTCAGCGGGCTCAACTTTCCGGGGTCTGCCTCTAGGATTGATGGTGATAAGAGGACGTGATGAACTTTCTTGTGCAGGTTGACGAGACTTGACAAGTCGTGAAGCTGCGCCACCAAGAGTTGCTTGGGGTCTGGCACGCTGTTGGGCGGCAAAGCTTTGAGTTGATGACTTGATGGGCACAGTAGGTTGTTCATTAGGCTTCGACTTGACTGGGGAAAGAATCATATCCACAACAATTTGCGCCTTGGAGGCTCCGTCGGCCTGCTCTGATAAAATATTCGCTTCATCTGCCAGAACTTCATGGAATGGTCGATAGACAATATCCTCAGGCAGTGGCACTGCCGGCGTGAGACCGGCTTTCTCCTCATCAGCTACTTCTCGGTAAGTGCTTGTATGCTGCTTTGGTCTAGCAGTCCAGGGCCCAACATCGCACTTCATGCACAATTTCTTCAGATTTCTGGTGTAGAGGTTTGTTCTGCCTCCTCGCATGCCGACTGAGAGGAACTGGTTGGGCTCCGGATGCCTCTCGCGGAGAGATGGTGTCATTTCCTCGGATTGAGGTACCCAGCCACAAGTGAAGAACGGGTGTTGCACGATGGTGTCCGGATCAGGTCTTTTTTCAGCTGATTGAAGCAGTTCAGTAACGAGGTTCTTGGTTTCTTCTGAAATGAAGTTCTCAGACGTGTCCAATTTTGGCCAATCATACTCTCGCTCTCGAGCTCTGCGGTATATTTCGTCTGCTGTGGCCGACTGAAAAGGGGGCTTGCCAGTGAGCATTGCAAAAATAATAATGCCTAAACTCCAGATATCCACAGCATGATCGTGGCCACCCTTATCTTTGGATAAGATCTCGGGGGCAATGTAGTTCGGTGTACCACAAAGTGTTGTTCGTCGGCAAGCCTGCCAATCCTTGCCGGACATGAGAAGAGCTGCTAGTCCGAAGTCACCAACTTTGACATTCATATCCTTGTCCAGAAAGATGTTTCCCATCTTGAGATCCCGATGGATAATGCCTTTAGCATGCATGTACTTAATTGCACCAGCCATTTGAACTGTCCAAAACCGTACTTCGGGTTCGGTGATGTACTTTCGCTTTTTGACCATGTCCATCAAAGATCCATTTGGGCAGAGCTCCAGAACGATGTAGGTGCACTTTTCGTAAGAGAAAGCTCTGTGGAATTGGACGATATTGGCGTGGTTCATTTTGGAATGGATTTGGAGCTCCGTCTGGAACTTCTGCTCCATTTTCTTCTGTGGCATGTGACTCTTCACGATCTTAAGGGCGTATCTTTTTTTCGTGCCAACGAGTTGTCCATCGTAGCAGATTGCAAATCCTCCCTTGCCAAGGCATTTGCCAGTTTTATAGATTGCGCCATTGGGACGATCGGTACCTGTGCGACAACACAGTTAGCCAAATGGGCCACTTCAAATCGCCCAAGTATGATTGAAGACACTGAAAGCAATGGCGGTTCTTACTTGGCGGTTCCCGAACTTCTTCCGGGGGAGGAGGTGGATGATCCTTCTCCTTGTTGTTTGCCAGTCTTGGAGCTTGCTTCGACTTCAGTGCCGCTTGTTTGACCCGGATATGGGCATTGGCATCTCTAGGCGATAGGGCCTCCATGTCGATACCTTCTGGATATATGCACCTATTATGGTCCGTGGTATCAGCGAATATCACAAGATCAATGCAGAATATTGAGACTCACTCCCAGGCTAAAAATGGCCGGGCTCGCTCGAACAGGATATCCGTGGACTGGTGATAGGTATGGCCCTCGATTTCAATGTCCTCAGATGGTTTGAGGTATTGAAAACTTGTTCGGCCAAGGTCTTGAACAGCTTGCTTTTCATCCGGGTCGTGGCAGCAATAGATCTGGACAGCGCGATAGTTAGTAAAGAAGGTTAAAGTATGAGATACTGATGCACGCTCGCAGTCCCTGGGCACAGCAAGAGTTTGGCAAAGAATGCGTCCTATAATGTCGTAGGTTTCTCTTGGACATTCAGCACCAACCCCCCATCTCTGGAGTCGGATATAGAGAAGCTGATCCGTCCAAAGGTAGGGTTCTCGAATGAACACGCCTGGTTGTAACTTCAAAGCTTCTGGCAACTGGGAACTGCGACGCCTCTGAAGTTCTCGGACAATTTGAGGACATATACCACCACCTCTTGCTATCCAATTATCCGGTGCGCCGAATGTATCCTCCATATCAAGCTCTTGCAGTGCGACGGATCATGAGAGACAAGCTTACTGTTTATATGCGACTCGGGCACGCTTTAGGGAAAGTCGGATGGGGTGAATTAATGGCGTCGCAAATGTCGTGAGTTATAGTTCGACATTGGTGGGAGGATTAAGGGCGTCGTGCTGTTGATTGTCGGTCGTATGTTGAGGACCTCGATTTTTTGATGTGCACGATCAACTCCTTCCCTGACCGTGATCGGTAAATAAGCTAGACGTGGGTTCGGCGTTGGCATGGCAACCACGACCATGAATGCTTACCTAAGGATCATCGCGAACCCAATCTTACAGCCCTCAGTTGCCTGGACTCGCAGAAGTTAACCAAATGTGCAGAAATGTCGATATAAATTTTGGACAATGGGCTTGCAATATACACGCAGGACGATTGATTCCCCAAGTCGATGAAACAGTTGTGTTCAAAGGCGACTTCAGAGCATCGAGCCAAGCGTCTTGGATGGTAGACTTCTCTTGAGCAGCATGGTCCCTCTTCCACTCTTCAAACTCGGAGCCCTCTTCGTGAGGCAGATCTCGAAATATGGCGCCGTGAGTTTACGAATAGGAGATGAGAAAAAGCTCCGAGATGGAAGCTAATTTGTGCCAGAATTACATCAAATCCCAAGCCCATGACCACCCTAAATTTCGAACCTATGCTGCACGATATGGACAGACCATCCACCAGATCAACATGCGAATGACAGTCAAGCTGCTGAAAGACTCTGCAGCAGAGAAACGAGCCAAAGAGAAAGCAGAAGCTCCTACGGTCAAAACGGAAGAGCAGACACGGCATGATGCGGAACAAAAGGAGAAGAATGCCCAGAAGGAAAAGACGGCAAATCAAGAGGCGTCGAAGAGCATATGGAAGCGAAAATTTAGACCACTACCAGAAGCTAAAGCTGTGGATTTGTTCGCAGATGTTATTGGAGATACCTTCGTTCTCCTCGTTGCTGGTGGTTTGATCATTTACGAGTATGTCAGGTCTAAAGGCAAACCGGACGCCAATGCAGAGAAGATCGCCGAGTTAAATCTGAAGCTGGAGGCATTGGATGCTCGAGAGAAGCAGTTGGAAGAATCAGAGAAGGAGCAGCAGACTCGGGTTGAAACCCTGGAGCAAGCAATCGAGGAGATGAGAAAAGCAAGCAGCGGGAAGAAGTCCTTGGCATTTTCTCGCTCATGAAGCAATAGCAGCCTCCATAGGTGCTTGCTTCAAGGATGAGCCAAAGAAGCGTATTAAGCTTCAAATGGCACATCGTTGTTACAAATACGATGCCCTATTGTAAGAATAGATGGGTATTCCATGCCACCATACTGCGGTTCGTATAGAAAGGATATGCGGAAGGGCAAAGACATTCTTCCTGCCGCCTGTATAATCAACTCTCCATAGAAGAAAATCTCCAAGAATATATTGCTTTTGTTCTCCGTCTACATGTTTGGAATTGGTTCTGCGTTTTGCGATTTGCGATTTGGAGATCTGGAGGGCTTTTCGCTAAAGCTGGTATTCTTGCTACAGGTGTCCTTCCCAAAGTAGACATTCTGGGTCCATAACTCTTCCGCTCATATTCTACAGTCATTGATCATCTACTACAGCGCACTTTCTACGCCTCCATCTCAGCGACAGGCCAAGACGCCCAGGAAGGTGTTCCAGCTGCCCATTTCTTGTATTCTGCCACAATTCCAGAGAACCAAAAAGGGTCAGCATCAGCATGTTCTGCACCTCTCTTCGAAAGCGTCCTGAATGGGCAACTGTTCCCAATGTGCTCCTTTCTTCTCAAAAGCCACGATGGAGAGGTCAGTGTATATGTCTCTCCCATCCTATCGCAGATTAAGCTAACCTTTCATAGAGCAATCTCTCACAACCCACGATCTCGCGATCCCTGTTCCAAATGGTGATGGGCCCCTCGACACCTTCCTCTTTCTCACCCTTTCTCCTTCTGATACGCAGCCACCAGCATCAGCACTGGCCCGTATCCAGCACCTCTACCATCATACTGGCGGTCGCAATGTAGGCATTGTCTTCCTGCTGAATGAGAAGATAGCCAAGGGAAATGGGACGATAGCCTTGATGGATCTACAAGTCAGGTAAGCTCCTTAGTCTAGGGAGGTATCAAAAAATCTACTGACTCCAACCAGCATCTTCTCCACTCTCGAAATGCCCATCATCCCCCTCTTCTGTCTCTCTACCCTTCAGAAAACCCTCTCAGACTTCCAGTTCCAACTCGTGCAGAAACGCCGGACTGCAGTACCTTCCCCTATCAAATCAGTCATCTCTCTCCTTCCATATTGTACCAACAACCCACCACTTCCAGAACATGCCCGAAATGTTGTCAGTGACATCTGTTACTGCTTGGGAGATGTTGCTCGTGCTGCTACGACTGCAGATGGACAGCAGGGTTTGAAGGAATGGCTTGACGTGACGTTGCCAGGAGCTGCACAGGACATCATTGATTTCTGGGAGGAAGAGATCATTGTGTATTGATTTTTTGTGAACGATTACAAGATCCTACAACGATGGCGTGCAGATTCAAGACGGCTTTATCTATGCCATGCTTCCAGCTCCAAGATGGCTTCGAAGGTCGGATGCTAGCACAAGCATAGTATGTACAAGTACGGAAATCTGTAGACCATGAATATAGCTCTCAAATCAACTAGCTGCTCGATCTACCTTACCTTTCCAGGACACTGAGAGAAGTAACTGACGGGACGGGACGATCCCCTATCACTTAGTACCAGCGCCTCATACTATACTAAGGATACCCGAATCACATTCCATCTCACTCTTATAAAATCGCTAGGGCATACATAAGCATAATATCCATCACATTCGATGCCATTCGAATATGCGTATTAAAAACAAAAGGCCCCTCAAGTCCCTCGTGCCCAGCAATAACCCCTCCATACCCACTTCCCCACCACGTATGCTGGAACCATGACGTATTTTCCGGCCCACGAGCCTCACAAACCCGAAACAGGGCTCAGCTGAGGGCCGGGGCATCAGTCAGGCACAAGGCCGATCCATCCATACAGAAATGAATAAATGTATCAATTATCCTCGCCAAGCAAGACAGTTGTCTGGAAGTGACACAAAGTGAAAGAAAGGAAGAGCATTGTTCCCCACAATTGGCCCGGCGCAGTGCTTGTCGCGTGAGAAATACACCCCTGTCTTGCCATGACGTAGGGTCCCGAGCGAGCTAGAGCCCGCCAGGAACCTCTCGTCTCTCGCTCCAGTCGATCGATCAGCTCACGATCTGCCCTGCCGCCTGACCTGATCCGACAGCTACAAAACCACATTCCTCCCCTCCATTGGAACCTTCTTCTTCTTCATACAAACAGAACTTCAACCACAACACACCACAGCACTTCCACACTCAACAATTCTTGAGATCTCTCTACCGATCTCAACCCTACTACAATCAAAACAAACAATCAACACCAACCAATACCCCCCAAACTCAGCCATCATGGTTCGCGGAGAAGCATCAATCGTCAAGTGCCACTACAAGGGCAAGACCGAGGACTTTGTCATCTTCGTCGACGACCTCGAGTCTGCTCAGAAGTGGAAGACCGACAAGAGCATCCCTCTCGCTCAGGTCGTCAGCTCCTTCAAGGTGTTCGTTAGCAAGTACGTTGTCATCTCGTTCTGCTCATTGTGTTTGTTTGTTCTGCTCGACCCGTGTTCCAAATTACCCCTCACTTACGGTGCAGCACCACCCATCATCCAGCCATTTACCCCACCACACACTGCTGCACAGCAGACTTCACTTCACTTCACATTACTTTCCATATTTTCCATCTTCTCTGGCACTGAGATATTGTTGCTCATATTTCACTACTCATTTACAATGTCCCCTACTTCACCAAAGAACGAGTACATGACCAGGATGCTAACATGCATCCCCCCACAGGCAAGGCAAGCAAGGTCCCCTCGACGGTGCCTCCAACCAAACCCTCGAGACCGAGTTCGGTACCAGTCAGGAGGAAGAGGTCATCAAGCAGATCATCGAGAAGGGAACCATGCAAGAGACTGAGGTATTTACACATCCAGCCTCCCCTCTGTCCACTCCTCTCCACCTCGCAAAACAAGTAACTGACCCACCTTCCCAATACCAGGGCGTCGCTCGACAAGGCACCAAGAACGACAGCATGGGCTCCCGCGCCGGCCACTAAGCGGCTTTGGCCTATCCCTCCTCACTCGGAAAGAGTGAGTGCAGGATGTGTACGATAGAACATTTGACATGGGCGGCTGGGCAGGCAGGGAGGAAATCGGGATATGAGGACCTTGACCTTTGAATTTGATTGACTGGTAGCCATAGTAGAGCATCTACTTGCTTACTTGCTACCGACTCACTCTTATTACTACTGGCGATGATTTGGCTGGCTAGCTTGCATTAAAAAGAGCAGCTGGTAAATCGGGAGGCTGGCGATATTATGACCTGATGAGATGATGATGGATGGGTACCTGCTGTAGGTAGTTAGGCACCCGATCCTCTGTATTCAATGAGAAATCCATAAAATGCATCATGCCTTAAGGAACAACTGCCTTGTGACATGATCTCTGTAATTTTCTTGCATGGTGCCTTGCCCAACCCATGCTGATCGCGAGTGAGCAATTCGACAACTTCCCTGACGTGAGGACTGAGATACAGTATATGATATGACAAGTTGTATGTTCCCTAGGGTGCAATAGTACCTACTGTCCTTCCAAAAATCTAATCAATACAATCGAAACCCCGAGTCACTCAACGAGTCTCAATGCTTCATAACGCTATCCCAAGTATATCATTAACAAGAAGTAACCATCTCCCTAGACCCATAAGGCTCTCTCTTCAACGGAAGAAATTCCTGATGCCCTCAGCGACACCAACACGTTTACCCAGGCCCGATCCTCTTCCCTTCTCTTTCTCCTTCTCCTTCTTGGCGTGCTTACTTGCAGTTCCCAGCAAATCCATCTTCTGACGCGATTGAACTTGTGGAACATTCTCTTTCTCTTCGAATTTCTCCTCGATCATCAGATCAGTCATGGTTGACATGGGTGTGGGAGTGATCCTGTTCATCGGAACACTGTTCGCACTTGATGTTCGAAGTGGAGGCGTGATGATTCGCTGACCATCATGACTCCAACTCTTGACTTTGAGTGTAGCCAGTCTCCGCAGCGTACTGGCAGAGCTTCCGGTAGCGCCAACGGGCATGCTGGCGGAGTTCTCGATAGGTTCTGAGTGCAGCAGCTGCTCCTTCTCGTCTTGAATGACTGACAGCCGAGATCGTGCGGGATCGTCGCTTTCAGGCAACTGATTGGGCTCACTGTGACATTCACCTCGAGATGGAGTGGCTCTTGGGATGTCGTGCTCGCCGGATTCGTCGTCTTCAGCCGTCATATGAAGACTGGCCATGCTGCCTGAGCGCTTGGTGAAGTTGCTTGCAATGCTTGCAACACTGAGTTTCCGCATCATTGAACTGGCAGACGCGCGAACAAGATGCTCGCTGCGTGCTCGACTGGTCATACCTGGGTAAGGCAAAATATCCCTGGTCCATACATCTGCCAGAAGGGCTTCGAGCCGAATGCGGTCAGCTCGTGCTGGTGCAAGGACGGGGATCCGGTTCGTTGTGAGGAGGGATTGGGATCTGTTTATCGAAGCACACGATGCTGTCTCTTTGAAGGCGTTTGTGTTCTTGATGATGACTTGACAAAGTCCAGACATTGAGCCAACGGTAGTGGCTCTGTGTATTGAGATTCTTCTAGCAATAGTGCCTGATGTGGTGTCAGATTACAGCTACTCCTTAGTATTTGGGATTTACCAGGCTTCCCAAAAACTGCCCCCATCGGTTTAACGGGTATTAGCAATGATGTAAAGAATGCTTGCTCTCCTGTATCAAGAGTGTCTCTGCCAGACCGATCCGCCAATCGACTTCGCCATTCGAGCTCCTCCTTTGGAGAGCATGCGCTCATTGTGATCTCAAATAACTGATGGTCGCATTCAAAAACTAATTTCCACGAGCAAGGTGCAGTGTGACATTGCAAGCCTGGAAGTGGAAGTAGTTAATGACAGACTTTCGGTGATACTGATGGGAGGCGCATACCTCTACCATTATCAACCTCTTCAATTCGAACCTCGCTGAGTCTGATACAAGCTTGGACCGTGTATATCTGGTCATTCTTGGCCGCCGATGCAAGAAGAAGAAAGTCTCGATAGAGGAGACATATCATGTACTGGCCATCGACTCCATTTATCGTTTGCCATGAGACATGAAGAACTCCACAGAGATGGATGTGGCCAAGTGTACGAATAGACGTCTTTGACCGAGCGCCGGGCTAAAACAGTAAGTATGTTACGAAATTCTATGCCGATTTATCCTTACCATATCGGGAAATATGAGGCGATCTTGCAGAAGCCAGGACTTTTCAATGGTAGCCTTCATCCTTGGGTCATCGGTTGCGCGATTGATTTCAGTTGTTGCCTCTCGAAGTCGAATGAGGACATTGTCGATCTCCATATGCGAGTCTGGGCAGTCACAGACAGGTGTCTGCTTCAGCAATTCTGAGAATAGTAAAGGGTATTTGCACACACGCTGGATTGGCTGTTAAAAATCAGCAAACTTGGCCGAGAACGAAGTCTTCTAAGATGCACCTTGACCAATAGATCCCCAATTGTCAAAGCTTTTTTCGAACTGTCATTTTGGCTATTGATTGAGGCCAGAGATGAAGCAAGGGCCTCGAATCCCCTCTGATACGTCTCCCACTGAGGAATGGTTCTGTATGTATTGGCAACGTCTTTAATCATCATCTCATATTTGGCCCCGTACTCCTCGTAGACAAAGAATCGATTCATCTGTCAGATATTTTGTGAGTAGTGTAATTATCTGGGGCGGTTTATAATACCTTCTTGCCAAATACTCTAGCAACGTCGGCTGCAACCTTGGGCTCTGCGGTCATTCCTGGAATTTTTTGAAGCCAAGATGTGCCTCCTACATGCTCAGGAACTGCATCAAGACTTCGCCAGCGATGGTGTGCATGACTCGTGGTTTTTATCGTCAATTCGGCACTTTTCTGCGTGTATTCGGAGTGAGGTACTGCTCGGTGAAGCTCGCCTAGCAAATCTTCGTGAAGTTCAACAATATCATTAAGGTTTCGATTGATAGAAGCTCGCAAGTTCAAAGACAGGCTCGGCATCGAAGCAAGAAGAGTGACATAGACCTGAGATCTGTCAGATCAATTGCAACCGCTAGTAGGCGGAATACGAACGTTCATGAGAAACCTGACATCAGCTAGGTAGCTCTCTTCGGTGGTAATTATCTCCTCCAGTACTTTCCGTCGTTGGAGGAGACGGTTTGTAACAGCTTGGTCAATAACGGCACCGCTAGCAATGTAAGAACTGTCTTCGGAAAGACGACCAACGTTTGAGGCTTTGCTGCTACGATCTGTTCTCTGATGACGAGAAGATACTCCTGTTTTTCTTGAATGTGGAGCAACACTGAAGCTTGCGAGACTGATGCTAGCACTTTTGACAGCCGTAACAAATCCGAAAGATGATCCTGACGAGGACTTCTTATGGGCTGAACGTCGGCGCGTACTTGGCGTATCGAATAACTCGTGCTCCAGAGCTGAGCTGGTCATATCGCAGCTGACGGTTTTTCGTCTATCATTAGTCCGTCTTTGGAGACTCCTCACCCATTTATTGAAAGGTCGCTCTCCGTCCAATGGCAATGAGCGATTGCCAAAAGGGTCGTTCTCTTCCAAGGAGAATCGTTGAAGTTTGACTGGCGGTGGTGACTGCGTATCATCGGGGTTGAAGGACAATCCCAAGGCAGTTATGTTATCCAACGTATTCCAACCCTCGCCTTTTTCGCTGCCACTTGAGCCTTCGCTCTTCGATTGGAGATTGACTTCATCAAAAACTGCTTCTTGAGATACATCTTCAGCAGTAGCTTTCTGGCTCGAAGGGGGAGGAATCGGGGTTCCCCAGCTTGTCTTTCGAGGAATATGCGTCGAGTTGTGGCGGGAAAGTGTTGGAGTTGACAGTCCGACAGAGGTCATAACATTAAGTCCAGCATCTGGCAGATCCATGATGCACTGGCAAGGATCCAAAATGTAAATACAAAATTGCTCCAAACGTCCAAGAAAGGTCAGGTCTTTGATAGAGAAAGACCGGTCTACAATGAAGAAGAAGAATGGTATGTGAGTGACCAAGATTGTGAAGCATAATTGAAAGAGCACAATCTTGGGAAGTGGCATCACTTGAAGCGTATCGACAGTGACTGGATGAGGCAAGAGCGAATTTGCAGCGACGACTGCTATGTTAAATCCTGCCTCGAAATTTACAATACAACAGAGCAGGGATTATGAGAAGCGACTTAGCACCCAATTTGTCTTTTAACAGAGCTCATTTTCAAACTGAAGTACTTGCTCCAAGCGCGCTAATCGTCAAGCATGGCTGGAGCCGAGCTATTTCAGTATGAGAGAAACCGAAACGAGCTCTACAACATATCATGGTGCCACCAAACAAACTTGGTTTTCACGCATTGCCCCTGGTTGAGACTCAATACTATAATGAGTGGGTTGTCAAGTACGGAGGTAGAGGCATGGTAACCTTAACCGTAATTGGCTTAGTCATCATCACAATCTACCCCGCCAACACGTCCCCCATCGCAGCCTGGGAGCAAGGCTGAACAAAAGCAGGCTGCCCTCCGAACTCAAAACTGCGCATCAGAACGAGATATGGGACTCCCATTGAGAATGGAGAATCTTCACGCACCAACAGTCCCTTCTGGACCTACATCTGGCCCTGCGACGAATGGAACACAAACGAGCGGCTTGACTTTGGCACAGCTCCAGGCAAAGAAAGACAACCTTGAGGCCGAGATCAGAGCTTTGGGAGGAGTTTTGGACTCTGTATGTGCGATCATTGGAAACTGACCCTATGCTGATAGGAGCAGCATGGCGTGGATATTAATACGAGACTGCTTACTCCGGATGGATTTCCTCGAGCAGACTTGGATGTAGCGCAGAGTATGGAACCGCATTCTGGCACCAGCAGATACTGATAGCTTACCAGTTCGAACGACACGAGCACGGATCATCTACCTAAAGAACGATCACAAAGCTCTCATGAGCGTCATCGAGAAACACATCCACGAGCACTTTGCACGGTTAGCAGAGAATGGTTCAGAGGATGAGCCCACGACCGACAGGAGCAGCTCGGTAATGGATCTCCCGTCAGCTTCAGAACCACAAACATTAAGCGCTCCTTTCGCGAAGGTCAACAGCGTTGTGGCAGATAGTCCAGCTGAGTCTGCAGGCTTGAAAGCAGGAGATCAGATTAGGGTGTTTGGATATGTCAACAATACGAACCATGATGAGTTGAAGAGGGTTGCTGAGTGCGTTCAGGGCAACGAGGGTGTAAGCTTCCACGCTCAACACGATATCCTGCGACCCAAACTGACTGTAATAGCGGGAGGTTCTTGTCAAAGTCTCTAGAGCGATCAGTGGCAGCTCGAGAAAGCAGGAGCTGCAGCTAAGTCTGACGCCAAGCCGAAATTGGGGAGGACGGGGTCTTCTTGGATGTCATATTCTTCCTCTCTGACTGTCGTAGAGCATTGGAGACAACATTCGTTAAATTGATAGTGTGATTTCAGAGCGCAGGTGTTCCATGGATGGCGTTAGGATCGGAAATAGATAAATCTAAGTGCAGGATGACATCGCAGAAATAAATATTCGTCCCATTGTAAGTATCTCGGTATAGTGAGTGAAGTCTCTAGAAGCATGCGAACGTGACCTGCGTGGTTCTATACCTAAAAAGATGTCTGAGAAGGCAGGACTTCGAACTCGGAATTGAATTGCATGTTATGGCAAGACGAATCGTGGAAATTTCCAGCTGCAAGTAGGTACCTACCTACCTAGGCAGGCGCTTGGGCATGATCACGTGCTTCGCTTAGTTTAGCTTTTTCGAACAGCGCCAGCCTCTTTGCCTGCCAAAACATCCTCGCAACTTCGAGAGAGATCAACTCATACTCCACCACGTCCACAATCGAAACACCGCAACAAAGGTTGGCACCCCGTCATTATTCACCGCTGCGCAGGATCCTGTTCTACCTTTCTGCCACTACATGTATGTCTGCTAACAACGTTATCGCAGCCTAAAGCGATCCTGATAGACTGTTTACCTCGTCCACAACTTCACAATCACATCAACAATCATGGCCGAAGCAGCGTCGACCATCCCTACCTTCAAGCTCGTACTTGTCGGTGATGGAGGAACCGGAAAGGTAAGTCTTATCGACTTGCTGGATGCGCTGCTGTTATTGATGCAGGATGGAAAGTGCAAGAACCACGCTGCCTACATTTCAGCATCGACGGTTCATCACGGCCTAAAGCTATGGCTAACACATGTTTAGACTACCTTCGTCAAGCGTCATTTGACCGGAGAGTTCGAGAAGAAGTACATCGCGACTCTCGGTGTCGAGGTTCACCCTCTCGGATTCAGCACAGTATGGCTATCACCCCACCACGAGCTCATTGGGCGCGGCTAATAACTTGGTTAGAACTTGGGCAATATTCAGTTCGATGTCTGGGATACTGCAGGACAGGAGAAGTTCGGCGGTCTCCGTGATGGATACTACATCAACGGCCAATGCGGTATCATCATGTTCGACGTTACCTCTAGAATCACCTACAAGAACGTTCCCAACTGGCACCGTATGTATTATGCGACATGGAAAGGGTACAAGTGAAGATACTGACGAAACTGGCTCAGGTGACTTGGTCCGTGTCTGCGAGAATATTCCCATCGTCCTCACCGGCAACAAGGTTGATGTCAAGGAGCGAAAGGTCAAGGCCAAGACAATCACCTTCCACCGAAAGAAAAACCTTCAATACTACGATATCTCCGCCAAGTCCAACTACAACTTCGAGAAGCCCTTCCTGTGGCTCGCACGAAAGCTGGTCGGAAACGCCACTCTTGTACGTCTCTGGCACATACTCTTTTATGCACATACTGACTACCCCCATAGGAATTCGTTGCTGCCCCCGCCCTTGCTCCACCTACCGCAACTGTTGACGCTGAGTTGCTCGCCCAATACCAGCAGGAGATGAATGATGCTGCCCAAATGCCCCTTCCAGATGAGGATGATGCCGATTTGTAGACTGCGCAACGCCATCTCGTGGAGGCAATAGCGATCTTTTCTTAGCAGCATCTTAGAAAGTTCTTTTTCGGCGATATTTGCATGTTTTGTCCGTCAGTCTTACAGATAGAGACAGATGACAACGAGTCCTTTTTATTTTCTGGGCAGGGATATCTCGCATGCAGCGGGCATGTTGAGAAGGATGGAAGGAAGGATGGATGGGAGGGACTTTTATGAACAACGAAGCAAAACGTTGGAGGTAGCAATGACTTCAGACACAGCTGCTTAGCAGCTTATGTAGCTAGACCCAAAAAGCCAGCAGTCCTTTTGATTCGGCCATTAAAGAAGATCTCAGGCACATCTCCACCAGTGATACTTTTTGCGCCCATCTCCTATTAGTCACATGGCAAGTGCCTCGCATTGCCCCAAGCTTTCACAATCAAGTAACCTTCCTTATTTAGTGGTGTCTCTTATCTTTCAAAGTCAAACAAAGACTGCCAGACGCTGTTAATTTCTGTTGCTCAGAGAGGTTGATTCTAACTTTTAAGCAGGTCGATGTAACATTACTAACCCCACCAGGAAGGTAGAAAGATTACCTAGTTACCCCTCCCTTCGTCGTCATACATATTGTCAGGGCCTTGAACATGGCTTTTCTTCTGGAGATCTGAAGAACGATGGTATCATCGAAATCTACAGCATGATCAGTAAATATCGATACAAAAATGTTTTAAGAATTTCTCCTGGGGTGGAGTGCCAGTCAGGCAGAAATGTTCAGTTCCTCGCTCAGAGGATGGCAACGATCTTCTTACGATCGACTCTGTTGTGTCCATCCGGATTATTTATTGCAGATGTTTTGAGGGCGATTCTCTTTGAGTCAAGCTTTATTGCCAAATTACGTTCTAGAATGCTTATAATGGCATGGGGCAACCTCGTAAGCTTTCCATGCCGGCTTTCCACATTCCCTTCTAGGTGCTTGATCCCCCACTCAACGTGGCATGGGCTTCATATATTATAACTTTGTCGGCGTGCAAGACTCGGACAATTTAATTGGAACCCCTGCTCCCCGTTGATCTGTTCGAACATCTGGTCATTCGATCGACATGGGAGCATCCTCGAAGTTGAGTTTGCTCGGCTTCGGCTCGAAATCATCCTGACATTGTCTATCACTTCACGGAAGCTCCGGTAGAAGATCACTAGTGTGTGCTGCATGTTGGAGCAGCTATTTGAGCTACAACAGAGCTACCCCTCCAAGTCGCTGCAATTTTTCCCTCTGACCTCAAGCATTTTCATCGGACAAGACAAAGAGTGTGGTCTCGATTTCTCTTCCTATATGCTAAACATGATTCTGTATTTTGTATCATCGTTGGCACTGTTTGCAGGGGTGAATGGTATTCGTTATACCCAGCCAAATCTTCAAGCCAGATCTCTTGACAACCATAAGTTGGCAAGACAGCTGCCCGCGAATCCAACAGGATTGAAGACTATCATCACTCCTCAGAATGTGACGATCAGGTACAAGGAACCAGGCAAGGAGGGAGTTTGTGAGACGACTCCCGGAGTCAACTCTTACTCTGGTTACATTGATCTCGATGTAAGAATCATATGGTATGAAGACTTTCCGGGTGACTGATGGATCGTAGGAGAACTCGCATACATTTTTCTGGTTCTTTGAAGCGAGGAACAACCCCAAGGATGCACCCATCACGCTTTGGCTTAATGGCGGCCCAGGATCGGATTCTCTGATCGGATTGTTTGAAGGTCGGTGTGCATTCCGTGGTTTAAGGATGAAAACTTATTTCATTTTCTCCCAGAACTTGGCCCGTGTAATGTTACTGCGAACCTTACAACGCAGGTCAATCCATACTCTTGGACCGAGGTCTCGAACATGCTATTCCTGTCACAGCCACTAGGAGTTGGATTCTCTTATGGTGCTGAAGGGGAGGGCAGCCTCGACTTAGGTATTATCGACTACTTTATTGTTGCTCGTTTAAGCTAACAATCCTTCAGTGGGTACTTACCAGAACAGCTCAGTAAATGGAGTCGAAGGCCGATACCCAGTAATTAATGCAACAGCGCTCGACACTACGGACCTGTCAGCTGTCGCTGCCTGGCACGTTCTGCAAGGATTTCTAGGCGGACTTCCACAACTAGATTCCAGTATAGCTTCCAAAGAATTCAACCTTTGGACGGAGAGTTATGGTGGACATTACGGACCAGGTAAGCTCCTGAAATCAAAACGTACACTTGTCCTAACCGTCATCCTCTAGCTTTCTTCAACTACTTCTACGAACAAAACGAAATGATTGCCAATGGCTCTACTCAGGGAATTCAACTCAACTTCAACTCTCTCGGAATTATCAACGGCATTATCGACGAGTACATCCAAGCTGCACAGTCAGTGTTCTGCAAGATTTCCAGTTTCTGAAGCTCGCTAACTCGATCAACAATAGCTTTCCTGAGTTTGCAGTCAACAGTGAAGCCTTCATTCCGATCTCCTGTACACGTATAACTAATTAAAAGTATAGATACCTACGGGATCAAAGCAGTCAATGATACTGGTGAGTACAGTCTATGTATATCCATTGCCTACTAGGGATTTTCAGCTAACAATGTCAGTTTACAACTACCAGAAGTTTGCACTGTGAGGATCTAAGGCACATTTCGTTGAGCAATTGCTGATAACTACCAGCAATATGATCTCCGGTTGTCTCGATCAGCTCAGAATGTGCAGAGGAACAAACCTCACAAGTCTTTCCGACCAAGCTGTCTGTACCGAGGCAGAGAACATGTGTAGAGACAACGTCGAAGGACCGTACTATTACTACTCTGGACGAGGGGCGTACGATATCCGACATCCAGCAGATGATCCAACGCCACCAGATTACTACGTTGAGTACCTTAACATGGACTCTACGCGAAATGCCCTTGGAGTCAACCTCAATTATAGCCAGTCGAATAATGAAATCTACTACGCCTTCCAACAGACAGGAGACTTTGTGTACCCCAATTTCATCGAGGATCTGGAAATTTTGTTGAATAACAGCGTTAGAGTGTCTTTAATCTACGGTGATGCTGACTACATTTGCAATTGGTAGGATTTACAGCCATCTGTCATGCAGCTATGGAGCATTGCTGATACTATAACAGGTTTGGAGGCCAAGCAGTCTCCCTTGGCGTCAATTACAAATACAAAGAGGAGTTTGCAGCTGCTGGTTATGCACCATTTATGGTAGATGGTACAGAATATGGCGAAGTTCGTCAACGTGGAAATTTCTCTTTCACCAGAGTCTATGAGGTATGTTGCTTTGCCCTTCTCACCCGTAGATTCTTCCTGCTCATCTGATTGACAAAATGAAGGCTGGCCACAAAGTTCCCTACTATCAACCAATAGCCAGTCTTGAGCTATTCCGGCGAACTCTTCTGGGCTTGGATCTGGCGAATGGTAATCTAAGACTATCCGCCAACTACACGACCACGGGAACGGCAAACTCGACCCATACAGAATCTTTCGTTGCATTACCCTCAACCTCATCTAGCGAGGCAATTGGAGCGTCAACAATGACATCTAGTGCGGCACCATCTACCACTGTTGCACCTCAAGTCGTTGAATGGTGAAGCTCATCCAGGAGTTGGAGGTGTGGTGTGGAGACTTCATAATCATAGAGTCAATGAAACTTGCAACATGGCATTAGCCAAAATATGATAGATATTGCTTTAGCATGGCCTTATTTCCAAAGCTGCAGCTGGCTTTGACAAAAATTGCTGTACTTTGGAAAGTCAGATTCGTTGACTTCAAGCACTCAGTGGGATATCTCAAATGGGACCCTGCCAATTGTGTCTCTGGGGATACTCTCGCCATGCATAGAATTTCTATATTGATATTTCGGCTTCTCATGAAATGTTCGTAAATGTTCGTCAAACTGTGGACGCGTTAATGGAGTTTCATAGACGAGACATTTGTTGCTGTGTTGATAGGACGCGATGTTGACTTAGAGCCTGAAGTGGGTTGGGCCGGGCGGAATTTCTTCGGCCCTGCACCTCGCAACGCGACTTGAACATTGGCGAACGCGCCTCTCCGCTCTTCAATATCTCCTTCACTGCTGTCCATATCCCAACATCAATTGAGCTTCCACGACCCGAATTCTTTCCAAATCACTACGATACAATATTGACTAAAACATACACCTTTACGCGCATTGGTATGTTATGAATATCAGCCAAAATGAGCGACGCGATCCTACCTCCACCCCGCCGCCACTCCTCTGCTGCTCCGGCCACGGCAGTACGCACTCACTCGGATTCCAGCTCTGGTGATGGAGATTTCGAGACGTGCTTGGAACAGTCTACTGGTTATGCTGCTAGGGGAGAGGTAATCGGCGATTCTGAAGGAAGGTCGGATAATAAGCAGAAGAGGAAGAGAACCAGGTACGTTTGTGGGAAGCACACTTAAATATAGCGCCGTCTTCCCTATTCATTGTGGAAAATCCCAGATTCATATGTATTCTATAACTAGTGCCAAATATGTGCTAACATGCTATGTCACAGTCCTGCGGACCAGGCCATCCTAGAGGCCGAGTATAAACAGAATCCCAAACCAAACAAGTTAGCACGCGCCGAAATTGTAGAGAAGGTCTCCTTGAACGAGAAAGAAGTACAGGTCGGAATCCACTCTCAGACGCGATTCCTGGACTACCAGGCGCGTCGGCATAGCTATATCCAGTAACTGACGTATTTCAGATATGGTTTCAGAACAGAAGACAAATAAACAGACGCAAATCACGCCCGTTATTACCTCACGAGATCGCAGCATTTGGATTGGGAGGTATGGCTGCACTTTCCTCTGACCCAGCATCTATGGCAGGATACAGCAGCAGTCCAAGTATGGAGGAGACCGAGCCAAGTTCGCAAGCAGACGTCAATACCAGCCAAGAAGAATCAGAAAGCCGCCAGGATGTTGTACAAGAAGCTGCTCTGCCCAAACCAGCGGAACGCTCTGTGGAAATCGAAAAGAAAGTCGACGCGGAGGTGGCAGCTGTTGTTGAAGAGGTTGTTGCAACACTGCCACCACCGTTATTTCGCCAGACCTCATCTGGAGCCTCTATCACCGAGTCTAGCTCATTTCCCGCACCGGAAGCTACCACTAAATCATTCTCATCCACACCCGGATATCTTGCAAATCGATGGAACGCTTACAACAGCTCATTCTCTACTCCTGCGTCCTCTCAAGCTGCTGTATTTACAACACCCGCGATGTAAGTTCAGCCAATACATTGGTGCTACCATGCTAACAAATGGATTTAGTTTCAAAGCAACCCAGCCAAATTCATGCCCAGAGCGTATTGATGAGACTATATCCTCATCCTCATCTAATGTTCGACTATCACTCTCTTTAGACGGCAAGGCAGAGCTCATCTCGACCACTCCATCACCACCACGCCACTACGCTACCCGTCCTACTTCCTCCTCAGGCTCCATGCTGCCTCAGAGAAGAATGGGTTTGCAGAGAAGTCAGAGTGCAATCTTATTTGGACCCTGCCATTCCAGTACACAACCTGGAGTATCCTTAATGCCTCGATTGCCTACTGGGCGATCGAGAGACGCTCGAACCTGGGAAACTTGCTGTGACGGAGAGGTCCGAGACGAACTTACTACTCTCGCCGAAAATGAGTCCCATGGCTCTGCCGTGGCAGCTATTAGTCTTATTCGTTCCAGCAGTAGCGCTGCTCTCAAGGCGAACCCTAACAAGCGTAACGCACCAGCTATGAAGCATGATTCTGCTAAGCAAGGCAAGAAACAAAAGCTTGGAAGATCAGTATCCAGTGTTGCCAGATTGCAGAATCCCAGCAAGATTTCTTCAAACGCAGCTCCAGATCCATCTGACTACACAAAAGACGGTCTCTTGCGATCACCTTCTGGAGATTCAGATAAGGAAAACTGGCTGCCACGTGAGAATGGAGGAAATCCTCGGCGCAGGCCGCTTCCCAGCAGCCGATCAGATAAGCAGCCTCAATCTCGAACTGTGCTTGGCGAGAACAAGAACATACCAACTCATGCCGATTTCGGTGGCAATAGAAATAGGAAGCGAAAGCCAGTGGCGGAGCACGCGATCTTTGAGGATCCGGAGAACAGTACAGAGGTGGGCGAAGAAGTTGAGAAGTTTATGCGTGGTGAGGTCAGCCCGAGTAAAAAGGGTGATCTGGACTGCATTCAAGGATTGCTTTCTCTCAGCCAGGGCAATTGGCGGTAGCAAGACATGTTTTGACACTTTGGGCTGAAGATAATGTGGCAGTACTCGCTCATATTTGGGTTTTGCTTTCGGCGGCGCGAGGTAACCGGCATTGGGTTGGAGTTTTGGGGATGATGGATCAATTTCCATGTTTGAATTCTGTTCTGAATACCTCGGATACCAAGATTAGCAACGTTATGAGTTTTATCAGGGGAATATCCTCTTTATCTTATCCTTCGACTGGCCATTGCTTACTTGCCTCATCGTTCGCCACGCCAGAGCCCAAGTGGAGCTCCTGCCTGCTCATTTTGAATCTTGCATGATTGGCACATGGTTTCAGTCTGCGTAATTTACTCCGATATTCAATCTATTGCCTCCAGAACTTGGCACCGCTTTCCCCCTTGTTCCTCGACTTCCTTGGTATGGAGGTTCTGTTTTCACCCATATCAGCACTTCCCCCTTGTCCCATGCTCATTCACTGCTTTATTCTGGACTTGTATAAGCCCGCCTTATGAAACTAGCGTCCGCTCCAACCCGCTGTCCTCCACGAACAACACCATCCAGTCTCCCATCGATCCTCCCAATTACCTGCATTACATGCGAGTCACATTCGATTCCCGTTTCGACAGCGCCCTGAATCAGACGATCACCGTGGATTCGTCAAAAAACATCCGCAAAATCTGTCAACACCTCAGTCTCAGCACACAGCTCGAAACACCTTGACATTCACACCACAAGAATCCTTCAATGTCCAGTTCCGATACTGGCGGACAGGTCCACCAAGATTCTTCACGGCATTCTGGAAAGGCATGGCAGCAAGTTCTACAAAGAAAGGATGGTTGACATCGCTGGTTCCTCCAGCGACTGCTCGCGCCAGAACAACATGCCGATTCATCAATGCCAGACCCATCACTTACCTCACGGTTCCTCAAATCTCCTTCGCATCAAACATTCGTCGTAAACCAGAAAAGGCTGTCTATTTGAGCACTAACGTCGAAAGTCAACGAGTCCCTGTCCGAAGTTCAACTGGGACCTCGTTGGAAGACCATAGCAACAGAGCCTTACTTGAGCTCGCCAACAACATCAGCACACTCAGCCTCAACGTGTCCTCTGACGGCATTGCTTACGAAGTTATTGGTGACCACACCTCGTCACAAGGCACCTCTTCCAGAATCCAAGGCCTAGACACGGCTTCTACAGACCGGAATACCCAGCAGCAATCCTACCATGGCCCTATCCACTTTCACCGCAGATCCCACAAGAACATTCACAGTCACAATATTCTTTCCGATCCATCGCCATTGACTTCTGACTGTCGAAAGTACGCCATTCCAAAACCTCACTCACATCCTCCCGAGCCTCTCAAAATCGCCCCAGACCCGAGAGCGCACATCCGACCCTCCACACCCGAGCCCATCAGTCCAACAACGATCAAAACTCGTCTTGCAAAACTCGTCGACGATCAGAACTGGGATACTGATTGTGCGGAGCGCGAGCGCCGGAACCCTTTCCCACATCTCGATCAGAATTCTGGCTGGAATAGAGCTTTTTGTGCTGTCAAGATGTACTTCTCCAGCGAGTGGACACCCTATGACAACGACGGCACTCTTAAAGGCGCGCTTGAAGAAATGACTCACATCAAGCGGTGCTTCGCCAGATTCAGTTTGAGGGCTCAGCGAGAGGCAATGGTGTTCGATGAAGAGGATCTGCGTGGAGAGAACGGCTGGGGAAGAGTCTTCGATGTGGTGTTCAGAGGGGAAGGTGTGGGACTATGCTGGGCTCGAAGTCCTGGGAGCTGGCATGCTGTCAAGCCTGGTCTTCTGACATGTTGTAGGAGTGTTTCGTTCTATGACGAGGTGTTGGATCGGACAGAGGGCATTCGTGAGAGAGTACGAGCTTGGAGAGCGCTGCAGGCCTCATTCTCTAAGCGGAGATTCGAAACCCTCTGGCCAGGTTACCAGGATAAGGAGAGATTCCAGAGAACTTGGTTGGGCTGGAAAGCGACATCAGGACTTTACGACTCTGAGACAGGAGTGAAGAGAGTCCGTCTACGTGGGCGAGAGCCAGAGAAAATCGCAAGTGAGAAGTGGTGTGCTAGGCGAAGAGAGCAAGAGAAGAAGGCCGGTCGTTGGCTAGACGGTACGATTCGGCAGGATCGCCTGTGGGCTGAGTTCCACTGGGTACTGAATGAGGATGATCCGAGACAGCATATGTGGCCCGGATATTATCGATACTACTACAGAAATGGTTTAAGGTACTGGTATCGGATTTAGAATTGACAGGGGAAGGTAGAGACGTGGAGGACAATTTTGCATATTACAAACCGAAGCATCGACTTTGGATAATGGCGATGGCATTTTGCATACTAAACATCATCTATCATTAGCCTACTTTATTGATCCTCGAAGGGGGCTTCACCGTTGATTATGGGATGGAGGTTAAAAGCAAGCGTTGAGTTTCTACAAACTATTATTATTACCTCAAAAATGACACAGCATGATATTCTCAAAAAGTCTTCATCCGCCAACATGACTTGATTATTGGATTGGTATATTCTCCTATTGTCCGCACAACGTATCGGAGCGAACATTTACCTAATGCCTGCGCGAACACGTCTTGATCCGTAAACAAGCTGTCGAGTGACGTCAAGCATCGTGGGAATATGACGTCGACATGATTCTTGTAGCTCACTTGCAGAAAATACTGGACTGGAGGGCTAGTTACAGATCGGACTCTATTTTTGGTGGTCCTGTTGTCGAGGAATTCTGGCGCCCTGTTGATTTGTTTGCAAACCACCTTTCTCCAACGACACCAGGATGATGCTGATATATGGTAGATATCTTCAAAATATAACCGCAAGACGTAATAGATAACATTTCTAAGAAAAATCCTAATGACTCTAATATATATCTGACCAGTAAGTACGCGCAATCAGTAAGCGCATATCCCAGATTCGATTTCCAGACCAGACTACTGACCCTTTGATATAACCAATTAACCAAACTCTCTGCATCCGTGGGCGGCCACGGCAGTGGTTCAGGTCAAAGCGGGGGGGGTTCAACGTACACGAACACCAATTAACGGCGGATCGAGTTGGAAACTTATTCAGTTAGGTTTGTAGATTGGAACCTCACACCCATCCGAGTGTGAGCTTCCAACTGAGTTTTGCATTCTCTGAATTTTTTCCTGCCACCGTGGTTCTTTAGAAGGAGACGAGACAATGTTTTTAAGAGAGAAAGATTTTTGTTTTTGTTTTTGTTTTTGTTGATTGTTTTTGTTTTCTCCGTTAAGCGAGAGCCGGTGCACATAAACAAAACGGCTGCGGCATGAGCCACAACTAAAGGAGATTCTACATAATGCGAGTCTTGAGCTGAGTCGGCTTAGAATATCAATCTTATCTGCACCCAATGCTACTCAAAGGAAACTCTCGAGGAATGAATCTTTTTCTTAGTGTTCTCTGCTGTGCTTGTATTACATTTGAACCACCAAGTCGTCGCGACAAATTGAAAGACATGCTGAAGCTTGATTCGAAACACGTATTAGCAGTCAGATATCAGCTAATCTCATAGCTCCCTCACTTGTATTCATTGAGGTGATCTTGTCATTTCGATGAAGATTGAGAAACGAAATCACTGGTTGTTGTTTCCCATTTTGGTGGGTAAGCCATCTTAACTTTAAAGAGTCAAATCCTTGGGCGAGAAGCAGGGACTTAAACAACTTCTGGATGAAGTATGAGCCCGTAGCTAGACCAATTCAACTTGCCTGGGGACGGTAAGTACAGATTCCAATAGTGGCAGGTGAATGGCACTGGGTGCATGCTCTCCATCTACGATTAAACCTCATAAATTCGGCCGAGATAAGCTTTCTATCCTGGCCCAAGATGAGAAGAAGAAAAAAGAACACCAAAATGCAATCCTCAAAGTGAGGCCGATCAATCACGTTTTGCAAGAACATACCAAGCTAGTACCAATCGCTCGAGATTCTCACTTTCAGAATAGAGTTAGATGACCGAAATTGACGATAGTCTTTAGCCATTCTTCGAGATGTGGCTTATTCCTTTCAGACGGAGGATGATCGCGTCATTGACTCGCGTTCGTCTGGCATAATCATTCTCAATGCACGATAATGCAACATTTCCATGACAGCTTGATATGTGATAAACAGGGCATATATCGAGGTTCACGTGACGATTCGAATAACCCGAACAAGCTGGAGGATGAATGCCCTTGTCCCAACGAGTGAGAATGCGGCACGAGTATCCTTGTGGGAAACACACCGCTGTTTCCACACGGGTCGCCGCGTCCTTCTCGTTTCTACTTGGGACCTAAAGAATGTGATATAACTCTGTTGGTAATGTGGAAGCGAAGCGGAGATTGCGAATTGGCAGGAACAAGGCGGGCCGAGGTGGGAAGCTGCAGATACACCGGCAGATAGCCGTCTCAAGAATGTTCGCGCAACCCGAGGCTCATACTTGTGTTTTGATTGTGCTGGTGCGGGGAAAAGGAATATCAAATCAAAGATTTCTATCAACTTTGAGACAGGACTGGCGCTTAGCAATAATGCTCTGCTTGCTTTGAAATTGCTTTCTGACGGGTCTTTGATATTATCCGGATATGAACGGAATGCAGGGTACGATGGTACTTTGAGACATTTTGGATGAAGAAAAATGTGATGGGGTGTGCTCCGGCTGATACTTCACCCCACTCGGCGTGCTCATATCAGACCGACAGAGTTACTTCCTGGAGCGTTGAACACCTGTGGGAAATCTGACTTGTCGAGTTTTCTGACCCAGGAAAGAAAGAGATGATGTGAGCGCAGATAGCGGATTGATCATAAATGCTCTCCTGGTGTGACTCGACTCGGCCCAAATTGAACCTACCCCACGCTCTCCAGGTAGGACAGAGGCACTGCAAGACACGTTATCTTCCAGCGCAAATAGCTCCGAGAGGCACCAGAGGCGCCTGTCGGGTCACAAAGGTGCGGCAGCTGGACCAGCGTCCCATTATTACGAGTGTGGTACAATGGATCAGAGATGCTTGTTGTGCTGAAAATTGAGGGGACGCTTGAGGCGAAGAGACTTGATATGAAGGCGAGTGGGTGCTAGTGATTGTGATGCCCTGGTAAGCCTCTGCATTCTGCATGTAAATAGTTCCTTTTAGGGTGCAAGTGCAGATGCAGCACAGGAGATCGGGCATCCTCTGCAGGTCACGCAGGGCGCTGGGAAGAGAGGCGACAGAGGTCGCTGGCCAGGGCAAGTCGTAGTGGTGTGAGGTGGAAAAGGTACATGCATGCATGTGAGTGCCTTGACTTGGAGGAAGAGGTGTATAGCGGTTGGAGGCCAAGTGGATACCTTAGGAAGTATGTAAGATACCTACAGGACGAATGGATTGGTTAAGCAGGTAATATGTAGGTAGGTCAAAGAGATGCATCGCAGGGGTACTTATAAGAGGCGAGGAGGGGAGGGGAGGATAAGAGGATAAGAGGATAAGAGGATAAGAGGATAAGAGGATAAGAGGATAAGAGGATAAGAGGATAAGAGGATAAGAGGATAAGAGGATAAGAGGATAAGAGGATAAGAGGATAAGGCATCGATGTCGTTGAAGTTAGGTAGGCACTATGACTATGACTATGACTATGACTATGACTAGCGACTCTTGTCACAATGAAAATGCTAATGCTAATGCTACAGTAATGCCAATGCTACCTTAGCCGATGACAGAGTGGAGTAGATTTTGACTTCTGAGGAAGCCCCAGCGCCCCTAAGGTAGGTAACTCGTCTGAACTCACTTCACTCCACTGCCACTCTACTCCACTCTATTCTCTCCAGCTTCCATTCGCTCCCCGGCATCACAGCATCACAGCATCTCAGCATCACAGCATCTCACTTGCTCCCTTTGATACACACTCGCTCATGTTGCTGACTCGTGGCGTCTCCTTTCTTGCATCTGAAGGCCAAGCGCCAGTGGTTCAGCCACTGCACCTGCACTGCACTGCACTGTACGTAAATTTACAGGCAAAGCACTACTACTACTGTAGCACTAGCCCAAACCCCTAGCCCAAACCCTGGACACATCACTGCACATCGCATCCCACGTTCCGCGCCCCGCTCTGGCTGGCTGGCCGGCGCTCCATTGACGACACTCCTTCCACCACCACTACCACCACCACTACCCTTACCCTCGAGAGCTGCTGCATCTGATTCATTCCCCACTGCAGACGTCCTGCCCTGTCCTGTCCTGCACACCTCAACTCCTCCACACCGGCCTACTCCCCTCCACATCCAGCCCAGCACTGCTGCTGCAAGACGACCAGCGAACGAACGAACGAACGAACGAGCGAACTCGAGGACCAATTCGCTTCGATCTGGGACGCATTGCCCACGGGGAGACGCCTCATCGGCCCATTCCATTTCACTCTCCAATCCTTCGCCCACTCAGCCGGCCGGCCCCCTCTTGTACGCTTCACATCCACACCCTCGTCCGCTCCTGGCAGACATACTCCGTCCCTAGGCTTCAGATCTTTGCCAGGTGTCTGTCGACCTGGCTAATTGCCCACAACCTGCTTCGCGAACACAAGAACCCCTCTTGCGCTGGATCCCGCACTCGTACGCCCTCACCTCGACACCAGATTCCTCGTTCATCCGACCGTATCTGTTGATCGTGGTCGTCGCACTCACTCGATTATCGATGCTACACAAAACCACTAGATTTTCAGACTTCACTTCGCATGGGATATAAAGTCTCCAGAAGGAGCTTGTAGCAGACCAGACCGTGATGTCGGTTCAGAATCCTTTGACTCCCCCAAACGATGGTTCCGCAGAGGCAGGCGCTTTCGAGAGTGGTGTAATATTCACATCAATAGCGAATCAATTCCCGGCTCACGGACCGTTGGGAACACCCGCCAGTATGGGTAACGATAGTCCCGAAGAGAGGGCGGATGGGGGGAGTAGGGAGTCACCCACTTCGAGCGATGAGGATCAAGACATGTCGGACGGGGGCGCTACCTTGACGATGACACTTTCGCATGCCGAGGCATTGAATAACGAGATGGATATGCTGGATGCTGAATTAATGGGCCACAACAACATGATGGACATCTCAGGTGTTGACCCATACGATACAGAATTATATATCAATGGGCTATCAGACGACGATCCCCCGAGCCCATGGTCGATTTCGGACGGCGCGCAGCAGCCACAGGTTTTTCCAATACCTGGAAATCTGTCGCCCGCAATGTTGGAAGTAACGCAAGTACTGCAGCATTTACAGGATGGACAGAATGGACAAGAACATGAGGAGTTAGCAGACGAGGTGGATGACTTGCATGGGGAACATTTTCAGCACAGTACTCCCTCCATTCTCTTACCATTTTTCCAGAATTTCCAGAATTCGAGTGCCAGCGTTGGTGGTACCCCGCCAAGCTATGTTTCCATGTCCCAAATTGCTCCGGCAACTCAGCCGACGACGCAGCAGGCGTGGCCTGGCTCTTTGGAAGCTTGGATGAACCCCTCCCAAGTCCTTCCTCAGTCCTCCCAGGTCCCTAACCCAATAATTCCTCATGTTTCTGTGGCGGATCTTGATGAAATGTCGGATGCTGACCATCCCGAAGTGGAAGACCAGGCCAATCTCAGCCTCGCACAGTTCCTAGAAAGCTGGGGCACGTCTGCTGCTTCGTCCAATGCTCGAAGTACGGATTCCAGACATCGCGCGAGAGGACCGTCATTGGCATCACTTCACGAGCAAAGACGTGAGAGGCCAAAACCGATGGAGCGAAGCGATCTTCAAGGAGAACGGTGTGACATTCAAAGAATCAATTGGGGAAGTCTTGGGGTGAGTAGGGCAATGGCTAGGCAGCAAAGACGAGCAACGTACAGGAACTACACGAACTTGAGGATGGAGCGGCAGTGGCATGTAAGTGAGAATTTCCTCATAACTTCAGCAAAGACTAACAGGTCAGCCTCGTCTCAATGGTGCCCGCCTAGAAGATGACCAAGACTTCTTCAGATTCCGACGTATGGATTTCAACCATGAGATCAACTTGGCTCACTTTCAATTGAGAAATCTCATGGCCTGTGCATCTCGTGATCATATTTTCTATGCAGGGAGATCAAAGATTCTACACTGGAACCCTCACAGCGGCTCGCCTCACCCCGATGTGGCCATGGATCTCACCAATCCTACGGTGCAACCTGCCCACTTCCTGCCTGCCCCGACTCGTGGAATACAGCTGTCGACATTGACTGTTGATCATGACATTCTCGTTGGTGGCGGGTTCAGTGGAGAATACGCCTTGGCAAATTTGAGAGCTCAGAAGGATGCACCTCACACGGAGGGGCTTGTCACAGAAAACACTAACAGCATTACAAACCACATTCAGGTGCATCTCGCGCCGAACTCTAACGCTCCTTTGGTTGCTTTTGCTTCCAATGACAATTACATGCGGGTCCTCGATGTTGGCACGAACACATTCATCGCGTCACACCATTACGACTGTGCGATAAACTGCACCACAATTTCTCCAGATCAACGCCTTAGAGTCCTAGTTGGCGATACGGAACGAGTCATGATTTGTAATGCCGAAACTGGCGAAATCTTGCAAAGTCTAGATGGTCACAGAGACTACGGATTTTCATGTGATTGGGCAGATGATGGCTGGACGGTCGCAACTGGTAACCAAGACATGCAAGTTAAGATCTGGGACGCCAGAAAGTGGACGAACAGCTCTGGACTTGCTCAATGCGTTGCTACCGTAGCAGCTGACATGGCAGGTGTGAGGAAACTCAAGTTTTCACCGCTGGGGTCTGGCAAGAGGGTCCTTCTCGCTGCCGAGCCAGCGGATATCATCAGCGTGATTGATGGAGAATCGTTCACTAGCAAGCAGACATTGAGCTTTTTTGGAGAGATTGGTGGTGTGGACTTCACCAATGATGGGCAAGATCTCCTCGTTGCCAACTGCGACGACATGAGAGGGGGATTGATGCAGTATGAACGATGTGGTCTTGCCACACATGGGCTTTACGGTCTCGAGAACTATACTCCTGGGCGGAATAGTCGAAGCAGGCGGCGAGGCGAAGGTCATGACTGGAAGCGAACTGATGAGGAAGTGGTCAGGCATCCCAGAGCGAAAGGAACCGAGGAGCAGCGACACAGAAGAGCTGCAAAGCTTGGTGTCGCGATGGGATTTTTCTAGATGAGCGAGCAACACTGTACAGACCGCTGCTCCTCACTTGGACCAAGCCGCATCTCAACTTCAAGGTTGGATTTTCTACTCAGCGCCTTTATATAAGTTTTCCTTTTTGTCATTTCATGATACCATGGGTCGGGATGGACACGAACTAGGGGATGGCGCAGGAGTTTTGGTATCGAATATCTCACATTAGAAGTCAAGGACGGGACAGCGTCATGCACTCACTCAGACACGGTCATATCCACTACATTCTTGATGTATGTTACGAGTATGTTTGCCGCATACAGCATTTCCAGGCGTCATTCAGTCCTTCATTTACCTTATATGTTCCTTTCAGGGAAGGGCAAGGACGGTGCATCGGATAGGTGTGATGCATGGTGAGCCCGGTGCTCGACCTGGGGAGGGAAGTTTGCATTGTTTTCTTCATATGGGGGTTCTTCAGCATGGAGTTTTCGGGCAATGCAGGAGGAACATTGCATTAGGGATATATACACTTGGGAAGGATACGATACGATGCGATACGACAACTGCGATTCTTGCGCGTTTTATTCTTGATGATAATACATTCGATGGATTACATTCATTTCTCTGCCTGGATGTTTTCAACCTTTCCACCAGTGGAGATAGCATGGGAGATAAGCACTGAGAAGTACTTCTGGTACTAATACAAGCGAAGAGGAGATGAGAGAGGATAATCGTCGGCGGATGGGTGGGGGTAGTTCTAGGTATATACAACTTGTGGTAGTAATTGTTATAAAAGCTTTTTCTGATCCGAATCAGCCTCAGTGCTTTTGTTGAATCGAGAAATGACCCGACGACAACCCTATGAAGTCACGTCGCGAGGCGAGGCCCAGGCTCCAGATTTCACGATCTTCACTTCTCTATCCTCTTCGGATCTTCCATCAATGTTGCTAGCAGATCCTTTGCTACAATGAAAACTCAACATCTTCCCCTTTTCCCTCCTGATTCCTGAAACGAGTAGTGTCAAGTTTCAAGTGTAAATTGACTTTTCCATTTATTCACGATGTAACCTCAGACGGAGGACAATGCAGACCAGGCTCGTGCTCATTGTAAATTACTGTAATGTAAAACTTAATTGACTGTGAAGTATAGACATAGAGCTCCGTAGTGGCGAGATAGAGAATGCTAGAAGTGCCGAAGATCTAGAAAGTAGGTCAATGATGTGCCAAGCGGGATAAGGAGACTTCTAGAATTGAATACTGCAGTGGTGTGATATTTGTTTCCTGTGCTGTTCCGGTTCAAGGCGAAAGTAGGCAGGGAGGGACAGAATCGAATGTTTGCAGGACAACCAACATTATAGAAGAGTCATATTGATCAGGCATATAGGTTAATAATGTAGCAACTATGAATGCATGTATGTGTGTTGATTTGTTGGAATTTCGAAGACCGAAAATTACAGTACTGCAGACCGAGCCCCCTTTTCCAAAATCTCGCTCCTCGCACCCCAAGCGAGAGGCTGCATCTGCAAAGATTGATCACATCCAGAAACACAGCAAGTAAAGGAACTTCTGTTTTTACCTGAACATCAAAATTTCATAAAAAATCTTTCTAGAATAATTCCCCAAAGGACAAATCAGCATCATTACCCGTCATTCCGTCAAAGCCCGTTCAGTTTCCTCGGCGCGCATAAATACCCAGCCAGCGCTTGGCCAATTGCCAATGCCAACACTGCCAACAGCCGAAGTCTCCAAGCTTGACATGACATGGCAAGCAATCTCCTTCGCTCTCATCTTTCTCGCGCGCTAAGCGCTTTCTGGGAGGGTGATCCCGTTCATCCAAATTTGGGTTTGGCCAGGGAGCCAGGGACTGAGATGATGTGTGTGGAGGAAAGGCTAATTTTAAAGATTAGGTTGGGCCATGTTTGCCTTTTTGTGCTTGGATGGATGTGAGTGATGAGCAAGTGATTTGACGTGAGGCGCTTTGATGCAACTGTCAGAGATGCAAAAGATATACGTAGACGGGCTGACATGATGGAGGGCCTAGAAAAAAAAATCATGGACTGGATAAATAACACCTGATATGCAGGCGAAGAAATGAGCTGAACACGTTGTTGATTTGTTCACAAAGTAAACAAGTCAGAGCAAGGATTAAATATTAATACCCAGCGGTTGGACCCAGATCGGCATCTCCATGCAGACTGTGAATGGCTTCACCCGTGAAATTGCCCGGCATAGGCGACCACCAAAGCCACAACTCACCAATCCAGCCTGCCAGCCTGCCAGCCTGCCAAACAGCCTTACCAGGAAGAGGAGCGGTATTTGCAATCCTCTCACTGGTTGAGATTATTATTTCTCCCCCTCCACCAACTCTTCCAGATTCAACAGACCAGCGCACCAAGCCAAGTTCAAGTGCAGCTTAGTTGGCGACCCAAGTTACCAGTTACCCAACACGAGAAAAGAGATTGAGGGCTTGAGCCTATCCAGTAGCGTGGCCCAATGGCGTCTAGTCAGGCACAGAAGGGCTTCCCCCGCAAATTACAGCGGCGGGACAATGTCGCTAAATGCACCGACTGGCTAAAGTGGGCGACCAGCATGCATAGAGGTAAGTTATATGCGTGCGTGCGTGCGTGCATGCAAACAAAGGGGAGGGGATCTGACCTCCTTTTCACATCTAGACTTGGCCTGGATACACGTCTAGACAGCCAGCCCTAGGAGCAATAGGGAATCTGTAGTTAGTTTTGGTTGGAGGTCTTGGGCAGAGAGAAGTAATTTATCTAGGTACCTTACCTTATGGTTCGAAAATTCTGTGTTGTGACAAGGGCTTATCATTTGATGAGATGCTCGACTCAGGGTTGTCCCTGGCTGTCTGTTGTCTGTTGTCCATTATTGTCCAATGTCCATGGAGAGCCAGTCGAGCCACTCTCCTTTCCCTCTCCAAGCCGGTCGCAGTTCCTGTCCCCTGTCACCGTCGCCCACTTCGTCTGGTCTTGTTTGCTTGGGCTGCCCACCCGCTTGTCCAATAATGTCCAGTCCTGCGCCAGCCAACTTCCGTGCACCCTGTCAATAGGCCGCCGGCGCCAAGACGTCCATTTCGCCTTTGACTACTCAACGCCCCAGCTTCGAGTCGCTTCTTCTTCTCTTCTTCCCTTTTTCTCTCTCCCTCCCTCCCTGCTGGCTCGTCGTTGATGTCGTGATCCTCAAGTCGCCTTCACCCCATCCTTCGTTTCTCCTCAATAACCACCGCTTCACTCTTTCAGCGGGCACTCGTTAACGTCTATTTCAACGCGCCGAAAAATTACATTCTTGCCAAGGAATCCCATCCCAACCACAATCGTTCAAGATGAAGGCTGGTGTTTTTGCTGTCGCTGCCGCGCTGGCTGGAGGCGCCTCTGCTCAACCTGGAAAGCATGCCCGTCGCCATGCTCACGAGGCTTTCCATGAGAGAGGATTGTACTTGACTGCCGTCACTGGTACTGGTTCTGCTCCTGAGCCAACCTGTGGTTGCACAACCATCTACACCACCGTTACTGGAGAAGGCACTAGTAAGTCGGATCCTGGATAGCGTTCTTCGAAGAAGACATTATTCGGAAGAAGACGCGCTTACACTCAAATCTAGTCATCTTCCCTTCCCCCACGTACGCTGCCAACACCACCTCCGTTGCTGCTCCTCCAACTTCGACCTACGTCCCAGTTCCTACTACCTACCCTTCCCCAGTTGTCCCAACTCCTCTCGCGACAACCTGCCCTACTCCAGGTGTTTACACCATCCCAGCCACAACCGTCACTCTGACTGAGTCGACCACCGTCTGCGGCGCTACTTCAACTGAGGTCCCAGTCGGTACTCACACTGCTGGAGGTGTCACAACTGTTGTTGAGAAGGAGACAACTGTTGTCTGCCCATACGCTGCCATTGAGACCAACTCAAATGTTACTACTAGCGTTATCAAGACTACCACCTACGTCTGCCCATCCGCTGGAACCTACACGATTGCCCCATTGACCACCACCGTCACTGAGTCCACCGTCTGGGTCTACCCAACTCCAGCTTCGTATGCCCCAGGAACATACACCCAGCCAGAGGTCGTTACCACCGTCACCGAGACCAACTACGTTGTGGTCTGCCCATTCACCTCCCCAGCCCCTGTTAAGCCAACTTCAACTCCAGTTGCTGCCCCTACCTACGAGGCCCCAGCTCCAGTTGTTACCTACGAGGCCAAGCCAACTATCGCTGCTGCTCCCCCCAAGAACACTCCAACCAAGCCCAACGGACAACTTGGATCCTCAGGACCACAATGGGCCATCACCTACTCCCCATACCAGAACAACGGACAGTGCAAGGATGCCTCATCTGTCGCCAGTGACATTGCTAAGATCGCCAAGGCTGGATTCTCCACCGTCCGCATCTACAGCTCTGACTGCTCTGGTCTCGAGAACATCGGAGCTGCTTGCGAGGCTCACGGACTCAAGATTATCCTCGGTATCTTCATCAGCGGCACCGGAATCTCTGGAGCTGCCGAGCAAGTGACCGATATCATCTCCTGGAACAAGTGGAGCATGGTCGACCTCGTTGTCATTGGTAACGAGGCCGTCTTCTCCGGATCCTGCTCCGGCGTTGAGCTCGCTGCTTTCATCGTCTCCTGCAAGACCGCCTTCAAGGCTGCTGGTTACTCTGGACCCGTCACCACCACCGAGACCCTTGATGTCTGGGAAAAGAACGCCGCCGTCCTCTGCCCTGTCGTCGATGTCGTTGGCTGCAACATCCACCCCTTCTTCAACGCCGATGTTGACGCTGAGCACGCCGGTGAGTTCGTCGCCTCCCAACTCAAGCTCGTCGATGGTCTTTGCCCAGGCAAGTACGGACTCAACCTCGAGACCGGATGGCCATCCGCCGGAACCTGCAACGGAAAGGCTTGCCCCGGTAAGGCCGAGCAAGTCACCGCCATCAAGGGCATCGAGGCTGCCGTCGGAGGCAAGTCCGTCATGTTCTCCATGTACAATGACCTCTGGAAGGAGCCAGGTGCGTTCGGTTGCGAGCAGAGCTGGGGTGCCATCCAGATCTTCGGCCAGTAAATATTTCGTCCCCCGTCGGACCTTGCACACGACCCTGCACGCGCATGTACATCATCATCATCTTCTTGTCTCTCCTTTTTTGTGTGTTCTCCTGAAATGAAAGGGAAAGCTTGTGTATATGGAATGGAATAAGGAATACTGCATGGAAAAGGCAGGATTTGGTTGAATACTGGATTGAATGGAATGGAATGGAATTGTATCGCGTCTCAGCAAAATCTATCGATCGATCCATCGATTTACGTGTTTATGATCCAAGAGTGTTTCTCCTATGGACGATATTGAAATAGGAATGCCTTGACACGCAAAATTTCGAGATTCGAGTCCGGGATACCATCAAATCTATCGGCCATCTTGTGCGTATGGATCTGTCTGTGTGTGAATAATGATGTGGATGGTATGATATGGTACGTGTTCTGTTGTTGAGTAGTAAGTAAGTAGGAGAGCATTGCGTGCGTGCATATTGAGTAATTGGTCTTTTGAATTTGAACGATTGGGGGGGGCTTGTGTTATACCTTACCTTTGTAACTTTTAGTGTTTATTACGTATCTGAAGAATTTACCTCTTTGATCGGTCGCAGTTATATTTTCCCCCTCCCTCTTTTATGTTCATATCATGTTATTGTTCTCTCTTCTCCCAGGCACCTAAATATGGTGGAAGGTGTGGGCAGTTCCTCAAGTGAGAGTTGATGAATAAGGTAACACAGTCAATCAAGGAGAGAGAAATATAGGTTGGCATTTATTGAGAGTGGAGGAGGAAGAGGAGCCGGAGGAATATGACGGCGAGCTGATCTTGTCTAAAAAATCAACTAAATGAGGTACATTGGCCAAATACAGGTCAGTGAAACCTACCAGCCGGTATACCCAGCATCCATTTCGTAAGTAACACTCAGTCGCGACTTCATTATCTTCAGTTTATCCATTTGTGACTATGAATCTTATCCTGATACTGAATACTCGAATACAGAAAGTTCCGATCCTTGGTGACGCCAACTGCCTCGCTTACGAACAAAGGGGTATTGATATCAACTGCACTAGTGCTGATACTTCTCCCGACCCTGCAAACCCTCTTCATAAAACAACACGATATACAAACAAACCGAAGCCTAGAAATGCTGCCGATGCTAGGCGAAACAACTCCTAAACTTCTCCAGAAACGACTGTTTTGGCTTCTCAGCACCCTTCCCCTTCTCCAAGGGCTCACCCGGATTTCGACTCGCATTCGCAGCTACATCCACCCCACCCACGGCGTTCGTATTTACACTGCCATTCCCATTCGCTTTCGCATGGCTTCTCCTCTCAGTAATCGAACTCCCGACTGCGAGCTTCACACTCTGCGGATTCCAAAACACATCACCTGGATCAACAACACCCTTAATAGCCTCCAGCCTTGGCAAATTGGTCCCCCAATACGCCTGCTGTCCATTTGGAAGCTCAGGATCCACATACCCAGCATACGCGCCGAAATCACCTCCACCAGGCATACCATCTTTCACGACGTTGCTCAAACCCCTCAAGAAGTTCTTCGTCGTGTTCGATACCTTTGGAACACCGACTGCGTATGATTGCATGTAGAAGAGTGCGTCTCGGTGTGCGTAAGCTGTGGCATCTTGTGGAACGTCGTTGATGGCTCCGCCTTCGAGGTCGAAGATCACGAACCAGATGAGCGTGCCCTTTTTGGCTTTGTCCATGTATGTCAGGATCTTGTCGATGGCTTCATCTGGGATGAGGTTGCAGCCATTGAAAGCGAGACTCTTTGTGTAAAGCGGCGCTGGCAATCCTCCTCCAATCTGCAGAGCGAAATCTTCTGCCCAGTGTCCGACTAATCCCAACCAGTCTTTGAACACGATGGTCTTTTTATCCTGTTTCCCCGGGAATCGACTGTCCATGTTCAACTTATCATACTCTTTCTCTGTACCGAAGAATGTTCCTGAGATCACCATTCCCATCTCAGTGAAGACAAGTCCGCTCGTGAACTTCCTCGTCAAAGTCGGATCCGCAACGAATTTCTGCCATGCTTTAAAGATTGGCGCCATAGACGCATACTTCCCGAAATGGAACGAGAAAGAGAACTCCACTGCTTCTCCTGGCTCAGGTTCAGTCCGAACCACGAACTCGGTAATGACACCAAAACTTGCAACAGCTCCTTTCACAGCCCAGAAAATATCAGAATTCTGAGTCTCTGAGCAACGCTTGATACTTGAATCCGCCAGAACAATCTCGACTTCCACAACGTGATCGAGAGCCGATCCCCATTGTCGAGAGGTTGGTCCAAGGCCTCCAATCGTAGCATGTCCCCCTATTCCGACTTGAGGGCAGGTACCGTGGGACATGGCTCTCTTCCCGGCATCGTGGAGGCGTTTGGTGACATCCCCAAGGAGCGTCCCTCCACCGATCGTCGCACGCCATGTTTTACGGTCCATTGAGAACTGTTGGAAATGTTTCAAATCAATGACCACCGCTCCATCGATACCTCCTATACCTACTCCTCGTCAGCCACTCGTCTCCTCTAACCATTCACCAAGTCATGCCAATTGTCGTACAGATTGGATTGAGAAAAGCGAGGAAGAAGTAAAAACAAACAGTAATTCGCATAGCTATGCCCCCCACACCTCGCCTGCACCTTGCACCCATTCTGCACCGCCGCCCTTACCACCGCCGAGACCTGCTCCTTAGTTTTCGGATACGTCACCGCCGCCGGCTTGACCTGAATATCCAGATTATACGGCTTCGCATCCCTTAACTTATAAAGCGGGTCTCCTGGGAATGCGTATAAATCCGAATCATTCCCCAATGTTGTCTTGATAGCTTTCGCAACGGCGCTTTGGCTGGAGCCCATGCTGACTCTACGGATGGAGTAGCTGGCTGAGGTTGCTGAGCCGGGTCTTGCGACGGGTGAAGAGGGGGAAGAGTTGGTTTGGGTGGGAGTGGGTGTTCGGGTCGAGGTGCGGGTATTTATGTTTGTCTTTGTGTTTGATGGGGAGGGCTCAGCCATTGCTGGCCAGCTGCTTTGTGCCGGATCTTGATTTCGCCAAACAAACAAACACTGTTATTTTCAACCTCGCTTTCCCCAGCCACGTGGCGAGGGGCTTGGATTGAAGCGTTATTGGGATGCTGGATGTTGATCTTGATGTTTCATGTTCTTCATGCTTCAATGGTTCAAGAAACTGGTCTTGGATAGCAGGTACGTCGTGTTGTTTGACTGGCAGGCTTGCAGGGCAGGGAAGGGGCGACTCGCTTAACCCCTGTGAAGTGGTGCGTGGATGAATGTTCCCTGTTCCAACGAGTCTGGGGAATATGTGGAGATGACGTACCTATAAGAACAGACTGTGTATTGGTTGTTTGGGAATTCTGCCTGCAATAATCGTCGGCACTAGTCTATATTATGTGTGGTCTTCTGACGTTGTTTCACTTTGTTATTTGCTTGAGCCGATGGGCGAGATATTCGTGAAGTTGAAGGACGGCTGGAAGTCTGACTACCAGAACTACCATATCTTGAGAGAAGCAAGTACAAAAGTTAAAGTCAATTGAGTTTATTCCGGAAGAGATCGACGGCAAGGTTACGAACGACGATTTTGTAATTTATGCGCAGACCTTTTGCCGTAAATATACCTACTTCCAAAGGACAGCCTGATGGACCTAGAAAATATCGATACTTACAGCTAAATACTACCACGTCTTACGACTAGAAGTCCTGTTATTCAAGCAATATCAATGCATCTGCTTGCTTCCAGGAAATCCGCAATAATCGAAATCATCACGTTTCCAGTCAGCTGCCCTTCCCTTTTCGGAATCTTGCATATTTTTGTTGCACGTCGCAGAATTGACAGCGCTCTCAGCGCACCCAGCGCCCCAGGCGCACCGGGTGCACCGAGCGCATCTGCACATACATGTTTCACCATTCTGATGCGCCAGCGGCGTGGACAGACATTTCTACTGATAGCACAGAAATGTTCTGAACGGTACAAGGTTCCACTCAGGAAGGGCTTTGAAGTCCCTATTCTCGTTTGCAAAGCAGTACCTTCTGTAGACCTGGGCGGGGATTCGTTGGAGAAACTTATTGTCAGCCGAGAGCAAGGGAGCTCCTGAGTGAATGTGAGGCTATTAATTCTCATCACTTCTTCAATCTCCTATTATGAACCTTTGAATGTTCTCAGACTTTACCGAGTTGTGACAAGTTCTAATTGAGTAGAAGTAGTATGTGGGACAAGGCCACAATGCCCCTATCATCTTCGAATTGCTAGCGGACCAAACTTTCTACTTTCCTGGTTCCCGAGCTGGGCCAGCCAGGCAGGCGCACAAAACATATTCAAAACTTACTTATAACGTGTTCATCTGCGAATCAGCAGTCCGTCTAACATCATCACCCTTTTCACCTCATTCCACACTCCAAAAATGCTCGGCCGCCGTATTCTTCACCATTCTTTCCGAGTCGTCAAGGCTTGGACTCGAGAAACCTTCGATCCTACAACTCCGATGGGTAGGAACATGATCGCTGTATCTTGGCCGATTATCCTCTTCACTCCACCGACCTTGGTCATGCAAGCCTACATATATTTGAAGAAACAGCAAGCTCCGACTGTTAAGACACCAGAGAGAGCGATATCCAAGGAGGATGACACGAGGGGACCTACGAAAGACGAGTAATCCAGTATGAATGGCCGTTGTGATACGCCGAGCCCCCTAAGCTGCGTAGAACGAATACCAAAGAGACAGTGGCTAGTCGGCAGATGCGAAAATAGAGACTGCAACCACAACATTAAGTGAGGGATGGAGTGTCAACAAGCACCAGCCGAACGAATTTTCTGCTTGAGTCTGTATCTCTACCTTGTGCACGGGGGTCTCAACGGTCAGTAATGTTATGAAGACTTTATTGTGCATTAAGAATAGTTCTGATCGATAGCAGGAATCAGCGTCGCGACATCGTCGTTGGGCCAAAGGAGCGGTTGCACAGTAGCGGTGGATCGAAATACCTCTTCAAGCCAAACTACCCACTACAAAAGGGCCTACAATCGTAAAACCAGTGGCTGCATTATTTAGAATGAACTCCGATATCACCATCATAATCCTACGAATAGGTCACCTTTGAATCTTCAATTAAATCCCTTAATACAGCAATGGCTTATTGATCAAGCTGCTGGCCGTCCAGCTGATCTTAAAGTCCAATCATTTATCTATCCCTCTACCTGAAGTGGTGTCACTCAAATTCCGAGCCTAGTAACCTTTGCTTGCTCCAACAAAAATACGTCCCACAAGAAATTCATACCCAACCCAATCTGCAACAAGAAATATCATGAATCCAAATCCAAGCCATTCAGACTACTCTCTCTGAAAAGTCACCTATCTTCCTTAAGTCTTCAAGATTCTCCCTGCTCTGAACTATATCCTCGATTTGTAGACCCTGCACCCTTAAAAATACGTCTCCTTGCCGTCTTCCTTGCCATCTTCCTGGCCATCTAGCTTCATTCCAACCTTTCAAATGCCGCTTTTCAAATGCCGCTTCTCCTTGAGGAAAAAGGTTCTCCGCTATGCTCGAAAGACTCGTGATATCTTAGGAAATAACACTGTTTTCTCGTCGTGATCGCGAAGATATAGATCTGCCGAGCTACGTTTGTTGGAGTTTACTCTACATCGGTGTAGTGGTGGGTTGGGAAGTAAGGATGAAAAAGTTTAAGGCGGTTTATGCTTTCTTGACTATAGAACCGACGATATATTGGTGCTTGACGACATGGTTGGTCTTCAATCGACTTAGGGTGGAGTAACTCAGGCAGCCAGAAGGTATTTGCGAAGTCACAATGTCGTATGGTCGTAGAAGCTGGTAATTTTGCGTATGGACTGACGGCTAGGACCAACATTCGTTGATTCTTGATGACCCTGTCCGCTCATACAGCGTTATGAGATCGAGGTTGCAGAGATGTTTTGCTTCGAGTCTAGTCACTCAAATAAGAAGCTGTAGACTGTCGTTGAATATGGTGATAAACCGGAAGAGCTGATATATACTGTAATGATAGGGTGCTCAAAGGTTACAGCTCGGAGGTTGGTCGACAGAGTTCCCACACCGCTTGGTAGCCAGTAGCCGAAGCGTTCCCAAGAGGGGTTCGTAAATGCCTCCTTAAACCGAGCAGTGACATCCCAGGCTCACTGTAGTAAGAGTACAGACTTTGGGAGACACTATCTGCTTCCATGTCCAATTGTGGTGAATCTGGGTTGTTCTACTTAACGACAAGACAACGATGTCTTTCAAGCGGAATGAGAACAGAGGTGAGATTCCAAGCGGCTGTTGAGGTCATTTGAACAATCCTTGCTGAGTAGCTCGGTTGGACTCGTTTGGGCTTGATGGTGATTCTCGACAGAGTAACGGCGGAAGTGACTGACATCTAACAGCAGCCACAGCCTGAAGGGATATTCTCCATCGAGGTGTCGGAGCACGGTGTGCTCAACGACAGGGCTTGTCGATTGAGGGTCTTACAGGGTGCCAAAGGGCCACCACATGCCCCGAAAGTGCTCTTACTTCTTCTCCTTCTTCTCCTCCGCTGGACGAACCGATGGGCCTGTCTCCCGAGGGGGATCGTGTCGTTCTTTGAGGATCGTATCGATGTTCCGGTGGAGGCTAAAACCAGCATTGAACCATACGACTGGTCCTGTGGTGATTGCCAGAACGACACGGTTCCTACCGTCAGGTGTCAGGGCACGCCATGCGGCGCCAGGGCGGAAGAATCGGGAGAAGAAAGACATTTTCAGCAGTGGTCTCTAGGGCTTCAGAAAGATAAAAAATATTTCGCTACGCTGGGATCTGATTGCCGACGGGGCTGGAAGAGGAGGATAAAAGAGAGTCTGAGAGTGCCAGGATCAAATAGCATGTTTACACGCATCATCGCTCTTTCCCGTCACCAAGCTGGCGTCGTCAAAGTAAGGAAATCGCGAATCGCTCATAACTAAGGTCATCCGGTTGGCCTTGAAATGTATATATACTCTTTTGTCAGCGGGATATTACCGATGGGAGCATTTAAGAACGTTTGCCTGCTGGGTTGAGTCTGATCATAGTTGTGCATGAACTCGCTTACGGCGTACTTGTTTACTTAGCCAGTATTTCTGGGACCAGGGGGTATAAAGTTCGCGAATACGAGCAGCAAAGACTGCAGTAGCTAATTAATTTATTGGCAGATTTGAGATCCATCAGATAACTGAATGTCAGGGGCTACAGACTATCGGAGGGAATTCGGACATGTCGAACGAGGTAACAGCGTTCCTGACGTGCTAGTTCGTGTAGGCAACATTTGTGCAGAAGCGATATCGCTGGTGCAACACCATTGGTTTTACTTCACGGACGAGCGAGGTAAGACGGAACCATATATCAATTGCTGATAGCTGGCAATATTGATAGAGTTTCCTGACAAAGTCATCTAGTACTGCTGCCCAACTTAGCTCCGAGATGTTTGATTTAAATTCCGCCATGTCCAAAAGCATGTGGACAAAGGTGATATTTCACATCGCACTTTGACATGCGCAGTGCATCCGGTATGAAGATGGTCCAATGTTCAAGTTTCGAGTTTTTTCGCGATTATTTAGATTCTTTGGTCACTGCAAGTGGAACATCTTGAGGATATTGGTACTCATTATCCATCTCTTGCAAGCGCAGTCCTGAGGCTTCCCTATGATTGGCGCTGAAAGTTTAGCGAACTTCAACATCAACAAAGTCCCAGCTTCTCACCGCAACCTTAATAGACATTTCGAAATAATCTTTTGTACTTTCTTATTATCACTAATATCTCCCTCTTCAACTTATAGCAAGCGTACCTTGACCACATTTTCTTGTTTCACAGCACAGCACAGCTTCACATCTGCACAATAGCACAACAGTACAACAGCGCACGTCACATTCCCCTCGCTGAAATTTCCTCAGATTTCGCCAATTAATTATATTACTTGCTTTATCTTTTCTCCATTCGCATTAATTTCTCATCTATCCGCCAAATAGCTAAGTAATCAGCCCCTCCATCAGTTTCCCCAAGAACAATGCATGCTGTTCGCACGCCACTAAAAGCATGATTTTTCTGCTCTTAAAATACATACATTTGGATATAAATGCCAATGCCAATGAAAGAAATATCCTCCGTATTTATGCGTATGTAAGTGTGTCTATCCTCTTAATCAATATTCTGCATGTCTGCCGTTGCACAACTGCTTGCTTGCCGCCCTGCCTTGCTCCCAAGCAGAAAATGAATCAAGTCGAAACTGAAATATGAACGCTCGAAATGAATGCCACGTAAAAGGTAGATAGAACCATCGCTGGAACCCCAAATAAAGCCTTCCTGATGAGCCACCGTGGTTCTGTTCAGATGTATGAAGTCGTTATTTTGTGAATCGAGGATGATAAAGAAACCAGTGCCTTAAGATGCACTCTGCGCGCGCACTAAGTGCTTAACAACATACCTCACTATCCTTAGCAGAATAGCCAGTGAGTTTGTTAGCGCACTCGATATTCTTCTCGAGAGGTTGGTCGCCACTGTGAGTGCTAGTTTGGAGAGCACCTTGTGGGATAGCTTGCATGGCATCGTCCGTAGAATCAGAAGTCGAAGATGCGGCCTCAGAACCCGTGGACGAATCGTTCTTCTCAGCATCGACCATGACTTCGTCATCATCACCGCTCAAATCAATCTCATCTGGATTGACAACCTTCAGGCTATCGCCCTGCACCTTTGTCGAAGCAGTTCTCACCTCCTCAGCAGAGGCCTCCAAATTCTTAGACTCAACCTCCTGCTCTCTACCTCTATATCCACGCTTCTTACCGCCGGGAAGCTGAAACCATTTGAAAAGTTGTACTCTCGGCTTAGTGATTGAATCCACACCCGAGAGATCTCCATCAATTTCATAAGTCTCAGCCTCGGACTCAGCAGCAGGTTCACTAGCTCCCGCACTTGCAAAACTAGATCGCTCGCTCTTGATCAAACATTGCAAGTCAACGCGTGGAGGGCTAGCCGAGAACTGCAGCTTGGGTCCTCTAGCTTGGAGATTATTCCCTGGGAGGAGAATGTCCTCGTGATCGCTTGTCGATGTGGCCTTGAAGTAATTTCTTGTTGGGGAAGTCTTAGGCGAGATTCTGGAGGAGGTGTTGATGTGGATGGAGCGGGGACGCATTCCGGTATCGACGAAGCCGGGAATGTCGCTTGCGTATTTGGAGCCTGCGAGGCCGATGAGAGATTTGCGTGTCTCGAACTTTGGCGATATGGTCGTTGAGATTGCTGCTGAAGGAGTGGAATTGGCGAGGTCTTTGTTGGTGTTGGAGGCTAGAAGAGCAGCTTCGAGTTCTTGGTTCACTGTGAGAACGGTGATTGATGGACTCATAATTTGGGCAGAGGTCGATGGTGGGAGTGATGAGATTGGAGGCGATGGATCGTCCAATTTTTGTCGATGATCGAAACTTGGGTTGCCTTCAGTATCGGATGAAGTGTTCTGAGATTTGGCATCGGGAGCTTCTGAGGACTCATCGGCAGGAGTCAATGAGCTAGAAGCAGATTTGTGTCCTTCGCCAATGTCACTCTCTGAGCTCCCAGTACCAGATCCACCACTGACTAATTTTCCAAATATCTTGACCTTCGCATCATCCTCATCATCCTCATCATCCTCATCATCCAACCCATCATTAACTTCGTCAGCCCAACTGGCAGCTTTCAGCTTCGTCGCGTTGAAATCAGGAATGCTGACTATCTGGTTCCCAAGGGCAGCAAGACGCTTACTAGCCTCAACAGTATTATCATTAACACCTCTATCCTTCTCCCTAGCGATTCCCCAATCCTCCGGGAAAACTTTTGGTCTCGGCTTCACCCCATTCGCCAATTCCTCAACCTCACCTGCACAAGGGTCAGCCTCCCATCTACACTCCAGCCCGCGATACGCATTCCAGGCATGCAGAATAGCCCACGCACTACCCGCCATATCGACATTCGCAAACTCCAAATGCAGCGTGTAGTCCTCATCGATCCACATCTCGATAAGACTCTTCGCACGATGACCATTCCCACAAGCGAGGTCATGTTCCAGTTGATTGATGGAAAAGTAGGATGGGATATCCAGCACAGCGATACATCGAGTCTGTTCTCGAAGTCGAGAGATCTGCTTAGCATGAAGTGGATATGTAGGTGTCTCAACCAATGTGACTTCCGCGACGTTATCCTCCCCAAACGAAATCGGATGTTCAGCCGCATACAGAACATATTCTTCCGCCGCAGCCTCATGCTTGAACACGACGCGTGCATGCATTGTACCAGGCGCAATCTTGCCCATCTTCACGATCGTCGCACTAAGCACATCGCCTCCTCTTACCCGCGCAAGTACGTCACGGACTTCCATGTCGAGAGGAAGATTGCTGAGCTTCACTGTGCGGAGGAAGTTGGAATCGCCCTCGGCAGGGATATACTGGATGCCGTAGCGAAAAATGTCTGGGAATCGAGTATCGTTGCGGCCGGTGGCGGCGCGCATGTGCGCTTCTACAGCACCGTTTCGGTCTTGTGAGTCGGTCCAGAGGCCTTGGTTGAGGGAGCGGTCTTCTGGTGCTTCGAAGGCTGTTCCGGGTCCCGTTCGACCCTCGCGGTTGATGTTTCTGAAATTTGGTGAGAAGCGGTCGAAATCTCGAAGTGGGTAAGAGGGTTTCATTTTATTGTAGTCAGCACCACGGAAACTGCCCTCGAGAGTGAAGCCAGTTTTGATGACGCCGGGTGTTGGTATATTTGCCAATGCTGCCATGGCTTTCTTGTTCTCCTCAATTTGCTCATCGATATGTCTCTCATCCTCCAGAATCATAGGATTTCCAGCTGAAAGAGAAGAAGAATGTGCTGTGATGCTTGGAGGGAATTCCAGGACCATGGCTGAAGGGATTGAAGACGGTTGTGCAGAGATAGGGGCAAGCATGCCGTCATTGTCGAGCAAATCCTCAAGACTGCACATACCAACGTCAATATGCGCAGGATGAACAATTGACTCAGCACTAGGCCAGTCGTTCCGAATGGTTCGTGCATCGTCGTCCAGGTTATCACCCCACCCTCCGATAACCTGTGAGGTGGAAAGTTCGGGCTCGTTAGTGCGCCAACCCTCTTGTTGACTTTGTGGCGGATTAGCCGAGCCTGAGCAGCAGCCGAGTTCACGCTTCATCAATTCGGCCTTTCCTCTGTCCGGAGCCTGAACCTGACTACCGACATTATTCTCCATCCAACCGATTTCTTTGCACAAACCATCAGTGTCTCTGTGTGTGCCACTGATATCGCTCACACGACCACGACCTTCAACTCCACGGTCCAAATCCTGGATTCTTGATCTCAACAACCGATCAGACTTCCGATATCTCTCGATCTCCTGCTCCAAAGCTTGAATTCTACTCTCACTCCCAGAGAAATGAACAGTAGAAGCCCCAGCCAAAACCTGCGGTGAAGGAGTGACACAAGCACCACGGGTGATGGACTCAATGACGATGCCGAAACTGCTGATCACAGCCTCCTTGTCTCGTCGAGCATGCTCAAGCTCGTTCTTCAGTACTGCGATCTCAATCTTCTGCTCAGTGATGGCCTCCGCGCGAGAAGCATCGACGAGTTGCAGCTTGCTAATCTCTTCTTGCAGCTCTTTGATGGCTGATGAGGCTTGGTCATGTTGAGAGTATGAATGTGGTGAACATGGTGCTCTGGATGATTGGTGTTGGTTGCCGGCCATAGGAGACTTTGGTGGTGTGTTGGGAGTGTAGGAGGATATCTTGGGATGGATGGAGCCATATATGACTTTGGCACCTGGATTGTGGTGTGAAGTGTTAGGGTGAGTGCCTTGTGGTGAAGCCATATTGCGGGTTGGCCTCAAAGCTGAGGGCTTTGGATTCTAGAGTGATTGCGTATGCGATGCAATTATGGCGCCGAAATTGAAGGTTCGTGGATGATCGAGAGTGGTACCAAGGGTATATGAGAAGAGTCAATGCCGATGCTTTAGATTGAGTCAAGCTGAGTGTCTAGGTTATCTCAATGTCAGCAAATCCGTTCGCTAGGTGAGAAGACCCTTGATCTCATACAGCAAGTAAGACGAGTTGTTGCTTGGCTTACTCTAAGATCTCCCAGACCAGTCTCTTTGCTGAAGATATACTGTAACTAGGTGATCTGAAGCAGTTGTGTAGAGGTTGATACGCATCGGGTTGAATGGAGGCAAAGCAGGTAGTTGGGTGCTAGAATGTACGAATCTTCTGCTTGTATCAAGCCTGCCCAAGAGTAGTAAGTAAGATGTGTATGTCTTTGTGTGGTTTGTCCACTGGAGGTAAAAGTCATGGAAGGAAGAAGTTGCTTGTTGGTATAGGATGGAAAGCGCTTGCCAACGAGCGAAGCTTAAGTAGATCGGAGCACTTACCAGGTAGTTCTTGAGTGAATATTTCTCTTCTCCACAATATGTATTGATGGTAGCCGAAGGGGGAAAATACGGAGATTATATTGATTGTTGCAAGTTGGAGGAAGTTCTTGAAGAGGGGCATTTAAGCATCACTCAATCTCAGATACGTAGATAGAGAGTGAATCACCCGCACTTTTGAGGCAATGCAAGAGGATTAGATAGACTGGCATAAGTTGAAGGAACGGAAATGATTCTTCCCTGCCAGTATCTCTCTGTCTGTGACGTTCCTGTCTTGAATTAGCTAAGAATAGAAGAGGTTGTGTGAGAGTCGCACTTGTTGTAAGCCGCAGAGCTCCTCCAAGGCACAAGCTGGCCGATACTCATTGCTGCTTCATCCTCCGCCAGAAGAGCGTTGCCGCTGACGATATCAAATTCCGCTCCCTGTTGAACTCCTCGCCCTTCTCAGCCCCACGTCCCTCCTCAATGCCGCACTTACATCCAACCCACACCCCGTTCCCCGTTTCCACCCCAAGCACACCGTCCCACCTTCTTTCATACTCCCCATACTCCCTCTTCCGTCTCCCCTCTCAGACGTAATGCTCATCCTCCCTCCACCAATACCACGTAACTGAATACCACCCATAAACCACGCTCAACCACCCAGTGGCACACACTAAAAGAGATATAAAGTTGAGCAAGAAACAGGCCAATGGGACATAATGCATAGGTATGAGTATTGTGAGGAGCAGTGTGAGGGCTAGCAAGCCTGTTGCAATTCTTAAGATTGTAGTAGTTGGTGCGAGAAGAGACATGATTCTCTCGGACAGTCGAAGCGTGGCTAGTTGCGAATGTTGCGTAAAGGGATGAGTTTAAGTGAGTTATTGATGAGACGTTGATGAGGGAGAGGTGTGGTTTGATGTTTTTGTTGTGGTGGGTGGGTTTGCGAGATAAGAGGGGAGAACGGAGGTGTAACTGAATGCTGGAAGGAGTTATAGACTGAGAAGACTGCTGAAGATGTAACACAATACTGGAAAAGGCAAGGCACAGAAGTGAATATCCACTTGGATTCCATGGGTTCAAGCTCAGATTGGAACTCATCCCATCAATCAATACAGGTAGAAAGGTACGCGAGCCAATATGAACATTAGAAATTGCTACTATAATATCCGGTGCACATGTCCTTCATAAACTACGACCCAATCCCGGCTATAAAGTCTCCCAGAGCCACCCGAATCATGCCAGAACGAGACTTTTTTGACCGCATGGTCAGCTGTGCCTGGACGTCGAGCCGATAAACCAAAAACACCCAGATCCCAGATCCGTACGTACCCATTCCGTTCAACGCCGTAAGCCCAAATTGCCGAATCCACATGTGCTGAATAATATGATGAGAGATATACAGATGTTGGTCATCAAAACCTGTTCAGTTTGTGCAAGCCCCTGCTTTCTCTTTTGGCTTTCCTGCCATCCGCTGGTGTTGCTGCTGCCGATGCGTATTCCTTGGAGTGTCCGCCAGCAACGTGTGGTCCGCCTCTATTCCCATCCCCAGGTGCATCACCGTAATTGTAGCCACCTGTCGCACCCTGCATCTGATGTGGTCCCCAAGCAACTGGAGGCTTCATCTCGATTTCTCTCTCCTTCTTGCGAAGATATCTGCGGCGCAGGAGACAAGCTCCAATCCAGCCTCCGACAATAGCGAAGAAGATCACGACTATCATGATGACCCATTTGTAGTGTGATGAGATCCTGGAACAGCATGTTAGCGTGTGCTCTTCAGGCATATGGAAGTATCTGTAGTGAGGGACATACCAAGAAGGACTGCTAGGCCCAGTAGTTTTCGGCTTGCTTACACCCGTTTGCGTAGCAATGACCCCATTTGATGCCGTTGTCGTCACGACCTTACCCTTTGCACAGAAGCCATCATACCATTTCTTCACGGCTTCCATATCGGATTGTGACGTACAGCTCTGCGGGCCGCAGACAAGCGACACGCCGGTCGTGCCACCATTGTCGAAAACAGTGAGTCGTGAATCGGTACAGAAGCAGTTCTCGTCGACGGCTGTCGTGGCTGGCGGTGAACATTTGCCTTGGACGTCGAAGAGGGGTCCGCATTTCGAGGCACAGACGGGGAGGCCTGAATTGAAAGGGACGATTACTCCATCTGGCGAAGCGGCACCTGCTGCTGCTGTCGCGGTCGTGGTTTGCGCGAGCCCGGAGGATATGATTGAGAGGAGGGTGAAAGCGAGGGTGGCTGTTGATGGCCGCATTGTGAAGTTTGATATCCCAGGTCGTGTTTGATCCCGAGGTAAAGAGAACTGATCGCGTTGGTTTGCAAACGTATGGCCGCCGATAAATCTGATCCTATATTTTCGTCGTCCTCCTTCTCCTTGGGAGAAATCCGTCTCGTGAATCAGCAATTCCAAGCAAGCCAAGCTGAACAGCGCTTGAATTGTCGTCCAACAATTCCTTCACTTCTGCAGATGATATCGTCTGTCGCAATGGCGTCTATAGAATTCCTCCGACCATTCCACTTCTTTTCAACTCAACTGAAAGCAACGAATGTCGGTTCAAGTCCCACGTCTCGCGTTTTGCTTCGTGGGGAAAAAGGGAAGGGAAGGTTGGGTGATATGCGTGCTAAGACCAGGGATGTACCGTAATCCAGCGTTCCAATTTCCGAGCGCTGGTCGGTGGAATTTAAGGTCTCTGCAATCGATCGAAGTGCGTTTTCGCAGAGACAGTTTCGCAGGCCAGAATCAGGAATTGTCCAAACGAGAAACGAGTGTGGTTGGGGCTGAATGAGAGGAATGGACGTAGGAAGTACAGTAGGAGGGAGGAGGATCGAGGGCGGAAGGATGATTGTGGTGTGAAGCAGCAGTGCAAGTCCGTCCGGAATGGATGGGTTTAGCTTGGGTTGGCTTGGGTTGGCTTGGCTTGGGTGCGGCGGCGGGCGGATGGTCAGCGTGGGCGTTGGGGAAGGCGGGAAGGCGAGGGAAGGGTAGGGAGTGAGTGGAGTCCAAGCGTCCAAGGTCCAAGAAGATCACACGCGGGACGACGTGCGAATCCTTGTACCTGCAATTTTAGCCCATAGTACATTTCGCTCTTTATGCATGGCATTATTGCAAACAAATTTCTTCTCCTCAGAGATGATCCCTTCACCTTGAAAGTAGTGACATTTACCTCTCCCTCCCTATCTGCCTTACAGCACAATTTCTCGATTCCTGGTGTCACCCCCTTTGGAAGCTTAAAGTTAGAGTCCCGTCCGCCTCTTTCCCCGCGATGAGAACAGATCTATCTTACATTGTGCCATCTCACTTAGTTACTGTACATTCTACTTGCAATGAGTATAGAAAGAGACGGCACATAAAACAATCATGCTGCTCAAAGATCCCGCAAGCTGATCTGAGCGACCATAAGAAATAACTGTTTGCTTGGTTTGTTGGCTGACCCCGCTCGAATCGAGTACAGTACCTTAAGACAGGGCCACACACGTGACGACGAGGTCAGTTCTGGTTTTGTTGTTTCCATCTGCGATTAGCGAGACTCTACCTTGAAGACATAAAGGCCTGGGTTTAGGGATCGCTAGGATTGCAATTTAAGCACTGAGCGGCCTATGGATAACTAGTAAAGGCTCGTTTGAAAGTGCCTACAATTTGTCGACGGGGTTACGAGGTTAGCATTTCAGGAGAGTGCCTCCTCCCACCCGCTCCTTTAAGGTTCTCACGGTTAAGCGACTGTCTTCTTGATGTTGAATTCCAATGCTGCGCAGTTCTTGACATGCAGGGCACATTTATTTCTCTCCTCATGCATCCGGTGTCTGCTCCTCGGTTAATAGCTCGCCGTCAACATCCTCTACGCTGAGCCCAGCACTGGTGAATTCCACCCAGAATCCTTCTGTACTGGCCCCCTTATATCCTTCACACCACAACCACTCCCCTAAGCATTTCTCAGCATCATTCATATCCACGTCCGCGTCTCCCTCCCCGCCTCTCAACGCCATAGTCTTGCATATCCTCTTCGTCAAATCCGCAAAATATATTCTCTCATCTGTGGCAAGTCCGCCGATCCCACCCATTAAATACACCCACAGACACATTTCCGGGTACAGAGTCTGCAAATGGTCGCGTTCGCTGAGCGTAAGCGAGGATAACGCCCTCCGAATACGCTGAGCTAAAGTTCCTAGGAAAGATATCCCCAGCGGCATGTCGCGCATAAACATGTAGATGTGTAATGATGTTGCATTTGCGAAAAGGACGAGGATAGCCGTGTCTGGGCTGGAGCTGATCAACGTAGCTGACTGCAAGATAGCAACAGTCCGCCGCTCTAGCCGCTCAACCATATCGCTATATGCTAGGATCTCTGGTGGTTGTGAGAGTCGGGATGTCATTTCTTTCAGCTGCGTCACGTTACGGATGCCCCAGTAGACGGAGATCGCTTCGGAGCTGAGATTCGGGATGGAGGTGTGTGTAGTAAGTCTTGAGACGTATGCTTGTGCCAGGCTGGAGAAGGGAACCCATTCTGTGGGCGTCTCTTCATCAGGTGAAAGTGTGAGTGTGAATCGAGCTGGAGTCTCGAGGAGGATTGATGCGCAGCTATCGATCCTGCTGGTTTTTAGGACTGTATCAAAGTCGTAGTACAGAAATGACTGCCAGCCTACCATGTTGTGAGCTTTCTCGCGTGGCTCCCCTGCCGCATGGCATCGATACCACCACGTGTGCTAACCATAGCTTCGAGGACATCCATGTGCAGTTTCGCACTTGTTTCCGACCCGGTAAGTTGCTGAAACGAGTATTAAATTTGGTCATGTTGGCCAGTATGAAGGGGTGGTAATGACTTACTTCGAAGAGAGCAAGACAGGCGACAGCTGTGATAGTGGCATCAGTACACTTGTGTAAAGTTAGCACTGACTGAAAAGAGGTCTAGGAGTAACGGCATGAGTGTTGCAATGGTGCCACACATTGAAAATATCATAGGAAAAGATGACAGACTTCAGGTACTGGCTTTCTCAACCGGCGGTTGACGATTTGGATTGCTTTTGCCTTGTGGTATGTAGAGTCTGGACTTGGAAGGCCATGAAGTATATTGTGCCGCAGCGCAGAGTGCGACAGGGTGGCATGGAGCAGTGCCGCATCAGTCATAACGAAGGAGAGGTATTCTTTTCGTGGGTTGACCGGAGAGGCCGTCTCGCTGAATACAGCATCATCTACACTTCCAGTGTTGGTTAGTATATCGCCCAGTACGATAAAAAAAATGTAGTTAAGACCGGGTGTGGGAAATCAGCGGACGAAGTCACAGGGTATGTGAGGTGGATGTTGAGCAACATGTGATCGAGATGGGGAATATCTCACAGTAATGGATATAGAATTGAGCATGTCCAGTATCTGATACGGGTAGAGTTTGAAAAGGGTCGATTACAGCCGTGCGTGGGAACAGGCTGAGTTGATGTTGTTCGAAGACATGGGAGTGTTGGTGTCTCTCGTCGCTTTCCTCTTTAGCGTCCAAGCTGTCGTTTCGAGGCGCTATTAAAGCAGGTTGGCTTGGAGGCTTGGTTCTATTATCAGGCTTTCTTCTCGCATGAGAGCGAATCAAAGTCCGAGAAGTGCCTTTCGGTCTGGCTGTTCCTGTTTCCGAGACGAACGGGAGGCTCTTGTGAGAAGTGGTCAACTGCTGGCGCTGGATTCCGGTAGACGGCCTCACCTGTTTCCGGGCTACGTCTGGCTTTTTCTTGTACGTTGTTAATTTGATAGCTATATATGGAAATAAAAATTAGCCATGCATCTGCCCGCTCCAGATCCGCTTCTGATCCAGTCCCGTTGTGGATCGTGGGAGATATCACCTACCTGTCTCAGTGGTCCATTCTTCCACCTCATCAGTCCATTCGTACGTCTCACTTGACCTTGTCTCCTTGGTAAATCGCGCATGAGGCTGCTCCTGTCCCACGTACAAGGGCTTGGATGCATTCGCATCATACATGAGGGGTGATCGATAATCGGATGTCATTCCGAGGCTACCCTACCAAGCTATTAGATGTCATAAGTTAAATTTACCACAACCAAACACACTAATCTGAATTGACTCGAACCTAGAGACCCACGCCTTGCTGGGAGTCTGCTGTACGCCTACAAAAGAGGAGCTGCTCTGCTAAGACGCACAAGTGCCACGTGGAATTCAATTTTGGCTCAACAACATATTATTTTCAAAGAATCTTGGAAACGTGAAAAATGTAAGAATGCTGCAATTTCGGACTCGAAATAGACAGGGCTGAGTGCCCATTCCTTCCTAAAGTCCCTCGCAGAAGTTTCTTTTTCATAGGTTTGTTGGTAGACACCGAGTGCCACTGAACGATCGCTTCATGCTGATTTCAAACCCGTGTGAATCCCTCAGCTTTGCTCAGGTCGAGCGAGATTTCTAGACGTACATGGAATCAGTGGTGTCAGCGAGGAAAAACAGTTAATCCGCCAAGTCACACACCGGCACCGAACGGTGTTGGAGGTGGCGACCACATTCAAAGTGAGTACTGCACACGGGTTTTGATTGGCGGGCCAAATGCAGCGCGAGGAGTAATCAGGTCTTGATGGCCGAAAATGGCAAGTAACTGGAATTTCTCACATCGAGGGAGTCGTCTATCCGTATAGGAGAAGGCAGGTTTTTCGACCCACAGTGGAAGAGGCACTTTTCCTGAAATAATAACATTTGCAACCGGCAAATAATCCTTATTTTGATCAAACAATCGTTCGCTGATTGTCCATACACCGCTCATGACTTACAGTGCCCTTCTGGCGGTTCCCGAAAGCCAGCCTCTGCCCTCAAGGATGACTTCAACTCCTGAAGTTCACAGAGCCAAGTCGAACGGGCGAAAACAGTCAAGTCGAACGCCAACAGTTTCCTATGACGCTTACAGCGAATAGCCTCACGCCGAGAATCTAGATGCATGACGTTGCCTCTGACCATTACTGACCTCCGATCGACTCATTCGAGAATGTTTGATGTCGTGTTCCTGGCGCTCAGATGCGCGCCGTGACCTTGCGCCAGTCGATGAAACTGTCTGCCAATGGTTCTTCGTCAAACAATCGAAATCCAAGTCTTGACATGAAAAGACCGCCCACATTGGACTTCTAGCGTGACGTACAATTTGACCACAAACCCACGAGATAGAGCTGTTCAAGGGTCGAGCGATCTTCGATTAATTCTCTCAGCCGCCGACCTCTTCCCACCTGGATGTTCATAGGGCCATATATTCCGAGACTAGTGGTGGGAACGCTACGCATGAACTGCACGATTCGAGACTAGGTTCTCAATTAGTTCATCGATCCTATTGAAATGCCATCTGATGGCAGTTAAATCCTCGTCTGCCGCTTTGTTCTGATTCGTTGTCGCATCATTGTCGTTTCGCACCTAACTCGAAACATCAAACCGTGGTGTTGTTTTGTTTCACCCAATCGCTGCAAAGAATTTATGAAGCGAGAATTCACTATTCGCCTCTTGGTGAAGTATCATCTGTGTTCGTACCCATGCTGTGCGGTTTCAAGCTTTGGATATGTCCAATGTGCAGCAAGTCCCTACGAGATGCATAGGTTTGTTCCGTTGCCACTCCCAGTCCCAGGCTGGATATCCCTCGTTTCCGAAGCTATGGCATCTTCGAGACATGAAAGCATGATTTCTGATTGGATGCAAAAGGAAGGTTCTTCATTTGATGCGGATCTAAGCGTCCTTTAAGGATATGGATTTCCCGTAGCGCAGATCAGTGCATCGTATGCTGGGCTTTAATATCTGTTCACATCCTTTGAGATCTGACCTTTGTTGTCTTTTCGCTCTTCGATGTAATTTCCAATGTCATTTCGAGTACTTGTTGCAACAGCATTCCTGGCATGGCCTAGGTTTGCTCTCGCAGCCGACAAAGTGCAATGTTTCTATCCTGATGGATCGAAGGCTGACGCCGATATACCATGCTTCCGGAATGATAGCCTGAGTAGAGTGTGTTGTGCGCCAAATCAAGTGTGCTCGACGAATAACCTCTGCGTCAATAAGGACGCGTCCTCTCCGGTACAAACATTTCGAGGGTCATGTCTGGATCCCACCTTCGGTCCAAGTTGTCCTACTTTTTGCACAGGAAGTGTGTATGGTCCCAACTAAGGACACGGAAGCTATGCTCACACGTACATCTAGGCAGTAAGAATGCACAAGCGGCTGTAGTCTCCTGTGGTGATCCGAAAGCAGGAGCATTTTGCTGCGACGAAGGCAGAGGAGTAGAATGTTGCGCTACACCGTCAAAAGTCTTGACCCTGGGGGTTGGGACTACTTTCTCTGAAGGTGCCTCGGCTTCAAATATAATCTCGATGGGCCCAATGATGAATCCTCCGCCGGCAAAGTCACCACAGCCACTCATTTCCATGCAAAGTAATACCATAGTATCTCCATCTGTACCAACACCCTTGCCCGCCAGCCCTTCAGGACAGCAAGCAACGTTATCTCTCAATCCTGCTCAATCACCACCTACTCTTCCACCCATACCGTTTGCACCTCTTGAATCCGCGAAAGAAGTTGAGGTGCTAAAACCTACACCCTTGGCTACCTCCACTGCAGGTTCAAAAGCTTCAGTAGACGCAGCGATCATTGCTGGCGCCGAGACAAGAACTCCTGCCGTCTCGTCTTCACCTCCTCTGTCTGCCATAACGATTGCGAGTGCCGCAATAGGCGGCGTTATCATCGTTACACTTATCATTGTGGTTTCGGTCATTACCATGCGTTGGCGAGCAGCAAAGAAAAAACAGGAACGCGAAAACCAAGAAAATTCAGCCGGCAACGAAGATAATGGCAGCACACGCGGTTCAGTGAGCGATAAAGCTGACGATAGTGATACTGGCGGCTCTTCAGGGCTACAAGTCACGGAAGGCAGTAGCCAATCAAGCTCGGCAGGTCATGGATCACAGCCAACGAACAGAGGAATGGTTGAAGTTGGAGGACCAGCTGACTTCGTAGCTATGGCCAGGACCAGACAAGTTACATCGCCAACGCAATATGGCGAAACTGGACTTATTCCTATGCAGAGAGAGATCTCGACACCACAGCGGCCAATCCGAGAACGAGATGTGGAGAGAACGGCAGGGTTACCGATCATAAGTAATGCCACCGAGAATCCATTCAATCGACGGATATCGCTATCGCCATTCGACAGCCCATTCGATGACATTAGAGACAACGATGTGCTAGACTCACCCATGAAAGTCTATCGGAATCAACGAGGATCTGAATGGAGCGTAGCGACACTCACAACGAACCATGACGGTACCTTGCGAGCGAATGAGCGAGGTCGAGGGATGGATGCACTCGATCGGGAGGCAGAAATGATCAGAGGGAGGTTTCCGGGTGCAACAGGCCCGGATCTTGGGCGAATTTCGACTGATGATTCAAGGGTGAGAAAACCGCCGATGACTGAAACATACAATGGAATGAGAGTGCCCGTGGCTGGACTTGAGAGGAGGATTAGCCGAAATAGCTTGAGTACTGTGGACAGCGATACGTACCAGAAGTTGATGTACGATGTCCAGAGTCAGCCATTTTGAAAACTAGCCTGTATAAAAATGCCATGCTGTCGATCTTTAGGACAAGCTTCTTCCTGTACATTGCTTTTAGCTGGCAGCTTGGTACTTAGAATTTCATAGAGCGTTTAATGCACCATGTTTATGATAGCAGTACAAGTAGTCCTGCAAAGGTGCTTTGCAATGGGTTTATTGCACACGAAGCTGACCTGTACCTTCTAGGCATTTACGTACAGTGTCGATGAGCATATTGACCTGCTTCATAGCCTCGTCCAGATAAACTGTGAGAAGCGAATCATGATCTAAGGAACCAAGGGAGAAAAGGATTCGGCCAATCCCAAATATATATTCGTTCATCTGGCCGCGAGGTTCGGACAGCAATACGCGTATGCGACCCCTCCCCCTCCATTCGTACTCAGCCGCGTATGACGTCCCAGTGTTGGCATCCCGAACCAGCCGACAAGACGGCACAGCCTTGTCTGGAGTCAGCACTCTTAAACATATTTGCTTTAAAGTACCAAACTTCCATTTGGTTTCCTCACAATAATGAAAACCATTGAAGGTAGCTTCCTCAATCTTTCTAAGTGGCAGCCATAATTCGCAGAAATGTCATCTCCACCCCGCTCTCCCATACCGCAGATTCGCTCCCCTCTTCCTCCAGAAGCTCCAAAGGAAAGTGCTATTAGCAGAGTACGTTCCCCAATTCCCGATACTCAATTGCAAACGGCCAATAGTCAAGAAGACTGACTATTCATCCAGCTCCTCATCACCCCTATAACGTTCGTATCCTTCCTCCTCTCACTCGCTCTAATCGACTCGCAAAATCACCGCCTCCGCACAAAAACACACTCGCATTCTCCCTCACGAACTCAACCTACCACACTACTCGGCCACATCAGGGATTCTCTGCATGGATTAGTCTATAAAGAAGTCGATCAGGGTCCGTATGCGTATGTAAGGTCGCCGAATCTGATTGTCAATGCGCGAGAGGGGTTGAGGGAGAGGTCTGCCAGTGGGAGTAGGAGTCCGAGGAGGAGTGGAGAGAGGGAGAGGGAGAAGGCTGAGCCATGGCATTGGCATACTAAGCAGAGGAAGATGATGAGGGCGGAGGTTGAGGATGCCTTTAAGGTCAGGAAGTGGGTGGTTGTTTTCTTGGTGTTGGTGGCTGTATTTGGCGTTGGTTCGTTAGTGATGATGGGTTGGTGGCTGCTGGGTTTCTCGCGGAGTTGGGAGGGAGGGGATTACAAAAGGGGGGATCTTTAAGGAGAGCTGGCGCCGTGGAGAGGGTGTTGGATGATTGAACGATTCGGAAAAGGCTGACGGATTTGATATGGTTTTATTTTGGGACGATTGACATGATGTAAGAACTTTGTGAATGTTGGGGAGTCTTGGGGTTTGGTAAAGGGCTGGTCTGGCTCGGGATATATGGACGGGATCGAACCTAATTTCAGAGGCTCGTAGAGTTTATTTGGATCGGTATCCAAGCACCACCAAGTTGCAAACCTGGAAGGAATGAAATGTTGTTTGTCAAGGACCTCTATCGCCACTTAATGCTAAGATAATTAGTGCACTCATTGTAAACTCCATTTCATGTTTCGTGATCTTATCATAGAAATCAAACCTCTATAAATGTGAAAATCACTTCCTACCTAATTCACAATATTGAATGAAAAATTTGAAGACGAGATTTGACCGTATCAGCACGTCTCGGCACCTGCGGAATCAAAACGAGGGGCTGGGACCCAGGGATCATGAGTCGCTGCAGCTGCCCTATCGATCAGACAGGGTATCAGATTGGAAGCAAACAGGCAAACAATTTGTGCACATAATGGAGGCAAGTCCCCCTCAATTGATGTGAATAATACATATCAGAGGTATATATGACTACATAATTCACAATCGAGCTCACCTTTCCTCTGTTATCACTCACCTCCCATCACTGAACCCAAGCTCTGAACCCCTAACACCAGGGCGGACGCTAGCAGGTGTGGGGCCCTAAACCTTAAATGTCGCGTGAAAGTGGAAGTTAAAGTTCGGCAGCAGCTTTTCAACGTTCACGCGCCTTTTGCTCACAACTCTCGATGCTTTCTTCCAATCTCTGGACAAAACACGAGCTTCATTCTCGATCTCGAGAGCTTGCTTGCGCTTCTTTGAAAAGCCGACTTTAAATCATGGCTTCTCCAATGGGTCCCCCACAGCCAGCTGGCTACAGTCTGCGAGTCCAGCTTTTTGGACCGACGGCCTACGATGTGAGCGACAAGCCAATTCGCTGTTTCCGCGTCGTCGCGTCTCCCGAGAATACGGTTGAAGAGTTCTGTGTGGAAGCTTCAAGGATCCATCAGATCAACTATGGAACGTAAGTATTTTGTTGCACCCAAAGCTCGATGTCGCTCTCCGTACTGTGCTAAACGTATTACAGACCTCTCGCACTTAAGAAGGTTCAAGATGACCAGCAGTTCGACATCACCCAGAGCGAGATTTTGGGAAGTCTCTTCGCTACAGCTTCTACAATTCGATTTGTCCAAGCTTCTTCGATCCCTGGCAGGGAAGATTCTGTTGCGCCAAATTCCGCGCTCCGATTCGATCCATCTGTGAGCCGCAAACGCGAGAGAGAAGGAAGCGCAAGGGTGAACGGATCTACGTCAGCCAATACCTGGAAGTCGAATAAACGTCAGAGAGTGGCAGATCCGGACGAGCCATTGCCATCTCGAGAGAGTGAGGTGGGAGCCAGAGAGACTTCAAGGACGAATGGTCTTATCTCAGAGACAAATATCATACCAAACTCTCAAGAGAGCATCGTTCTGGGCAATCCAAACGGGCCGTTCCATAACTCGCGACATGTAAGAAAAGCGCGCTCCTCACTATCCGAGACGGTGAGGGAGATTGCCGAGACCCCCCCGCCGTCTCCACCCCCCCCTGCGTTGCTTCGTTCTCCTTTTGATGAGTACGGTTCAGCTGATAAGCAGATGAACCAGCACAATCTCGATGAAGACTTCAATATCCAGTCGCAGAGACACCAATCGAGTCCTCTGGGCGAAGCCTCGGCTCGAGCGCAATCACAAGGGTCGAATCCAAGAGCGAAGAGCGCCAGCTACCATATACAGCGAGCCACAGAACGTGGAACATCGGTGTCGACCGCAGCTACGAGCCCATTGTCAGTCGATCAACGTCTCATGCAGAATGGAGCTGCTCCGGTCAGCCAGCGTAGAAGGCCAGAATCTCGGTCTGCCGAACGGGAGCGGAATGGAAGGCCGAGTATGGCGCAAGATGAAACCAGTATATATGAGAACATTGCGTCAGATGATGAAGAGTTTGGTCTCGCGAGTATTGCGAAGGGAAGGAAGGCGTCCTTGAAGGCTAGGAACAGCACTTCTGGTCTACCAGGATTGGAATGGTCGAAAAACAAGTTCAACACCCCGCCCACCGGAAGCCGACGAAGTTCTGGTTCTAAAGAACAGCCCACTCCTGGCGAATTACCTCTCACACCAAACAGCAAGGAACGAGAAGCCAGGCAAAAGCAAAAGCAGGAAGCAGAAGAGGCAAGGAAGACCAGGCTTGCTGCTGCAGAAGCTCGTCAAGCTGAGGAAACCCTCAAAGCTGAGGCAAAGAGGGCTGAACTTGAGGAACAAGAGCGGATTCAAGTCGAGGACTTCAAGCATGGAGAAGCTGAACGTAAGGCAGCCATCGCTAGGTCTGCCCGACTCGAGAAAGAACGCGAAGAGAGGGAGAAGAGGGAAGCTGACGAGGAAAGACTTCGTGAGGAAGGTCGGATTGCCAAGGAGAAGGCTGAGGAAGAGAGGCGTGTCAAAGAGGATCGTCTGGCTCGAGAAAAAGCTGCTGCTGATGAGGCCGATAGATTGCGCAAGGAGGAAGAGCAGGCGGCGGTCGCGGCTCTGAAAGGGAAGAAGACATTAAACCCGGATGAGTCCCGACATACCAAATCTTCTTCTCCAATCCTTCCTAAGCCCAGAGGAGGAACACCTTCATCTTCTTCCAAGGTCCAGTCTTCAACTCCCTTCATCCCAGGGCAAAGAAAATCGGCTCTTAAGCGCACAGCTTCATCTCAGGCTATGAGGAGTTCGTCCCCAACAGGCTCGAAAGCGTCGACAGATGATTCCTCAACCGGAGTCGGCATTGAGAACCAGATGCCATTTCCAAAAGTGCACGGCCGACGCGTATCCTTCCGCGATGAACCCGAAGACAATGTTACTCCTATCAGACCCCCAAGCCGAATTCTACCACCGAAGTTTGGCACGCCAAACTCAAAGCTTAATGGCTCTACACCAAAGCCTTCGCCTAATATTCCAACGCCAAACAGCTCGACACCTAAGCCACCAGGCTTGGCGACCAGAGATGTCATTGCTCCCAGTTCGACACCAAGGTCTTCACAGGGCACGAGTAAGTCTCATAGGGAAGGCATAGCTTTGGTTACTAATTGAATCACAGTTCTGCCACCTCCGAGATCAAACACACCCATTCTTCCACCTGGCCGCTCGATTGGACGATCCAGCCTTGGTCGAAGTATCACGCCAGTCGGGCCGAAAGCTGCTCCAGCTACGAAAGAATCAACTCCCGATGTAGCGAAGAGGATCTCATCAGCTGAAAAAGACCCAAGTCCTGAAGTCACCAGAAGAACATCTTCTATTCCCGCTCCTCCAAGGCGCAAGAGCATCACTCCAGTTCCAGCAGCCAAAGGTATGCTTGATCCCTGTTGTTTTCTCTAAGATACCTATTTCATTTATGCAGATTCATACTCCCAATTGGATTTTGGAGCTAATATCATTATAGAGAAATCTAAGTCTGCAGAGCCGGAACCAAAGCAGCCTACTGAGGTTGAAATTTCTTCAGACGATTCCGAAGAAGACATACCTAGTAGGCCGACACCTAAAAAGCAGCCACTTGGCCTTAGGTCTCCAGAGAAACCTAAGACAGCTGAAACACTGGCCACCGAGGAAGGTTTATCAGATGATGAGGATGTCGAAACAGACAGGGCGGTGGACGAGGACGAAACTCAGAGCCACAACTCTTCTCTTCGCGATAGTCGCTCACCCGTGATCTTCAGTCAGCATCCGAAATCCACCGATACTATCAAAGCTCGCAACTCCCAGCCGCTTGAGTCAGATAGTGACTCTGCATCTGAAGCTAATGGTGACGACGACGAGGACCAGGATGAAGAAGATTCGGAGGTGGAGGACGAGCCCAGATCAACGCCAAGAAATAAGTTTGTAGATGATGAGGCTGAAGACGGAGAGTCAATTTCAGGCTCCGAAGATGATGAAGACGCCGAAGAAGTGGATGAGGATGCTGATGATGACGAAGCTGAAGTCGATGTGCCGAACTCAAGTCCACCAGTTTTGCCAGCGCACAAGCCTCAGGTCAGCCCTAAACCCGCGGGAATAAACTCAAGTAAGGAATCACTCTCCGATGAGGGGCACAATACTCAAGACGAGCTCGATCAGCAACTAACTTCTTCTCTCTATGAAGCTCACTCAACCATACCACCATCCAGTGCACTCGTCTACCCACCAACGTCTAGCGCTGCACCAAGGCCAGCGATGAAGGTCGGCGTGAGTTTGAGCAGCCTAAGCAAGAGCAAATCGATGCTTGCGACTTCTTCGTCGATCAAACCAGTTGTGGGCCGAAGTGGGCAGCGGACTTTGCAAACCATGTACGACGAGGAGAGTGAAGAAAGTGAGGAGGAAAGCGACGAGGATTCCTCTGATGTCTCCGAATTCGAAGCTCCAAAGCCAAGCCAGAAAGCAAAGTCGGCCACTCGTCGAGACTCTTCCTCAGACTCCGATTCAAGCGGGAATTCGGACTCTGATTCGGAAGGTGAAAAGGCACGGAAGAAGATCCGCGATGAACTGGCCCTTCAGATCGCGGGAGTGAAGGGAGATGAGAATCTGAACCTGTTGAGCCCTAGGTTGTACAAGACCAGTACACAGCAACAAGAGACGAGCAAGGAACGTAAAAAGAAGGCTGAGAAGAAGACTGATAAGTACGTGTCCGGGTATCGTTTCAACACTGGCTCTTGAGCTTGTCGAGATGTTGATTGCAGTTGGAGTACGATCTGTGTTTTAAGGGAAAGGTAAATAATTTACATCATACATAGAGAGAGCGGGTCTCGGACATAGGATGGCGGCGGTCAGGGAATGACTGAGTGGCAGCCGGTGGCATGCGACTGATTTAAACTGAGAGGGTTGCCGATTTGGGCTACACAACTGTGTGTGTTTAGGTTGCTCTAGTGGCACAGGATACCAGGAATGATAAGGATTCTCTCGGGGACTTGCCTTTGCATTGTCCAAGTCCAAATTTTACTTGCTTTTTCGTTGAACTTTGACGATGAGCCGCAGGTGCAGCACCTTGATCGACTGCTGGCGTACCAGTTGCCAAATTTGGCTCGGAGTACTGGAAATAATGTTATCTCTCTTTTCATAATCCGGACGTTCTCAGCGTCCACGTCCTCCTCATCTCCGAATGACCCTTGGCTAGATCATCCGCTTCATCTTGTGGATTGTATCGACTTCGACGTACCTTCTTGAGCTCTTCTATTTCAAATACATTGCTTGTCCTAACCATGGCTTCTGAAAGTGGCTGCACTACTCAGCCCCATAGGAATGAGAGACCGGTACAAACAATGCGTGCGCACCATATCATGCCACCTCAAGTTGAATTAAGCGAGGATGACAACAAAGCCACATCGTGGAAGAGGTCTCGTCTAAAATCCTGGAAAGGGGTCAAGGTATTATACCTAGGCGAAGCGAGAAAATCAATCCGGTTTCATTTATTCTGGAGAAGTCCCCGTTACGCTAAATATCCAACTAATTAAAGGCAGCCAGATCATGACACCATCCAAAACACTAATACCCACTTCCCATCCAATTCCATATTCCGTCCCAGATCCCATTATCCGCCCCTCAACCAACCAGTAAAATACAAATATAAAACAAACAAACAAAAACCTATCTTATCCAGTCATTAATGGGCGCTGCCTTAATATCTCTCTTAGCAGACGTCCCCTTGGGCAAAATCCCCGTACAATCAATCAAATTTGACTTTCCCCCAGGAACACCCAGCAAAGCCATCTTGGCCATGGCATTCGCATAAGCGCTATTCCACTTCCCTTGCGAGTTCACGAACCCGTTGAACTCTTTGCCAACGACGGGGTGCTGTGCGAGGTTGATGTCTCCCTGGAAGGAAGCGACGCCGGGAACGGGCTTGAGCGTGTTGGAGTAGTAGTGCACGTCCCAGATGCCGGGGGTGTCGTCTTGAGGTGTGCCGGGGACGATGTCGACTTGAGAGAAGGCTCTGGAGGCGGAGTGGGCGCCTAGGAGGGCGGCGAGTCTGTGAGGGGTGAGGTGTTAGTTATGTTAATCTCATTATTTCAACGCAATCTCATATCTGAGATCGTATATGAGCGTTCCGGAAAACTTACTCATTTGCCGTGAACCCCTTAGCTTGGAACAGCGCAAAAAGAGAATCCCCAGATCCGTGGCAATCTGGAAGTCTCTTGTCTGGGTTTGGAGTAGCAGAGTCCTTGCGGCCGACAAATGTTGGGACTTTGGGGCCGCCAGGGCAGGTCAATGTTGCCACTGACGCGGCAACTTGGAGGAGATCTGCTACGGAGATGGGAGTTGCGGTGCTGGTGTACTTTGCCTGCAAGGCGAGCATTTTGTTGCTGATATCTTGGAGGCCGTTGTTCTCGGGGCGGTTGAATGCTTCGCCGGCGACGCTGGGAGGGGGTTAGTTAGTATGTGGAAGCTATCTCTCGGAACATATTGGTATGGAGCTTGGACTTCTTACACAAGGGAGCCATCACAGCCACCCGTTGCCCCTTGAGCGGTGTCCCAGGTTCCGCAATCATGGAACGCAGCCTCAAGCTATATTAGATAGATGTTCGGCATTCGGGGAGAGGTGACATACCCGAATAGCTGCTCTTGCGTCATCGTTACATTGACTAGGTGTCGTAGTCTTGTTGATGAACATCCCTTGCATCTCAGCAACTATTGTTGACCAGACAGCTGGACAAGCAGCACGCGTCTCAATCTCTGCAGGAGACCGTGTGAAGATATTGCTATAGTCTGGGAGAGAGCGTCGAAGCTTTTCTGTACACTCAGCAAGAGTACTACGGACGTCTGCCAAGTTAAGGCCATGGACTGTTGACGCTGCGGCCGCAGTGATGAGGATGGGAGTAAGATGCATTTTAAGGAAGAAATGAAGACTTGAAATTTAGTTTGCTGTTGCATAGAAAGGAAATTGCAGGAAACGGTGGATGAGCAAGTATAGACATGAGAGAACTCTGATCATACTTATATGTTTTTGTTTCTCGACAGCATCTTCTTCAGACTGTCAATGAGTCGAGTTTCTTGCTCCAGAAAGTTTCAAACTTTCAAGCTGCTGCAAGAACAAAACATCCAGATCTCATCACCACTCGAGAATGGCATACCTTCATCCCAAAGAGCATGATCTCAGGCTCCAATCCTCTCACAGTCAACTCCACGGAGGCTCCCCAGATTTTTACTGGCGAAACCAGGGATGGTATCGCGAAACATTACCAAGCCTCCAGCAGGATACCTGTGAGGATTTCCTGACACTCAACTCCGCAGCACGTTCTAGACGATCACCTACGGATAGATTGAGTTTCTGGCGCCCGAGATCTGTCTATGGCTTGCATAAAAGTCCCGTAGCTTTGGGATTTGGACGTTCGAGGAGTGTACATATTCCTTGATTTTCTGGGGGGACAAGCTTTTGGAGGCGAAACTTGGCAGGTGCTTGACTGATGACACAATGAGGCTCTCTGATCCCCAAAATGCCATGCTTGAGTTTGTCCAATGAAGGACAGTGCATTCAGAATGGGCTCTAGTGGTACCACCTCAGCTGTTGATCGAGTGGCCTCGGTGCGTGCTCGGTATTGGATTGTCGGTGTGACCGGTCGGACGACGCTTCGTTGGCGGGGTGAAACATCCGGTAGTATTCGAAAACTATTTCGAAAACAAGGACGTCTTCGAGCCCAGCACACGGTTCGCACATGGGCCCTGGCGCCTGGCTCTGCAAGTCATCATTAGCGCTTCTCCTGTCGATCTGGAACTCCGGGTTACGGTGTTGGTTTATTTCCGCTGTCGTTCGAGGTCGGATGCTTTGTTGTTGAAGTGGCTGAGCGTTAAGCGAAGAACTGTCCAAAAATGGAAATCGTCCCTTGGCAGCCCCTTGGCACAACAAGCCTCGAACGGGCATGATTGTTCCTGATCCCATGTGTGTGACCTTTGCGTCTGCAAGGCTTTGTTGTACCAGATCTCTGCAAAGGCTATGTTCCAGATACTTTCAATACATAATGCACCATGCCTGCATGCATGCATATGTATGCATGTTGCTTCTCTGTTGGTATTTCCGCGAGGCATGTGCAGTACCACACTCGTTGTGTGTAAAATATACTTTTTGATTCTGTGGAGCCTCACTCTGCCTGCATGCATACGGCTCAAGCCTTTCTTGCGGCCAATTTAAGCTTGCAAGCCAAGTCGCCGACTCTTCTGTCCAGCATTGGAAGTTGATGCGATTGGAACAACTACGAATTTGACAGGCATCCTGTAATAATTCCAGATCCTAGAGTCCGGACGCCTTCTAGACCGCGTCGGATCCTCCCGTCAGCCTGGATCCTACAGTTCTCAGCTCTTCTGGCCTCCATCATTAAGCTCTGCCCAACTGTTCAGCTAAGCCTTAAGTTCGCAGGTAAGCCTTGACAGCCTCTCCCCAGACCACCCCACGCTTGTAAAAATGCATGGCAGGCGTACTTCCTTCCTTCAGACCATCGATCGCCTGTGCTAAATCCTCGCCAAGCCCTTCCTGCTTAATCTCGCTCAGCGGATAGAGGTAAGTCTTGAAGTTAAAGACAAGCGCTCTGGTTTTTGGGAGACGGTGCAGAAGCTGGCGCTCGCACCGCAGGAAAGTCTAAAAAATGTCCTTAGTATTAGTTTTGTTCCTGACCCATGGTACCGGGAGCGGTGGAAGAGAGCGAGGGACTCACCGTGTTTACGTCCACTTCCTCGTCAACAGTTTCCTTCTCGCCTTCGTAGAGATGGAGTCCACTCGCGGCGAATAATTTCTCATCGGTGTTGATGGACCACTAGCTAAATGTCAGTGGCAAAGTCTTTTGATATTTTGGATCCCGAAGGCTTGCATTGGCTCTTTTTACCACCTTGCCTACTTCCAGCCGCTCGAAGAATCTATCCATGCTCAACTCAAGTTTCTGCTTGTAGCCTGGAACAGGACCATGAATATCCCTTAGCTTCAAGCCTAATTTCTCTTTCGTATTGAAGCCTGCTGGAAAGCAAGTCACATATCCTTTCAGAGCATATCCGTCGCCATCATCCGATGGCAGTAAGATCAAGATGTCTTCGTCCAAGTTCTCGCCAAGAATTTCAAAGGTCTTGACAGGGTCTGATGAGGGCTGAAGTGGAAGATGTTGTGACGTGGTGTGATTCAGCAGTCCAAGCGACGTGACGCTGAACATTGTGGGGTACCGCGAAGGCAAATATGTATTGATAAGCCATGTGTAAAGCTCGTCGACCGCTGGTTTGACTTCGGGTGTCGCTTGAGTGGCAATGTCATGATGTTCTTGCATGATCTGTTTACGAAGCATTATCCTATCCAGGTAATTGCGGTCCATTTCTATGAGCTCCGAAATATGCGAAGTGTTGACAGCTGTTCTGCTGTTAGTCTGTTACTAATGTCGATACCTTGAGAAACTCATACCCATCGTTAGGTGGTATACCGGTTTAAAAGGGCGTATCTTCAATGGTGGTGTCGACCGCCAGTCGAAATCCGGCCGTGGTTGAATTTCGAACTCATTTGTTCCGACATTGATCTTATCCGATGCCGGCAATTTTTCACTCTGTAGCTGTTGACTCTTCTAGACTGTTGTCAACCGTTGTGCTACTCGTACAGAAGCGCGGAACCTTTCGATAGACATCTGCTTACAGCAGTACCATCCTGACTTTGTGATGTCTGCATCGGAACAACTTCATATTTAATTTAACAGAATGACTCTACACTCACCTTATCTTTAAAGAAACGTGGGTAAAAACTCCCCAGTACGTATATTACCAACGCCACCCCCGCAACAGCCAATAGAAATGAAGAATACATCGCAAGTGACTTGTCAAAGCAACACAGAAGAACGAATTATACAGAAGCCAGTCTAGTGTGTACAGTGAGTGAAGAAATTAAGAGTCTCAGATATGACAACGATAGTTGAGTCAACTAGAGATATGGGCTTCTCAACATCGGAGTACTTAGTGTTGATTTCGCTTGGACATTCCCGAAGCGGATGTCTTCCAAGAATGGGGGGCTTCACGTGATGATCATTGAGTCAACTTGGAAGGAGTGAGTGCACAGTGGATTGAATTGGAAATGTGACATTCTATAAACTCCTAGTTTCCTCCGCCTGCGCCGGATACGATGCGCAAAGCATGTAACATATTAAGGGAGCGGCTTCGCTAGATAAGAAAAACAGTATATACAATTTCATCGAGATCATAAAGTCATAACTCTGTACATCATCCTCACTTCTTCTTCGTGGTAGTGGTTGTGGCCTTTGACGTGGTCTTTGGCTTATCCTCAGACTTTGTCGTTGTCGCTTTGTTCGTGATCGCTGGAGTGGTGGTGCTTGTAACTAATGTGCTTGGCACCGTAGTTGTAGAAGTGGCAGTGGAACTTGTCTTGGACGTTGGGGGGTTCTTGTAGTAATCATCAAGAGCCTTCTCCATAGCCTTAGCATCTGGGTAAGCATCCATATTCTGCATTCCTGGAAGCATAACATCCTGTACAGCTGCCATATCGGTTCCACTGTATGCCTTGGCTCGGAAGAGAGGCGCCATTGGGTCGTTGAAAGAGACTTTCTCGGGGTAACCGTAAGTTGACAGATCAACCTGTGAGACGTTGAAGGCGGCCATCATATCATGATCTTCGTGAACCAAGTTGTGGCAATGGAACATGTACAGTCCGGACCATGGGGCGAAGTTGGCGATAACATCGACTTGCTCGTTGGTTCCCAGATAAACCACATCCTTGAGAGCAGCAGCTTCATAAGGAGTCACTGCACCGCGACCACCAGAGCGGGCAACAACCTGCATATCGATGAGATGAATGTGGATCGGGTGACTCCATCCTGGTCAGAAAATTAGTAATTTATCAAGTCATTGAAAGAGTTATACATACCACCACTCTTATTGATCAGTCTCCATCTTTGTGTCTTTCCTTGGCTGGGGTAGGCAACAATACGGTTCTTTGCGTCCTCAAAGCCGACGCCGTTGATGAGCCATTGACCATTTGTTCTGCCAAATTCGAAAGTCTGATCGATTGTGGTGCGTGAAGCAGGAATTGCGAGGTCAGCCAAGTGCTCTGGAATGTTGCCATTGCCGTCAGATGAGCTCGTGTCATTGCCAACAACGAAGCGAAGAACGCGGTCAGTGGCGGGGTAATCAGGGTTCGTTTGGAAGTCCCGCTCGTTCATCAAGGTCATGTTTTGGCCCTTGTACTTGTCGAAGTCAATGATGATCTCCCATCTTTCAGCCATGGAGATGACAAGCGATGTAGTTTGAACGGGATGATCGAGGTAGCCAGCATCAGCACCAACAACAGTGAATGGAATCCTGGTCTTAGGATCGGCATCGGCAACAAGATAGAGGTTGTAGGATCTGGAGATGGATGCATCGAGAAGTCTGAACTTGTACTTGCGGTTCTCAACGTTCATGAATGGCCATGGCTGACCATTGACAGTATTCACATCTCCGAACAAGCTGTCACGCTCGTTCTCTGGTGAGAGTAATTTTCCCGTGCTGAGGAATTGCTTAGTGGCAAGCATCAAAGGAACATCATATTCTCCAGAAGGAAGCCTAAGATCAGAATTGGGATCCTTTAGGATGTAGAAACCCGCTTGCCCGAAGTAGGCGTTGACTGCTGTCTCACCAATGGCATCTGTTGAGCGTAATGTTAGCGAGGTTCGATTTGGCAAAAAAGATAGGCTTACGGTCGTGATACCACAATGTTCGCTCTGGCTGGGCATTGGGATAGTAATAATCTTTGTACTGCCCGTTGGAGATGACATCCTCAGCCCAACCATCAAAAGGAGTTCTCGAGTATGATCTACATATGTGTTAGCGAACTGCTAGAAAATTATGAGTTGAAGTCATCATACCCGTGAAGATGGATAGACGAGTCACGCTTTGACTTGTTGATAAAGCGAACAACTGCCTCCTCTCCTCTTGTTACATGTATGGTTGGCCCAGGAGCCATGCCATTGTAACCAGTAAGCGAGGTAGTTTGCAAATCCTTATAGATTTGCTTCTCGAAGTCTTTGATCTCAATCTCAAAGTATTTAATCGTCTTTCCGGTATTTGAGTTGGTGTAACTGCCAGTAGAGGCAAGTGGAGGCGGAATTGGAAGTGCGTTTTGGAAGATCTCCTTGTATCTAAGTCAAATTAGCTATGGAAATGATGAGATTTCTCATGTTTTGGGAGATAGGCAAGTTGAGGCTGAGAATTATTTTTGTGTCACGAAGGCGGTGTTGAACATACTCTGGAGATGCCCAAGCCTTGATCCCGGCATACGCCTTTGCGCCGAACAAGGCGGCAGCCAGCAGTGACAAGTGTTGTGCGTGCATTATGAGAGGATTCGAGAGACTTGTGACGAATCAAGAATGAGGAAGATGATTGCTGTGCAGAATCGAAATCTTGGTGAGGAGCACAGGGTGTTATATGGACTTGACTTCTCCCCCAGTCAGACAGACGGTCTGGTCCATTTTGACGTCCAAATGTCATGACCTCAAGCAAACTATGCCGCAGGTCCTGATCATGTTTCTCTGCAGCAATTTCCTGTGGGCTCCGAAAGTCTAGCTGAGTTGTGCCACTCACGTATTGACTGTGTATGGCTAGCGGAGCCGAAGTCCGTATCTTTGGCCCAAGCCTCGAAGCTCTGGGAGGGTGCCAAAGTGGACTGTTGGCAGCCACCGCGGCTCTGCCCTACTGCCATTTTTCGGTAAGCCCTCGCCGACGATAGGGCTAGGTTTTAGTGGCATAGATAATGGAAAAACTCGATTTGCTGGGCTCGAACCTCATCTCACATGCGACTGCTGCGTGCCAAGAGGAAAACATACGAGCTTCCAAATGTTCATGAGGTGGTGTATTGGCGCCGCGCCGCGCCCACGCCCACGCCCACGCCCCCGGGTAAACCCCATAGGTACCCCTACCCTAGTGCGACCCGCAGAGTCGGGATGGTGTTGAGCTTACTTGCATCCAGCTGGCTGGATTGGGTGGGCTGGGCTGGGCAAGGCTGGGATAGGTTCTGGTCCAAAGCAGGCAGGCCGAGGTGGTGCAAAGGCATCCATCCGTCCACTTCCCTAGAATAGATTCAAATCCATCCAGCATTATTGAAGTCCGAAGTGGGGGTGGATGGATGGAAGTGGTGGTGTTGGTGCTGGTGCTGGTGCTGGTGTAGGTGTTGGTGGTGGCCAGTCGTGCAGTCGCCCAGTCGTGCAAAGTCGTGACCTGATTGCCAAGAGGCCTCGATGCACTGAACGTTGCTGACAATGCCACGGCCAGATCCTGGAACTCCGACCACCACCCAGAAGGCTCGCCACTTCCCGGCCCCGACTAAACGTGTTGGGCACGTGACGGACTGGTCTCCCCTGGTGAGTGGGCAACTCCCGAGACATTGTCTAGGTACCTACGGCAAATGTACCTACGTAGTTAATCCTCGCTGAAGATGAGGCTGATAGATCCATCCCTTGGCTCTAGATGTGCTGGACAGATTCCGTTTGCACTTTTAGCTTGTGCGAGAATGGTGACTCGAGATGGAATTTGCTTCCAGACTGCTTGTTAAAGGAAATCAGTTCAATGGTGAGAGCAGCTAAATCATATCTCGTAGCCCAGTATGGCATGAAGTAAGAGCCTGAGAAATATCAAAGCAAAGGTCATGTCAGTATTGAGAAGTGTGTGCTGACTGAACAAACACAGCGGTGTATAGATCTCGCTGATTAGATAATGGCCCTGATCCGACAGGGGTCTTGGCAAGCGAGAAGTCAACAAATTCCGGTGCAGGGCCCCAGAAGCACGGCCAGAAGCCATGCTTGATCCTACCTTCTGGTCGTGAACTATTACTGTTTGTGAGCTGTAGTCTACGCTTGGTGCTATGCCTCAGTTTTTGAAATTGCCCTAACAGTTTCCTGACATGGTACACGGAGGCTCTGGGGGCATCTGGGGGCATTACGGGCGCGCAGAGAAGCAAGCCACGGCGCGCAATTGTTCGTGATCCATACAGCCACATCTGCTTGAACAGAAGATGCACAAACAAATAGTGATCAATTAGTAGGCGAGTTGGGCGACCAGACCTGAGGTCTGGCTGACCTAAAGTTCTACAGAACACCACAGCCTCCAGGCCACACAGCTCGTGATCTGGCTATCACTAAGGATCAGTCAGCATAAATGACAGGATTCTCCCCATTAGCCTCTCCTTATTTCAGGGCCAAGACGAAGGGAATTGGTGGAGATGCCGGACTCGAAACAGGCACCGCGCTGGAGGCGGCACTTGAGGCGTTGAAAACAGGGAAAGGCGCATCCAAAACCGGGCAGATAGACACTAGAGAGTACCTTCAACTGAAGGAATGCGAACAGCTATGCCACTTAACAATACACTCAGTTCCACAATGCGCCCAAGATGAAGAGCACATTGCTGTAATGATCCAGTGAGACGAGGCCATTCGGAAGGCCCTTGGCAGACCAAGCTCTTTCCTATTCTACTTGGCAATGTCAGGTCTTTGAGATATAAGTCTTGGGCTTCTTCTCATCTTTCCACTCCGCTTGCTCAAGCTTTTGACCCATCTCCATTCTCCTGCATATGGGTACGTTTTGCGTCCACAAACATGAAGGTAGCCGTCCCGCTTGGCAATCTTCAAACACCTTTGAGCTTGCTTGTGGCCTTCACATGCAACTCTAAGAGTGAGTGGTGCCTAGTACGACATTGAAGTTGGTGGTTAACATCAGGACACACCTTTCTGACGACTAATTAGACATCCTAGTGGGTTAGAATGATGGTGGCAGGCACAACTCCTATCCCGTCCTTCGAGAACAACGACCGATTACAACCTTATCACCCCGCTCCCGACCCGCGTCGTCTCGACAAGAACCATGTGACAGACTGTTAGGTTACTGGACAATGGCAAAAGTGCCAAAGACTTGTTAATGTGGAGTGGACGCTGAGGAGGAGGAGGAAGACAAGATAACCTATGAAGATGTTCGGAAGACAGTGCCTGGCAACGGAAGATAGGCAGTCCATCTCACTTCACCGCTTACGACACCAAGATATACCGACGACCACGAGGACAGCTAGCCCACTGCCAGTCATCCATGCCGTCGACTCAAGATCGTGCAAGGGACGCGGAGTTGGGGACCAGATTTAGCCCACAAGGATCCGCGGCTCGCAACAATCGACCCAAGGACTTCTATAGTAGGCATACAACATGACAAGTTGGCAGAGCTCTATTATCTTCCAAGAAGCAAAAAAGAGCTCTCCATCGGATGTGTGGCAAGTCTGTGAGACATCAAAGATCAGGATCTGATGTTCAGATTTCAGTCAGTCTTTGATTCGCTACTTGTTTCCTACAGACCAGACACCAAAGTTGCAGTTACAACATTCTTGCAATGAGCTTCTTGCAATGAAAAGAGCATATGTGATCGATGGGACAGGATACGGACGGGCTGCGGGACATTTTCAGTGGACCTTCTCAACCCTATGGCTCGCTCACAGCTCTGCGGCTGACCTGCAGCCCATGAAGTCGCACAAGCTTCAATACGAGAGCCAAGAGATCTTTGGTGAGCATTCCCTTGGAAGCGCCCCGAAGACAGAAAGATGGGGCAGACGGCGAGATGCGAGCATTTGCCACGACCTTCACACCTTCACTTTTCGATATCTCTGAAGTCCCAAGGGTATCCGATGTACTACATCAGTGAAGAGCATCTGCCAGTAAGGACTATGGACATGTTGACCAGAAGAGAAAGAGGCGGGCCAATCCTCGCCAAATCAACTGCGCAGTAGTGGTAATCGAAGAAGGAACACCCCCCATGACCTTCCCGGTAGGATTGGTCTCGAATAACATTTTCGCAAGGTTAGCCTCGTCAAGCTTTGTCAATTTGAAGCTGCAAATATGGTGCGGCATGGCTCTTACAAGGACGGGACGGTCGGGAATCTCCCATTTGTGAGCAAAGACGGCGAGGAGCGTGGAGTCTTTGGCCGATGTGTTCAACACCAACCCGCTCTTTTGCCCCACGAATCTCTTCATGCCGCCCCATACCCCGCTTGAGGTCATCCCAAGAGCCTGATCCTCCTTTTCGACGACTGTACAGTCAAATCAGTGAGCAAATTGCCAAATCTCTTGGATGAATTTGACATTATGACTTCAGGTCTTTCAATATTGATGCTACATATGCTCTGCTAGCAAGATACAAGGTGTCCTTGTGTCGCAATTCTGTTGAGAGATAGACGCATACTGAACATGCAACATTGCGAGCCACTTGGCTCAGCTCTGCCTGATGAATGCCAAGTGACGATGGCGGACTGGACCCGATTCGATTCAGCTGCTGCGCTGGCCAGATGCACTGCGCATCAGCTCCGAAATGGAGAGAAAAAAAACTTTTAACCAAAAGGAGTACCAAAATAGTTGACATGAGCTCGATGCAGGTATAAAAAAAAAGTGACGTTTGTCACAGAGCTCTTTGAGATCGGAATGCAGGTGTTTCACAGACTTTAATGATGACGCCTTGATGTCTCTGGTTTCCGCGGCTCTCTGTGTTCCCCTCGAAAACTACTGATACAGTATTGGTCCAAGTATTTGGGTTTGAGTTAGGGATGGTAAGGACTGGTGTCCGAGGTATCGCAGATCTAGATCCTCTCAGCTGACTTCTGCTTGATTCGCAGCTGCCTGCAAGAAGGATTAGCAGGTCAGCATACCCTGACGAGCCTGAGAAGTATCGCCGACTGTTGTCAACTTCATACCCTACCCTAGCTTACGGAGATCCCACACGATGAACACGTCGTAACCCGGTGGACGGCTCCGAGCAATGGCAGTAATAATACCTCCGTAATAATAATGGCAGCAGTGACTTTGCGGAACGCGGTTCGCCCGGTCGGCAAAGTCAGTATGCTATGCCCTAATTGAGCTGGACCTGGATCTCGGATGGCCTGACGGGAATCTGCCAAGACCCTCTATGCTGTAGTAGCGTCTTAGCCTCTAACTCTTTCAGCAACTGGCGGGGCCTGCACGATCGTACCAGTACTACTACTGTACTGTGCTGTAGGGCACTGTAAGACATTTTGAGTTGAGACGGGTCGGGCATGGCAAAGTCTTCGAGACTCCCGCAGAACGCTCCCTCTCCGACAGAAAAGTACTGCGAGAAACTTCGTCCACTCCACAGCCAGCTGTTTTGGGCGCTGTTTTTCTGAAAATTTGCTAGCACTGCTTAAAAGTCATTGCTGTCGTTTCAAACTCAGACATCCACAGCTAGAAGTACCTTGTACCTTAATGGCTGGCGCCAGCTGGTGCTCTAAAGGCACTGATACCTCGTGGAGGAGAGTAGTGGCGCACATGATTTTCACGAGCCCGTTGTAACAAGGCTGCACTAGACAGATTTAGCAGAGAAAGATCGGTGAGTTTAGCCTCGACATCGTATCGTATTCTTTGCTTACTCCCTCCTCCCTCCTCCCTACCCTACCCCAGAAGCCAGCTGCTGAGGTGCGAAGTTTGATGACTCCCTTGCGATGAGCTGACAGCACATCAAATCCACCCGCCCAGCAGTCAGTCCTGTGAGGAGCAACAAGGCTTACTGAAGGAAGACGAAATCGGAAACAGAAGAGAGCCCATTGGTGTGAGGACCAAGTCGTTGACAGTTGCGGCTTTTCATGGCTTCAGCCATCGTCCGAGGCGGTCATGCGTTGGAGGAGCTGAGTACTGTGCCCATGACACCATAAACTCTCCTCCATGCAGAAATCTCCGCTGCGCTGTCCTGACTCCTGGAGCCGAGGAGGAGGAGTGGAGGAGGAGGAGCGAGGGCGGGGCGGCTGCCACAGAACTACGGGATGGAAGTGCGAATGAGGTAAAGCTGCAGAATGCATGCCAAGGGATCCTCCCGCTTTTGCCCCCTCTCCGGCAAGGATCTCAAGTATTGGAATTAAGCTCAACCATTCAGGAGGATTGGGATAAGGAGGCCGGAGTTCTGCAGCAACGAAACAGAGTCCAGGTAGATCTAGGTCTAGGTCCAGGTCCAGGTAGGATGAATACTCAGCACAGTCAGCAGCTGTAAAATCAGCAGCCTCGCCAAAAACGTAGGAGAGCAAGTCCAAGAACATAGATCTACTCCATAGCAATAAAGCAGAAGCTAGTGCTCGTTCCGAAATTATATTATCGGCACTTCTCTCGTGAAGAAAAGCTTCGGCCCATCACGGTCAAGTTCGGTAGGTAGGTGACTTGGTCCATCGGTCGACGGTCCACGTCGGAATCCGCACTGGCACGCAGCGCGCCTCCGCTAGCAAACAGCTGGTCGCCAATCAGCCTGCAATGATTGGGCGAGAAATTTTGATCGGGTTACCCTTGAGAGGCAGTCTGCAGAAGGAAGCCTTTCTCAGACTTTCTTTGACAAAACATCCCGCCCCAGAGTCTGGTTTGCGGGGGGGGCCCTGCCACCGCCAACTCACGTTGCACACAGACCAGAGGGGCTTGGAGATCCCCTTCCTAGCGGCGTCCGGGTTAGTATTTTCCAAAAGCACACACCTCCCAATCGTGCAGAGCTTCCAGATCGATGTGGACTCGAAATAGGCGTGTGGAAAGGCAAAAATGCCAAGATGCCCAAGCTTCTAGCCATGTTCACGATTGAACCGACGCCGTGAGGAACTTGATATAAGCCGCATCTCGTCGTGTCACTCGCCCAGATCTTCCCTCCACCGCCAAGTACAACAGATATCATGTCACAAATCCACGAGTATTACTCTCTAAAGATGCAAGAAAACAGACTCTCCGAGCAGGGGAATTGGGAGGTAAGTTCTTCTGTTGCACCAGTCTTTGGCATTGTCCTAAACGCCTCAACAGAACGAATGGTCGCATCATCATCCCATTTCGACCTGGGAGACAACAGCAACGACTCCGACAGAAGTGCCCCTAGGATTGTGGCAATATACCGCAGCGGCACTGAACTCTGGCGAGCTTGGAACTTCGTACTTTGCTCATGCGTCACCGATATCCCCTCATCCGACCCTCCAGTCCACTTTGTCTTCAACAACCAATAGCCCACGAGGCGTTCAATTTCCAAGTGATGGACGGTTCGCTCCCCTCGCTCCAACAATCGAGCAACATATCCGGCCTTCGAAACGTCCAACTCCTCCAGCTCTGCAACTAAATGAAGATGATGAAATGGACGAAGACTCAGATGAGATTTCCTGGGAACCAAGGACGCCAATCGGAGTCGGGCAGTCCACAGCCGCTCCTGTGAGACCGCCCATGCACCGGAGAGTCAAGTCTTCGAACGAGGTCCTGACGAGGGATGCGAAAAGGGCGCATACTGTCGTCGAACGAAGTGAGACCACCTTCCTGAATGCGGGTTCGTTCGTGATGCAGAAACGTACTGACATCGCGGCAGATTATCGAGAAAGGCTCAATGACAAGATTGCCGAGCTAGGACTGTATTTGTTTGAGACCTCTTCCGATTGTGAGTCCCTACTGCCCTACCCTGATACCGAAACCTCGGACTGACATCCACAGCACGCACAAAGCCCTCCAAGTCACTCGTTATGACTCGAGCCAAAGAACGCCTGGAACAACTAGAAGCGCGAAACAAGGCCTTGGAGGAAGAGGTCACCAAGTTACGGCAGCACATCGCGATACTAGATCACGTTGTGTCGGCGAAGGGCGAGCAGGGGCTTTCGACCCCAGTGTAATATTGATCTTTGTTTGCTTGATTGTGCACTTCGAAGGGAGCGTTTGGTGCCTGGCGATTGGGTTGCAAATAACGGGACTTCAGACCGTGTATTACCACGTGTGGACGATCACGAAATGATATTAATGATTAAATCATCTTAATGCCGATCGGTGCAGTGGTTGAGAGTTGAAAGTGATTTGCGTGACAAGCAGTCGGCTTCTCCGACGCTGACCCATCCCATTGACCTCTATCGAGGGGCTCTTTCAATCTGATGCTCAATCGTCCCATTCAGTGATCTCCAATTCCTAGTTGATCCGTTCCACTCCACACCGCCGGGCAAAATCGAAGTCCCCTGAGTTCGCGAAGGCAAAAATCAGCATCATAGATCGATAATGCCGTCGGAAAGACAACAAAGTAGTATCAGCGGAATATCGACTTCTTTTAGCCTTCAAATGAAGTCGGCCCATACAATCATCGACGGGATTGAAATTCGCAGTTGTCGTTGGAACAAACTTCCAAGGTTGGAAGATCCTAACTCTTGGCACTAGAAGATACCCGATGTAACCTGGCAACACTCTGGCTGGTCACGTGGTATGCATGGCTCTGTCAGTGACGGTATTTGGCAGGCACATAAGGCACAGATAGATGGGTCGTAAGCAAGACTTCGCCCTTCTTCTGGGCAGCCTTAATTTTCCTCGAGCTCCTCGAAATCCTAAGTCCGCACAAGATCAGAAAGTCTCCATCGGGTATCATTTATACTGAGGGGTATCGACGTTTAGAATCTCACCAAACGAGACATGCTGGAACCAACCCGTATTCTTGTCTTAGGTGCTACAGGATACATGTAGGCCACACAAATAACACATCGCCAGATCTTTGCTCCTGGCTGACGGTGTCAAGTGGCGGATCCATTCTCACAGAGCTGATAGACAAGAATGCGGAGGATCGATATGTGCTCTCAGCACTTGTCCGCAAGCCATATCAAGCATCCATACTTGCGGACGCTGGTGTCAACCCACTGATCTTCAAGGACTTGGATGATTTCGACGTGATTCGTGAAGCTGCCAAGGATCATGACAGTACGAGATGATATGCTACTCTTTGCTTGAGATGAGGCTTACGGTGTAAAGTTGTCATCGCTGCCGCTTCAGCTCGACATCTTGACTGTGCGAAAGCTTGTATTACAGGCCTTGGAGATCAGGCAAGGTCGAACTCAGGAAAAGAAACACATTATATACATGTATGTTATCTTCATTTAGTGCAGTGCTGCAAACCTAGCTTCTTCACAGTCACATGTGCTAACGATTACTGCTTGAAGATCTCTGGTACTAGTAATCTCGGGGATTGGCCGGTAACTGGAGACCGCATCGATACGAAAGTCTACTCTGATGTCGACGACGATATATTCGAGATCGAGAAGAACTTCCCAGATTCCCACAGTCCGGTGAGAGATGTAGATCTGTGAGTATCATGAGCTTGAAACTCATTCTTCTGATCATTTCACGCTCTTCTTGTGAAGTCTTCTTCTTGCTCGGTTCAGTTTGACAATCGACATATACTAATTACCCCCAGAGCCGTGGTAGACTTGGGCGAAAAGGAGGGCGTAAAGACTTATGTTGTTGCTGCGCCTCTCATCTTCGGCCGCGGAACAGGTTCATTCACTCTTGGAGTTGGTCAAGTTCACCAGATGACCCAGTTGTCGTTAAACAAGAAACAATCTGTGATGCTTGGAGATGGCTCGGGGGTAAGCAACGCTTCATTAATTTCTCTGATGATTTGAATACCTGCTGATGGAGGCAGATCTGGAGCCGAGTTCACATCCTCGACCTCACAGACTTGTTCACGCTTCTGATCAGAGCAATTCTCGATGGCAAAGCTTTACCTACTGGAAAGACAGGTTATTACTTTGTTGAGAACGGATTTCAGACTTGTACGTTGTTGGACAAGTGTTACCTTTCCAATCGACTGCTTCGGTAGCATATACTTTTGAACGCATTCCCGATACATGATTCACATGAGTACAAGAGGAAATGCTGACATCCAATCACTCTAGGGAGAAGTATCTCAGAAGGCATCGGGAAGACAGGGAAAGAGCTTGGTGCATTTGAAACAGAGGAAGTTGCCGAAATCACAATGCAAGAAGCTGCCAATGAATACTTCAATGGCAATCTAAGACATGCTGAAGGAGTACTGGCTTCAAAGTCTGCAGCCCCTCTCTTCCTCAATGAACTTGTCTTGGACTCAAGAGGAAAGATAGCTAACATTTCGAGGCAGCTCGAGAACAAAAGCAGACAAGGCTCGTCAAATTCTAGGCTGGCAGCCGAAGTACGGTGACGAGGCTTTTCTTGAGGAGATCGAAGAAGTTGTCGCCGCCATGGTTGCGGAGCAAGCTTAGCTCCGACTCTCATCATGCAGCTTGCTCTAATTTCGTCCAATGTCCGAATCAATAAAGTAACTTATCGATAATCATAAAACCCGCTTGTCGATTGTCTCTTACATGCAGGGAATTGAGGGTACGGCGGACAAATCTGAAGAGTTTGGCTTACATGCAAGTTGGCGATCATCAATCTCCACCACCGATCAACTCAGAAGTTGTTCAATACGAGAAAAGGACGAGTAGTCACCCCGCGTCACGATTCGATACCAAAATACGATGGTACCGAATGGGCTTAGTCGATCTGGGATTGTGGTTCCATTCTATTTTCGTCAACATTACCTCTCCCGTCTAAAAGCACATATCAACCTACAACCCAAAGTAACAAATATATACTCCAATACTGTCTCCTTCTGATGTTATTTTCGCACCGTATAAGTACCTTCCAAAAACCTGCCACTTCTTTGATCCTTTTAGTCATCTTTTCGCAAAGAGCAGTCAAACGATCATTCTCGTCCTCACCGCCGGTTCACATATCGATATCTACATCACGAAGTACTTCTCGAAAAGTCATACGAGACAGCTGCTATGGCTAGGAACACTTCCATAGAACTAGTCACCAGCGAATCTGGTCATCGAGGCCGATTTTTCTGACGCCATCCAGTCTCAACGTTAACTTCGATGACGTGAAGGAGAAACGGGGTAGTCCCCGTGTGGGTGCGGATAACGATAATTCATCACTTCCAGGCTTTCTTCGTACATAGCTACAGAGACTTCCTGAAGATCGCTTTTCGAGTTCCCTGTTACCCTCGATTTGGCAAAGTGGTGCGGAATCTGAAGTCTGGTGTTTGCGAGCTCACAAACCTGCTCCTATTCCCTGAATAACGTAACATAAACCATCACCCTGTAATATGCGCAACTTCCATCTTATCTCCAAATACCCAAGTCAGATCTGTGCAAATGAACTTCCGATAGCCATTTAGCACACGCGAACCTAAAAGGAGCCGTCTGAGATATTTCTTGATTTTCATCGGCTATGACCGTCGCTGATGGGATAAACACCAACAAGATCTCACTACGCACTGTGATGTCAGAAGCCATAACAGTAATCAAAGCTCGGCCCAATGAGGTACAGAAGACTCTAATTTACACTGCTGATATATTTTAACATCTTGACATGCCCGTGGCGATGAATATCGGCCTTGGGAAAAGGGTGGGAGGCATATGATTGAAAATATGGTTATGTTGAGTGAGAAAGTGGATTTAGAGTAAGCCAGCTCTTCTTCAAATATGAAGTAAACCATTCTTTACCGGCCCTCCTTCCGTTGGGGTCAGTTGGGGGCAAGTGTCAAGACCCTGGTCTGATCAGCTACCAGCTTTCACTTCGCCGACGAGATATTCCTGGGTGCACCGCCTATGAATCATTCCTTGAATGGAGACGCATACTCAGAGTTCTGTTGAGACTTAGCTGCGAAGAAAGAGCAAGGATAGAATGATTCGGTGTTTGTGAAGGGGAAGGGGGAGTCGATTGTGAAGGTTTGACTGGTGTCATTCCAACGACCACCAGTAATACCGGATCGGGAGGGTGGATGCGAAGGTTTTCGTTGTTGCTTAGTCTCTGTCTTTAAATGATTCCCTTTTGCAGTTTCAAAATCCTAATTACGTATGATTGGCGTTCGATCACTATTTTTATGAAAATCCCATCGTGATATCATTGGATATCTCAACCTCCCATCCTCTCCATCACGTAAGCATGTGTGCTGTAATTTGCGATGAATGATGTAGGAACCATATATGACCTGTTATCATTCGCAAACTCCATCACTCGCTCCCTCATCTCGCCTCTCGGCTAAACCAAAACAACATCTCCCTCTCCCATAAACATACAAAAGCTATCCTTACCCACTCCCACAGCCAAACTATTTTCCCAGATCAAAAGCAAAAGCAAAAGACAAGATCTCCCCTCTTCTACTTCAAAGAACCTCAAAAAGTTTCTCATTTAAGACAGGGGGAGCCCCCCCCCCCCCCCCCCCCCCCCCCCCCCCCCCAACCCCCCAAACAATCCGCCGCAGAAAGGTGTTCCTCCCGGACCTACCTATCTGCGTCGAATTGTTTACTAAGCCTATTTACATAAACCCGTTAAGTAACCTATTAGGACACTAGCGTAGCGAGCCGCGCTAGCTGCTTGAGATATTCCTGTTCATGTGGCTAGATATAGGATGTAGGCGTCTGCTTGGTTTTGGGTAAGACTCGGGACAGGGAGGGGAGGGACTCGAGGGAGTGAGGAGAGGCGAAGCGAGGTGGTTTGTAAACAAAGGACTAGAGGGGTGACTGCAGCTGCCAAATTGGGAGGGCGATTGCGGTATGAATGTCTATGTATAGATTTGATTTGAAATCTATACGTGCAATGATCATGCTCACACTTTTAGCCGAAAAACGAAATGTCCGAAGCAAGCCCTCGCCGTTTCATTTCGTAGTCTCAATGAGCCACTTTCATGTTTAAAAAACGACAGAATTCTACTTGCTGACCGATTTCTTTTATTTGTAAGTCTAGGGTGAACAGAAGTTTCAAGGGCTTGGACATTCAATTTAATCGTGAGGTAGGTTGGGTTGCTGCACGGTCCAAGAAGGGGAGACTCCGCATCGTTATGCCTGGAAAGGGATCATCTTAAAGCTGATCCCAGAGCTTTGATACATCTGGTTTCCTCTTTTCTCTCTATCCTCCTGCTCATGATATAACAATCTTGATTTAGGCGTAATTCGTTCTCGCTTACGATCGGTGGTCCAAAATCTATACTTTATCCGAGCCGAGACTCGCCTGTGGAGTCTGTTTGTGGAGTCCTCTCAATTGCTTCTCGGAGAGAATTCAAACCTTTGCAAGCTTTCTGATCCAGATCTCCAAGATCCGCAATCATCCGGTCTTTCGATCGGTCCACGCGGAGGTCCACCGCTCCGCGTGGTGTCCGCTTTCCATCGTATAACACCAGTCACGTGTCTGGTACGACTATGAGTGAAACAAGCAGCATGCTCGCTCAAAGGACTTCCCCCGCTCATTTGAACCTCGAGTCAATGATTATGACGAACATCTGTTTTTAGTAAATGCCGCAGTCCGGGTGTTGCGGCAATTCATCTGTAGTTGGGCACCTATCCTGTCTCAAAAAGGACTTCATCTTGATGTTCTCTGAAGTTTCTTAACATTCTCGCTCTGAAAGTGTGAAGAAGTAGATGAAAGAGCCAGCCAAGCCTTACTTACCCCTTATTGTCCAAAAGATCTGATCGCGTACACGTCCAATGAACAGCGTCAAAAATGGCAGGTTTCAGGATTGATTTCGTTCCTGGATCTTGCGCTAGACATATGCACCATGCCATTTGGAGGATGGCTGGTTAAGCAGTCGTCCGAATGCAGTCGAGGAGGAGAAAGACATGGCTGGCAGCAGGGAGAGTCGCAGGGCAGGGCAGGCCAGGGCATGGCATGCCAGGCGGACAACAGAGCCATCTTAGGATTTCATCCGGACAATGTTCGTCACTGGCGTTTTCGCCCCTCTACTCTACTCGTATCCAAATCTATTATTATTGCATCCTGCCGATGTCTATAACACCCCTCTCGTCCCCGCTCATACCCACATTATATTGAATCCGACAGAAGGTTGCATCCCTCAGTAAATGCAGCGACCATACGGAGCTTTGATATCACTGGCCCTGTGACACTCAGTAGGCTGTAGTTCGCGGGTAGGTGGTATTATAATGGCAGCGTACCGAGTCATTGACATCCATGCACACTCAAGCCCACTGGGCATTAGTTTGTCGCAAACAGACATCATAGAAATCAACCCCATCCCACTTCACTTCACTTCACTTCACTTGACCTACTTTTCTCCGCGTAACTCTTCACTGCTCTCCTACCTAGGTCCAGGTCACCAGCTTCGCCGCCCATTCCGTGTCAAAAGTCTCCAGTGCGGCAACGAGAGATATTTGTACTCCGGGCCTGGCTCCTGGCACTTGGGACGGCACTCTCGGGCAGTTGGTCAGGTACCAGAAACTTGATGCGCAACAGGCGTTTAGATGCCCCTGCCCTGCCCTGCCTTGCCCTGCCCTGCCCTGCCCTGCCCTGTCCGCCTTTCCGCTGATTTAACTCGACCAAGTCCCAGTCATCGATTCGATTCGATTCGACCCAGACTACTCGACCGACTCCTGATCTGACACTTAATCTGCATAACACATTCCACACGGCTTGCGTACGCGAACGTTCTTCCCACGTTTCAGAACTCCCCTTCTGCTGGAATTTGGGATTGTGACTATTAGGGAATGGTCGCCACACGGGCTGCCGTAACCAGACAAGCATTGCCCGTCCTGGATGCGCTCTGCTCTGGAACTGTCCCTGCCCAGCGTCAACATCAGCAATATTACTGTAGCAGCACCACCACCACCACCACCACCACCACCACAACAATCTCCAGGAACTGACAGACACGAGGAACAGTCGAGGACCCTGCCCGCCTCAAACCGTCTGAACACCCTCGTCTTCTTCACTCCTGCCTGTGCTGCCCTGCCCTGCCTTGCCTCACCTCCTCGCATCCCCCTCTGTGCCCCTCCGAGCCCTCTCCGTACAGTAGAACAAACGCCCGAACAGACCAGACACGACAAACCGAAACAAACATCCCATTTCTGCCCCCTGATCCAACACAGCTGCTTGCTCAAGCCCAAGCCCAAGCCCGCCTTCCTGCCGCCCAACTCAACTAACAACTTGCAAGTTGCGACTGATCCGACTCCTAGGACGACGAAGCATTGCGCTGCACTAGGGACATCCTCGCACACACCACTTTTTAATATAATATCCAGCTCAGCGCTTGCATCTATCTTCGGAATTGTGACACGTTCAGTGTACCTGAAGGCTGTGCACTCGAGACAGCAGTGATCCTGCGACCTGCGGCAACCGCCTGCCTGTGCCTGTAGTTAAGAAAATAGAGACAGTTGAGCCTTTACCTACTTCCAGGGGCCAGCATGGCTCGGAAAACTACCACACCACAGCCGCTGACGCTTCCCAACACCAACCTCGCGGATGATGACCTAGACTTTGTCGGCAGCCCGAAGACTCCTCTCAGCCCAAAGTCTCCGAGGTCACCAAGATCCCCCTTTAGGTTCAGCAGCAAGAGAACACAAAGCGAGCTTCCGTCTCTGCAAGCAGCCGAATCGCAACCAATCCGCGCCGCCGCCGCCCTTTCATCCTCCCACACCACGCCTTCCTTGTCAGCAATATCGCATTACTCGGCTGGAGAGGAGCAGCAGCAGCCATATCAACAGCAGCAGAAGCAGGAACGGCCTGCTCGGGGTGGTTTTTTCTCTAATTACAAGGCCTCAAAAAGTTCAAGTCGTCTGCAGAACAATCAGGATACCACCAGCCAGCCGAACGACAGAATGTCCAGAGACACAGACCGGCCTGCCATGTCTGGGAGAGTTTCATCAAAGGAGAATACTAGAGCTGGTAAGACTTTACCAGTTTCAATAATTTGGATTGGAAGATGAAAGTACCATGCTAACTTCTACTGTGCAAACAGACTCCAGCCTCGATAGGTCGATTGCTAGACGACCTGTTGGCGGGCCATCAAATTCAGACGTATCTCTCGATTCGAACGGCGAGTCACAACCTACTACCACGAGCCCGGCTGCTACGAAAAAGAGTAAGCCGAAGCCTTTCAGTATCTTATCTCGATCGAGGTCAATACGCGACGAACATTCACCTCGCGAACCGTCACCGACGAATAAATTGGGGGAAGGAGAGAAGACACCGTCACAGGCGCAATCAGTTTCGCCAGACAACGCTGCCAAGTCAGCTCCTTTACCTATTGAGCAAGGCGACAGGTCATTCAGGGCAATGATGAACTCCACGGTACGACAGCGCTCCGAAGATAGGCAACCTTCGCAACCTCGCGAAAGTTCGAAAACAAAGGAGGGCAGCAAGTTGCGAGAGCAGAGCAGGACACAGATAATGAAGGAACAGAAGGACAACGTCGGTCGATCTCAGCCATCCTTCTCGGGGTCCTTTCGGGAAGGTGGAGGACACACATTTCTGAATAATTTGAAGAGCTCCGCTACCAAAGGTGCGGGAGCACTGAGCAAGGGCTTGTTTGGCAAGAGTGGCAGAAGTGGCAGTACGAACGAAAAGGAGCCAGTTGTGGATGATGAACATTACCAGATCAAGGTCCTCAATCTGCCATTAATGGAGCAGACACGTCTAACCAGGATTTCGAAGAAGTTGGAGGATTCAAGAGACAAGACCGAATTCTGGATGCCAGCGTTCCCTTGGAGAGCAATCGACTATTTAAATTATAAGGGCAGCGACGTTGAGGGGTTGTACAGAGTTCCTGGCAGTGGTCCACAGATCAAGAAATGGCAGAGAAGATTCGACGAGGGTATGTTTCAAAATCATAAAGGGGGAGTATTTACTAATCATGCGATTTTAGAATACGATATCGACCTTTTCGAACAAGATGAACTCTACGACATTAACATTATTGGCTCTATGCTCAAAGCTTGGCTGCGCGAGTTACCAGACGAATTATTCCCCAAGACATCCCAGGATCGGATCGCCCGCGAAGCTGGAGGACAGGAGGAAGTTCCACAACTGTTGATTGACGAGCTCTCGAATTTGTCACCTTTCAACTACTACCTACTATTTGCTATCACCTGCCACCTTTCACTTCTCCTCGCCCACTCCGACAAGAACAAGATGGACTACCGAAATCTTTGTATCTGCTTCCAACCTTGCATGAAGATTGACGCTTACTGTTTCAAATTTTTGGTTTGCAATTGGAGAGAATGCTGGAAGGGTTGCAAGACGGAGCAATACTACGTGGAGCAGGAGTATATGTTATTCGACATGATCACCCCTTCTAGTGCTGAAGGTCGAAGCAGCACCGCTGTTGAGAGCCACGATGAGCGCAACGTTTCAAGCTCAGACAGCAGCAAGCCAAGCAGTGTTAGTATTGATCAAGCCAGCAAGACTGCAGGAAGCCAGAACAAGAAGGTTGCCGTGAGCCAATCCCAAACCAGCAGTGCCAGCACTGTCAACACCACTTTGACGGTTGTTCAAGAACGTACGCCACCGAGAAGTAATGAGATGCGACCTCTCAGTCCTATCAAGCCTTTGAGCCCAATTGGATTCTAGGGAGCTGGAACACGCACCGCTGATTCCAGATTCAACGGATGTAGGACGAGGAACTCGCCACCACGATTGCCTGATATACTCATCCCCATACTCCTCAGGAGCAAGGAACTCCATCTAGAAGAACACGATACAGAGACGACAGACAAAGAGGCATGTCAAGAAAATTGCAAGCGATTTGCAACTGAGGAGCTGCTTCGTTCACAGAACGATCTTTTAGCTCTCTCGAACCTCATCCTTTACTCAACCCGAACAACCGAACGGAGCTGAATTTGAACTGTACTCTTCTCCTCATCTGCCCTGTTCTTTTTACGATTCTCTTTTCCTCAAAATGACCTTGAAAATTGAATTTGTTGAATACCCTAGCGTTTGCACAAATGGATGGTGGCATAATTTGACTTTTGTTCTTTTTATTCTTTTCTTCGCTTGCGGCTGTTGTTTCCTTTTCTCATACCCCTTCTTACCCTTATGGTTAGAGCGGGTAGATCGGATAGATCAAGCATTGTTAGGAAAGTGCTGAAGAATGTATGGGCGCTTTAGCTGGCGTAGTCGTGCAAGGAGGGAGGTAAGGCAGGGCTGGGTGCACGTAATGGATTGGCGGGATGGAATGGTCGGAGAGGGAGTTTTGTTTGGATTACTGCCTGCCTACCTACCTCTTTTTCTTCCGCTTTGGATTACGCATTTGTGGAGGGAGTGGAGGGATGTCGAGACACGATTTGTTTGGTGGGCGATAATTTGACCGGCTTTACTGCATGGTCATGTGTAAGATTACTACGACGTTGCTATGGATGAATGGATGGATGGATAGTAAGGTCTGCAAGCCGAAACAGCTTCGTGCTGTTGAATGAATGAAAACATGGAGCGAGACAATGGAACATCAGTTTCGATTTTGAGCTCGGAGTCCTGCATAGCTGGGACGCATGAATATGGGACTCGATGAACTCAAACATTCATACTCCATGAACAGAATCTTCTATTGACGACATCTCCGTCGCGGCAAATCCAGCACTTTTAACTCGACGTCAATCAAGCCTCACCCATCCATAAGAACGCCAAAACCAGCCAGCCGCCCAACAGCAGACCTCCAACGCCAGACATATGCAACAATCACAGCCTTGTCCTCTCCCTCTCTTCTCAAGCCTCTTACTTCGGGCCCTTAATCCTCTCCTTCCTCTCATTCTTCCTCTGCAGCCTCTCCCCGCGCTTGACCCTCTCGACTCTCGCCCTCCTGCCATCTCCCTGCCTCTCCGTCCCCTCCTTCCTCTCCCTCTCCTTCTTCTCATCCACCTCCACAATCCAGTCGTTCTCGCCCGCCTTATTCGCACCCTTGTAGCCCCATTTGGGAACCCACTCCCCGGTTGCTTCGTCGTACACCATTTTCTTGCGCTGCTCGGCGGTCTTGGACTTGATGCCTTTCTTGAGGGCGAATTTCTCCCAGGTGGTTTGCTCTTTGGGTGGTGGGAGGGGCTGGGTGTCGTTAGTGTTTACTGGAATGTCATTCACGGGGAGGATATGTAATCGGGTACCTTCTCTCGGGGCAGTCTCGTTTCGATCTCTGGTAATGATAGTAGAACTCCGTTCGGTGTGCTGGCAATTGGACATGTGCTTAGCAACTGGTTCAGTAGCGCTTGTGCACCATCTCTTGCTGTGGCCGCGAGATCCTCCTCGAGCTTCTCGGATGTCGTTAAGAGGACTGGGTTGGGATCTGAGGCGAGCAGAAGACCGAGGTCGAAGGTGTATGGCGTGGGCTTGTTGACCACTACTTGAAGTTTCGGGGCGGGAGTCGACATCTTTTCTTTTGTTCTGTTGCTTTCCTGCAGATTTGTCTGGTTGCTGAAGAAGAAGGTTGGTGAAATCGGGTTGTCACAAACCTGAAGCTTGCTTGCGGTTAATGAAAATGTCGAGGAAACTTTTTGGCGGAGCTGCATTCAAGCGGCCGCATTTTAGCGTCACGGCCTAACTTTAATTTCTCGAACAGCTCAGACGACATTCAATTCAGACGGAGAGCAGCTCAAGAGTCGCCAATTGAGCTCGCATATTGCTCAAATACACGTCCAGGATGGCGTCTTCTCATTGTTGGAAATGCCTTTCTCGGCCTACGAATCCCATCTCGTCTGCGTCTTCGCCGCTAGTCCTACGATTCGCCAACCCGTCAACGACGAAAGGAGTCAATGTAGCTGCCACGGCGCAGTTCTCGACGACTGCGAAGCTCGCTGCTGCGCTTGTCAAGACGGCAAAAATGGTGGCTGGGAAGGGCAAGGGTGCGAAGACGTTGCGGATTAAGAAGAAGGCGTTTGTGAAGACGGGAAAGCCGCCGGCGACTGGAGAGCGGAAGGCGCTGAGGAAGAGAATCGTTCTGAGTAACACGAATGCGCTTGAGGTGCGAGATTTGAGAGATTTGGATGGGAAGATGGTTGATGAGATGGTGGCGGCTAGAGGAGGGGAGGGGCAGACTCCACAATCGCTGGCTGCGGCTGTTATTGGGGATGAGGGTGCCTTGGTTGGTCAGGTGGTGGGACTGAAGGGTGTTACGGTTGATTCTTTGAGAGCAGTTGAGGCCTTCAAGACGACGCAGGGATGGGGCATTTTTAGGCGACCGGCGTTGCTGATTAGAGAGGAGACGGCGGCGTTGAATAAGAAGATGTTGGATGCGGAGATAAAGAGAGAGACTGTGAGGGTTGTGCTCGATGGTGACAAAGGGACGGGGAAGAGTTTGATGATGCTCAGTGCTATGGCTACTGCCTTCGTGAAGGGATGGGTAGTCTTGAATATCCCTGAAGGTATGTGTGACCGTCCTTTGGAGCATTTATCAATCGCTGACTAAAGCCCACAGCTCAAGACGTCACAAATGCCGTTACAGACTACGCAGCCATACCGGGCACCTCCCCTCCCCTCTACTCCCAAAATACATATACCGCCAACCTGCTCAACCAAATTGGCAAAGCCAACAGTATCCTTCTGGCCGACCTCACTATGTCTAAAGAATACTCCCTACCGATCACAGTACCAACTGGCATCTCCCTCTTCCGACTCTGCGAACTAGGTGGTCGAGACCCCGACATCGCCTGGCCAATTTTCCAGGCACTCTGGTCGGAACTGACTCTTGAAGGCCGCCCTCCAATCCTCATGTGTCTTGACGGCCTCAGCTTCACCATGCAGAATTCGCTCTACCGTGCCCCGGACTTCTCACTAATTCACGCCCACGACCTCGCTCTTGTTAAGCACTTCGTCGATCATCTCTCTGGTGCCACCACACTCCCCAATGGCGGTGCCGTCCTAGCAGCCACAAGCAGAAGTCATGCCCCAATTTCGAAATCCGTAAACCTCGCAATTAAGCAAGCAGAAGATAGAAAGGCAGGCAGAGACGTCACCCAACGCGATCCTTTCGAGAAGAACTATGATTCTAGAGCGGACGCTGTGCTGAGCAAGATGGAGGTCTTGCATTTGAAGGGTTTAAGCAAGAGGGAGGCAAGGGGGTTGATGGAGTACTGGGCTAAGAGTGGTGTTCTGAGGTGTAAGGTTGATGATGAGACAGTTACGGAGAAGTGGGCTCTTGCTGGAAATGGAGTTGTGGGCGAGATCCAGAGAACGGCACTTTGGATGAGGATGTAAATCTACGAGTGGAACTGGAATGAGGAAGGGGATGGATTGGAGGATAGGGAGGGAAGAAATGGTGTCGATGTACTGTATGTATGTAAGTTACCGAAGCATGAATTGTGACATATGTAAAGACATAGCATAGACTGGAGTTTTGTTATGCATAGAGCTGTTCCAGCTAATATCACTCCGAATCTTCAGGAACATGGATCCGGTTTTAAATGCCCACCTCTAGTGAGACCAGGTTCACAATTTTAAAGTCACGGTCGCTCTCTCGTCAATACTGCAGTTACGGCCTGGTCTTAATCACTGATCACGAAACCAGCCTGGCTGACGGATCAACAATTGTGTCCAGCACTACTTCGGCAGAGGCACATAATGAATCAACGTACTTGAGGGTAATCCAACCCAAACAACAGGTAGCAAGCAAAACCCAACGCAATTCTGAATTCGACAAAACATCAAAGATTCCGTCTAAAACATCTCTCCCTTCCCAGCGGCCGTCGTGCTGCGTTTTGGGTAGTCCGGTACTTGACCGCCTAGGAAGGGCCGAGAAGAATTCGCAGAATATGCCTTAACATGTGGTACCACTGTGATCGCAGAACGCGCAGGAGTCACTGCCGTGTTACCTACTACTTACCTACTGACCTACTTCCAGGAAATTTTGGCGGAGGTTTCTTTCCCACGAACCATATCTTTGAATAACGCCACCATGCGCCATCAACCCGGGACAGATGGGGATAGAAATGCTTTCGCAGAAATGATATTACAAAAATAGAACACCGTTCTGAGAAGAACATTTGTTGATCAACGCCGCAATCGGCGGCTAAGGCCCTATTCTGGCTGCCAGTACAGACTTGCCGGGGGGCTGTCATTGTTATCCTGGGAATGAGGCTTTATTAGTGATACGGTGTGCTTCACGTTGCAAGAAATAGTGGGAAAGGCGAAAGGGAGGGAAAAGGGAGAAGGGGGCAGATAGAAGAATAGACTCGTGCTTTTGATACAATTTCCATGAGCTTCAAACTGTTTTGGTAGGTACCGGTTGTGTACCCATTGACGGTGCAGTAGAGGTATCCCGGTTTTCATGACGGACATGGAGAGGACATGCATGTATGAGGAGGATGAAGTTGAGAAGCAGGGCGAGGATGGCTGCGGGTGTGAGTTTTGGCGAGACAAGTAGATTCAAATTACACTGATGGACAACTCCAATCATATCCAAGCTACACAGTCACCTTGTGAAGCTGCAAAGGTCTACAGTCATTGGTCAAGAGAAGGAAAAGAATATAGCTTTGCGCAAAAAGCAGTATTGTATTGAATGAAAAGCTTATTTTGCCAAGCTTCCACGCACGACCATCATTCAACAATCAACGACACGAAACCCATACTGAAGTGAACTTGACCCTTGTCATCATCCTCAATCCTCAAGATTGACGGTCAATTGACCATGATAAAGGTTCCATGAGACGAAACCGTCTGGAAAGAAGAAACCCAAAGTTAGGCCAGCCTATTCACCAAAGGAATGAAGAGGAGAGACTTACACTCAAAGGCAGTAGGGAACGGTTCCAATGTATTTGCAACGCTGATTTGAACCACAGTAGGCCACATTGACAGCGTGATGACTGCCATCGCAGAGGACCTAGAGCATTGTTATTAACTTATTAGCATGATTAACCTCTGTTAATATTTCGCATCCTGGTGGTGGCAATGCGTAGAAGGAGATGACTTGGGGAAAGGATGTTACTGGCGATGGTGGTGTTGGACGCAGAACAAGTGTATTCACCAACTGGGCCACAGTCGACCTGTCCAGCATTGCTGATAGAAATGGCAGAGACGCCATCAGCGGAGAGCTCGGCAGCAGTATCGCGGATTACCAAAGCTTCGATGAAGCTGGAGAAGGTGAGGTAGGTGAGGAGGAGACCGGAAACCTTTGAGATGGCGTGGGTGTGCATAGTTGCTACAGGTTGTTGTATTTGCGCTTGGTGGTTTGAATCGAGGTGATGTTCTGGTCGAGTCTGACTTCGGAGTTGAGTTGATTGAGGATGAAAGGGAAAGAAGGAAGAGGGACAATGAGGAGGGGTATTTATACTGCAACCGAGCACTCAATTGAGTGAATTCTGGGTACACAAGTTCATCCAACTGGTATGTGCTCTTGTCTGTTTCTGGTTGCGACTGCAGAGATCGTCTCCGATATCGACAACTAAACTTACCGTAATCAAGCGAACATTCGATTGTTGGTGTCAAAAACCAACTATCCAATCAGTAATTATAACACATAGCATCTGCTGACTACTTTTTACGAGATTGTTGTAGTAAGGGCTTTCTGAATCTCAGAATATTGAAATTAGTGCCTTGGGCAAATTCAATTCAGGAATAGACAGGTATCACATTAAGCTGTTTCAGGATTGGAGTTTCAGTAGAGAAGCTCAATCATGTAATGCATTCTATTTTCGCTCTTTACTTAAAGTTCAACTGGTCATGAGTCCTTCCTCTTCCTCCATTTAATTAACTGGGCCTCGGCGTCAAAGACACCAAGGCTTCAGGAAGCGGAACGTTCAACGTTGAGCCGACATCGGGGAGAACAGCTGCAACGACAGTCTGAACTAATCCAGATTCTCAAAGCTGAGCTCAACCCATGAGAACCCATGAAATTTTTTGCAATTTGCATTGGCTCTCGCAGAAGACTCACGAGAGACAGGCCAGAAGCTGAAGATCCAGGTCAGATGACCATGCTGGAGCAAAGACTACTTCATGGGAGTTCTAGAAATGTTCGATGTTTCAGCAAACATAATCTTTTCAGACACTGGAGACATGACGAATAAATTCACACATTTGATTGAATGCGACAGTCCATGAAGGGACAATCACGATCCAAAGATAAACTTTGAAGTCCGATGCTTCAGTTTCATTATTTTCTTACATAAAATGTTGTTTCCTCACTTCCAAATACAAAAAACTTGCTTTCACGATATTTCACAAAGTTCGGTGACCCTAATTAGCATTGGGATGTTGAATGGAGTATAAATGTGGATTGTTGACATTGACAAGTGACCTCGCTTAATATTCCGCCTGCTAGAATTATCTTAGCGCAGAAATTAGTGGAACAAGTAACAGGTAGTATCAATAGTCGCGCTCCACAGCAGGTAATTTCGCATTGGTACCAAGTCCGCATATATCTGCTTCTTCGTAGATTACCGGGAGTTGTGCAGAGTTTGTGACTGTTCAGCGCCTTTTGCTGAAGAGCAGACAAGACTTGCAACTTCAGATGCGAAGCCAGTACCTTCAAGGAGTATCCTGAAGAGGACATCGATATTGTTGAACTCTTCCCGATCAGATCACCTGAACTGATTCCTGGGCCTGACACTACCTGGGTGATGCAATATGTAAGTATTCCCTTCAACCCAGATTAGTTAGCATCGCAGGTTCCAAGTTTCATTGCTGTCATCACTAGCCTGTTCTCTACGGTTTAGCATTTAAAGCTGCCATGGACGGCTCGGCAGCTGCGATCGACATGCTAGTCAGACTTCCTACCGTCAGTGGTAAGCTTGGAGGATGGATCTTTGAGTACAAGCCGGAAGATTTGATGGAAGACCATCCTATCGAATCAAGACGTTGGATCTTCAGTTCTGCACATTAAATTGACAAGCCTATCTCCGCTGAAGCCAAGATATAAATTTTGGTTAGCAAGTCATCGTAAGCAAGGAACGAGGTTTGGGTTGGTCTAGCTACGAGATGAGATGAGAGTGACGGAAAAATAGCAATTGGGTTGGCTTGGCGTCGATATCACTGTTTACACTGAGTAGTCAAAGGGTGGCGGGTTTTGCACACCACGAGTGGGTGACCTTGGAACCCCAGAGGATCTGTTAACCATTAATTGCGAAGAAAACTTTGTCTTAGAATGTACCATGCTCTTGATCAAGTGATGACATAACTCAATCACATCAGATGTTGCGTCACGACTCGAAACAAAAGATCCCATGTAGAAAACAGCCGAGAGGCGCATACGCGGACAGGAACGTTGCATCGTAACATAATGTAAAGTGGTACATAGAATGCCATTATATACAAGTATCTCGTACAAAATATTTATACACTTTTGTGGAATGAGGTATCGCCACTTCCAAAGCACTGACCTGTCCAGTGAAAGACCTCCACACTCCATTTATAGATCGACATCTCATACCAAGACTCCCGTATGGGGTATAGCAATCTCATATCCTCCCGCTTGTCTCAGAGCCTTCTTACTACTGAATTCCTCGTAATCAGGCAGCAGGCGCCACTACTGGTGCGGCTGGCGCAGCGGATGAAGCAGCGGGAGCAGCTGGTGCTGGGGCGGCTGGACCACCTGGAGCATCAGCGATTGCCGGTGCAGGGACGAAACTAATCTAGACATTAATTTCAAGCCATGATAAGTAGATGGGTCGAATACATACGCTGCTGTTCCAAGGGTAATTTTGCCTGCAATACCTCCGGCTATTGTTGGGCTGTCTACGCTTTTGGTGGTGCCTTGTGCTGCTTTGACAAAATCGACAACTTGCTGGGCATTGGCACTAAGTAACCGTCAGATATTTGGGGAGAACATACTGAAAAAATGATGATACTTACGGATTGATGACCATAACTTGCCCTTCTTGACAGTGTGGGCCGGTCGCACAAAATATAAACATCGGGGCTAAACTTGCTACTGGCATGTTATAAGTTCCCACATCTGTTTGACCGTCTTGAAATGGGATGTGACCACTATTCATGCCGCCTTCTAGAGGCGTGCAGGGTGCTTCCGGCGTGCTTTGTGTCGCAGTATGATTGCCATTACTGAATTGGAATTGTATAACGTCTCCCACGGCGGCAACAACAGAGTTTGGGGAGAAAGTGTCCTGTGGTCCGCCAACGACTACGGGGATGAGTTGGTTTGCTCGAGGAACTGTGATCGTGAGCGACTGGAAACTGCGAGGTTCCGGTCTATTATACATACGTACTAGGCCACCAGTTGTCTCCAGAGTGGTAAGAACATTTGGAAGCGCGCTACTCGTTGCTGCCAGAATGATCGAAGAAAATAAGAACTTCATGGCCGCGTGATCAAACACTAAATGGAAGGTGTCTGAATGAAGGTAACCGATCAACGGATAGATATTGCTCAGCAATAAATTATAAACACCGATCTACGGCTTCAGATTAAGAAAAAAGGAGAGATAGGGAGTGACAAAAGGTCGAAAAACGTAGATCTCAAAAGTAAAAGCAATGCGCGACCGATCGAGAAGTATATATCGCCGTATGAACGTACTTACGGACCCTCTTCGGGACCGAAGTTAGACAAGAACTGCCATAAGGTGTGGGAGCCACGTCAGAAGAGTATGAAACCTGGTATCAGGTATGCTCGCTGCGGTGTTCGGATTTCTATCTGAACTTTCCACTCTCTTCGAAAGCTTAGACTTGTCAGAAGCTTGGAAATCCATATTTCTCAGCTGACTTCGCGGTCTATGATTAGCTATAGCATCTGACCATAACCACACATGATACAGCTGTGGATACAAGTGTAGACTTGAAGGTCTTGTAAATAGGTGGACGGAATGCCCAAGGAATTTGCTAGCAACGCCAACCCTAATGGCATAGAGGAAGTTACAGGCGAGAATTGGTTGCCACTGTGGGGCAATCATTGAAAACGCTCAGATCGCGAAGAGAGTCGTACCACAGAGCCAAAACACACCATCTGATTGGTCTCCCAGGCTGATAAGCGGACCGGCCAGCTGTGCTTTCAAGGTTGGTGAGCTACGTATGCTTTGTTTGAGGATCGCCAAGCGTGGATCCGGGGGTCGGCGCTAATGTGGCCAAGGTGCATGATCATCGTCTGGAAACGTTGTTTTTAAGCAAGTGGATATTCCAAAGGCGTCATTCAGTTTGCCGTTGAGATTCGCTTTTACGACCAGTGTAACCAAAAAGTTGTTGTGTGGCGAGATAATAAACCCAAACATCCTATCTGGCAGGTGGCTTTAGAATTAAGCCAAGCAAAGTAGTTGATAATGAAGTGAGACCACAAAATGACATTCCGGTTGAAAAAAGGAGGAATTATCGCTGCCAGAAGTGACCCGATTGAATTACAGGTCGTGACTTCATCTGTTCGTCTGCGTGTCTCGCTAAAACAAAACAGATCGCCAGTGTCAGCGAGCTGCGACGATAATGATGAAATCAGACCAACGGTTTAGTTAGACAAGGAAAATGCTACATAAGGCAGGAAACCCAAGAACTGCTCATGCAGCATTTTTAAATTGACTGCCGATCTTCTAAACCATGAACGGAGGTCACTCTTACATGGGGATACTACATTGTCACCAATGGCTCCATACAACGAGATATGATCAAATAATCAGCTTTTCCAAGACACTTCACTGACGAAAAGCCTTTTTGGGTTGTTTAGATCTTCTTACCACTGGATTAAAGAAGGAAGAGGAGAGGCTGAGATTTGAACCGGAAGGAACAACGCTTGACTTTTACCCCAACTTGACGATTGAAATCAAAACGGTATTTCGCCTCTCGTGTAAAGGTGAGCTAGTAGCCTGAGTTGACCATATATTCAATGACCGCTATGCTACAATTGAATGACCACTTCCTTGGCAGGCTCCGCCACACCCTCGATCACAACGACATTGTCCTCCAGCACAGAGTTGCCGTCCTTGATGTAAACATGTCTCGCTTTCCATATCCACCACATACCTGGAAAGATGATAGTCGCGCCAACAATCAGTATAGACCAGTTCATGTACGAGATATTCACCACGTTGACCGGAACGTACATCGGGAAACTGAACATAACAATCATCAGCAGCGACCAGCATACACCAGCATACGGAGATGACGTTGATCAGATATCCCCAACTTCCGAGATCGAAATTTGGGCGGGCTGGTAAGATCTTGCGTCCTCGAACAAGGACGATGATGATTGGAGTGACGTATCCCACTTGCAAAGTGACACCACCTCCTGAAATGATGGCCTGGAAAGCATAGTCGGAACCGAGTACTATGAGGCCAATGATCAGATCGATGACTAGAATGGCGATCATGGCGCGCAGAGGAATGCCAAAGCGCTTGTCAACAGTCGCGAAATAGGAAGAATAGGGGAAGGCTCGGTCCCTCGCCATACTCCAGGCGAGACGAGAACCCGCGGTATTTGTACCAACCACAATGAAATAATTCAGTCCGATCATGACGAGAGCACAAAAGACACCGCCACCATATGTACTGTGATAGATGTCCATGAACCAATTCATGTAGGGCTGTGAAGCCAGCATGTAAGTTTCGTAGTCCCCGGCGCAAAACAGCATTAAGATAGCGCTAGCCCAGGACGTAATGCTGCAGAATATCATGGACCATACCATGACTCGCTGTGAGGCTTGTTAGGACAAGAATTATGTGAGCTTCTGTGACTTACTGGTGCTTGACGAGAAGCATCCCGCATTTCTTCAACAAGGTGCATCATCCCATCCGTTCCATAGAGTCCGTACATCGGCGTATAAAGGCTCAGGATAAACACCCAGGGCCTGCTGGCGTACCCAGTGTTATTGATAAACATCTTGAAGACGAAGCCACCACTCTTCTTCGGTGCTAGAACGAGAAAGCTGATCGCCCAAGCGAGACCTCCGCCAATCGTCCAGAAAGCTCCGAACACATTGAGTGCTGGAAGATACTTTGGTGCGAGATTCTGAACAATGGGACCAATAAAGAAGATTGAGTACACCACCCAAGTAAGCCAAGGTTTCCAGACAAATTCTGGATGCGTCACTTCGACGAAGCTTGCGATTACTTGTGAAGAGTTCAAAGCGCACGATGAGCCGGTGGAAATTTCTCCAACAAGAACAGCCCATCCAACGAGGTACGAAAGGAAAGGTCGAAACTTTCCTGTGGCTAGAGCTTGGGTATAATACTGCTGACCACCTGCTGTTGGCCAAATGGAACAAAATTCGGCCAGCGAGGTCATGAGAAGGGTTTGCCCGATAGCGACGATAAGAGTTCCCCAAACCTTGACGTTCACAGCTTAGTATAAATTCAGAGGATTCTGAATGTAGAATACATACCATTGCCATTGGGCCTCCGATATCGAAGACTGTTGAGTACAGCACGACGTTGCAGGACCAGCTGCACATCATCATGACTTGGTCTTCGGCATGTCAGAGGTGTACCTGCGGATCAAAATGTGGAAACATACAGGCACATAATGTCCAGAAATTATATACTCTTCGGAAAAATCAGCATAGGGAGGAATCGATCGTATGTTTTACTGACCGCTTCAGCTCGGGAGCCTTGCCCATTGACAATAATAATGCATCGTGCGGGGAGATCGATTTCTGGTCGCCAGTGCTGTCGTACCGAACGTCTGTTTTAACTGTAATGCCGTCCATTTGGTCGACATTCATCCTCGGTCTACTAAATCTTTATAATATCTTGAGCCTCTTGCTTGAAAGTTATCCATGGTTATCGAACGGGGATGCAGAGTCTAATATATCGATTTGTAGTCGGGGTACATGTCCCCTATTAGATTAGAGCATTCTGTTCTCGCAATCTCGCAACCCTCTGGAAAGAGGAAATCCTCATTCCTCCGTATCTCAGCAGACATGTGCAGCATGGTGGTGGCAGGAGCTGCTGATATCAAGTTCGGATAACAAAAACAACAAATGATGCTCAAGACCCCCCACCTATGCCCACGAATCAGGTTCAATTAAGGTTGTGAATGTGAATGATGGCTGACGTGCTAAACCCAACATGGGCAGTCGATGGAGAAGTTCAGCGCCACAGACGCTAAAACGTAACGAATTTGTGCTCTGTCGTATTCCTTGTTATCTTATCGAAGCTATCGGGAAGCTCATGTCCAGTTAACCTGACCCAAATACCTCCTCAAGCAGGTCGAATGAAGCTCCCTGCCTACTGTCTGATTCGAAGCTTCAAGCTCTTCGCGTATTTCAGGGGTTCGCTACGCCATGTTTGGAAGTGTTACCCCGCCTACCCCGCCAGAAGAAGCTGCTAGAGGCATTCCGAGAATGTTTGTCTGTTATGGTGCAATGAAATACAAAATAATATATAGATCTCGTTTGCGCACATTCTATACTTGTTGGAAATTTACAAATCAGCTGCAACGCTTATACAGAGCATAACAGGTATATCAATCCTCGCACAAGCCCTGAGGACCATACACTAATTTTGACGAAAGAGGCTCGACAGACATAAAATATGGCATATTCAGTCAGCTCCTATTTTTCCAATTTGTTCCGCAAAGTCTGGGTTCAGTCTGCAGGGGCTAAACCAGCCAAAATTCCATCTGTGAAGCCACAAATTCAGCGTATGAGTGCCAAGGATCCTGCAACGACTTGCGAAGCTCTTGTTGCAATCATCGAGCGCGATGGCGGCGTTATAGTAGAGGATCTCATCTCTGCTGCCCTCGTTGCACAGATCAAATCCGACTTAGCACCACACTTCGACACTGACAAGGTGGACAAGTCGGGCTTCTTCCCTCGCACAACCCAGCGAGCGACTGGTCTACTGGCAATTTCAGATGCTTGCGTAGAGCTGGCTTTGAACCCTCTTTATAACGCCATCGCAAATAAAATGATCTCAAGTACCTACACATTTTGGGATGCCCAAGTACAAGAAACTGTTACCAGCAAGCCGCAAATCAGTAGCACCGTTGGATTCAGGGTCAATCCTGGAGGAAAGCAGCAAGGTCTCCATAGAGATGACAGCGACTACCACACAAGGAACTGCGATATGCCAGTCATGATGGGATGCGTAACAGCCTTGACGAAGACGACGAAAGGTAAGTTCAGATCGATACCAATGATGGCTATCCCAAGTAATACTGACACTCCCCAGAGAATGGAGCCACAATAGTCATCCCAGGAAGTCATCTCTGGGGGCCCGATAGATGTCCATATGATGAAGAATCAATACCAGCTGAGCTTGACCCTGGATCCGCTCTGATATTTCTGGGGAACACGTACCACGCAGGCGGCGGAAACACTACGACTGATCAAGCGAGAGAGACCGTGGGCATATTTCTATGCAAAGGATTCTATCGCCAAGCCGAGAATCAATATCTCATGGTCCCGCCAGAGAAAGCGAAGAGACTCAGTCCTCAGGCGCAACGACTTCTCGGCTATGGTATTTCGTTGCCGTCGGTGGGGTTCATGAAATACCAGGATCCTATGGTGTGTCGGCCCTTCAAATAATTCCTTGTCCATGTCACAGATTCTGTGCTAATACATGATATGTCTAGAGAGTGCTGTTTGACGTTGAGGACGAAGAAACGGTGAATATGTAAAGTTGATTCCGGATGTGACCATGTCTTGGTGTGTTACATATCTCCCCTCAAGGCTGGGCCAAAGTATGTCAAAAAACGAGAAACTGTTTCCCACAACTTGTCCAGTGCCGTGCATATTGTATCCAGTTTATCTCACTTCCAATATCTGCTTTGCCATTATACATCTGGTTGGAGCTTAAGGAGTGCCCCCCGTCTCGGGCACTCCAAAGTGTTCTCAAGAACTGCAATGCGACTTCGCAATTCGAAAACCCGGTCCGTCGCATGGCCTGATTAAGCTTCTGCTCCACCAATATCCTGGTGCCCTTATCACTTTGAGCTTCTGTTCCCGCGATGAAGAGCGGCCAAAAAGTGTTCTGTGCAAAGGCGGGGTGATCCGACTGCACCAGATCGAGTCTTTGAAATAGTGCTAGTCGTGATTGTATTATCTCGTCTTGCGAATCTGGGATTGAGAGGCATCGGTAACTGTACAAAAGACCTGCATGGTGAAAGCTGTCAATGACTCCCAGGAACTGCTCACGCTCAGCTGGTGTGTTGAAGACCGTCTGTGAACATGACGCCAATGTAAGATCTCTTGCCCGCTCAAAAAGATGGCACAACTCGGTCGTCGATGTTTGGCAATCTGAGCTTGGCAGTCCCCCAGCAGCAATTTGGCGCTCAAGCGAAGTCACCCACTTGATAAGCCTAAGAAATTCGGTAAAGACACTGCTGTTGTCTTCTGTTAAGAGCTCTTGGTCATATATCTCGTCAAATGATGTTGTGCAGGCGAATGCATCAAAGACGAAAAGCTGTTCCGCAAGGAACCTGGAAGTTTCATCTTTGAACAAGAAGCCAGTTGTGGTCTGTGTACTTGCAACGGTACGTGCAGCTTCGAGATGTAGCCGCCATAATCTGGAGTCTAATACGCAATTATCAGACGGTGAAAATCAAGAAAATGGACTTGACGCACCTGGGCGAATCGTTTCCATATTGCAGAGCATAAGCATACTCGCTAAAATCGAATTTACTATGTCTTTACGACAAAACTCGTCCTTGATGTGTTTCAAGGACTCGGGGGCTATTGATGTTGATCGCATATCAGAAGCCAAAAGACCCAGCGCCAAATCACGGTAGTCATGGGCACGTCTTTTAAGGTCTTCCTTCAGAGCCGAGCAGTTTGAAAATGTGACAGAAAAGAGATGCTCAGCCGCAAATGCAAGCACTGATAAGAGTAGAGGAGTCGATTGAAGCGCCAGAGATATCATGGTAGATCGCCACTGGTTTTCAGGAGTATCCACCCAAGCCATTGTCGCTGCTAACGTTTGTCCGTAGTGATGAAACAGACGACGTGCTGTTTGATTCTGTAAGATGCTGCTTTTGAATGACGGAACTGGCGTCAAACAGTTGTCTGCTGATGGCTGATAGATAGAACAGGGCCGAGCATACTTGCTCCGGCTTTCGGAAAGGCGTTGAGTTCGTGCATCATACTTCAAGGAAGTCATTGAGACGAGGAATGGGAGGTTCGAGTCAGCAATCTGTGATTTGTTCCCAGAGTAAGAGCTGGGACTTGGGGACTCCACCGTGAAATGGACTGGAGAGCAACTGTCTTGCTGAACAGCAGGGAATGTCTTTCCAGCAAGCTTCCCACGGCTTGCCACGCCCCACCCCCAGTTGAGAACAACGCCATAGCCAGGACAAGCGAAATTTCTTGTGGTACACTTCTTGCAAGAAGGTGTTGAACGATCACATTTGATCCGTCGCCTGTTACAGACTCGACAATCTGACCAGTGTCAGTCTATGCTCTATGACGCCATTCCATGGCGAAAAGTGGAAGTGGTGTTTTCGATCATACCTTTGGAAGCTTTAGTACCTCGGCTGCCCGACTTTGAGGTTTGCTTTTCTGAAAGCCGTTTTGCGTCCATGCCTGCGCTTGTGCGCCGAGGCTGAAAGCCAATGACTTCAAAAGCGGAGTATCAGCAACAATAGTTTACGGGCCTCGACTTGCGGACTAGCGGTTTGTTCTCCCAACCGCGCCATAAGGTTTCTGAAGAGCACCAAGACTCAGGATAGTGGACAGCTTGCTGGAGAATGGCATCTTCTTTAAGCTAGCAGGACGACCGTTTGTCCAGATGCTGTGCCGTCTGTCGAGCCAAACAGAAGTTTGAAAACCAGATAAGAGAGCCAGAGTCAATAATGCGGTACATGGATTGGTCGTGGTTCATGCATGTGCATGTGGTTGGTATGAGCTGCGCGTGCTGAGTTTAGTCAGCGCACCACGCATCGAGACCTAACTGCTTTTGGAAGGTCGATGGAGAAAAGAATGGGAGGGCAGTTAACCAAAGGAATAATCCTATTTTGCTGGGTTGCTGGACTTTGTTTAGTTAGATATCATAGCCGTAAGCAGCTGAAGAATTCTAGTTACCAGAACTTCTACATGTCAACCAACAATGGCTTCGACTACGCAAGTATGGAGGAAATCTCGCGAAATGACCTGTATGGAGGCTTCTTCTTGTAAATCCAGTGTGGGGAGCCGCTGGCCGAGTACGATCTGGGCTTGGAAGTGAATGTTGGCGCCAGGTGGATTTTTAAAGTAGAATTAATTACGCTTAACTCCGAAAAGACAGACACAGAAAAGCAACAATGTAAATAGAATAGATCGAAGAACATGAGAAGCCTTACCGAGTACGTTGGCGAACACGCCTGTGTTTAAACTTGTTTCCATTTTCAAGAATCAGCCCTCAATCAGGAATCATGTCCGAGGCTCAATATGGCCGTCTACGATAGCCTTTTGTCCTATCCATAAGATCCATATGCATCCAACCGCGCTGGTATGTGTGTTCCACCCCCGTATGTAGGCACTCTACCTCAATGATGTCCATTCGCTGCCTAGCTCTGCCAGGCACAGAGCTCCCTCCAATCATACATAGCAATACATCTGCTCTTCACCGTAGGCGCAATTCCTCGACGCCAGATATAAACACTTCATTCATATTCAGAGTCATACTCTGAAGCATCATCGTCGTCAATGACTTGTCCTTGAATCGGCTGGTGGTACTTGAAAGCCGAGCCCCTAGTCTCCTTCCTTTTATGGTCCTCATCGCTTCCACCAACGGCATCGTAGCCTCGCTTGTTCTTCTTCCGGATCTTCTCCTCCTTCTCCCTAGCCAAAGCTGCAGCTTCCTCGGCCTCCAATACCGCATCGAAAGCCGCTCCCGCCTCGCCAACTGTAATCAATCCCATATCCTTCTTCCTCTCGTACACTTCAATGGACTCACTGCCTACGTTCTCGGCGGGCTCCCACGATAAGGGCCAATTGCCGACCCATTTGATAAGATAGTAGGTGACAACATGCTTACCCTTCTTTCCCACCCTGTACTGTGTCTCATCTAGGATGGCTTCTACTTCGTACTCTTCTTCTCCTAGCACTTCGTCCTCATCGGCATCGTTGTCCGCAAGAATGTCCTGCTTTGAAGAGGCAGATTGTCCCTCGCTTTTGACAATGGAGGAGTATTTATCCCAGTGTCCCGTTTTCTTCGAAGGAGTTCTACTCCTACTCTTCTCTCGCTCCATTCTCTCATCAATCTTCCCTGCCTCTAAGCTCGATGTGGTCGCAAAAGACTCATTACGTGTAGGGGGTCGCTGGTGTTTGGCTTCACTGGTTCTTGCCGATACCGAAGCACTTTGACTTCTGGAACTTCGAGCTCGCCTTGATGAGCTCCTGTCATCCCTTGGAGCTGGTGACAAAGCTTTGCTCTTCCCTTTACTGGCCGAAGACGGTTGTGGTGATGGAGATAGAGCAACATTCATATGTAGCCTAGACCGGGGGTGCGATTCCATGGTGCTACTGAGCTGTGCTTCAATCGCGAGATACGTAGACTCTTCTTCCTCCTCGCTCTCAGATTCCATCATATCGGCCAGACCTCGCTGCTTTGAAGGAGATGCTAGGGTAGGTCGCTGCGGTGATGTGAAGACCGGCTCTGGTTCTTCAATGGACTTACGAGCAACTCGAGAAGCCGGCCCCACTATGACTTTGAATCTAGAACCAACCTTCTCATCATCTGCTTCTACCAGAGCATGCTTGCGTTTCCTGCCAGGCTTTGCTTTCTGCTTTAATTCCTCGTCACGTGCCTCGAAGGCATTTCCACCCTTTGCAACCTTCCCCTTGCCCAAGTTACGACCCTCACGTTCCATAACTTGCATGTACTCGAATTGTTCAAGCGTGTATCGGGAGACATAATTGAGAATATTCTCTGGCGCAACGCTAATACGGAGGTATGGTGCCTCGGTATATGATACAACGTATCGGGGAAGATGGTTGACTTCAAAGCTAGCAACGATGATACCGTCATTTTCGTCATCCGGCATAATTGAAATTGGAGCCAGAGGAGGTCCTGAATTGGGAATGTATTTTGGTCGCTCAGCCACGACGAAGTCGAACTCGTGGTTCTCTGGGTGAATCTGGATGAGCTTGGGGCTCTCCATATCTGGTGAGGGGCTTAGAAACATCTTGGACTTTAACTCTCAAATGCGACACGACAGAGAATGGCTGAGTTAGGGACCATACGCCACATGTATGATTGGCAATGACTAGGAGTAGGTATGTATGGTTCGGACTTACTGCTTGGTTGACTGAATTTATACGTTGGCCGAACAGTTTGTGCCTGAGGCAACTATTTCTGGAGACTTGCGGTCCGCCTTCTGTAGAGACCGGATGGGGAAATAATCGATGAAAGGACGGTGGTAACCTAATCAGAAGATGAAGATCAAAGGGCGTGAGTCAGATATGCTTGGTATTCTTTCGAATAGTATTGTGTGATGTACGAGATGCCTTGTTTGCAAGGTCTCTGAATGAGGCTTTCTATCGCTGATTTTGTTATACTGATCAGTTTCGCAATCAGTGAATAGTATCGTAGAAGTTCGTTCTGCTCTATTCGCTGCAATGTCAAAAGGATTTTGGTGACTTTAGTCTGTAGACTTTCACAAGGCTGGCGATTGGTCGATGCAGACGCCAATGCAACTCAAGCGCGCAAGAGCCGCGACAATCGCCAAAGTCAAAAACACCTCCACCCAAGCTCCAAGCTTTCCTGCAAACCAAATCTCCACTCACTCACTAAAAGCCATCACCAAAATGCTGGGAGCAACACCGACACTCCGGACCGCAGCAATCGGCTGCAGGTTACAGCCTACCCTCTTCACGCCTTGCACATATCCCACGACGAGCAGTCCTTCCCTCCGCAGAAATCAGAGCACCACCACATGCACAGGCACCACGCCATCAGCTCCTAGACGACGAGTGCAGCTCCCTAAACGCAATGTCACATTCAGACCTACTTCGACAATGGTCAGACATGCTTCAACCGCTACTACTTCGCACCCTTCATCCACAGCTACGGCGTCAGAAGCTTCGGCGCCTGGTTCAGACCTCCTCGACTGGAACACATTCTTCAAGCTTCGCAAGACCCGCCGGTGGTACCAACTAGGATCGTCAGTGACCACAGGAATCGGTGGGTTTGTCGGCGGAGCACAAGTTCTCACTATGTCGGATATGGATGCTTTAGTGTCGCAAATTCCTCTTGATCCATTCATCACGCTGGGCTTGATTACATTCACGTGTGGAGGTGTGGGATGGTTGGTAGGACCAATTCTTGGAACGGGCGTGTTCAATTGGAGGAATAGAAACTACAGGACCCAGATGGCTGAAAAGGAGAAGGAATTCTATAGGAGGATTAAAAGATTCAGAGTTGATCCTTCGGCGAGTAGCATGGCAAATCCTGTACCGGGTACGTTCTCGAGATTTTTCTTCAGCTTTGCAATTTTACTTGCATACTAACTCAATCTCTAGATTATTACGGAGAAAAGATTTCCAGTGTAGCAGGATACAGGCAATGGCTGAAAGACCAACGGGCATTCAACAAGAAGCGGACAACATACATCAAGTACTAGGGGGGAAATGAGAGATCATCTGTCAGAGAAATATGGAGACCAAGATGGAAATGGAGGTGGAGATGAACTGACGGCTTGATGCAAGCACAATGCACATTTTATTTTGTTATGCCAGGAATGTAACCTGCAAGCAGGATATGAAAATACCTAGCTGCACGAAACCCGGCGGCGTTTATGAGCCTCTCCCTTGTAGCAACAGAACGGAAAATACTTGATACGTACGGATAGGAAAAATTCCCGTACTTGGAATGCTATACGATATCCGCTTTTCAACTCCACAATCCTTGAACTGTTCCAATCTTTATTTGTTTCTGATATTTGACTTCTGAACTAAAATTGGCTACTGATCTGTCACCACGCTTCGGGGTAGTGAGCTGATTCATTGTGACCTGAACAGTCATCTCTACACATCCCTTTTCTGCAAGATATGGATTCTGTCCATGAGAACCGAAGCAGTTAGAAGTTTAATCGAATGGTCACACAACAGCGCAACTTTTCAAATGGACCAAGATGCGATGTTAGTCCTGAAGTCGTCCTTGGATCGCATTATATGCTACAGTGCAGAAGGCATGAGATGGAGTCCGATGTTTGAACGGTCCTCCAAGTGGACTGCCGACAATGGTCTGACCATATTGGTGTTTGGTCACCAACACCAACAACAGTTCTCGTAGGCGAGATGGACGGTATGGCATCCGATGATGTCAGCGAATCGGGCAAGATTGGTGTCGAGTTTTCTTTGAACGTGTTGATGTCAGGGACTCGGTACAGCCGACTTGTTTTGGTTTGCGTGAGACAACGTCGAATCGAGGGGAGTAGTGGACCGGAGTGTAATGCAAATACAGTATGTACTTGTCACGCTCCAATCGCGACAGCTTTCACAACCCTGATGCAGCGCTCGCTCTCTCACATGCATTCTCTCTCTCCTCAGCCCCATTCTTCCTTTCTGTCACATTCACTAGGAGCTGTGATTTCATGATGCCCAGGCTGCACCTTTGCGTACCAGCTTCTCAATCTGTTTGCCGAGGAAACTGATATTGTCGTAGTCATGTTCTGCTATTCCTTTCTGGTGTGAAAGAGAAGGAGATTGGGAGAAGATTTGGAAAGCAAGGTTCTCTGGCAAAGAAGTGCGACCTGGAGATTATGGAGAGTTCGGACTCTGGGACACCCGAGGCGCTGGATGATGACAGCGGAATGTCCTTCAAGAAGAATCCGAAGATAGGCAGTTTTGGATTGTCAAAACGTGACTCGTAGTCGAAAATATTGAGAGCTTCAAATGCTGGCAGCTATAGCTGATGGTAGGCCAATAGCATTCCATTGAAGACTTACCTTTGGAGGGGCACAAACGTGACGAAATCTGTGCGCTTTAGAACTCGTAATGTGTCTGTAGAGATATTAGACAATGCATTTGGGTATCTTAGAAGTGCAAACAAGTATGATTGATGTAGGAGCACACTGGTGTGCAGGCTGAACACCCCGAGAAGATGCCTTCCAAAGATTTTGATATGCCCCTCCATCCCCTCCCAAGGTGAAGTAACTCCCGAACACCATGCAATAAAATGACATACCGAGTATGCAGTTCCCTGATGCAGCCGCTATTTCTTCTCCTCAAACGCCGGATGCTTCTCCATATTCTGATTGACCCAGGCCCTTAAAGCTGCGAATCTGTTCACCGCTGGATTCGACACAGGAGCCGCAGTCGCAACAGCAGTAGTTCCAGCACCGCCTCCCTCGTCGACAGACATAGCAACCTCCGGAACCTTCTCCCCTTCCTCTTTCCCGCCAGCCAGAATAACTGCCATGTTCTTCCCAAACCTCTCCCTCTCCATCCTCTCCAACTTCTCCTTCCGTTTCCTTGCTCCGGGTTTACTCTTCAAACTCTTCATCGTCATCTTGCCACTCCCCCCATTACCACCACTCGCAGCCCTGTCATTCTCCTTGACAAGATCCTCCACATCGGGCAGCGCATCCGCGAGACTCTCGAGTGTTGTAACAAGCTTCTTACTAGGTCGCCTGCGCTTCAGTGGTTTCTTGTGGGCTTTTTCGATGCGGTTGAGGAAGGAGGAGTGCTTGATGACGCGCTTGTCTTTCTTGCTGTTTATGAAGGAGTCGGAGATGACTGCGCCTTCGCGGTGCTTGGGGGGAGGGCGTGCGATCAGGCCAGAGCCTGAATTAGAGGTTTTGGCCCGGATGGAGGGGCGTTTTTTGGGTGCTGTTGGGGCCTGCAATGGCATTGAGTTAGCTATCGATTTATTCTATTGGATTTGAAGAAGTAGCACCATGATCACAGTTCTCAGTTCCGGAAATTGCGCGGCTGTAAACGCCCGAATGGAGGCAGCTCTATCGGTATGTATTTGCAAGGACAAGTTCTTGAAATAGGTAGACTTTTGATTGCCAAGATAGAAATTCTCAAGCGACATCACCGGGTGCTCGCTTGCATTTGCGACCGCGCCAAGGCCTTTCGGTCTCAATTAGAACCAGCTACGCTGTGTTCATGATTATGATATTTATCTACTTGGGTGTACAGAGCAGGATTGAATACAAAACTTCTCCATGATATTCTTTCACTATTGTGGTGCACATTGGACTAAAAAGGTTTCTTTAAACATGCACAGATCGATAGCTCCGCAGGTACATTGAATCTCGTAGCTCGCCTTTTTAACCGAGATTTACAAGAGCTGAATTCTTACCTGAACCAGCCAGTACAGTACAGCCTTCAAAAGACAACCAAAGTCACGCCAAATCATGAATTCGGCCACCACCAGTCCCGAAAGTCTAAGGAAACAGATATCAACCACTGAAAACGAACTAAAGCGATTAAAAGCACAGCTCGCAAGCGCCGAAGCCCAAGAAGCTGTACAGAAGCAGATCGCGGGGTTGCACTTAGGTGCGGGGGATCCCGTGACAGAGCTTGAAACTGGCAGTGCGAGTGAGAGGAAATGGCCGCTGTCCGAGGAGGAATACAGGAGGTATGGAAGGCAGATGATTGTTCCTAGTGTCGGGATTCAAGGTAACTTTGTTTGGCCTGTTTTTGACCCTGGTGTCGAGAAGAAGCATGGAATGAATCATGACTGATATATCAGTTTAGGACAACTCCGCCTCAAAGAAGCATCCGTCCTCATCGTCGGAGCCGGCGGTCTAGGCTGTCCAGCAGCAGCCTATCTCGCTGGAGCAGGAGTAGGTACCATCGGCATTGTAGATGGTGATGAAGTCGAGACGTCAAATCTCCATCGACAGATCTTACATAGCACTGCCAAAGTAGGCATGAAAAAAGTCGAGAGTGCGATAGAGTATCTCACAAAGTAGGGACCTATTTCGTCTTATCCCATACATCACTCATTTGGTTTCCAAAAGAAGAAAGCCGAGAAAAAAGAAAAGACCCTTCATACCTACACAACACTAACTCATCACAGCTTAAATCCAAATCCAACCTACATCCCCCATCCCACACACCTCACTCCCCAAAACAGCCACTCCATAGTCTCCCAATACGACCTAGTCCTCGACTGCACCGACCACCCCACGTCGCGGTATCTCATCTCTGACATATCAATCCTTCTCTCCAAACCACTCATCTCCGCCTCCGCTCTCCGCACCGACGGCCAGCTAATAGTCCTCAACTCGCCTCCATTACCAGCCGGTCACGCATCCGGTGGTCCCTGCTACCGCTGCGTATTCCCCAAGCCGCCACCAGCAGAGAGCGTAGTAAGTTGTGGGGATGGAGGCATTCTTGGGCCAGTGGTAGGTGTGATGGGTGTGTTGCAGGCGTTGGAGGCGATCAAGTTGATTGTTGCTGGGAAACTGGAAGCTTTCCCTCCTCCTCCACGTCCGCCAACTCCTTCATCCGAATCAGCACCTGGATTAGGATCTGCAACCTTAGGTGGACAAGTCCCAATCCAACCCGACGTAGCAACAGCAGCAGCAACCATGCTCCTCTTCTCCGCCATCAGCAACCCTCCATTCAGAAGCGTACGTCTACGTTCCCGCCGCACAAACTGTTTCGCTTGCTCCTCCTCCGCCGGCCTCTCACTCGAGAGTCTTACGAGCGGAAGTCTAGACTATGTGTTATTTTGCGGCGTCACTTCACCGATCAACATCTTAAATCCAGAGGAGCGGATCGAAGCTCGTCAATACCACGAAATCTTGCGAGCTAAACCAGAGAAGAAACATCTATTACTAGATATCAGAGAGAAAGTGCAATTCGACATCTGTAATCTCGAGGGCTCGATCAATGTTCCATTTTCCACATTACAGGGAAATAGAGGTGTTGCTCGTTCAGGAGAGAAGCCTGTCTGGGTACCAGAAGGATTGCCGGAAGATGCGCCGATCTATGTGGTTTGTAGATTAGGCAATGATTCGCAAGTTGTGACAAGGAAGTTGAAGGAGAGCGGGTTGGCGAGTCAAGGGAGATATATTGGAGATATCAAGGGTGGGTTAAAGGCTTGGAAGGAACAGGTTGATGGGTCTTGGCCGGAATATTGAATACGGCTAAGGTAGGTAATGCAAAATACAATGATTTTATTCACATATGTCCAAACAGATATTGGTCTTTTGGGCATTGCGAGACTGCACGCTTTTAAGCGATCCGGGTTGTTGACATCAAGCTGCACCCCGGGGAGATATTATGTTCGCCTTGTCAAACTTCAGACGAAAACAGACCCAGGCCGCCTTCAGTAATGTCATGCCATCCGAAAACCGAGCTATCATCTAATCTTCTCATCCCATAGTTGAGAAATGGTCCCCCATCCAATGTCTGCCACTCATTGTATCTCTTACGAAGGCGCTCAGTTCCAAAGTAAACTAACATATTCACTCAGGATCAAGAGCTCCAAGAGCCTTCTGCTCGTACGTGCTGAAAATCCATTGCCATTATTTATCCGTTCCGCTCTAGGTATCTTGTTGTGCGCTCACACTACGAACCCCCAGCCCAATGCCACCAGCCCAGACCAACCGTTCAGCCGATGCCATCTCAGCAGTATGCATCCCGAATCCCGCCCACTTGCTGACTAGACGACGCCCCTTAGAGAAAGATATGCACATTCATTGGCCCCGCTGCCCTCCTGTCATCCCACACCAACAGTCGTGAATCTCATTTGCGCGTAAAACGTCCTACTGACCCAAACCCATTCCCAGAAGCTCAAAGCATGCAAGAGACAAAAATCGAAGAAGAGAAATCAACGACAGCCATTGTCCCCCACTCTCAAAACCAAAATACTCCATGCGCCCTCGCTATCATATCTCTCTGTTCGATTCCGCTACCAAGTCCGTATGTATGGGTAGGAGGAAAGGTAGTTACGAATCGATCCGGGGAGGGCTTCGAGAATCTGTCTTACCGCCCTTACCGAACGGAGATGCGGAGCGTGAGTCTTCAGTTCTGTGCAGTGCCCTGATTAGCTCCTATCCGGACAGCACAGTTCTTTTGCCAAATCGGACAACCAGACGTGGGCGAACTTACGATCTCCTTCTCTCGCCCTCCTTCCTAAACCCTTCAATAGTCTTCAACATCTCCTTCCGCCCACCATTCGCATCAACCAGCTTTCCACCCATGCTCATACTAACTTTCTCTCTCGCATTGGCACTCAGAAGTCTTTTGAGCAGTAAATGTCGCATCTGGATACAGACATAGACTCCACAATCAGAACTGTTCTCCTGCTGGGGACTATCCTCCAAATTCATGAAGCGCAGCGGCCGGCCAAGTAGAATCGAGATCTTGTTTGTTGCGAGCATAGCCTCGTTGTAGTTTGAGGGCGAGAGAGAGTCGTAGTGGAAGGCTACCCCATCAATGACCGAGACCAGGAGTAGAGACCAGTGCGAGCCGCCTTCTGCGACGGAGACGTTGCGCGCGTCATTTATGGGCAAGAAGATGTGCGTTGTGCGTGTGAAGTTGGGTAGAGCATCTTTAAGTGTAAGAGGGTCCGGTGTTTGCATCAGCATAAATGCCATCGAGGGCCGTAGGAGGACGATGTGCGAGGAGGGGTATTTGCGGAGCTCTTCGCGCTCGAGATATCTGCCATACCGTCATTAGTGACGCTATTGTAATACCGATACAGGGTCTTCCGTACTCTTCCCAGAATGCAATGGTCTGCAAGACTATGTTAGCTACCGTGTGTGCAGAGAGCAACGTTGTACAGAGAGACATGCATTATCCGTGAGCCAGTCATTTTTCAGCGTGTCGACATCCTCTTTGGTCACTATCCAGCAATAAGTTTCCAATCCAGCCTTGTAGTACTGTAGAACTCACATCGAATATCGTAGTCTGCATGGAGTCAGTCAATCGTTCCACGACCCGGGGATGGCTGTGGATAATACTTACAGCTGAGATACGCATCGTCAGGTTGCAACTGTTTCCATTCCACCCACCTGGTCAGCCATTGTGTTCCGCGAAACCCCATTGCATATCATTGCTTGTGTTTGTTATGCCTTGCCTTGCTCTGCTTGCTCCGCGCCCCAAGTACGGCAGATAGCATGCCTCGGGATCTAGAGGGAGATGGGAATAGACTAAGAGAGCTGGCACGTACCGAGTCTCCGAAATGTCTGCTAACTCGGCCCTTGAAAGGATGAAAACCGTCACGTCCCATTGTGTCTGATTGTGCGATTCTTTCCTTGCTTTGTTTGACCACGCTCTGCTGTTCTATGGGCAGTTTGAGGGACGGGTAGTGGGGTGAGGCTGGCTGCGCGGTTCACGATCGGCGGGCTTGGGGTCTCCAGAGGAATGAGAGCAGAAGGCTGGTGAACAGAACAGAATGAAGGCAAGGAGTGAAGCCTAATTGTAGTTCTGGGATCGCCAAATATTTCTGATCTCTGCGGTCGTTGTCTCGTGCAGGGTTGGTTGCGTGGACGAGTCGTGAAGAGGGGACCTTCGAGTGAGCCTGGCCCACCTTCACTCTGCCCTGTTCAGCCCAGCCCCAATCTCGGCGTGCCATTCGAGATTCTGCTGCGTCATCGAGTCGTTCAGCCTCAACTCAACGTCCTTCACTTTGTATCCACAATCACATCTTCGGTCGGGCTGTGCTGCAAACTACAGTAATACCAAAGGCCACTTTGTCTTATTTTCCACGTGTTTCGGATTTTACAAACACAGCTCTTTATTAGAGGCATCTGCCGAGCTACGATCATATCTTTAGGTGGTACATTCTATCAGGTTCAAATTCCAGCTTCATTGCAATCAATCAGTCCAGCAGCCATGATGCTCATACATGCACACTCCATCACATCATACCAGTCATTGCCACCGTTATTACCAGAATGACCCCATCAAGCAAGAAAGCTCAGCACATTTTCAGTCAACGCGAGACGTCCAAACACCTTCACTCCTCTGTCGGCTTTCGACCTTCAGAAATCTGCTTGCGAATGGCATTTTGTCTTCTTCGCCATTCCCTTTCGAACTGGCTTGTTGAATGCTCTCTCAGGCTCTCTTCGGTCTCCTTGATGACACTCTTTGATTCGGTCAGGACTGCGGCTATTTCCGATTTCTTCTGATCGAGGTTGCGGAAGATGGTCCCTCTCTGATTCTCTCGCTTCGTCTTGAGGCTGTTCAGCAATTTGGTGCCATTTTCCGTGTATTGATCAGCCAAAAGATCCATCTTGTCTTCCTCGCTTGATAACCGAATGATCAGTTCCTAGCCATGTGTTAGCAGCAAATTGTTCAAGGTATCAAGAGCATACTTACATCAGCGATCCGATGAATAGCTTGTCCAAGCGTGTTATAATGCGGACGAACAGCAAGATTCCATATTTCATTTCGAGCTGCAACCTCTTGAAGTGGTGTTCTTGCTGCATCGCTGGATTGCGATCCATATGAAGTACCACTCGTCAATTCACTTGGGGATGATTGCTCGTAGACAATCGGCCTAGTCTTTCTCTCTCCCTGCTTCACAAATCCCAGTCCCTGGTTGTTAATATTTAGAACGGGTTTCTGAAGAGTGTGATCTGGTAATTTTAGGGCTTCATTCGATCGAATGCTAGCAGCACGATGACCTTTGGCGGCTTGAAGTTCAAGAGACTGGCGTCTTGACTCGAACGCATTCTTTGCCTGAGGAATTTCCTTTGACGCGCTGCTTTGGAGCCGCTCGATGAAGCAAGAAGCTTTTCGGTTCCGCTCAACAAATGGATCCGGCAAAACTTTATTTTCCTCGACAACTTGTTTGGTATCAACATTGGTGTAAACGCCATGGATCTCTCCGTGTGCAACGTAACGACTATTGGGCTCTTTTGGAGAAGATGGGCGGGCTTTCAGCTTGCCTCCCAAGGTAATCTTCGACCCAAATATCTGCGATACCCTTCTTGGTCGAGTTATTTCCTCTTCCACAAGTGCTGTCTGGACGTCTGCTATGGCCTTCGAATCTTGGGGTACGGTTTGAACTTCGGATTCGGATAGTCTCTCTTTCAACTTGCGGAAATGGTCGATCGGGCTTTCACCAGCAATTGGGCTGCCGTTTCGATCAACTCGAGAAGCCTGGGAACTTGGCCTGGAACTTAGTCTTTGACGACCTTGCTTTGGCTTAGCCACCCGTGGAGGAGGGCTGCTATTCGGTTCCATTGCATAGTAGTCATTAGGCCCAGCCACTGGACTGCTGTTTTGCTTCTTCTTTGGAGGGCTAACAACATCTGCAAAATTCGCCTTTTCACGCTTCCGCTTCCGATCTGCTGCGTGAACTTCGACTGGACTGACTTCTACCTGAACGTCCAGAGCTGATGTTATGTTTTGAGGCTTGGCAGCGCTTGCGACTCCTTGATTTCGAGGGCCTTGGCCACCAAAATTGATAACCTGTGGTTTGCGATTTGGGTCCTTGACTACTATAGAAGTTTCAGGGCCTTCAGGGCCTGCTGCCTTCGACTCAATTGGCTGCTGTGCTGCCTTGGATGCTAAGCGAGGACTTCTGCGCAGTGGCGAGGCTGAACTCGTCTTCGATTTTCTGGGCTTCTTCGTTGTGGTCTTTGCAGCAGCAGCCTTTGGAAGAACAATATCCGGGTTATGCTCATTAACTCCTTGCGTATTATCCTCTCCTGCTCGGCGTCGCTTAGTGGCAGGAGGCTCCTCGGGGCTTGGCTTCCGCTTCTTCGAAACAGTCACAACATCGACACGGCGGACCGCTTCACTCAGCATGATCCGATCCCCAGTAACAATGTCTAAATCGGTATTGAGCAAAACTGGAGTCGTGTCTGAGATCTGTGCTGGCAAATTCAGCTTTATGGCATTCAGTACTTCCGCTGAGGCTTTGGTCTTCACTTGAGTCTCGATAGTTTCGTGAATAGACGGTGGGTACGGAACCTCGGGAGACTCATCATTTGGAACAGCATCGGTTCCTGGAAGTGGCGTTTCTGGATCATCTGGAAGCATAGAACGCGGAGAATTCGCGACCGAAGTATCAGCATTCGGTGCTGATGGTGCATCGTCATGCTCAGAGAGAAATGGATTCTGGGCGAGGACTTCATCATCTGACTTATGGTCGTAGGCTCTGATCTTATCGCCGGCATTTTGGACTGATTCGTCCTCACCAGTAGGGGACGGCGCCTGTTGAGAACCCTTTTGTCGAATGGTGCTCTTTAAGAAGGCAGTAGGCTTTGTTGGAATTGCCAGCTGACGCTCGTCTTGCTCCGGCTCACTGTCCAAAAATCCCAAAGACTCGCCCAACTTGTGTGCCAAGTCGGTACCAGAGTGTCTCGGAGCAGGCTTGGAAGATATGCTTACTTTCTTAGGCTCCTTTGCAGCAAAGTCTGTAACCTTCGCTACATTCCTAGGACTCGCGTCGTAGAGATCTCTGTCCTGTTCCAGGAGTGGAGATTTGTCAGGCGCCAATCCTAGAGAGCGGGCATCCTCAGCTTGCAGTCTGGAAATATCCTGATCACTGTCTGGTGAATACGATTCGAGATCAGAAGCACTCTTCTCGGGAAATTTGTTTGGTATTTGAGTGCCACTGTTCTTCTTGTCTTCGACTGCCTGCGACTTAGGCTTGGTCGGAGAAGACTTCTCGATCTTGTGATCGTCGTGACTGTCATCGGCACCCAGCATCTTATCCTTTACCTTTGAAGCGGCCGTCCGTTGACTCTGCCTCGTTGCTCGCAAGGCTGCTGGGGCTGACTGTCTCTTGGTAGCATCCGCCTTGTGGGATATGCCAGGCTTAGTGGCCTTGGTCTCTGACTTTGGATTTGGCTTCGCGGGGTTCGTGCCTGCTGTGTCCTTTACTCCCACGGTACTACTATTTGTGTCATTGGAAGCATTTCCTGTTGGCTTATGAAGACCGTAGCGTTTCCGAACCGGTGCGGGGGAGTCATCTGTGCTGACAATCTTTGACTTCGATTGAGTTCCGATTGGCTTAGCGACCGTATTTATCGGTTTGGAAATTGATTTAGCCTTCGATACTTTAGGAGTGGAGGCATCGTTGGCATCTGGACTGGGGATCAGGTTGTCTGAGAAGTCATATGCTAGATCAACTGTATTTGAAGCCAAAGCTGTCTTCGAGCCTACAGCGCTTGATTTGACAACTTTTTTAGTGGCTGCTGGGCGACGCGCTTTGATAGCAGCAGAAGCAACGATTGGCTGTTTTGCAACACGCAAATCTTGTGAAGGAGCCTTCGCATTTGCATCCTTCTGCTCTTTGCGGGTGGCGGATGCGGCGCTGGTAAGATCTTTGACTCCTGAATTGGCTTCAGTTCTCGCCTGCAACAAGCTGTTGCCTTTGCCATTTCTATTGTCAGCTTTTGCTGCCTTGATACCCGTAACGTGGGTTTTTGATTTCGCTGTCGTCAAGTTACTGTCAAGGCTATGACGTCCAAGAACGATAGGTGGTTTAGCTTTCGGCTTGACGCCTTTACGGCCGCGCGGAAGCAGTGGCATTGGCATTGTTTTAGATGTTTGAAAATCAGGACTGAGCACCTTGGTTTGGGTTATCTCCGGACTTGCAGTGTAGAGGTCCTCTTCCCCTGAAAGATCTTCCCCATTCTCGATGCTTGATTTGTTTCGGTCTCCGTGACCTTGCTGTGATTTGGCTCGCGCTTCAGAGTCTTCCTGGGAGCCAGGAAATTGATTTTGGGAGAGCTCTTTAGTGCTACCCAGCTCCTGAATTTGACGTCGAGATTCTTGAGTTCTTGCTTGAGTTTCACCGAGATCCATACTGGTCACTTTCGTGGTTGGCTGGGTGTTGTTCAAGCCGCCGCTATCTGAATAAGAGATCTCGATGTCATCTTGGAACTGAGAGATGATATTGTGAAAGCTGTTGATGCTTTTGGAGACCATCGAGAATGCCACCGTGTCAAGTTGTAGTGCTTTGGCATCCAAGAAGCAAGGTAGGTCGTCATGTCCCTCATTATGCTTCACTATGGCGAGCGAGATCCTCAGAGACTCTATCTGAGATGTGTTGTCTGACACAAAAGTCATTTTATTGATCGACGAGATGGGGACATCGAGGACTGTGTCGAAATGGCCTTCTCGAGATGTTGCTAAGAAGCTCAACAGTGCACCATCCACAAAAAGTACAGCATTGTGATGTCTCGGCCCAAGTTGGTCACCTGGTGTCTATTATTGGAAGAGTAAGTTCCCATTCTGAAATGTGAGGTGCGTCTGGAGTGTAAGGATTGAACTTACCAGCTTTATCTTCGTTGCGAAGAACAAATACCCAATACTAGATATCTGTTAGGCCATGACCGCGGGGTACAAAGGGATAACGTACTTATCTGCAACTTGAATAGATGGGTTGTTCGAGACATCGTCAATGTACTTTTGGAATTGGACGAGCCATCCAGCACTACCCTGGCTGGAATATGGAAATCCAGCATAAGCGTCCACATCATAGTGTTCGGGAAACATGTTTTCCAACGGTGTACCCTTGCCGACCATAGCCCGCACAAGCTGGGCATAGATGACCTTCAGAATCTCATCTGTCTCCTCGACTACTTGGCGGCCAATGCCCCGTCTGTTCATGGCTTGTTAATGGGTACCTACTGTAGGACCAGGGAGTACCGACCTCGAATCTTCTGGAGCTTGTTCCAATTTGCAATGATTGCTTTCACTGTCCTTGACTAGCTGGATGCAGAGTAGTCCGGCCTTGACACCAGTCAGTGTCTGCTTTACGAATTGGCCAGAGTGCTTCAAAAGCTTACCCATCGTCGCATGCCAAAGTAATTTTCGGAATCAATGAAGTAATTCAGCAGCTGTATAAGACACTGCGATCCAATGATGTCCTTCTTCTTGTCCAGCTCGTCCTTGTTTTCCGTGTTTTGTGCATCATGGAACAGTGAAGCCTATCTTCCTGTCAGGCGGCGATTGAGGCAGAATGGTCGAAGAGACTTACTGCCAGTAAATGGAGACCGCGCTCAGCTTCCTTGCATGCCTCCATCTGTAGGATAATTTTGAGGATGACGGAAAATGCTTCGGGCTTCAAACGGCTGCAGAGGTTGACATCGTCTTCATCATCGAGTTTCCTCACGAACTCATCAACCTCTGGCTGGTTTATCAATGTGTGTTTCTGGCGGCATGCAGTGATGATCCCATTTATGGCTTTAAGCAGTGCAGATGGAACACTGTGAAAACGTCAGGAATGGTTAACAATGGTCCAGAGGAGACTCACCCAATTAGTACTGGCGCATCCTTGACCTTGTCTAGGTGTGCGGAGAACTTCTGGAAGACAGTTTGTATGTTGTCTTCTTGAGATGCCGCACCAGCAGCCTTCTTTCCTCGTTTCGCAGGCATCATGACGAGTTTTCAGAATGAACGCGGGACCTGATCAAAGAAGCGCGTATCAGTATGCCATGTGGTGAAGCTCGATCGTCTCAATTGAGAGGAGAATGAGGAGTTGAACCAGCTTACAGTCACTGGAAGTCACAGGCAGAAAACAACAACGCGTCGGGCGGCGCGTCGGGCGGCTCTCAGGGACGCGATTGCTGTTTCCGGTCTGCGTGAGGTAAGAAGTTGATTGGTGCTATGCTGAGACGCACTCTGTTAGCTTCGAAAGTTGGGATGGAATGATACGAGGAGTTCGGACGAAAGTCACACTTCGATATCTGCCAAACAGAATATCTGCATATCGACTTTTAGACTTCCCCCGACGTGCTGAGAGACAGCCTGCAGGGGGTTAGAAGAAAATGGACGCGCAGAGATCATTAAAGTACAGTGAATGAGTGCGGGATGAGTGGTTGAGGACCAGGTTGAATCCTGGAGAACTGCTGATGAGGTGGAGTTCAGGGGTCGAGACTTACAAGATCAAGACGATACGTGATGACAATGGTGATGGTGACGACCGGCACACTCAGAGTTAGTCACCCATCGTCGTCCTTGTTGTCGCTAGATTAACGTTGAAGTTAGAATTGAAAGAGCAAGGCAGTAATCTGCCCTAACCTCGTGCCGTACTAGTAAGCGAGCGAATGGCAATACCCACCCCAAAACTGGAAGGAACCTACTAGGGACTCAGGTGCAGGTGAACAAAGCCCAGGATAGCAGGATTGATCAACTTCGCACTTCTCAAAGGGCAGGATCGATGGAGAGAGCCGATCCTTGGTGCTGTCACGTGAGAGCACGACCAGCTCTCCCCTCCTCCCCACCTTATTGGTAATCTCGAGCTCAGAATCTCACGGGATGGGCCTTCTACCCTCAGATCTTGAATAGTAGGAACGCATAGTTTGCCCATATTACACCAAAGCCCACTTCGGACACTAGGTAGCATTACCCCCGGCCAAGGGCAGCGGATCAGCAGCTAGCTTTATTTACAAAACCCCTTAAGCGAGGTGAGACACAATTCAACCCATGATTATTTCTGAGGCTGCTCAGGCCCAGTACGCGCCACTGCAGACTGCAACTATCTTGAACATTGCTGGTTGATTTCCGAGACGTTTCATTGCCAACGAGATTCTCACATCCATCTCAGGCATGCCAATCCACTTGGTGTTCCAATAGAAGCAGGCTTATTTCAGAGCAGTTCAGCCGAGTACCGAGCTGTAAAGGCGTTCCACAGAGCCAGTCTTCGATTTTGATGGCAGCTCCGTGCTGGAGTAAAGCAGAAACATCCTCCTGCTTGGACAGTACTAAAGTTCTGATTGATTTAAGCCGCTTATGGTGCTCATTGTCGACTTCCGAGAAGGCTGGTGAATAATTGACATCCGTAGCTCGGTCTAACAGTCAAGACACGACTTCCCGATGATTGGTGCTTTGCGGAGTGACTTTGAGGCAGTTCAGCGCCATGAGAAGCGGCGTACCATGATAAACAGATCCTGAATCGACATCTGCTTTGCAGATAGTTATGTCTCGACAGCTTCGGCGTGGCCAGCCTTTGACGCAGCATGTATTGGTGTCTCAAGAGGACCGCCTTGTACATTGACTGCCGTTTGTTCGAACAGTAGACATCAGCGTAAAATTCTGCCGAATGTGACCTCAGCTTAGAGAGGCCTACCAAGCTCACACCTTTCTATGATGCTATTTTTAAGCAGCATTGGAACCAGGTTATGATCCATGCAAATCGTGACCTCACACGAAAGCCAATGGACATTCACCACGTGGGCAGCGCACAGCAGTGAACATATCAGCGCCGCTGGGCTCCGAGAAAAACATGTATTTGATTCAATTAGTTTCTCTACTCTTAACACACACACGAAAACTGTGTCCACAACAAAACGCCCTCCTCATTTTTGGCTCTCAACTCAGCCAGAACGAACAGAATAAAAATCAATGCCTAGAACGCCATAAATGACATATCCACGTAAGACCAGAGCCCTTCCCAACCTTGCCCCAAGAATGCATAAACCGTCTATTCCATTTCAAACTCAGCATCGCGAGCCATGTGTGCGGCTTCCGAGACGATGAAAATGAGGCGGGTACCGTTTCCAGCAGTTTGCCAAATCTAGCAAGATTCGTTAGCAGCGGTCTGAGCAGTGAGCAAGAGGGGAAACTTACGTCCAAATTGGTATACTCCATGACCGCGGTCTGCCACTGGTCTAACGTGAAACCCTTTGCGATAATTCTGCCCTCGACCTTCTTCATGCTGAGTTCCATTCCCAGTTCCTCGTCACCATCCTCCGCATCATCCGGCCTACACTGTCCACTCTCTGCAAGAGCACGAACCATATTGTAGATTCGAGAGCTGGGGCTCATGTCCTTGCCATAACCACCCTGGTCTTGGTACAAGGACTCCTTGCTAGCTTCGATCAGTCGCAAAGCTTCATCAACATCATCCTGGACAACTTCTTCACTGAAGCGCAGACGTGCGAGGGCTTGGGCAAGACGAAGTATACCGAGGAGTGTACGTGGTGACGTGTGGGTGAACTGTTTCTTGTTCTTCTCGTCTCGAGATTGCTGATCGCGCATCTTGACGTATGCCTTCACCATGTACTCTGAGACTGGTGTAGGCACAACTGGTCTGAAAGTCCGTGCTTGAGCAACATATTGGCGAACTTCGTGCGGAGTGAAAACTACGCCATCAGTATCTGGATGCTTATTGTTCATGTGAACAAAGGTGACGTGGCGAGCGAGAAGAGCATCGGTATCTCTGGTAGGAGTGTCAAGGATAAGGAAGAGGACGTCGAAACGAGACAGAAGAGCAGCTGGAAGGTTAATGTTCTCGACGGGGGAGATGCGTGGGTTGTAGCGACCGTAGAGAGGATTAGCAGCGGCGAGAATAGAAGTTCGCGCGTTGAGAGTCGTTGATATTCCGGCTTTCGAAATCGAAATCGTTTGCTGCTCCATAACTTCGTGAATTGCAGTTCTATCACTGTCGTCCATCTTGTCAAACTCGTCGATACAGCAGATACCATTGTCTGCCAAAACCAGAGCACCACCTTCCAAGATCATTTCGTCAGTGACGGGATCCTTCATGACAGCTGCAGTAAGGCCGACACCACTAGATCCTCGACCAGTAGTATAGACACCACGAGGGGCAACTTTGGTGATGTATTTGAGCAATTGAGATTTGGCCACACCAGGGTCACCCATCAAGCAAATGTTGATGTCTCCCCTGATTCGCATGCCGTCTCCCATAGCTTTCGTTACACCTCCTACGAGCAGCAGCAAGAGAGCCTTCTTCACGTCCAAATGACCATAGATTTCGGGAGCAATAGACTTCGCTAAATATTCGTAGACATGACCAGATGCTCGGTATTGCTCGATTCGCTTGAAAACTCGGTTGTCCACAGCTAAATCTTCATAAGCCTTCTTGTGCTGGGTAACGTGTTGAGCTTCGAGGAATGTATCTGTGAGGAGACCAGCTCTGATGGCTTTGAATCCAGTGTATGGAGTTGGCAAAAAGATACCAGCGATGTCCACCACATCTCCAGGGTTGATCCGACGAACCAAGGCACCATGGCACAGAACTGTTAACATTCTTGGAATGTGGCCGACCGGAACGTGTTCAGCCATCTCCTGGATCTTTACTTCCTGGAATGGCTGAAATTTGGAGGCACGCGTGGAGTGGTGCAACTGTCCTTTGGTCTGGTTGGTCTGACAATCCTGCGAGGGACACTCAACCAAAGGACCAAAAGTTTTCGTTCCGACTGGCTGGAAGATCTCACAACCGCAACGGTCGCACGTATATGCGTTGACCTCCACAGTTGGCTTGACATCGGAGACCCTTGTCGTGATTCCTCGTACGGTAATTAAATGGCCCAGGTGCTCTCCACGAACTTGTCGTACAGCCAAGGCCTTCAGAGGCTCTCCATTGTTCATTCTTGGTTTGAAATTCAATGTGTATCGGCGAGTCAACTCCGCTGGGAAAAGTTCTGGTTCAAGGATGGTCTCTGGTTGATCTGCCGCAGCTCGTTGAAGAGCGTTGTTTCGGGCTGTTCGTTGAGCCATGAGCACATCTAGGACATCGTCCTTGTAGCTGCCAAAGATCAGTACAATTCTGGTTCAGTTTGTATGGGTCTCTCACTTGATTTCTCGCGTGGGGTCGGGCATGACTTTGTCTACCGCCTTCGACAAGATATCTAGATAATGCTTCGCATTGACTTCGATCGATGCGACCAAGTTTAATGGGGTTCCACTCTCCTCCAGGACTTGATCATACTGTATCATGTCAGAATGGCCCTTTTTATGTGAAAGCTTTCCTACCTGAGCCAGATCATCCAAATCGATGGTAATTTCGTCTTCATAACGGTCTGCGACTTTCTGGAGGACTTCCATGTACTTCAGTTTCGGCGCTTTTGTCTGCGCTCCTGTCCGTCTCCGCGAATCCTGCCCCTCATCGTCATCATCATCCATAAAGTCGTAATCGTCACTGAAATCATCCTCGTCGATATTCATATCATGGAGAGCCCCTGCAAGCTCAGACTTCGGGGAAGTCTTGAAAGTGGAGAGGAAGTCCTCAAAAGCGACTGATAGATGTCAGATCAATGCGGAAGAGCAATCAGAAAGTTCTACATACGCTGATGCTCCTCATAGTTGACGGGCGACCTGAAAGTAAGGAGCGACATCTTGCGCAAACCCCCTGAACTTCGTGAAGGACCTCTGTTGTGGCGCAGAAAAGACTGATTGATAACGAAGATCTGTTGATTGTTGGGATCTACTAGAATTGCGCAGTGACAGTTACTGTGTTCGAGCAGTGTGGTGTTGTTATTTTGGTATCGAGGGGTTCGTCGCAACACAGATGGGACCAGGAGAAGAGGCTGGGAAGGGCAGCGCAAAGGCATGGGCATGTCGTGTTTCTCTTTACGCGAAAACGCGGTCGCGTATCGCATTTCAACACGGCTAGGTGGACCCAGCGAGTGCTTCCTGGAGGCGCCGTTCACTGGCAGACCAGCCGAGATTTACTAAATGTACGCCTCCATCGCTATTAGCAACCTCAGCCGGACCGAGGTCTATGGTCGTCTGGTCGTCCAAACCAAAGCTCACAGTTCACAGCTTACATCTGGCAAGCTTCACAACACCCCTCAAACTCCCGAAGCAATTGCGCATCACACTCCTTACCATGGCCCCCGACTCACGAAGACGAGGTAGTCAGGCCACATCTGCGGAAATATCGCTCATTCATCTGAAGAACTGTTTGGTCAATTTGCCCTCGTCGCTGTCCTCGCTGCTAGTCAATGTCAACACAGTGAGTCGTACAATAATGCTAAATATTTGACGGGTTCTAATATCTTTTCCAGCCGGCTCAAAATGTTATAATAGAATTGAACCATCGAACACCCCAACCTCCAAATCCTTCACAGACATCTGGCGCGCCAACTACAAAGTCCATATTCGTAGGATGGACGGGCATGCAGAGCAAGCGCAAACTTGCGCCTATTGTAAGCAGGGACGGTATTAGTGGCACACGAGGAAACACGTCGGGCCGAGAGCAAGAAGTGCCTCTCGTAGAAATCGATGCAACATTTGCGCGAACTCTGGGGATCTCAGATGGGCAGAAGGTTACAGCGAGCATACACGTTGACCCTCCGATTGCACACACAATCAACATCGAACCCCTCACGGCAGAAGACTGGGAGATAATAGAACTACATGCCAATTTCCTGGAGTTGAACCTGGTTTCCCAAATACGAGCTCTACCAAACCCAAACTATACTCCTTCAAGTGGACCCAAGACCCCACCACATCCCCTCACTCTCCACCTTTCGCCTACTTCAACGGCCAACATTATCATAACGTCTCTCGTCCCTGAACCTCCATCCACATCGCCATTTGCCAAACTCTCTCCAGATGCCGAAGTCATCGTTGCGCCAAAGACAAGATCTAAACCATCTCGTACTTCCGGTGAGAACCGAAGTGTCACGTCAAGGAAGAGTGCAGGTGCTAGAAGTGGTGCAAGCACTGTGCGGAGGAGAAGTGCCCGTGATGAAGTTCGCCCTGCTATGTTCTTCAGAGGGCTCGATCGCAGTGTATGTGGAGAGTGGTTTGACGACAATCAAGATGCAAAAGACCAGGGATTAAAAGTCTGGGTGGACCGAGACATGTTACTGTCCAAAACGTTGAAGGGTATCACATGGGCATGTGTAACAGTAGTAAAGCCAGCTAGCTTACTGGCACCCATCGATCCTCAAAAACAACAGCACGAAATTGATAGCCTAGGAGAGGCTGGCAAGATTGCTACAAAAGTGGTGGCTAAGCTTGTGGCATGGGATGATCCTCCAGACAGTCAACATATTGCACTATCGTCGGATCTTTGTGCTGCAATGGCTTCCGAAGGTATTGTAGGTGGGGTAGTAAAGCTTGAACCTGCTCCTCCGCAAGTCTCGAAGACAGCACTTGCTGCTCCTAAAGACTCGTCTCAACCTGCATCGAAATCTGGAGGTCAGGTGGTCAAATTATACCCTTTCTCCACCGGAAGTGGAAAATCCAGCGAAGGTTTGAAGTTTGGCGGAGAGTCTAAGGCAGAGCGCGAAGAAGCTAGTCGCCGAATCTTGAAGATGTATGGTTCAGAAGGAGCTCAAGATGCATTACTCGACGGTCCAATTACTGATGGATCTGTGCTTGGCAGGCCCCAGACTTCTGAATTGTCGGGCTGGGAAGGTGGCATACTTCGATTTGATCATCCTCCTCAAGAGACTGGAAAGCCAACGTGCAATTGGTTTCTAGGTTCTGAGAGGAAGTTCACCCTTGAGGTCCAGGCTGCAGTTCCGAGACCTTCATCAATATCCAAAAACAGCATGCTTGGAGAACCACTTCCTCTTCACGCCCCTTTATTAGTGGGTATCGACAATTTGATCGAACAGCTACAGACTCATCTCTCTCACATGTCCTCGGTTCTTCTCACCGGAGCTCTAGGTTCTGGGAAAAGCAGCGTCGCCCAACTACTTGCGCATCGCCTACGATCCGAGAATCTCTTCCATACCACGTACTTCTCTTGCCGTCAAATGGTCACAGACGAAACCAGAATATCGACCATAAAAGAAACATTCAACCGTATTTTAATGGGTGCTGCTTGGGGAGCTCGTCTTGGGGGCAAGTCTTTGGTAATATTAGATGATCTCGACAAGCTCTGCCCTGTTGAAACAGAGTTAGAAGTTGGAAGCGAAAATGGTCGCAGTAGGCAGATCAGTGAGGGCGTGTGTGCTGTTGTCAAGCAGTATTGTGGACGAGATAGTGGTGTAGTGCTACTAGCCACAGCTCAAACCAAGGAGTCACTTCATAATGTCATTGTTGGAGGTCATGTTGTGCGTGAGATTGTCGGGTTGAAGGCACCAAACAAAGAAGGACGAAGGAGAGTTGTTGAGATGGTGGTCAAGCAGAATGTGTCCGAAGAGAATCCTGACGAGAGACGGAAGAGTATAGGAAGCCGACCAACAACGGCAGATGGCAGTGCTGGCGAAGATGAGGACGGGGCCTGGATGGATAGCGCCAGTGCAGCAAGTCGACCCCGATCATCAGGAAAATCCGATGGCTTCACGATCTCTCCAGACCTCGACTTCCTCGATCTTGCAGGTGAGACTGACGGATATATGCCGGGAGATTTGGTTTTACTCGTCGCACGAGCAAGAAGTGAAGCTCTGATACGATCAGTCTCCCAGTCCTCCAAGGTCACTGATACTGCGGGCGTCCAACTCAGTCGTGATGACTTTGACAGCGCTCTGAAGGGATTTACCCCTGCGTCACTTCGCAACGTAACCCTTCAGACAAGTACAACTACATTCGCCTCGATAGGTGGATTGCACACGACTCGCAAGATTCTTCTCGAGACACTTCAGTACCCCACTACATATGCACCAATATTCGCACAGTGCCCTCTTCGTCTACGTTCCGGTCTCCTGCTGTATGGTTATCCTGGCTGTGGTAAGACACTACTGGCATCAGCAGTTGCAGGCGAGTGTGGATTGAACTTCATATCGGTCAAGGGACCCGAAATTCTCAACAAGTACATTGGTGCCTCGGAGAAGTCAGTTCGCGATTTGTTTGACCGCGCTGAAGCTGCTCGGCCATGTGTCCTGTTCTTTGATGAATTCGACTCCATTGCTCCTAAGCGAGGGCACGATTCCACTGGTGTCACAGATCGTGTAGTCAATCAACTTCTCACTCAAATGGACGGTGCAGAAGGGCTATCCGGTGTGTACGTTCTCGCCGCTACCTCTCGACCAGATCTCATTGACCCTGCACTCCTCCGTCCCGGTCGCCTCGACAAATCTCTTATCTGCGACCTCCCTGACCGCGAAGACCGCATTGACATCCTTCGCGCTCTCGGTACAAAACTGAAGCTCAGCTCCGAAGTCCTCGACAACCTCCCTTCAATCGCCAGTCACACAGATGGCTATTCCGGCGCTGATCTCCAAGCTCTAGTCTACAACGCGCATCTCGAAGCCATCCACGACGTTCTGGGCGATCAAGACCATGCTGAGATTTCGGGTAACAAGCGCACAAATGGCACTACTTCATCTGGGCCAAGGAACTTCATTCAGTTCCGCTATGGCGAGGAAGAAGACCGTCTCGAGGCCGAGGCACGTTCCAAAGCCGGAAACAATAAATCCAAACTCCTGGCCGAGCGTGCGGCCATCTCTCTCAAGCTTGCAGAGATCAAGAACGCGAAGAAGCATGCGAAGATGGTCAGGAGGGGCGATGGAGGAGAAGCAGATGGTGGGGGGACGAAGGAGGAGAAGGAACAGCAGGAAGTGGTTATAGGGTGGAAGCATGTGGAAGCCAGTTTGAAGAGCACGAGGGCTAGTATCAGTGCGCAGGAGAGGGGACGCTTGGAAACTATTTACAGGGAGTTTGTGGTGGGTAGGAATGGGGAGATGAAAAGCGGTGAGGGCAATAGAGAAGTGGGTGGGAGGACGAGCTTGATGTGATTAATACCCTTTATCAGACCAATGATTAAAAGCTATCTCCGTGGATTTTGCCGCTTATCATGCATCACTGTCTACTACTATATCCTGACATGCTTGTGAATGTGTGTTCCACGGATAAAGCAGTTCGCCTATGCTTCATATGTACTGTACACGGATCTACAGCGATTAACTCCGCGAGTTTCAATCACACTGCATATCGTTGCTCACAGAGTATTTGTAAAGGCTATGCAACAACCACAGTATGCATTATGACCGCAGATATACGTAAAACAGAGTTCGTAAGAACCTGCACATCAACACCTACCGTGTATTTTTCTGCCATCTCTTTTCGAACCTGATTTGGGGCTGATTGGCTGCTGGAAGCGAAGGAATTGTTCGAGAGTTATGTTTAGATGTTACATTACAGCTCAGTAGACAGACATGAAAAACCAAAACAACCTTTGACATGCCGTGGTGGAAAACAAATCAAGCAATCAAATTCAAGACCGGGCATGCATCATGTCTATGATGTCAGGTCATCACAAGAATCACTCCCAGGATTGTGGCAGATTAAGCACGTAAACTCCGAGTGTCCGTCCACCATCCATAGCGGCAAACTTGTAAAGATGGTTCAATGTAAAAGCAAAGGAGCCGCTGTTGCACTTCTGAATGCTTGCTCCATGTCATAAACCCATCTCTATCAGTCCAGTTGTCAACCGAAACACCAATTGCTCAGCCATGTCTTCTACCAAACCACTCGTCTGGCTCATCACAGGCTGCTCCTCAGGGTTCGGCGAGTCCCTAACATTCATTGCCCTCAGAGCCGGCCACATAGTAATCGCCACCTCACGCACTCCATCTCGAACTCCAGAAGCCGTAAACGAAGTCGAGGAATTGGGGGGTATTTGGCTTCCTCTTGACGTTTCCGCTCCACTTCCGGTCCACCAAGCCGTAGTCAAAGAAGGCATCGAGAAATTCGGGCGCATTGATGTGCTAGTCAATTGTGCTGGCATGAGCGTTATTGGGGCTGTGGAAGATTTCAGGTATGGATTTGTTCTTTTTTATGTTTGTTTTTGAGCTGCAGAGGTTAGAGAGCATGATATTAATTCTTGCCGTGCTTCAGCAATGATGAGGCCCACCTGGTTATGGATACCAATTTCTTTGGCGCACTCAAGCTTACGCAAGCTGTGATTCCCCACATGCGAGCCCAAAAGAGTGGAACAATCGTCAATATCTCGAGTGGTGCTGGTATTGATCCTTCACCTTCCATGGGGCTGTACGCGGCGTCAAAGTTTGCGCTTGAAGGTCTTTCTGAATGTTGTCAGTGGCTACCTCATCATAAGCGTCAACTCCTCCTCTTTCAAGGTTCACAAATAGATTAATTGACTGATCCTCTGCTAATTTCTTATATATAGTGGTCAAAGAGCTCACTCCGTTTGGTATTCGCGTTCTGATTGTCCAACCAGGAGCATTCACCACCAATATGATCAACGCCGTTCTCGTCACTAAACAAATCACAGCCGCATACAAGGACACCCAACTCGGTCAGTTCGTCGGTATGTTCAACGTACCTCCAACAGAGCGGACTTTCAAAGCACCCAGCGATGTCAACAAAGGTTGCCAAGGAATATTTGAAGTGGTCACAGGCATGGGACGAGGCAAGGGCAAAGGAGGGCATCTGCGGGTAGTGCTTAGCGAGGATAATGCTGAGAGGACATTGAAACAGACAAAGATGGCTCTGGAAGCTCGACTGGCTTTCAAAGATATTTGGAAGAATACTAAGCATGATGGTGGGGAGTTGAAGGGCCACTCGGCTAATGGAAAGTAAACAAAGTCACGCCAAGGCCTTATGTCGTGGCTTTGGCCTGTCAAAATGATGCACTTGCATTGGTAGTCTGAAGATACAGTAATGAGTGAAGGTGATAATTAGTAAGTAATGACGAAACCAAAGTCGTTTTACTAAATTCTAGACTTGGTAAATTCGCTGGTATTGCTCAGAATTTGTTCCCATCGTCTGTTTTGACGGGCGACAGAAGACAGCGTGCAACTCACCTATATTTTATAGCCCAAATTCACCTCACATTTTTGTTGTCGGTGATGATTACACAAACTGGACTATTTTTCTCGCTCGATGCGGTAATCTTCAATTCACAGTCGATTAGCAGTCATTCACCACAGGAACTTCAAGGGCTATCAACCCAACACTAACCTCAAGCAAATAACTATCAATTCATTGCTTTCTTTCAGAATAAGCCATATCAATCTACCAATACCACTATACATGGAGCTGACACATCAAAGAATTGCACAAGCTAGTCGTTGCTTTTAATGGTTCTGGGGTCCAAAGCTTCGTTTCTTCGTCTCAACCTCCAAGATTCCCCAACATAGCCCAAGAGAGCACATATCCAATTCAAACTGATATTGGTGTCTGATTTAAACTCGAGCTCAGATCACGCAGACACTGGGCGGACTCGCGTGCCTACCAAGACTGCGATATACCTCATACTGGTACAGGTCCTCGCACGGGAGTGACCGAGTACTTCCTCACACTACATGAAGCTTCTCGAAAATTTTAGTATGGGGCAGATTTCCTCTTCTACTTACGACGTTCGTCGCAGAAAAGGTCGACCAACACCTGTCATTACCATCCCGGCGAGGAAAAGAAGGGCGGCATCGTCGGAGATCCTCAATTCCAAATTTATTCGAACAAGCCAAGAACATGAATCTGAACCGAGAGATTCTACCACTAAGATTACAGAGTGCTACTTTGACAGGCTGCCTGCAGAACTCTGTAGAACGATTTTCGAGTTTATTCTGATCGAAAGTTGGAATGGAACGACTCCAGTACTCATCAAGGCTTTGAGACCACACGAACGCCTTTATTCTGAGTGTATGTACGTTTGGCACCAACAGAAGCACACGTACACTCTTCATGCGAAGAACAATTGGAGCTTCTTAGACATGTCGAAAGAGGCTATCAGCACAACAACAGATGTTGTGATTATCATTGAGTATGTTTTCCATTGTCTACTATTCTAAACCAATGAATCAAAAACCTTGGTTGCGTGAAATGGGACATTGTTGACTTATCTCAGTGAAAATATTGCTCTTCATCCGCTTCTCAGGTGGTCCGACTTGAAAGTCACCAAGAAACGGTTCTCGATGTCAGTTCATGACCTAAACATAACCGGAGCTCGTGCAACGGCGGTCACGTCTGTCACGCTCGATTGTCGTCCGACCACCGAAAATCTATACTATTGGTACCCTTCCAAGTTCAGCCTGTTCTTCTCAGGATTCAAGCGCCTCAAATACGCTGCAACAACCTGTCCCGAACAGCCTCATTTAGCTTTCCACCCTGATCCGAGGATTAAAGTCGCCTTTGTCGACCCTGATTCACAGGAGAGGAGTATGGAGAGGGGTATCAAAGAAGCAAATGAGATTTTAGCAGTAGTGGCGAGGTATGATCGCGTGTACGCTGATATATATGATCATGGAGGTCGTAGGGCTCATCGTAAGTGTGAGGATCGAGAGAAATGGGTTTGGGTTGCTGAAGAGGGGAAATTCCTGGGGGAGGTCGATATACCTCCAGGGTTGAGAATGGATCGATTCCAGTAGGTAAGTTGTCGTGAGTAGGGTAGCTTACCTAAGCGAACCCCTATTCTACGTATATCGTCAGTTGCGCTGGAGCTTCCCCCTTTAATAATCAGACGTAGTCAAACCACCTTTCAAGCTACCACGCCTGTCGCGCACGACAGTTAAGAGCCACATTCGCACTGTTCTCAAGCTACCTAAGTAGTTTTAAAAGTGTAAGGCTGGTTTGCCTTGAATTGCTGGAAACTACGATCTCCCCTACCGCGGAAAACCTTGTTACCTACGAGCTTCCGGCACCTCAGAACCTACGATGGAAGACCTACCGCAATACTCGTTGATACGACTAAAGGATCGGAAGTTATTCCCACGGTGGTATACGGAACTAGAGAGTTAAGCTACCTTCCTGGGAGGCTGGCAGCATGTTAATCCTTTGGCTCCCGACGCTCTACACCTACCTACAGAAGAGCCTTCCCTTCCCCTCTCGATCGACGAGATGCTTCATATCGAGAACACCCAGCGGCTGATACCTTTGAAGGTGTGGGACGACGATATACGAGACGCTTAAGTCAAGGGCCCTCGGCCGACCGCCCGATAAGCTGTTTTCGCTGATATCAAGGAGGAGTACCAATTCCGGCATAGGAAGTATACCCAATTGCAGGCTCGTTGGACCGCCCAGCGTACTACATACCTGTCGATTTGGAAATAGATAAGATAGACAGTCGAGCCGACGCTACTCGAGCCTCAGGTTCAGCGATTGACAGCTGACAAGAAGCTCTCTCTCCAGAACGTCGTTCGAGCTCTCAAGTTAAAGCTTGCTCCAAGCGACGATATAACACGGGAGCACGTACGGAATAAGTATCGGGAGCTACTGGACCAGGCTCAGAACCCCTCTGGAGGCTTTACACCTTCAGTTTGGCTTACAGAATGGTTTATAGTATTATCCCGAGCTCAGAACTACAAGCTTCCGGAGGTTGAGGGAGCACTAGCAATTAAAGACTTCTTGAGGGCAGTTGCAGTGAAGTTAGCCCCTGACTAGGGGGTACGTCAGCTGGATCGATACACGGAGGCTGAAACGATGAGTGAGAGCAACTCGCGGACGCTAGAGGAGTACGGAATAATCTTGGAGGGATACCTACAGCAACGAGTGCAAGAGCGCCACGGAATCTTCGCCACGGCAACACTTACCCTAGGAGCAGCTTCAGATAGCCCTAGGGGGTATACTTGCCCCTGTTTAAAGGACGGGAATCGACACAAGTGGCAGCCGGTATAATACGGGAATGTCGAATTCGCACTGAGAGGAGAGTCTCTAGTGTTCCCAGGGCTCTCTTTATCTTAGAACAACCAAGGCCTCCTACTAGCCCGGCTTGAAGAACTAGGGTATTCCAAGCTACGTAAAGCACTGGAAAAGAAAGGGTGGTACCCTAAGAACCGCTACCCCGGTAACGTTACCGCTTGAAGGAAGCTCGGGAGAGTTGATTGAAGGTGGAGGGTAACTTTCCTAACTAGCGCTGGAGACGTTCGGACGCTTGTTAGAGGCAATAGAATCAGGAGGCTTCTTTTGCTAGCCTTAGTATTAGTACAGGTAGCTCCTTACTGACTAAGTAGACCCGTTTAGCTAGAGCACTCGCACGCCGGGAGGTTATACGACGGTCCCTGACTCTCTTAGGTCGTCGAAGTGTTTCTGGACCCTCCCCTCCTAGCCTAGAGCTAGAGAGGTTATACACTCTTTTAAAGCTTCTTTTGTCTGTTTCAAGCTTCGATAGCTTATTTATATATAGAATAGCTAGTCGGTGGGAGTTCCACACAACTGGGGGGTATGTCGTGAGTAGGGTAGCTTACCTAAGCGAACCTCTATTCTACGTATATCGTCAGTTGCGCTGGAGCTTCCCCCTTTAATAATCAGACGTAGTCAAACCACCTTTCAAGCTACCACGCCTGTCGCGCACGACATAAGTACTAAGAATTTATTACGCACGGATCATGTTTTCTAGCTTTTGGTATTTGGGGGAAAGGGTATGGATTGATTGATGATGCGGAAGTTATGTCCGAAATCTGAAGCCGTGCAGGAGGTAATTTGAACGAGTCTTTAACTCATATATTTGTGTTACTGGATATCGTCTGAAGGAATGCAAAAGAAAGTTATTTTGTGACACACAAAACCATTAAAGGCTTCAGTGAGTGTATTTCGTTGGCGCATCAGTTGTAATCCACCTGTAAAGTAACAGAATTCCTTCACGTCACTGGCTCGACTTGTTACGGTCAAACGAATGGACCTGTCATAGACTTACTATCCTTAAAGATTCATTTCCCAACTAAAGTCCTCCCTTTAGCTGCTACCCAAAACCACGTCTCTGAAACACCCAGACAAGTGACATCTGAGCATCCTCCTCCCATTGGCAATTTCTTCAATCTGGAATGTGCCAGCACCTTCTGCATCTGAAAATCGCACCCCCAACCATCTCTATGCCACAGCCATGTCAGGCAGTCTCTTATGTCGCTTGGTAAACTGTCAAATACTCGCACAAATTCATTTCTTGGTTCGTCCTCAAAGGTGGTGACAGATACCCTCGATATCTTCGGCATGATGGTATGAAAATGATCTGACACGCCATCCAAAAGCTGATCCAGATCCGTTACCTCTTGTAAATCAAGCAGCCTGGCTTCTTGTCCGCTCCGCCCATGCTCACTTATTACCAAATTGAACCGTGTCAGCTGAGGGAAGTCCGGAATGTGCGAAACGAAAGACGCCCCGAACAGATTTCTGTACATGAAAGAAAGGTCAAAAGTGAGCTCTACAACATTGATTGCTTTGGACAAGGAGTCTTTGTCGAATTTCCATCCCAGAAGAGCTTTGTGGGGTTGGGATTTGTCCAGCCTTTCGTCCGCTTCGTGGTACTGCCTACGCTGGGATCAGCCCATGACTGAGAGTGGAGGTGATCCAATCCATGGGAAAGAACAGCAACTCACAAATATACTACTTTCAACTTTAGAATACTAGCAAGTACTGTGTCTCTCATGGAGCAAAAGAGATCTAAACTCCCGCATTTGTACTCGTCCAGAACATATGTAGTTTTCTTTTGGAAAAATGTTAAAAACTCCAAGTATAGAAATTTATCAGGTCGTAATGCTGCAAGAAAATGAGGATGTTTCCCGAGGTACTCATCACTAGTTTCAATATACTCATAAGCGATATGTCGAATTTCAGTGGGAAGTCTGTAAAGTGTGCAAGTACGCTTGCCGCCGGATCTTGACCAGATCTGATCCGAATTTGGAGGCTGACCCTCTGATTCTGGCTGCTCCATTTCTTTCGAAGAGAATTTCCGAAACTTCAAGTGGCGTGTGTGAGGTCTTTGAGGCGTCTCGGTAGATGGATTGGCTCTCTCTGGATTATCTCGAAATGACATTAATGTGAGGATTTAGAAAATATTTTATATCATTGGCTCATTCGGACAGACATAAATTGCCGTTGTGTGATAATTGAGTAGCTTGGTTCGAGAGCTAATCAGATTAGCGTTACGTGTTCTAACTCGATCGAATCCAGACAGAAATTTCACTTGTAAAACCTTGACGCCTTGAGCTCATGGGTGCCACGCAAACATGCTACTTCAAATTGATGAATACCAAGAAAAGAATGCAGATACAATGAACTTGTAGTATTTGAAGTATTTTGGCAGCTGAGAACCATATATATGGGGTATCGTCGAATGATGAACGTACCTTTGCTCATGACAAGTAAAGTGACCAAATTTATCCAAGCCAGAATAAAGGATTCAAAATGATCTATAGGTAGTTGGGCAGCAGCTGATTGAAGAATGGCCACTCGAGATTATATTTTGTGGGGTGTCTAGTTGGCTATGCCCCGGCTCACCGTCTGGCGGCACCCTGGTTAATTACTTATGTAGCAACGAGGTAAGCATATATCATGGAGCATCGGGACACACGAGAGCAGAACAGCTTCATTATAAAGTCTACAATCAGATACAGTCTACGGCTTCCCCAATCACGATGTCCATACAGCAGTTGCAGCTACTGCTTCATCGGCATGTTGATGCTGCGCGCATTCATGCGAGCATCATAACTACCCCGCCGATCACAGCACACAACAAAAGACTTGGATAGACCAAAACATCCAAAGCTAAAACTGACGCATACTCATATATATTCTCAAGTGCCTGCAGCTACAATAAATCATTTACACTACTGCTGTGGCTGCCGCCGCAGCGATCCTCTTAACATTGAGTAGAATATCACTCGTTGCTGACTCAGTATCCCCTACACTTCCATCTACCATCTGCACCTATTCTCATCAATCAACGGAAAGCCAATATCCATCGATAAAATAAAGTTCTTTAATCTCTTTACTCAGTATGATTGAAGGCGACTTCCCATCGCTCTCTCAGGCTCTGCTTGATGACACCATTACTTCTCAACTTAAGGACTTTTCTCTGATTTGGTAGACAGCTACAGTCAATTCCTCGCGAATGAGACGACATCTAATTAGTGATTCTGAATGAGGAGTTTGGTTCTCAACATGAAGTGCGAGATAACGAATCACCGATGACCAGGATTGCATGGACTCCACTCCGCTTCTCAATCACCCACGATAGACCAGGGTCTCCGGACGACTCAGTACCGGCATACTTTATGCCTAACTCCTCCACGGATTCATCGCCAATTCCTCCATCGCGGTGGTCACCTGGACCAAATCTTTCTCCTTCCTTGCCCCACGCAAAAAGTCACCCTCAGCTGCCTCCCAAAACCATCTGTCCCTCTCCTCCAACTCAGCCAAATCTCTCAACTCCCACAGCTCATCCTCGTCTTCATTTCCCCCTTCTTCATCTCGCCTCTCATACCCCGCCCCTACACTCGTCAGCCGTCCAACAACTCCCATCTTCGCATTCAACCCTTTGATCCCAAATTCCAGCTTCTTCTCTCTCTGAAGCACCACATATGCGTCTTTCGTCATTGATCATCCTTGGCATCAGCATCTCCACCCTCTTCAGTCCGACGTTTAGAAATGGCGTGATGAAATAATTTAGTGAGAATGTCACATGGCCGAAAGGAATGAAAGGTAGGATATTCTCGCTTGAGGGAGAGAATATGAATTCGATATCCAGGTACCGTATGTTGGTTGCGGACGAGAGGTTACAAGGTATAAAAGCAGGTGCTGGAGTAGAAATATGCGCATCTGGATGGTTGATACGAAAGACTCCTTGGTGCATAATTCCTGGCCTGTGAATGTCGTCAACTCTTGCATTTTAGACTCCCAAAACCCCCATGACTTTCTGAAAGACAAGTAGGTAGACACGTAAAGAGCACACACTTACTCCACAACGATCCTTGCTCTCCTAATGCTCTCCACCGCCTCGCTCTTCATGTCCACAAAACTCCATACATTCTCCCTATGGAACACATATGTATTGCTCCTATAAAACTCCTCAAGCGCCTCATGATACAATTTCCAATCCCCTCGAAGTGCTTTGATTATATTTGGGACCTTTCCGTCCCAGTTCATACAAAGTGGCTGGAACATCACGAGTCGCAAGTCAGGCGGCAGTTTGTGTAGGAGATTTTCTGGCGGCATTAGGCCAGACTCTGTAAGAGTTACGAAAGTTGTAGCCTGATTTCCTTTCTTAAGATTCGAAATCACCCACTCAATAGCTCTGTCCGTTCAAACCCGAAAATGGCGACTAGGCAGCCGAGTTGACATTCCGGAGCAAACAACCGGCAACAAAAGTACTAGAAGTATGCTAATGAGATAGATAACGCAACGTCACATATAATTGATGGAGTTAATGGCATGTTCGAGTGATTCTCGCATGAGATAAGTGAGATTGAAGAGGTGCGCGTCGTCATTAGGATCGGCGGACCGAAGCGAGCAATTTGATGTCAGGATGGGTCACGTGCATAAGTCCTTTGTGAAGGTACCTAGGTAGGTACCTAAGGTACATAGGTACGAGATGCAGGAATATGGATCAAATCTAGCCACCCTACCGAAAGTATCGGGGTGTGGCAGAAGCCGGGATCAGAAAGGCTCCTACTGTCAGCTGACTCTCTTCATTGATATTCGTCTGTTACTGAATCAATTGGAACGCATACGTTCTTCTTACCTAGAGAGATCTATTTGCAGTAAACAGGCAAGTCAATTTTCCGTTCTAAAACCAACCATCGCTTTTGTTATTTTATAAAGAACTCTATGGCAATCCAACAGTCTTCGATAATTCATCTTTCTCGCCACTGTGCTCCACCATATCCTTAAACACACCGTCATCAAGTCCAAGCAGCTCGCGTGGACTACCAAATTCGGCCGCCACACCATCCTTCATGACCAAGATACGATCAAAATCCATGACCGTACTTAATCGATGCGCAATAACCAAGAGGGTTGTGTTGGTAAACTCCTCGCGAATACTGCGCTGAATCAAAGTATCGGTCTTCTTGTCAACTGCTGAAGTTGCCTCGTCGAGGAGGAGCAATTTCGGGCGCGACAGGATTGCACGTGCAAGACATAGAAGCTGCTTCTGTCCTTGCGAAAGATTACCGCCTGCTGAGGAGATCGGTGATTCTAAGGATAGGAATATATTGACGTTCTCTCTGTTGGCTGTGCTGGGATCTGCGGCAGTCGTTGAGGTAGCAATGCTTGCATCGGTTGACGTTGTCTCCACTGGAGTTGCTGCCTCTGGAACGGGGGTGTTATCTGCCGATGGAATGAGATGGACTCGTTGCAAAGCTTGCTTCAGTTGCACGTCAGAGAACTCGTCAAATGGGTCAAGGTTGGACCGAATAGTGCCAGAGAACAGCACAGGGTCTTGAGGAATGATTGCCAGTCGGGTACGGAGATCATGCAGCTTGACCTTTGAGATGTCGACTCCATCTATAACGATAGTGCCAGCGCGGGCCTCCAGAAATCGAAACAATGCGAGCGATAGTGTGGATTTTCCTACATTCGTTGTCAACTTTGCACTAGATCTGAAGGGGAGTTATCCCGTACCAGCACCGGTGCGTCCTACAACCCCAATTCGTTGGTTCGATTCCGCGTGGAACGTTAGACCTTTGAGGATGTTAGGCAGACCCTCCGCATATCCAACCTCCAAGTCCTTGACTTCCAACCCGCCCTTCTCAGGCCATGATGCTCTAACTGCCATTCCACCATGATCCTCAACGTTAAGATTCGAATATTCGAAGATTCTTTCAGCTGCATTCATGTCAAGCTCCGTTGCAGCAACGAGTCTCAACGTCACGTTGACAGTCCGTCGATAGTTCATAGCAAACGCCAAGGCAAACCCGCCAAGTGCCGCGTCGATGCCAGAAGTTGATACAACAAATGCTGCAACAAGTGTCGAAAATACAGATCCGGTCATTGCCATTCGAAAACCAACCCAGGTATTGAACAGCCAGTTATGCCATGTTGCAGATGTGAACGAATCAATGAGGTTGTTCATACGTGATTCAAACGCTTCCGTGTTTGCGAAAGCGCGGATGGTGCTGAGGCCTTGAAGGGATGCAGTGAAGTGCGATATCATAGGGGACTTTTGGATAGACTCCAGGCGTTTGATGGAACGGGCACCTCGGATATAGCGAAGCGCAATGCGAGCACAAATCGCTAGAAGGACAAGAGCAAGAAGAATGATGTATGGAGAGACAATGAATGCTGCGACCATAATGCCAGCGATCGAAAGAAACGACGAGCCAACTTGAGCAAAATTTGAGGAGAGCTGTGAGTCAACTGACTGGAAATCCGCTGTAAATCGATTCAAGATTCGCCCTGTTGGCACAGTGTCGAGCCACCTGAGTGGGGTACGCAGTACTTTGTCAGTCATATCCCGGAAGACGGTTCTAGATGCTCGCAATGAACCTCTGTAGATAACGAATAGACGGCCGAGATCAACCATTGTAGAAACGAGTGATATGATAATGTAGCCAAGTAAATAAAATCCAATAGTACGGTCCTTCACATCTATAGGAAAAGATTGTGCAGACACCTTTGATGTTTTGGGTATCACGGAATGCATTGCATTGCTCGCCACTGGAGGGGAGTTAGGATTTCCCAATATAATAGCAGCCGGAGTTATGGCCATCAAATCGGTTACTGGAAATGATGAGAGAAAGTCCAAATTGCCAAATACCGGTTCGTTGCCCAATATTTGACTAGCCGGTAACGAAAAAGCATTCATGCCTCCAATTGGCGTTTGAGTAGAATACAAATATGTAGTCGTGCCTTCTTGTATGTGCTCGTAGCTCGACGTCCATATCTTGATCCACCATGACCTGCCGAGAGTAAGGCCTTGGGCGACTACAAAGAACATGAAGACGAAACCCCAGAATGGAATGCCTCCAGTGGCTTTGAGATATGCGACATAGACGCTTCGCTTCACACTTCCAGTTTCACGCTTTTCGTCTTCGACCAGTTTCTTTGGGGGCGATTTGTTGGGCTTCGTAGGAGAACCATTATTTGCGATATCAGTAACTGCACTTTCCAATGGACCCTGATCATTGCGGCCGATCTCTGCTTCAGCAGCCTAGAGAAAATTGTCAGTACTTTTCGTCATAGGATTGGATGACCCGGGCGGAGGAGAAAATCAGTCATGAATCCATCGAACGATGATTTATGGGTATTAGGTACGGTACGAATGAGAATTTATGTAGAAAGCGATTGCATACCTTTAGGATTTCTTCAAAATCCGGGTTCCCTTTTAGATCACGAACGTGTCCAGCATGCTCCAACGTTCCAGCTGCAGAAAGACACACTGCATATTCAGCACGGGGTAGACACAGTGAAGCATGGTGAGTGGCAAGAATGCGAGTCCTGCCTTCAGCAAGTTCCCCATTAAGAGCATTGTCGTAAATTTGCTTCCCCACATGCGCATCAAGAGCCGAGAATACATCATCAAGTATGAGGATTCCTGCACGAGAATACAAAGCTCGTGCTAACGTCAGTCGCCATTTCTGTCCGCCACTGAGTGAAATTCCTTGAGCTCCAACCTCTGTCAAATCACCATCATCGAAGAGCTCGAGGTCTTTTGCAAGGGCACATGCTTTCAAGACTTTGTTGTACCGAATCTCATCGAATGGAAGTCCAAACAGGATATTGGCTTTGATCGTCGCATTTTCAATCCAGGGTGTTTGAGCAACATATGCGACAGCAGCTGGAATGATCCAATCGGCGGCAGTGGCCTTGCTGTCGAATCGCTGGTCCGCTGGCGGTGGATGAGGGGCAGTAATGTTTCCTTCCAACACGTCCACCTCACCTAGGATGGCAGCCAGTAAAAGAGATTTACCAGAGCCAGTGGGACCAAGAATCAGGCTAAGAACATTGTTGGGAAACTTTAATGTCACGTCTCGGAGTATGAACCTATTCGCTCGCGTCTCTTGAGCTTCTGCGTCCTCATCTTCGGCAACTTCATGCAGCGTTTCTGACTTGGAAGGGAAGCTGACGGAGACTTTATCAAAATTAATACAGTCTCCTGGATAGATATTCTGGGGCTTCTCAGGTGAACGCAGAAAGGTGTCAATTCGATCGCAAGAGACCTTGGCGTTACTGCCCATCATGAACAGGAACGGTACCATCTTAAGAACGCCTTCGAGCTGTATGAATACGCCTAGTGCTGTGAATGCAACCGATGGGAGCAAGTTCCCGTAGATGTAAGCATAAGTTGCCAATGCGAAGACGGTCAGAAATACTGGTGCGATATTCCCACAGAGTGACATGTAAAGACTGATCAGCTTCGTCTGCCAGAGCAGTTTAAGCTCATCATCTCGAACATTGTTGATCTTTCCGGACCATTCAGACTCGAGGGCCGAGAATTTGATCTGTCTGATACCTTGAAGAGCCTCGGAGATGACTTTCGTTTTCTTGTCTCGTGATTTCATCAGTTCCTTCTGGAGAAAGCCATAACGACTTGCAAAGATTTTGTTGAATGGAAAGGCAAGAATGATCGCGAACATTCCAGCAGCCAAGCTCTCCCAGCCAACGAGCAGCCAAAGGAAGACAATTGAAACGACGAAGCTCGATGCAAAACTGACGTAAAATTGGTTGATGGCTCCAAAAACGCCGACCGAATTCGCATCAACGGCGAACATATTGATTATGTCTTGCTGGTTTTGGTCCTCCGATTTCTTTGGTCCCCCGTCTTTCTTAGCTCTGCCGGATGGGCTGGGTGCAGAGTCAGGCTTCTTCGTGTGACCGTTGGTGTCTTTCTTGTCACCAGTCTTTTCAATTTCAACTTTAGGCGGCTCTTTGCAATCCTTGATTTTCATCATCTTCTCGTAAATAAGAGCTGTCAGTGAGGCTCGTATGGGAACACCGAGTTCGGACCACATCAGCCAGTTCACGCGATAGTCAAAGCAAGTTTCCAGGAGGGTAGCCACCAGGAGCGCTCCAACACAAAGCCACTAAATGATAGGAGTCAGCTCATGTACTCGAAATGGGTGTGATATGCATGAGAATAGGTGTATTTTCCAAGCCAAATTGAGAAGTTTGATTGTTTTCATGAATTTCACTTACGGCACGTGGATCTATGGGTGTGAATTCTGTTCGGGCTTCGAGATATTTCAAAAGCTGATACATCGCCAGTGGAGGCCCTGCATCTACAATGGATGAGGCAATAACGATGAACCATTGAAACGCGATTTGCCGTCGGTAAGCCCAAAATATTCGTAGCCACAATGAAACGCTCGGCTTCAGAACAATCGATTGGAAGGCCTTCTTGGCATCGGTGGCTCTGACATTAGCATCCATGGCAGGAAGATCTTCCAGCTCAATCAGTTTAGTCGCAGCGAGATCCAGAAGATCCGAACTCCAATTATAAGAATATCTCGTCCAGAAAGAGCTAGTAAGTTGGCGCTCCACAAGTTTTCCGGTGGGGGTGAAGACATCTGGCCGGAGATCGATGAGGCCAAATGCAACGATGATCGTAAGAGCAGCAGTTATCTGGACAAGGAGCGTGACTGCCAACGCAACCTCACGTTTTCCACTAAATTCTTGCTCCGAAAGAAGAATGGCAGCCAGGATCGCAATGAGGCCAAATGAGATCGAGTTGAAGATACCTCTCCGTGATCTCTCCACGACCCGGGACTCTCGGAATGTATCAAAGACCTGAAGAAGCGCAAGAACCTATTGATTGTGAGAATTTATATCAAGTGATGCAGGATTAGGTGTAACAAACCCAAGACCAAAATAACAACCAAATACGTGTAATATCAGGAAGATGATAAACGGTGGCGACAACGACGAGTGCCAATGCAGCCGCGAGACCCAGTGCGCAGGCAACAAAAACGGCAGTGAACTGCTTCGTTGTTGAATAGTTTTTCATGGAATCCGCGGTAGCAGCGCCATCTTTATCTTCGTAAATAGCATCACGATCTAGTTTGGCTGGCTTCCCACGTCGAATGAGCTTGGCAAATCTCCATACTGGAGGAATGGTAAGAATACCAACGAGTGCTGGCGCAGCGTAAGAGACAGCCCCAAAAGGGTCGTCCATTTCTAAGTTGTTGGGTACACCGCAGCCAAGAGATGAGGATTTGATGCTTGTGCAATGGAAGAAGTTTGGTCTGGCGTCGTGTTATTTGGTTTGATGAAACGATTTGGATGTAAGCAACCGTGCGTGCGACGACTACGGTGCTGCCTGATATATGTTGATACCTCAGATGGTAAAAGTATAATGAAGAAGAAGAAAATTGAAATAGGAAAAGAAACGGCTGTCACTTTTAGAGTATACGAATTTGTATTCGAACTGGAGGAGAGGGTCCAATGGGTATAGAGCCCGAATAATGGCCCAACAAGGTAGGTAGGTACCTTTCTTATTCACCAAAGAAGCTCGATATGTCACGTGCATCTGCAAAAGTGGCCTGGGACTGGCAGAACTGATTGCAGGGCTGGCATTCCATCATTGGATGACAAACATCATGGGAGAATTGGCAAAAGTCATCATAATATAATCACTGTATTGTCCCGAGATATTATGAGGTTTCCACCAGCTGCAATCAAAACTAACATGCCCACATGTGGGACTTCTCCATGCAAACATGCCCACCTAATTAGCAGCCAGCTACCTTCCCTACGTCGGTTCACTTGCAGCCCAAAATTTGCCGTCCAGGATGCATTCGAGGTGAGTTTGCATCACACGAGGAGGCCTCCTCAGTAGTTAGATGGGGTCACTACGTCCTTAACCCTCGGGTTCTTTTCTGACATCTACGAAACCTGGTCGGAATTAGCTTTGGAATGTTGAATGGAAGTGCCATGCGATCGAGGGTAATACCTGAATAATACTCAACAGAGAAGTGAAAGAAAAAGAAGGTAGCTCGGAACTTCGAGTCAATGCCCCCTCCAGGTAGCAATAAATGCGCCTCTTCTTGGAGCTTACCTGAAACCTTTCGTACCTCGGGTAATTTTCCGGACGCAATATGTTATTGAGCAACAGGATCCCGTACATAACAGTGACCGTCTTCCATTCCAGAGTGCGATAATAGGTGGCTTGACTCCACAATTCATAGGTTAGTCCCGCGATCACAGGGAATCACCGACTTCAGTCAACAGACTCGACACTGACAGCATCATCATCGACTTCATCATCTTCGTCGTCATGTTCCTCCGAGTCTTCCTCGTCGTCTTCATCAAAATCATCACCATACCCAAACATATCGTCTTCCTCGTCGGAGTCCATAGGGCCACCGAACATCCTTGCAAGACCCATAGCTAGTGGAGGGGGAGGTCCACCCCACGGTCCATACAAGCCAAAGCTCTCCTCATCAGACATATCATCCTCTAGGTCCAAATCCAGATCCGAAAACGATACTCCACCAGGGCATCGTCTCCATCCATAGACGGGTTTACACGTTTTAACGCCCCAAAGTTTGAACCCATGCGTTTCCGCGTCCTCGCCCTGGGGGAGAGGGTCAATCATAACCGAAGGATGATTCAGCTCGGACGGTAGTTCGGTGTGTATTTCCAAAGCGTGGCCATCTGCACAATCCAAAGCCGTATCTGTCATTCCTGCAACATCGTAGACAATGAGTAGTTCGCGCAATGCAGTGAACTTCGATACCATCTTTTGTAATTGGCTTGTGAGGGTGGTCTCGAAGGGTAGGGTAGTTTCGTTATAGCAGTCCTCTAGAGCCAGGACCTGCAAGCTCGATATTTCCAGTGGACCGAAAGTACTGAAGAAATGTGGAACACTTTCTTCGATCTCATTACCAATGAAAAGCGTATCAATTGCGAAATTGAAACGCGTCTTTGGTGGGTGGAATATCGAACCGAAACACAGTGGGTAAGACTGCTCAGTGAGCTTTCGACTTTCCTTGCAAACCTTGAGGGCAATTGGGTCACAGTTCCTCGGTATAAAACCATCTTCCTCATCGTATTCGATCTCAACAATGCGTGGCCAGCAAGTTGCCTCCCACACCATGCATCTTAGCTCGTAAGGCAGATTGGGAAAGACCTTGAACGACGTGAGGGGTTCAGAGGGAGTTGACATGTTCGCAGGTGTCCAGGCAATGTTCAAAGTGCGGGCGAGGGAAATATAGCCGACTATTCTGCTTGATCAGCTCGCCCGCCGTCCCTAGTCTCCAAATTGTCCGTGTATCGCGTCTGATTGAGGGGTCGCGTTTTCGCTGTAGAAGAAGCAGGAATGGAGTAGGAACAGTGAGAGCACTTGGGAAGCTTCCAAATCTTTCAATAGTTAGCAATGATGCATATAATTTCGACTGATCCAGCATACGTGCCTTGCACAGACTTCTGTTCAGATTACTCCTCGTAATGAACGCAAAACAAGCTTGGGGTGGAGGAAGGTGCTCGACGTGAATCACGACGGGAGTTTCTGCCGCACACGTGACTGTCTGATACGCACACCGCCTGGCTCCAACCAACTGCCAAGCTCCTGTTGCCTTCCTGAGATCCTTCCATTACGACGCTCAGCAAGGCTGTTATTTACTGTCCGTCTACATAAGTATCTCTCTATTTCATCATACGAGCCCTTTGAATCCATTTGACATCTCTTGTTCTGTTCACCTACAGGCATTCTTAAATTCTTGCATCATGAACTCTTCTACCACCCTCACAACATTCACCCTCTTCCGTGAACTCCCATTCGAGCTTCGCCTCAAGATATGGCATTGTATCGCTCAAGGACCACGAACTGTCACTATCACATACGGAAGCCAAGCTACCCGACACAAGGGAAAGACTATCAGCAGATTCGATGGTTGGGGTACCCCGGAACCAGCTCCCATCATCCTTCATATCTGCCATGAGTCCCGAGTTGAAGGCCTCAAGTCTTATCAACTCGCTTTCGGATCTCATTTCCATGCAGCAAAGATATATTTCAACTTCTCGGTAGACATTCTACGCTTCGGTAATGGCCATGAAGCCGAATACCTTGCCAGAGATGCCGAATGGATCAAGGCTGGACCCGCTCCATACCGCCTAGACTTGTTCCTAGCTGGTGGGTATTACGGAGGAGACGACTCTGAGAAAGTCAAGTACATGGTCCTGGACCTGGATGAGGAAGTGTATGGTAGAAAGTATTTGTTTTGGAGTGAGATCAAAGACCTCACTGCTTTGCAAGAATTGACTGTTCTGGCTTGGGAGGAAAACGATGAAGCTGCAAATGTTCTCATGACGAATTACGCCACAACGCTTACCCATGACCTCAAACAGTCACCAGACTGGGTTGCTCCAAAAACTATTGTGCGGTCAGCCATCACAGGGAAAGAATGGGGGACTCTTGAGGTTGAAAATGGAGAAGTGAAGATGTCTCGCTCGACCGCCATTGTAGCTGTCTGACTCGGACTGGACACCGGGCATGCAACAGAACTTTCACTCTCCTTGAGAGTTGTGGCTAGCACAGCAGAGCAAATCTCAATCTACTTGAAGTCTCTCAAGCTCAATTGCGATCGGCTCTTCCAGCAGACCGTTACCGAACTACCGTTCAGCCGTAACTGAAGCCCTTATCAACCATTACCTTGCTCAGTATTCGGCACTCCAGACTACACCACTGCAGCAGAGTTTGGCATAAAATTTCATGGCTCACCGCCACCGCAACAGATCCGACGACTGGCTCCTCTTTTGAACGTATTCTCAGCGGCACGTGAAATATTATCGATGGTTCCTTGCTTCGCTCCAGCTTCGCTCCAGCTTTGCAACTACTGCTTTTCATGTCGGCTTCAGAGCCCGAGGACACATTAACCTTTCTATTGTTTATCGACTCTGCTGTGAATTGTTCCGATATTTGATAATTCATCGTATTCACATTGGGAACAGGTTTCTATTTATTAGGTGACTACTTTCCTTCCACTGGGTCTGCTTCTAAAGCCGGAAAGTGACTGTTGTTTCCAAGTTCAGCTCGTAGCGTCGCTCTCTCATTAAATTTCCAAATACATTAGTCCCTATGAGGTTCCATGTACCTCGGTAACTGTCGTGTCATTGTCAGCCAGAAAGACTTTTACATTATTTTCTGTTCCTGGTCTTCACGCCTACCATACTGTATTTCAGGCAAATCACGTACATAGAGTCAATGATGCAAGGCCAGTGAATCATAGTTTTTCAAGCAACAGATATGCCTTTGTTTATATGTATACGACTGAAGATCTACTTCTAGAAGCATTCTAAGAATTCCAAAAAGCACAAACCAACTCCGCCCCAATTCTGTCTATTTATCCCTCTCGCAACCTTAAAGTGCCGTCTGTTCCCCCTGCGCATTCTCACAAATTCACAATCTTGCTCTTTCCACAAATGACCTTCGCAAGACTCTCAATCGATCCACTACTTAACAGCTCCAAGACCTGCAAGTTTGCCTCAAACTCCCTCGTAATAAAGTTCCTCACTTCGATCGCCACCAGTGAGTCAAGCGCATAATTCGTCAGCGGACGCGTTATATCCATATCCTCCTCCTCAATCATGAGCACGGACGGCAATTTATTCAACAAGCCGCGACAGACCACATCTTGTGCCTCTTCAATAGTCTTGCTGGCTTTCAGGGCAGAGTGGAAGGAAACGATGGCATCACTGTTGGAAGATGTCTCGGATTTGGCGAGCTGTTCCGCAGCGAGACGCAAGTGCTTGAACTTGGCGTCGTTGGTCCAGAATGGGTTGCTGGGCGTGATGTGCACACCTGTGATGGTGTGACTGTTGCATGATATAGCCAGACGACCGCTGATGGCAGCACCCAGTAAAGCTAGTACCTCAGCTTCACAGATCGTGTCACTACCAAGATTTTTCGCAACTTCGGCAGCAGCTTCGGCGTTCTCTGCGAGGTATCCTGCATCGGATACGGCAGTGAGATCGATTGATGAAGCTGGTAGACCGAGATTAACGCGATATTGCACGAAGGCGTTGAGGAAGGTGTTGGCTGCTGCGTAGGCTGCTTGGCCCCTGTTACCTACGGCACCAGCTGCGGAGGAAATAGCGACGAAGAAGTCGAGGGGTGTGTCCCCCAGTGCATTGTGGAAGTTCCAGGCGCCGCGGACTTTGGCTTCTATTACAGTCGTGTACTCGTCGTATGTCATCTTCTCGAACAACACATCCTGAACAGGTCAGCAGAGGCACAGTCAGGGAGAGTAAACAACTTACTCTAAGCACCATGGCTCCGTGCACAACACCTCTAATGGGTGGCATGTCCACAAGCTCTCTGGAGATCAGAGTCTCCACCGAGGTGGTGTCGGCAGCATTACAAGATTTTACCACGATGGTGGCTCCAAGAGGTGCGAGCTCATCAATAAGCTGCTTGATTTTCCCGGTAGTGGAGCCGGTTCTTGAAAGCAGAACGAGGTTCCGAGCACCTTTGCTGACCATCCATCTCGCCATACTTCGTCCAAGACCTCCAGTCCCTCCGACGAGGATATATGAAGCATCTGGGTGAAGTAATTTGCTCTTGTTGCTTGAAGGGGTGGCCTACATTGGCGTCAATTGGGGTTTGAGGGAGTTGCGCAGAAGAACTCACTTTGACTTGGTCGGTATCCCGTGGCACGACGACTAACTTTCCACTTACATTGCCGCTGCTCAGAACCTTGAACGCGGTTTCGATATCGGAAACAGGGAAGGTAGTAATTGATCCGAGTGGACTTATCTTTCCATTGCTTAGCAGTTCATATATCCTGGATAGAAGACGAGCCATGATCTGCGGGCGGTCATTGGCAATGGAAAGTAAGTCTACTGACATGAAGCTCGCGTTGTTGTCTACGCGGGTAGCATCGAACTTCGATGTCTTGCCGATGGCAACGAAGCGCCCGAATTTCGCAAGGCTCTCCCACAGCTTCTGGGATGCCTCGGAGTCAGTGCTGACACAGTTCAGGACAGCATCAACACCATTACCCGCTGTTGCTTGATGTAATGCTGGACTGAAGGTAGATGAGTAGATGGAGTAAATTTGATCACCATTAATCTTGTACCTGCTCGTCAAGCGATCTTTCTCTTCTTGGTTTCCAACAGTAGCGAATACATCAGCTCCAGCAAGGCTTGCTAAGGAGACAGCAGCTTCGCCTGCAGGGCTAGCAGCGCCATGGATCAAAACTCTTTCGCCAGATTCGAGGCGCGCAAGGTCCATGATACCATAATAAGCAGTACAAAATGCGATGGGAATGGAAACAGCATCCTCGAAGCTTATCTTGTCGTCGATTCTGAATATGAAAGCTGCCTTAGCACGTGTGTAGTTTGAGTATGTGCTGTGGGATGTTGAAATGCCAGTAGCACGATCGCCCACTGCGATACTGCTGACTTTGCTTCCTATTCTGGTGACGATTCCACTGAACTCGGAACCGAACTCAGTGGTGTCGACCTGGCCCATCGCGATCATGGTCTCCCGAGAGGTCATACCGACTGCTTTCACGACAATCTCAACCTCATCTTCAGCAAGTTCTAATCCTGTGGACTCATCATCTATGAAATGCAGGGTCTCAAAAGCCCCCGGCTTTACTCATCAGCATTAATAAGACAAGCACAGAGGTTGACTTACAGTTCCAATCGCCATCTTCAGGGCGCGACCATCTTGAGCAAACGGTGTGGGCTCTAGTACCGAAGTACTGGTTTGCTTATGCACATACTTGTTCATCTCGTCATCATTGACGATTCGTGGGGTGAACAGCGACCCGCTTCTCTCCATAAATTCCAAGTCACAATGTCCTCCAGCTTCACCAGCAAATACATATTCAAAAACGCTCGAGATTGTTTTTGATGCAAACTCATCCGACAGTTTTGAATGTGAATCCAGATCCAGCGTAGCAAATTTGAGTAAGGCCTCGGATCGAATACTTCGACTCAGACCTGTGACCATATTGGAGTCTGGGCTGTCTGAGTGTGCATATGCGCCTCGAACGACCCATAAAATCCCTTGAACTGTGATCAAGACTGATTGCAGCTCCAAAAACTGAGCCGGTTCGAGCGTAGAGAGTAGCGGTTTCTCAAGTTCTGAGAGGAAAATACAAAGCTTCTCTTTAACTTGGACCTTTCCAAGTGTGCCGATCTCTGGTCTCTGTCCTATAGAGATTTCGAGTGTATCGGCAACTCTTGAGGCTAGTAGAACTTGTGCACCGGAATCTCCATGAATAATTGCTACTTCTCCGAACACATTAGTTGCGCTACCATTTGACAGGGAGCCGTTAATAACCGCCTGAGCAACACCATTTGCGATGCCATTTGTCCTTTGAGAGTCGCCGTTCGACATCTGAGGGTTATCAACAACCAGTTCCCATTCTAATTTGTAGCATAACTCTCGATATGCCTCTTCCTCTGATACTGTCTCTCGCTCCAAAATTGGTGCAACCGTTAGATTGTTGATACGAATGATGGCAGTATCCGGATCGTCAATGGCTGTGGCAAACATGGAGACCTGAACAGGCTTAGGATGATTGAGAAGGGCTGCTCCTTGACAAAATGCTTGAAGAGAGCTTCCAGGGATCTTCGTTAGCTCTGTGATGTTGTGAGAGATACTCATACTTCCAATTGAAGACGGTAGGTAGACCGTGTCGAGTGAAGTCCGACCAGCACCAAAGATAGGCCAATACATCTCAATGAGTTGCTCCAAGAAGGCTGGGTGAATAACATGGCTTGATTGGATGCCGAGTGGCATTTCCTGTGAGGTGTCCTCGGCTGTGATGGTGGCTACGGAGCACGCATTACTTGCCATGCAGTTGGCTAATCCTTGGAAAGTAGGCCCGTATGCAACGCCAAGATCAGATAGCGAGCTGTACATTAGTGCTTTGTTCACAACGTTGGATGCACCATTTTGGATTTTGGCGACACTAGATTGTAGTGATACCTTAGCGTCGTGGAGAGTTCTGGCATGATCAAAGTCACTAGGGTCCGCACCACGAACAGCGATCAGGCCTTTGCAGTGCTCGGTCCAACCCTTGCCGTCGATGTATGAGTGGATTCTAAACTCTTCCCATGATTCTGATGACAAAGTAGAACCATCTTGATGTGGTCGGATTTGAAGAGTCGTCTCGACATCTTGGTCTGTCATCATGAGCGGCGCGGTGACGAACACATCGCGGAGCTCGAAAGTATCGAAATGGGTACCACGCGAGTCTGCCCTTTGAGATGCACCTTCTATTGCCATCGAGAGGAATCCCGACATTGGAAAAAGAGTCAGCCCCTGAATTTTGTGGTGTCGCAGCCAAGGAACTTCATCAATCCGCAAAATGTTCCTCCAGGTGGGCTCCAAATCGTTCGAGTAATTGGCCAGTGTTCCCAAAGTATCGTTTCGTGGAGCTGAACGGTTCCTGTGTTTTTGAGATATTCTTGACTCGTGCCAGTACTTGGTTTGGTGGTTCCAAGGATATCGGGGCATGTCGACAAGCAGTAGAGGTGCTTTTCTCGGACGAGGAAAATTGACAGCACCTAGATTGAGGGTTGCGCCTTTGACAAACAGGGTAGCTGCTAAGTCCATGGCTGATTCCACTGCATCCTTCTTTCGGATCAAAGCAGAGGCGTAGAGAATGGCCATGGTGTTCGCACCATTCGCTTTGAGAATTTGTTTCACAGGCCCAGCCAGAGCAGAGTGTGGCCCTATCTCTACAATAATGTCGACTCCTGTTTTGTAGCCATCTACGGGTTTGCACATGCTCGTCAGCGCTTCGGAGAACCGCACTGGTTTGGTGAGATTATCGACCCAGTAAGATGGCTGAAGCTTGCTGCCCTCCACTAGATTTCCATAGAGAGATGAATGAAATTTGACATCAGTAACAAGAGGCTGCTCGATGGAGTCAAGAGTTTCATCGTATTCGTCCGCCACAAGCTTCATGTGATGAGAGTGATATGCCACATCGACCTGAAGTTTGCGATTGAAGAATTGTTTTGCTTCGATTAGACCTTGCAGCTCGTCAAGAGCAGGCTCGTCTCCGGAAACCGTCAAACTCGATGGACTGTTGAAGCAGGCGATTCTAACCTCCTTCTCCTTCAACTGAGAAATGAGAGGGGCAATATCTTCCTTGCTTGCCCCAACAGCCATCATGGCTCCTTTCAAACCAGGGAACTGTTTCTTCAAGCTCACAATGGCCATTCCACGATAGTAGGAGATCGCCATACACGAAGCCAGTGGCAAAATTCCTGCAGCATAAGAAGCGGCAATTTCTCCACTGGTGCAAAATCCTGGTTAGCAGAAGGCTCATACAAATTTCTATTGGCAGCATCGGTCCCATTTTTGTTGAGTGCTTGAAATAATTGGAAACTGGATTTGGTTTCTTACCTTGAATGACCCGCGACGGCTGCGGGAGTGATTCCCCAAGAACATAGCAGATCAGTCACTGCTAATTGAATTGCAGTACATGCAGGCTGGCTGATGTGTGCTTCGTTAATAGCGGAAGTCTCTACATCTTTTTTGAGCTCGGCTAGAAAAAGTAAGCCTCAAGTCAAATATCGTCTATTAAGTTACATACCGAGGAGTGAGAATGGAGCCCCAAATGAAATCAAGCAGTCTTCACAAGCGTCCATAGTAGCTTGGAAAATAGGGTAATGGTCATAAAGCTCGCGTCCCATCGCGTTCCACTGAGCCCCTTGTCCAGTAAAGATGAAGCCAATACGGGGTGATTCTGTCTGGCGTGTGGGTGTCGCTTTGCCCGAGTTCAAAGTCTCAATAAGTTCAAACGAAGTGGGAGTGGAGATGGCCACTCTCCACTGCATCAAGGAGCGTCGCTGTCCAAGTGTGTACGCAACATTACTCATGAGTTCGCTTTGGAATATTTCTGGTCTTTGCTCCAAGTATATGCCCATGTTCTTCATCATTATCTCGAGGGCGCTTTTGTCGTTGGCCGAGAGGACGAAAAGCTTTCTTGTTTGAACGGTGGGATCTTGTGTCTCTGGAACATCAAGCTCATTCTTCTTTAAGAAAGGTGCTTTTTCCATGATGATGTGAGAGTTGGTCCCGCCAAAGCCAAACCCATTCACGCTTGCAAAGCGTTTGCCCCTTGGCCACGGACATTGGTTGACGGGAATCTAGATCCAATCAGCCAATGTTCATAAATTTGATTGTGGAGGAGGTGCGGGCACGTAGACTTGCCTTGAGATTCCATTTAGCAAGGGGGATCTTTTCATTTGGCTTCTTGAAGTCGTGATTGGGCAGTATAAATCCTCGCTCAAGCATCATTGCTGTTTTGATCACTGATATTATGCCTGAGTGAGAATGTCAGAATGTTTCTCAGTCCAAAAACTTTCAGTGGACTGACCAGAGGCAGCTTCAAGGTGGCCAATGTTAGATTTAACCGATCCAACAAAGAGTGGCATTCTAGCCGTTCGACCTTCACCGAAAACGTTCCGCAGTGCTGTGGCTTCGATTGGATCGCCCACTTTCGTACCTGTGCCATGGGCCTCGACGTAACCAGTATCTCGTGGATTGATACCAGCACTATCGTACACCGATCGAATAAGCGATTCTGGTAGAGGTATCAGCGAAGTTGACTTCCAGCGAACGGTTCAAATACCTTGAGCCTCTCCATTCGGCATAGTTATTCCAGGAGTTTTGCCATCTTGGTTTATTCCACTGGATGAATTAGATTTTGAGCTTCCCGTAGTTGACATCTAAATGTGAAGGTGACTTATGCGTGAGTCGCTTGTGGTACGTACCTTCCAACAATGACAGCGCGTATGGTATCATTGTCCCTCAATGCTTGTTCTAGAGGTTTCAGAACGACCATACCACATCCCTCTCCGCGACCGTATCCTGTGCCACGGCTGTCAAACGAGAACGATCTTCCCTCGTCTGAAAAGAGCCTGTGAAGCTTAGTTGAGATGTCACGTGAGGGTGGCTGTCTCTTACCGTGACATTGACATAGATATCCAGAACTCCGGCAGTGTATTCAAATGACAACCTCCAACAATAGCCACCTGCGATTCGCCTATCCTCAAGCTCTGACACGCCTGGTGTAGAGCTACGAGACTGGAAGAACAAGCAGTGTCCATGGTAAAACTAGGTCCTCGGAGGTCGAAAAAGTGTGATAAGCGATTTGACTGCATCGCGAATGCGTTTCCTGTACTCGTTAGTCTACTGGAATACTTCTTATTCCGATACGATTACACACCAGTAGCTTGATACATTGGAATTGACTCTGTGTCCGAAAACAGTTGTGACTCGTATTCAGCAAATGAACCGCCAATGAACACTCCAACATTCTTCCCTACAATCTCGTGTTTGGGGATTCCGGCACTGTCCAGAGCTTCAAAGGTACACTCAAGGAGAATTCGCTGCTGCGGATCCATAGATGTCGCCTCCTGTGATGTGAGACTGAAGAAAGGTGCGTCAAAAAGTCCAATATCCTCCTTAAGAAAGTTTCCTCCAGCAGCATTGAAGCATCCACGCTTGCCAGGGTTCGGATGATGAAAGCTTGTGCTGTTGAAGCGTTCCTTTGGAACTTCTGTCCACCCACTTCTCGATCGAGAACACAGTTCCCAAAACTCATCCGGTGTGCTGACATTGCCTGGTAGGCGGCATGACATTCCAACAATAGCAATTGGCATCTGCTTGGGCCGTTCAGGCTCCGTCAATCCTGATATATATCCTTGTGTGTAGCCATGTGTATAACCAGCTGTATAAGGCTCCGCTATCCTATCGCCACTGGCATTTGAAATTCGGCTATGGCCATTGTCGCCACCATTGAGAATCCCATTACTATCTCCGGCCGTAGCTTCAGGAACGACGTAGCTTCCAGCTGGCGGAAACAGGCTTGTCGCAGATGGTGCCATTGAGGCGTACGTTGATTGAGTATACTCTCGGAAAAATCAGATCATGAGAGTTGTGTTCAGCACCAAGAATTGCAATACAAGAACTATGTACAACTCCTCTCTTCAATCGCGAAATGTGAATATGCACCGGATTTCTGCCGTCAAGTTATTTCTGGTAATTCGTAATGGTCAATTGGCATGACATGTTCCGTGCAGAGAAGTTTTAACAACAATTATTCTAATAAAAAAGCCGCAAGATCGAGGGAGTCGGAGGCGCAAGTATTTGAATGGAACCAAAGTCAATGGAAAAACGCAACTGAATGGAGTGTTCAGTGGAATCCTGGTAGCAATGCACGGTCAGGAGATTGTTCAGGGGAATTTCTTCTCCGCGTGCACGACCGTGGTGAACATCCTCTGGAAGTAATTCGAAACCAGATCAACCACTTTTAGGCGGTGCTTGACCAGCAATGAAAGCCACTTGGGTCCCGCATCTTGGCAGGCTAAATAATAAGTTTGGACGAAGAAATCAATGCAGTCCCCACAACAGCATCAGGGAATGAGAACTACCATTGATCAGCGATCGAATTAGACGGGGCCACTCAGTGCGGCGTGTTCCCGATGAGACTCTAGAGGGTAGGCATATTCCTGGTCCTCAGTCAAGACATCTGCCATGTTCAGTTTCAATGGCCGAGAGATCTTTCCACTTGAAGATGCCATGATATAACGTATAAGCGCTGATACCTCAGAGTTGGGAAACATGACAGCAAGTCCGAGAGCTACTAGCTGTGCGGCCCATGTTCAGAACCGGAGATCTCTGCAAAAGAATGGAGCCAGAGGGAAGCAGCGGAGGCACGGGGCTGCCGTTGCTCATTGGTGGCCAGCATGAACACGGCGGCATATCAAGCGTCTGTGGTACATGCAAGTGCAAGAAATCTTGAGACTTAAACTGTGTCGATTGTCACTGTCACTTGTCAAGAGAAGGGTGTAGGCAAAGGGTGCCGATGCAGTCCAGGAAGTTAATCCTCAAATTAGATAAGCGAGACGCTAACTGAAATGGGTCTAAAGCGGGACGAGCTGAAAGGTCCGCTTCGATCCCAAAACATTCTCGAAACGAAACATCAAAACCGCTACTTCCTCCAACTCTTCCTATTCTGGATACAGGTTTTGGAGTGACACGGTTTTGGAGTGACACGGATAGGCCCATGTCTTGTTGTCTTATTCGATCTGGCCGAAAGCTTAGGCCGATCACCTGCTTCAAGTTCTGGTGAGGACCGAGGATAGGGTATGTACTTCTGTAAGGAGGTAAACAGCGACGCATAGATGGCTCAGCTCCAGCGTATTTCCACACATCTTAGCAGACACGCACAGGCGACCTCGTCCCATCTGGTGCCAAGGGAACGAATATACGGCAATTGCCTACATCCCACAACCTCGGCATCCTTTCACAGTTCCAGATGGAAAGTCCAAGCCTCTTCCGTTTCTTCCTGGTTTCCCCTCAGCACTCTAAGCGAGTCTCTACTGGCTTGGCTTCGTGGGATCATTGTCAGGGGCACGTTACTAACTTTCTATATGTGGTGGCTATCCCGTCCATTGCAAAGTCAAACCAAATCCGAAAAGTTCGTTCCTTGTCCAAATCTCTCTGCTCCTCGATCGCTTCACTCTGTCTTTTTAACATTACTTGTACCTGGTGTACGGTAAATCCACTCATTCTAAGCCCATTCTAAGTAATATGAAGTTCTTGTGTCTTTGTGGGGCGTATGGAAGCTCCGATGTAAGACACACTCGTTATTCGTGTATCTCGTACCATGTACTGATAAAATGATGCAGAAATTTAGAGTCCAACTTGGTACGCCTCGCCATCCGTTTCCTACGTGCCGAATACTAACACGCCGATAGCTCCGCTGGTCAACGAACTGGCCTCAGACAATACCGCTGAACTTCATTTCATACACGGTCCTGTACAGGCTTATCCACCAGAAGGCTTTGAGGAGTATTTCGGACAAGCACCTTACTACCGTTTCATTGAACCGAATAGAGGGGAGGGTAATGGAGAGGGTGACGATGTTCTCCAACGAATTCGGCACTTTCCTGAAGGAGCAACGGCAGAGGATCAAATGCGAGAGCTCATGAGCTACGGTGCTGGTTCAGTTGGTTCAACGCCCGACTCCTCCGATGATGGCAGTAACTACGGCGACTATTCAAACTCAAGCGCTCAGAATGCCATGGATTATCTTTACCAGATTATGGAGAAAGAAGGCCCATTTGATGGGATCGTCGGATATTCTGAAGGCGCTACTGTTGCTGCAACATTATTACTGCATGAGCAGCGAAGATTCGAGAGAGAAGGGAGGATTCCAATGTTCAAGTGTGCTTTGTTCTTCGCTGGATGGCCTCCCATGACCCCGGATTTTGATGGTATCGTTCTTGCAGATGAGACAGACCTGACAATCACCATACCAACTTGCCACATCAGTCAGTTTCCTCCTATTACATAACAACCTTTATCAAATCTAATACAATGTTTAGTTGGCTCTCTCGATCCGTACTTAGCCGGGTCTATTGCACTTTACAACATATGCGACATGGACACGGCCATCCTTTTCGATCACGCGAAAGGCCACACCTTACCACGGCATAAGGACACTGTCAGGGAACTGGGCGATGTCATACGAAACATGATATCTGAAATATAATCTGTCGGGCATGTGGTATCACATTCAGCATATTTGAGCATACTTTCACAACATAAGCGGCGGCGCATGTCATGGGGTGATCATTGGGCGGGTACCCCTCATAAATCTACTACTATATAGAATATATTCATAATAGAATGCAAGACAGTTTCGATATTTCAATCTCCAAGTTTAGGTACCTTATTCGTCTGTCCGGCTCTGCGCTCGCGCTCACGTGATTTGGATTCTTTACTCTACCTAGATATTTACCTACCTAGGTATATCTTTGCACGGCGGTAATGATTCCCATTCCCATGATCAGGTCTGCATCTTCCTTCATGGGGAACGAAATACGTCCTTAATTTCTTTTCCCTCAACTCGTGTATCGCTAAGTCGGGCGAATCGCTTGGACATTTGTTTGTTCCAGTCTGTGCACATGCGGGAAGCTCCTCCATCAAAACCTGGTCAAAGCTAACAGTCTCCCCATATGACAGGGATTGGATAGATCCAGATCAAGTCAGATCGACCCCTTGTTGCGGATCTACCGTGCTCTTCCCCCAGTTAGCCCACTCTAAGGCGGCGATCACCCGTCCAAGCTTAAATCTCGCAAACATGTTGTCTCACGGACCGAGAAACCTCGCACCAAGTGAGACCACTACCGCCTCAGAATTGTTTGGTAAAGAGCCGCCACATTCATGGAATCAAAGAACGAAAAAGATGAGTTGCCCGATTGCTTGGCTAAAACCGTACAGGAGGACATCAGTGCTTATGTTTCCATGGCCTCCTGAAGCTGGCAGTGGCAAAGCTTGGGCCGTCTTGCCCGAGCCACAATCGATGGGAGGTGTGGATTGAAGCAGATGTCGTCGCGGTGTTCATTCCATGTTTGTTTGCTTAATTTTGAAACTTATTCATGATGGGGAAAGAAACGCTCGACGATAATTCAGAAAGGGAATGGCCTGCGGCTTCAGAACCAGAAAGTCCGACTTCAGAATCAGCACGTGAGCGACTGTTGCCAGAAGGCAGTGGGAATGCTGAAGCTCAAGATGAAGAAAAGGCTGGAGAAGAAAGGAAGACAAAGACTTCGCCTCCACCAGGCACAGCGACACTTTCGAGTTTTGTGGTATGAAAGAGGTAGTGTATCACCTTCGACTAATGCTGATGGTAAAGCTAGAGAATATTCACATACTCAACATATGGCGATAGAGTCCTTCTGCTGATAGCAACGTTGGCTTCAATATGTACTGGCGTGACCCTACCTTTAATGAATATCATATTCGGTAATGATTGATCAATTGACGATTGAATTGCCTTGCTGACGTTGGCTAGCTCGCCTTGTTGGAACATTCGGGAAACTATACAGTGCGAAAGAGGGCGAAGGCCCTGAAGCATTCCTCGAAGACATCAATGGAATCGTGTATGTATTCTGCTTGTGAAAATTTGGAAGTAAACGTTAAGACTCCTGTATAGATTGTACTTGGTTTACTTGTTCGCTGCTCGGCTCGCACTTGATTATGTTGCGATGGTACCGATCCCTCATGTATTATTCACAACAAATACTGAAGTGACAATAGTTTGGGTTCCGCATGGCAAGTCTTCGGATCTCAGCTGCAATGCGCCTGTCATATATTCGAGCTCTCTTCGCCCAACCAATTTCCGTCCTCGACGTGCTCCCTCCCGGCCAAACAGCGGCAATCATCACAGTGACAGCAAACATTGTTCAAGTTGGGATATCTGAAAGACTGTCCATGCTAATCCAGAATATTTCTCTCATCATCACTGCTCTGATCATAGCATTCAGCTACAACTGGCTGCTCACGGTAGTGACGAGTACTGGTCTCGTGTTCATAGCTCTTGTTTATAGGTACACGATTCCTCGCTTTATCAACAGTATGAAAGAGGTGGGCGAAGCCGACAGAATGTCGTCTGGTGTTGCCAGTGAGGCGTTTAGCTCTATCAGAATGGTTGCTGCCTGTGGTGCTGAGGATAAGATGGCCTCGAAATATGCTGAGTGGGTGGAGGAGTCTCATCGCAGAGGGCTTCAAATGTCGCCGTTAGTCGCACTCCAGCAAGCTCCTAGTAGGTACCAAGTCCGTCAATGAAACCATTGGCTAATCATCATTCAGTTTTCTTTGCCATCCAAGCGTAAGTTGATTGATGTTCTCATCTGAACTGCATGTTAACTTTGTAGAATCTGTGCCCTGGCATTTTGGTTTGCTGTCAAACTGTACCAAGGAACCTACATAACCAGTGTGACAACAATGATCATGTAAGCCCATCAAAATTCCTAGACGGCCTCTCAGCTAACGCAGCAAGCGTTCTCACATCCGTCTTGATGATCATGACATCGCTCGGAAGCACTGTCACACCTGCCTCAGCAGCCATACACGCGGCGAGTGCAGCGAGCATCTTTTTCTCCATCATCGATGCCCCTCAGCCTCAAACATCAGGACTTGAAGGACCTCAAGTAAGCTCCCAAGGGGATATCGTCTTCGAGAATGTAAACTTCACCTATCCTCTGAGAGCAGATGTCAAAGTTCTCGATAATCTGAGCCTGCGGTTCCCGGCTGGGAAAATGACTGCGATCGTCGGGGCATCAGGATCTGGTAAAAGTACGATTGTGGGTCTCATTGAGAGGTGGTATGAGTTAGATGGAAATATGACGGACAAAATCATGGTATTTCCTCTCTCCAGTATGAGTGTGGTTCTGACAGGTTTTCCAAGACACTATATTTCCGAAATGGCACTATTAAGGCAGGTGACAAGCATTTGCAGGAAATAGATCTCAAATGGTGGAGATCCCAGATCGGATTAGTGCAACAAGAGCCATTCCTTTTCAATGACACAATCTACAAGAATGTCGAATATGGCCTGATTGGGACTGAATGGGAGTTCGAATCGGCCCGCACCAAGCGAGATCTAGTAAAACAGGCTTGCAGGGAAGCATTTGCAGATGAATTTATTACTAGACTTCCACACGTAATAAAATCTACTCTGTCGTTCGAGATATATGCTTACTGTTACAGGGATATGAAACCTCCGTGGGTGACGCTGGCATCAAGCTCAGCGGCGGTCAACGCCAGAGAATTGCTATCGCTCGAAGTATTGTCAAACAACCCAAAATCCTGATCCTGGACGAAGCAACATCAGCAATCGACGTCCATGGTGAGAGAATTGTCCAAGCAGCTCTAGACAAGGTCTCCATGGGGCGCACCACGATCACGATAGCTCATCGTTTGTCGACGATCATGAAAGCTGACAACATCGTGGTTCTAAAGAATGGGCAGGTTGTACAGCAAGGAACACATGATGAATTGCTTACCAATATGGAGGGACCATACTGGCATCTTGCTAGTGCGCAGCACTTATCTTTAGGTGATGAGAAGAATACAGCGATGGAAGAGCTGGACGATGATGAGAGCCAAACAAGCGATCTCACAGTGTTTGATAGACTGAGTCTCGACTCGGTTCGTGGTGAATTGGCAGAAGATAATGCTTATATACCAAATGGCTTCTTCGGGAGTTTTATAAGCTTGCTCTGGGAGCAGAGACCTTATTTTTTGTGGTACTTCGTCATGTTTCTGGGTGCGTTGGGCGTCGGAGGTAAGTACCAAAATTCGGGCACTCAAATTGAAACGCTGACGTAGAATAGCGGTTTTTCCAATTCAATCGTACCTATCTGCAAAGATGTTCTCAGTATTCAGTTTATATGGGGATGAACTGACAGAGGAAACTGGCTGGTGGTGTCTCATGTTCACAGGTCTAGCAATTTTCGTGGGCTCCAGCTACTTTGTTCTGGGCTGGTCAGCCAACACAATCTCATTTGTAGGTTCGTCCATTCACTTAAATGTTCCATAGTCTAACACTCTCATAAGCACATCACTTCTACATACCGTCGAGAGTACTTCTCCAATGTCCTCAAGAAGCCCATCTCATTCTACGATTCAGAGGAAAACTCCATAGGCTCCCTCACATCTCGAATGGCAACGGACCCCACGCAGCTCCAACAACTTCTCGGAATCAACATGGCATTTGTAGTAATCTCTGTCTTCAATATCCTAGGTTGCTTGGCTCTCTCCTTCCACTTCGGATGGAAGCTCACATTAGCTGCCGTCATCACATCCATGCCTATCATCCTCGCCGCTGGCTTCTTCCGATTTAGATTTGAGACACAGTTTGAGAAGATGAACTACGCTGTTTTTGCAGAAAGTTCTAAGTTTGCAACGGAGTCGATTGGCGCCTTTAGAACTGTGTCGTCTCTGACTCTCGAGTCGGAGATTTGTGGAAGGTATCAAAAGCTGCTAGAGGAGCATATCAAAAACGCTTTTCGCAAGGCTGGTATCTCGACTTTGGTCTTTGCATTGAGTGACAGTATTCCTCTGCTATGCATGGCATTTGTTTTATGGTAAGTAATTCACCACCCTGCACAGGTCTCTTGCTGATTTTTTGGTGTCCAGGTATGGCGGCATACTTTTGTCCCGCTTCGAATATGCTCCGTTTAATTACCGTAAGTGATTTTAGTGAATGGAGATCATTTGCATGTGCTAAATTGTTTATCAGTTGTGGTTTATTTAGCTATTGTCCAAGGAAGCATCAGTGCAGGTCAATTTTTAAGCTTCGGACCAAGTAAAATATCCGCAGCTACGTATAAGCATGTACTAATAAGTCAATACAGATATAGCACAAGCCTCAGCATCAGCTAATAGAATACGAGCTATGAGATCAATTGATAGATTTGAAACTTCTGGCAAAGAACTTGATTTGCCTTCACCACAAGATGAAGAAAGGGACAGACGCGGTGTCAAAATCGAACTGAGAGATGTTTGGTTCAGATACCCAACGCGTGATGTTCCGGTTCTAAAAGGGTTGAATATGACTGTAAGTACAGGCTAAAGAACATCTAACTGTTATTGGAACTGACTTTCAAATTTACAGATCGAGGCAGGTCAATTTGCTGCCATTGTTGGGCCATCTGGTAAGCGAGCTCCCCCCTTTTCCCACTCTTTTGATGGGCTTCGCTTAATAGAGTAAACAGGGTGCGGCAAGACAAGCATCATCTCCCTACTCGAAAGGTAAGACATCTCCCTCCATGTTCATCTCCTTTTCTTCGACATCTGACTGACCATCGCCCCAACCAGATTCTACAACCCCGACCGCGGCACAATCCTCATGCATAACATCAACATCACAAAACTCTCCCTTCCCTCTTACCGCTCCCACATCTCTCTCGTCTCCCAAGAACCCTCCATCTTCTCCGGCACCATCCGTTCCAACGTACTCCTTGGCATCGACCCTTCCACTCCGGATATCGATACTGCACTCCACCTCGCCTGCCAACAAGCCGATATCCACAATTTCATCATGTCCCTCCCATCCGGCTACTCCACCGAAGTTGGCCCTCGCGGGATCGCTTTGTCGGGCGGACAGAAACAGCGCATCGCAATAGCACGCGCACTGATCCGCAACCCTCGTGTGCTGCTGCTGGACGAGGCGACGAGTAACTTGGACTCGGAGACAGAAAGAGAGGTGCAGCGGGTATTTGAGGAGAGTGGCAAGGGGAGGGGACGGACGATGGTGGTTGTAGCGCATAGACTTGCGACGGTGCAGAATGCAGATGTAATATTTGTTGTTGAGGGAGGAAGGGTTGTGGAGAAGGGGAACCATGCTTATTTGCTGGCGATGAAGGGGGTGTATTGGCAGATGGTAAGTAGAACGTTTCTCGTCATATAGTGAATGATCAGTGTGGAGCTAACTCGAATAAAGTGTCAGGCGCAAGCTTTGGATAGATAACAGGGTTAATTTAAGATGTATTCAAAATTCAAGGACTGGGCAAATTTGAAGTTATTCTAGGTATTATTGGTGCTGGGATCCACGCTAGCTTAATGGCTAATGGTAGGGTCACTTCCTAGATCCAAGTTGCCACCAAGTTCTCTTCATCGGACAAAGCTCGAGCTGTCGGCACTGCTCTTGAATTCAAAGAGAAAGGACGCGAGTGCGTCAGGGCAGCAGCACGTGGAAGTGGCCTTGTGACAATCACAGTAGCATCAGCTCCAGCTGCCGTTGCCGTCTCTTTGATCGTACCCTCAGATGCTGCAATATCTCCTCCGGTAGCCTGGGCCTGATGCGAGGCGCAGACTGAGCAGCTTGCATCTGACTCTCAATGCAAAAGTCCAGCATATTGTGACAAGCCAAAAGATCAACCGCAGCGCGTGTTCTTGCTCTGTTGGATGCCCGTCCAAGAATGGATGGTTTGACAGAGACTAGATTGACCGGATCTTTGTCTGATACTGCTGCTCCGTTCAAATCTTCACTACTGGGGTGAACCATGGTTAGACCACAGTAGAAGTACCGGTATGTGACTGCACAGTCTCCGAAACCGTTGCTGGTACGGTCGGTGGGAACGTGGGAATCAATCGCACAGATCGAGAGGAGGTTATCCCAGCACGCTTGGCCTGATCTGCGACTCAAAACCGGTGCGGAGTTCAACGTTTCTGGCAGGCCAGTGCTGAGTTCACTGGTTCCATTACTGGACTGAGGTTCTGAGCTATTGTGAGTACTGTATGCCAGAATTCCGATTAGGCCGACCAGAGTAAAGAATCCAATGAAAACTACGGTGTGTCTTAGCCACTTCGCGCGTATTTCCCTCGCTTTCACGACACCCATGTTGACACAGTGGCGAGATATTTCTACTACTGGTTCGTTCGGAGGAGCAGCAGGCATTGGAGCTGGTTTTTCCAATGGAATATTGTAGAAGTCGGCTGCTTCAGAGCCTTCATAAGGTGGAGGGCGCATACTTTAGCCCATGGCAGAATGAGGTTCGTCTTTTTCAATTATGTGGGCGCTCTGAGGCCTTGGGGCGCTGGCTGGCGACTCAGACATTCTGTGTGGATGTTCAATGAGGAAAAAGCTGTAAGTATCCGGTGGTGTAGGAGCTATGAGCAGTATTTGTGATGCTGTGTACAGATCAACCCCCAAAATAGAGTGAATACTTATAGCTATCGGTGAGCTGGTGATTTTGGAGAACAATTTATTAGGGTCTGTATCATGAAGTGTTTTCCTTGGCCAAGGTTCTTTGTTGTGCAGATATGTCACATTCATGTTGAAGGAGATACGCTTTGTTCTTTATTATTCGCTGCCAATTGCATTGTTTTACAGTGTCTTCTTTGTGCCATCCTTAGATAGCCAAGTAGCAGTCAACGACTGGTTACACATCCCCTAGTCCTAAGCATCTTGCCAACAGTGTCCTTGTGACGGTGCAGAACCAACCAGATTACTTCCGTCCAAGCAATTATTTCAGTTGTGCGTGCTTGACCCCTTGAAAGTACTGCTTGATCGCATCCATTGCTGCGCTCTTCATTCAGTCTTCTTCGCACGTCCACGTGAGTAATATTCGCAGTTGAAGGGTGCTACCGTCCAGCTGGAAAGCATCAACGTGGATCATTCCATGTACTTGGAATCGCTTGAACAACGATAGGTGGAATCTTGCTGCTGGTCATGATCTTGTCGGCAGCCTTGCTCGATGATGCCATATCCGATTGGTAGTTCTCCTCGTTGGATAGCAAAACAAGTTGAGCTTTGTTGGTATAATCTGTGCATTCACATTCTTTCGGTAGATACACGATGATAGATTCAGGCCTCAGCGATAGAAAACATCGGAGTTCGAACTGCTCAATTCTGATGTCGAGTATTTCTCGTACAGTGTCTTAGCTCTCTGTCGGTATGTCCGGAACACCACCAGGGCATAGGTAAGCGAGGCAATAAATGTAGCACTGTTACGGTAAGTAAGTAAACAGTAAATCGTCTTTGAGATTGGTTACTTACAACACGGCACTTGAGAAACCAATCGCGACATGGAGATAGATATCATTCCAACCGCTCTTGCGCCAAGCTGAAGTGTCCATAACGATGTTCCACGCAAATGGAATGATCCATGTCGAAAACTTGATTATATTGAACCCCAGATAAAGCTTTGGCGAGAGATCGTTGTGGATGTACATAGATAGTTCGACAGCATCGACCAAGAATAAGATAACTGCAAGGACAAGGTTGACAACAGTCCACTTATGACATATTAAAGTTGGAATGAGGAAGAAGTGAAGAAAATCTTACGCTTGAATCGTCGACTGGGAGTTTCCAAAGCTATCTTCTGGAGCATTGATTTCGATGCCGATGAGGATAGCGAGCACGATGATACTGATCGCTAATAGTGGAATTTGGAAACTCCAAATCGGAATTATCCATCTTTTCTTCCAAGTCCTGTGAGTGATAAGAGCGTGCATCGTGCGTGGAAGAGTTGGTTTGTCCAATCACGACAAAGAGTCGTGATAGTGTTTGAGATTGGCGAACTCGAGAGGGAAAGATCAGGTGAGCGAGAACAGCGAGAACGGTTCTATTTGACCAACCACCAAGATCTGACTGTTGACGTGTACTGTACGACTCCGTCCGCAGCATCTTACCGGAAAGTCAGGATCGGTACTTCTCTTCGCCCTTCCAACAAGACCAGTCTTACCAAGACATGCCAGCAGCAACATTGATTGGCCTTCAGCGTCTCCTTCACTAAACGAAGTCAGCAATGGCATAGCCTCGTCGTCAGCCGATTGTACCGGCGTCTTATACCCCCAAGGATCTCATGCTGGGCCCAATCAATTGTTGCAGTAGCCGCTTGAAGGCCGTGGGGAGGCGAGGGAGGTTGGGTTGACGCCCAGATGGGGGCTTCCGAGCCTCCCAGTCGTTGATTTTCGACCCTCGTCAAAACGTCAGCCAACCGCTGGGCGTCTTGGCTACCATCCCAACCCATCTTTCAGACGCACGATATTTATTTATACTTCGAGCCGTCTTCAACCTTCAGTGATATCACGAAAAACTTCTCTTTCTCAACCAAGTTTCCGGACAGATTCAATTCCTCAAGTCACATAAGAAAATTTCTACGACCAATGCCTCCAGACATCCTTTTGGCCTCTTCCTGATTACGCAAAGAAATCGGGTATCGCAGCGAGGATCCAAGTTCCAGCCGAGTTGGCCAGAAAGAAACTTCTGCCTCCCTCACAAGTTTCAAATGATACGACTAATTATGTGAGGTTGGGTCTGTCTGTTGGTGTCCGTGTTTGCGGCGTAGAAGGATTGTTGGGTTTGACGATACTTGGCTATTCACACTCATGTGACTGACCGACGCAAATTCCCAAAGTTCTGTCTGCTCTATAACTGGTCATGCAATTATTGTGCTCCGAGTTATTTCTGCCTATGTTGGTGTATTTTTTCATGCCTTGTTGTCAGTCATCGAGTTGAAGCTTGTTAGTTTACCAGGCAACAATGCTCTCTCAGCGCTCCCGGACACCGAGTACAATCTATCGCGACGTATGTGCATTTTATTCTAGTTCTCTTTCGTCTCACAATCAGCTTGCAACTCTCATACCGCCCATTGCGTTCTCTTTCACGAATTACAAGTTAACTTTATGAAGTGACTTCTTGGCGTCCCGTTCAATCCGGCTCAGAAGTTCGTGGCAAGTCAAACTGTTGTGAACCAATCTCATCACTTGCCCAGCATACCACACCTATCTCAAAAATTCAATATCCTGATCATGAAAAGCTTTCATATCATGAATGGACTCAGTCGACGATTGATATCACCATCAACCAACCCCTTGCTCCCCCTCCACACCGCTCACAAGAGGAGCCACTTCAGCAAACTAACCCATCTCACTCTCCCTCTCAATCTCCAGCGCTTCATACGTCACAGTATTGGACGGGAACGAGAATTACGTTTACTCCAAACTATCTTCTCTAAGTTTGCGATCAAACAGGCATTTGGGAATGAGAGTCATGCCGGTTTTTCTGTCGGTTTCTTGGTCTTTCTAAATTCAGCACGAAGACCCTTTAATTTTAATTTCAGCGAGGATACATCAAATACATCAGTCTTGTTTAGATCCTTACCTGGATTAGGCTGTGTTAGAGCATTGATCTACATATATTCATCGCTTTTGAGCACTTCGTTAGAAGCTGCTGTAGTACTGACGATTCCCAGCTTTCCAATATTGCTGACTGCCGCAGTCAGTTCAGCATGGGCAGCCTGTTGCAGTCCTCCTTGTACAACCGGAACTTTTGTGAAGTTAGTATCTAAAGTATGTGAAAGTCCTGTAGAGCACTTACTTCTCATTCCCAGCTTTCTCGTCAAAGCATTATCGAACGGCATCCGGAAATGACAGACAATACAAAACAGCCAGCAAACTCCGAGGAAGAATTTCTGCAGTTCGTCGCTTTGTTCAATTAGTGCATATTGATCCTCACACTTTTCCAGCCATCATAAGGATTGTGTTAATTGGATTTCTACCAAACCTTACCGCTGTAAGTGTGAATAGTGATCAGGAGGGACATATGGTTCCGGTCTCGGCATGGTCTTAAGATACTCTCCTATGGATGCATCTCGCAATTGTTCGAATTTACAGATGCATAACCAAATTGGCCGTCTGTGGAACCATATTTACAAGCTGGGGGATCATTTCGGTACCTGCGATATTTGTTTACTTATATTTTCCCCTGTAGAGGTCGATCGACGAGGTAACCCCAGATCACTCTCCATAGAACTTGTACCCCGCACTTGCTTGTGGAGACGACAAAATTCATGAGTCATCTAATCGCAATCTTCATTCCTAATACGGACTTTTTTCTAGTGCGTAATTGGACAGATGTGGTTCTCTGTTTGTAGTGGTGCCTGACGAATATTTCAGTGCTGGAAAGCCTGAAAATACAGAGCTGAGACCTGTATTTTAGCGATGATGACCTGTAAATTCCAGTGGGTCCTGTCCTGATATCTCGCTTATCACATGGGTGTTGCATCGTCAACACAAAACGTCCGCGATGAAATCCCAAATGTGTCAAGTTGGAGTGAGTTATCTATCCAAAAGATGAAATACCTACAGTTTCGGACTTGAAGTTCTCTCCTCAGCTTTCGCCTGCTCCACCAGAACCCTTCTCAAAACCTTTCCTGCCGTGCTCTTCGGAATCTCATTCACGAACCTCACACCACCCCTCAACCTCTTGTACGGCGCCACTCTCTCTTCCACCCACTTCCCAATCTGCTCTGCCAAGCTTCTATGATCCTCGCGTTCATACCCTTTCGCAAGTACAACATACGCTCGGGGCAGCTCTGTCGCTCTCTCCTTACTATAAACACCAATCACAGCAACATCATCCACAGCGGGTTGTCCCATCAACAGGCCCTCAAGCTGGGCAGGAGCAACTTGAAATCCATTGTACTTGATCAGTTCTTTAAAACGATCTGTAAGGAAGATATTACCACCTTCATCGACGTAACCTATGTCGCCGGTACGGAACCAGCCTGAGTTGAGGGCTTCCGAGGTTGCGGTGGGGTTGTTGTGGTAGCCTTTGAAGATATTCGGTCCACGAATCCAGAGTTCGCCTTCTTCGCCTGCGTGAACTTCGTCTTGCGTACTGGGAGATACGACTTTGAGAGTCATGGAGGGGTAGAGTTTTCCTACCGAGCCGGGAGGGGAATCCCATGCCTCTGTCCTCTGAAAACTGTGTGAGCGGCATATTTGGACTCTCCTATTTGGACTCAGATGAAGAAGAGAAGAATTACCTGAGTTGAGATTCCAGGAGAGGCTTCAGACATCCCATAGCTTTGCTTGATCGGAACTTTGAGTTTTTTATAGATCACATGGATCAAATCCTGCGTCAGTGGAGCAGCAGCAGAATGCATCGTAGTCAGTGAACTGAGATCGTACTTATTTACCAACGGATGCTTGGCGAGGAGAAGTACAACTGGAGGAACGACGTAGGCTATTGTGACTCTGAGTCTCTGGGTAGAGGAGAGAAATTGCTCCAAGTCGAAGCGCTGCATGATATGCATGGTCACTCCTCGGACAAGGGGGATGAATATCAAAGCTGCAATGCCTGTAGACAGAAACATCAGCACCTCTGAACGAAGTTTATCAGAAGTTCCCATCGAAGAACTTGCCGTAGATATGGAACATTGGCAAGAAGGAAATCATGGAATCGTCCTTCCAATTCGAGCTTCCCTTATCCATAACCTCTGCTTGTAGCATATTAGCCACGATATTCCTATGCGTGAGCATCACCCCCTTCGGTAAACCCGTAGTTCCAGACGAATAGACTAGGAACGCCAAGTCTTCTTCCGGACTCAACATCACCCTCTGTCTCTCCATGTCTCTGCCCGATCCCATCAAATCTTCCAAATGCTCAACGTTCCCCTTCTTATCCCTCTCCCCAATTACCACAATCCTCTCCCTTGATAACCCCACCTTCTTCGCCGCCTTGAGAGCTACATCCAAACAGCTCACATGGGTCACCAGTCCTTTTGCTCTTGATGATTTGAGAAGTGACGAGAGTTCAGAAACGGGGTAGAGGTTGTTCAAGGGACAAACTACACCACCTGCCCAGAGAGTACCGAGGACGACGGTACTGATGTCAGCACTGTTTGGAGTGAACGTCGCGAGGATGTCGCCCTTTTTCCAGCACCAATTTTGGAGGAGGGCGGTACCGAGAGAGATGGATTGATGGCGGAGAGTGGTGAAGGTGTGACGGGTGGAGGTTGTAAGATCGATGAAGAGGGCTGGTGGAGATGTCAGTTGAAAATCCATGATGGGATGTCATTAATGAGTGAAAGTATGATGAAATTGGAATTACGATGGTCATCTGGGTATCGTCGTTCGGGTCTCTCGAACAGAAATGTCCATATGTCGACACTGGGGATGGTTATTGCAGGGTAACAGGAATCGATAGGCATGTTTGATGAGTCTTAAAGTTTCGGTATATTGTAGAAATGAGAAACAAATAAAGTACGTGAGAAGTACAGAAGACGCTCCAAGGTTCTCTCCGTAACTGCTTCTGTCCGACTCGAGTAGACCATGGGGAGGCTTCACAATAAACGATCAATTTACCTGGCAAGGAAAATCTACCGATCCAACATAGGATACTTGTAATTTTCAGACCGAGCGGAGCGAATATGTACAGAACAGACCAGCATTATCCCCGTCATGCTTAGCATCAATTCTATTACGGCGATAAATCCATGCAGAAATCCGGCAATAGGCAATCACTAATCGTAAAAAAGAATTGCCCAAACCTCGATACTGCCGATCAAATGCTCAGACATCCATGGCTCGGTGCACTTCATACGTGCGTTACGGGAATCGCAAATCTGGGGAATGGGGAAATGTGTAGAGAAAGTTTTGGTGTTGTGATTACTATTCAGGCTTCGGGCCTCGGCTCAGAAGGACCCTGAAATCACACCCTGGCGGGGAACCAGAGCTCAAGGTTAGCACATGCCAATATCTCAACAACGACAGCAAGGTCATTCTCATATTAGCGTGACAGCACTCAACATCTAGTCTAGAAATCTCAGAGATTGATGACAGAAAAAAATATTCTTGCAATGGCACCTAAATCACCTAAAGGCGCTTCTCTAACAATCTACATCGATTGCGGTATGTCCCTTCCCAACCCCACCCCCCTTTCATCTGACACCTTCCAAACCACATACCTACTCACACCTTCACCCAGTATCACCCTACTCCTGGTTCGGCTTCAGCAATATCCTCAAGTACCGCCCAGGTCTCATCGCAAATGGCGTAAAAGTCAACATTGAGCCGTTCTTCCTAGGCGGGGCAAGGGACGCAGCTGGAAACCCGTGGCAGCCGACACCGAAATGGAAAGAGGCGTTTTCAAAGCAAGATACGGAGTTGACGGGTACAATGTTGGGGATTAAGATTGTTCAGCCGGAAATCTTCCCCATTGGGAGTTTGTTTGTGAGTTTTTCTTAATCTCTATCTATACATAAGCTGGGTAGGAGGGTAGATCTGTGAAGATGAGGGGCTGCGGGTAAGCTGTTGGAGATGAGATGAACTCATGAGCTTTTTCGGTGGGATACTGAAGCCACAGAAATAAACTGACAAGCTCTCAGCCCGTCCGTGTAGCAACCTACGTAAAAAGGCACTACCCCGCTAGTACCTTTGAGTCCGTCTTTCTCGCCCTCGTCTCCTCCTACTGGGGCCGTGGAATCAACATCTCTCAACCAGACGGCCTAATCCAAGCTCTCTCCCCCCTCTTCTCAACTTCTGAAATCGAGACCATCATGAAGAAAGCTATTGAGCCAGAGAATAAAAAGGCGGTAATTAACAAGACGAAGGAGAGTGGGTCGTTTGGCGCTCCTTGGATTGTGGGTGTGGATTCGGAGGGGGTGAAGAGGAGTTGGTTTGGGAATGATAGGTGGGATCAGGTGTTTTGGCATTTGGGGGTGCCGTTTGAGGGGGTGAAGGTTCTAGAGCCGAAGGAGAGCAAGCTGTAGGGAGTGAGGAGCGGAGGCTTTGTATATAGGTTGTTTTGAAAGGAGAGAAAATGTTGATCAAAATGTTGACTACAGGTTTGTGACATACAACCGGAAATGTATGTCCTATTCCTACGTACAGAACTCTTGAATTATGTAACAGTTAGGTATTCTTGCATATGTTACAACATCACATGATTGCACACTCTTTCTTTCTGTTCTCGTCATGACTCCTCAAGTCTTTCTTACAGCTTCGAAAACATGCTCTCCTTCTGTGCCCTAACATCCAACTCATGCGTCCACGTACTCCTCGGCTGCGTATGCACAAACCAGTAAATCCCCGCCAAATCAGTCGGCTGCATAAGTCTCATCTCCACCTCCCCCAACTTCTCCTTCTCTCCCTCCCGCTCCCACTTCCTCCTCGTCACACCCCCAATCAGCTTCCCATCCACCGGCCCATCCACCACCAAATGCGCAGCATGAATCCCCTTCTCCTGATACTCCCGCGTCACAATCTGCGCCAAACTCCGCAAGCCAAATTTCCCTGGAGAGAAACTGGATAGCCCGGGACTTCCTCGCAGACTTCCTGTTGCGCCGGTGAAGATAACGGTTCCTTTTTCTGCGGCTAACATATCGGGAAGTACGCATTTGACGGACCAGAAAGCGCCGAAGAGGTTGATCTTTGTGAAATTCTCGAATTCCTCGGAGCTGGTGTCGAGGATCGAGCGGCCGTTGACGCGGCGTGCTCCGGCGTTGTATACTAACACATTGACAGGGCCGAGATCTTGCTTGATGGAGGTGAAGGTCTTGATGATGTCTGATTCGATGCGGAGATCTGTGATGTAGTATTTTGCTGTGTGAGGGCCGAAGTCGTTGGTTATGGATGAGACCATTTCTTGGAGTTTGGTTTCGGTTCGTGCCAGCAGTGCTACCGTGAAGCCTTCTGAGATAAATTTTCGGGCGACAGCTTCACCTATACCCGGGCCAGCGCCGACGACTGCGAGGACGGGCTTGGAAGATGGGTTGAATGTTGCTGCCATGGTGATGTTGAGTCAGGTCCCTGAGGCTCAGATGAGATGTCGGGAGCTCGAATTAAAGAATGCGGGGTAAATATGAAGGGGGTATGGATGGGTTAGTGGAGTTATATCAAACAAAAAGTCACAATTACGGACGTATGTACAGAAATTAAAGATCCCACTAGGGATTATTGGGTATCATAAAGAAAGGTTGGGGTAACGGTGATATGATCTGAGACGAAGTGAGGTTGTCTCGGCTAGGTTGGGGCTGAATACTAATCACGCCCAAGACCTCGGCTTCAGCACACTGTACAAGCTGAGATTTTGTGATCTGGATGCCAATTCCGGAAACCCCAAATTCAACGCCATGTATGTTCAAAACGAGAAAGATTAGATGAAATGGGGATAGACCGTTTTACAGAGACTCATGGCGTATGTAGATTCTGAAAATCTCTGGTTGCTCTGACGAGTGACGATTCACAGGGTCTCACATCGCTAATTCTTAGCGCTGAATGCGCTCTTGGCGCTATTCTACTGTACATTCCCTTCCGCCATGCCCTGCCGCCCCTGACCTTTCTTGTCTTGTCAACTGAATTCAATCAACAGTAGCCTGCAGACCTACTCGCGTCCAGGCTCGATATTTCAAGTTTCGATACTGGAAGAAATAAAAGCACGATAATTGCTATTGGCTAATCAGCTCTCAACGGCTAGGTACAGAGAGCAGGTAAGCTTCTTTTCTAACCTCTGAACGAGCCTGCGGCTTCCCGCATACGGACTCTGATGTGCTGGGAAAGTCGGTGCCTCTGTCGACCCAAATCAATAACATACCTTGTGGAAAAATTGAAGACATCGGCTTTGTCTCCAGCCCGATTGTACATGAAGGCTAAAGATTGCTCTAACCACGAATCTTCACTTCATTGTGTACGGAAAGTCGGTTCAGTGATACCAGCCAGCTGTGCCACGCTAGCATACCTGCAGGCTGCACGAATTGCAGCATCGAACACCTTGCATACCTCGATCTCCCTCCCCTTTCATGTGACACCAACATGGTGAAAACATCAATAAATCTCCTACAACAAAGCCAAAAAAGTCCAAGCTGGACATGCCCCTCTCATCGGCCAACAAAAATGCCACCCAGCTCGGTCGGACAGAGACCAGATTTCTGCCGTATCCTCCTCCTTGGGGATAATGGCTCAGGCAAAACATCACTCATAACGCGAGTAGGTACCTACCTACCTTATGTCCTCACCCGTTCCAACTTTCAGGAACCAACTAAGCCCCTGCATATAGTTCGTATTCAATGTCTTCTCAGCCTCATCTATTTCCAACGAAGCTCCAACGGCTCCCAACAGGCACCGCACCCAACGCATGGTCTCCTCTTACCCTTGCATCATCGAGCTTGTGGAAGCGGAACCCCTACCGGGTGCTTCTAAGAACGGGGATGTACATGCCGACATTGTTAAAGAGATCGCGAATGCGGATGCCGTCGTACTAGTCTACAGTATCTGTGGGTTGAGATGGCATCCTCTGCATCGGGAAATTGGGAGTGAAAGAGATGCGTGGAGGACGGTACCGCTCGAGGGAGTGAGACGTTTTGGAAATTTGGTGAAGGGGCACGTATTAAGTGAGGAGGAGGGGCAAGGCAGCAGGGAGGAAGAGGCGGTAATGTTGGTGCTAGGATGTCAAAGAGATAGAGAGGATCTGAGAATTGTGAAAGAAGACGACGGGAGAGCCTTGGCAGGGGAGTTGGGATGTGGATTTGCTGAGGTTGAAGTGGAAAGTGGATGCGAGGGTATCAATGTTGTTATTGACAGGCTTGTTATGCAGGTCCGAGAACAAAGGAAATGGAGAGCTGGGGGCAGCTGTAAGGGAGAGAGGCTTTCGACTGAGAAGGATGCAACCGATGCAACGGCTACCAGGTTCTGGGAGAGGATGCTCCGTAGATAAGGAACCCCGGAGCTATGTGCAGGTGTTCCTTGTTGGATGTTGGATCGAAAGATCTTTGCGTCGGAAACGTGCATAGAATTAATATCGAACGCTGCTCTTGAGGCTTGGTCCTGCAAGGGGCCGTTGGGAACAGAAACGGTCGGAAATTTCAGTGCGGTTGGAATTGAGGTGGATGATATCGAACCCCACGATATGATATCCCTTCTCATATTCGACATAAAGTCAGCTAGTCTGAGTAAACTAGGAGTTCAGATTTATCTCCGATATCTGATTTCCATTATTACCCCGCTGTCCAAACCCCAGATCCCCATATCATATCTAGGTATGATCCGGCATCAACTCGGCACCTCAAGACACACCTTCCATTATGCAACAACGGCTTTCCTCCCGCATTAAGCCTTAGAATCCGAGGTCACCATACTTATGGATGACAGCTGCGGCGTTCCATTGGATTGGGACGAGCAAAGCGTGCTCGTGCCATGGAGCGGGGTTGAGAGATGTGATGTGTGTGGATGTCATAGAGAAGTGCCGATCTCGCTTGGCATATGGGACTTCCATCTGGCCCAGGCGAGGTGGGCGTTTCTTGGGAGGCTTGATTGAAATAAGAGATCTTGTTGGCATGAGCGCGTTTGAACAGCAAGAAAAAGAGGAAAGGAAATGGACACTTAAAAGAAATGAAATATCCAACTAATGTAGTAGTGAGTGCTGCAGGTCGCCGTTGGGTTTTAATGAACTTCTAACGTCCCTTACTGGAATCCCGTCTCAGGAACTCTTGCGAGTGCAACATCTCCCGTCCCTGACCACCTAGGCTCCTCCCACATGTCACAACATCATCACGGTAGCACAAACCAATCAGCACCCATGCAAAAAACCTTTAGAAGCACAAATCGAATTCCAATCCAATCCAATCCGATCCCAGAAACTCAATTCTGGATACCTGCTTCCGAGCAACATGCACTGGAGACTGGTCTGATCTCAAGTGTCTCTTTTGTTCAGTACTCTGTTGACAAGCGGGTACAAAGGTTAGTAGCCCGCCCGTTGCCCGCTCTGCTCGCGATCGATACCCTCACCTCAAAATCTCGTCGGCGCGTCATAGGAGGTGGATCTAGTTCGACTCTTTGTTTCTTAAGGTTACAACCTCCACTTCTCTCCACTTTCTGTTTTCTTGTCTCGCACCTTGAGAGACGGCATTTCTCTCTTCAACACTTCTCACCTCGAGTTCTATACCTCGTAATCTCTTCCGCGCAATTCTCCAGCGCGTGTACGCCTACACGTCCACCATTCGATCTGCGAACTAGGCCAAGCAAAGTTCAACAATAGCATTCGGACGGAAAGATGAACGCCGAAACCGAGACCAAGACTCAGAGCAGCAGCGATGAGAAGTACGGCGCTGGTGAAGTCGACCATGACCAGAGCCAGTATGCACTGCCTCCTGATCCGGATGCGCATCTGAGTGCTGAGGAGAAGAAGGCTGTGGTGAGTACCTGTCTCGCCTCTCTACCTAAGCTTTGTCCAAGGCGGGTGGTGAAGAGGGACAAGAATGTGGAGTGTGGGGAAGTGGGCTGTGGCGTGCAATAGTGGGCTGGGCAGTCCCGGATGAGAAGAGAACGAAATAGGAAAATAATGCTAATGTTTCTTCGTTTTTTTAGGATCGCAAGCTACTCTGGAAGCTCGACCTTACGCTCATTCCATGGTATGTTATCCCGATTTCACCTTATAAAGTTTTCCAGCATGGTTGCGGTGCTAGCAAGAGCGGAGTGTTTGGATCTCTCAAAAGCGGGGCAGGCACGCGGTAGGGTGGGATAGAAAAGTCACTGCGGACTGTCCATTCCCATTTCTTGACGAGATAGATTCTATATTTTCGTGATGAGGTATCATACTAACATTTCCCCAGGCTCTGCATCCTCTACCTCCTCGCCTTCCTCGATCGTACCAACATCGGCAATGCCAAGATCGATGGTCTGCAAGCCGATCTTGGTGACAAGAATGGACCCATGACTACTGGAAGATACAATGCCTGTCTCTCTATCTTCTTCGTCTCCTACTCTGTCTTCGAGTAAGTCTTTCTGGAAATTTATAGTTTCTCCCACCCCATGCCCACGTATGGGATGGAGTTGGAATTGCGAGCAAGACTAACAATCCTTCAGACCCTTGACCAACATTCTTCTTAAGCGGCTTCGTCCTTCAGTCTTCATCCCAATCATTATGATTCTCTGGGGACTTTGCATGACCTTCATGGGCTTCGTTGAGAATTGGTCTGGTCTCATGGCAGCTCGTGTAAGGCTCCCACCACTCCCAAATTTCACCCGCTAACCATACCAAAGTGGTTCCTTGGTCTCACCGAAGCAGGTCTCTTCCCCGGTATCAACTACTACCTCTCCTGCTGGTACAAACGCTCCGAGTTTGGTATTCGTGCCGCCATCTTCTTCTCAGCCGCAGCAGTCTCCGGATCCTTCGGTGGTCTCCTCGCAGCAGCAATTGTCAAGATGGACGGGCTAGGTGGCCATCCCGGCTGGGCATGGATTTTCATCCTCGAAGGAATTGTCACCGTCGTCTTCGGCGTCCTCTCCTTCTGGTGTGTCCACGACTTCCCCGACGAGGCCAAGTTCCTCTCCGATCAAGACCGTGCTCGCGTTATCCGCCGATTGAAGATGGACAAGCAGAGCTCAGCTGAGCACGAAGAGTTCAAGATGAAGTACGTCTACATGGCTTTGAAGGATTACAAGATGTGGCTTGGTATGGTGATCTACATGGGCTGCGATATGCCGCTCTACGCCTTCTCTCTCTTCTTGCCAAGTATCATCAAGCAGATGGGTTACAGCAGCACCACCGCTCAACTCCTCAGTGTCCCTCCATACGCCCTAGCAGCCTGTCTGACTGTCCTCATCGGATTCATCGCCGATCGCACTCACCAGCGGGGTCTCTGCAATATCTGCGTTTCCATCATCGGTATTGCCGGTTTCTCGATGCTTCTCGGTTCAGACGAGCCAAAGGTCAAGTACGCAGGCACATTCCTCGGCGCTCTGGGCATCTACCCCTGCATCGCAAACACCATTTCCTGGGTATCGAACAACATCGAAGGAGTCTACAAGCGCGGTGTTGTTCTCGGATTCGTCATCGGCTGGGGTAATCTCAATGGTATCGTCTCCTCCAACATCTACCAGAAGACGCCATATGTCTCCGGCCATTCGACCGTCCTGGCTTACATGATCGTCTGTCTCCTTGGTGGTAGTATTTTGATGAGATACCTGCTCGCCAACGAGAACAAGGCGCGTGCGGCGGGCAAGAGAGACCATTGGGTTGAGGGCAAGAGTGAGCGCGAGGCGGAGAAGTTGGGTGATATGCGTCCAGACTTTGTCTATACTCTTTGAGTGTGTGAAGTATTTAACTGGCCAGATGTATGACTAATTTGCAATCTTGTGTGACGTCGACTGAGTGAGTGGGTGGGGGATGGCTTGATAACCAAAATTGGTGCTGTGTTAGTGGATTGTTCTGGCAAGACTGCCGTACATGAGCTCTTCAGAGGACTATCTCAGCGAGAGAGTTGCTTTGATCAATGTCGCCATGCGACGAACAATAAATCGAATGGTATCGTTTGAACATCTCTAACTTCATGCGTGCAAATTTTTCAGACAGTACATAGAATTCCCCCTATTTTATTTCTTGGCCATAGTCAAGTTCATAGGAGAAAGGACACAGCGCATGTTTCCAAGCTCGATATCGGGACGATGCTTCGCATCAGATATATCGACATTGCAATAGACGTTTCTCTTGGAGTGCGCTAGATCCAAAGCGAAAACATAAATAACGTATAGGTAGCTTACATTGCTAGAAACACAACACCATCAGCTTTTGTCAACACACCCTCGCTTGCACTTGTGAAACTCCACTTTATTGGGACACGGCACGTGACCTTCGCCATCGAAATCTCACCCCGCCAAAACGGCTGACATCTAGCTCAACTCAACTCAACTCAACGCCATCTCATCTCATCTCATCTCATTCGCAAGAACTGTCAGCAGCCGATTTTCACTCTTTACCTACAACGTAGCTCTTTCTATTAGCGGTAATGACATAAAAGAACGTTCAAGATCAATTCCCCATCGTTTGATACCTCTCATCTCAAATCTCAGAATTCTTCGCCCTGGCGTCTCTCTCAGCGACTCTCAACCTTGTTACGAGGCGGTTCCTAAGCATATACACACGCAAAATGGCAAAAAGAGTCTGTATAATCGGTATGTCCTCATATCCCCTCTCCTCACATCACCACCTCCTCACTCCATTCACCCCATCAATTCTAACCACCACTTTCCCCTTCCAGGCGCCGGCCCCTCCGGCCTCGTCGCCGCCAAATCCCTAACCGACAACCTTTCAAACAGTCTCAAATTCAAAATCACGATCTTCGACTCCAAACCGCGCATCGGTGGGCTCTGGCCAATCAGCACTCATGATGAAGGTCTGGTCAACCCAGATATGTGTACGAACCAGAGTCGGCATACCGTCTCGTTCAGTGATCTCGCGTGGGGTGCTGAGGAGCCGAAATTCCCCAAGGCGTGGATGGTGGGGAGGTATTTGGAGAGGTATTTGGGGAGGTATGGTGCGGGGTGGGATGTTAGGTTGGGGTGGAAGGTGAAGAAGGTGGAGAGGGTGAATGAGGGAGATGGAGAGGGTTGGAAGGTGTGGGTGAGGAAGACTACTGGAGAGGAAGAGGGGAGTGCATCTGAAGAGGTGCTTGATTTCGACTATGTGGTCATCGCGACGGGGTTCTTTGGAAAGGCAAAAATGCCGAAAGGGTTGGAAAATGCGTCTGTACCTGTTGCGCATAGTTCTCAAATCAGGGAGATCAAGAGCTTGATTTCAGGGAGGGATGGCAAGGCGGTTGGGAAGGGGAGGAAGATTGTTGTTGTCGGGGGACAGATGTCAGGTGTTGAGACGGCGGCGGCGATTGCGATGCAGATCTCTTCTGCTGGTAATACGCCTGGAGATGAGACGATTGAGGATGCGAAGAGCCATGTTGTCACCAATCTGGTGCAGAAGCCGGTCTGGGTGATGCCGCTTGTCTTTCCTGTGGATCCAGTTGTTGAGAGGGATGGTGTGAAGGTAAATTTCATTTCTGGTCCACAAGTTTGAATGTTGAAAGGTGAGAAGTGAGATACTGACTTCCCATAGATCAAAAACCGCTCTCCAAACTTCCTCCCACTGGATCTAGTGAGCTACAACATCGGATGGCGACCAGAAGGAACTATACAGAATACCTCTGGACACATCACGACTGAGGCAGCAGCACTGACGCACGGTTTCATGGAAACATATATCGGCAGCAACCAGACCGAACATGGGCCTGCGCTGGCCATTACAGAAGATATGAAGACCGAACCACCTTTGCTGGCTTGCAGCGATCAGTACATAGAGTTTGTGCGCCAGAAGAAGATCGATGTAGTAACGGGACATATGGTTGAAGCAGCTGGAGATTCTATAACGATTTCCAACGGCTCGGGAGATATCGAGACCATCACTGACGTCGCAGCAATAGTCTGCGCAACCGGCTTTGACGCCTCACCATCCATCGATTTCCTGTCTGCTGAGGTCCTTGAGACTGTGAAGTTTGACGCTACAGAGGACGGATTCCCCCTTGCTTTGAACGTGCACTCCACCATCAGTAGAGAGATTCCATCACTTGGCTTCGTTGGCTTCTACAGGAGTCCATATTGGGGCGTTATGGAGATGCAAGCTAGATTTCTAGCCAAGTTATGGGGTGGTGATGAGAAGGCTAAGAAAGCAGTGGATGAAGATACGACTATGCAAACGATGATGAAGTTGAGGAAGGATCCGAGGAGAGCACAGTTCCCGATGGGAGACTATACGTATCTGATGGAGTCGTTTGCTGACATTCTAGGTTAGTGATTTCCCATACCAGCAGCAGATAGAACAAAGCTAATATCCAAGCAGACATTCAACGCGAGGAGCCCTCCTCTTCCACTCCAGGGGCAAGAACTGGTATCATCACTCCATACCGATACGCCTACCCCGACGTGTCTCCAGCACAGAACACAGAAATCAAATTCGCTCTCGGAGAACATTTTTCAACCTTCTACGCCTCGTCACAGAAAGCGAGATTCGTTCCTCGCGCTGTGTTCCGTAGCTTACAAGGAATCTGGACGTTAAATCGTACCATCACATCACGAATCGCCACATTCCCTTCTGGCACACTAACCGGTACCGCGACTCTCTTCCCTCGAAATCCCACGGACGCTCCTACGAAGCCAAAATCGACACCAACTTCAAATCCCCAACCGCCCTCCATCAATAACTCCGGCTCCGGCTCCGGACCCACCTGCCTCAACCCCACAAACCCCAACCCTGCTGCCGCCACCCTCGAATACCTTTATTTCGAAGAAGGACAATTCCTCACCTCCTTCGGCGCCACCATGAGCGCAAAGCGCAGCTACGTGTATCGCTACTTCGAAGAAACAGATTGCATTGATCTCTGGTTCGCGAAACAGGATTATCTTACTGCGGATTACTTCTTTCACAGAGTAGAGTTCATTGTGCCGGATCAGGGAGAGGAGAGCAAGAGTCGGACGGTTCGGGAGGGATGGAAGGCTGTGAGCAGTCATTTATGTGAGTGAATATAGATGTGAGGGTATGTGGATGTCGATTACTGATTGTTGAGAATAGGTATCGAGGACATGTATGACGTCTCTTACGAATTTAGCTTCAACGGCGCTACGCTCGAGACTTGGACTTCCGAATACACCGTCAAAGGTCCACAGAAAGATTACACGATTCGGAACGTATTTACGCGACCTACGACGTCATGAAAACTCAGCTAGAAAACGATTTCGGGCATGGACAATCAGGAATACAGACAGGGACGAAGAAGATAGACTCTATTTATGACTGATACGTTTGAAAGATGAAAGATGAAATGTATACGTTGTATGTGAGTCTCGTGGCTAGTTCGTATATGTTTTTTTAAGCTTTACGAGGGGTCATTCTTTATTTCTACTGTGGTAAGCATCTGCTTTTTCAATTTCCAGATCTTGCTTCCAGTACTTCCGAGATTGAATGTTGTTGACGTTTGACTCTTGACTGGAAACCCCATTTCCTTCGTTTATTCACATAGCTTTTAGGGGATGCCGGGCCTTGAGTCATGAGATACATTCTCCTCTTGGGCAATTCAGCGATCTGCTGTACATTCACAGAACTCATTCCAATCACAGGCTGGATCTTTCGGCCAATATATGAAATCATAGATTTGAGATAACGGAAGTTAAAAAGACGCAGCGGCCGAAAGAAGCAATCTCAGATAGCTAGCCTTGGCTGCTTTTATCAAAACCATTCAGTTCAGGTAATCGAGGCTTATTTCTTGCCAGAAATCCTTCTCTTCTTTTTCAACCGGTGCGGAGGGCTTTGCACGTTTGATTGTTCAGAGCTCGCCTATTTTTGGTACGTTGATTCCCATCCGTTGGAAGCTTGAGTCAATGGAGATCGAGACCAGTCATTGGCTCCAACCCGGCTATATCAATCAATTCTCCAGCGGTCTTGGAAGATACTCACTCTCCAACACTGCAGAAGCTTCTGGCGTTAAACAGTCAAAGTCGACGTCAACGTATACTAGGTGCTCCATCTCTCTCCCTGGCGTTCTCGTTTTCCACCCGCTAAAGCTTCTTTCCAGATCCCCCAAGTTGAAGCTCACAAACAACACTAGCAATGGTCCGGACCTTCACCGCTCTGATCCTCCTTGCCCTTTTCTCCTCCTTCAACTCCAACATCTATACCTTCGCCGTACCATCTCCCGCGTCCGCACACCAGGCTCTATCTCCCCTCCTTTCACGAACGCCAAATTATCCTTCATCACAACACGCACTCCAACCAAGCGGTCCTCCAAACCCAGAGCAGAAACTCTGTGGCTTCCCTTTACTGTGGCTCTATCCCTGCACATGGACATCCGACCCATCTATTTCCCAGCTTCAGAAATTGGGTCCAGTCATCTTCGCCAAATACATCATCAATATCCCAGGGGCTTTATTGGATTCCTTCTTTACACCTCGTGCAATAATTGAGCGTCGTGAACACAGCAACATCAACAAATATGGACGACGAGAAACGCGGAGCGTGGAGCAAGAAGAAGATTGGAATGACGATCCATCCGCTGAAGTCCTATCGAAAGTGAAGGCTCTCGAAAGAGGAGGTCGCCCTGTCTTCATCGGAGCCATGGGTGCCCTTTCTGGTTCCTCTTCATCTCTTCGAGTCCCTCGTCTCATTCTGGGTCCTTATGCAGTGCTAAAAGCTATTTCGTCAATCCCGAAGAGTCTCTCAGCCACGATCCCAAAACACATACCTCGCTTCAGTGTCGGGCTTACTCGCCGCACGTCAAACACAAATCAACTGGACGACTTGGCCGGTCAGACAGCAGTTCCTGGCGACAAAGTTTCGAAGCAATTTTATTGTTGGTTTGCCGGATTCCTCTACCCATGTGACTGGGCTATAAAGATGCCAGATCCAGAATATGAGAAGCATTGCCATATAGATGCAACTCCAAAACTTCCTGGGTTCCCCACAAAGACTTGCGATTGGACGTTGAAGTCTGCTGCTCATCTATCCAAGACGATCCCTAGGATCTTCACACTTCCAGCGATGTTTGTCAAGGCTGTCAAAGCAATACCCCTCTCGCGCCCTACCACAATAAATAGATACCAACATCGGGCCCTCTTGGCACCGCTGGAGTTAGATGGTTTGAACAGTAAAACAACTATCCAAGAGCAGAAGACATCCAAGGCACTCTGCTGGTGGTTCGTCTGGGGCTATCACTGCAGCGGTAAGCCCGAAAAGTCTGACACCCCTACTTATCAGCAATGCCGAGCGGATGAGCCTTCCAAGAGTGAACATGAACAAACATGGACTTGCTTCGATGCGCCTTCTGCTGCTCATGCATCGAGATCCGTCCCTAGGATATTCACTTTCCCAGTCATGCTGCTGAGAGCCGTTCATGCGATTCCTGTATCTCGTTCAACTCCAAATCTTATTTCGAGATGGAAAAGGGTCGCCGTCCCGGCAGCGCCAGCTGAACTGGAAAATCTGAATGGGACTGCTGCCACTCAAGAGACAAAGGTATCTAAAGAATTGAAACAGTGTTGGGTAGGGATCTTCTTGTGGCCATGCTGGAATTCTCCGCCGCCCCCGCCGCCACAGCCAAAAAAACAATGCCAGATGGATATGTATACCGCACATGTAACTTGCGTCGAAGTACCAAGTTCCGCAGCGCGCTCAACTTTGATTGTCCCCCGACTGTTTTCCTTCCCAATCTTAGCAGTCAAGAAAGTATCCGCGACCTCTAATGGCCTCATCGCTAAGCTTCGATCCTCGACGAAGTCCACGGGAGGAAATGATACCATGGAAAAGCGCAAAAAGTGTAGCGACAATGAACGCCACAAGCCCGGCTGTGAAATCTCCTTCCATTCGTCGTCTACATCCCTCGCTCCACCTCGCATCTTCAAACCTCCTTTCATACTCTTATCACTCTTACCCAAAACCACACTCGCAAGTCCCCTCAAAAAATGCAGTGGAGCTGAACGCCAACATCCTGATTGCGAGCACTCGTTTCCCTCCTCATCCACTAACCTGTCCCCGCCACGTATCTTCAAACTACCTGTACTTGCCCTCTCTTCACTCCTCCAAGCTGCAAACGCAATCCCATTCCCACGACCAGCAGCAATTACCAACTCAATCGCGGATCCAAATTTCAACCTCGTGCGGAAATCCGTTGGCGAGATGATGGATGGGGTGGGTATGTGGTTGGGAAGACGGCAAGGTGTGGATCTGGCCAAGTATGGTGTTGACTGGAACAAAGCCTCTTGTACGCGGGAGCATTATCTCTCGGATGCGATCATGTGTAACAAGGATCCAAAGGCGCCGCTCGACAGTGCAGGGAGTAGAGCTGGTGGATGCAAGATTGAGATGGCTGCGTTAGGGGTTCTAGGTGTTGCGGTTGTGTTTGCGGGGTTCTTGTAAAGTGTCTGGAACAGCTTTGGGAAGTAAGTGATGTTGGAAGTTCTTGAAAAATTGAGGTAGTCGTATGTGGGAAAGTGGTTAAGTATGTACTTATGTGGAAGGGGGAGATACTCGCTTAAGCCTGGAGCGATGTTCGCTTGACTTTTGTCGAGGAGACCTTTAGATGCGTGGACTTATGTTGTATCTAGAGAGTCTGGTCTGAATAGCATTGCCTTCCCTCTGAACTACTCTCACCTCGTTTGTTGCAGAAGGACATTGTTTACTTTCCAGATCCACAACAGCGCCTAAGCGAGGAGAATACGAGACGAACAATGAAATCAAGGTTTCTGTATCTTGTGTACTCGTAAATCCACCCCTTTTCACGTCCACAACTCTTCGAATGATCGCAATTGAAACGTATAAATCAAGTTCAGAACTGGCTCCAATCTTCAAGACTTCGCATTTCTCGGCAGTCTCAGCATGTAATAAAACCGATACGTTCCCCACCCCATATCACCGCCCTTAGCAAACTCCGCCCATTCTTTCAAATCGACCTCCATCACCCCAATCTCCTTCCACCCAACATGCGCATAGAGTGGATGTCCTACCGGCGAGGCAATCAAAAAGCAAGGCACACCTTCCCGATCAGCCATCTCATGACCCCACTCCAGCAACGCCGTACCTATCCCCCTGCGCTGGTACCGTGGATCCGTCATAAGAAGTGCCAGATGCAGACATTTAGTTTTCGTGATCCAGGACTCTTCAAACGCTCTGAAAGACCTTGAGATATGCCTTTGGAGTGGTGAATCGTTGGGATCTGAGGAGCTGGCCGTGAATTGAGGGGTGTTGCTTTGGAGGAGCGGTGGGTACAGGAAAGGGCTCGGCCTCTCTCCACTTTGCACAAGTCCATTTCGAACTTGAATTTGATGTCCGGAAACCAGTTCCCTTCCCTCTTTCTCCACCAAACCCCACCCTCTCAACCACCAAAACGCCAACGCAGTGATCTCGCCACTATCCCTGTCAACCGCTTTCATCAACCTCAACTCCGGAGCATCGAATTTCTCTTCAAGAACGCCTATGAGCCATTTCTTGACCCGAGAGTGAGCTACGTTGTCGACCAGCAGTATCAGGTCGTGTGCTTCGGCGAGGATGTATATTTCTGCCAATCTGGGGATGTCTTTCTTTTCAGCGGGGAGGATGAGTGGTGCGGGGTAGGCGTCACGGTGTTTGGATTTGGAGCGCATTTTGCGTGTTGATTGAATTGGGTTGGTTGGCAGTTGAGTTGATTTGACGCTCGAGAGATGACTATGTAGATTATCCGGCGCTCTGGCAGACGACGTATATTCATAGAAAGGATATGTCTCGGAGTGAAGGCTTAAATGCTATGATATTGTGATGTTCGACACCGCAGGGATGTTGATAACTGTGCCGCTGCCAGACTTGGACCAATAAGGATGCTGACTTCAGTCGACAGTCATGCTGTTTTTGGAAGCTGCATCGAGCTTTCGATCTATTCTGACGCTCTCGAGGCTGGTAGCTCCTTTTCGAAATGCTCTTTGAAAATAGCTCGGGTCAACCATCTCCCCGACAAGCGATGCACTGATTGGAGGAACTCATCCTTACAAGCTGGAAATATTCAAATATATTCTCACCGTTGTTACCTTTGATCTCGACTTTGCAGCGAGATAGGATTGTATCTATTCCGTCAAGTGTGAGAAGAGGCAAGGACGTTCTGTATTGTAACATTTTGGCTTGAATATTAATGAGCATAGGCCATGAGAATTTATCGAGCCGCAACACCCTGAATGATCTACAAATTTTGGCGACAGCCGGAAGTTTAATAGCAGAATTGTGCCAACAAAACACAACTACGGATTGCAATCAATGTTTTATGGTTGATGTGAGATAAGTGAAGAATTCCATTTCTGCCTAACCTCAAATACCACAAGATACAAAGCTTGCGATCGAATCACTTAGTGACTTAGTCTTTACCATGAAAGGTGAGCGGTCGTTTCTCTCCCCAAGTCGAACATGGTGAGAACCGCCACACACCTTTATACTTCCTTTCATACCAATAATGAACCAACGACATGACTGGACTAGGAAGTCCAGGCCACACACAGCCTCCCTCGTAACCATTATCGCAAGTGCCAAGAACCATCGGGAACAGAATCGACTATTCTCGTCAACTTCACTTCATCAAGTTTGAAAAGGCAACCTACTTTATCGCCAGCCCTAACCTTGAGATCAAGCTCTTGATAGAGCTTCTTCATCACGACGCCATCATATTTCTCCAGCTCTAACAATGTCTCAATCTCATCAATCAAATGCTCCGTCAAAACCTTCCCAAACGAGTCGATAACAGCCCTCAACCTCGTCCCATCATACTCTTCAACGGTCGTCTCCTTTGCAAACTTGCCAAGTGCTTCCAGCCCAGGCATAAAAGCATGATGCTGTGCAACATTCGCAGCCATGAGTCCCTTCACGCCTGTGAGTCTTTCCACTTCCGGGAAGTAGAAGTCCTCTTCCGCATCGTGATGTTCGTGGATCCATCCGCACCAGAACTCGGTGTACTTGAGCAAGTCTTTGATATCTTCTGGATTGGCGACGTGGATGCTCTGCTGGTAGATGGAGTTCAGTCCTCGAAGCATTCCGTTGTGTGCGCATGCCATTTCGCGGGCAATCCAGATGTGCACCGGGAGTTTGCTCACTTCTTCGCCTCGTCCTGGTGTGGGGATGAGATGGAAAGGGGAGTCTACCCATGGAGCATCTGGAGCGGCCATTGTCGTCCCTGACTGTTATTCAAGTTATTCTCGTAGCTTAAGAGCTTAAGATCCCAGCGGAAAAATCTGACCATGTGGATGATACAATTTGGGAATCTCCTTAGCCTTTAGACAGAAGCCTTCATCTTCAACCTCCCATGGTCCCCTCTTATACTCTCCTCTCCAAAGCCAAGTTAGGACTAGGAATCACCGAGTGCTGGAGATTGTTACTCAGCGTCTCCATTCGTGGAAGTCTTCAGCCACCACCACCTCATGTAAGCAAAGAGCGTTTTCTGAAAGCGGCCGACCCCTTAAAAAAAGGCGTTCGCCTAAGCTAAATCTGATTGAAATACTTCATTTTTGATTGGTTACTGCTATCTTATAGAAAAACATGTAGGGCTCTCCTGAAGTAATGCGCAGAAAATCGCTTTGAAATAGTCTGGGTTCTCGGGTTCGGGCTTGTGCAGGAGTGCGAGACCCCTGTCAATCCTTAGTCTTATGGCCTTCTACACCTTCTCCTTCGGTCAAAACGAAATTTGCGAGAATACTTGGTCATTTTACATGTTGTTCCATCTTGACTCGGAAATTGAATTCTGCCAAAAGATAAGCAAGCAGGTTTTGCCATGTCCATATCAGCGAGCAGCTTCATATGTCTTCTCATCTGTGCAAAACTGTGCGCCACGTGAGAGGGTCTCTCTGAAGTACAAGAGGAAAAAAGCGAGAATATTATTCGAGATGGAATCGGGAAGATTCTCGGCAGCGCACAATTGTGACTACGATCTTCTGGAACTATCAACGAAGGAGATTAAGCGGCACTTCAGGACTAGCGAGGGGACCTGTCAACAGCGGTTAAGAAGCCTCAAAAGTTTCAGATCCTGAAAGCCTTCGTCTTTACCAAGAACTGACGCCCCCAAACGGCGATGACCCCATGGATGACCTTGCTCAAATTGCCGGTGACGATGAGGACTTTGATATGCAAGAACCTTTCGCAATCCAGAGAAACGCTCAACTTCTTGGTTTGTAACAGATAATTTGATGAAGAAACCGAGAAAGATTCAGGCAGAGCATTCCTGACAGCCAGCGAAGCAATCGCAAAGCAGATCCCTAAAGTGCTACGTACGCCAGATAACCTGCCGTGGCTTCCTCAAATTCCAAGTAAGCCTAGGGGCTACTTTAAGAAAGCGGACTTTATGTATCCTCTACCAGATGTCAACTTCCAACCACAGCTGAATTATTTCATGCGATAATTGACGAAAGCATGCCGTGAGTTCCTACTCGTGGAGTGGAATTTCTGGAGTTGTTACATTCAGCTCATTTAACTGCAATGGATGCTTAACGAGGTTGCAGAGATCATGTGTTTGATCTATATAGATCCTAAGAAGCCATTTGAAAGAATCGGAATAGGATACGAGAGGTGGGGAGAGCGGCGTACAGCGGAGCAGCCATCGACAATCACGAGAAGCGGGCAGCATAGAGAGAACGACAGCGAGAGCGATCCTTCAGAATGAGAGGCATTCGGATGAATAATGGTTTTGAACAATGTCCTACAAAGCATGTGATAGTCAATTGGACTCTTTCAGAATGGTACGGGTGAGTCTTCTCCTACGTTGTACACGAAAACTCCTATTCTGCAAGACGAAGCGAGCTCCAAATCCGTCACCTCACCAGCATCCTTGCAAAATCAGTCGAAGATGCCTTTCAAAATATAGGCTGAGGTGCTAGAATCCGATTTAAATCTGCGCGAGTATTGGATAATTCTTCTCTTTGGAGCTCTTCTTCGACACTGCCATGGGTATAATATCGACTCGCGATCCGACAGCTTCGCCAGGCAGATACTTCCAACTTCAGTCCGGAGCGATAACCAGTACTAGGATAATATACCAGTCGATACCAAAGGGGCTGTTTGAAAGTCTACACCTTTCCAAGCTAAGCCACTGCTACAGCCTCCCACTATGCAGGTTGGCGTTTTTGCGTTACACAAGGAGGGGGAGCAGCAACGCCTCAAAAACCGGCGAGGCCCCCCGATATCACGAATAGTCCAGAAATCACCCATCGTCTCCTCACTTCCATCAAGTAATCGCCTCTTCATCATGTCGTTCGGAATCGGAGTCGGTGATATCCTCAAGGTCAGCGAACTCGCCCTCGCCCTCTGGAAAGCCTGTTCAGAGGCGCCAAAAGAATTCTCCGACCTTAGCCACCAGCTCAACAGCCTTCAGAAAGTCCTCAAATCTCTCGTTGACGATGTCGAGAACCCTCTTTCCCTCCTCAATCGTCGTGGAAGTGACCGCGTCGAAGAATTCAAGCAAGTTATCAAAAACATCGAATTGGTACTTTTGGATGTTGAGAGCATTGTGATGAAATACCAACCTCTAGACAGCGGTTGGAAGACAGTGAGTGCTGGTAGAAAGAAGAGAGGTAAGGGCAAGGTTTTGGACTGTCTTGGATTCTCGACGCATGACTTGGGGCCTTTGAGGGAGAAATTGGTATTGCATCTTACGGTCATAACCACGTTCTACGATGCCTTGCATTCGAGCTCCTTGGCGAGGATTGAAAGCCATGTTGAGGATATCAGGAATGCGATCCGGGTGGATGAGAAGGGCACCGCTATAATCGAGTTGGAGCAAAAGCTCCGAGACCAGAAGGATATGTCTGAAAGTGCGGTCACACAAGTTGTCGGTTGGATAGATTGCAATGGCAGTTGCATTGGCGGTTGGGTACTCAACACATGCAAAAAATGCGGCAGCGGCCAGGAACCAAAGTAAGAGCCTGCCAGTCTATATCACTCAACCAGGCAGAACTTTTGCTGACTGTTCCTGCCCTTCCAAGCTCACAACCATGTGATGAATGTCGGGGCAGCGGGACTGTGTGCAGTCCTTGCACACAATGCGGGCCATATCGAACCTTGGAGCTAAGTTCGAATGTTGAATGAACTCTGCAAGAGAAGTTGGCTGCCTACACAATACCTACACAGGAGGATTGTTCGGGTGTTTCATAATATCATTCTGTTCTCATTATTCATTAGGCCATGTTTTCTAACTCCCGACACCAAACTCCGTCCCATATTCCACATATCTCATGCATCGAAACATTAAACCTCCTCTCTACTCTCCGCCATACTCGAACCATCACTCCTCGGTCCAAAAGCACTAATTCGAAACCTACTGATCCTCACCGAACTTATCCTCCAATCTCTTTGCGTCCCACCATGCCAGCTCCAGCTCCTCCAACTCCTGGCCGCACTACCTGTCTCATTACTCGCAGCATCCGCATCACTACCCTCTTCGTAGCTCCCCGCCTGACCCACTTGACTACTGTTCTCCAAAAAGATAGGTACTTCCCTGACCTCAGTCATACTCTGTACACGCTCGCGAGGCTCGGTTGGTCTGCCACGGTCCGCTTGATCGGGCACAGTACCCATACTCATAACTCTGTCCTCAGCCCGACTCCCAGTCGCACTTCGCGGGTTACTGGAATCGTAAGTAACTTCGCTGAGATGCCTGATGCGCTTGACTTTCTCCATCCAAGGATCACGATCATGGTCGATAGATGTCCGCGTCTCATCATCAGCCAAAGTTACTAGCGCTCGACGGGGAGTCCTCGGCATTTGGCTCTCTCTTGTCGGGAGATCCAGTCTCTCCTCGGGCTCGTTATTGGTCTCTCTCCATCCCTTCCTCTCGTTCTCATCGAGGACGGCTTCTTCTCGAGCTGCGTTCCCGCTCACAAAATCGCTGCCTTCGCTTAACTGCTTGCTGGACTTTCCGAAGGTTCCGAATGTCTTGAAAGTCAGTCGACTGCCAAGCCAGGTCCGCTGGTTTTCGCTTTGCACGCTGTCGATCAAGTCGCGGTCTACGCTCGGTGGCTCTGGCGAGATGTTGCCGACCACAAATCCCACTCCAGAATTCGAGCCAAAGTATCGAGGAACGTGGTGGTTAAGAATCGGCTTTATTGATGGAAGACAGACGCAGATCGTCGCCACTGTTAGTTCAGCTTCGGACCAGGCAAGAAGATGTATCGTGTCCCCTATAATTGGCATGAGTTAGCGATTAGGTACAGATCGCTTGACGGGTGTCTCATGGCGTTGACATACAGGAGTGATCGAGTGTATCGCGGTAGTAAATGACAGGTTTGACGCGGATGATACTGATAACGCAAGCACTGATACTGTCAGCTACTGTCGGGTGAAAATATCCGTAGGACCGCATACATGATTCCCACACTGAACATGAATATCAAACTTATCTTTTTGCCCTTTCCAACGTTCAATTTGCTTAAACATGGAATGGGCAGAAGAAGGATCGCGAGATCTTCGACAATCGAAAAAATGGCACCTGGGAATATGATCGTCTCCAGGTTTATGCAGTGACCTTGCAGAAGGGGGTTCCACAGCATAGCGACAGGCTTACACTGGAAGAGAATTGGAAAGAAGAATCCGACACCGTGAAGTAGTGTGAAGACTATTAGAAACCATGTAACCACCTGCATCCATTGGACTGGAAAGACGCGGAGGTAGAAGAGCAGGATGGAGACCTTAAGTAAGACTTGCACGATTATATAGAAGAGCTTCATGACGTAAAAAACCTGCAGAAAGATCGTATTAGGACAGACAAGCCTCGAGCGAAATCAGGGACGTACCTTAGCGATCTGGACAAGGTTTGCAGGACCATCAACGTCCCAGGCATGAAGGCCCAAGCCAATTGTCGAATCTTGATTTGCATTAGCCAGAAAGCATCATGCTCAGTAAATTGTGCTCACCCCAGATCATAACCACTGCTATCATAACCATAAATAAAGCAGCAACAGCCGTATTCCAATCATCCCACCAGAACCTCTTCACGATCATGGTTCGGGAGTAGCATCGAAGCAGAACAAATACTGCTGCAAGGAGAGCCATGATGATCGTAAGATTTCGAATATAAGCTGATTTTGAAGGTGTCTGAAAGTCCTTGCAGAGATTCCTTTGAACTGGCCATGCAGCTAATACCTGTTAGTTCCAGCCGTAGATAAAGTGCTTCTAACTTACTCTTTACATCTGCGACACTGCAGGTAGTTTGTATACATGCTGAAATGGTCTGCATAGAAGGTATATCCGGACACAAAGCGGCGCTCACTTCCACAAGAGAGCTATTGCTATTACCCAGGCTGTCAACAACAGGAACCGAACATTGAGCCTGCAAGATAGTTAGAAAGACATAGGTGTAGAAACGTGGCTCTTACTGCACAGTCCGGATATGTTGCCAGGTACTCTCCGAGAGGCGTTGATTGCTGTGCAACGGCCGATGCACATATTTGCAGGGCTGCAAACAATGTCAAGGTTCTCATGATGCAGGCATTTCACGGGCCATGGGAAAGGAGAAAGCATGGGAAACATCGGAGAAGGTACCTCAATATGAATGGAAGCCCTGGAGATTGCGACAAGTACGAGCCGTGTGCATGGACTTGATAGACTGGGTGGCTGGATGTGATAGCCTAGTCCAACGACTTATGGTAAGGAAGCAAAAGCTAGATCAACGTCAAGTTGTCAACAGCTCCAAACACTACTGCAACGCCAACATAACCAAACCACACTTCATTAGTCTAATGTTGAGGTGTTCGCAGCAAAGTAGTGGGATGAATCGATGAGGAGCCAATCGACCATCGGGTGCTTCAGTGGCTTGCATTATCGCCACAAGTTAAGTTGCACAAGCTGCTTCAATCTGCAGAGCCTTTCCTGCACATGCCAGGTACGCGGAGGCAGTGCTCATAGGAGACGCCTCCGAACTCCGGGGAGTGCAGAATTTTGTGCGGCTGGTGGAGAGTACCGGTCCTTGCCGAACATGGTTGACTGATCTACATGATCGGTCTCCAGGGCAGTAACAAATTACTTTGGAAAGGGCGGTAGAAGACTAAGGGTAGGTGATCGCAACGACAACATAGCTTGCACCTCTATGAATTCAATAATAATGAAAGTAACTGCCGTTTCTCTGCCACCTGCGCTTTGACATCTCGTCGCCTGTCTTTCTCGAAATGGAAGAAGGCCGCGAATGGAAAGCTAGAACTTGTGGCAGCCCCGCCATCACACGCCAGCAACCTGTTCGACACTTTGAGAACACTGCATGTCCGTGCGGAAAGACGACTTGACAACGGGTCAAACGGGTGAGTTCTGGCCTGAGCTAGAGCTGGTTGGCGCCGGTCCGTTGATGTTAGTGTTGCCGGGCCATACCACAACCAGATCTGGTTTCCAGATCTCAAACCTTTTGGAGAGCCCATGGCTCAAAGATCTATGAATCGAAATGTCTCAGTGGCGGTTTTGTCCCCGTAGCGACCCAATAGGACTTTACGACTCAGGTACTTAATGTCAGTGGGCTGCAACAAAAGAGTTAGGGGGGTTATCCGTGAGCCTCCTCAAGTTTACGTACTTCTAGCCACAACGGCGACTGATGGATTTGCACCTGAAAGACAAGTAGGAGATCGCCCAAACAGTTGGCCTGTGTGTAGATTGCCATCTAGCAACTCTCAACTTATTTGGCATGCAGCGATTGATATCTTGGCTGTCTGGGTAGTTGAAAAAGGGCATTTCCGAAGGCCGGGATTTGCCAGTTCGGATGATCAACCGATTGATCTAAGATCACCACAGGGTTCAACTCCACTTCTGCAACGATCAAGTCTGCTAAGATAATCCCGTCTGGCAGGCTAAGTACACAGCAAAACCGGTTGCGTGTGAGTCAGTGTGCGAATCAACGACCATGGTAACAGTCACGAGAGGTTGAACTGAGCAAGCCCAACATGGATCTCAATCCTTTACCCCTGACTTCTTTCTTTTTCCGCACGTGCGGGGAACCCCCCGCTGCGGGTAGATTGGAGAATTTTGGGATCCAATGTTGGTCCGTGGACCTGATTAGGAATTTTTGAAGACCTCCCGCTTGCCGTTTGCCGTCTTCCTGTCCGGTCAAAGCTCATAGGGTGGGCGATCGCACATTCTGGTGGATAGCCTTGGACCTGGCGGTGCTATCGTGCCACTTGGTCAGCTCAACACGCTAGTGGATCAGTCCGAATCGTTATGCCTCAGAACATCGTGAACCTCTAGCTCCCCTTGTGGTCTGTACCAAAGAATTGAACGAAAGTTGTCTAAACTCAAGCTGGGGTCGGGGACCGTAGTAATAACCTGACCATAACGATGCACCTGGGGTAGTGGCTTGAATGGGCTAGGACATTGCCTTCAAAAACTTGGGTGGGTTTCGAAAGCTGCGAACTGGCCGCCAGACTGGTCGAGGTCTGGAAATAAGAAAAATGCATCGACGACAAGCCTGCAAGTGATCTCGGCATGACAGCCATTGCAAAAAGATCATCAGGATTGTTAACGATTGAGGCAGGAATAGTAACGAACAAACGTCAGCTACGCCCAAGCTTTACTACTGAGCACACACCAAATATTTTGGGCCTGCGAGATAGCAGAAAGAGAAAGTTGGTTCGAGGTGCACCAAACCAGAGACTTTGAGATACGGCTGCTGAGTGTGCTCGACAACGAGTGACATGTCTGTTTAGGATGTGCCGGAGCAATTCGGAAGTCATGTTTGTTGACATGGTATGAAAGTCGTCCTACCAGTTCTGGACGTGATTTTGAAAGAGGTCTCGCGGTAAGGGGGAACAGGTTCGGCGAGACATACGAGTATCTAGAGAATAGAATGAGTTTGATGCTCGAGCTCCCCAACTCTGACTCGCACATGATTCAATGAACCTGCATTAAAAACGGAGAAGAGAGATGCCATGACTGATTTGCAGGACTCCATCTTAATCTGCTTGAGAGTGAGGTTCCATGGGCATGTAGCGAACTATTGGGTTGGTTATTAATGATAATGTTCGTCCAGTACGAATAGGAAATCTGGAAGCTAGCTGGTGTTTCGAGACAGTGACAGTGGCAGGAGAGACAGTGAGTGACTCTGGCTCTGGCAGTCTGGGGCGCGGCAGTCGCTAAGGATAGGCGAGCCCGCCATTACTGTACCCCGGCCTCTTACAGTACCCCCTGATATGCTGACTAACAACCACTCAACGCGTCATTTCAAGCGCGTCTCCAAATCCAAATAGAGGCGGCGACCAAAAAGGCGACTGCATTGGTACTCTCTGCGGAATTTTTGGAGTTGCAATCACAGGAATGGGGAAACAGCCCGCGTCAACCCCTATGCCGTCGCAAGGGAAACAGACTGCAATATCAAGCTTCTTCACCCGTAAGCCACCGACAAGCTCTCTACCCGCTGCCAGCTCGCAAACAAAACCTCCACAAGAACCTTCGAAAGTACCAAACCTCTACAATGCCGACTCAGATGACGACGAGGATTTGTTCGTGGCACCAAGAAGGAGTTCGGCAAAGAGACCTTTGGCAGATGTTTCTGATGAGGCGAATGGGAGGAACAGCACAATAGAGCTACAAGCGAAGAGGAAGAAGCCGGAGGATAACAGTGAAAGCAGCAGCGCATTATTTCTGGCAAAACCTCCAGTAAAACCGAATACAGTGTCAGCGAAGCCTATCATATCTCCACGGACGGAGAAATTTGTGTATACAGGATCTAGCCAAATTGCCTCCAGCGACCAGGCTGCAATTCCGGAAGAGGAGCCTACTGCTGCCGAGAAGGCACGAAAGGAGGAGATACACAGACAGTGGGTTAAGCGAATTGGGGGCATACAGATTGGGAGAAGATATGATGATGCTACTCCAGCCCCAGCTGATGGCGATGGTGATGAGGGAGAGGAGGAAGAAGAAGTCCCCGCTCCAAAAGCGAAGAAGAAAGGGGCAAAGACCGGTAAACTTACTCCTCTGGAGTTGCAAGTCCTGGATATCAAGCGCAAACATATGGACACACTGTTGATAGTTGAGGTCGGCTACAAATTCAAATTTTTCGGAGAAGATGCAAGAGTTGCTGCCAAAGAACTGAGCATTGTTTGTATTCCAGGGAAGTTTAGATATGATGAGCGTAAGTACTTCGGGGCTAAAAGCAATTCTGTGCTAATTATCTGCAGATCCATCTGAGGCACACTACGATCGTTTTGCTTCTGCCAGTATACCTGTGCATAGATTGCCTGTGCATGCGAAACGTTTGGTGACTGCTGGATTGAAGGTTGGCGTGGTAAGACAGATTGAGACCGCAGCCTTGAAGAAAGCGGGCGACAACAGGAACGCACCTTTTACACGCAAGCTCACCAATGTATATACCAAGGGTACATATGTGGATGACATCGACTCTCTGGATCAACCAGCCGAAGGGGCTCCTTCGACCGGCTACCTTCTCTGCATCACTGAGTCCAAAGTTAAAGGCTGGGGGACAGATGAAAAGGTTGAAGTTGGCATACTTGCTGTTCAGCCGTCAACAGGAGATATCATCTACGATACTTTCGAAGATGGTTTCATGCGGAGCGAACTTGAGACCAGACTTCTTCATCTTGCGCCTTGCGAGTTCTTGATCGTTGGTGATCTTACAAAAGCTACAGATAAGCTCGTCAAGCATCTGTCTGGAAGCAGTACAAATGCTTTCGGGGACAGAATTCGTGTGGAACGAGTGCCGAAAGGCAAAACCATGGCTGCGGAATCTCACTCTCATGTTACTCAATTCTATGCCGACAAGCTCAAGGCCCAGGAAAATGAGACAGAGAAACAACGAGAACAGAGCTTGCTGGACAAAGTCCTTAAGCTTCCAGAACAGGTCACTGTCTGTTTGTCGGCAATGATAAGTCACTTGACGGAGTATGGACTCGAACACGTTTTTGATCTTACGAAGTACTTCCAGTCATTCAGTACTCGATCACACATGATTCTGAACGGCAACACATTGACAAGCCTGGAAGTCTATCAAAACCAGACGGATCACACTGAGAAAGGAAGCTTATTCTGGACCTTGGATAAGACGCAAACGCGCTTCGGCCAGCGTCTTCTCCGAAAATGGGTCGGGCGCCCTCTCCTAGACAAGACACAGCTCGAAGCTCGTGTATCGGCGGTGGAAGAGCTCAACGACGGCCACCAAACCCCCAAAGTCGACAAACTCCATGCTCTTCTGCGAAATATCAGGGTTGACCTTGAGAGAAGTCTGATCAGGATCTATTATGGAAAATGTACCCGTCCAGAACTGCTCACGGCACTCCAAACGCTCCAGCGAATCTCCAATGAATATTCCTACGTACGAAGTGCAGCAGATGCACCTTTCAAATCTGATCTTATCACCGCCGCTATTGCAAGTCTCCCCAGCATCTCTGAGACTATCATCTCCTTCCTTGATCAGATCAGTGCCGAGGCAGCACGCCAAGACGACAAGTACGCCTTCTTCCATGAAGACCATGAAACGGATGCCATTGCAGACCACAAGCTAGGCATCGCAGCCGTCGAACAAGAACTCGATGCCCACCGTGAGGTCGCAACAGAGACTCTTCGGCAGCATAAGAAAGTCTCCTACACAACCGTAGCAGGAATAGAATACCTGATCGAAGTAGCTAATCAAGATCTAAAGCGAGTCCCAGCATCCTGGAGCAAGATATCTGGCACGAAGAAAGCCTCTCGCTTCCATACCCCAGAGGTGATCCGCCTTATACGGGAAAGAGACCAGCATAAAGAATCTCTTTCCGCAGCATGCGACATAGCATTCCAAGCTCTCCTATCTTCAATAGCAGCTCACTACGGTCCACTACGCGATGCTATCTCAGCACTTAGCACACTAGACTGTCTCTTGTCTCTTGCTACCGTAGCTGCGTTTCCAGGCTACACAAAGCCGACGTTCTTACCTTCTTCGCCCGGTTCCCCAACAGTGATAAACATCGAGGGCGGTCGGCACCCGATGGTCGAACAACTCCTCCCATCATCATACATCCCGAACAGCACATCTCTCTCGAACGGCCGCTCTGAACCCACGTCGCCATCCACCCGTGCCCTCCTAATGTACGTACCAAACCACACCCCTCCTTCAATCCAACTCCCCCCATCACCAAACTAACCCTCCCCTGCCCCACAGAACCGGACCCAACATGGGCGGCAAATCCTCCTACGTCCGCCAAGTCGCCCTCATCTCCCTCCTCTCCCAAATCGGTTCCTTCGTCCCCGCAGACTCCTGCTCCCTCACCCTCCTCGACGGAATCTACACCCGCATGGGCGCCTACGATTCAATAATGACCTCGCAATCCACGTTCCAAGTCGAGCTATCCGAGACCTCGTCCATCTTAAAATCAGCTACAAGTCGTAGTCTGGTTATTCTGGATGAGTTGGGGAGAGGGACGAGCACGCATGATGGTGTGGCTATTGCGGGGGCGGTGTTGGATTGGGTGGTTAGGGAGACTAAGTGCCTGTGTTTGTTTATTACGCATTATCAGAGTTTGGCGAGTGTTGCGAGGGGATTTGAGGGTGGTGAGTTGCGGAATGTGCATATGAAGTTTAGTGCGGTGGAGAAGGAGGCTGAGGGGGCTGGTGAGGAAGAGATTACGTTTTTGTACGAGGTCGGTGACGGTGTGGCTCATCGTTCGTACGGATTGAATGTTGCGAGGCTGGCGAATGTACCACAGGCGGTGTTGGACAAAGCTGCATTGAAATCACATGAACTAGAGATGGAGGTCAAGCAGAAGAAAATGGTCAGTCTGGCAAGATTGATGAATGATGTACTAGCTATAAAAGAGGGCTCCGACCTGCAGGAGCTAGTTGTGTGTATGGAAGAGCTATAGTGTATGATACAGGCTGGGAAGAAAGTAGATATAATAGCACGTCATGATACCCCGTCCTCATCCCTCATAATTTCGTAAAGCTAAAGTAAGCAATGAAGAAGCTGTGAAAACATAAGGGAGAATGCAAGCAATAAGAAAATCCGGAACGCCCTCGAGACCAAACTCCTAGGTATGTCGAAATTCGTGTCAGAGTCGTGCTGGAAGTTGAATATATTAGATGCCAAAGTTGTTGCCACTGGTGGTGGTGCTATCATGGCGTGGGCCCATGCTGTGGCTTTGTTGTTGACTCATATTAGCCATAGGGTTGGGTTGTCTGTTGAAGTCGGTAATAAAGTTGGAGCCAAAGCCGCTCGGGGACCTGGCATCGCCAAAGCCTGTGTAGCCGAAAGGACCTCCACCATAGCCGTAGGTTCTGGCATAGTTCTGATGGAATAGAGGGTTGGAAACCCCCTCGTGGTATGCATGTGGTGGGTAAACTTGCGAATCGGAAAGAGCACGTCGGTTTGGATGGTAGGTCAGCATCTCAGCTTGACCGTTCTCCTTGCCACTGGCGCGATACATTGTTGGTCTGGGGACTGGGGTAGGTGACGCAAGGGTATGGTTCGAGTTCATCGAATTGTTCGGAAATGTAGGTAAACCATGAGAACCGAAGAGCTCGAATCTGTGATTGGGTTTGGTTAGCATTAGAGATAGTCTTGGACAGAGTGGTAACTTTGTACCGATGATCTTCCAGAGGTGTTTCAGTTCGGCCTGGGCTGACTTCTGGTATGTCTTGGAAAATGGTAAAGCCACGCTTCTTTGTCATATCCCCAACAGTCAATCTGAACTCTTCGTCCTCCTCTGCAGTCGGGACATATCTTCTCTCAATATTTGCCAGAGGATTGAGCAGGGGTGCAGCTGGAAACAAGCCCACAGCACGAGTTGACATAGATGCAGCCTGTCTCTTCTGGGGACTGGGAGCAGCTACAACGCCTTTCTTGGCTCGAGAAGCTCTCATGCGAGGAGCATTTGTACTGACATTGGAGAGAGCTTTATTAGTTTGTCGAACTTTCCTCTTCTTTGGTGAGGGAACAGATCGAGCCTGGTATTCATTAGGTCAGCTGGGAGTGCATCTGACCTCATTTCGAGGAAATGGACTGTAAAGGCTCGACTAAAGCATACCGGACTGCTCTCAGCAGAAAGAGGACCAAAGATATCTCTAGAACCTCTAAAGTCACCATTGGCATGGAAGCTAACCTCTGCAGGCTCCGATGCTAGAGATGTAGCAATCATGTCCTCGAGAACGGTATGATCCTTGCGTTGGTTCCGCATTCTCTTCATCTCTGGAGTTGCAGAATCAAATAGATCCATTCCAGGCCAGATGACACCCTTAAGCTTGGCACTGTCAGTGAGCTTCTCGCCTGGCTTCTGGTTTTGTGTGTAGTCGGGGTCTCCGAGATCAAGCTTGACTGGAGTTGTAAGACTGTTAAGGTTGTTAGCAGCGGTTATCAAATGTTGAACTTCAACGTACCTAGGGTCAACCTTGCTGCTGGCTGGTGTCTCCAGGCGAGTGAAATTTGGAACCCGTCGTCTTGCCGTAGGTGTAGTGTACATGGTGTGTGGCTCCCAGTCATCATCCATTGCTGATGTTCTTGTACGATCTTCACTCGGCCAGTCTTGCATTCGAGGGACAGGAGCACGAAAGACGGGAGTATGGGCCAAAACTTCTTTGACAGATGCTGATTTGGATTTTTTCTCCTTCTTGGTCTGGGGGCCGATTTCAGTAGAGCTCAAATATACGTTACGGTTGGAGTTGATGAGAGGAAGTAGTGAACGTTGCGGCAAGAGAATGATGTAGAGTGAATATTGTTCACAGGGTTTGGATAAACTTACAGCAGTGAAATTATCCGAATGATCAGAGCCTCTCACTTTCTTCATCTTCTTATTGTCCTTGAGAGCAAGCCTTTCAGCCAGCAGGGCATCGAGGTTGTTTTGATTGTACCAGAAGGCGAAGTCATTGAGCTTGTCTCTACTCTCTGGCTCAGTCTGAGCACGAATCTCAAGCTTGAATCGATGGGAAAGGTGTGCCTTCGAGGAAATGTGGGTCAGGAGATGGGAGACATCGGAGAATTTAGGGTCCTTGGGACAAAGTATGCACTGCAAGTCGATATCGGTTTCTTGCTTAGTTTTCGGCATCTTTAAGGTGCTGTAAGTGACAATCGGTTAGCCATTGATCTTAGCGGGTGGAAGGTAAGATGGAGAATTGTGATTGAGCTGGTCGAGGCTCCCAACTGCGCACACAAGTTGTGCTGACAACTCAATGGCGTTCAATGAGAAAGTGGATGAAATGCAGTAATTAATTGGCAATGGACCGACCTTATTATAAATGCAGGGCATGTGGCATTGATCAATTGACAAGTGCTGCTCGGTGCTTGCCAACGTAGCGGTGGTCACTGAGTGTACTGTTGAAGTGCCTGGCAAAGTGTAGTTGGGCAACTCGCAGTGTGGTGGAATGAGCTATCGAAAATGACTGCTTGTGTTGAATCAAACACGATTGGGATCAGTGCAGTGGAGTGCGGTGCAGTGCAGGAGGAAGGATTGCCTGAGGAGAGAGGAGGTTAGTGAAGAAGGAGGATGGAGAGAAAGGAAGAAGAGGAGAAGGAGAGGGGGAGGTTTTGTAGATGGAGAGAGGAAAGAAGCGAGGCAGCCTTGTGCAAGCGTTGAAGGAGAGTTTCCTATTTGGGAAGGGACGAGGACGAGGTCGGAAACTTGAAGAGGAATGTAAAGGATACGATAGCTACGAAGCCGGGTAGGAGGAACCTCCGGTAGAGAACAGTCGGGGAAGCAGTACCTCCAGTCTGGTCTTCCGAGTCTCAAAGGGTTAGCGAAGTAACCGAATCAGACTGAATTATTCGAAAGAAGTCCGAGTTCGCCTTTCAGTTGCAGGTGAATTGGGACGAGTCCCAAGCGAGCATCTCAAATTCTTGGCCACGTGGAGCAGTTGAAGATTGGGGAATGTCTTGATTGAGCACCTGGATTTTACGCGGTCCCAGTGCTTGCGCCAGATGCAACATGTATGTGCTCCTGATGCTCCAAATGAGGTTTCTTCATGTCCGTGTGCTCTGTCGAGAGTTGCAAATGACTTCCAGAAAAATAGAGGATTTAAACTCGCATATGCTGTGCCATAGACAAGTCTTGCGGTATAACAAGAAGACATTGAAGTTCCGTCTTGCAAGTCCGGCCAAGTGTGCTAGCTATAAATCGTATGACTTGCAAACAAACAAAATATCCAAAGAGATAACATGGAAGAGATGGCAAACCTTCTCAAAACCAAGTCGAAGTTGTGCTTCACCATGAACTTTGCTCACTTGACAGTATTAGACATACTATAACCAGTTACGACTTCCTGTAACTTTCCATCTCTGTGGTGATCCTTCTCCAGGCAGCAAGAAAAGTGTACTTGGCAAAATAGACAGTCTCTTGTAGTGCTCGTGCTCCAAGAAGATGGCATCGTCCTTTTCTTCAAGAATCTAAACCAAAAGTTATTGAAATATTGGCAGTACAGTAACGTGTCTGCATGTCACAAAAAGTTTTGACAGTAAGACTATACTTTGGTAGCCTCATGGAAATTTCAATCTGATGGCGTTGCCATCGGAAGAAGGCGCCTGAAGCAAGATTTTCATCCTCTTGTCTGTAGGTAGACAAACAGTGCCTTGACAACTCACCTGTGTCAAGGACTTCGATAAGAAAGCCGCTCGAATCTGTTCCAAATGGGCCACAGCTAACTAATGCATTCTCGAAAAAATATGGCGCACAAGTTGAGAATGCATGAAACCAATATTTGTATCCACCTCGTTGTAGAAGTAAATGCCAAATCTCATCAACAGCAATTTGGGGGCTGGATGGTACAAGTCGCGCTAAGAGATAGGGCTTACACTTCAGCTCATAGTACGACTGTATCAAGGCTTTTTGAGCGCTCAACATACAGAGAAGGATGATGAGTGCTCTCATTAGCCATGAAAAGTTCCTCTTCTCCTGCCTTGTATCCCAAGACCACTTATTACAGGTGCGAGGTTATTAGATGGCAGGAGGTGGTTGGCTTGAACAAAAGAGGTAAGAGAGGTCATGGAGGCAAGTTTTCGTAACTTGCAAGTCATAAGTCATGGCTCATTATCATATCCAGCACCCAGCTCTCGCTCGATGACTTTCCTTGGCATACAGCTACGCTTGTCAGTAGACGCCGATGGGAAATGGATGAAGTACGTACTACACAGGATCGACCTCCTCCAGCCCTGGATATCCCAATAAACTCAAGCCAGCGATGCCGAAGACTGTATGGAAGACATCTACCACATCGCCCGGCCTGTCTGCAATACCACCCATTTCGGGATCCTTCTGATTCAGCACTTCAAGTATTAAAGGGGAATAAGTGACATACCTGGCACCTCAATATGAACCCCTTCAGCGCCTCTCCATCAGCCCAATGTAGTCTCCCAATCATAGCCAAACTACTCCCCACCCACCAACTATAACAAACATCCTCCAACTTCTCTGCTCTCCCATTCAAGCCCCCTTGCTCCACCTGTCTTTCACTCAACCACCGTCCCAACTTATCCTTATCCACGACATCAATCCTCCTAGCAATACTCAACGCTGCAAGACACGCAAATATCTGTCCAGAATGACTCTCCGCACCAGGCGAAACCCCATATCCACCATCGAAGTTCGCGCACGAGACAATATACGTGACAGCAAGCGGGACGTCGACTAGTGAAAGGAGTTTGAGGAGGGAGAGAGCGATCAGGGAAGAGCAGATGAAGCGTGTATCTTCTTCGCCCCATTCGTCACCGGTAAAAGTTCCTGTTTCTTTGTTCTGGAGGGCTGCGATCCCTATGTCCCTATCAGCACAGCACTTCACAAACAAGAGAAGAACAATCCGCACAAAATCCCACCGCCCTCTTTCCCCCAACACCACCGACCTTCACGCCTCTTTCCTCGAGCTCATCCCACGCCCCAACCATAGCCAATATCTGCACCGCGCTGCACGTATATAATATATGCGCATCATGTCCCGGCGCAGCACCAAAGCCTCCACTCTCCGTCTGACAGCTCAGCACGAAATCGATTGTTTCTTTCCTGGGTAGTGCTTCGGGATGGTTGAGGAGATGCAGAGCTGTGAGACCCCAGTAGATGCCATTGAGGCGGAGGTGTTCTGTGAGGTGGTATTCGAGCTCGTCTTTGCGCGTATCGAGAGATTGGATGTATTTTACGTGAGCGGCAATGGAGAGCTGGATTTCGGTTGGCAGAGAGGCTGAGGTTGAAGCTCGTCCTGGACCAGATACGAGGGACATCTTAGTGGTATTTATCAATTGTTCTTGGTGCTGTTGAGAAGATGGGAGAGGGAAGGAAGTGTAGAAATCGGCTGCCTCGAGAACCCCACCAGTTCATGAACCAATCGGAGGTTGTGTCAGCCTTGTCCCTCACCATGAAAGGCTTGACCAGCCTACACTCTTTGATTTGAATCGCAAGACTAAGTTTGGGTGCATCAATCTGATCCCGAGTGACAGGATACAAAATAGAAAACGTTCATTTGAAATCAACTTTGCATATTCATGAACTTAACAATTCTGTGGGAATCTGGGATCTTTTCTGCCTGTGCACTTGATAGGAGATATCCTTTCTAAATACCACATTCTTGTCTCACAATCATAGTGTTCGTATTAACATTTTCCACGTATGAAGGGTGCTATGATATTTCCAGCAAGTACTCCGTCTGTCCTCAGCCATGAATCCCAGTCACTCCAATCGGCTAGGGTCGTAACCAATCACGCAGACGTCTCACCGCATCCTGGCCACAAGGCTGCTTGTCCACTTCTGACCTACGCAGAAGTTTCAAATGCATCTTTTAAACTCATCAGAAACTTTCACTACAACTCGCCGTTGTCTCAAGTATATGCCCAACTTTTTCTTTCAACGTCGACTTTCAGCCTTGCCCGTTAGTGCGGACCGGCACATCAAAACCCCCGAGTCGGACTTCGGATTCCTCTGGTTGGTAATCCCCGCAAATCATGACCTGTAAATACCTGGGTTATATCCCAATATTGTTTTGACTCAGATAAGGATACAGATAGGAGCTCGAATTTAATCTTCGTCTACCATTCCAGATCAATTCTCTATAACCATTTGGATTGTCCTTGTTCGGTTCATTCAATCCATACCCCGCATTTCCTTCTTCTCTGTCTTCCTTAACACAAGCACGAAGTCCAGTATGGCAAGCCAACTTCCAACATCCAGCACATCCAGCACATCCTGTTGTACTGGACAACAAACATTCACAACTCTGTCGAAGCTCTGGTTCTCAAATCGCTCTCCTCAGCCTTCCACGCAGCTCGTCAAACATCCCCGTCCAGCGAACAATACTCTACCTAGCATACGGCTCCAACCTCTCCGCCAAAACATTCAAAGGCGCTCGAGGAATCAAACCCCTCTCCGCACTAATTGTCCATGTCCCGTCTCTAGACCTAACCTTCTCCCTCCCAGGGATTCCTTACAACGAGCCCTGCTTCGCGAACACCAGATACCATATCCCTCCATCCTCCTCCACTTCGAAATCCGATTACCACAAAAACCGCTGGACCAAAGGTCTTATTGGCGTCGTCTACGAAGTCACCCCAGAGGACTACAGAACCATAATAGCTACTGAAGGCGGTGGCGCAAGCTATCACGATGTGGTCGTGCCCTGCTATGCTCTCCCAGCTGGCGCGAAGACAGTAGATCCCATACCGAGCGGCGCATCATTTAAAGCACATACATTATTACGGCCGGAGCCTGAAGAGGAGGACCACACAAAGGATGGTGTCGTAAGCCCAGATCCTTCATACGCACAAGCTTCAGCGCGTTATCTAAAGCTCATCACCTCTGGTGGCGAAGAACATGAATTACCAGAAGAATATATGGCATACCTCTACAATATCCGACCAGATACCATCACAACCTTGCGGCAACGGGTAGGACAAGCTATTATCATGACAACATGGCTGCCCATCTTATTGCTGCTCTTCGGTCTCGGCAAGGTGTTTGCTGATGATGAGGGCAAGATACCAGGGTGGCTGGCGAGTGCTATGGGAGTTTTCATGAAGGTACTCTGGGCTTATTATGATCTGGTGCTTAAGAAGACGTGTGGTGATGGCGAGAGGACAATTGGGGAGGATGGCGACGAGGAAGGTGGGGGAAAGAGATGGTGCGAAGAGAAAGTTGGGAGGAAGTGGTGTGAGAAGAGTGTTACGTTGTAATGCGAGAACTCGACTTTCCCACATCAAGTTGAAGTTGGACCATCTGCAAACCTTTCCCTTCCAGTCGTCTCTGGGTTCTCGGACGAAATCCATGCTTGCTGAGTTCTTCTGTCCTTCATGAGTCTAGCGACTCTCCATCTTTCATTTCATTCGGCAAAGCTTGAATGAACCAGATGAGTTACAACACTCCGCGAGAAGACTACACCGCAGGTAAGCTATCGCGTGGAAGTGGCAGCAAGGAGGAAGCAGCTGAGTAATAACTGAGTAATCCTTCCATCGAGTCTGGAAAACTTCTCTGACACCCTCCTAATTCAATTTCTTCTCGAAAATAGATCCGAATTAGCACCTTGATCCCAAATCTCATCAAAAGTACTCCACCAGTTAGTTCCTTCTCTCGGTACCGAGACAGTTCCTAGTTTCGCAGCCAAGTGCACAGTAATCGCACGGGAGATGAACCCTCAATCCACACAGCACGAGTCAAGTGGTTCTTCCCACGTTTTCTTCTCCTTCCCCAGCGGAGCTCCACCGTCCACGAACGGCTTGAACCCAACAAGAAAATTTATCAAAACCCCTAACCTCTCATTTCACGCAAGCTCATTCTTGGCAAAAGCATCCACGCCGGTTTATGCCGCCAAAGGTGGGACTGCCGTGTTGAAAACCCCTGTGCAACATTCTAATCAGATGGAAGCAACCCTGCTCAAGATCCACAAATGATCATATCTCTGCATCTGATAATCTTTGGTGCCTCCGAGTCGCACTTGGCAGCTGTCAAGAGATGGAGAGCTGCGAACACGCAGTGGAGAAAAACTCTTTTGGCACACAATGGTATCCACAGTCGGCTGATCTCGGTTTTCGGACTTATGTCTGCTGAGTTGTGAAAAATATAACCGTGGGTCGTTCCCCTCTAAAGTTTCTTCAGATCATATCTTATCAGATCCTTTCCAGAGGCTCAAGATCTCCTCTCTTCAGTTTTTGTTGTGCTTGGTACGCGGCGTTCGCTGTCCAACGATGAGTGACCTTACAGCTGCCAAAGGACCATCTCACGATGTAGTCGCTACAGAGGTACCGCTCAGCAAGAGTGAAAATACCTCAATTGACGAAAAGCCAGTTGCTGCAGACTCTTCGAGTGAAGAGTCAGCGTTGAAACCTGTACCTCTGTCCTTCAAAATTGCTTCAATTCTTCTTGTCTCCATGATTGGTTTCGGCGGGAACTGGAGTTCTGGGATCACTGGTGCTATGAAGACGAAACTCAAGAAGGTACTTTTCTCCTTACCTGTGCAATAGAGAATTATTCGTTGACAAAGGAACAGGGACTCAAGATCAACAATACGGAATATGCACTTTTGGACGCAAGCGAGGACTTTATGAAAACTGCATTGGTCCTTGCAAGCGGCATCGTGACGGATCGAATTGGAGGTGCTCGTGCGTTCCCCATTTCCCAAACATCTGATTGCTAGATAAATGTTAATATGAAGTACAGAGGCCATCCTGTACGGAAATGTGATCTACACCGTTGGTTCCATCTTCGCAGCTGCAGCGACGACTGTACGCAGCTACCAATTCCTGATATTTGGCCAAGTCGTTCTAGCTCTGGGAGACATCGCTACACAGGTTGCCCAGTACAAGATCTTCTCATCTTGGTTCCCACCGGGACATGGCTTTGCCTCTACCCTCGCGCTGGAACTTGCTATTGGAAAGGTAAGCAGACCATCACCTGCCCAACCCAACATCATACGACAAAAGATTTTCTAGGTACATGTACTGATCAGCATAAACAGATCGGATCTTTCGTCGGGAAGTCTACATCCAACATCATCGCCGAGAATCTCGGTGATTTCTCTTGGGTCTACTGGATCTCCGTTGCCATGAATGTGTTCACCAACGTCATCACCCTCGTATTCTACTTCTTCACCAAGTATTGCGAGAAACGCTTTGCAGGAATGGCGGACCCGGCCACTGGTGAGCTATTGACCGAGAAGAACAAGAAGTTCGAACTGAAGCGCATCGTGGAACTACCATGGATCTTTTGGATGGTGATGTTGTTTAGTCTTGTGGAGACAAGTGGCGCAAGTGTATTCTCAGCAAATGCGACGGAAATGGCGGAGTTGAGGTTTAATGTCGATTCGATTACTGCCGGATGGTACACTAGTGTGCTGCAATATGCTGGTTTGTTTTCTTCCTACTCCCTTGTACAAGCGCAGAGGAGATGTGGACCAGGGGCGTAGCTAACAATTCGAAGGGTTCTTTCTTGTGCCGCTGATTGGAATATTCATCGACTTGTATGGCAACAGACTCACATTGAGTAAGACACCACGTGGTTCTATTGGGCCAAAGTGCAGAGCTAATGTTCTGGTCACACAGTGCTTTTCACTGGCGTTCTCGTCATGGCCGCGATGTGTTTGATACATTGGTCTGTCACGCCTGAAGGAACAGCCGCCGCATTTGGACTCTACGTATGTCTTCCTCTCTCAAATGCTCAAACTTCCCTCCACCCATGCCACGACTCCCTTCCCAAGAAACTTCAACTGATGTAACTCCCTATAGGCCGTAGCATACTGTTTTGGCCCAACCCTAATCATTGATTCGATCCGCACCTCAATCTGGTCGCAATCTGTCTTCGGATCGGCGTACGGCCTCAAAGTGACCATGAACAATGCCCAAAACATTATTATCCGCGTCCTCACCGGCGTCTTGCAAGACTCCTCCCCGGCATCCAACCCTTACAAGAAAGTAACACCCGTCTACCTCTTCCTAGCGATCTGCTCTTTCGTCGTAGCAGTCATACTCATTACTGTGTTTGTGGTCGCGAAGGTCGGCAAGAAGAGTATCTATGTGGACATTGCGAGGCTACAATGGACGAGGAAACAAAGAATTGCGAACGGGGAGGAGATGAATAGGAGGAGGGCAGAAGTGGGCTTTGACACTGTTGAGGACAGAGGAGGTGTGGAAGCCGCTGAGCCGGAGGTGCTTGAGAGTGTGAGCAAGGAGAGGAGGAGGATGAAGTTGATCAGCAGGGGAGCGTGTGGGGTGTTGGCACTCTGGGTATTGGGTGCTTGGGCGGCGTATTTCTGGGGTGTTGCTACGGGTAATAATGATTAGACGCTTTTGAAGAGGATATGAATGAGGTCAAGCTTCGGTCAAGGTGTGAGGAGTATAGACTAGGATGAATAATGAATGGAGTTCGGGATGAGATAAAAGTGCTTAAACAATGCTGCAGTGAGGTACACTGAGACTCATTCAACAAGCTTGAGCTTGAGCCGGAATAGAAAAATGTAACGACATCTACGAAAAATAGAACATTGTATGAAGTACTTACACTTTAGACAAATCCAAGTTTTCATGCAGTCTTTTCAAGACTGCCAAACATCATATTTCGGCTGCATCAAGAATCGATGTTGGAGTAACACCTCTGATCCATCGACTCAGGGGTAAAACTCGCTTGCAGATCTTAGCGTGTTCGGTGTCCGCGGGCTCCGTCATGAATCCCGTAATCGTTCTCACCTCCATCTTCTGATTTACTTACTCTCTTACCGAAATTCAAACCATATCGTAGATTACACGTGCATTTAAACTCAGCAAGAAAGTCTTCTATTTGCCAACGAATGTCAACCGACCAAGGTCCCGGCAGCCAGGTCGTTCAAGTAGCCGGCTCAACTAAACTTGGCGATCTGCTTCTGCCCAAAGCAGTATGTATTGTTAACTTTGAATCGCACAAAGTACATAAGAACTGATGGAACTCATTGCCCAAATAGTGCGAGAACTGTAAAATCCGAAAGGTGCTGAGTTCCTCTCCTTGTGACCGCGATGTGTTTGTGAACCGTCACTGACAGGTTCCACAACCCGCAGATACGGTGTGACAAGTCTTCACCCTGTTCCAGCTGTCAGATAGCGAAGCTACCATGCCGTGTAGCATCGAAAAACACAGACAGCAGACCACGAGCCCCTGCTTCCACCTACCAGCAAGTCCGGTCATATCCCAAGTACTTTCACGTGACTAACTTCTCCTAGTGATAAGCACTTCAGTCTAATCCACGAGAGTCTGCGTGAAATCAAAGAGAGACTAGGAAAGCTTGAATCGAATCAAGTAACTTCCGCTTTAGCCTCCTCACCTGACCTCTGCATCGTTGCGACCGAATCCGAGTCTCCATTCGTACCCGAGACTGCTTTCCAGAGCGAGACTTCATTCGACAGCCATTCGGTGCAAGCATCTGTGACAGCAGAATACTCTGCAGCAGAAGTCGTGCACAATGATCTGGACCAGGAGATCCATGCTTCTCTTACAGCCCTGAAGTCGCTTCTTCGAGGTCAAGGAACACCATCACCTTCAAACAACTTGTCGTTTCCACGAGCCGCGACGAAAGCAAACGTGCCAAAAGTTGAGCTTCCGCCTATGCACATTATTATCGAAGTGTTGAAGAAAGCTTCCTGTGAGTTCATTCACTATGCTAGATGCAGTCGCTGTTTCTGATGTAGCTCTATCTAGCACGAATACCACTTGTGATTCTCCATAGCGGACTCCGAGACGATTCCCTGCTGGAGGAACTCTGCAAGAAAATATACTTTCCGACCAAGCATGTCTCAAAAGGAGAGATCACCCTCATGAATGGATTACTATTCTATGTCTTCGCGGAATACTGCATGGAGGATGGCCCTTCCAACACTCTCTATCCCACGTACGCCAAGCTCTGCGAGAAGAACTTCGTTGCTGGACTTCAGGATTACGGTTGTTTGGTAACACCGACTCTGGAAAACATCCAGTCATTACTACTCGGTGTAAGTATCTTCAACTCAATTGGACAGCTCGATCCTAACATATTTCTCAGGCCTTGAAGGCACAAGAAGACTCCCGCCCAGCTCTCTGCTGGACATTCGTTTCCACCGGCGCCCGCCTCTGCCAAATCCTAGGCTACCACCGCGAAGCCGTTATAGCTCGAGATCCTCCCAAGCTAGCAGAAGCAAAACGACACGTATTCTGGATGCTTTACATGATCGATAAAACGCTCTCGCTTAATCTAGGTCACACTTCTAACTTCCCCAGTCACGATATCGATGTCAACATGTATTCCCCATCCGAGAATCCCAAAGTTGCGCCGTGGAATCGGGTGATGATTTTATTCGCTGAGTTTTCGAAATTGCAAGGGAGGCTATACGACGAGTTGTATTCGGTGAGAGCGAGGAGGGAAATGGCGGATGCGAGAGCGAGGACTATTGAGGAGCTTGTTACGTGCTTTTACAAGTGGCATGCTGAGTTCAAACAGGTATGTTATCTCCCTCCTATTAGCATAGCACTTGTTAATTCTCTGTAAAAGATTGATACAGAAGGTGCACAATGCAAAAGTGACCTAGATATCATCATCGGGTCCTCAGACTTCATCTTCTACTCCGTCCTGACAATCCTCTACGGAGCTCAGACGTCCCCAGCAGCAGCGATCAGGATCAGTTCTCAGCGATACGAGGTAGCGCGACTGAGTCTAGAGTGTCACGTCCAGAACTGGACAAGACTGTCTCCGAACGATATTTCGAAATGTGGGATATACTCAGACTGGTGAGTACTCCTTACACACAAGTGAAATTGATAAAATTGACAATACCACCAGGCTCATTGACTACGCCTCTTTCGCCCCCTTCCTCGTAGTCTTCACGCACGCCATAGCCGCTCACTCCCAAATCGACGTAACGCTCCTCTCCCAAACCCTCACAACCCTCGAGTCCATGCGCAGTCGCTCCGAAACACATACCAAGCTCTGTCAAAAATGCCGCGTCTTCCTTCGCTTCGCCAAAGCCTTTGTACAGACGCATAATCCGCCCTCGGGCTTCCAGAACGAGGAAGATGGGTCTTTTGTTTTCTCTACCGCAGCGACGGCGATGGGCGACCCTGCTGGATATCTTGGGGATCTGGGTGCTAGTATGGACTTTCCGGATTACTATAGATTAGGGGCTGGCCATGAAGATTTGGAGTCGATGTCTGCGTTTTTGGGGAGCTGTTTTGGAGAAGGGTCAGCGATGGGTGGAATTTGGACCACCGGTTACCAAGGCGACCCCTGAGCTCAAGCTATCCTGGGAAAGTAATAGTACTGATCGAAGTTTACAGTAGTCAGAATGACATTAGTTCGTGCGTGTGAATCCCACCACAGTCGACGGTCTGACATCCATTTGCCAATTCCTGTACGGATATCATCCCATGTAAACCGGTAACTGGCTCCCGAAATACTCAATCGGCACCCTCTCGCCGGGCACGAAGAAGTGGCAAGCACCCCAACAAAAAGCCCTCATCATCATTACTACCCAAGCATCAACAATCATTTGCCGATCATGGAACCCCGTCTTCCTCATTTCCTCAACAATTTGCGGCAACACCCTAAAGTAGCCATCCACATCAGCCTTGTAATCAGCTCCCAAGTTCCGCAACATAGAAGTCTCGCCATCCTCTTTAAACACGGCGTGCTTGATGTGAATCCTGAGGAGATGGTGATATCGGAATGAGTGCTGTTGTTCCCATTCGTTGAGAAGTTTCGTGTATGTTGTGAGAGTGTCTTGGACAAGATCGAGATATCTAGGATCACGAGTCACGACCCATGATTCGTCTTGTAAGCTATACTCGTCTGTATGGTCCCAGGCTGCATACTTGGTGCCGATGTCGTGACAAATTTGTAGCGCCTGTAATGTGTAAGGACCTACGTCCTTGTGATGAACGACAACGTATTCTTCCAAACATAACCGGAAAGCTCTCCTTCCAACAGAGCTAGTCGTCACTCCATGCACATTTTCACTTGGCGCAGGGATCTGAACTAGACATGAGCCTCGATAACGACTTGGCTGGGTAGTGAGTGCAACCAAATCCGCAACTCGAAAGCGAAATTCAGGGTTCTCTTTTAGAATTTGGCTCAGTGCAGCAGACGATGAGCCGCTACGATCAAGATAGCTCAAAGCGGCGACAATCTCACTCTGCGTAGAAACAGTGAGATCGGGGAGACCAAGTAAGGGCTCGGTCCTGACAACTCCACACCCCAGTCTGTCGGCGCTTGCGCGGGGTATATATATCTCTTCTTGTTCTGGCAGGATTGATCCCGTCACCAGTCTCTTTCGGAAATGGTTCTGCTCCGCCATACGAAGTCGCTGATTTCTTCCAGTGTACGAATACTGTAGGACAATTCCAAGCGATCTCACCACCGTCGATGTGATGATGTGGGAATGCCCTTCCGCTCGCAAGATCCCGTCAGAGGGCCTGAAGTCTTTCCATTTCATCCCCATGCGCCGTGCTAGAACTGCAATGTCCGACAGTGTCGTTTTGGCAAGTGGCCTCACGACATCGGGAGGCTGAAAGGCCCAAGATCGCTCTCGAAATACCACCGCAGGTAGGCGTAAGTTGGGATCAGGATAGTCAATCATTTCCCTCGGTAACTCCTCATGATCTAGACAAGCTTGGGTATTTTCGTGAATCCAATGAAGGAACGGCACCCAGCAAGCCAACTCACCACGATTTCCTTTCTTTTTCTTCTCTGACTGCGCAGGCAGTCGTTCTCGGCGACGTCCCGCACCACGTCGAGCTTGATACTGAGTCACGTAATCGTCCTGTGGAGCCTCCATCAACATCTCATCAAAGTCCATAGACACTACCGGTACCAGCGACTTTTCCCTCGACAATTTACTGCCTGTAAGTAAAACCTGTCCTCTTCTGCTCAATGCTCCATCACCAACCAGTGAGATCTCGGGGATGGTATAGAGAGTTTCGAACCGGAATTCTCGCCACCTCCAATGCAGTCTCGTCTTACGAGCATACTCCCCCATGACATATTTGTGGCATCTTCGGTAGCCATCGGCGGTTGAAAAGTATTGCTGAAGCAATTGACCAACCGCGGTCGCAAGGGCGACGAGCGCGATTGCAAGCGCCGCGCCAGCGAGTTTGGCATCTGTGTTGTTCGACATTGTAGATCAACTGGTTGAATTGAGGCCAAACAATTTTCATCTACGCAGCGATGAATTGATACGTGCTTATAGCCCTTGCGTGTTTGTGCTTCCACGTCCCAACCTCAGGTGTCGCGACGCGGTACACTGAAAGAATTCCATTGACCTAGGACTGATTGGAGTTTAGCTGCACAAAATAGGATTAAATTGCTGCGTGTAAGAGTATTGGTGAGATTGAGAGCATATAATTATTGCTTGTTTGAGATGTATCTATTCCACGAAGCACAAACGAAGTCCTGATCCTTCGAATCGTCTCACGTGCAGGAAGTCTTAGATCACGTGCATATAAACGTGCTTTTTCACCTAGGCAGTGATTCAGGGACTCGAGAAACGCGAGACAACATTTATTTGGACCTAAAGAGTGTTGGATCAAAGCCTGGTTCCACTCAATCTGAACAGGCATCATGTTTTCCCCCTTCAGTGCTTCGGCCAAATCATAACAGAAAGTATCATTGTCCAAGTGGCTCTGCGTACATAACGGCTGTTCAATTCCTCTTCCAAATAACTTCTCAGAGAACGAGATTCGATCACTACTTCTTTAGCTCATAGATCCCGAACCGATTGCCAGCCACATCTTTGAAATACATATAGTATCCATTCTCACTCTCTGGCTCTTTCTCACTCATGACAACACCTCCAACTTTCTCAATTTGTGCCTTTGTCTAGCAATCTATCAGCATCTGATCGCCAAAATCTATGATCGCACCCTTACCTCCTCAATGCTCTCAACGAAATGGTAAATTGTAACTCCCATTCCATTCTTCAGATCCCCTGTCTTGCAACCAGCAGGAACCTGAACAATTCCTCCCGTCAAACCTACAGTCAAGCGAAAGTCAATAATCATTCCACGAGATCCTGATTTAGCAACTGGGAGAGACCTACCCATTTGCCCAGCGAAGCTAAACATCGCAATCTTCTCTTCTGTGTAGGTTTCGGTGGGGGCTTTCCATTCCCATGATGGGAAAACAGCAGCGTAGAATTTCTAGACACAACGAAAATCAGCAACATGGTTCGGACTGGTCAAAATCCAGAATGGGAGCAAACCTTGCAGGCGGGAACATCTGCAGCTGGTATTTCAACCCAGCATGGAGTTCCGATTGGTGGTGGAACCCATTTCTCAGCTTCAGACATGATTACTTCGGGTATGAGTACTTTGTATCCAAGGAAAGGGTATGCGAGAGGTTCAGCAAGAAAGTAAAGAACTGAGGAGTGCGGCGGAGGAGGAAATTATTTAGATGCGTCAGAGCCCACTTTCAACGAAGTGAGGAAACTTTGAAACTTACCAGATTCTCCGTCTTACACCGCTGTTGTCGAGCCATTCAATGCTTGAGGCATTATCCCAAAACCAACTTACGAATCAAGTGCATAGTTTCACGCCATTACAAGCCTCAGTAATGTTTTGACGTTAATCAACACCAATTCTGGTAGGCGAAGGATGCGGGGTAGGGTTGGCGCGGATTTGCCTGCCAATCCGCGAACACACGTGTGAGTCAACGCGAAGATGGCGCGGTATCTGGTGATTTAGCTGGAAGCACTTATGTCTTGATAAATTAGCAGATCTTGATAAGGTATCAGAAAATGACAGGCTCGCTATTAGTATGGCACAAGGAAATGTGCTAGGCGTTCCCTTGTAGTTTTCGCGGGTTGTGATAGGATAATCCAAAGAATCTGCCTGTTCCCCAAAGGAAAGTCAGTAGAAAATCAAATCCACATTTTCGGAAGAAAACTTTCGCATCGGCGAGATACTGCTGCAGGCAACAGCCTCTTCAAGCTCATCATTTGGCAAGCATCCATTTCAGCTCAGTGAGTTGTTGAGTCGCCAAAAACAACCGAGAATCTCTCGAGAAGAACGATGGTCGAGGGATGATACAGAGACGACCCCCCCACATAACTAACCTATCAAAATCAGCAGTGAGAGGTGGGTACTCCCTCGCTAGCTTAGGTAAGGTGCCTTCCTTACGAGTAAGTACTCGTGAACAGTTAGGATTAGGTACGACCTACAAGCTTGCAAGTAGTCGCGGTGGTTAGGGTTAGAATAGGATTAGGGCTAGGATTAGGGCTAGTTAGCATTAGAGGATTTTTTTTTTTGGTTGCTTTCAGCTAGTAGTGTTAATAATACCTTTGTTTTTCTACCAGAGTCATAAGAAGAGTACGTTACTTCATTGACGGTAGTATTGTGGGGTGGTCGTCTCTGTATCATCCCTCCGATGGTCGGACTTTATCAAGTCTCTGCACCACCCTGTGTTGGATACTAACATAAATATCCTGTTATTGAGTTATTTATATCCATACAACAGTATACGTTGCTTTCCCCCCCATAAATCCATCAATTGAAATGGCAATCCGTCCCGATTCGAAACTCGGGCCCGTACCTAGGCGAGTCGCAAGAGACCGAACCTCGGTCCAATCGTTCGGCAAGCTTTTCCAAGACCAACCAGCTTCCAGCAGCACAGTGACGTTTGTGGGGTATCCCATACCGACACTATCCAGACAAAACCGTCCACACCCCAACTTCGAGCTCGCCCGCCATGAGCAAAGTCGTCAGTATTGTCTCTGGCATCATCCTCAGCTCCGTCGTCGCCTATATCCTCCCAATATACATAGCCTGGGTTCCTGATTTCGACATCTGGGTCTTCCTGTTGCTCGTTGGCCTCAACCTTACACAATGCCTACCCAATCCGAATTCCCCTTGATTGACGTTCCGAATGTTGACTTATGGACGTTCTTGTTTGAGAGAAAGGATAGAGAGTTTCCGGAAGATAAAGGTAGCGTCTGCCGTGCCTGGTTCTGCAGAATGGTGCTAATATCATGAAATGCAGTGATTTATCTTGACCCCGACACGAATCGATCCTACACATATGCGCAGGTCCGCAGCACGGCTCTCGACTTCGGGAAAGGACTCAAGGCGAACTGGGAGTGGAAGAAAGGAGATGTTTTGGCGCTTTTCTCCCCGAATTGTATTGATACGCCGGCGTTGACTTGGGGTATACATTGGGCAGGTGGTATACTCTCCCCAGCAAACCCTGGCTACACTGCGGACGAGCTGGCATTCCAATTGAAGGACTCTCGCGCAAAAGCATTGGCAACACAGAAACCGTTTCTTAAGATCGCGCAGGAAGCGTGTAAGAAAGTCGGGATCGATGAGGATCGAATTATTTTGATTGGAGATGAAAAGGACGAGACAGCGCGATTCAAGCATTTCACAAATATAAGGAACATCTCTGGAGCAACAAGATTCCGGAAAGCAAAGATTGATTCAAAGAAGGATCTTGCGTTCTTGGTCTACAGCTCTGGAACGACTGGTCACCCTAAGGGGGTCATGTTGTCACACTCCAATATCGTTTCGAATGTGATGATGCTGAAGGTTGGGGAAGGAGGAAATTTGAGCTGGCAAGGAGGGAGAAACAATGAAGGAGATAAGATTCTGGCTTTCCTGCCTTTCTTCCACATATATGTAAGCCTTGCAATCCTCTCGTATAGGCCATATACTAATATTCGTAGGGTCTTACATGTCTCATTCATCAGTCCATCTACTCGGGTCTGACGCTCGTCGTAATGCCCAAATTCGAGCTCGAGAAGTTTTGCACCCACATCCAAAAACACTCAATAACATTCGCATACGTCGTGCCTCCAATCGTTCTTCTGCTCGGCAAATCCCCAGTCGTGGACAACTACGACTTATCTACCGTCCGCATGATGAATTCTGGCGCAGCTCCTTTGACCAAAGACCTCGTAGACGCTGTCTACAAGCGCCTTAAAATCCCCATCAAGCAAGGTTACGGTTTGAGCGAGACAAGTCCAACTACGCACACCCAGCCTTGGGGAGACTGGAACAAGTCCATCGGCAGCGTCGGCCGTCTCCTTCCAAACCAGACCGCCAAGTACATGTCCGAAGACGAGAAAGAAGTCCCCGCCGGTGAGACAGGCGAGCTTTGGATCAAGGGTCCCAATGTCTTTCTCGGGTATCTGAACAACGTCGAAGGCACCAAGAACGCCTTAACTTCTGATGGATATTTCAAGACAGGCGATGTAGGCCACCAAGATAAGAATGGGAATTTCTACATCACAGACCGCGTCAAGGAGCTCATCAAATACAAAGGCTTCCAAGTACCTCCGGCAGAACTAGAAGGCTACCTCATCGGCCACCCTGATATCGACGATGTTGCTGTGATTGGCATCGAGGATCGCGACCAGGCTACAGAAGTGCCCCGCGCCTATGTTGTGCCTAAGAAGGGTGTCGAGGGAGGTAAAGAAAAGGAGAAGGAGATTATGGATTGGCTTGCCAAGAAAGTTGCTAGTCATAAGAAATTGAGGGGTGGTGTGCGCTTTGTGGATGAGGTACCGAAGAGTGCCAGCGGTAAGATTCTAAGGAGGGTGTTGAAAGCTCAGGCGATTGAAGAGGACAAGAAGGGCGCAAAGGCTAAGTTGTAAGGGCGGCTCTAGAGTATATCTGGTTCCATATATATGAAAATATGGGTATTTGGGTAGCCAAGAAATGGTAGGGTTATGGTGGTTGGATTAGACATTGATGGGGTCTTCAATATAAAGGCAGATGCATGTATGAAGTATGACTTATGTCAATATCCAGATATCTTCCGAAGATTTGCAGGATCTTGCAAGAGGTCTAGATTCGGCCATCTGATTGTCAATATCCTTACCGTTCCTTTGGGCGGTTATCCAGCATCCTCGAACAGAAGAGCATAAAGCTCAAAAGGGCTACCTCTCCCTCTTCCACTATCCACATATCACATCACAATCACGGCCGAAACAAAGCTAGAACCAAAAGATGGGAAGCAAGCCGAGTGTTCATTTCGAAAGACCTACGGTACCAATACAGCCTCGACCAATATCTCTGCCGCATTTAGATCCAACAAACAGCCTCAGACTCCCCGTTGTCAGTTGTGTTTCCTTTTTTTTTCCGCCTCAGAAAATGATCAAACTCCACATCTCCATAACTCCTTCAAAAGCCAGAAACCAAAATAGCGGTCGTCCACACACATGTGCCTGCTGTACAGTACAGAACATGTGCGACTATCTCGTCTCGTCAAGTCATGGAAGCATTTCGTCGTCACCTCTTCTGGATTTTCTCTTTTCATCTGTTTTTCTCTGTGCTTTCGCTTTTCTTTCGTCAAAACACCGCGACGCGGACATATACAAACATAAGACATAAAAAATAAATGTCATCAAAACATGACACCCTATAAAGGTAGGATGCACATGCGTTCATGCTGGGACCCCTCGAGCAAGTGTAAGTGCGGTCGAGAGTAGGCCGGTACAACCGATCAAGCTTTCCTCGGATCATCCGGTTAATGCGTCGCAGGAAACTCATTCCAGCGTGAAAACCTGCGTGCCGCTTGTTTTTACATGCGGCAGATCTGTAGCAGACAAGGAGAAGTAGGGGCGAGTGTGTTGTGTTGTGTCGCATAGTTTCGATGTGTGTGTTGTGTTTGTGGTTTCGCAGTTCGAGCGAGCTAACAGCAGATAGCTCCTCTCGTGGTGGAAGACGACCAACACATCTTGTGCTTGTGAGACTGGCCAAGGATTTCAACTCGAAGGTACCTTGCAGGCCTTTGGGCTTGTTAGTCATGCTTTTTCGTGCTTTCGATTTAGTAGGCTGGCTTACACCTAGATGCTGAATCCATCTCACGAGCACCCAGCACTCCAAAAGCAGCTGAGTTCCTAGGGTCTATTAGTACATGAGAACGATTTCATGTCTTGCTACTGACCAATCGTGACTCCGACACAGATCTAAATGATCCACAACATTCCTCCTCCTTGACAGACAAGCCCAGCATTTTCAAGAACTACTAATCGCGCTGCTCGCGACGACTAGTTGAGAGAGACAGTTCACCAACCTGGAACTTGGTAGACTGCCGCTCTCTCAACTTGCGGTATGCTATAAAGAATTCATATTGATCCCTCCAACGTAGGGTTTTTCTCGGAACCCTAAATCCCGAGAGGAAGACGTGACCTAAAAGCATCAGCTCTGGAAAGCTGAAGTTGGCAGTGATCAAACTTACCATCCACCCCACAGTCAACCACTTGATACTCCAAAGTTGAGCCTAAGTGCGACATTCGATATTTGGCGTTAGCGCACATCGTGCGTGCAAAGATTCTCCTCGGCCGAGTCCGAGATGCTGGCTCCGGAGCAAAGTAATGACTATCGGACGCTCAACACAATAGCTAAGGATGTGTGAAACAAAGCCCAGGTCTCATGTTCCCGGTCGCCATTCTTACTATCACGCTTATCTCCTTCAGAAAGAATCCCGCCAAATACGTGTAACTCTGTACGAATCTGAAAGTGTGTCCCGGGATTTGAGCCTCCATTTACCAATAAAAGCTGCTCCAAGTAACTCCTTACTTCCCTGACAAGACGAGCCGACCAGGCGACACGGTAGGTCCTACAAAAGCAGGTTCCGTTTGTCCTTTTTCTGCCATGGGGCAAATACTCAATTCTCCATATGCATACCCCGCCGATGAGTGATGGAATATTTGATCAGACCATTACACCCAACGGAGCCTTTTTATGTCGTGCTCAGGACGACAAGCAATACAACGGCATATGGTTTGTCAAGAAACTAGTGTGATTTCAGGAATTTGCGATATTATATACCTTCGCTAAGTGGTAGCATAGCTAAGGGCAGGCTAGTGACTAGCTTGGAACTTTACCATGTTTCCGACATATTTTGATATCGTGTTTGAATTTTCGATAATGTATCGTTTAACAGCGTGCCCCTCATCCAAAAAACTCCCCTGCAACGAGAGTCTCCCATGGTTTTCCTGTTTCCCAGACTCGTTCCATCAGAGCACGAGCTTTGTGGATTTGTGTCATGCCAACCATCTCCATTCCCTTGATTCTGTCTAAAATATCTGCTCTCTGTCTTTCGTCCTGGGTATCGCAGCCAGCGGTGAACATGGGGAAAAGTAGGCATGCTTCTGCACTACTGCCACGGCGGACCTTATAAAGCGCGCCAAATATCTCACGTACGGCGTGCTGTACGTCTGAATGCTTTGACTCTTTACCCATGATTCTTCTGTGCAAATGTACCAGACCTGCCCAATGAAAAGCCTCGTTGGTAGCAGTCATTTCAAGACTGTCCCATTGGTAAGCAGCTTCTCCACTTGACTGCATATGATTACATGGTTTCGCTGGATGAAGTAGAGATTCAGCAAGGTCTTTCTCTAGCTTTTGTGCGCGCTTGATTATGTCATCCGAAGGTTCCCAAGTAGCAATGATCTCATGGTCCGGACCGATTCGCTCAATGTCACAGACGCGAGAAAGCTCAGCAACTGTAGCAAGAAGGCGGACACATTTGCTGGTGAAGCCTAGTATACAATCAATCTGATAGTCGTTCTCGTCATTGCTGTCAATATCGGGAACCCAAGACTAGCTGAAGTCAGCAAGACTCTGGAAGAATTTGTGTCAAGCAAAGGAGAACTTACTAATGTCGAGGCGTTAGCCTTCCCACCACTCAAGCTGCCCAGTACATCGAGATATGCGAACCAACTCCAAAGGAAGGACAAAACTTTGTCTCCACGTGAGGCCGTCTGAACATTCTGTGCACCTCCTCTTGCAGTAATCATTTGACGAGCTGTATCGAGATGATTTTGCCACGGAACCTCCACTCCGAATGCCTTCGGAGAAATAATCTCTAGAGATGCAAGCATTATTGCAGTTGCAAAGTTTGCATTGGAGATAATTTGGTTAGGGTCATCCAAAGCTCTGCGTAGATTTGGAAATATATCTTGAACCCAGAGGGCAATGCGCACTTCTGGTTCAGGCTGTCTAAGTAAACGAGCCCTGTGGGAGGCTGAGTATGCCAAGAGGAGATTGAGCAGGTTGTCATCTTGGAGAGCCATCTGTGGTAAAATACTCTTGAAAGGGTTAGATGAGCAGTTGTGGGGTACTAAACAACCCGCAGTATGATTTATAAAATGATGGAAATATAAAAGGTTCATCGGATAATCTCTGAGCTTGGCAGGTAGCTCCCCATACCAACGAGGGATACGAATGGATACTGGCTTGTCATAATAGCTCCCGCTTGCAAAGGCAGAGCTGTTCGTCTCCATGCCGAAACCGAACTCGATCGGAGTAGAGCTGCCGTCACCGTCAATAGTGTACTCCAAGTGGTCTCGAGACAGTAATGGTGATGAGCCCGAGATTGCGTTAATATCGTCATTTTCTCCAACGTCCAGATCTTTGAATCCCCGGTCGACTCCCCATGTTATTGTATCGGAAAAGATATCTTGGTATTGACCTGACCAATCCTGAGAGTCTGGAATGCTCCTAGGAGCTGGTATTCCAGGCGGCCCAGATAGTAGTGAGTTTACCGACAGTCGCCTGAGATCTGGGGAATCCTGTGAAAGATGTGGTGATGACTTTGTAGTATATTGCCTGTAGAAGTCGTCCCCATTCTCAGATGCTGGGGTCATCGGATTGCTGGCTGATCCTGGAGTATGATAGGAAGCGGACTGGTCCACATGATAGGATTGTAAAGAACCCGCACTTGGGGGTGGCATAGAAGTGTCATAAACGCCCCCGAATTCAGACCCAGATTTGATACGCATGCGTTTCCGAGGTCTGTCACGGCCAGGGATATCTGATATGTCATCCCCTGTGCCAACGAAGAATGGAGGAGTTGTAGCAGGGCTTTCCAAAGCTGGGAAGGTGGCGCTCCGATTGGAAAAGGTATCAACACTCGGACTTCTGATGTCATAATCACTAGGTGTTGAGGAATCCTCTTGAGCAGTATCCCGAACCCTCGAAACGGCCGATACTGGCGCTTGCCCCTGCATCGATGACCCGGTCCCTTGGACTCTTGCCAAGTATCTTTCATATGATTCCGCGTACCTAGTTCCTTGGGCGGGCATGGGTGACAGTGGAGGAACGAAATCTCTCATGAGAGCAGGGTCTAACGGCATCGGAGGCGCCTGGACAGGAGGGACAGGAGGAATCGGAGGAGGGTAAGAAGCGGAGAAGGGGCTGGCTCCCGAGACGGTGGGGCTTTCTGGTCGTCCAAAGGATGGGAGCCTTGGAAGCGCCATATCACGAAAGGTCATGGGGAGCTCATTGGCAGAAGGAGAAGGCGTCGAGTCCGCAGTGGAACTCTCCTGCGGTGGGTATATCAGCCCTGCATGTTGGAACTTGATGAGACTTGAAGAAAAGTCGGTTTGCACCTCAGGAGGGCCAGTCTGCCATTTCAATTTGAGATGGAAATCGCATTTGACGTTCTGCCGTTCGCAATTGAGACAAGTAGGGCGTCGTTCATCGCATTTGACTTTCCTTATTTTGCAAGGACTAAGTAGTGAGAGTTAGCTTGTGATCGGGGGCAATACATTCGGACCGCAAGAAGCAGTGCAATTTTGATTGAGATATGAGTTTGCAGTCGAGAAACGAACTGATCCTGGACACATGGTCTATCTTTGAATGAAGCTCAGGGAGATCCTGTAGCCACACTCTATAGCACATCCCACATGACTTGGAGTCGTTCTCCAAGCTGATCATTATTCACTTTGTCCACCTCTGCATTTCCATAATGTAGGCGATCAAATGAAACTGAACTCACTTGCAACCAGTTCGACTTCTCCGTTTGGGCTCTGGCGCGCCGGGCTTCTTCTTTCGAGGCATCTTGACCTCGACGTTCCAGCCTCAAGCCTTGGTATCGACCCTCGTCTCGAAGACGGTACAGGAAGATAATTGGGCGCGCATTCGGCACTGGAGATCTGCACTAGCGACATGTACAATGCGTGAGCATCAGATAGTCCACATAGCTCTGAGGACGGCTGTAAGCAGGCGGCTCGAGGTTGTGGTGTTGAAGTCCAGGTCGAGGGCGGGGTGAAGATGGGCTGATAAGATTAGCGCCCTCTGATAAGCCGGGATATCCTCGGGTATTGTCTCTGTAATTTGATGCTCGAGTTGAAGTATCTTTACAGTTAATGAATGATATGGAAATTGAACCATACTTGAATTTTGTTACAGATTCAAAATATGGTCATGGGTGCAACGCTTCCGACAGAATACTACTCATGCATGAAAGGCCAATCTGCTAGAAATTTCTCGCTTTGATAGGCATGGATGAGGTTTGGGGTAAACACCTGTGCAGTCACTTGCTATAATCACATTTTTGAGCATATCATCAAGCTAAAAATCTTGAACCTGACATACAAAGATGTTGGCAGAGTTTTAATTTTAATTGGAGATAGTGCAAGCAACTTTGGGCAACTCAAAATATTCCTGCAACCGTAGCTTCAGTGACGAACGAGGCTACCACTTCAAGGCTTTACACTCAAGAAGAATAGCTTGCTTCTCTCAATGCACGAAACCACGAATGGCTCAACAATATCCCGTAAAAAAAATAACACATCCATGAATCCAGATATGACATATTTCATGCACCTGTATAATTTGGTAAAGGCATACAGAGAAATAAATAAACGTCCTGTGGCAACGGGTTACCGAGAATGTTGAAAGCAATAAGCCAAACCCGCACTTCGTGCGAAGTCAATCCCACGATGCATTTCCGAACCACGTCACGATCTCAACGAACGAACATCAACTAGCGCTCTAAGAGGGGAAAACTGTTTGAGCTAACTCCTAGGTACCGAGATTTCAAAGATAATCGATAGTACGGCTCGCACAGTCGAGATGCAAATTTCTATTTGTGACAAGGTACATAAGAAAGACTTTCCCTCCTCAACGCCGCCTCTTCATTCTCTAAACACTATATCCGCAACTCCAAATACCTCAACATCGTATACCGTACTCACACTCATTAAATTATACTTCAATCAAAACGCCCAACCTCATCCTGAGATGGATCGCACCCTCATGGTCTATGACGAGATCCAATTCGTCAATACAAAACGGGCACTCAACCTCTCTCCGCCAATATCCAACAATGTATCGCTTATCATGAAGGTAACCGAAACGGACATCACACCCACTGAGGGCTGTAGTGGTGCCGAGCCTCGATTCAACAGAGAGCTAGGTGCGCTTCAGTTTAAGTCACAGCGGGATGACTCTATGAATACAGAATGCGAGGACTTTAATTTCTGACCAGTATTAGCTATGTGGAGCTCCACAAAGTACGGAGACAAAGAGAACAGCATTCCTCGCAGCCGAGGCCCACCATCGAAAGGATTGCTCCGCCACAGAAAATATACTATGTAAGTACCTGTCTCGCGATTTCCTGTGGAGTATTAACAACTTGATAGAGCCGAAATTCTTTGACCGACGAACAAGACCCAGAGTTTGCGATGCTAATCAACCTGGAAGCCCCAAACGACGAATGGGATTACAAATCCGCTTTAAGAGAAGTATGTTGAAACTAATTCATGTCTACACTCCTATCAATGCTGACTCAACGAAAAGGTCCTCCATTTCCGCTCAGATCTCATGCGCGAGTTCCAGAGAAACATTTACGTATCGAGAAAAAGAATTATGCCCGAATCTGAGCAGCCAAAATTTTCTGAGCAGAGTACAGAATTGGAACTCGTAATTCTGGTATTCCCAACAGAAAGACATCTGAAAATAGCTTTGAAAAGGAGAATATTGCTTAAAGGGTTTGAGTTGAGCTCGAGGAGATATATCCAGGCTAGAGAGCCTTTCGGAAGAACACTGATGGGCTATGGACGCAGTAGCAGCGCGAGTTTGGAAGCACAAAAAGACGATTTGATGGATGGGTTGGTATCTGACTTGAGTTCTTTCGGATTGTCAAGATATTGTGCGGAAGAAGACATCGAGATGAATTGACCAGATTTGAAGATTAAAGAGAGAAATCGGGAAGGTAGACATATGACAAGAGTACATATACTGTCTAGAAATTGATGAATGCGGGTGTCCATGATGGATCTCTTGTTCAGATTGCTGGATACCGAATCTCATCCATAATCTACTCCTCTTTAATACTGGTTGGTGCTTGTGACTTGTCTGCTGGCAGTCGTCCATTGACCAGGGCACATAATTTTTGCAATGTGACGGTGCTTCCTGTCATCAGAAGCGCCGCTCCAACAAATACTCCAGCCCTTGGGATGGTACTGAGCTCCTCGAACATTGGGTATGGATAGCTAAGATGGTCAGTACTTCCCAAGAGAATTAATAATCCCGCTCACAATCCATTATGCTTGTTGCATTCCTCGACCCAGAACCAGTACGCAACTGCAATCGCGGAACTCAATACCAAAGCTCGGGAAGTTTTGATCGTCCAAGGTGGCGAAAGTAACAGTAGGTCGATAGTGAGTAGTATCGATGGCATGGCATGAAATCCGATATCTGCTATTGGAGCAATATGAATTTCTGGTGGAACAACCAGGGTCTTGTCAATAGCACTTATTCCCCAGTATAGTACACTGATTAAGACTTCCAACGGAGCACTGCATAATGAGAGCGTGTTCTTGATGAGAAACAGTGTAGGAGACAAGGTGAGATCAGCGAGGAAACCGGCGATGAAGGTTCCATGGGCCACAGTGAGCCCGAGAATCGTCAAGTATTGGAAGTGCCAGCCATAGGAAGCATTTATGAAAGTAGGAAAGTCCATGAGGTATTTGTACGAGAGACTGAAGGAGATAATCCCAACGAGGTGGAAAGCTGCTGAAATGCCTCGGCTTGGAGATGAAAGGCGTTGAAGAGGATGGCGGGCCATTTGTTGAATTGTGTCTGAGGACATTGCTTTCTAGTCTAAGTGTTGTATGAAAACAAATCTAGTTGTAGTAGATGAAGCTTTAGTGGCACAAATGGTACAGAGAGAAGACTAAGGTCTGGCAAGTGAAGGAGAAGGGAGCCTCGGATGAGGTCCAGGGTTGAAGGTCGTCAGCGCCAAAGATCGGCAGGGGTGCTGTCCCCAGCCGTGCGCTAGAAATCGACAGGAACGAAAAAGAGCTCGTCAGCCTTACAGCTTCTGAACATTTAATATTCCAACTTTCTCTCTCAACTTTGCACCTCTTCTGCAAGCCATCACCATGGCAGACTCAATAGAAACCAAGTCGAATAAAAGAAGTCGTTCAGAGGAAGATGGTATGTACAAATCTAGCTATACCCTCATATTCAACTGACAGCTTCAGACTCATCCTCCGACGACGACGACATGGGACCGCAGCTCCCCTCTGCGGAAGCTCCCAAGAAGAAGCGCCGTAAGCTGCCCTACGAAAAGCTTTATATCTCAGCTCTACCGACATCCGCGCGATACTCCAAGTCCCTTATGCACAAAGAGCAGTTGGCCTTCCTGACAATGACACCTTTGACCGACTTCCTGATCACCAGCTCCGTGGACGGCGTCGTGAAGTTCTGGAAGAAAGGGGCAGATAACATTGAATTTGTCAAAGAATTCAAGGCGCATGATGGAGAGATCAATAGTGTGTCGGTCAGCGCGGATGGGAGAAGCTTTGCAACTGCTGGAGTGGACAAGACGATCAAGATCTTCGATGTTATTACCTTCGATCTCCTGTCTATGTTGACCGTCGAATTTACTCCGAAGTGTGTGTGTTGGATACATAAAAGAGGCGCATCATTACCGATCCTGGCAGTATCTGACGAAGTCAATCATACCATTCGCATGTACGACGGTCGAGGGGAGAACCAGGAGCCAATACACACGTTGTCCGGGTTACATCGAAGCGTTGTGTCGTTGATGGCATTCAACGATGTATACGACTGCGTTATTTCGGCGGATGAGAATGGCATGATAGAATACTGGCGACCAGAGACTTACGAGAAACCGGACAATGTTTTCGAATATAAAAGCTCGACGAATCTATTCGAGTTCAAGAAAGCCAAATCTACACCCACATCTTTGACAATATCCCCGAATGGATCTCAATTTGCCACGTTCTCTTTCCCCGATCGTAAAATCAGGGTATTCGATTTCCCCACCGGTAAACTTTACCGGACTTATGACGAGTCTCTGCAGATTATCGAGGAGATGCAGCAAGCTGGGACAGCCCTACAAAAGCTAGAGGATGTAGAGTTCGGCCGGCGGATGGCCACAGAGCGAGAGATTGAGACACCAGCATTACGGCACAAGGCGAATGTGATCTTTGACGAAACAGGACATTTCATCATATATGGATCAATCTTGGGAACGAAAGTTTTGAATACATATACGAATAGAGTCGTCAAGGTCTACGGAAAGGAGGAAAACTACAGGCCTTTGAGCGTTGCCATATACCAAGGACAGCCACAGAAGAAGGGCATCACGACAGTTGCAATGGCGGCGTCGAATAACCCACTGCTGCAAGAGTCAGAAGTTCGAGATCCCATCCTCATCACGACCGGGGTGGGGAAAGTTAGATTCTACATGTTCACCAACGACGAGAATATTTCCAAATCCGAGAGGGATGTCCAGAATGAGAAGCCAACCAACCTCAATGCAAGGAAGGCTGTTGTGGCCAAGGCAGCGGAAACAGGCACAGCAGCAATCATACACACCAACTATGGAGACATACACATTCGTCTCTTCCCAGATGCAGCTCCGAAGTCAGTTGAGAATTTTGTTGTACACTCCAAGCAGGGGTACTACAACAACACGATATTCCACAGAGTGATCCGGAAATTCATGATCCAATGCGGAGATCCACTAGGAGATGGCACAGGTGGGGAAAGTATTTGGGGTAGGGAATTCGAGGATGAGTTCAGCACTCTTAGACACGACAAGCCATATACTGTGAGCATGGCTAATGCTGGACCAAACACCAATGGGAGTCAGTTCTTCATCACCACTGAAAAGACTGTAAGCTATTCCTATTTGCTTTTGAATTCAATGAAGCTAATTATTTCTAGCCTTGGTTGGACAACAAACATACTATCTTTGGAAGAGCGATTCAAGGTCTAGATGTCATCCACAAGATCGAGAATGCGAGGGTCTACAAGGAGAAGCCGGAGGAAGACATCAAGATCCTTAATATCGAGATCATGTAGTGTATGAGTCAATGCGAATTTGAAACCCCTTTCAACTCTTGCTTAGCGTTTTGTGATGGACCTCTCGATCAATGTGAACATGCCGACCTTCTCACAATAACGGATATCAGTAAAGGTTCACAAGAACGGAAGCATTTACAAGACAAAACAGGGACAAGCACGATGATTTCTCATTCGGCGCCTATTTCCTATGATCAGTAAGAGCTGAGATCTTTCTCTTCTTGTTTCGAATGCGCACCCAGCCATCGTCAATGCTGGTCCAACCCACGGCCGAGCTACTCTTTGTCTACGTGCGTCAAGTTTCTGAATATCTAAAATGTCAGAACACCGACACACAGCAGGCCCACAGTCTGTGTGGACAAGCCGCATCCACAGTATATGCATTTAGAATTGTCCATACTCTACTAGAAACCGGTGGCACTCCATCACTCTTTGTTGCGTTGCATAATTGACTCTTCTGGAAATGGTTGTCCTTCTTGGTTACTCAAGAATCCACGCTGTCCCACATCTCATGTGTTTGAAGACATCTGCGGATTGTCAGCACGTTCAGCTTGAGACCTTTCAGGGCAAATGAAGCAGTTTCAAGAAGTTGCCAGTACTTTCACCGAAGGAGTTTGGAGGAAGACATGTAAGAGAGTATTTGGTCACAGAACGAAGGGTGAGGCTTAGTTCGGAGCATTTTTTTGAGAGTGTGGATTTGAAATCGCCACAATCAGGAATTTGAGAGCTGAGATTGCGATGTCCATCGAGGACTTGTTTGTTGTTTGTTGTTTGTTGGTAATTTTACTCGCTTAAGCATCCCCCTGTCATGTGTCTTGGCGGGCAATCATGGCAGCGAAGGAGTATGTAGAACGATCTGAGCCTCACAGAGAGTACCAGCTAGTCTGACATAGGTTACTATTATGGAACTATTTCGCACATTCTACTCAATTATTCTGTTTTGGAAAGGATGCAGGACCACATCTCTCCTGTTTCGATGCCCAGTCCTGAAGTCGGGTCAAATTCCAGCCACTCCGCCAAATGCCCTCGCTATCTGCATCTTTCTTGTATCCAAGACGTACACTCATTCCAATGTTACATATGTTTCCATGATGAGAGTACTGAAAACACTTCTTATCCGCTTCGCATGCTTTCCTACAGTCTTCGAAGGATGACGTGTCTGATGTGACGCCACCAGTCTTTCCAAACTCGCCTCGTTCTGAGGCTAAGTTATCCCAATTATCTTTTTGAGATACAAGTAAATCTAATACAAATTTATTAAACATTTCTTCATGTATGAGAGGGCTCTGAGAGGTGGAATCAGCCCAAAAATTCTTTCCATAATGGTGGAGATGACATTTACCAATTTATTCTCCCTCTTGTCTTCAAACGCCGTAAATTCCGCCATCCCATCAGGACTGAGATGATGGAGTGTCAATGCTGGTTGACACCAGTACTCGGGAGTTCCCAGCCCAAAAGGCATGGTCCATGGTGCCTCTCCGCTCATTGCTGGCCAAGCATCTTGCAGCAAGGTACCAGACTCCCTGAGAGCCATGCCGAGCACCAAATCCCCACAACATTTATTGTGAATAATCGAATCATAACCAGCAGCCAGTCCAGCATCTCTGACTGCGAGATTGTACATCGTAGCCTTGGAAATGATGATCCCTGTGCCGCCATGTGCAAACTTAACCCCGCTGGCATTCACTTCGGAGCCAAAATATGACTTTTTCTTGGGATCCAGTGTCGACAACCATTGAACCACATTGGACCATAGAAGATATGTGTCGGCGTCAATGAATATGTACCAGTCCTGGTCTGGCATCAAAGCCCAGGTCTTTTCCAAGATATGGATATCCTTGTACTTGTCCAGAGTCCAGGCAGCTAATTCACTTGGGTCATCTGGATGCTTCTCATTTTTCAGGGAAGTGATATTTCCAGTTGCGTTCCACATTTCGCGTTGCTTTTGATAGAAGACAAAGTCCGGATTGTTCTGCATTATCGAAGGTTTGATCGTATCTAGAGAGTCATACAGGTGGTATTGTCCAAGATCTTGTTCGAGATCGGAGAAGAAAAACACGTTCTGTACATCTCGAAGTGATGTCTGCATCTGAATAGGAATCCTCTCAGCTGCCTCCGAGGCTCCAGTCTTGACGGAGACGACGATATTGGCTCCGGGAGTAGAGTCTTTGACATTGGTCCAGTTTTCCGGACTGGGAGTGAGAGGTTGTCCATGGGCACTTCGCGAGTAAAAGCATAAGTATCCAAAAATAATGAGTAATCCAAGGACAGAGGCACGGAGCCAGATTGAGAAATATCGTGACGTCCAGCGAATCATCTCGGGAAAAGGGGCGAAATACGTGTCCGGTACATGAGGTCAAGCGTCCGTATTCCCCTACATCACGGTGATGACCGGTCGCTCAACCAATCCAGAGAAAATCGACATTAATCGAAATCGACCAAAATTGAGGTTATCATCAGGGGATTAATTGGTATTCGACATCGTACAGTATGAACAACTTCGGTCTGAAAATCTCTAATGCAGCTGGAAAGTATCGCTGGCTTTCCCGAACCCGCCGGCTCTTGGCAAGGTCGCATCGCGGGAAACTCACCCAATCATCTCCTGAATGCAGACACTATCAGACTCGGCTGATCAACCAATTATGTTTTGTTGCTAATCAATGCTTTCTGGAAGTATGTCTCAGGCGACACCTCATATCCGGCTCAGACTCCATTCAAGATGCTCCCTTGCTTCAAGTTTTGTTGTCATGCTCCTGCTCAAAATGGAACCAAGCTCTGGCATCTTCGCGGGTTTAATGTTCCTCTCCATCTTTATTGTAGGTCCATCATATGGCGACCATATACTGTGGGTTTAAAGCTGCAAATGTTAGACTCGGATTTGCTAATATTTCGTCGATGACTCTTGTGCTCGCGTATCTCTCTCTTCTCCTTTATTCATGTCGGAGTGGCGAATGCTCCAAAGAACCACCAAGATTCCACTAGGTTAGCAGATGAAGCAAGTCTTTAGAAAAAAAAGCTGCAAGGTAGAAATTAACAAATTCATGGCCTTTCAATGCGTGTCCTGAAGTCTTCCATGATAGACCAGAATGCTCTCCATGAAGCCCCTCATACGAGCCGGCTTGGAGGAGCACCTTGCAAGGTTTTAGAAACTTCTCCTTCATGCGCGTGCATTTCGTTCATGTCCTTAGATGTCTATCAACATTGTATCTTTTGTGTATAAGTAAAATGAGAGGTAGATCTCTATCAACCCACCTGCTTTGCAGACTTTCGACCTGAGTACAGCACGCAAAACTTCGGAATTTGAGGAAACCACTGCAAATCATCACAGTATTCAAAGTGGCACAGGAAATTTTCCTCCCTCGAAGGTGGAAAGTGGTATAATTAATTATCACAACCAAAACAATGATGCAACCTTAATGACAGCCCAAACAATAACAGTGATAAGGAAAGCAGCACACGCAGTGAGGATGACAGCCACAAGACTAATAGACGCTGCTATCTGCTTAACAGTCAACTTCCACTCCGCTGCGATAGCAGCATTGGTTTCCTTAATTTTGTCGCACTATGTAAGTCAGTAACAATAACACTGTACATAGTGCAATTCAAGTAGAACCATACAAGTATAGTAGCATCAGGTGTCTGCGTTAGGTCAGTATGATGAAGTGATGATGAAGTGATGATGAAGTGACGATGAAGTGATGATGAAGTGATGATGAAGTGGTGATTGATGTATGTAAAAGGGGGAAGTATGTACTTACACTTGGGTCAAGCATATGATGCAGGAACTGGGCTTGATTGGTAAGAAGGGTTTCGGTAGGTATGATGGGATTGCGCCGAGTGCCGCTGCGAGTCTTGTAGTTGGAGGTATGGCGCTTGATCTAAAAAAAACACAGTTCTGTCAGCTGGGATTGACCAACTGAGTAAGACACCATTTGGTTGTGCCCCCCCACCCGCATCGACTGAGAAGTCTATCAAGAACCGGGGATAAACACCGCTTTCGAACGCAGCAAGCAGAACGCTCCTCAAAGGAATTCACAGCCAATGAGTCCACCGAATGTCCCTACAGACTCCGGATTGCTATCAAGAGCAACTCCTTCAAGCAAGATAACCATGTTGAATGGATGAGGCAGCTGTGACTGGTCCTCGTTTTACGCCTCCAATCTTGCAGGGGTCGACAAGGCAAAGTGGGGGGAAAATAACCAAATGAGAACGATGTGTCTTACCTGTTGCTGCTGCAGCTGCTGGGTGGGAGGGGAGGAGTCCAACAGGAATGCCTCGTTGGCTACAGACGACGTCTATATATGTGTGTTAGTCATGTGCTGTGTCAAGCGACCCGATAGGACATACGATGGAACCCGAAAGCTCGGCTTTCGAGAAAGTCAGTACTGCTCAGTCATGAAAGAAAGATATACATACGTCTGCGAGGACTTTCTGCCTCTCGGTGAGGCATTGTTGTGTTGTTTGTGTTGTGTTGTGATGTGTTGTGTTATGTTGTGTTGTGTTGTGTTGGATGTGATGTGATGTGGTGGTGGATGATGGCGGGTTTACAACTGGGAGAAAGAAAGAGCAGAATGAAAGGGGGGTAAGGCCCTTACTTAACCTTTTGCTGGCATGTGCTGACGGACACCCAGATCACTCACTAAGAAGGTTGGCTAAACCCATTGTGAAGCGATGAACAGACGTCACGATGTTGACGAGAGCGAATCGCAGTCAACTGTAGCTTGTGACAGCCCGTCGTGGGTTTAGCCCAGCTACATAGCGCAGTGATTGCAAGTCTGTTGGCACTAGCCAGCGGAGGGGTCCTGCGAAAGTTGGGCATCTTCCTTACACATACTCTGGGTTAGAGGAGACTTCACAGCGAGGCAGGACAGAAACTTGGAAGTGTTGTTGATACTGTAATTAGAATAATAGAATAGACGAGAATGATACTTTCTGATAGCTTGGAACTCTATTTGCTGTTGTTGTAATGAAAAGTGTTGACTCCGGGTCGCAACTGCTTGACTCTTGCGACCGGGAACCTCTGCCAACTAGCACAGGCTCCCCAAGATGCTGGACCGCATGAAGTGTCTAAAAAGCATGGCAGTGATGATTAAACTATCATTCAAAGAATTTTGAAGCACCACATAAGCATTCCTGAGACTAGGAAGAGAAGGCCAGGAAAGCCTGCCGGCGGGCACCAGAGAGCGATGGCAGAACAACTCCAAGTAGTCCACCATTGGCAACGAGGGTAGAACAAAATTAGCTCCTCTGCGAAGCGTCCTACGGAAAGACGATGTTTGTATAAGAATAATAAGATACAGGATACAAGGACAAGAGGCATATGCATCTACAGATGAGGAACTGGCGTGGGGGTTGGATGGACAAGCAGGACACATTGCGACCGTGGGAACGATGTGCGGCCAGCATGCATCCATAAGCAGCAACACAGCACGATCAATTACCAGCCTGACACAAGGAGCAACATTGGGCAGCTCTTGTGAAGATTCAGCGACAGATCATCGGAACAACGCGGAAGTCGTAGAGATATACAGGTGGATGTACCTCACGTTATCCCGAGCGTGAACTTGCACCAAACATCAGCACCCCAGCCGAATATGCAATCAAATACATGTAATACATTTAGAGGCACGTTTATACGGAGAACGAGATACACAAGAGGGTATTCAAGGAGTTCGGAGGGCATAAAGATGAATGTAATGATATTCTGCAGCCCTTGCTTAACAACGAACTCCCACGATCGAACATGGAACACCACAGCGCAGCATATCCACCTCGTGAAAAAAGCTACAAGTGCTAGAGACAATGTTCACAATCCACAAGGAAACTTCGCAGACTACGGAATGAATTGGCTGGATGGTGACTGACGCGCTGGCATTTGGAAATGGGTAGCGTATGAGGCCGGGAGTGCCCGAAGCAGAGCATGGCAGCCACTCAGTACAATGTAACAGGTTGGATATCCTGAGCATCTTATGTCGCATCCGAATTCTTACAATGTGGAAGAAGTCTGTAGCCACCTGCATCGCCGTGTGGCAGTCTCGCGACCTCGGGTGGTGGTATCTGTGCCTCACCATGTGGTCCCTCCCGAATACCTACAGTGTATCTTCAACACTCGTTCGGACACGAAAAAAAAGCTATAAATCAAATACTAATATAAACATACGAGTATTTAAAAAAACGAAGTTGATTTCTAATTCTAAAAAGCAGATGCAGCAACAAATTCCTTGCATAGACTGAGCCATGAGCGAGGTACAGTAGCTTCTTCCCAGGCTGGCCCACATGACGTCGACTGAAAATTGGCCACTGGTTTTGGAGAGGCCAGCCAAAGCGAGACAGTCAGTCGCTGCACTTACAGCGCTAATATTGTCTGCAGTATGAGGAAGATTGTAATTCAATAGTAGATATAGGCAGAAATAGAAGCAACAGAAACTGCCCTGCTCTTTATGTAAAGTAGGTCGTCAGGAATTACTAAATACGCGTTAGTTTTGGGGACGACCTTAGGTGGCTGGGTGGGCTAGAGGCTGGAAAACCTAAGCTCGCTAAGGTAAGGTCCCTAGCTCCTAGCTAGCCTAGGTAAAGTACTTTAGCGAGGCATAGTTATCTGACTTAGACCTGATAAAGTACTTTAGAGGGAAATTGGAAGAGTTGGAGATTGATTATGCACGGGAAAGAGTCGGCAAGGAGAGGGTTGAACACTTGAAGGTATACGGTATCTTGTGAGCTTTGAAAAGACTTGCTTGGCTTGTTATGTCTCGGTTAAGATTTGTCCGCGGTTTGCTTTTTCAAAGAACTGCCGAGGCTTCTTCGCAGGAGTTCTCAATCTTTCATGCTTTCGGTTGAGCAAATGGTTTGAGCTTGCATCACCGATACTGTACGGGGATATCTCCGACCCCATGTGTTGAACTGCGAGGATCTCTGATGGGGCGTGTACGGGGGGATCTTGGCACGGCAGTTGTTGTCCTATATCGCGGCGACATCCCAAATTGAAATCACTACAACATTGTACATACCTGGAGTAAATTTCTTTCCCATCAATTGTTGTCATCTTGACTAACTGAAATGGACAGTAATTGCGGGCGCTGTAGACGGAGAGTCACAAATGCGACCTTGAGGATTGACCAAAATAATGCGATCCATTCATTCGATACCCCGTATCAGCTTTGAGTCTAAAACGCACTCCCCTCGGTAACGAGATCTTAAGTTTCGTCACAGAATCGAGGCGTTAAGCTTCCCCCTTTTCCAGAAATAAAATCTTGAAACCCCATAGGAGGAGAAATACCGTCCTTTCGCTTAAATATCCCACCCAACTACATGGGACGAAACTGTATCTTCGTCTGATATCTGCCGATTAGTTTCACACATAGATTCTCGGAACTCAAAATCTACTGTACGCAGTTTAGAGTCATGGACCTAATATATTATACACTCTTGGAAGCATCAAAGGATTTGCGGTGTTGTTAATGGACCGAAAAGTCCGCCACGACGTAACTATAAATACTGTGTCGATAGCGTTGACATTGAGATCACTACTCCATCCAGCCTTTCATCTATTTCTTCATATTCATCAAGACCAACTTCGCACATACCGCAAAAATCCATTTCATTCCATCTTGAGAAGATTCCAAGCAAATACCAAAACATTTCCAGCTTCCATCCACATAGTCGCCACCATGCAATTCTTCAACCTTCTTACCTTCACCATCATCGTGGCCATGGCATCCTCCACCATAGCGGAATGCACCTACGAGACTGGCAATTACATTTCTGTCTGCACACAAGGCGACAATCTTTTCTGTACAGGTGACACTGGGATCTGTCAGAGTGGAAAGACACAGAGCAAAGACGATGTGGCGAAAAAGGCGAATGAGGATGCTTGTGTTGGGTTGAAGAAAAATGATGCGTGCAGAGTTACTGTCAAATGCTGTTAAGGAGAGTTTGGGTTTGTGTTTGGCACCGAGTCCTGCTCGGGGGAAGGGAGGAAAGAGAGGAGAGATGGATAAAGACGAATAGAATCTGAAGATCAACAGCCAATGTTCTCAAATGCTTCATCTTTCAATTGGTCTTTTTGTTTTGGTTAGTATCTTCTGTCTGCTTGAGAATATCTGTCTAGAAGAATATTCTGCGAAAGGAATCTTGTCAGCCGCCTCGTCTCGACTGTAGACTATTCACAGTGTTGGCTGTTGCACAAGCAGGATTACGCCGAGCACCAATCATGTTCATCGTAGTTGAATGAATCCTTCTCTGTGACCCCGTTTCTACATCTTCCCCTGAAACTTAGTGACGGTCTTTGAATCTGTAATATAGGAAAAATGCTTTCAACAATTCGTTGAAGTAAGAGCATGCCACATCTCGAGCGAATCTCATTTTGCAGGGGATGGCTACTTCTACTAGGGAAGATTTAGATCTGTGAAAATGCGCAGTCCCTGGGTGATAAATACGATCCTCCTAGTGGGAAGTTGCAACCTGACAGCGCCAAGAGTGGGGTCACTGTGTCACCTAATCAATGAGTTCTCAGCGCTTACAGTGCGGACAACACCAGCATTTAATGTCCATATGCCCCGACCGACAGGTCAAATTTCTAAGCACTTATTCCAAGAATACCTTGAAGCTTGTTGCAGTGTGCGGAAATTCAACTGCCAGTCAACAAGACGGGGTTTTGACGAAATCACCAGCAGCCGAGATGTCGAACAGCCAAAATGCATATATTGGCATGGATGTCAACGTGGTCCCTAAGCCTGCAGCTATTATTGACATAGCCAAAGTTCAGAAGCACTGCAGCTCCATGCTAGAAGTTACAAAGGACTTGGGCGTAGGATTTCGAGCACATGTCAAAACACACAAGGTGAGTCCACCCTGCCGCCACATCATGCTAGACTGATATTGACCTTGACTTCGAACAGACGAAAGAAGTCACAGAACTACAACTCGGTGGCTCAACTGAAGAAGCCAAACTGGCCGTATCGACCGTCGCAGAAATAGAACATTTACTGCCCCTGCTCGAACAATATCTCAGTCGTGGACGAAAGGTCAACGTTCTCTACGGCATTCCTCTCCCACCATCTCAAGTTCCCCGAATTGCCCCAATAGCTAAGAAGCTGGGTCCAGGATCGCTCTCATTCATCATTGATCATCCTTCTCAGCTTCCAGCTCTGTCAAATTTCCATGAACTGGCAGGATTCCCGGCCGGAGTGTTCATCAAGGTAGATACAGGCTACCATCGAGCCGGGCTTCCAGCTTCATCTCTCAACAAAGGAGGTCTCGTCCAAGAGATCCACCGCCTGGAATCTGATTGTCAGGTCTTATTGAAGGGGGTGTATTCGCATTCAAGTCTCAGTTACCAAGGTGCCAGTCCGCGAGAAGCTTTGAACAGTCTGACGGGCGAGATCGCTGGGTGCATTCCTGCCCTCGATGAGCTGCAGAAGTTCTATACGTCTGGTCACGATTTAACTATCAGCGTTGGAGCTTCTCCACAGGCGAATTCAATGGGAAATCTCTTGGATAAGGAGCTGTCTGAGCCCGGTATCGCAACCGAATTGCAAGATTATCTGCGAAGCTTGTCCTCCGGAGAAATTGGGGGATTCAAAGTTTCGCTCGAGGTCCATGCTGGCGTATACTCAATCATGGACTTACAGCAGCTGGCTACCCGAGCTCGGGAATCATTCAAAGGACATGAAGACGAGATCGCGTTGTCAGTCGTTGCCGAAGTGGTCAGCGTGTACAATGACGGCGAGAGGCAGCAGCCAGAAGTTCTCGTCGCTGTTGGGACTCTGGGACTGGGATGGGAGCCCTGTCATAATTATCGCGGCTGGGGAGTCGTCAGTTCTCGAAGCTCTCCCCATTTAATGGCTTCTGAGCGTCGTCTGATTGTGGACAGAATTAGTCAAGAACATTCCATCTTGGCCTGGGAGGTCGCAGAGGGGGAGAATAAGATGTCACTGCCTCCGATCCCACTCGAGGTTGGCCAAAGTGTCTTCATATATCCCAATCATGCTTGCGTGACAGGAGCTATGTACAGGTCGTACTTTGTTATAGACTCAGCAGAGACGGGTGCTGAGAATTGGGTTCAGGCTGTCTGGGATCGAGCCATTGGATGGTAGAACGACTTTGCTCTACTGGAACGAAATTCCATGAAGTGCGATGACGATAAGTTACCTGACCATCGTGTCGTGATTTTGGTGCTCGTTGCAAACGGAAAAGCAGTAATGTAGACAACATATTTGCTATTGACCCCCTTTTGACTCGCTTAAACTTTTGTAGATCGGATGAAGCGAGCCGGTGCCATGAGGCAGGGCACAGCGAAGAGCAGGAAATGTGTCTTGAAGCTAAAGTACAAATTGCTTAACTCTCTAAGCAAAAGAAAGGGGGTTGATGAGTATGAGTAGAATCTGCTGGCATGTAACTTAATCTTCGTTGGGAATGCTGCCCAACCCAACCCCAAGAAACATCCCGGATGTGGCAGGCCTATCCTGGCTAAGCGAAAAGAAGGGGCAAGAGGAGTGGGAAAATCCCATTTCCACATGCTGGCAGATCGTGATAACAACATGCAGATGTCAATGCGAAAGCTGGTCATAGCGAGGCAAATTCCTGTACTTGTTCGGCTTTCAAGTGTTGCTCAGGTCATGAGCAGCATGACCGAACTGCCAGCCATGACCAAACGAGCCGCACCACTTTTCTGGGCGAGAGAAGATCGTTACTACTAACCTCGTTGTCCATCCTAATTATCATTTCTATTACAAGAAATAATTCTCAACCATTGAACCTAATGCAGTAGCTGGGATATCACTTTTGCGCAAGGCGTGAGCTGTTCAGTGTGCAGATGTAGGTATTTGGACATAACAGCCCAGCACATCCAATAACATCATTTTATGGAATCGTGGCGTCGCTAAATCGAGAGTAAGCCGCATCTCAGCCGCGATCATCACAAGAACAAATCACAAACTTTATCTGACGCCTCTGCGAAGGGACGGGTCGATCTGGGATGATTTCTTGGTTCCTGGCGCTTCCCCGCATTTGATCACCAACGAAACGGCGAGATGCACATGTGTTGTGATGCAAGAACATTTGTCCTTGGGAAAGTCAATCCCAGCTTTGGCATCTTCCAATCTATCAGGAGAGCTTCTCCGCAATCAATTCAGTCTGATCCCTCGGTCGCTCATCCCATATCTCTCTTAGAAAGCTTCAAGGCTTGAGGAACAAGACTTCTCAAGTTTCTCCCAGGGACGCTTATCTCTTGTCTTTCATCACGTCGGCGGAGCTTGCCAAAGTATCGCATGGATAACAGGCAGGCAGGATTCTGCATTGCTATGACTTTCCTTTTCCCATTTCGCATTCAGCCTTCTTCCCGTCCACGGAAAGGCTGCCAATGGCGGCGTACCAAGATTCAACCTCCTCCAATCCTTTGCCACATTTCGTTTGTTTACCTATCAGAAATCATTGAGGTAAAGCAATCAATCTGGAGCGACCTCTTGCCAAGAATATCCCGCAAGTCTAGATGAGCGCCATATTATCATGATCAACAGCTGTTGGGCCCTTGCTTGCAAGTTTACCTTCATCGGTCGTGGCGTGATGGAGCTTCCTTTGAATCCCTTCATAAGAGAAGCTCCGCCCCAGCTTGAAGAATTTCCCTTAGGTTCGAGAGCTTCCAATTTTGAAGTGTAGAGATCCAATATACCAACACAGCACGATTGGTTTGATCCACCTCAGCAACAATGGCACGCTTCACTTCTACCTTTGCCTTGGCTTTGGCAGCCTTTGCCGGCGTAGCTACTGCGCATAACAATAATGGCGGTCGTGCTACCATTCGTGTTCGACCAACGCAATGCATTCAGGTTAGAACAAGCCAAATTTTTACCAAACTTCAAGAGTCGAAATGGATTAGTGCTAATATCCTGGACAGCAAGCTCTCAGGACAGCTCCTGCCGGCTCAAAAGTAATAGTCGATGAAGGGACATACTATGAGCAACTAGAGATTACAACGGATGGTATCGAGTAAGTGGTGGATATTGACATATAGCCTAATTCCGAGCCGTACATATCTCGAACTGACTTTGCAATCTCTAGACTTGTCGCACGTAACTCAAATGTCAAGCTCATTGCTCCTCAAACCTATAAATCAAATTTCTGCTCCGGTCTTGCCGGCCCCAATACCGAGGCCGGAATCTGCATCCATGGCTCTGGTGTCGACTTGGCGGCATACCAAACGGGTCAAGAGCACCGAGAATTCAACGGAGTTCAGAGACGCGTCAAAGGAGTCTCCGTCACGGGATTTGAAATCAAGAACTTCAGCGGCTTGAATATCGCCATTGTGGCAGGCGAAGATACCCAAATCTCGAGGAACAAACTGGTGAACGGACAGAAATACGGGTCGCTTTCCGTCGGCTCGATCAACACAAAGGCGTCACGCAACATAGTCTCCTCGACTGATCCCAAGCTGCTCTTCATCGGCATGTGTGTGGACGATACGCGAAACCCCAGAGTTTCTGACAACAACGTCTCGGGATACAGCACGGGACTCTGTGTTCAAACTAACGGTGCTCAGATCCGCAACAATGATGTATCTGGATGCTGTAGCGCCATATTTGTCGACCCTGCAATCGTTGGAGCTGAGGTCCGGGGCAATCACATTGGAAAGAATGATCCTCGGTGCTTCGACCCCAAGCTCGGCGGTCCTACACCTGGTGCAGCCTTTGGCATCTTCGTGTTCGGCGCCAATGACACGATTATACGAGACAATTTCGTCACTGGGCAGACGAAGCAGGGTGCTGCCCACCCAGATGAAGTCTTTGCCACGGGTATTGTGGTCACTGATTTCGTGTTCCAAACATTTCCCCGTATACCTGCGAGCGGAAACACCATCAAGCGCAATACGGTCACTGGCAACGAGTTCGACATCTTTGTTGATGCTACTGGTCCAGGCAACGTTGCCAAGAATAATGTGTGTAATGGTGCTGTCCCAGCCGATGCTTGCACTCCACCATAAGTGCTCGCGAAAGGTGTGGAGGATGGCGAGGGATGGTTTGGGGAGTGTCTTCTTCTCGGCTCATGTTTTTACTTTCTCTCGCTGAGATGCAAAAGTATTTAATGTAATGGTTTAATGTCCAGCTGTGTATAAGTACGTTAGCACAAAATCCATTGCTTTTGACCAACTTTTATTAGAAACAATGCATCTGTGTTTAGATCGTTCCTGCGTCCAAGCGAGCAGGAAGGTCAACGAAGATTAGAGGAGTACTATTGCTCGGTCCAGCTTGGACGGCACAATTGATCAAGGCCAAAGAAGGGTCTTGACTCCTGTTACGTCGTAATGCAACAGCTGGACTGACTCGCTGTTCGGAAGCCCTGTCTGCCGACAAAGGATTATCATTACGAAGAGAAGACTCCTGAACGTGACCTCACATGACTGTGTGCTTCCAAAGAACAGATGTGGGCGTCGTAAAAATTACACAATTTCCCCCCGAGTATGTGAAGAAGCTAAATATCAATCGTTGTTTTGCAATAGTGTCGGGCATGACCGGAACACAAACCGGCCTTTAGTCAGAGTCACGTGCTGTTAAGGTAGCTCCGCCTGATGGCTCCTGACCAGGAACGACATGTCTTGGAGCTCACCCCGGTACAACAAACGAAAGTAGTGAATATGATGGCTCTCATGTTCATGACCAAAGCACCCATAGCCGTCAAAATGATTCTTTGAGCTTTGTCGACGTCACGCTCTCGACGTGTGCTTGTTGGGTGGAGAACGAGAAGTGGAATGGATCTGAAACCGAGAATAACCTTTTGAGTTCGATATCCAGTAGTTAAAAAGTTCGCCTTGAAGATTATGAAGCCTGTCAAATCCTTGTGTTATCATCTTGGCTTCTATCCGCGTATCCGGATGATTTTTGCTGGGAACAGATGTTCCCTCGTCTCGCAGTGCAAGGTGTAAAGTTCCGAGACAATTGATGCACAGCAGAACTTCCTGTCATCATTCCACGATGCAAAGCTGATTTGTTTTGGTCGCTTTGCGAGCCAGAGAGCAGTCAAAATCAACCAGCTCGGATTGATCATTGTCTTCATCCAGCGCCAATTGTGGCGTCAGAAGAAGCTTTTGGCCGCCGGACTTGGCTCCCATGATCTCCAATGGCAAGCTTTTGCGGCTTCAAATTCCACGCCTTGACTGCCCAAAATGGTTCAGTGTTTCTTGGCCACCATGGATGTTCGCTTGGCTCCGTCATTAAGATATGGAAAATCGCGTGCCAGAACAACACCTCATCTTTTTCAACAACACTTCCTCTAAACATGTTGTCTCGGAAGACTGCGGAAAATACAAAAATACTGTCCAGCGACAATGCTCGGATTGCACACGAAGACACGGAATTGGCCTGTGAATAACCAGACGGCTCGCTGCCGTGCCGGTTTTGCGCGTTTTGAAAATATGACAGCAGTGGATTCGATCTCACCTGACTGGATGTTTGTCAGGACCTCCATTTCTATCCGAACAGAGAAATCCTCTATGTGTAAAGGAGGCGCATGAAAATGAGATCCACGTGTGGTCATGAGCAGCACTTATAGGATGAAGAGAGCGCCCCTCTTCATCTGAAAATTCATTCCAGAGGTTCGGCAGACTCCTGTCATCCACACTTCATTATCGCGCCCCTCAGATGGCCTAACAATTATAACAGACTTTCCCACAAAGGAGTTGTTATTGGACCACGCCACCTGCTTCAGGCCAAGATTGCGCGGGCGGATGCCTCCCTGGCCCTGCATATACTAAGCTTCCTCGGCGTATCCGCAAGCTTTTGCCAATATCTCCCCGTCATCTGGGAATAGATGTCAAATTGTTTGAGGTCTCTTGAATCCTCATTCAATCAGCCTGCTCACACACCCCACGTGTTGATTTTGTCTCCATATTTCTCAATCGCGGGCTCGGGGTAGTGCCCGCTTTGGACGCTGGGATAAGCTCTGGGGATGCTTGATTGGTGGTGAGGCGTTTCGTCGGCGGTCGTCCAAATGGGGATCTGTTCACACGAGCTGCCCAGAGGTCTGGCACCGCCCCTGGACAAGAAGTAAATATTCCCGCTAACACGAATATTCACCTGTTCATGCACGTTTGCCTTTCGCTCTGGTGGCCGGAGTACTTGCTACGGGGCGATTCGAACATGTACATATATTGGATGCATCCCCTCCTGCATCATGATCCTGTAGGCTACTCCCCAGGACAAGACCCTCGAAACTACCGATACAATGGCTGAAGTCAGAGCAGACGGAACTACAGCAGGCGGTAACGCTGCCTTCCACAACTTTCACAATGACTTCGCACACATCCAAGATCCTAACGAGCGTCGAAGACTTGCTCTCGCAGAGATCGATAAGGCTCCCTTTGGATGGTACCATGTTCGTGCTATTGTTGTAGCCGGTGTTGGTTTCTTCACAGACCAATATGATATCTTCACTGCGTCTTTCCTGACCATTATGTTGGGCATTGTCTACGAACATGGCAACAATGGAAAGCTTCACGTCGCTCAAGATACCGCCATCAAGGTCGCCACATCCGCAGGAACCGTTCTTGGACAATTTGGTTTCGGAGCCCTGGCTGATATCCTCGGACGAAAGAAGATGTACGGAATCGAATTGATCCTGATCATCATTGCCACACTCGCGCAAACCATGCTTGGCACAGGACCTGGAGTTTCAATCGTTGGAACAATCATTTTTTGGAGAGTAATCATGGGAATCGGTTAGTGTCTTCATGCACATACGAAGCTTCACAGTTTGCTGATATCCATTACAGGTATTGGTGGAGACTACCCTCTATCATCTATCATCACCTCCGAGTAAGTACTGCACCGGAATGATGCTACTCATGACAAACAATTGACCAGTATTTAGATTTGCAACTACCAAATGGCGAGGAGCAATGATGGGTGCTGTTTTCTCCATGCAAGGTTTCGGTCAACTTGGTGGGGCTCTTGTCATGTTAATCGTCGTTGTTGGTTTCAAGGGGTCCCTTGAGTCTGCTGCTACCTATGGCAAATGTTCTGGAGTCTGCGGTTTGGCTGTTGACAAGATGTGGCGTATCCTTATCGGTAAGAACTCAGCAATCCCGATCCTCTAGATCTTGTCTAACAATTTGTCTAGGAATGGGCGCTGTGCCAGCTGTGATTGCACTCTACTTCCGCCTCACCATCCCTGAAACCCCCCGCTACACATTTGATATTGCTCGAGATGTTGAGAAAGCCAACGTCGATGTTGCAGCTTACATTAACGGCAAGCCATCTGGCGTAGTCTCAGATGATGCAATCGCACATGTGAAGCAAGATGCAGCCGCACTTGAGGTTCCCAAAGCGAGCTTCCGCGACTTCATCAGCTTTTACGGCACATGGAAGAATGGTAAAATTCTACTCGGCACGGCTGGATCATGGTTTTTCTTGGACGTTGCTTTCTATGGTCTTGGTTTGAACAGTGCCACTGTTCTTACTGCTATCGGCTACGGAACAGGTCCAACTGTTTACAAGATCCTCTACAACCTCGCTGCCGGAAATTGCATCCTCATCGCAGCTGGTGCAATTCCTGGATATTGGACCACCGTCGCAACTGTTGACACTATTGGACGCAAACCTATTCAACTCGGAGGCTTCATTATCTTGACCATACTCTTCATCGTATGGGGTTTCGATTTCAAGAACCTCTCTGGCCACGATCAATTAGGGTTCTACATCCTCATCCAATTCTTCTTCAACTTCGGTGAGTTCACTGTATTGAAATTTTTCCTACCTCAAACTAATGGTCTCTCAGGTCCAAACGCAACAACATTCATCGTCCCCGGCGAGTGTTTCCCAACACGATACCGCTCCACATCTCACGGCTTCTCCGCCGGAATGGGCAAGATCGGATCCATCATCGCACAAGCCGCCATCGCACCTCTCCGTACTCGCGGTGCGACCAAGACCAACGCCAGTCCTTGGCAAAACCATGTCATGCAGATCTACGCCCTTTTCATGTTCCTCGGTATCTTCACCACGCTGCTCATCCCTGAGACTAAGCGCAAGACTCTCGAAGAGCTGTCTGGAGAGTATGATCTCAAGGGAGAGACTATGACTGCTGTTCCTATTTCAGGGGAGACTAAGACGGTGGGTGGAGACAGTCAGGAGGCGAAGAGTCTTTAAATGTATACATAGAAAGGGGGACATCGTGTAGCTGCATAGTGCCCAGTTGTGACGACTTGCACGCACGAGTCTACAATTTGAACAACATCAATAGAATTAATTTTCTTTGTAATAGATCAGCATTACATTTTCAAAAATAGCCGTTACATCATTTTCAATAATTTATTTCATCCAGAGTAAATGTCTGTGATGCTACCTCATGGCTTCGGTAGTCTCTGATTCCGAATAGTGCAGTCTCACAGGAGTAAGTGAGGATCAACACACCAAAATTCAGGGGCGCGTATATTGAAGCGATGCCTGAAGGACCTGTCAATTCGGACAGCCACACACGGAAATCGCTAGCTAACAAGACATGAATTGTCTACCAGATGAGGAATGATTCTGATTTCCCCTCTGGTCACAGTGTGAGATCATTATCACCTTGAACCCTTCACTTTCGAATTGCACGGTATTTGGTGAATATGATGTGGGTGGCGATGTATTTGACATTGTGTGCTGTGTTGATGGCTGCAATTGTTTGCGGGAGTGTGCTAAATGCGTTGGTCGTCGCCCCAGATATCACCGGATGGATATCAATCTTCACGATAATTCGTCTGCTGGTGCTCCTGGAGGTGAAACGACGACGTCTGTGGAGGAGAACGAAGCTGTTGGGGAGTTTGAAAGTCGGGTTGGGTTTGGTGATGTTGGAGATGAGAGATATGTACGGTGTATTGCTTTTGCGTCGGAGAAGCACGCGAGGAGTTTGGAAAAGCAGAAAATATACTCGTCATTTCGATTATGAAGAACACGATATCATGAGACACATCTTTATTCAATTACTTTTTGTGTGTGATTCAATACAGATGATTCTTCCTGGGTATCATACGACAACATGGCGGCGTATGTGGTATCCTTACGTTCCTCATCAACTCTAGAAGATGTCCTATCATTACCCATCACCTCTCATGAAATCTCAAGATTCCCAACCTGCGACAACCCAGGCGTAGCATCCATAGCCTCATCAAGAACTCTCATACCACCAGCATCATCCCAAGCGATTCTTCCTTCCATAGCAGCTTTCATGAGATCCTTATTTGCGACTTCTTTCTCGCCCGTAAACGGATCCCACTCAAAGCCTTCCTTCAACCACATCCATCTCAAGTAAGCACGTAGCTCTTTATCTTCTGGAACGACACGCATCCATTCAGGCTGGAAGCCTTCTTCGGTACCCTCACCATTGTATCCACGAGCGACGCCGCGTAGAACGTCTCTGCAGAAGATTCGCCAGGAGTCAATGGCATAGGGACCTTGAGTCATGTGTCCTATTTCCCATGCTGAGCGCTCGTCAGAATCAAGTACGATATCGCCTTTCTTGATATCACGACCAGATTCTGGTTCGGGGTATCCACGAACTGGGTAGCGTTTGTCCTTCATAGGTGGGTTTTCGAGCCATATTTTGGCGTACATTTGATAGGTTGACGCGCGTTGATTTTGGAGACCTAGATGCCGGATAATTGGGACAATGTCGTGTTTGCTGGCTGCAACGAGTACTTCTGGTGTGGGATACTTCTCCATCAATTCATAGAAGACTGGGATGGCGTGTTTCCCATGTGTTCGGATGAGAAATGTGACGGCAATGAGAAGGCGAAAAGGATCATGGGCTAGTCTCTCCTGGATCAACCCAAAGTATGGGGCAGAGAGTGGAGGGAACGGTATACATGAGACTGTATTTCCTGGAATACGCTTCTTTGTAGATCCTTGGGATGAAGGCACTATGTCCTCGTCTTTCATAGGCGTAAGCTGTTGAGAACTTTCAGCGCCTAGTGCTGCATCTTTCTTGACTTTCCGTGCTTTGGCAGGGGTAACTGGCGGGCTGAAATAAGGTGACTTCGCAGGAGCGTTCTTGACCTTGGCTCTCGCCTTTGTAGGAATGACAGCCTCGACATTCTGCTCTATCTTCGGAAATGGTATCTCCGCAATATCTGGGACAGGAAGTGTGTTTTTGGGTGCAAATCTCCCTTTCGCATCTCGCTTAGCTACAGTTGCTTTCTTCTCCTGGGTGGATGGTAGACAAGAACGATTCGGCTGCTCGATTCGCGTTGCAGATCCTTGCAGTGGTGATGATTCCAGCCGCACGAATGCACTATTACTTGATGATCTATACGCACTGAAATCGATACGCTCTGGAGGTGGAATGGGCGTTTCCTTCTTGAGGCCAGGAACCAGTGCTGTTCTTGTGCCTCCGAACGCTGCTGGGGTTGACGCAGACCGCTTTCGAGTCTGAACCACGTTTGAAAGAGAACTCCTCGGCGCAAATCTTCCAAAGGCGTCCCGCACAATAGTTCTTGAATGTGTAATCGAGGGGGGCTCTGACTTCGCCTTCCGTTTCGATGGCGTAATTGCCTCTCGAAATGCAGCTTGCACCTTTGCTCCGTCTCTAGGTGACGCCATGGGTGCTCTCCTATGAGCTCTTTCACACTGAACTCTTCTATCTCGACCTGAAATAGCTTCCAAATATGCTGCTCGCACTTTTGCAGCATCTCTCGGTGAAGCACTAGACGCTCTTCTGGTTATTTTTGGACGTACTTTGATATTATCGAACTCATCACCACTGTGATCCCAGTCAAGAGCTCCATACTCGGTCATGCTCCATTGAGAGCATTGAGATGCATTGTCGTCCAACATTCTAATATCGATGTCTATACTTCTCAGGGGTGAAGAAGCCGTAACTCGGCCTCTGGACGGCGTGTGAATGACAACTTGGGGTTCAAGTCTTGGTGGCGTAACAGGTGCAACAAAAACTCTTCCTAAATCTACAATACAACTCTGTCCCAGGAGCGTATCACCACCCGTAGAGTCCTGGTCTCTTACGAGTGACTGGAGTTTGACGCCTCCTTCGAAGCTTGGGCATCGACTTCCGAGCCAACGCTAGATCGCTTTCTTGTCTTGTCCCGCTTCTGCTTCTTCTCGGAATTTGCGTTAGGGAGCTCAAGCAAAGGCTGTGTGGTAGGCTCTTCGAGACCAGTCATCTGCGCATCCAGTAGCTTGTTGATGGATTTTCGCTTACGATCTCGAGATTTCTTCTTCGGGGGCTCGGATTCCTGGGAAGCTGTGGCTTCTGCCGTCGCCGGTTCAAGTTCGACTTCGACCTCTGTTTCGGATGTCTTCTTTCGTTTTGGAGTCTTCTCCGTTGGAAGAGTCGCTTCAATGGCCACTCGCTCGACGACATCGACATCTTGGATTTTCTCTGCCGGTGCAAGATGTGTCTCGGTGTGTGGCTGGAGTACCTCTTTGCTCACTTCTTGATCAGCCCTCATAATCCTACTGCGGACTCGCTTCTTCTTTCCAGACTGTTCAGTCACTCCTTGAATGTTGGCATCAGCAGGCTTGGTAATCTGCGAGTTCACATCCTTGGATTTTTCCGAGCGCCCTAGCTTTCGTGCAGCTCGTTCCTCAGCGATTTTCAAGGAATCAGCAGACTCGATATCGGGAAGACGATTCTTATTCCTCTTCTTCTTGCGCTTCCTTTTCTCTTCCTTGTCCGCCACAGTTGAATGCCCGAGGCCCTCATTCTCGATGCTCTTCTCGGCAGCAACAGCCTCCTTGTCTTCACTGAGTTCTTCCGCAGATGCGTTCTCAGTTTGGGGCTGAGGTGACATTTTTTCCTTGCCCTCTGTTGGAAGATCATTCTCTACCTGTGGCAATGGTGAAATTTCAACCTTGGTGAAGTAAGAAGAGGTCGTCGGACCTTGCTTCGCTCTCCTTTTCTTCTCTTTCTTTTTTTCGTTTTTGATACGCTTCGCAGATTTCAACTCGGACTTCGATACTGCCGCTGTTACAGCTGGGACTTTCTGATCAAGTTTCTTCCTCTCTGCTTCCAGGAGGATTTGATTCTTCGGATCATGTGGCTCCTCGTCCTGCTTGACATTCTTGGCCGAAGTAACAGTGCCAGGAGACGGACTGGTCACTTCAACGGCTGCTAAACCCACTTCCTCGGGCTGCCTATTCTTCTTTCCTCCGCGTCTCTGGCTCGTAGGAGCTGCTTGCTCGGCTTTGGTCTGATCAACAGTGTCCGACAGAACAGATCCAGGAGGCTGGGTATCCACTGCAAGAGCGGTTTCCTCCACATTTTTGCGCTTCTTCTCCCTACGTCTCTGTCTCTTCGCCTTCGGCTCCTTGATTTGAATCTCCTTATCGGCTTCAATGCTATTCACGAGAACTGGTGTGGGCGCCACGGTAGCCTTCTCCTCTCTTTTTCTCTTCTTCTGCCCACTGCCAATAGCCTCCGTAACCACCTCAATAGTCTCCAGCACCTTCTCAAAGATTTGCTCGATGGGACCAGCCTGAGCAATCGGGATCCCCTTTGAAGCTTTCCATGTCCCCATTGCACGCATCACCTCGACTTTCGCAAGATTAATACCTAGACCCGCAGCTTGGGCAAACTCGAACACGTCATTCTCAAACTCCAGGGCCGCCTCTTCGTCGAGTGTTGCTTGGGTCCAAAACGGGTGTTCGGCAGCAAAATCTTGGACACTGGTCTTGAGTTGAAGGAGATCATGGGCGGTTCTTGGGGAGTTCGTGATGGTCGAGAGAATGGAATCGTTGATCAATAGCGCATCATTAGCGTCCTCCTCATCTTGGTCTTCTCCGTCGCCGGACCTTGAACTCTCAGGTCGTGGCTGGCTAGATGCGGGAGCGTCGTACTCCTGTTCGTAACTTGTCAGTAATCGATCTACAACTGCATCTCCCGTTCGCAACTTGAGCACTCGAGCTTCGACGTATGTGCATTAAATCTGAGGTAAACGTACCATATATTGGCTCAATAACTGACTCTCTGTACCCTGTGTCGAGCTCGGAATTTCCAATCTCCTACCTTTCAACCCACCATCAACAACCCCTCCTTTCTGCCCACTCAATCCATCGTCTTCGCTCGCAGATTGTCCATCGCTACTCCTAGCATCGTTGCTACTATCTCTATCGCCCCAAACTCTCGCCGGATCTTGCATGTCGAGTAAACTCTGTTCTCTCTCCGAGAAACTTTGCGCCGGATGCTTTGCTTCCCATTCAGCAAAAGACGATATGTCCGAGTCAGGGGTATTTGACATGAAATTTCAGTGGTTCTACTTCGTAGAATCGTAGGGAAGAAAGATCTAATGGCGAAGAGAAAGTACAGAGAACGTGGTATGGTGCGAGGAGAATTTCCAGGTCGCAGAGGTGAAGGGAAGCTCGACATATTTTTTAGCCGAGGACTTTTCTTGCCATCGAACTTTATCGTGAGCGGGTCCAACATATGCCTCTTGGTGAATTCCGGAGCAGAATATATTGACACTGGCACTACTCTTTGAATTTCATAGTCACAGGGATTTATTTGAGTGGTTGTTTTGATTTCAATATTGGCACAGGCGCATCTAAGACTTTCTACCACAGGCTTCCAAACTGAAGCATGCAGAACCATCCCCACTCCTCTCCCCACCACTTTATACAGTAAGCGCACTAGTAGAACATTGCTTTCCCTCCAGCTGCTCCGGATTAACAAAGGAAATCCTCTCCAATTGCATTTAGTGACGGCCGCCCATCTTAGGTGGGTCGTAGGCAATCTTTCTCGTCTTGATTGTGACCCACTTGTATCTCTTAACCCAGACGCTCAATGCAAACAAAACCGAAGAAATAGCCAAGACCTTCAAGCCCATCTTCTTTCTCTGGTCCATCTCTGGCTCTGCGGCCCAGTTCAAAAACTCCGTGACATCCTTTGCCATTTGTGATGTTGAAGCTGGGGTTCCATCCTCGTATTCGACGAGCTCGTTGTAAAGAACTCGAGCCATGGCAATACCAGTACCGGGGAAGTAGGGGTTGAAGTTGAGTCCGTCTGGAACCTTGACTCCCGCAGGAGGCTCCTCGGGGTAACCAGTCAACAAGCTGAAAATGTAATCACATCCACCGTGGCGGGCCTTGACCATCAAGCTCAAATCCGGAGGAAGAGCACCGTTGTTCGCAGCACGCGCAGCTTCGTCGTTCTTGTAGGGGCTTGGGAGATAATCGGAAAGCTTTCCAGGTCGCTTTGGGATTTCGCCCTCGTCATTGGGCTCGTCATCGTACTCATTCTCCTCTGCCATTGCCTTGGCCTCATCGACGGTGTGGGTGACTCCGACCAAAGATCTGTAGGGAATTCGGCTGAGGGAGTGGCAGGATGAGCAGACTTCTTGGTAGACTTGGAATCCACGGCGGAGGCTGGAAATGTCAATTGATTTCAACTTCGGACAGAAGGAATTCCTTACGCTTGATGGTCGAAGGTCTTGGTCCACCCAGCATGTACCCATGGGTATTTGGTGGCATGAAGACTGTTATGCGTGTCAATGAAGCTTCTTTACCATCTCATCATAACACCCAAGAATGTGTTGATGAACCATCCGGCCCGTCATCCACCCATCCGAATCTGCCCCAGAAAAGCTTACCCTTCTTCAGCTGGTGTCATAGCATGCAGCTCTGTGCCATATAGATGATAGTACCAAGCAACCGATCCAGCAGCAACAGCAGTAGCAACTGATCCAGCCACGTTCAATCGGAAAGGAGAATCGGCGGTCGAACTCGAGGAAGAGGCGGCACGCTGCAATATCTATCGTCAGCATTCAATTCCGTCATATTGTCCCTTCCCCGTCTTCCGATTGCCATCGAGGCCGTCCTTCGCTCCTTTGGATGATGAGTTGTCGTACCTTCGATGTGTTCATTGCCCCATTCCGAACAGCGCCGACCGCGCGCGTCGAGCGCAAGGTTGATCTGGCCAACATCCTGAGTGCGATATGCCTCAGCTGGAGATCACTTCGCAAGAGATGTAGCAACTCAATTGGGTGGTGTGAGTCGAGATTGAGGTTGGTAGAGGCGACGGCAAGAGTCGTTCGAATTTGTTCCGGGTGGATTGACGGAGCTAGCTGCTTAGAAAAGAATGGATGGGATTGGCTGAGATTGCATCGATTGATCGCAGCACGTGATATTGGTATGTTGACCTGCCATTGGCCCGTGTCATCCCGAAGCTTTTTGAGGGGAAGAACCCTTCTCATCTGCTCTCTAGACTTCTGTATATTATGATTTTCGTGTTCTCGAACGGTTCTATATTTATTCCTGAGAGTTGGCTCACCCGGAGCACGCTTTCTCTCTATATCACCACCATTGGGTTGTCACCAGAGGTTCAGGACAGCTCTCGTTTGGCAGATCCCCATTCGATCAATATCCGGTCGCCAGATCATACGGTCAATAGCAGCAGGTCGGCAACTGTACCGAGACTTGAATGTACAACCAGACGCATATCACTATTCTTTCGAGCACGATACAAGATGAGGGGAATAAGTGCTCCAGCAATTTAGATGCCAAGAAAGCTACATTCTATGGGAGCCGGAATTGAAGCCAATTCCCAAGCATTATCTTCATCTTCACTGACCTATTCCGTCTTTATCTCTTCTGCATTCCTGTTAACCATCACCGGGGTATACTCCTTCCGCATCCCTTTCACACCTAGCAATTTCCCAACAACCACCGCACACCACAGCAAGAAATGGCAAACAGCCCATTCCAGTACTCTTCCCAAGCTCAACCTTTCCAACCAGCCCCCAAGTACAGGAACACTTGCGGACTGAAAGAAGACGGGGTAATTGTCCAACTCTAAAAATAGTACCCACAGCTGTAAAATCAGATACCAATCTGCTTGGTTCTGTTCAATGGCGTAGGAGATAATGCCGCTGAGGTTCCGGAAGAAGATCTCTTTCTGACTGTCCGTGGGAGAAGTCCATTCTCGGACCACAAGATCTTGCTCGGCTAGCGATTCCAATCTTGGATTCTGGGTCTGGACCTCGGAGCCAGAGACAGCAATGGACGATAGTCCAAAATCGACACCGAGAGCCTCAGCTCGAGAGGCACGCTGCCATTCGTGTCTCGCGTATCGTGGGACTGTCACTACACCATCTTGAGATGTGTAAATGCGCGTCACTTCGTTGAGAGTGATGAGTGCAGCTCCTGATAGGACTTGGAGATATTCCGTATGCGTTTCATGCCTGGATTCGCATTAATACATGTATTTCTTAACGTACATAACCGCACAGTTCCATGAATGAACCTGGAAGTCTCGACAATTATTGTTGACTCTTGACCAGTTGCAACCCAATAGGAGGTGACATGAAAGGAGGGAAGCAAACGCGTACCAATGGAGCCCAGAAGTCCACGTCGATCCAATAGGAATAGTAATTGTCGTATGCGGCGATGAATATGGAGGTGATGGAACCTCATACGTGACGCTCGAGGGCCCAGAACGACTGAAAGTGTGGGGGTGGGTATTCGAAGTGCGGGGCATTTTAGTAAGCGATCAAAAGGTGCAAGTTTCTCGCTGGTGGGTTTGAGAACGAGAAAAGTGAAGATGAGAAAAGAATTAGACATAAGCTGGAGCCTATATATCCATTTCTAAATGACAGCTCGAGTTGTGGTTGATAATCAAACCACCGAGAGCTGAAAAGAAAACGCGCATCCCCTTACCTGTGAGGCATCTTCGCTTAGAAGATCGCCCTCCTTTCCCATTCGCTAATGGAGTAAACACCTACCAATTTATATAGATGTCCAGGACGATATCTGAGATAACCCACCTCGACCAAGATCGCCTGTCTGACCGACCTGTATCTTTCGTTGTCAAATCCCATCGACAGTTCTTCCCTAACAGATCTCTTCTGACATTTCCACGTGACATCTCGCACGTGGTTGGGCTGTTATTTTTCTGGTACGCTACATCTAGCTTCTAATCTAGACAGCCCGGGAGTCTGGCGAGAACTTCTAGCGGATCAGCTTAATATGTACAGAGCTGAATACAGATAGCGGCCTTTCCAAGAATCTGGAACCTAAGTACCATAATTCATATCTAGCCATTCAGCTCTAAGAGCACTTAGCCAGCCCATATTCCAACCTAGATTCTTTATTAACCATATGACAAGTACTCACACAATCATTATTTTCTCTATCACAGTCAAAATATTTGCTCACATATATCCCTCCAAACTTTGTTTTCTTCGTCTGAATACTCAACTCCAGGAAAAGGAATTATATACTTGCTCGCATACGTACGCACATAAGCTCCACCCACAAATATACAACCCAATTTCGGACACTCATCAGGTTTTCCAAAGTATAATAATAGATATTATCATCTATCTTTGGTAAGAGGAACGGAAGAGCAATCCCAAAGACAAGAAATTCAGAATGCCCTTCATCGGCTCTCTCGGTGGTCTTTTCACCAAGTCCAATAGTACGGCATCCAAAATTCCCATACCAGCAGCAAACATATCCGAAACTCTCAATGAAGAGAAGAACAACAAGACAATCAGGCAAATCACCATCCCTCCACCACCGCCAAATCGGACACATGGCCGCTTTGTGTCCGATGAGGAGACGGGCTTTCTGTCTCCTTCAGACGAATCAATTCCAGGTCCAAATCCGTCTCGAGGGTCACACAATTTGAGAAACTCCACTGGATCGATGAAATCAACCCAATCTACTGGTTCCTGGAATCGGAAGAGAATAAGTAAAGACGACTCAGTGCGAGACGGCAAGTCAAGCGACCATAATGACAGCAAAAAGAGGTTCTTCTTACAACGGAATCCATTACTGGAATTTGACCCAACGCGAAAACTGAAGTTAATTATGGATGAGAGTAGCTATACCTCTCCTCCAGCCACATCATCCCCTTCCTCACAATCTCCTTCTTCAGCTGCAGCACTACCTGCCGACCAAGAACAGGAACAAGAACCAAAACAAAACACACCTCCTCACCACAACAACAACCCAAAAACAGAAAAAGAAAATCACCCAATTACCAAAACCTCATCTAACTCAAATATCCAAAACGAAATTGAAAAGACTGAAATCAACCTCACCAACCTCCAATCCCTCTCCCCAGATATCCTCTTCCAACTCCTCACCTCCTTCCACGCCTCTATCCGGCTGCAAAACCGACAGACTCCATTTACCGCATCGCAATTGCAGGCCGTAGAAGAGATGCTCTCGTATGCTAGTACGATGGGTTTGTGTGGATCGAATGAGATTGCGAGGAAGGGCGTGGGAGGGTGGGAGGTTATGAGGGATGTTTGGGAGGAGGTTGTGGATTCTCCCTGTGCGTCGATATCTTCCCTTGATATTACGAATTCTGGTTCTTGGAAAGTGCTGAGGAGCTCGAGAAGTAGGGGGAGGGTGGAGAGGATAACAGGACAGGAGAGGGGGGAAATTCAAATGGAGATGAAGATGGAGATGGGTAGCGAGACAGGGGAGGAGAAAGGGAAAGTGGGAGAGAGAAGGAGTGTTGATTCGGGGATTGATATTAAGGGTTGTTCTGAAATCTCCTTTGCGAAAGGAGATCAGAATCCAGTCAAAAAGACACAATCCGAATCCAAGGACAACGAAAACGGAAACAAAAGTCTGAGAGATATCATATTCTCTGGACTCTATAGTCCCCTGGCTAGATCCTCACAACCACGTCCACCAACATACCCACAAAGTCACATCTCCCTCCAATTCGCACTCCAATTCTCACCCACCACCCTCCTACGCACCATCCACTCCCTCATCCAAACCAAAGGCCCCCACTTCGCCACCACTGACCTCCTCACCACCGAACGCGAAGTAATTAACCATGTTCTGGCATGGAAATACCTCGTCCAAACATTCGTCGTCGCCCGAGAAGAGTTAAGCGAGGATCTCATCACGCGGACTCATGGCATCCTTATGGCTGGTATTGCACCGCCGGCGAGAGATAGCTTGCTTTCGAATGGCGATTGTGAGGGCCAGAATGAAGAGGAGAAGGATGTTGCGAGGAAGAGGGAGATGTGTACTCTGATCAAAGATTTTAATCAGAGAGTAAGAAAAGCTGAAGAGAAAGGGATGATCGATCCCGTTGCGCTAGCAGCGGAGTTTTGCCATAGGATGCTTTCTATACCTCTTTTTGTGGATGGAAATGGGAGGGTGGCGAGATTGGTGACAAATGCTGTGCTTTTGAGGTGGGTGGGTGTTGTTGCGGTTTGGGGTGTTGATTTTGGGACTCAGACTACTGCTGATCGAGGTGGAGCTGAAAGCAAGGAGAAGGAACGGGAGAAGGAGGATAAAGATGCGTATCGGGGTATTGTTGAGAGGGCGAGATTCGCTGAATTGCGGTGTGCGGAGGACGAGAAGGAGGACAAGGAGGATGATGGTGAGGATGGTAATGGGGATGGAGAGAAGAAACCATGGGCTGAACTGGCGACGTATATACTTCGTAAGTGTGTTGCTGGTGTAGAGGGAGTTTGGGATGTCCTTGATGATGAGGAGGTCGTTGGTGTGGTGCCCGGGTGGGAGGAGTTGCTTGTGGAGGGGTACTTGAATGTGCCTGCTGATGAGGGAGAGTGTGATAATTGGCAGGATGATCTGCTGGGTTGTTATCTGAATGGCGAGGATAAGTGTGCAGGTGTGTTGGAGGGTGCGAACCGCTCAAAAGACTCCGAGAGTGAGGACGCACGTAAAGTAAGGTTACTTGTCTGGCCCAATCCACCTCCGAAGAAACGACTTCCGCATCTTGAAGTTTTGGAGCCTCTCGGTATCCCAGATTGGGTTACTGAGAGAGCAAGAGATGGAGTCTGGTGGAGTGATGTAGATGAAGAACAGCCCCCTTTCTTGAATTTCGAAATGAAGGCGGCCAGTCTGGTGACGGGGCAAGGTTTCGTAGCCCCCAGGATTCATCTGAAAGGGACTGAAGAAAAATGAAGTGAAGAGTTTGGGCTAGGGAAGAGTCTCTTGAAAAATTGGGGTAGTCTTCAACGAGGTTAGCATGGCGAGAATGGGACGTTGGGCTGCTGGGCTGCTGTTGCATAGAGAAGTACCGTGTCAAATTGCAAAGTAAAAAAAACCCTTTATCATGGTCAAGTCGAAGCTCGGAACACATCAGGGGATCTTAGAGGCGTAGGTAGCAGTATACCAATTCCGTTTGGCGACATGTAATTAGTGATCAACATCCTATGCGAGAACACATAGGGCAAGAAGATGAGACAAGGATATTGCAAATCCAGCTGCCTGGAAATTATTATTTAACACCATAGCGTAGGCAATTAATCATCATCAACGCGAGCCAACAAGGCTGGGATATCATCAACCGTATTCCGACCTTCCAGAATATCTGGAACTCGAGTTAGCTTCACTTCAAATATTCTGGTGCAAGGAGGCTTACCAAGAACTGCTTTGAACAGAGGATAATCTTCCTCCTTTCCTTTCGACTTCAAAAAGCTATTAACTTCCACCGCTGTACTGGTACCTTGCAACTTTTGGCCATTCAACTCTGTCTTCTCGACTTCATCGACACTAATGCCCTTCTCCACAGCCATCTTGGCACATCTGAAATTTCTGCCTCCACTGCAACTGGTAATCAGATCTGCAACACCGCAACTCTCTTCTGTGAATGTCGCTGTGTTGACTGTTTGTCCGAAGAACTCCTTCCCGAATTTCACCATCTCCAAGAGTCCGACTCTCATGACTGCGGCTTTGGCATTGTCTCCCCAGCCTCGACCTTCGACGAACCCAGCTGCCAACGCAACAATGTTCTTCAAAGCACCACCAAGAGAAACACCTGCTACATCCGAGACCATACGAACGTGGAAGTATGGTCTGTAGAAGAGGGTCTTGAAAAGGGCATGGTCGAGAGGTGGGTACTCGTTTGGCAAAGCCTTTAACTTGATCTTGCTCGCTCTTCCCAAAGCATCCTTATGTGGCTCATCTGCGGGTGTGATTGTAAGATTGATCGAGGAGGAGGAAGGAGATGGGCCTGTTGGGGTTGCTGCTCGAGAATCGACCGGAGGAGGGTCGTATGCAATTGTGGTCTCGCACCATTTCTCAAGTGCGATTTCGTTTGCAATGTTCGCACCAGACAGAGCACCACAGTAGATTCCTAGTCCTTCGCCAATCCATTCGGAGAAAAGGGAGATTTCTGACGACGTGACATTTACACCCTTGATACAGGAGATACCGCGTGCAAAAGGTAAAATGTTCCCTTCAAGTTGTTTAGATATGCGTCCGATAAATTGATGGGGCAGGTTGAAGATCAGAATAGAGGAATCCTTTGCGGCGTCCACAACGGAGGGGTTCGCAATGATGTTCTTGGGAAGAGTTATGTTGGGCAGGTATTTGACGTTCTCGTGGTAGGTGTTGATGACCTCAGTGAGCTTCTGCGGGGTGTCGCCTTTGGACGCGTTGTAATGTTTCGAATCTTTCGAGAGAACGACCTCCTCCTCGTACACCCACATCTGCACATCTTCCTCGAAAATATCAGGATGCTCCTTGGTGTTCTCGGCGATGATCTTCGCAATTGTTGAACCCCTTCACTTGTAAGAACGTTGTTTGATTATAGGATGAATTGCATACCAATTTCCTGATCCTATGATCGTGACCTTGTGCTTCTTCGAATGTGCGCCGAGGGTGGCCATGGTTGCTTGTTGGGGAAGTTGGAAATGGTGGGAAAGTGAAGTTCGTGGTGCAGCCTTACTTGCTCGAGCTATGATTCTAGAGAGCATAAGCTGCTGGGGAGTTAGATATTTAAGAGCGATTGACGAAGGGAGCAGGAAAGAAATTTTGTAAGTGGGTGAGGCCCGAGGCTGATGTGAGACAAGTGCGAATGGCTTTGGTCTTGTGCTCAACTACTGAAGACAAGACGAGGCTTGAGATTTTGTTGCGTTGAGCACCGAGGATGTCGGCCGCGCCGAGCAGGGTTGGAAGTTGCCCGCCCTTGCCCAGAAAGAGTTTAGTGCGGGGATTGATGGGATTTGTACAGGCGGGAGGGCGAGTTTCCTGCTTTCTTGCATGTGAAGAGACGAGACGAGCATGGGAGCGACTCAAAGGGAGACGGGGACGGGTCCAGTAGAGGCCGCAAGGAAACCCGGTTACGTGAGTATGGAATTTACGAATTTACTACGGCAGCTGGCTGGGGGGGATGTCGTGTCCAGCCAGAGACCACGAATCCAGGACGGACGTACGATATGTTCTACTGTAATGGAAGTAAGCATGAACCAAGACATGCCAGCCATCCACGTGGGAAGGGAGCTGCCAAGCTGCAATTGTACTTCAATGGAAGCATTAAACTGAATTGCACTGCACTGGTGAAAAATACGTTTCTAGAAATGCGCGACTTTAGAGTCTTGTGGATGTTGTGGTCGATGTTCGATGTTCGATGTACCTGACTCAAAGACACACAACACAAACAATGGACAAGCGAAGCACGGAGGATGAATGTCAGCTCCCAACTGTGTTGTTGCTTGACAACAGTCGAACCTAAAGTATGCTGTAAAACATGAGATCGAGTTAGATATCCTATTCCAAAATGTCTCAAATTCCAAAACGTCGGTCACTACTTTATTATGAAACGGATCCTTGCAGGGGCAGCTTCTCCTGCGTCCGGTCTTCATTTGCTGTTCCTGGCATGACGTCGATGCCGCTTCGCCCGCTTGGATGCTCTCGTCCAAGCTCCCACGCCCTCCCAGCTCTCCTCCCACCTTCCTTCCAATCGCCCGCTCCAGCCTTGCCGCAACGGGTGCCTTTTCTGCAGCTACTATCAACAGAACGGACTAGCATATTTATTTTCCATCCTACTGCTATTCACGATGTTTTCACCGTCTTTCACTCGCACCTGTTGATTACCTCAAAACACCACCTCTTTTCCTAACCTATTGCCCGTTGTGCCCAGGCTGTTGTGCCGCTGTTGATCTGGAATCCCCCACCCATTTAACAATCCGGGAAAGCTGCTGCATCCTCAACAACCAATGCCACCGAGGACAATGGTGTCAAACGAAATATATTTACTGCCATTGAAGGACGATGGGAGTCCGGATGTCCCAGGCGGATACATCTACCTGACACCCAAGAGCGAAGCACCCTTAACTGTCCGCTTTGCAATTGAAGGCACATCATCAATCTGCAGACATGGCAGCTTGTGGACAAATATTCCTGAGGAGGGCAAGGAATTCCAGAGAAACAAGTTCCGGGAATTTAAGTAAGTCGATCCAGATCTTTGGGAGTTACCCAGCTGACAAGTCTCAGACTAGAACCTGACTTCAATCGGACCATTGAGATCTCGGTCAAGATCCATGGCGCAGGCTCATTTGCCTTCTATACCACCTACACACCTCTTCCTGACCTCTCCGAAACCATCCAAAAAGCTCTCGAGCCTGCGAAGACCGAGATATACTATATCGATGTTGCTCCTCGCCTCACTCTGGAGGGTAGGCAGATGCCATTACCGGCACTCTCCATCTTCTCCCTGATTTCCAAATTTATGGGCAGATATCCTACGGACTGGGAGAAGCACATTCGGGGGATCAGTGAAAGAGGATATAATATGATTCATTTCACACCACTGCAGCACAGGGGATCGTCGAATTCCCCGTACAGTATTTACGATCAACTCGCTTGGGATCCAGAATGTTTCCCTAACGGAGAGGCTGATATAAAGAAATTGGTTCGCAGTATGGAGAAAGACCATGGCCTACTGGGTTTGACGGATGTGGTCTGGAATCATACAGCAGACAACAGCAAATGGCTGCAAGAGCATCCAGAGGTCGGATACAATGTTTCAACGGCGCCGTGGCTCAGAGCTGCTCTAGAGCTAGACACAAGTCTTCTGGAGTTCAGCGACACCCTAGCATCGAAAGCAACTGACATCAAGACGGTTGATGAGTTACTCAAGATCATGGAGGGCATCAAGACGGATGTCATTGCAAAATTGAAGCTCTGGCAGTTCTACGTTATCGACGTGGTACGCGATGCTGATGCCGCGGTTCAAGCTTGGACAAAGGGAGATATCAAATTTCCTGAGGGCGGGTTTGGAGGGGACGACTTTGGTGGATTGGAGACAATTAAGACATCAACGCCAACACAGATGGCCCTTTTCTTGACCAAGAAAGCTTTGCTCAACACCGACAGCCTCGGTGAGCGATACAGGAGAGCCGTCGATCCTCGAGTCGCTGCTGCATTACTCACAGCCATATATGGTCGCTATGAGGGAGATGACTCCGATGGCGCAGATCAAGGAGCTGCGCGAAGTAGATTGACAAGCATCCTCGACGAGGTCAACCTTCCTCTGTACCAAGAGTACGATAAAGATATTGCAGAAATCCTCGAACAGCTCTTCAACCGGATAAAGTACGTGAGAATTGATGACCATGGTCCGAAGCTAGGACCTATCACTAAGAAAAGTCCCATCATTGAGTCTTATTTCACGAGATTACCGAAGAACTCCATCACAGCCAAGCACAATCAGGAGGACCTTGCATTGGTCAATAACGGGTGGATCTGGGCTTCAAATGCCCTGATTGATAATGCAGGCCCGGAATCTCGCTCATATCTTCGGAGAGAAGTCATCGTTTGGGGCGATTGTGTTAAGCTTCGGTATGGCAAGGGCCCAGAGGACAGTCCTTACCTATGGGACCACATGGCGAGATACACTCGTTTGACCGCCAAGTATTTCACTGGTATCAGAATTGACAACTGTCATTCCACACCTATTCATGTCGCCGAATATCTCCTGGACGAAGCCCGTAGGGTACGGCCTAATCTTTTTGTGGTCGCCGAGCTGTTCACTGGATCCGAGGAAATGGACTATGTGTTCGTCAAACGACTTGGAATTAGTTCATTGATTCGAGAAGCCATGCAAGCTTGGGGAACTGGCGAGCTCAGCCGACTTGTTCATCGCCACGGTGGGCGCCCTATTGGTAGCTTCGAAGTAGATGAGATCTCTACAGAGACCAAGATTACCTCTCCTGGGAAGACAAATGGCCAAGCCGAGCGGGATATCATTCGGAGGATCAAGCAGACACCAGTCCATGCGCTTCTAATGGACTGCACACATGACAACGAGGTGCCAGCTCAGAAGCGTGATGCTCGCGACACCTTACCCAACGCAGCATTGGTAAGCATGTGTGCTAGTGCAACTGGAAGTGTGATGGGCTATGACGAGGTGTATCCCAAGTTGATCGACCTTGTCTCCGAGACTCGACTGTACACCTCCAAGTCTTCGACGAAGCACGTTGAGATTGGCGGTGGTGAAGGTGGAATTGGTGGCATCAAGAAACTTTTGAACCAAATCCACACCCTCATGGGGAAGGATGGCTATGAAGAAATTCACATTCATCACGAGGATCAATATATTACTGTCCACCGAGTTCATCCCGAGTCGCGAAAGGGTTATTTTCTGATCGCACACACTGCTTTCCCTGGCTACGGCAACGGCAATGGCGGCTTCAGTCCTGTGCACCTGAGTGGTACCAAGGCTAGACATCTAGGGAGCTGGATGCTCGAGGTTGATACGAGCGAAGAAGCGAAGAAGGCCGTAGCGGATGACAAAAAGGTCTTGAAAGGGCTCCCAAGTAAAGTCATTGACTTGCCTGGCATCCGAATGGAGGCAAAGGCGGATGAGACTGTTATATCAGTCCGCGACAAGTTCCCTCCCGGAAGTATTGCGCTATTCGAAACTTGGATCCCTGAAGCAGAACATTCTACCGGTCTAGATGCATATGTCACATCAGGAGCAAAGGCTGCTTTTGCCGAGGTGGACTTGATCGATCTCAACTTTGTTTTGTATCGGTGTGAAGCTGAAGAACTGGACTCAAGTGAGGGCAAAGATGGCGTCTATGAAATACCTGGTCATGGAAAATTGGTATATGCTGGCTTGCAAGGGTTCTGGAGTGTCTTGAAGAACATCATCCAGAACAACGATCTTGCACATCCATTATGCCAACATCTACGAAATGGTCAATGGCTTCTTGATTACATCTCCGGACGTCTCGAAAGGATCTCGAGCAAGTCTGGATTTGAGCGGCTGCTGAAAGTGGCTACCTGGATGAAAGAGCGATTTGATGCGATAAGAAAATTGCCAAGTTTCCTATTGCCCAGATATTTTGGTCTCGTCATCCGAACTGCTTATACCGCGGCTTGGAATCGTGGTCTTGAGTTGATGAATGAGAATGTCCGCAAAGGGCAGTGGTTTTTACAGGACCTTGCCATGGTCAGCATTCAGCAGACTGGGTACGTCAAGTCGGCTTCTCTGTACCCGAAAAAGGAAGTCCCTTCGCTTGCCGCTGGTCTTCCTCATTTTGCGGTGTCCTGGGCGCGTTGTTGGGGTCGAGATGTATTCATATCCGCCAGAGGTTTGTTCTTGGGGACTGGCCGCTTTGACGATTGCAAAGAGCATATTTTCGCTTTTGCAAGTGTCATGAAGCATGGCATGGTTCCCAACCTTCTCTCAAGCGGGACTAACCCTCGTTACAATGCTCGGGATGCTATCTGGTTCATGTTGCAGACTATTCAAGACTACACCAAGATTGTTCCAAATGGCCTTAGCATTCTGCAAGAGAAGATCCCTCGGCGCTTCCTGCCCTATGACGACACGTATTTCGATTCTGATGATCCTCGAGCATACTCCAAGTCCTCCACTCTCGAGGATATCATTCAAGAGGCCCTACAAAGACACGCCACAGGCATGTCTTTTCGAGAGGCGAACGCAGGTCCTGGTTTGGACATGCAGATGAGCTCGGCTGGCTTCCAGCAAGACATCAAAGTTGACTGGACAAATGGCCTTATCTTTGGTGGAAACCAAAACAATTGCGGCACATGGATGGACAAGATGGGAGAGTCTGACAGAGCAAACAGCAAAGGCGTTCCAGGCACTCCTCGTGATGGCTCTGCGATCGAAATTGCCGGCTTGCTTTACAGCACTCTTGTCTGGGTTTCGAAATTGCACAATGAGGGCAAGTACAAATATGCGGGAGTAAGCACAACTGAACCTGACTTGAAAGTCATCACCTTCGCCAGCTGGGCATCCCGCATCAAAGCCAACTTCGAGAAATGCTACTATGTACCTCTCGATGCTAAGGACGACAAGAAGTATGATGTCAACACTGCGATTGTCAATCGTCGTGGTATCTACAAAGATCTGTACAAGAGCGGAAAGGAATACGAAGACTATCAACTCCGTGCCAACTTCCCCATCGCGATGACCGTCGCCCCTGACCTCTTCGATCCCAAGCACGCTCTCCACGCTCTCACAGTAGCAGATAAAGTCCTCCGTGGTCCTACCGGAATGGCGACTCTCGACCCCGCTGATCTCAACTATCGCCCCTACTACAACAACTCGGAAGACTCGACCGATTTCGCCACTTCCAAGGGTCGTAACTACCATCAAGGTCCGGAATGGCTCTGGCCTACAGGTTTCTTCCTTAGAGCCTTGTTAAATTTTGACTTGATGCGCAAGAAGACGCCCCAAGAGCGTACAGAGAGTTTCCAGCAAATTACTAGGAGATTGGCGGGATGCAAGGCAGCAATCAAGGATTCGCCATGGGCAGGACTGACAGAGTTGACAAACAAGAACGGGGAGTTCTGTGGTGATTCTGTGAGTTCCGTCTTCTTTCTTTGTAGAGACGTGCGCTAATGTTCTGCTTCCAGTCTCCAACTCAAGCTTGGAGTGCAGGTTGCCTCATTGATCTTTACCACGATGCAGCTCAATATGATGTCTCGCAACTATCAAGAGATTGAACATGAAGATAGAAACGAAGAAACGGTAGACTGCTGCATGATAGACAGATGCTAGCATGATGGAGAATATACCATATGCTAGATGGCTTACAGAACAACGAGGGTGGGATACAGACAAGAGATTCATGATACACGTATACGACTGGGTATTTTCTGGGTTGGGGCTTCAGTCAAGCCGGGTCATGGGAGGCCAATATCTTTATAGCACACAAGTGAGTCGTGTTCGGACTGATGACATCAAGCGTCACAAGACTAGGATGGGTTCATGCTTTTGATTCAATCCCCAAGACAACTCAGAAGAATGAATAAAAAGCATCATCACTAAGAACAAATCCAAACATGATCCTTTCCAATTCCCCTCATCCCATCCTATCTCCTGTCACTCTCCCCCACACCCTCCGGCCTCCAAATCATCGCCCAAAGCCTCACCCCCTCCCCACCCACACACTGCCTTCCCATCCCGTCCGCCTTTCCCTCTGCCAACCTCAACTCCTCTACCGTCACGAACCCAAGTCTCTCATATAACTTCCAGCAGTACTCTGTCGCTGCTTCCAGCCAGATTGGCACTCCTTCTTTAGTGGCGAGTGCTTGGTAGTGCTTGATTAGACGGGTGCAATGGCCTTTGCCGCGGGAGGTGGGGTGTGTGCCCAGGAGGAAGATATAGCTGTGAGGAGGGTGATGTTAGATTTTTGGGGTGGGAATGAGGAGGAAGAAGGGAACAGGGGAGGGGACAGGGGACGTACTAGTATTTTTTGTCGTGGGCTAGGGCTTTGTGTTTACAGGATTCTGTGAGATCGCCTAGATCAACGGCCATTCTCTGTTTAGAAGGTTAGGTTCAAATCAAGCAGGTCAGGTGAACAACTCCTCATCCAGACGTCTTCCCGTTAGTTCTCAGGTGAGAAAATAGGAGTAGATACCTTCTATCGGCCTACCCAAGCTGTGGAAACTCATATAGGGAGTTAACAGAAAGAAAACAAAGGACAAACAAAAGCAAAACAAGACGAACCTGAAACCCTCCCCATCCCAACCTCCACAACACCCTCAACCACCCCGCCTGCCAAGCAGTCCACCAATTCCCCACATACGCACCCTGCGGCATCAACACGCCGCAGCTCTCCCACTCACCACTCTCATTCCCACTCTCACCGTTCCCATCATTAGTAATACACGAAATCGTCGCGCCGTTGAGAACTGCGGCTGTGAGGAGGACTTTGAAATAGGTTGGTCGATAGGCGTCTCTCTCGGAGGGAGAGAAGGATGAGAGGATGTAGGTTATGGTTGGGTCGGTGACGAAGGAGGTGCTGAGGAGGGGGGTGGCGCGGGGGACGAATTCTGTGGGTTGAGAAGGGTTGGTTAGATTTTGTGGATTTGGATTTTTTTTGGGGGATACTGGGTGGGTACCTTTGCGACCTGTGAGGACGGTGGTGGTGGTGTTGTTGTTGTTGTTGTTGTTGGGGGACATGATGAGTGTTTGGGTGTGGGGTGTTTTTTTGTGAGATTATGATATGGTTGTAGTTTGGGATATCTTATGGCTTGATAAACAATTGCCAGTGCAAAACAGTGAAATAACGCGGTGGGGAATTCTAGAACTATAATACTCTGAGTGTGAGATGGGAATTTAAATTTAATTGAGATCGAATGCGAGTTGACGTGAGATTAAGGTACCAAGGAGCTCTCGTCTTGATCTCGCTTGTTGGGATGCAACGATGACCGGCCGGCCGGCTTACAGTCAGTCGTAAGCCGTGTGCTGTGCCGCTGGAACTAGTGCTCTCAGGAAGAGGCACGGAACGCGTCATGACTTGAGATCGTGGAAATGTTGAAGTCGATCCAGATTTTTCGAAGGATTATTATTATTATTATTTGCTTGTGGTAAGGCTGAGTGCAGAAAGGATGGAGGTCAAGCCTGCTATTGTTTACGTCACATTGTCCAAAGGAAGATTCAAAGGTGGCCTGCTTTTCTGTATTTTAACAGCCCTGGTCATTGAATAAAGGGTGCGGTAGCGAATAATCAAGGTACTATTTAACATTATTGGACTTGAAAGGTAAAATTATAAGACATAGGAGAGAGGGATGTGTTTTTTCAAGTGTCGAAGTTGGTACTTGATTAAGCGAGGTTTTGTTTGTCCTGTGAAACACCTAGAGTTTTTTTGAATGGACTTGGATCCTGAAGAAAGCACGGAATTGATGAAATCTAATTTTCTTATTTCATCTTTGTTTCATGGACGCTTCTGAAATAATTTCTTCCCTTCTTTTGCCGGTAATAACACTGCTCGCTGTATCAACTTTGCGGAATCCCTCATCCCCACTTTTCAGCCGCCTCGCGACAACTCATCCTCGATAGCACCTCTTTTCTTTTGGTAGCCCGTAAGATCAACTAACTAGATTTTTTGTAACTTATAGTTTAGACTTTTACCTGATTAGGTGCGGCGACCTCCTCAACAGATCCCTCGTCATCGTCCTCAAGACTGCTATGAGGGAAGTCCGGAACAAGCCATGAAGCCCAGGTCGTGGAAGGAACCGAAGCCCAGAACACAACTGCTGCAACAATGATGTTCGTAAGGAGCGTGACTTCCTTCAGGGAGCCAACTTTGCTTGACAAGGTGTGTCCTAGTGACTCGCCACTTCGAACTATCCCGCTTGTTAAAGCAAGGGTGTCGATATCGGAATCATATGTGCCAATTATCCAGTATACCCAAACAAAAATGACTTCACTTAAGATTCTAGGGGTTGAGTCAGTCAATCGCCATAGATCAATTACAGTATCAAGAAAGAGAGCTTACTTGTAGAAGAAATTATTCCCGGCAGCATACGAGAATCCAGAATCTGACCAGTCCAAACTAATTGATCCCTTCGACGCGAAATCGACTTGTAGAACAATAGTCCAGATCCACATTGCGGAGAAAAGCGCTGTGATGATGAGCCAAGTGCACTTAGCAACCGTTTCAGATCCAGAGCTCTACCAATCACGATGTCGAGGATGGCAAGAACTGTTGAGTTCAGAAATGAGAGCAATGCTCTCGATCGAACCGAAAAGTATGCAGCCATGAAGTTTCCGTTGTAAGTTCCACCCCAGCCATTGCTGATGAAAACCGGGATCAGAAGCCAGACCTCTTTGCGTTTGAAAACTTTCCCGAGAGCTTTAACTTGTGTTTTGATTCTTCGATCGGGATTCCCAATGCAAACTTTCGTGCCGTCCTCTCGAATCACTTTCTCGGGAGGAGAGATCAGGAAGCTGAGTGGCAGTCCAAGACATTGCAGTGCAATGAGAGCCAGATACGTCTTGGGGTCTATTGTCCCTTTTTGCCTGCCATCTATGTTGAGGGCCAGTGTGACCGCGGATGCTGCGACGCCACCAATTTTGTTGATTGCCAGCCAAATGGCAACTGAGGTTTTCGTCAGCAACGAGCAATATATGTACGATTGTTGGACACCACTAACCATACATTCCACGTTTTGCAGGCTCAGGATAGCTAACTGCAATGGCCGCTTCAGCAGTCCAAAGTGCAGATGCCTATTGAGCAATGGATTCAGCCGAAGTTGCTCTAAACGATGTGGATGGAAGTACACTCACCGAAAGACCGCACGTAGCAGCTCCAAATAGCATGAACCATTGAGTGCCGTACACAGTATTACAGTACAAGGCTGCTGAGTACGGCACATAACCGATAGTGCCAAACATCAAAACCCATCTCATTCCAACTATGTTACCAACAATAGCTGCAACTGGCGACAAGAAGATCATGATACTATCGCCTAGAAAATTAGATTACAGCCATCTATGATGAATGAAATGAGTTGGAATAGACAACATACCCAAAGGTAACGACATAAGAATTGTTTACAACATATGGCTCAGCTTGCCCACCTGCGCCAAGATCTGGATGTCAAGTCAATTAAAGCTGACTCAACAGGTTTGAGTTTAGGAAAGCTTCTTACTTGATATTGCACTCCATATTCCGGGTTGGGTGAAGCTGATTAGACCTAAAATGATGACTTGAAATAAGGTGCCGCGATAGAATCTTCGGAGCTTCTCTTTGATCGACACATGCTCCTGTGCTGGAAGGACTTCCGACACAGACATGTTCTCAAGATCTCAAATAGCTCTTGAATAGACAACTCTCACAATGGTAAATGGTTCTAGATCACAATGGCTGAACAAAAAAGAGTGTATCGGTGTAAGCGAAAGAGAAGCTCAAGTTGTACAAACCCAACGCTTTTAATCACTTTCCTGCTCGAGCTCAAATCCTAAAACTCGACCATCTTATCTTTCCATCATATTGGTGTACATGACGAATCCAACTAAGTGGATATGTACGCAATAGCTGCATTTCAGCACGAATACTTTCTGTTAATCTTCCAAGAAGCCATACCCACTTCAAAAGTGGAAAGTGGGTAAACATCGGACCGAACAACACCCGGAGAGAGGCTGACGAGGGGACTTAGAGGTGTCAAATAGTAATGTTAAACAAACGCTAAAGATTCACGATGAATCATTAGAGAAACTGATTCAGCGCGACATGACTTGTGTACGGCCGTTGTTGACAAAACGCTCGGAGACAGTCGCTAAGAAAGGGGGCGAATGCCAAGGCCGGCTGCCGGATAATCTTTGATCCTAAGATGCAGCCGTGCAAGGGTGGAACCCTCGAATACCTCATCGCTATCAGGAGAGGGAACTAATATCGTCAATTAATATTACAATGGCAAGCTTTCGAACACCTGCGTTGCGCCGCATTGTGTTTGGTGCAGCTCCCTATCTGCGAGCCTCACAGCGAAGGTGGGCGCAAGTCCATGATGTGCGGTTCTTGGCCACCCAACAGTCAGACCGGATAATCGAAAAATATAAAGAGAAGCTCGCAAAGAAAGCGCAAGAGTACATCTTTTATCCCAATCTTTTTTGGGTACATTGCTGATAAGTTTCTACCAGGGAAGGTCTGCGGGATATCAGTGAGCTGAAAGAAGTCTATAAAGACAAGATCGAACACCTCAAAAAGAAAGCGTCGATACCTATCCCCCTCGATCCTCTACCAGCTGCGCAAACAACCACCACACAGTCGTCACCCTTTCCACCAGCTCCTCCCCCTCCACAAGCACCAGCCCAGCAGATACCTCCCTCGTCGCCTGGTATCAAAACCCTATCTTCCTATCTCGACATTGAGAAGACTCGCGCCCTCCCACAGAAAGAGCTAGAAGCAATATGGCGTTTACGGCACGTCAATGATCCCCAATCGCTATGTGCCGTCATTCCTATCGATGTTTATAAATCACTTGAGGCAACCGCCAAGAAACACCCACACTTCATCTTACCTCTCCCCAAGGAGGGGCAAGGTGCCGAGATCCACTTCCTGCAATGGACGTTTCCTGCTGAGAATACCGTCACCGTACTCTTTACGCATTTGGCGGAATACAAGTTGAGAGGGGAGTACAGCGAACCTCATACAACTATCACACATCACCTGGAACTTGTGGAAGACAAAGGCGTTGTGCTGTTGCAGGGTCAAGTGGTCGAGGGGAGGGGTGTGAGTGTGGATGAGGCAAAGTGGTTGATCATGTGTTTGCAGAAGTTCTATGGTGTCACCGGAGAGAAGAGCGAGAGGAGGAGGCTGTTGGAGCTCTTTGGGAAGGGTGATCCGGCCTTTAAGGTGGAGGATTTGGTAGAGGAGGCTGAGAAGATCATTTAGAAGATGTATCGGATGCTGTATGTGTACCTTAGGATGGAAGCATAGATGAGAAGCTACGATGGCAGGACTGGCGTTGTACAACTACTGTACTCACATCTTTTTAGCTGTAAGAATACAACGAGATTGATCTCCAGGCCAGGGTTTGTATCTTTACATCCTGGAAGTAATGATTGCTACAGATTCGATTGTATATCTCTGCCGTGGTATTTGCTGACCTGTGTTTCTGCAATTTCGGGCGATTTTCACTCCATACCTATTGATTCCCCCGCCTTTTGTTCATTATTTTCTCAACATACACACTCTTTTCTGCTGCTGTTTCCTCCAATTTTGGATATTCAACTTACTACTCTTCGAAGAAGTTTTTTTTATTTTTTGCTGCTGGAAGATACGGGTATTCTAGGGAGTCGCTACAATCAAATAATGCGAAATGCAGAGAAACTAGCGATTTGATCATCATTTGCCTCACCGTACATTCCATAGACTGTACGGCTCACCCGATGCTGTGAGGGAGGACCTTCGCTAAGGGCGGAAAAGCGGAAAAGATTGCTTTGGAAGGCCCAGAATAGGTATCGTCAACAATGACATACGATCACGTGTATTCGCATTCTGCCCTCAAAGCTGAACAGAATATTGATTCTCCCGTTGACTCCAGTTATCAATTCACGCTAGTCTTTCTCTATGCGAGCCTGCTGCAGTCTCTACAAAACCACAGATCGAGGTTTGTTCTCTTTTGGAAAAACCGACGCAAACCAACAGTTGCAATTCCATACAAGATGTGGGCTGCACCAAAGACTCCTCCCAAGCGTTCTGTTACCGTCTTTGACGACGACGACAGTCCTTCCGCAAAGCGCCGAAGATTTGCGATCAGCCCGTCCCAAGACTCTGATGAGAGTGGTCAAACTCCCCTTGGTATCACTTTTGGAGATACTCCTCGAGTCCTTATTCAGAAGAATGGTTTCGAGATGGAGATTGTAGACTCACAAGACGACGTTGACGCTGAGGAGATTTCTGCTAAAGCAACCAAGCAATTCTACGCAAAGAAGAGCTCTGCCCAGCACGTCAATAACGATAAAGACAGCCCGGAGCGTGCTTCGGTCAGCTCAATCAATATCGACGATATTCCAATTATTGCAAGCCCAAAACATGTCCAGAATAGACTTAACACCAAGTATTTCACATTCAACTTGCGCGAAGTCAAGGCAATTGTACGTTGGATGCGTATGCATCGAACGTACAAGATCTCATCCCACAAGACTGAATTCAATGAACTTGTGCATCACCTTGGCTATAGCAGCGCATCACTGAGTCAGAAAGATCAGAACGAACTGAGAACAAAGCTTCGTACGAAGATGGGTGCTCTACATGCGAACATGAAGAAGTCTGGTGGTAAGTTTCTTGTTCGCTGTTCTCAATCGATCTCAAGGGGACCATAGCAACATGCCATGGCTAACTATTTCAAATAGCCCTAGCCGAGGATTATGATGGATACGAAAGCTCTGGATCTACTGTTTTTCGTCCTCTGCCATTCGAGGAGTGGACACTTATGTGGTACAAGAAAGGCTGGGACGGAAGTCTACATAGACCATACCAGAAGAAGTACGAGGCCATCATGAATGAACGAGGCGATGATTGCGCAAGCTCCAACGACGCAGGAAAGAAAGGAGCCGGTGCGCAACCTGAACAGGACATTGAGAACAGAAGCGAACAAGGACATGAGAAAACAGAGAAACAAAATAAGACGACACTTACGCTCTCCGACGACGAATTTGATGGCACGGAGCTCTTTATGGTTGAAGAGACCTCTGAGGTCACTCGGAAGGAAGACCGCCCTCCACCCAAAGATGATAAGTCCCGAGACGTTGACGGCTGGAACACTTACCTTCTCAACAAGGAGATCATCGACGAGCACGACTGGAATTACCGTATTGTCACTGCTCAGCACTTGGGTATCGACCTTAAGGAACTTGCTGCACTCTACCCCGATCCATTCCCTGGCTACGAGCACCCTCCACGCGAAAGCTCTGCCTTCCCTGTAACTCCAACACGATCTGTTGCGTCTTCTGCCCAGTCCACGCCTTCTACACCATCCCCAGCGCCTACCAAGACCACAGATAGACCTGACTCTGACGAGTCTATCTCTCTAGAGGTTACCGATTCAGAGGACGATAGAGTTCCCGGAACCAGAGCGATTCAGTATGTCAATGATAGCGATGAGGATATGGGTGATGATGAAATGGAGGAAGAAGATCTGGCTGATGATGCTGAGCTGCATGCTGGCCACCAGAGTCAAGGATCCACCACTAACGCTGTCCAACACGCGACTGACACACAAATCACCACTCAAGCGCCCAGTACACCTAAACGTCCGATCAGCCGCCAGTCCCATACTCCGCGATCTGTCACGCCAAGTATCTATACTGCGATCTGGTCTCCAAAGCAGTGAGTTCGATTGTAATTGTCATTGGTCTTGTTTTACTACTTGGTATGCTTTGGTGTTGCGTGACTTTACACATTCTATGGCGATGATAGGCTGTATGTTGAGAGTCAGAGCGAGAAGTGGATATGGAATGCACTGGGTCTGAAATTCCGATGATTGTATTTAGAAATATACGGACTCAAGTCCTACTTTGTAAATAGGTCTGTTTATGTGCCCTTTTCAAGTGTTACGGCTGATTTCCAAGACAAGTCTAAACCAGCTTAGATCCATCATCGTTGCTTCTCCCTACGGAAAGAGGGAATATATCTTCGAAGCTTCTCTAAGGAGCTTTGGAGGTGTCGGTTGAAGTTGCTTCATGTTCGAAAAGATGGCATGTGTGTGTCATGAATTCATATTTCCGTCTCCTCAAGGCCTGCGACATTCATTCACGGAAGGGACGATGATCCCATTTCGGCTCCCGCTTCACCTTGTTGTCTTTGACGATGTCCGACTATTGGTCTGGGAAAGAGGCTCTAAACCCCATTGGGACGTTGAAAACATTCGGATGGTCACCGGCCATACAGGATGTCGGTTCTGACCTACTTTTAGTCCTTTTAAGGTCGGCGAAGGCAGTCCGAATCTTTCCAAACCATTCTATGACTACTTTCGGAAGCAAAGTTTTCACCGAAGTCGCTACAATATGGGTTCGCTTGCTTGGCGGTATTCAGTAGCGAGAATCAGTAGCGAGTCCTGCCTACAAAAGTACAAATACCAAGTTGTCGTCGAGCACTTCTTTTATCCTCCTTCATCCGCGTCCTTCCTCAATCTCGAGATATTGAACACAATACTCAAATAAAAGATCACCTTCTGCCTTCATCGACTCCAAACTACCTTCCAACACCTACAGGATGTTCTCTACTTTCCTCTCCAAGCCTGCGCTGCTCGCAGCCGTCATGCTCCTCCTCGCCGTCGAGGTGGTCAACGCGACTCCCACGCCTGATGGCATTTCCGTTGTCAAGCGTGCTTCAAACATTCCTGAGCACTACGAGATCGTCCCTCTTGTCATCACCGGTTCTATCGATGGCGTTGCAATCAACCACACCGGCACAGTTCAGGAAGTTTTTGCTCAACTTGATGCTGAGGACAATAACTTCAAGCTCTCCGAACTCGGTGCTCATGATGTCGCTGAAGTACATTCTCGCGATACCGTAAGTAGCACATCAAACCTCTGCTCTTTTTTCAATGGACTGACATCTCAATGAATAGTCCTACATCACCGATGTCAACTGCATTCCTGTCAATGGCCAGAACTGGAACCGTGCTAATCAAGGAGCAATTCGTGAAGGCATTGCTTACCTCCGTCGTGGGTCCATGTATGTTTACACACCCAAGACAAGCAACAGATTTTGAATGCAATTTACTCACTGTTACTATAGGGCCTGCTGGATCAATCCTCACAGCTGTTCTCGGATTTCTTGCTCATGGGACAGTGCAATCTACCTATGTAACAACGTAAGTCTTCTTAGTTCCCATTAGCTTGCATACATTGCTCACTGTCATACTTCAGAATAACTACAGATTCGGTCACCCTTGCTTCCAGATTGCGGACTATGCCCAGGCTATCCTCGACAAATGCCAATACAAGAAGAACCTTTGGGCAGACAAGGAAGTCGGTGGTCAGGCATGGGACATCTTAAACTGGAATGTTCCTGTCTACAAGGAACACTGCTAAGCATAACCTGCTGACATCCATCGCTGTATGGCCATAATGTTGGAGGGCACTTTGAGGGTTTTGTTGATTGTACATGCTTTTACTTGGTTTTGGATGACTGGTCTCCCATTCGTGGGGTTTGTGTTGTTTTGACCAAGGATAGTTCTCCTAGTATGGAGTTGTTTGTGCTACGTCTAGGTTAAATTAATGTGCTGAACTTGCTTCCGCATCAGTTCCGCCGTACAGTTGTGACTTGATTGTCCCATTGTAGGTGGGTTTCGGAAAGCGATGATGGTAATCTCCTCTCATGTAGACTGTGCTTTTCATCTCGGAGCTTAATTATCACTTGGGATTAATCTCAACAAATCATAGATACTTGACAGCGTTGTGTATTAGAGCAGGGGAACGCGAAGACTGCACCAATAGCGAGACTATACGCTATTAACGCAAGCTCAAATTGACAAATTGACAAAATTACTTAGTTATGGATTGATGTCGCAGTAGTCAGCATTAAGATCCATCTGATATGACTCACCAGATGCCCCGATAAGATTGACATCGGGCTGATGTGGCCAACTTTTGCCCATTCCTGGACGGGCCTTGGCATTCAATCAGTACTGTAAACATTGCCCCACCTTTCCTGAGAATAGGCGGCGAAGACGTGAAGACTGACGCGGGCCGACCCTCGAAATTTTCCAAGTCCTACCTCTTCTTGAAATGCCAAAATCACGTAATAGAACTGACTTTAGAGTGCAACGCATTTTTACAAATGATTCCAGACTCACGATCATCACTTGTCGTAAAGAGAACTATATCAACATTTCCAATTTTTGGTTTCGTAAAGATGCATTCATTGTTTCTTTAGTTGAAGTCGAAGAAGATCAGGGAGTCAATCACCTTCCTGTCAGGTCTTTTCTGCTCTTGGTCTGCAGAACTATGCTGAGTACCGACCGAATTGGGCCCATGTATTTTCCTTTCTAGATATCGTGACCACCCTTGAGAACGTGCTAGAATTTCCAGAGGCCGCATTTCCCCACAAGGTCCCAAAAATATCTACACCTAGGCACTTTCTGCATGAGATGATTTCCCTATGATACCACCACTGTGAAATCTAGAAGCGCCTGACTGTTAGGACCTTGCCCCTTGTTCTTTCACGAAGACTGAAGCAGAACTAACCTCAAAGTGACATCTTCGAGACTATCATATCTCTGAAATCCACTAAGGGTGGCCATTTATTGTTCGGTTGCCTTTGGCAAATGGCCGAGATGGCACTCCTCTCCGTTGCTATGAGTATGGAAGAAGCATCGACCGAAGCCCTCGCTGTCATTTCGGATCCGTGCATCTGGGATTGTTTCTGAGTTGAATCTACCCGTGAACTTCCAATTCAGTGCAATGTAATCTTTGGCAAATTCCGGATGTGTGTCAAGTAAGCTCTCGAATACCTCCTTGTCATCTTTGACATCACCTTCTGGGCAAACATCCTCAGGACAAAGCGTAGCATATCCACGAGTGTATTCTTCACGCAGGCACATCAATACGGCATAGCATCGAAGCTTACTTCTGAGAGAAGTCATGTTGTAGATATCGCAAAACCATGTCATGCTAGGGACTCTTGAATGCTCATATTGAAAATCTTGAATCTCGTCCATTAGCCGGTTCGCAAGATCGTTCATGCACAGCTTTTCGGCAAGCGCGAATAGGGTATACAAGCCGTGTGAGAACTTGCTGACACCATTGTCATCTTGATTGTATTTGGCAGCAGAAAACGAGGGTATTCGGTCTGGATAGATGTAGCCAACCATTAAGTCGAATACGTCGGCATCGTCTTCAGGAAGGTACATAACTCCTTCGGTAGACCTCCTTGAAGCCACTGTTAAAGGCCTTGAAGAAAAACTCAGAACGGTCGCATAGCAGCTTTCTGTGTACCGTAAAGGTCTTCCGCTTCGGTCCGACATGGATGGTGACGATCTCGGCCCCAAGAGCTCTGCTCAGTAATTAGCAGGCTGCTACAAGATACCAAAGAGATACTCACTCGGCATTGAGCTGAAAGAATTTAGGCGGTGTCATTGTAAGGATATGACTGTTGGGTTGTGGAAAACGAGTCGTTGGTTCTCTGATTCTGTAGAGAAGTGGTCGAAGATGAGTTGAATGGATCTAGAATGAGTTTCGTCGATTGGGGAGCTTTAAGAAGAATTTGTCGGTCTTGCTGTCGTTTCTGCCTATGGACGGAATGAACCAAAGAAGCCAGGGAAGATCGATCTACAGATAGATTTCAGATTTGTGGAATCGAAATAAAGGCGTTGGGCTTGATCTCTTCAAGTGACAATGGCGGTTGGAGACTTTTAAATATCTGCGATCTGCTACGATTGAAGCTAGAAGGCAAGCTAGCTCTCGAGAGCCGAAAGAGTTCGACATCAGATAAAAAGACGAATTCACTCTGGAGACTGAACAGAGTGTTGACTCAAGCTCTTGGCTTGGGTGAAAACACACGTGAATTTTCCTTTTATCACAAGCAAAGGTAATCAATCCACTTTGCTGAGGAGCATACATACCATGTAAATCTACTTGGCTAGCCCGCCTCGCTTAACGATATTTGGAAACTGAAGGATCTCTTTTATGTCGTTCAAGTATCAGAACTTGTTAGCTTCAAATAAACTTATCTTTCAGTAGTACTTAGTCGCGGATTTAAGCCCCACAAGATCATACTGTGAAGTGCCAGCGAGCCCTCAGATATTGTGAGCCAGGGCGAAGCTGGTGCTCATGTGGTCTGGCAGTGGACGATAAGATAACATATGGCGTGTGGAGTCCGGACCGGACCGGACCCGGCGGCGGACAATTTGGCGCCGACTGGTCTGTGGATTCGTGCCTGAAATGCCAGCGTGAACGCGTCCAGTGGCTGCTGTCTACCCTTTGTCTCTCTCCTCTGCAACGACTATGCGTCATGCCGCCATGGGCACGCTACAATGAGATTTACATCTCACAAACCCAGCCGATTCATGTCGCGCTCTTATTATAAAGCTTTTCAGAGCAGGGGACTCAGGCATAACCAACACAAAGGCTTCCGCCGATCGATGAATGCCATGGTTATGCCCGTCTTGCGGAAGCAAAAGGAGGACGGCAGTGGTAGGCATAATCAAGTCCAGGTGCGCAAATATTTGCTCATCTCGTGTCGCAGAGGAAGAAGTGTCAGAAGAAGAGCTTTATTCGTATAGTCGGTACCGGTGGCTGTATAGCATCGACAATTCTCGTACCGCCAAATGTTGAGTTAATGATCCCTAGATGCAACGACAGTGAAAATCTTGCGACACGGTATCGCAAGTTCGATATGCCGGCTCTCATAGATGCAGCTGTCCACGCTGCTGGTAATGGTGCTAAAGCCTGTGAGATTCTCTTATCACCCGAAAAGCTGCAGTAGACAATCGGCCTAACCTACGAATGATCTTAGGTGTGAAGCTACTCAAATGCACCGAAGGTCAGTACAACAAGGCCTTTTTAATGAGTATGGACAATGGAGTAGAGGTTCTAGCGAAAGTCCCCAATCCTAACGCTGGTCCGGCTTTCTATACAACTGCCTCCGAGGTTGCTACACGACAGTTCGTAAGTCATTTATGATGGTCCTGGTGAGCAAGGTCTGACGGGCACTGTTCAGCTACGTACGGTCTTAAAACTGCCTGTCCCGCGCATTCATGCATTTTCTTCAACCCCAGATAATCCAGTTGGTGCCGAGTACATCATCGAGGAGAAGGCCAAAGGCAAACCGTTAGGTAATCTCTGGCGTCACTGGGACACAGAATCACAAATCAGTCTTGTAACTCAGCTCGTTAATTTTGAGACGAAGTTAGCATCGGTTACTTTTCGAAGACACGGGTGCATCTACTACAAAAAAGATCTGGAAATGAAAGGTCTTCCTGCTTATGATTTGGAGGCCGAGTCTCTCTGTACTGATGATCTCACGCAGCTCAACCTCATCCCCACGAAGGAACTTGCAATTGGGCCTTTGACCGAAGCAAGATTGTGGGAAGGTGAAAGATCTACGATGCAATTAGACCGAGGTCCATGTAGGCGTTTAAAAGCCCCGTTGGAATGTGTATCTTGTTGACATATTCAGGGAGCACTCCTCTGTCCTATATGGCATCCATGGGAATCAACGAAATAAAGTGGGCGACTGAAAACGCAAAGCCCCAAATAAATCCATATCGATCTATTGAAACACCAGAATCTCCCAATGACTACATTTCACTATTAAAAGACTACCTTCAACTCGCACCATATCTATCGCCTGGTCCATTCCGAACATCAATCTCCCATCCAGATCTTCACCTCGATAACATATTCGTTGATCCAGATACAAAGAAGATTACCTGTATCATTGATTGGCAGTCTGCTTCGGTTTCTGAGCCGTTTTTCCAGGACAGTATCCCACGCATGCTTATCCCAGTCGACCAGTGTTCTCCCAGTGACCGACTGGATCCCGTCTCATACTCTGACGTAGGAGACCCAAACGAGATTCCAAGCCTACTGAGCCATTATCGCAATATGAGCAGGGCTAAGAATGATCAACATTGGGCTGCTATGAATCTGCACAATCGCTCACTTCTGACCGAACCTACATCTTTGATCTGTGGTGCTTGGAGTAGAAACGACATGTTCTCTCTTCGCCACGCGTTGATACATGTCATTGCTCGATGGAAAGAAATCGCACCAACGACTCTGCCTTGTCCGGTAACATTTGCCGAGCACGAACTAGAGCTTCACAATAGTGAGTTGGAGCTTCATGAAGGCCTTGGAGAAGTGTTGCACCAACTCCAGAACGATAATCTGATCCCGTTAGGTGGAATGGTTCTTCGAGAGAAGTACGAGCAGGCCTCCCTCATCAACCAGAGCATCAAGAAAATGTTCGTTGAGATGGCGGAAACCAAGTCACAGAAAGCTCTTTATTCACGCATATGGCCTTATCAAGACCAAGAAACGAAAATGTCAAAGCCCTGAAACCACCATATAACTCACTTTACAAAGTCTGTTCAGTGTTCCAGCAGCCTTGCGACGGCAATGCACATGGGCGGTGACGGAAAAGTACACATCGATCTTGATCCACAGTATAACACCGGCAGTTGTTGCCCTACATTCATCCGTTCTTCCACAAATAACAAGGACCATCCTCAAAAATGCCTGCACTATTCTCATACTTCTCGTGGATGTGGAAGTGGCATGGTGGAACTCCGTCTTTACCAACAAGGTGGTTACTACCGTCGCACTCGACACATCGAGGATCGCCTTGGCCTGATCAAGATTAGCAGAGAACATTCAAAAAGATTGGAAGAATATACAGTGACGAATGCGTGGGTCTTGTCTTTGCTTGTAAAGCCGAACTGCCTCCAGGAAATCAACCATCAAATCGTCATTGCTGTTGATCAAAGATGGAATAAATCCGTCTTGGACATAGTATGGGTCATGCAGGAGATAGACCATGGAGACAGCACAGAACTTTCTCAGCTTGGACTCAGAGCGACTGTGGTCGTAGATTGCCTGAATCAAAGGACCCTCTGGAAGCTTTCCGACAATGTAGAACCCATTCTGAATGTTGTCCATGACCTTGTTTCTGATCTCGTGGTTGACATCCTATTCGTAAAAGGTTAAGTCAGTGCTGTGACTTCCAAATCAACGGCAAGTTTCATTACAGTACATACAAACTTGTCAAGAAGGGCATAGAACTGAACCAGTCGGCGGAGCTCGACACCTCTTTCACCCTCAGTGGAGAACACGGATACCATCGGGAGCTCGTCGGAATATGCGTAATCAATCAAGACTACAGAAACTCTAGGATCAGTTCTCCCAAACTAAGCAATTCTTGATATGACACAGCGTAATCTGGCGTGGAAATGCATGGATTCTCAATTCAACGTTGGAAGGGGGCCTCAGTTAACCTACGCTTGATGACCTCTGGGTCTTCTTCCGGCATCCTGACATTGGAGCCATTTGGCGACTCTTCACACATCTTCACGAACATACCACCGACATCACGCAAGATGTTCTTGTGAACAGCGAATGGCTCGGTTGCTGGATCCTTGCCAACAACCAAGGTGACAATCTCGTAGCCAAGGCGACGGCTGATGGAGATCTTTGGCTGCTCGTATGCCACAACCATCAGGTTGTTGTTGCTGCTGCTGGCATGCTGAGAGCTGGGAGATGGAGTAGTTGGAGTGACTGGTGTAACGAGCGTGTCGTTGCCATGTTGGCGTTGGCGCTGGTGAGGGAGCTGGAGTACGCGTCAGTTTGAGTATGAGCACGCAGTATGTAAGGCGTTGAATATCCTCAAAGATCAGTCAGGAAGTGAAAGACACCACTTACAACCATTATGGCGATCTGCTTCCCTGTCTGTTGAGCGGGATTGGAAGCCTGTTCCTTGTGGTGACAGTGATCAACAAGGGTCCTGTGTTGACGCGCAGGTGGCGGAGAAGTTGTGAAGCGAGCACCTGCAAGGTAACCAACCTCGCTCCCGGGCTCTCAAACACGTGGCTGAACTAATGCGTTTCTTCTTCTCTTACACCTAGGTAGACTTCAGCCTGTACTCATACCGCCAGAGCAAGGCATCGCAGAACAGGGTTCCATTTCCGTCTGGAGGTCAACACGAGTTCAATTCGCACGTCTTCCCCCCAACAAGCAGAAGATCTGGCACATCGCATCGTGGGTTTCCAATCACCATGACGATAACCGACGACCTTCAAGAGTATGTCCAATCATATTAACAATAAATGTGCTAATATTCCTCAAGGATTGCCGGAAAGGAAAAGGTTAATATCTTCGTTGGTCCAAGAAGGGTCAGATTCTCGGTGCACAGAGATGTCATTTGTCAAGCTTCATATTTCTTCCGAGCAGCATTCCAGGGCGTATTTAAAGAAGCAAAAGATGGATCAGTACACATGCCAAAGGATGACCCAGTGACTTTCAAGCGGTTTTTGGCATGGACCTATGCAGGAAGACTTCCCGAATCAAGAGGAACAACAAGCCAGAGACTCTTATACGACCTTTACATCCTCGCCGAAAAGTTATGTATGAACGACCTTGCCAACAGGACCATAGATCGAATCAAGGAGAACCATGAACACACTTTCAAGATTGCCGGAGCCACGGATCGAAACCTGAAGCATATCGGACACATATACGATCATACAAGCCAGCGCTCTCCTCTGCGGAATCTCATGCTCAGCATCATGGGCCATGACTATTACTTTGCTGCGTCCAAGAACCTTACTGGAGGATCGCTAGTGAGCAGAGAGCATTTGAAGAAGATTTGGGAAGTTGGCCAGAAGCACCCTGACTTCTACGAAGATCTCTTCACGCTGCTACTTCCAATCGTACCAGAGCAGCAGCACCACCAAGTTCTGCGCCCGACACAAGAGCAAGCACTTGAAACTCTCAGAAGCGTTCTGTTTTCTGATGCGAGGTGTTCTTTCCACAAGCATGGTGCTAGGGAGTTTTGCTACTTGTACGACCAGGATATTCAGTCAGGTGAGGAGGACGGTGGGTCTCTGTCAGAGCAGACTTCTTCCGCAGGTTGATGTGAAGTCGTTACAAAGTGTTTTGGGCCTTGACTACGAGGAGAATGGTATCTTTTGTTCTTGTTCTGTCTAGCTGTGTATATCACGAAGGCACTTATCGAAGGAGTGGATACTCACTTTGGTGAAAGGAGACGCCTGGCATGGTTGTTTATCATTTTCATCAAAATGCGGAAACTCTTTTATGTAGCAATAGAAGGGACAAACAGACGCCCATAAATCTTTTTTTAGGCTCCTTGATAGTAAAAACAGTTATTCCACGGTACCCTTCAAGACGCAGAAGCAGCTCAACAAAGGAAGTGCGAGAAAATGTAATGAATCTTCAAGACGGTGCTGCCGAGAAGTACTTCAGGCTTTTGAAAGAGGTGAACAAACTTCCAAGTACCAAATTCTATTCGGGAATTAAACAAGTTCTCGCAGCCCCCGTTATTCACTGACACTTATAAAATTGCCTCGTCGCTTGTCCTCCCTACCGCCGAAACTTGACCTTGCAAATTCCCCCAAATTGTCCAAACTCCTTCACCAATTACAAATTTAGACAACTGAAGTGAGTATAGACACATTCAATATGTCTCTAATATACTTTGTAGAATGCTGACCTGTGGTGCTGGCAGATCAGCGATTCTGAACCTTGAACCCAAAATTGAGCCACACTCAAGCAGGCTAATTCAACGACGGTCGCCACAACGACGCGTGAAGATGTCATCCTCAGCCCCTTCATATCTCGGAGAGTACGTTTATGTTATAATTCTGTAACTTATCACATGAATTGACATGGCTCTAGAAGTCTTGGTACCGAAATAGTCACCATCAACGTTGGCACAGGATCCAATCGCAAGCAGTTCATCATCCACAAGAAGCTGATATGTAGCAAGGTTGATTTCTTCCATAAGGCTTTCGTGGGTGGCTTCAAAGAGAATCAAGGATTAATGGATCTACCAGAGGAGAAGCCAGCAGTTTTCGGGATGTTCGTCGACTGGCTCTACAGATCTGATTCGCAAGTCGGCGTATACACAAGTCAAGAGCAGTATATTGGCTTATTCAAGCTTTATTTCTTCGCTGAGCGGTTTTGCATCGACCATCTTCAAAATCGAGTCATGGATCGCATACTTATCACAATGGCTGGTGTTTGGGAGAACGACTATAATGGGCTTTGGATCACCATTCCATTTGCGGCTTTCATTTTTGATAATACGACAAAGGAAGCACCACTCCGAGCCTATTGCATTCACGAGCTTGCATTTCGACTCTGGGATCCCGCAAACAAATCAACAATTCCAAGCTCGGAAGACTTGTCAACTATCTGCACACATTGGTCCCATAAGGAAGATTTAATGAAAGGATATTTCGAGTTCCTTCGTTCCTCTCCACTTGAAGTCGAGCCGCTGTGGGGTTACCACTGGATGAATGTACCTGATTATTGCAGGTTTCATCGTCATGGAAAAGACGAGGCCTGTTATCTGGTTGTCGAGGGTGATACATTCTTCGGCAGTTTGGACGAAAACTTGCAGTTTGAGGATTGAGAGGAGACTAATGACCTTAATTTCCTGGTCCGAGGTGTTGATTGAAGGTGGAAAGCTGCCCTGCTTTTCGCAGCCCTTCTGACTGCTAGTACTACGGATCCTAACTCATAGCTCTGGCAAAATACAGCAAAGAATTGTCTCACGGATATGCTATTAGGTCACAATTGATTTTTATGAGCTTCGTCTTAGATTTGGGCTCAAAGCAACTTAGATTTCCCACCATCAAATGGTTACATTAGACGAGTGGCCTTCTTTCATTTTTGTTGTAGACTGAAGTCGAGAGTGAGGCAGATATACTGAGAGGCCGCAACATTTGATTCACCTTGGCTCCTCCTCTAGCGTTCTTCTATTTATATTCCTTCTAAGTTCCTCATAAAATTCTCTCCGCAACAAGTTCGACAAGAAATCATCGAAGTGAAGACTCCACGGCCTACACAAGGGCTTCCAAAAAGCAGCAAACATGTCCACCCCTTCTCTAAAGCCATTGGGCGAGTAAGTCTCACCAACAGCATCTATTAAAGTCAGCGACACGTACTTACCAAAATCCAGAAGCCTCGGAACTGAACTCGTCACCATCCACGTTGGCAAGAAGCGCAAGGAGTTTGTCATCCACAAGAAACTTATCTGCGACAAGGTCGATTACTTTCAGAAAGCCTTCCAGGGAAACTTCCTCGAGAGCAACGGTGCCATGTACCTCGCTGACGAGACTCCCGGGGCTTTTGCACTGTTCATTGACTGGCTTTACAAGTCTAACATTGTCAAACACTACACTCGGACTCACTTCATCAATCTTGTCAACCTCTATATTCTCTCGGAGAAGATCTGCCTCAACGACTTGGGTAATCGTGCGATGGACAGAATCAGAGAGATCATGTATGACAATGAATACCTCACCCCCACACCAGCACTGGTATGCTACATCTACGACAAAACACCCCAAGGCTCTCCCATTAGAGACTGGTCTGTGCGAAGCCTGGCATACGATATGTGGGTTGTTACAAGGAGAATTCTACCGGACAAGGAAGACCTGCAGGAGCTCTCAAAGTACTTGCGGCACAACGGTGAGGTATTTGTGGACTTCTTTGCATACCTCGGCAATCTATCAGAGTCGTCTCGTGATAATGTACCACTGCCGAATCTGGAGCCGCTGTCTGAAAAACCCAATCGAAGCTGCGTGTTCCATAGGCACGCTGAGGGGGAAAAGAGTTACTTCGAAACTGTGGAAAGATTGCCTGTCTCAGATTGGAATATAGATGGTATGCAGACTTTCTCAGAATCTGGGTCTGATTCACTTGGCCAGCTGTGAACCGCGAGGATACTGGGGATGAGTTCATTACGATGACGTCAGATTGGTCGACTGAATCCATACACAGTGGAGCGTTTGCCATGCCTCTCATGAAATGTGTGGATGATAGTAGCGAAGGTAATGACGTCCATCTTGGGATATAGTTCGTCGGCGGAAGACAATTCATGCGCATGCTGAGAAGGAGCATGAAGATATTGCTATCCTGCGGGCTTCTGTGTTCTTACGAGACACAACAAAACCCAAATCAATAAAAATTTCTGCTCAAGATAACAGAAATACCAGGTGATGATATTGTGTCTTCTTGGGTGCATAAAACCGCTCCACATGGGATCATTCAGAGGATTAAAGGGGCTCGCTTCTTGGTTTTGTTGTTTGTTCGCTTGATCATCCAACCATGGACGGTTGCAGCTGATCCTGGCAAGGTTTTAGCTTTTAGTCACTTGACCTCAGCTGTGAAGCCCACTTGAGGTAGGGCGTTCGCCGTTATCATTTTCGAGTTGCCAATAATGCCGCTTTGAAAATCTGTAGGATTGTATGCAAGGAGAGAGCTGCAAAACGTTGTCGGGCTGGGTGAGAAAATCTGGCTCAACCGCTCGCTATCAAGTACCACCGAGGCGGACCAGACGCAATACAGAGATACGATAAATATCACAACGTTTTTACATTTTCACCCCGCTCTAAATCTATGGTAACTGATCTACAGTCTGACCATTCGCACCGTTCGTCTGCTCGCCCTTTGCGTACTTCTTGATATCCACTTGCTCGACCTTGCTGTTCCAGCCGAATGTATCCTTGATCTTCCCTGCTTGGATGCCTTTCAATGTGGTGAGGAGCTTGACGCAAATTGGGCCTGGCTCGTCCGATTCCTCTGCAATGTACTTGGATGTTTCGGAGCGGGAGTTGCGGGTAATGGATCTTTGAGGTGTCAGTCTATGTTTAAATACGAGGCGAAACGGTGGTAGAATGGACTTACTTGATGGGTACGAGAGCTGCTGCGGTACCGGCTGCGAGGACTTCGGAGAAACTGGGCAATTCCTCGTATTTGATCTATTGAGATTGTTAGCGCTACGTCTTCAAGAAGACCTTGCTTCACTTTTGTGGCAGGAAGCTATTCAGCTTCCGATATCTCATTGGACACAGGGCATGCGGAACTCGTGCTCTTCCCCAGCAAGGCTTCCCTGCCGGTAACCCATCCTGCGTTATCCCCCAGAGAACCAGGCAAAACCGTGTAGCTCGGTGGCGATTGGAAGAACTCACCGAACGTGTTTCCGTCTTCCACCCAAAGCTCCTCGCAATCTCCAAACATGAATCTGAAGTGACACTCGCAATAACACACTTGCTATCCGGTGTAACAAGTGTAATGTCATTGCCAGTTCCCTTAACACCAATAAATCCACTTGTAGAGAACTCGTCGATTTCAGATCTGGTTTTGCTGTCCAAGTGCAATGTGATTCCGTATCCCTCATTTCTCGCCTTGTCGCTCCACTTCAATACTGGTGCGTAGTTTCCTCCAACCTTTGCGCTGCCTGTTCCATCTGGTGCCGCACGGTCGAAATCCTCAAGAATGAGCGCTTTGACGGGGTGTACACCGTGGTAAACACCCACTGGCAGCACGTATACGCAGAAAGTGTATTCCTCTGGTGGATTCAATCCCAACTGTGCACTCGAGCCAAAGATCAATGGGCGGATGTACATAGCCGCGCCAGTCTCGTGTGGGGGAACGTAAGCAGCATTCAGTGAAACCGCTGCGTGCACGCATTCGGAGAAGAGGGATTCGGGGACTGGAGGAATGGAGACCATGGCCGCGGAGTGTGCGAGGCGGGAGGCATTTCGATTTGGGCGGAAGATTGTGATTTCGTTGTTGGGCGAGCGGAAGGCTTTCATTCCTTCGTAGGCTTGCTGCCCGTAGTTGAGGGCGGGCGCCATGCCATGGAGGCGGAGGAAAGGGTCTGTAATGAATTCGGGCTTGGACCAGACGCCGGTCTTGACGCTGTAGTGGGATTCGATGTGGCCATTGACTGCTGGGTCTTAGCAAGAGTAATAGTGACTGGAGGAAGATTTCGGGATGAGCGGGGTCGTCTGTTTACCTTCACGCACACGGAAGCCAATGTCACTCCAGTCAATGGTGTTTACTGGTGGTGGAGGGAACGCCATTTTTGCGTGGAGTGCCTAGGTGTGAAGGTTGTAAGATTTTGGAATATGAGACAGAAGTGAATATTTCACAGTCGGAATAATGTGGAATTGAGGTGAGTAATAAGCTGGGGAGTTTGTGAGAGTTTGTCCTAAAATGTTTTGGGATTTGGAACTGTGCGGGATCGGAGCTGTGGTCATCGGCGGGGTATTCCACTCCACTCCACTCCACTGTACGCCGGGGGTCCTGCGGTGCTTGGCTCACTGTGCCCTTGGCTGCAGAGAGACAGCGGCCAACAGGGTTCCATGTCCAGGCCCTGTCTTTCCTATTTATTTGAGGGCAATGAAACGATAAGTCAGGCAATACGCATATGGTGATCTGATCGCATTCACGTACACAGTCAACAATGGAATAAACTTTTTCGCAAGTCTCTGGGTGACCATTCCTTTGTCGCAGAGACTCTTTCTACTTCCATTTTGCACTCCTTTGCTACCTACTATTTCTTGAGTCGCCGAAGTCAGCACTGAGTTGCCTCCGGGAAATAAGCCAGATAGGCTTGAGGTCAGCTATCGAATTACTGATCCTCACGATCCGCGACTATCCGCTCCGCACTTCAACATGCCTCGCCGGCATCATATCACTCTGCTGACGATCCTCGGTGTCTCAGCGTTCTTGGGGATATTCTTCGTATCATTTTTCCGGGGAATACCAGAGGGAGCTCGAAGTGCCGGTTTTCTACCTTCGTATACAGAGCCTCTGAGCGGGCATATCGATGAAGGACTATTACACACGGAGGCGAAAGCTCCCAAGCTTGAGAATGCCACATTGAAGTACCTCTCTTGCTGCTCGAGTCCAAGAACTGTTCTAACTGTCCTCCAGAGCAGAACTGGGGCACGCAGCCTGGAAGGTCCTCCACACAATGATGGCCAAGTTCCCAGATACGCCCACAGAAGACGACAGCGCAGCACTGAAATCCTACATCCACCTCTTTGCACGATTATATCCCTGCGGCGACTGCGCGCGGCATTTTCAGAAGATCTTGAAGAAGTACCCGCCGCAGGTAGCGTCTAGGTCTACGGCTGCGGCGTGGGCTTGCCATGTACATAATGAGGTTAACAAGAGGCTGAAGAAGGAGATCTTTGACTGCTCAAACATTGGGGATTTCTATGATTGTGGATGTGCGGAGGATAAACCAGAGAAGGGCAAGGATGGGTTTACGAAGTTGGAATTGGAGAAGGAGGGGTGAGTCCTTGATTTGTGAGTTTTTGGGTGAGGAAGAATGCTAATGAGTGGAACAGGTTGACGAGAGGTGGGTAGGGACAGGGGTTAGCATTGTATAAGAAAAAGATTAGCATAATCATAACACGGAGTCAAGGAAATGGGAGGTTTCAAATTCTGAAGGAGATTTTGGAAAGCAACGAGATTGCTTATATAGATTTAGATTGGTTCCGCATCAAATGATCTCCATTGACTCTCCTTTTCGTGGTTCTACAGAATTAAAAGTGGAGGTTGTAGACTGATTTGGAATTACATGCCATGGCTATTAGTATAAGGTCAGCACTTGAAGATTCATATGCAATATGCGACAGTGAAGTATCCTATGTCCTCACAACGCATTTCTGGTGGAAGGAAGGCTGGGATGTCGCTAGCGGAACCACGTGACCGTCCAGCCTCGCGGTTGAACTCGCGTCTATTGTAACCTGGAGCTCCCAAAGCTCCCTCCAACGATAAGTTTCTTGTCAACCAGCTCTTCTACAATCAAACCTCACAACTTTCTCCTTTCCTCTAAAGATACCCGCATAGTCAATATGGAGTTTGGCAACTCAGGAAACCTGAATGAAGGTAAAATCAAACTATGGAGTCTGCTTCGGAGTGGAACAGCTAATAAGAGCTTCATCAGATGGCATTCACGTTGACATGGATCGTTTGAAGAAGGGCGAGGTCAAGTATGAAGCACCTTTTCAATGCGGCAGATCATTACTAACAGATTCGATAGCTTAGGAACGTCGATGTAAGCTTTAGCACGATGTCAACATGCAAAGACAACTGGACTAATACGGATCAGCATGGCAATCAACTTCAAAGACGGTGTTATTCTGGGTTCGTACTCCGCGAGACTATTTGGCAACGGTAAGGGAAGCTAATAGTGGTGAAATACAGGTGCGGACAGTAGAACCACGACTGGAGCATACATCGCGAACCGAGTTACAGACAAACTTACACAAGTCCACGATACCATCTGGTGCTGTCGATCAGGTTCTGCCGCAGATACACAGGCTGTTGCAGACATCGTTCACTACCAGCTGGGAATGTACGGCATCCAGAATGGTAGACAGCCAACCACACAAACAGCAGCGGCAATGTTTCAGGAACTGTGCTACGAGAACAAGGACAGACTAAGGTGAGGGCTCAGGACGTATTTGCAATTTGCAAGGGCTAATGGGAACAGCGCTGGTTTGATCATTGCAGGTTGGGATGAGCGACACGGAGGTCAGGTCTACTCGGTACCATTGGGAGGATCGTTACACAAGCAAGCCTATGCCATTGGCGGATCAGGATCGACATACATCTACGGATACTGCGATGCCAACTGGAAAGAGGGTATGGATGAGGAGGCCGCTGTTGGATTCGTGAAGGGCGCATTACAAGAGGCGATGAAGTGGGATGGGAGCTCCGGAGGTGTTATCAGAATGGTGGTCTTGACTGCGAAGGGTGCAAACAGGCACTTGTATCTGCCAGACACGAATTACGCCGTCCGTCACCAATAGAGAGATGTACAATAGAATGGAGCATTAATGGCATGGTGTTCTGGCAGGGCTCTCTTAACAGGGTTGCAATAGCGGTCAACGCACGGCATCTACTGCTTCTCCTTGGAGTCTTGAAGAGCAGCGGTGAGTGAGCATGGGAGGAAGGAAAGGAGACATTTCCAAAATGCCCGAATAGAAAAAGCAAAATACATCGGCCGGCGTCGCATCAAGCTTCTTTCCGTGCTGGGGCAATGTTACCAATAAATATCGGCACGGATCTCATAGCATCGGTGACACAGAATCGGACTTGCTTGATCCACGCTCGGCTGGGCACTTCTTCTAGTGCCTGTCTACCATTCTCCCTCGTGTCAGTGTCCGAAGAGGCTGTTGGCGGAAATCCAACGGCTCGACTCGGAGTGGTCCAATCATGCATAAGTGGGAATTCTGCCAGACATGGTGCAGCAGGTGAGGATGGGCTGGCTGGTCGGTCTGGTTGGAGTAGAGCAATAGCCAGGACATCCAGAACGATTGTCCGAAAATAAAATACCAACTGGCTGTTTGCCGGAAATATGTGATTTATTTATTTTTTTGGTCTATCACCAAGTACTCTGAATCTGGAACACCAGCAGGCTACGTTTCTTGTTTCATAGATAAGTTTACGATCAATCGTCACTCGTCAATCAACTGCTATCTATGCGCTTGGCTCAGCGCATTGCCACTCCGCGTGGGCTCCACCGCTGATTCGTGCTCTGCCATTCGTCGTCATAGCAGCACAAGTCCGCCTCACTACTCGCCCTGATCCTGATCTTGATATGGATCCCGTCGAACTGGTGGCTGCGGAAGTTCCTCAACGTGCTTGACTTGCTGGACCCTGCCCGCGCTACGTCTCTTGCGCCAGAGAGCGTGCCGCCTCAACTCAGTCCACCCGCAGCCTGCCAGCCAGACAGACTCAGCAACAACATCACCGCTGCACACATCTACTTCGACTTCGGCCCTGACGATATCGACGACTATCGCCGAGACTCGGCTTGCGCAGCTCAAGCAGTTATATCGGTCCCAGATCTGTCTGTTCATACAATTATAGGAATGCTGCAGGTAAGCTTCTTCCCGTTTCTTCTCTGCCTGCGACCCCCGATAAGCCTTGGACCCCCACGACTATGAAGTGATTCACGCGATTTCGACATTCCTCCTCCCATGAGGCACCAGCTGCTCAACAGGCTTGTATCGAGAGCACAGAATTGTATATCTATCTCTACTATACTCTTCTCTCTGCTCCGCTCCACTGTCAAGTGAACCTGATCCGGTCTCTGGTGTAAATGCCTGTCCGTGGCTTGCGCGAGCCTGGGTGAACTCGACACATCATGGTGACTACTGATTGATCTCGAGCTCGCCTTCCACAAACATCTCCAGCAACGCACATCCACGTTCCTGACAGCTGCCCACCTCTTCTTCGCCTGCTTTACTTTTCATTGCTCCCTGCGCCATCCGCATTTTCGTGGCAGACCATCCATCCGCCTACCATTTGTTCGGACATTCAACACCAGACTAATATTCTCTCTGCCAGTACTTTACGCCGTTCATACGCACAGTAGGCTGATATGGCCGAGGTGATCAGTGATTTCGTATCAGACTCCTCGCGCTACCACCACGGCCATACGATGGTAACTGGGTCTGGTCAACAGCGGTCTCCAGCAGAATCACCATACCGCCAACGCTCACGATCTAAAGTCGAACCTCCACCCTCTCCACGCCAGCAGCCTACCTCCGTTGCTTCTGGTACACCTCCGCCGAGTTCGTCCGCCAGACCTCTACCTCAGCACAATGTTGAGGACGCCCCAGATCGATCAGCGAAAGCTGAACCTCCTTCTCCTCCACGGAGTTCCAGTCCCCCGCGTTCACATGCCAAAAAGAGGTTCACAAGTCAGAGGGATTTTCCAGAATCATCTGCACCGTATAGTAGGTCCCCAATCGAGAACAAACCGAAAGTCGAACGCAATTCCCCATTACTGTCCTCACATTCGCCCATTCAAAGATCTGCCAGGTCCCTGGATGATGTGAAGAAATATGGAGGAAATACAATCAAAGTCCGCGATCTGGCGCATATCCAAAGCTTTGCTACCGAAGAATTCCTATCCTACAGGGGACAATCTGGGCGACTACGGACTGCAGACGATCCAACATTGAAGTACGAGATCAGTGGAATGCCCATAACAGATATCATTGAGATGGTAGCGGGGCTTCTTACCAAGATCACGACTACAAATGACAGGCAGCATGATGCTTTGAATCGACCGCTTCCCTCAGGAGATACTGTGAGCTTGACAGGGTACTCTTCTAGTGTTCTAGCCTTCCACGGGAAGAACGTACCAAGTATCACTATTTTGAGCTATTTGAGCCGCATACACAAGTACTGTCCGACAACTTATGAAGTCTTCCTCAGTCTGCTGGTATATTTCGACCGCATGACAGAGAGAGTAAATGCAGGGACGATCCAAGCTTTGAATCGAGACACGGTCGACCAGGACAGCTCTCCGCCGTCGTCCGGATACTCAGCAGAAGGGTCAGATCTGGCAGACAGCCCGCCAGCAACAACATCAAGGAGCGTACCGGAGATAGCAGCTGATCTCGAAAGGGCTCAGTACTCGCACGCCCCACCGCCCGAACATAGCCCATCGACTGCCGCCTTCCCGCTTTCGCATTTCTTTGTCGTTGACAGCTTCAATATCCACCGCTTGGTCATTGCAGGAGTTACATGCGCCAGCAAGTTTTTCTCGGATGTATTTTATACCAATTCTAGATACGCGAAGGTAAATTCCCTCTCCTCCGATTCTCTATTCTCTCCGGGCAATTGGAGCTTTCTTTTAAAATCACAACAAGAGAAAGATCATGTACCACTATGTCTAACACTCAATAGGTCGGTGGTCTTCCACTTCCCGAACTTAATCATCTCGAACTCCAATTCCTCCTGCTTAACGATTTTCGCCTCTCAGTTCCCGTGGAAGAGCTAGAAGCCTACGGCACGATGCTGGTAGAATTCTACGCCCGGGAAGTTATTGCGCAGCGCCAAGGCCAGATACCTCACGATATGGCGTATCCAGATGATAACACTTCTGCACCAGCATCTCCTTGATTGGGATGGATCTACTCTAGACAAGTATGGATGGACGAATGAAATCAGATTATGGAACTCTGACGAGATCATCGCAACTGCTTACGACTGAGGAAGTGATGACACTGGATGAGACAAGTCCGAAGATGGAGACTTCAACGAAACTTACAACACCCTACACCACTACTTTCTTCTTCTTTTCTTCTTCTTGATGCGAAACATAGATTTGGCCCCGACCGGATGGGATGGGCACTTTTTGGGAGCGAGCGATGTGTTTAAATGGGATTGGATTCGAAGGGATGCAAATGGGTTGCGAGACTTACTACTTACACATATGACTTTCATGATGGCTTGGTTTGAATTGGCTGGATGTGGGGCGGACATGGTGGGCAGGACAGGGCAAAGGAGACAAGCACGTTAGAGTTAGGGGAATTTGATGAGGATCTTCGATACCCTGTTGGCTATGGCTATTCGTCTTGATTTCGCTGATTCGATTTGGTTTCGTGTGGACTGGCTGGGGTGACGTGAGATGGGAAATGGGATGATTGGCAGTGATCGTAAAGCTGCACTGAATAGGGAAAGTGCGGAAGTTGGCGGTACTGTTTTCTATAGTGATGATGATGCCATGGGATTGAAGATAATCTCTGGTGTGGTGAAGGCGGCGCGTTGCATGGATTGGTGTTAGAGGTATGGTGATTGAATCGAAGCGAATTGATGAACGAGTCTTTCCTTTTTCCTCAATTTAAGACTCTCTTTCATCCTGATATGGCTGCTGTGAGTATAATTGCCGTACTTGCTTCTTTCGACCTCCGCGCTTCATAAAGTGCTCCTGTATTCGTGATATGCCGGAGACTATTCGTTTTCCACTAGACGATTTTGATAAGAGCTGTCCTGATCTTACCTTGGTTGTGCTGTTCTTGAAGCAGCTAAGTTTACAGGAGCCACCAGGTACTTCAGAGCGAGCGTGTCTATCCTCTTTGAAGAATCCTTTCCTCTGAGAACTGCAAAGCTTTTGGTGGTTGGTACATGACATGGATGATTCCCTTTCTCTGTTAGTACCTTGCTAGTTGAGTATGATTTATCGACATTCTTAGGTGGTGAATTTCAGGCTGGGAGCGCGGCTAGAAGTGTGGTGGAAGAGGGGCGCTTTGTGGTGACTTGAAAAATGGTCGAACTCAGAGTTGGGTAAGTAATAGGATGACAGCACAGGAAATTTCTGGAGTCGAAGATATCGAATAGCATTCACATTCAAGGTCATTTAAAGAAACGTTTGTACTTTCTATTAGTGCTATAGAAAGCTTCAGATTGTGATCGATGGTATTCTGTAAGCACCACCATATGAAGTTGAATCAATCTTGCCTAGAAGCTGACTCTCAATCCAACCCTCGTCGATCAAATATCCTCCAGGAATTCCTCCAGCTTGCTTTCCTCGTTGTGCTCTCCTTCCAGTGTACATGGATCATCCCGCTTGTGGCTATGAAACCAGCAAACATGCTCAGGCTTGAGGAAAACTTCACGACGAGCTGTGAAGTCCAATAGCTGCGGACTAATTTGCATTTCGTACTCAAGCATCCTCAAAAGCTTGGCGAACAACTTAAAGCTACCTTTTCCAAGGTCCCATAAAGTCTTCATATCATCGTGGCATAGCTTCCTAGGCTTGAATTCTGACGAGCTCTCACCAACCTCGACAGACCTCAAGACCATTCCATGTACAGTGATGTGAACGCAGAATATTAGTAACCCTGAGCATACTTCTCCAGTGGATGTCCAGACTTTTTCGGTGTTTGGAATGAAATGCTTATCGACTAACCCATATCTCCGAGTCAAGTCACGGATCGTATTCATGGTTTTGTCCTTCAGAGTTACCAGACAAATCTTGTGGGCAAAGATGTAGACATCAACCAAGTTATTGAGATGTGATTGGGTGTTCTTGATCGGAATATCGCCTCGGTAGAGCCAGTCGATGAAGATACCAATTGCATCGGGGCTATCGTCTGGAAGATACATGACGCCGTCGACACCCTCCTTGAAGCAATTGAATGCCTTGTCGAAGTAGTCCACAGACTGGCAGAGCAGCTTCTGGTGTACACGGAAAGCCTTTCGCTTGGTGCCGACACAAAGAGTGACTATTTCCTCGCCGAGACTAATAACCGTTGGTCAGCTTTGGTACATGGTAAGGTGAGTTGTCTAACAGGGTGGCTTACTCTCCGAGGAAGACGTTGTTCATGGTAACAGAACGAACTGACTTGGTGACTTGCGAGACGTCAGGCTGAGAGAGAGTATTAGCTGAGTTCCAGGCTCAGCAAGATCGAACTTACAGGAGTATTTGGTTGTTCTTTCTCGCCGCTCTGAGCTGGGACGCTCTGGTCTGACGCCTAGCATATATCTTGTTAGATTATCACGGGTTTCTTCAACCTCTTCGATCGGTGTTTACCTCTGCTGACATCTTGGCTGCGGCGCTCAGATAGATATGCTGGTGATATTGTGGAGTCAGGAGCGTCGAAGATCTTGGTAAGCCCAAAGTTTGTACGTGTTGTAGAACTCACTGAGTGGCTAAGGTTTATTTTTAAAAATGTTCACCTCATGCGGAGTGGTTGAGGCGAGTTCAATGCCAAGTCATCGTGTAGTTTGCCAGTGGACTTGCATACCGTCGTACTCTCAATAGCGCAGTACATACAAAAGACTTTTTGCAACTCTCAATACGCGAGCTTCAATGTCGCATACTTCTTTTGCAACTTCGTCGTTGAGGAATTCCGTCTCCTCAGCAGCGGGATTCTGGGCGTGACAATCCAAAGTATTTTCATGGCAGTGGAAGAAGCAACGATTACCCTTCTCGAAGTATTTTCTAGTATGTGGGTTCCATTGACTATTATTTTTGATACCAGCAGCCGTCAATTGCTCCAATCGTAAGAGATAGTGATGGAATAAATTAAAGTTGACTTTGCACATCAACTAAACTTTTTCTGTGTCGTTTTTCTTGACCGAGATCCTGGCACGGTTCTTGTTCTCGTTCCCATGTCTTTCAACGAACGAATCCACAACGACGTAGACACAGAATTGGGTATGACTTTCATATGGCAGATTGAATTTCGACATCTTCTCAAGAAGTGGAAGGAAGATGTCATCTCCGAGCCCGTTTTCCCGGGATATGTCTTGAATGGTGTCCGTGGTTGCGTCTTTGAAAGATGGCACACAGATCTTGTCTGCGAAGATGTAACAGTCTGCAAGCTTGAAGAGGTAACTTCGACGGTGAACGGTCCCGATCGCCGATCGGTAGAGCCAGTTGACAAATATAGCGAATACGTTGGGACTAACCTTGACGAGATGCATTGTCCCCTATTTTGCACATCAGTACACCTCACGTGGAATATATCAGCTCAAGTCACGAAAAATTCCTAGGTAATCTGCCTAGAGACTTGTAGCCGGAAAGCAGAGAACTCCCAGGATGGAAGGAACATACTGACCTCGTTGCCTTCTTGAAAACCAGAATTAAAAGCCTCGTTGAAGAAGTCTGAAGCTGAACCTGAAAAACGGAAGTAGTCACAGGGAAGACGCTCAGCCTGCCAGACACATCTCGAATACAAAGGTTCGCCGATACCCTACCCCATCTCTCACAAGCCTTGTATATAAGTCTGTGATGGTCTCATTATCAAACAGACAGATATGGAAACCGCTAGACTATCAGTAACATTTTTTGTCACTTGTGGCCGGTACGCATTGCTGCATAAATCTTAACCACCGTCACTTTGATCCCAATATCTTGTTAAAATATCCAATCATGACGCTTTGAAAGCATTTCTCAACGGGACTCATCTACGACGTGACATCCGTGGAATCCAAATCCCACTGCAACACCAACCTCAGCTCTTCCAACCTCTTGCATATTTTCAGCGTCCAAGCAAAGCAGGTAGCTAGTACCCTTCTCGCCGTCCAATATAACGCTTAGAAGGAAGCCACCATCTTCACTACTCCTATCTGGGTCTGGCACAAATATTGCTTCACCAGGGGTGTGCTTATCTGTCATCCCTGGGGTAGATCGCAGAGTTAGTGTTGTATGTCGAACATTTTGATATGATGAGGAGATCTGGTCCAGTGAGAGGAAGACGAAAACTGAGTCAGGGAAAAGACAATCCGCATGATATACTTACAGTATGTCACATTCTTCGTAACTGTGTCGAATTTTGATATCCCGTCAACGAGAGATGACTTTCCCTGGTCGACCAAAGAGTAAACATAGCGTGTGCTCCGAGTTGCATAACGAGGATTGATTGTTGGCAAATCTCCAATTAAGGGGCTTGGTGCTTGGAAAAGTAGGTCTGCTTCACTTGTGACTTTTAATTTCTTGCCTACTTGAATTGGGACGCCACTGAGGCGGTATCTGGAGAGACTTGGTTCTATTGACTTCGCCATTGGTGACTCTTCACCCGCCCAATTAGAGACTCCAGGACCAGTGGATACCAGGTTATCGTAGTACAGGCGATGGAGGATATCGAGAGTTGGAAACTGAATTACATCGCACATGATGTTCACCGTGGTACCGTCTTCCGGGGAAGGCTCCTGCCACGCGTTGACGGAGTGGAAGCTGAATGCCGCGGGACTTTCAAAGGTTGCGACCAGTCCTCTGTTACCTCGGCGGTCAATAACAAGCCACTTCACCTTGGACTTGGGATTGAATGGAGCGAGTGCGTCAAGAATGTTTCGGTCCCACAGAATTGATATGCCGTACCCTGGTATATGAGAAGACCATACGGCCAGTACGACAAAATCAGAGGTGAGGAAGAAAGAGTGTATGTAGGCAGGCTTGATATCTGAGCCTGAAATCGTTGCTAGAATCTCTGTCTGTCCGGTCATAAGGGATGTTTTAAAAACCCTGTACGTACATACTTTACCGAAGTCCAAGTTGTAGTTAAAGACATCTCCGTTGTCTGGGTCAAACTGCGCGTGTGCGCCGGACATGGGACCCTTCAAATGCGGATGGAGTATCGTTTGATCAGTTACACCGATAGGCTCCAGAGTCTCCAAATTGATCATCTTCATCTGAACATGGTCAGTTCTTACAACAGCAAAGCTTTTAGATGAAGCCGTCTTTTTCGGGTCCCTCTGTTGGAGGCCCGACGGGTTTGTCGTAATGGTAACGCCGACATTAGATTGGTAGGGATCCTTCGCTCTCGCCGGCTCGAATACAGCTTTGAGCTTCTGATAGACTCCATCGCATGGATCTCTCTTCTGGGCGAAAGAAATCCCGTCAAGCTTCCCAGTCTTACGAATCTGTTCAAGCAGCTGATCAACCTGCTTTCGAGAATTGTAGGCCACGCTGCAACCTCCATCGTCTTGCTCGACAATTGAGAAACGGTGTATGGTTGTAAATCCATCTAGAAACAATTAGAGCACGTCAGCATGTGAAAGTGGCTCATGTACCGAACCAGTGACTGGTCTTGTACTCTCCGATTGGTGTTCCATTGAGCTTGTAGTGGCTAGGTCCAGTTCTGTACAGAGTTCCAGCGACGCAAGCAGGTATTTTACCCTTTACTTCTAGCTTTACTGGTATCCTGCACTCTGTATCGGCATTAAACTGAGAGTCAGGTTAGCGTGTGGTATGACCAGCAGTTAGACGTACCGGACAGCACTCACACCCGCATCATTTGGCCAATCGTGGAACGCCTTCTTCTCAGAAAGATCTTTGATGACATTCTCGGACTTCTGGCTCTCTTTTGCTGACTTTGAGCTTGAGCGATATTTCCACATGTTGGTTGGGATTTGGTTTCTTCTGACGATTGATGAGGGCGACCCGGCGAGGATGTGGAGTTATAGCAGCTTTTTAGGAATTTGAAATACCGGCCGTAAGGAAAAGTGTGATGATACTCGTCTGGTATGTTGTTCTTGGCAATGGTCGGCTGTTGTTGACCAATCCCTGGGTAAAAGCCACGATATTGGTGAAGGTTCAGGGTTCCAAACCAACACTAGACAGGAGCCAACCAATCACAGGCCAGGCAAGCATGCACCACGCCGCATTCACAGCATCTGAAGTGGGACAGAAGTCCGCTCGTTACCTGAATACAAGCCCAGTCTCATTGGAGGAAGAGTATCTGAGGATACAAATTGCTGACACGTGATGGTTCATATTCGGTTCTCTAGGTATAGACATTCTGGATGAAGTTGGGTCTAGGCAACTTAAACGATGGTAAAATGATGGATAGAAATACTCCCAATCAATGCACAGCTAATCAATCAAACATCAAGTTGTTCAAGTTGGACGCTGACGCAAACAAATGCAGCAGACTTTTAATAGGTACTTTACGGCGCAGACTAATCCTGCAGGACGTGAATCTCAATCATATAATGTCAACAAGTCTCCAGCTAGCGGAGAAGAAGGTCATGCACGGAAGTAGTCTCTCTTCTATTTATTGATTGATCGCAGCCGCTCAGAAAACTTTGGGGTGCTTTGATGTTATGGTGCTACAATTTGCTCCACTTAATACGCTGACTCAATGCTTCATGATATCCTTTCCCATTTTACCGCTGTGAACTCCGCCAGCGGATCACAATCTCACAAACCACTCATATATGTCCCATAGCCCTATTGCCACATCCAGAGAAAGTCAAAGCTCTACATCATCCCTAATTCCTCACATTATTCAAAACCTGTACTGGTTGCTGTACAAGTGCATCCCACCCATCGACAGACTGCTTTCATGAGCTCAGATCGAGCCAAGCAGGATGCCTTGGAATGCTTTCTCAACGTATGAACTACAATATCAACAATCTAGTCAGCATGGGTTGATCTTTGTATCATAGCGGCTTCATAAAAGATGAAATACTGACGTTGGCTTCAAGCTGAAGGAGGTTTTGCAAGCAGCACGCAGATCCTCGCTGAATGTATTGCATTGTTCCGTGGTTTTGAATTCCATACAAATGGCAGGTCTGAAAGGATCACTGTATCTTGATCTGTGGATGATCATTTGAGGACTAGCCCCAAGCTCACAGGCCACAATTCTGTCAATTCCGCCGATAGGGATTTCGAGAACATGCTCGTTGAACTCGTTGTAAACCTGAAGCAAACGATCTTGTTTGCTCAAAACCAGGGTCCAAGATGACTTGCCATGGTTGACCTTGAATTTGTCGCTCCTTGAGGCTACTCTTGCGAGTGTATATAATTTATCTCCAGGAGTGCTGATGAGGTTTAAAACAACTTTCTTGACAGTCAAGCAACTTTTTCTGCTAACATCAAGAATGAAGCCAGATTGTGTGCAGTCGTCTTCTCCTCGGCAATAAAACCCCTCCTGGTGGCTGTGAAATTGGCAAAGACTTTGCGTTCTGCTCTCGTCTCTATCCCGGGGATCGACGGTTGTTTTGTTCGAAGGTCCTCTAACAGTTTTCAAAACTCGCTCCTGGAATAGTTTGAAAATTGTCTTACTCTCCTTTCCCAGATCCCACATCAAGTCCAAATCATCATCCTTGAAAGTCTTGTTTGACTGGGTCTTGCTCCCTCCACATCCTTTGCCCTCCATCCTCGAAAGAAATGCATAACACATCAGATGGATAACGAATAATGCCAAGCCTCCGTTGTCGTCCGAACTTGATTCGAAAACTTTTAGGACCAGCTCCTTGGGGAATATTGGATCCAGCAGGTTGTGTTTCTTGGCGATGTCTTGAATTGTATCCATGACTTTATCTTTTAGTACGGTATTGCAGAATTTATCAGCCATGATATATAGATCGAACAAACTGTACAGGTAGGTCTCAGTATGTCCATTAGGGATTCGCTTTCGATATGCCCACTCGACATATAGATCGAATGCAGCGGGATTGTCGTCAGGAAGGTACATGATACCTTCTTGTGCTTCGGCGAATGAGCTCATGAATGCACCCTTGAAGAATTCCGACTCGCAAATCAGCTCCTTGTGTATGATAAACTCTTTTCTTTTGGGACCGACGAAGATTGCAACCATTTCCTTGCCGAGTTTCCTACGAATGGTTAGTTTAATATACCATGAGCCAAGTTGGGTTACTCACTCTCCCAAGAAGCACTCAGCCTGCTCATTTGGTGCCGAAGTCATTGGCAGAAGAGCTTGCTCGGGCGCAGAAGCCATACTGCAGTTGCTTTGGAGTGGTTGTTGAGAGGGCGGTCTGAATTCACCGTCGATCTTGATGATTATGACTGAAAGGTTGATGGGAAGAGCGAAGAGTGAGACGCCAGAGTAGACACTTTCAAAGACGGAAATCAGGCATGAAGCTCGCTTAGCAAATAAAATCTATCAGGTCATCTTGTGTTCAGGCCGTCAACTTGCACTAAAGGCTGCTGTTGACAAAATGCTAATTCGTTATATCAAACACTTCAGTTTCACTATCATCATGCTCTTCAGAATTGATTCACTCTGCCTTCGGAGGGTGGCGGGGGTGATTTTTTTCTCTTAGCTTTAAAAGTGATTTCTTCGCAGATTCAAGATCTTTGCTCCTGCTGACACAGTATTTAACTCACATCGGAATATAGAGCTGCTAAGAGCTTTTACAGAGTATCTTGAAAGTCAGCTCCAAATGCAAATGGACACTTTTGCAACTGTTTTGTCGGATTGGAAGAAGTAAGTGTTGTCAAGATCGTAATCGAAGCGCCTGCTTGAATCTTTCCAAATATCACACGGCCTTGGGCTACAAGGCTCTAAAGGCCGAAAAGAAAGCAGACTTCTTGAATCATTTTACAGGCATTTTCAGTTGCTTTGCCACTGACCTCTCAGTCCATATTGCTGACAAATCCATGCTGTGCTTCTAGGACTGCCCCATCGCGTCAGCCTTTCTAGAACGCTCAGTATCACGTTCTTCTCAGCAGTAATAACACCATTGCAAGCCATATAACCTATAGTATGAGTGCAAATGAGAGTAAAATCCCACAAAAGTCCTTGACGGAGTTCTTCAAGAGCCTCAACACTAACCCCAGAAGTCATTGACACGCTGCTCGATCATATCGTGCTTCCAAGCCATATTTTGAGTTTGATAATTATCTGGTCTTCCAAACTGTTCACCAAAAGCTTATCGGAGAAGAATTAGAAGTACTAAAATTTCTTCAATGATCTTGGTATGTGTGACATCGGTTCCTTTCATCCCAAGTCTGTGCAACTTGGCTGGGTTAGACACTCGAGTTTGTTGACATGCCAAGAAATTACGCGAGGTTCAAAACACTTTGCTGCCAGTCCACCACTGCCCAAGTCCACAATAATTAGCTAAATACCATATTAAGGAGTAGTAATGGATACAAGTATCTTGTACGAACGACTGTCTTAAAGGCCAGGGCCAGGAAGACTCCGCAATTTCTATGAAGATGAACAGCACCCTCTTTTATTGCGAAATCTGTACGGCCATCATTCCTGAGACTTTCCCCCAAATTGTCGTTGTACTAGGATCTCCGGTTTCTCAACCATTCCCAACCTTCTATATTACCAGACTATTCTTCTGCAAGGATGAGACCAGAATATGACATTTGAAAAGCTTCATGGAAGGTTTTGATTATTCTGCGGGCATTCGAGCTCTTGTTGCGAAGCTGTTGTGTCTGGAGCTCATGTAAGCTGCCATTTTACTATGCAGGATATTACCTTGAGTTAGGCGATTTTGGATGAAGGGATTACAGAAGGATTTCAAGAATGTTAGGACACTACAGTTGGTAATCTGAATGTGTTGGTGAAGGGATGGATTGGAGGAGATCACTGAATACGGTAACATTTAAACAGGTGTTGCCAGTTCATATTTCAATTTTGGGACATTAACCGGTATCTCTCAAGCTAGCTGGAAATTGAAAGGCTTTGCAGAAGTGGGTGTGTGGTACCTCTTAAACGTTTTTGAGGCTTGAGAAGAACAATTTTAATATTCAAACTGCTCACGCCGAGCTCTGGTTAGCAGAGGTAGCTAGCTGCCTTGAGGCTGATCAAACTGGGATGATTCGCAAGAATGTGCGCTCTGTGGTCAAGGGAAGAATGCTCATTGGAAACCAGGAGAGGAGGGGAAGAGCTCTGATTTTAACCAAGTAAATGGCGCTTAGGTGAATTTGAAATATCATGCTACAGTCGCCTCCCCAGACACTTTGTATTCAGGGCGCTGTGGGATGTAAATCAGACTACTCTGAAAGCCTCGGAGACAATTTATACTCTCGAATCATAGATGCCCATGGTCACTGTAGAGGAATCTTGCATTTGCTTGCTTTTTGTTGCAGCTAGTGTCTCCAGATACGAACAGCTTTATCCTTACCTCCACTTCCAACTTTTTGCCCGTCGGGACTCCAATCCACTGCATACACCTCGTCTTGATGACCCGGAAGATCTATCAAGAACTGTCAGTATTCCTAAATAGGTACATTTGTTCGGGTATGGGAAGAGCTTACCTGCAGATAATTTTTGAGTCCGCATGTCCCAGACCTTGAGTGTGGTGTCTTTACTTCCTGTGACTAACAATCTCGAATCTGGACTAAACGCACATTGATAGACTGGCGCAACATGACCTCTCAGGGTGTTAATGAACTTCCCATCTCTTGCGTTCCATAGTTTTGTATGGTTATCAAATCCAGAAGAAGCAATCAATAAACCGTCAGGAGAAAATGTGACGTGGTTGACCTGTTTCTGGTGACCTAGCATTCTCGCTACTGGTTTGGTGCCCTTTGCTGGTTCCCATAGATACATCGTGAAGTCATCGCTTGCAGAAACTAGCCTCTCTACAACTTCGCCTTGTATTGTGGCTGCTTTCAGGAATCGCTCTTTTGCCCGTGCAACTTTTTCTTCCTCTGAAGCTGGAATCTTTCCGGTATGATCGTGGTACGCGGTGCGAATGACGAAGTCGGTTGATAGTGCCAAGTGGTTTACCCAATGGGCATGGGCATTTAGTGAGTGCGCCAGAGTTCCATCCTTAGCATTCCATACCTTGACCGTCTTGTCGTGAGAGCCCGTATAAATGAATCCGGTTGCACCCCATTTCACACACGACACCGACCCTTTGTGCCCACTCAATACCAACTCAATTGTTTGTTGATTTGCCGCCCAGACTCTCACAGTAGCGTCTTTCGATGCCGATGCCAGTCGAGGTTCTCCTGGTTTCTGGGAATGGTATGGTTCCCATGCGAGACTCGTCACCCACTTCGAATGGCCCTTCATCGGGTTCCCAAGCTGTTTTCCTGTCTTGGGATCCCACATCCGCACAGTATTATCCATGGATCCGGTCGCAATCCTTGACTCATCTGGCGACCAGCTGACAGCTAGAACCCAGCTAGTGTGCCCCTTCAATGTATGAACTGGTGTTCCAGTGTCGCAATCCCATATCCTGGCAGTATTGTCTCCACTTCCTGATACCATTCTCGACGAGGATCTAGGGGAGAACTGGGTCGCTAGAATCGCTTCGCCATGACCCGGTATAGTTGAAGCACATCTTGAGACTGCCTGTACTCTGAAAACAGCCTGCGGTGCTGCAGAGATATTCTGCACCTGTTCTGTGCTAATCAATCCTGGGTTGATCAGCGTCTTCCATATGTTTGCTGGAAACGCTGTTGTAATCGGCTCGGAAGTCTTCTTGTCAGGTACTGGGAGAGTAAAGCGGTACGGAATAGTTTCTGAGGAATCCTTGGTACCATCAGCACTGTTCTAGAAAACAACCTTCGCTCGGGCTTACATGTGCTAGAAGAGCGTTCAAAAGAAGCTCGAGGTTTTTTGGGGTCGCATCTGCGACTGGCACAAGAACTGGGCCCTGACCAATAGCTAGTCCAGTCGTTTCGTCGAAAAACTGTATGCGCAGACTGCCAGCATCACTGGGGACCTCCTCAATATCCTGCTGTTGCCTCGCTCTTTCTGCGGCATCAGTTCTCTGCCTCTTGCTTGGCGGGGGAAGGACTGTCGCCATCGCGGTAGAGGATAATGAATGATCAGATGTCTATTGTTCGCCTGAATTTTTTGCTGGCACTTTTGAAGCTATGTCTCGCCGGCTCAATCTTCGTGATGGGCTCTGGTGGGCTTGGAGCGGGGGATGTTGCGAGGCGCAGAGTTCTCCAAAATATTTTTGGAGAAATCTCAGCCTCGTGCCTTGGCAATGGTCCGTGCCCTCAGCCTTCCTTCCCATCACAACCTTAATCTGACTCTCTCCCAACCCTCAATGAAGCTTCAGCATCCCAAGTGTTCACTCTTATAAGAGAAGTCCCAGCCAGCTCAATGCTCACATCTTGATATACTTGATTCGATTGATACCTCAATTAACAGCCCAGCTCATTAACAACCACATTCTAGCCATCTCCTCCAATATGCCTCGTCCGGTCCCAGCCCCCAGGCCGAACACTTCTCAGAGCTATGCTTCCACTTCATATCAGCTTACCGGAACATTGTCAGCCTCGCGGACACCCTATGACTCTTCACAAACTCCTTATGGGCCACGCCCCAGCACCGTTCGGCCCAGTTCGACTTACCCCAGCCGTCCAGGTACTGCAAGACCAAGCTCGACATACCCGAGCCGACCTGGCACTGCTCGTCCATCCACTGGCCGACGATCAAGGTCGAGAGGTGGATCTACCATTGGTGGGGGCGAAAGTCAACAAATTGTTTGTGCCATCAGCGAAGGAAGAGGAGTCTCTCCAACTGTCGGACTTGCATTTGTGAATATCACTACAGGAGAGGCAGTCCTAAGTCAAATATGTGATAACCAGTTCTATGCCAGGACTATCAACAAGTTACATGTCTTTGATCCCACCGAGATCTTGATAGTGTCAACAAGTGGTCCGCCAAACAAGAAGTCAAATATGTACTCCATTGTGGAGGAGAACATCATTGGCTCAAGAATCATCACCGTTGATCGCAAATACTGGTCAGAAACAGCGGGTCTTGACTATATACAGGATCTGGCCTTTACGGAAGACATTGGAGCAATCAAGGTAGCAGTCGGTGGAAATTTCTTTGCAACTTGTTGCTTCGCCGCGGTGAGTGAAGTTCTGAAAACATAGTTCGTACCATCCTGATGGCCAACTCCAGGCTCTGAAGCACATCAACTTGAGCAAGTCTCTGTCATTCGCGTTCCATTCTCTTCGTATCAGATTTCAGCCCTCCGAAGGCTCTATGATGATTGACCTTGCCACAATCCAATCCTTGGAGCTGATACAGAACCTTCAAAATGCCAAATCCAAAGCTTGCCTCCTCGGCATCATGAACCAAACATTGACACCAATGGGACTTCGACTTCTCAGACTCAACATATTACAGCCTTCTACCCAAGCCAGTGTCCTTGAACAACGGTACGATGCCGTTGGAGAGCTTTCCACCAAAGAGGATATGTTCTCACAAATACGAGAAGGTCGGCCCGTCCTGCCTCTTGTTCTGTGGGGAATTTTTGCTAAGCTTCTCACTTAGCTCTTCGTGCTATTCAAGACATCGAACAATTACTCAGCAGTGTATTATTTTATCGGGAAGTGCTCTGTTCTTCACAATGACTAACTTCTGTAGTTGATCATCATTCCCCTGCACCCCGATATTCAGCACTCGGAACAGTCCATCAATAGAGTTTTGATGCTCAAAAGTTTCGTACAATCTGTTCTTCCTCTATTCGAAGCACTCGCAGGTGCCCGATCTCGACTGCTCTGCGATATACGGGAAAATTTTCAGCCAGGTCTGCTTACCCCGACAATGGAGTTCATCCAAAATGTGATCAATGACGACGTCACGTACCAGAAAACTCCTCTCGACTTACGTAACCAAAGAACATATGCTGTGAAAGTGAAATTAACTCGTCCTGTTTAAGAAACATGCTGATCCATCGATAGTCTGGGGTCAGCGGTCTTCTCGATGTTGCTCGACAGACTTTCAAGGAGATCACGGAGGATGTGCATCAACATGTCACAGATATTAACCGTTATTTACTTCCGAAGACCTCTTGATATAACACATCGCTAATTGACATCTAGAGCGCTTTGACATTGTTGCGGAAACCCGATATGACAATGCTCGTCGCTATTACCTCCAGCTGTTCGAGAGCGACTTTGAGGGTCGGTCTATCCCGGATATCCTCATCAACCGATACCTAAAGAAAGGTAGAATCGAGTGCCAGACTCTGGAGCTTATGAAGATGAATCAAAGAATCGAGGGGTCTCATCAGGAAGTGGTCTTGATGAGTGATCAGACCATCCAGCAATTGATCGATGACATTCGCGGAGAGATCCCGGCACTTTTCCGCGTTTGCGAGAGTATCGCCTTACTGGACATGATCGCCTCTTTTGCACATCTTGCGACAACCAACGAGCAGCAAGTTGAATATACACGACCACAAATTACGGATTGTATCGCAATTTCGGCTGGTAGACATCCCATTCGAGAAAGGGTAAGCACCATCAACTGAACTCATGGATGCGCTAACGCGCACCTTTTGCAGATACACAAAGAAAAGTTTGTCCCGAACGATGCCTATGCTAGTGAACAAACACGCTTTCAGATCATAACCGGTTGTAACATGAGTGGGAAAAGTACATACATTCGATCCATTGCCCTCATGTGTGTAATGGCTCAGGTTGGCAGCTTTGTACCTGCAGAATCTGTCACCCTCCCACTGATCACCCAGCTCTTTGCTCGAGTCTCTATGGATGATTGCATTGAAGCCAATGTCTCAACCTTTGCATCGGAGATGAGAGAAACTGCATTCATCTTAAGGTTAGTTTCTTCAATTGGAACATCAAGAGTAAAACTGATCTTCCCTCGTCAGGAACATCGACAAGGGTAGTCTCGCGATCATCGACGAGCTTGGTCGCGGTACCAGCAGTCGAGACGGACTTGCCATATCTTTGAGTATCGCAGAAGCTTTAGTTGGCAGTGGGGCTTTTGTCTTCTTTGCAACTCACTTTCGTGAGCTTGGTAAGCTGTACATCATCTCGATCTTCAATGTCTAATTTAAAATCAGCTCAAATCCTCCAGAACAAGGAGGGAGTCGTTAACATGCACCTTGAGGTTGATTTCGGACAAGAAGACACGATGGCAATGCTCTACAAGGTGCGAAATGGCTACGTTCAGGAGCAACATTATGGCTTAGCTGTAGCTCGTGTCGTAGATCTTCCTCCACGGGTCTTACAGGTGGCGGAGCAAGTAGCAAACGCGCTAGAAGCCCAGGCAGCGGCCAAGAAACAATCTTCGAAATCATTGGCGCTGGCGAAGAGGAGAAAGTTGGTCAAGAGTCTGAAAGAACAGCTGGAGCAGGCTGCAAAAGGTTCAATGGATGATAAAGCACTAACAAGCTGGCTAGTCGGGCTTCAGAACGAGTTCGTCCTTCGCATGGACGCTATAGATACCCAAATCGAGAGCAGCGACGCGGAAGAGGCTATTCCATCTGAAAGAGGTGGCAGCAGAGGCGAAGGGTCGCTCCACGATGAAACAAGGAGTGGAGATGAGGATGATGAAAGTTTGCAGTAAGTGGGAAACATGTGGGATCAAACATTTGGCTTTCTATTGCAACATATGTAGCTCCTTGTGTGCTCTAGCATTGATAGTCCGCCTTATTGCATTAGCATAGCTGGATGTTCCATGTCGGCCCAAACAATTGGTCCTCTTCGGGTGCCTGTCGTTTCATTATTCTTGAATTATCAGACTCAGAATGACTAGCCTTCATTCAAACGATCGGCGGAAGGGGAACCTTCTACAAAGCTGGTGTTGGTACAACAGACTCTGCATGCCTCTGACACTATCATTCTTAGCCCAGTCTTGTTTGGTCCACACAACGAGCCTTGGATGAAGGTCTTTGCGAAGACTTCTCTATCTGAGAGTAATTAGAAGGTTGTATGCAAAGGAGATGTCTTGTATGTGTGCCGAACGGCAACTTGCAGGACTCGGTGATCTCGTTCAACTCCTCCATTGTTTTGTGGAGTGCGGGAAAGGTTGAAGTTTTTTGCCGTGACAAGCCTTCGTCACGACTTGACTGGACTGCTGCGGCTTCGAGACTAAAACTGTGTTCTGGCAGAGGTGTGTTTATAAAACAGCGATGGATGGATGCTAAGCCCAAAACGTAGTTGGGGAGATTTAGATGCCCGATACTGAGTCTTCCACACAAACAAGTATGGCTTCAAACCTGATCCTACCGCCAAATATAGGGTCCGTCCTCCTCCCACTATCTTACATCACTTTTTCCACAATAATTTCATCCTCCGAAGCTCTGAGCTCTCCCGGCCCATGAAGACTCAGAGCCAGAAATCCAAGGATCAGAGCGTTCGCAAACAAGACCGCTTGCGAAGTGGCTTGGTCGACCTCCCACATGTATAAGATAGCATTGCTGACAGCAAGGAGTATGCATGTGACTCGAGGGGCATATGTGAGGATCGTTCTCTCAATCATCAGCATCTGTTGTTTCTGCGCAGTTCAAATGTCAGTACCAATGACACCGCAAGGGTGGACAGAGAAGCCTCACGTTGACCATATTTTATCTGGGAGACCCGAACAAGACCCGTTTTGCCCAAGGAAAATTTGAGTCATTGGAAGAGGAGTTGTGGGCATCTACTTATATCTGTTAGCTGGCACATGCAATGGTGACCTGAATCGGGCAGGAGATAGGTAATGGAAACCTCGCTTTAGCATAAAGCCCACTTGCTCCACAATCCACTGTTGGTAGACGTGCCATATCCACATATCCACTTCACGGATCCGAGGTACCTAGGTAGGTACTGACCTATAAACAAGCCTCAAAGGGAAGGCGCGTCCCGTAATTGTGGATTGTTAATAAGTCCTCTGCAGTGGAGTGCTGCGCTGGAAAAGTCCAGGCTACAATTGTCCATCGCCTCGAGGCTTATGTACTCTTGCTAGTTCAAGACATTGAAGACCAGGCATCGTCTCGTCTCTTTCTCAGCTATCTAGTATTCCTTCACAACATATTGTAATCCGAGATAGCGAACGGCTTATTCCCCCGTCTCACCACTCGAGATACTCTTTTTAGCGTCTTCTAACCGAGTGGCCAAGACTCTGCCAGATCTTGCAGCTTCTCATGAGGAGCTTTTGGAATTTTTGTAAGAGCTTTCTTGAGTCGAAGACCATGATCCGAGATACCTCAAGGGAAGACTAGATGAATTATGTGATATAGGCTCCTCGAAACCAATATGACGTTCATCTCATTCGGTGGTGCTTAGCGAGGTCAACGACACATGTGATACGGAAGAGTGAATCGGTAGTCAACAAAAACTTGTCCTTGTCAACTACCTTACTTTATGTCACCGGAGCATGATTCAACATCTCATCGGGCACAAATCAAAAGATGCAGGATGTAGTCACGAATGAGAACACCGTTTATTGAAAATTACAGGCGTTTGCTTAGAATTTAGAATCGAGAGTCTATTCAAGCCAAAAGCTGCTGGTTGTGAAGCACAGTCAGAGGAAAATTGTTCCATTAAGTGCAGGACATGAAGTGACCGCATCGGCCACGATTGATGATGAATACCCCAGCGGCACTACCTTCCTGTGGTTGCCAAGTGTACAGTCGCCAGCTGCCACTGCCAACAAATTTGCCACGATGGGTTCCTTTTCGATTTATTGTAAAAGCGGAAGCTGACATCACCTTGAAGGTTACCATCCCGTCTACTCAGCAGAGCGACTTTTCTGACGACATTTCGATGTTGCAGATACCATATTGGTGGTGCTTCGTTAATCATAATCGATTCTTGACTTTGAAGAGACTTCTCCAGGTATGGCCAGGAAGTGAGAAGTGATGGTACACCATCAATCCTTACCAACCGGTACGTGGAACTCGGTAGGTTTGATATCCTCGTCATGCTCTTCTGGTGTGTTGAATTCCACGACATAATCCTCAGCAATATCTACCATCATCTGGGGAGGGTGAAGATCGGCATTCTCGGAGTACTGGCCCTCATTTCTGTATCTGACACAAGTTTTTACAGCATACTTTCGGAGAGCGCTTCCGGCGGCAGTATTTGCGTAGATATACTGGAATGTTCTGCTTGGGATACTGTCACCGATAAGCACTATTTGTTGCATACTGTCGATGATCTTGTTTTGAAGAACCGGCATGGCGAACTTTTCTGCTAGGACCCACAGCTCCGCCAAACTCATGTCCTCATTGAACTCTTGTTGCATATCTGTGACATCTAGGACGTAGCCTGGGCTGGTCTGCAAGAGAGTGAGTTTCTCGAGGTAGAACCACTCCATGAGAAGTCGAAATGCAGCTGGGGAGGTATCTTCAAGTCGGTAAGTTTGCGATTGGCCTTCGATAAATCCGCTGTTGAAAGCTGCTTCAAGAACCTTCGAATGACGGCAGACGAACTCCTTGTGGGCTATGAACTCAGTAGGATCAGGACCTGGGCCAACGAGAAAGGTGACGAGAGACTTGGGATCGCTGTGCATTGTCAGCAGGTTGGTATCTCGTGTAAGATAGCTCTTAGGACAAGTAGCAAAATGAAAATAGAACTTACGAGAATGGTGCTTCTTCAATTTTAGGCTTCTTAGTCGCTGATCCAGCATCCGATCTTCGACGAGACTTTTTGGCTTCCTTCGAGGATGACATCGTTGCCATGGTTCGCGATTGCACGATCTCTGCGATTGAGAAGCTCGTTGCGGATGTGTAGGGTCTCCACGATGTTGAGCGCGACGAAATTTGACGTCGAGATTGTAAATCAACGGCTCGTGTCCTCGATCATGTCGAGGAAGATTCTGGGAGAAGAAACCTGTCGAAAAGATCTGTTGCTGAAATCTGAAGCGAGTCGGAGCAGCGAAGAAGCGAGCACGTAAGGAGAGTAAACATTGGATTCAATATTGGGATTCACCAGAAACAGTATCTCCTGACCGTCTAATATGACTTCACTCTTGTATTGCTAACAGGACCTCCAATCTATGATCTAATCAATAGGCACCGTAAGAAGACTGCAAACAAAGGCGATTGCCAAGAGCGTGTCGATAAGAGACATCTACCTGGACAATCCTCGACGAAGACTTATCAGGCGCACAATGTAGCAGACTGGAAGAGAGAATTGTTCGAGACATCTGCTTTATTCTTACCGAAGTATACACTAAGATAAATATACACAATTGGGGTACTGGACCAAGTTTCCGAAGGCGTTCGGATATATCCAGACCTTCCTGGGAAGCCATGGTCATTCCCTCGTGAAAGTGCCTCGATTCGGGCCACGTGTTTCCACCTGCACTCAGCAAACGACGAATAGTCTCCATGGCTAATCAAACAATAATACTGAAAGTAGAGCTCTTCGGTCGATCCCGATAATTATACCTAATATACAAAGAAGACTTTGTCTGTGAAGTATGAAAAGCAAAAGTAGGCTGAAGGAATCATGATCTCATAATCTCATATCTATCGCTCAAATGCTCAACCAGGTCAAAATATGTACACAAGAAACCAAAACATAACGACAGGGTATCAAAACCTCTCCCTTCTTTCCTCCTCATGCCCAAGTCTGCTTCCAGATCTACAACCCCATTCCTATACCCATGGCAACCGCCAACCCCAACACACCAGCCATCCAAACACCGTCTCTCGTTGCCGCACTAGTGATTCCGCTCTCCACTGTGTCCGTCGCCTTTCCTTTCTCCTGCTTCAAAACATTGTCTTTGAAGAATTGGTTGTTGTTGCCGACTACGTTGCCAGGTGGGTAGTACTCGCATACGACGTAGAAGCCGGGTGTGTCTGGGAGGATTGTCAGCGTTTGTATCTCATAGCCGGATCTACTTCGTTTGGAAAGCTCATTTCCAAAAGATTTCCAAAGTAAAGTTTCCCAAGAGAGAAACCCAAAAAAGACTGCTTAAAAAGCTCATGAAAAAACAAGCACTCTTCCCTCTCTTGCCTTTCCCCAATTTGATATCCGGAACAAGCAACACCCAATATCCTCTCAGTTCCAACTCCGAATTTCTTCCTCCTACACACGGCCGCTTCTCCAGCTCTGACTCACAAAAACAATTCCACCCCACCCGCTAAGCAATCGAGAAATCAACCCCGAGAACAAGAAAACACGAACTCACCATTCTCCCCCTGACAGCTCTCAACCGCACACCCCACACTCGTGGTATTCCCCCAGACAAGCTGCGTGAAATGTCCCGTCTTCTCACTGAACCCAGTCGGTTTCTTAAAGTTGTAACTCGTGCGCTCTAGACCCCATGCATCGACACTGGCTGAGGCGTTGGGATAGCCTGCTGCGAGGTTTTCGCCCGTGGGTCCGCCCTGTATGGTCACTTTGTTAGATTGGGTTCTTTTTCCGTCTAGATTTGCTCGTTCCTGGGATTGGGGATTTAGGAAGTTGGAGAAAGGGTCTTGGGGTTGAGATGGATGACAGAAGCATTCCCCGCCAAGCATCCCTTTCCCCCTCACCCCAAAAATCACAAAATAGAAAACTTTCCCGAGAGAAAGAATAGGAGGACAAACTCACACTATGCTCAAACCTACACCCCTCAGCCCAATCCTTCGCAAACTCCGCACTCGTCTCATTCCACACCAGATCCTTCGCTCCATGCGCGGCTCTGTAGAAATTATGCGCCGCAACCATATCTTTCTGGAAGGTGCCTGCATCGGTGTAGGATGGTGATGTGGGTAAGGGGGCGGAGGAGGCGGTTACTGTTACGACTGGTGTTGCGGCTGTGAGGGCGAGGAGGGAGAGGATGGTGGGGAGGAGGTATTTGAGGGGCATTTTTGAGTGGTTGTGGGTGGGTGGTGGGAGATGTAGGATATATATCAAGACTGCGATGGAGAATGAGTATTTGGTTTGAGACTTGAAGATATAAATATGAAGTACAAAAGACAAGCAGAAACTAGGTAGAAAGATAAACTACTTCAACGGGTTTTCACCACTCTTTGTACTCACACCCCCCATCTCGTCCAAAATATCCAATCAAGCTTCCATCCTTGCACCCACATCAAGACCCTGGACCTACCTTACCTACCCAGTCCCCACTCCACTCCACTCCACTTCAGGAAAAGAGATACAAAACCTCCACATCCACCTCCACCTCCACAAACTCAATCCCTTCCACTCAGATGAGCCAGATATCTTGGACGAACCATCCACTGCGATTGGACAAACCCACTCTCTACAGTACTGTGTGAGCAAATCCAAGGTCTAGGCAGATGCAATCTACAGTAGATAAAGACGAGTCAACGGTTCATCATAAAACCAGACCACACCATTTTACGCAGTACGGTAAACAAGTACTAAACAAGTTTCCAAACCAAGGTCCTGGAACTCCCCTCCCCTTCCCTCCCTCTAGCACTAATCCCGGCTCAACCTTCCGAACCACCTTCTTCTTTCCTTCACTCTACGAGTACTCTACTGTGTCACGCCCGCGGCCGGCCCACAGACGCGTCCAACTCCCTCACACACCACCCATACACCCACACACAACACAGCCTCACCTCATCTCATCTCATCCCCTACCATCCCATCTTCTCCAATTCGTGGATCGATTGATTCCATCCCCGAGATCCCCTCCCCTCCCCTCCCCTCCCCTGCCTCCGAAATCTTCGTACTGTACTGTAATTTCGTTTCCAACTTTCTTACTTTCAAAAGCTTGGTTTGGTTGGATGACGATGGATGGATGTTTTTCGGGTTTTTCGCGTGCGAGGTGAGATGGGCTGAGATGGGATGCGGGATGCGGGATGCGGGATGACGTCTGTGGTTCATTGTTTGGTACAGGGCAGGGAAGGGCAGGGGGCTGGTTGCGCATGGGGCAGTGAGGGATCCCTGTGAATAATAGACCAAGAGTGACGGGACCGGACGGGATGGTTCCATTGGCAGGATTTGTGGGGAATGAACAACAGTGGATAGGAAATGGAGTTAAGTTAGTCAGCCAACTGACGGGTGTCTACATAGGGGAGTTTACTATGAGACTTGGGTTCGAGGTTGGGTGTATTGCATATATTGCTGTGTTGTATGTATCTCTGTAAGTTATCAGTCATCATACGGAGTGGAGTGATATCGTTGAAAGAAATTGAAACAAAGGTAATATGTTCGGGGGTGTAGACCGAGAGGAGAGACACTCAGTCCTCAATCAAGTCATTTTCATTCAGTCATTCATTTCCCCCACAGTAAGCAAGCTATCACTAAGACCGCCCGACCGCCCGTAGCTACCTAGTAATCGCTCTTGTATGCTTCCACTACTCATTTTTTGGCCCCATCGAAGCTCTTCTTCATATGTCTGCTCATCTCAAAGCATACCTTGATATCACACCATTCCACTCCATAACACATCGTATTGTATGCTTGGACGTCCAAGAAAATCCCATCATTCCGTCCCTATGAATACCCATTGTTACGCCCTTGCTATGCTGCACCCTCCATCAAACACTTTCGCGACCAAGGAAACACCAAGAAATGGGCTGCAAAAGAACGTCGAAAGATCCCGCTAAAGAACGTTGCTGGTCGGAGAAGAAGAGCAAGTTGATTTGACACTTCCATCGCCTCGATGAAATGAAATTACGCAATCATAGCGAGCTTTTGAAGAACCGTAAGAACACCTGATACTGTTAGTCCAATCCGACTTCGAGTTGTCTTTTGTGGAAAACTTACCAGTAACTCCCTGTGTGAGCGTACATCCTGCCTCAGTATTGCGACTTCCCAAACTAACAGTTGTGACATTCTTGACATTGCCATCGCGACCAAGCTCGTTGGCCCAGCGGAAGATAACCTCATCATCGCGACCATCACCAGCTACCATGAGGAAATCAACGGGTGAGGTTTCGTCAGCATTGGGTGCCATGTTCTTCTTCAGGCCATCGAAAATCTGCATGGCTGCAGTTCCCTTGGACCAGTCAATAGGCTCGACAATAACGGCACCTATGGAGGTCAGTTTGAAACTTACAAGTTGAATAGGGAACAAACCTTCAATTGGGATAGCCCGTACTCTCTGCTCTTCACAAGCATCGTTGATATGACTGGCACAATCACCAGCTTGCCGACTTGCACTCTCTTGATCCTCACAGCTCTTGTAGTGGAAAATGAGACTGCAATGTCTTGGCTCGATCCACGACCCGGGGGTACGCTCGTGATAATACTGCATGATACCTTCAACGGATTCCTTCCAAGCGCGCATCTTTTCGGGATCGGCCATCTCGACCCACGTCGACGTGCCAAATTCCTTGAGGAAGCACCCATTCTCCGCGATAAGTCCAAGATTTGGAACGCGCTTAAACAGTCTGTCAAGCTCTTCAGGTTGACGACCTGACATGACGTACACTGTATTACGCTCATCTTGAAGAATGTCGTTCAAGACGTCAAGAGTGCGTTGAGGACTCGTGAGAATGATGTCGTTAGGTGAACCCCAAGAAGCAAGAGTTCCCTCGTAATCAAGAATGAAGAGTCTTCGTTCTGATTGCTGGTATTGTCGTCCCAGCTGGTTGATTGACAGGCGAGGAACAGAAGTAGTGTCTCGGCGATGTTGCTCATCATACACCTTATTGAGTCTTGTCAGGAAAGCAGTAAACCAATGCTCGGCAGTATGATGCATGACGGCCTGGTATAATTTGTCCCATCGACTCTTCTTCTCGTCGTCCTCCATTTCTAAGGCTTGCTTAATGGCATCGGCACACTGTCGATAATCCCATGGATTGACAGAAAGTTCGTTGCCACCAAAGACTGACGCACTTCCAGTGAATTCGCTCAGAATGAGAGAGCCGTTCTTGTTGTGTCCCTTGAATTTGCCGTCTTGGCAGAATAGATATTCGTGAGAAGTCAAGTTCATTCCCTCACGCTGACTCGCAATCATCAGAGCATCAGCGACTGTCAGCAAGGCCAAGTATTGCGGATAGCTGATGTCTTGCTTCAGGTAGACCAGAGGTTGATAGGCAAGGTTTGCCCAGGATGAGTTGACTCTAGTGACGATGTCCGAGACAGTGGCATCCAGCTCGGCTTGTTCGGTAGTCGAAGTCGCAACTTGTATCATCACCACATTATCTCTCCATTCCGGGTATTTGTTCAAGAACAGCTCGTAAGCCAGAAGCTTTTGTCTAACACCTCGCACGTGATCCAATTTGTCTCTTGCAACGATCAACTTCTTACCACGATAGCGATCCTGCATGGTCTTCAGCCACTCGGCAACATCCGGATCTGCACGGTTCATATCCAATGCGACGGGGTCGATACCAATTGCAAGATCAATAACATCGACAAACCGGTCCTCTAGCTGGACACCATCGTTCGTTGCCTCAACACAAAGCAGCCTGCTGCAAGTTTGGAGGAAATGGCGAGCATACTCGTGGATTTGGAAACCGATGAGATTGGCACCAAGCATGCCCTCCAAAAGCTCTTTTCGTACAGCTAAGCATCGAAATACCTCTGACGATGGGAAAGCAACGTGGAGGAAGAACCCAATCTTCGCATCTGGTAGCTTCTTTCGCACCATGGATGGCACTAACAGAAGATGGTAGTCGTGAACCCAGATGATATCTCCACGCTTCCAGTTCTTGACAATCTTGTCGGCAAAAGCTTGGTTAACAGCAACATAGTATATCCATGAGTGGTCCTCATATGCCTTGCTCTTTGGGTTGTCCGGGATCTGATAATGGAAGACTGGCCAGAGAATCTGCTTGCAGTAGTGAGTGTAGTGTCCGTCGAAATCGCTGTCCTTGCAGAAGACGGTCAAGGAGTCGTATTCAGTAGCCAATCGATCCTCAATATCTTGCTTTTGCTGGGTATCCTCGAGAGCGTCCGTTGGCATTCCAAGTGTTCCAACCCAGATCTTGTCATGTAGCTTCCCATTTCTCACCGCAGCTTGGACAGCATTTCGAAGTCCACCATTACCTTGGTCAGCAGGTACCACAGTCCAATCAGCATGGGCGAAGACGCGATCATGACTATCGCTTCTTCCAAGTTGTGGCTGTTTGACACCTGCTCGTCCAAGAACACTAGCCTTCGCAACAGTCTTATTGTGCTTCAATATATCCGCTGGCGGAGGAGAGCTTGCTCTTGATCGAGGTTGGGTAAAGAGACGACCAGACCCCCAAGCAGGAGAGTGTGGATCGCTGGGGGCAATTGTAGATCTGTGATTCTCTTGCTTGGGAAAGTGCCCGCGCAAATCTTGGTTCTCGCTCGCAGCAAAGAAGCTATCGTGGTCTGCGTCTACAGTCGGTGTCTGTGGAGGGGTAAGGTCGCGTTGTTGGGCGAAAAGACTTGGCTTGCCAGACGTATCAATCCTCGTCGTTGTTCGTCGAGGAGGGGAGGGTCGACCTCTCGAGGAATTGGTTGGGAGTGTGAAGTTGATGGTATTGGGAAGAAACCTGTTGAGGACGTGTCAGAGTTCTGCGGAACATGGCCTGACACATAATGGGTGGAGACAGGCTATGCATTGAAGCTCCATTGGGATTGTGGAAACGGATCTGAAGCTCTCCCCGCATTCTAGAAAGAGGTGGGGGAACCTTGGGGTAGACCGAGCTTCTGGAGCTCTAGGATGAAGCTATGGGATTGTACTTACAGTGAAACCACAAAGACGGTCATTTTAACAGCTTGCGCGGAAGCTCAAGGCCAGGTCGCAGTATGAAGGGTCGAACAGAGAAACTTGAGTTGAGATCTCGAAATTGCGCAATCATGGACTTTCGTATGGTAGTAATGAGGGGTTTGTCAAAGGAGGGGAAGAGCGCTGACACTGATCGGGACAAGATGTGGGCTGATGTTTGCCTGAGAATGGCTGTGTTCAGGAGCAGCGTAGTACAACGAAAGCTCTAGAAGTCGGGTAAGCTGGCGACGACGATACCGGGAGGAGGTGTCCGATTAAAGCAATCCGAGGAAGTAGAATCTTGGAGGAAGTTCTTGTGGATGTCGTGAGCTTCTTGAGGTCGCTCAAGCTCTACCTTATTCTCGGACTCGAAGGGATGTGGATGCAGCTGCGTTGAAGTATTTTTCGAGGTTGCGGTGGTGCGATGTTGAGGGAGTTACACGTAGATAGTCATCTGTCTGTGGTGTTCAGCACGCTTCACGGATTTCCTTGATCGGGACAAAGTGAGGTAACGAAAATTATCCAGTAGTTGCATCTTCCCGAGAGGAGGAAGGTCAAAGGCTGGCAGTGGCAGTGGCAGTGGCAGTGGCAGGCCAGGGCACGACGGGGTTCCTATTTTCCCATACGTCAGGCACATGAAAATTGTGACTGGGATGGTGGAGGGGATGCAGGTTTTGGAGGGCGGGCCAAAGCACATGCGGCAGAAAACAGAGGCAGGGCAGAAGGCAGATCCTGATCCTGGCAAGGAAGGGAGGGGAGGGGAGACGCAAGAAACGCAAGCAAGGCCAGCCATGCCCAAGATGTGCAAGAGGCCTGGGCCACGGCTGAGAGCACTCTCACTGGGCAGGATATTTAAAGAGTTCGTGGTGGCTAAAAGCAAGGAGGACAGAGCCAGGACGAGGCATTTTTACCAACTATATGCCCTGCAGCTGTCAGACGTGGCATGGCCTTTGTAAGAGTGAGAGTGAGAGCAACAGTGAGATGATCCGAGTAACAACTCGGGAGAATCCGGGATTGATTGCTGGAGACTGGCAAGAAGGAACCAGGGAATAAACAAAGAGACAGACAGCCAAAGGGTTGATCGGTGGGTGGGTGGGAAGGAAGGGGTGGGATGGGATGGATGGAAAGAAGGGAAGAAGTCCGGTCCGAGGGCTTTGTTTTGGTTGGGATGGGATGGGACAACAACTCGGTAAGGTTAAAATGCGGTACGAAGAGATAGGAAGAGGACCAAACAAAGGTAAGGCTGGCAGAAATGTGCTCAATGAGATTCCATTATTCAGTCCGACGCAAAGTCCCGGTTTAGCGTTCACTGACTGAAGAGCCCCCATAACCTATCACCCCATAACCTATCACCCCATAACCTATCACAAGCAGGACAAGGTCGCGTATCACAGTCAGTATAGAGTATCGCTCATACTGCTTATAGAGCCTACGTAGGTAAGTAAGTCAGCGAGTTCGTGTCGGCCAGGGCCATACTCGAGACTGCAAAGCGTGCGAAAGCTAGGTACTGTAGTCTGTAGCAGAAGTTCCAACTCAATTATCAATACAGTACATTCCTGAGTCCTCCCAATCAACTGTTCCAGGCCAGCCCCAGCCCTGAAACCATCAGCCCTGGCCCCTGGGGGAGGGCAAGAGGGCACCAATGCACACCAGTGACACCACACCACACCACACCACCTGCGCTCAACTCTCCTCTCCAGCCACAGCTTCACCGCCTTGACAGGGATACCCGCTTAGCTCCCGCCGGTCGATCTCCACTGGACCAGCACCAGCACCAGCACCAGCACCAGCGACGGCTGATCGAGGATGGATGTTGCACAGTACAGTAGTACTGTACAGTAGTAGTGCACCACGCAAACGCAAACGCAAACGCAAACGCTACGGGCCCAACGCTCCGTCACCACGCCGCTCCACTCCATTCAACTGCACCCTTCCAACCCGTGTGACGCTTGACTGGATACGGCCGTTCCTGGACATCGTGTTGATCGTACAGGAAGAGACCATGCTTTCCCACAGTACAGTAGATGCAGCAGAATCTGGCATGGAACAGGACAGTAATGAACGGTACACCAACCATGTGTGAGCAAGATATGGATATCTCCGGATATGGCCTTTGATATCAGCCTGCCGGCCGAGCTGTCCAACAAACACATTGAATAGCCCTGTCGAGACCAGCATCCTCTTCGTACAACCAATCCAAAGATAGCCGGCTTCTATCACACCACATTGAGCGGCAATAATCCTCTCTTTCAAACATCCAGGAATCTCGAGCCTTTGAGCCGTCCATTTCCGTATGAACGCGAGCAACCACTGCACGATCAGGACCAAAGCCTCCGAATCCCATGCCATGCCATTGGAACCATGGCCAAGAGGAAGATTCATTGATTGCTTACGACGAGCGGGCGGGCATCTCGCATTCCTGTCCCCGCCACTCCGTGTTTCCTGGACTGCTCTCATGTGCCTACCCCTCTACCCTCCCCACCCCTCCTTGAACAAAGATCAACACGTTCAGCATCTCGGCGCCATGAATGGCGAGACGCCGAGCAAGCGACCGACGACATCAACAATCAGCTCGCCTCGCTTGCAGCCATTCATCCTTTATCAGTCGCTCTGTAATCCCTCAAACTACATTTCGGAACCTTCATCTATCTGCCTTCCAACTTTCCTGCCTGTCACGTTGGGCACCATTACCTCTCTTCATCAGATCTCACATTTTTTGCAAAACCTTACTATCTGACGCCTGACAGGCCGTTCCAAGCTCTAGCATGTCGTGCTCATCCTCCATCTCCATTAAACCGAGGAGAGTTATTCAAGGCACAAGAAAGAGAGTTGCTGTCGTGGCCCCGTATCCAAAATTCCTCGCACACCCTTTCACTCTTCATTCGCACTCACTCAGCTCTTGTGTCTACCACCTCGCCTATCACTTCCCCTGCCTTTCAAAAGGCAAAAAGTCAAAACTCAACAGCTGAAGAAATATGTGGTGAAAGCTCCACAACCGAGCAAACCAAACAATGGGAGAACCATCCAAGCATGCAGTGCAACGTGATCTGAAATCACGCGAGCAGAGCACGCAACGCCATGCTGGAAATCTTCTATCCGGGCTCTTGCAGGATCGTGGCTCGAATGGCTTGCTGCCCAACTGCATATGCATGCATTTACACCCTGTCTACACTCCTATCAAAACCAGCTATCACTACAAGGGTCGCTTCTCGCAGCGAGGAGAGAGACGAGCTAACTGAAGCGAGAAGAACCTGACATGACATGCCAATACAGAAAAATCTGCTCAGAACATTTATTTCCCTCCCTGTCAGATAGCCTGCCGCAATTACAGATATACCTACCTATCCATCCACCTACCTATCTACCTACCTACTTGTATGCATGCAGGAGAATCTGCAGTTCTCACATACATGCAAATGCAGAGAAATGCCGAAAGCACTGCCATTCCATTCCAATCCATGTCTTCGATCCTGACTCCTAGAAAGGGAAACAAAATGTTCAATGGCCGTGCACGCCACTCTGCCTTGGTAAATAAAGAAATGGTGTTACGATTACGATTACAATTGCGCTCCACCATTAGGTAGGTAGGTCGGACATGTGGAAACAACAAGCCTTGGAAAGATCCGAAAGAATCATTTCTCGCTACTGTACTGTAAAAGGCTGGAAGAAAGGGCCGGTTATCCATCCCCATCCCCATCCCCATTCCCATCCACGTCCACGGGTGCGTCCCCTTCCTCATTTTAGTTTACCAGTCAGTCCCCAGGACCCCCGTACCTCTTCCTTGACGAAAGGAAACGCAAAACTACTGTACCTACCGAACGAAGATTTCAAAGAATAACAAGAAGAAGAAAAGAAAAAAAAAGCCTTGGTATAAATAAAATCCTCACCAGAAATACTGTCTTGCCTAGCCTCTCTGTCTACTTAAGCAAAGAGCTCGGAGAAGAATACTTTTCCCGATACTCTTTTTTGTAGCGCAGATACATACTTACATACATACTTCTCTTCACGTTTCTTCTATCCTCGAAGCGTCCCAGCGCAGAAGGCCCCCTACGAAAAATGTTATTTCAAAAGTTTTCAACCAGGAGGTAGGTCCCTACTTGACCATGCATTCCTCTACCTGGGATTGTGATTGATTAGATGGATAGGACCGCATCACAGCAGCAAGTCTCGCACTCATATTCAGAGATCTTTGCAGCAAGGTAACATACAACTCGATTCATGCTCTAACCCTTGACATTTCAAGCCAATTTCTTCAAGCCAACTTCAGGTATTATACACCCATCATGAAGCAAATCCAGATCTCGTATGTACATGCAAACGCACAAATATACCCTTGGGCGGTTTCTGTAGTGCAACTCACTCCCCGACAAGTCCTATGTCTTCGTCCGCTTTCCAGCCATACCATGATTCCATTCATCGCGCAAGTCGTGTTTTTCGCCGAACTTACGTCCGGCCTCCACAAATTCCCGATAGTCTATTAAGCTCATCTTACGTTTCGGTCCCGTACGCTCCACCGTTCCTATAGCCGTGATAACAGCGGGCGAGCGAGCAGCGTCACCAAGAAAATTGACTTCATGTTCAGCGATTGCTCCTGGATCGATTGTTTTGGAACAATCCAGTAAGTCTATGCTGTCGAAAAGGTCTGGCTCTTCAGCAATGCTTCCTGGCTCCGTCTCAAGGAGGCTGTCGCTCGCATCGTTCCAATCCCGCTTCTTTATCTCGCTTTCTGTCTCTTTCAGCATCTCAAACTCGGATTCGCCTGCAAGTGGCCCGTCAGCTTTCAGAGTAACGATGACACATCTTCGTAAAAGTCCTAGCGCCAAGTCTATATCACATTCCTCTTCCCTCAAGTATCTCATGAGCGCTTTCTCGGGTAGTTGACCAAGACTCCGTGCGCTGAATGGTGCACCATACTTCGCGGCGGAGGCTTGTGTAAGCTTGATAATGTCGACAAGCTTGGGACCAGGAAGATTCCTTGTTAGGTCTCCAACCAAAGAATCCAAAACAGCATCATTGTATTGTGGTATGTGGACTGAAGGCTGAATAACGTGGCAATCCATCAATCTCTCCAAGACACTTCGAAGAATTTCGTACTGCTCTGCCTTTCTTGGTGGACCGACGAATTCCCTCAAGCCACATCTGTCAAGAAAAGCGGGCTCCAAGGCATCGCACATGTTCGATGTGAAAAGGAAGACCACATTTGAATATCTCGCTGTTCGATCAAGGCCGGTAAGTAAAGCATTCGTCGCGCGCATCGAATCAAGGCTCTCCCCGTGCTGTGTGCTGAACTCTCTTGAGCTGGCAATGGATTCCACCTCATCAATCAAAACACAGATAAAGCCGTCTGGCCTTTCCTCGCACATTTCGATAATCATATTGAATATATCGTCGACGTGTTTGGCACTCTCGCTGTAGTATTTGGATAGCAGAACTGCAGTCTTGATCTGCACCAGCTTGGTAGACTTGTAGCTCGTGCTTAGACGAATCGAGATCTTTTGTGCAAGGCCTAGGCACAAACTTGTCTTGCCTGTTCCTGGCGGACCATGGAATAGGATAAGAGGGTTGAGCTTCCGTGGGAGTTTGTGCATTTCAAATGCTTTTGAAAATCGAACTGTTAAGATCAGGATACGAAGCTTGAAGTGCATAGAAGTGGGACAACCTACGAATGTTGGTCATCATCCAAATTAGATCTGCCTTCAGTTCATGATCAAAAACAAGCCTTTCGAGACTTAGCTGTTTCCACAATCTGGGGTGATCTTACTCACTCGTCCCATACCCCCTCGAACCGGACATTGGGCATCGAAATCACTTCTCCCAGTAGTCCATCCTCATTTTTCTCTTTTTCAGATGACGAGATTCCATGTAGCTGGAAGACCTGAACTTTCAATTTCACCTTTGACGTTATGAAGCATCTCTCAACTGTAGTAGGCCCAATGTATTCGATCACCTTCAAAGACTGCAATGTTGCCTTGGCTTTGCCGTATTCGTGTCCCAATTTGGGTATGGCATCTAGTCTTCCTTGTCAGTCCCCAGGAGCCATAAGTATAGCGTGTCATCTCACTCTTTTTATCTGCAAGTATGTCCTCCAGCAGCTCAAACGCATTGGTAAAACTCATCAACTGAGCTTCCAAAACCTTCGCATACTACCTTAGTCAGTATATCATTCCCCAGCGGCGCCAGCTTCACTCACAGCTTCACAGCCTTGAAAATCCATGATACCACTTTCCAACATCCCGTCCTTCAACCTGGCTTCGATGAAGAGCGTGCCTTTCTTGCGAGTTTCGGTAGGCTGTGGGGATTTGATGAGATCGACATCTGCGGACGGCGAGCGGTCGCGAGACATGCTGACAACTGTCGATGGTGATGAATGCTGCATTGTATTGTAGAGAGCCGGATGTGATTCCAGGAAGATGCAAGATTGAGCAGCCAGCCACGCCTTCCGGGAATGGAAAGAACGTTTGGCAATTAAGCGAGTGTTGACGGTCCCGGGGGACAAAAGGTACTTGCAAGCCTACCCAGGTGGTATTCAATGGCATCCTCCATCATGGACTTTTTGCCAGCTTACGGCTATGCGACTTCAAGGTTTTAATTGGAGCTTCCTCGTTTCATGCTCGGAAGTTCTACATGGCCTTCGCAATCATCCTCCGTACTTTCAAGCTCAACAACCTTCCGCCAATCAACGCCAACATGCATCGAATTCCCACAGAACGAGAAAGTCCGAGCCCTACTGATTTCAAACCACGTCCCTGCTACTTTCTTACCTGTCTGAGAAGACTTAGATCCCGGCCAGGATCTGAAAAATCCTCCCAAACCGACTAATCTTGAAGAAATATCACCTCGCGTAAATTAGAAGGGTACTACGTGAATACGAGCAAGGTACCTAGGTACCTTACCCAGTTGATTCGACACAATTCAACAGCAGGTTGGATGCTCGATAAACAATGCTTTAAATGTTATGAAATCTTACAAAGGACTTTCAGCAATTTATTTGTTCCGCAAAAGACATTCTCAGAGTTCTTTTCTGCTGTTCACACGTCACGTTTGAGTCCAGCTCACCCCTGGCCGCCAAGGCGGGCATCAAGGTTTTGGTGGCGTCGCCTAAATACGGCGTCATCGACCATGAAAGCATCCCGTAAATCTTCACAGCTTCATGTCGCATACACTACAACATCATCCTCAACCCCCAATAGCCAGCGAAGATGGACACAGGATCTTTCTCGAAGCAATGTATCAAACCGGATCCTACTGATCCTCATAATGGGCAGAAGCAGATTTACGTCCAGCTTGTCTTGTCTCTGGCCTTGGGCTTGTCAGCCTTCTTTGGCTTCTGCGTGAGCCTCGGAACGATGAATGCTTTGCAGAGATACTAATAGCTGCAGTTTCTTCGCCCAAGATGGAAAAGTCTTTATGCTGCGCGCAAGAAGCAAACCGATGCAGCTGCAGATCTGCCCGACCTTCCGGATAGCTTCTTTGGATGGATGCCTGTGTTGTACAGGGTGACGGAGCAGGAAGTACTTGCTTCAGCCGGTCTTGATGCCTATGTTGTATGTCCGCAATTACACGCATTGTGCATTTGTGTGCGCCTAACTAATTATGAAAGTTCCTTGCATTCTTCAAGATGTCGATAAAGCTCTTCGCAACCATCTTTGTTTTTGTATGCGTTGTACTGGCGCCGATCAACTATCACTACGACTACCTACCTACGCCAGGCAATCCCGAAGACCCAAACAGACCATCACCATCTTTATTTGCGATGTTATCGACCGATATTTGGAGCTACGATCAGAATACCATGGCGAAGGGAAAAGATGGAAAGAATCCAATAGACACAACTTACTTGTGGGCGTACTTGATGTTCACCTACTTTTTCACGGCTCTTGTTATATTCTTTATGGCCACAGAAACTCGGAAGATAATACAGATACGACAAGATTATCTTGGGAGCCAGTCCACCATTACAGACCGAACTATCAAGCTATCAGGAATTCCCGTTGAATTGCGATCGGAGAATGACATAAAAGAGTTCTTGGAGAAGCTTGAGATTGGAAAGGTCGAGAGTGTGACTCTCTGCAGGGACTGGAAAAAGCTGGACAATTTGGTAGAAGAACGGGCTAATACACTTCGAAGGCTGGAAGAGGCCTGGGCGGTGCATCAAGGCCGGAGCAGGACCAAAACCATTCGAGCACCAGTACCATTAGGCTCAGATGCAGCCAACGACGATGACGACGCTGACCACAACGAGGATGATAATCTCATGGGAGCTAGTCACGTCACCCCTTACGAAAAGCCACGCCCAACTACTAGGATTTGGTATGGATTCTTGAACCTGCAGAGTCGAAAGATTGACGCCATCGATTACCATGAGGAGCAGCTGCGCAAGCTGGATGACCAGATTGCTGCCGCAAGAAAGAAAGAATACAAGCCTACTCCCCTTGCCTTTGTTACCATGGACTCGATACCAGCTTGTCAAATGGCGGTACAAGCTCTTTTAGACCCCTCACCTATGCAGCTTTTGGCCAAATTAGCTCCTGCACCGACAGATGTTGTCTGGCGAAACACCTACTTGCCACGCTCAAGCCGAATGATGCGGTCCTGGACCATCACAGCTTTCATTATTGTGCTTACGATTTTCTGGCTTATCCCGGTAGTTGCTCTTGCCGGCCTAGTAGATATTTGCTCCATTCGACAAGTCTTGCCACAATTTGCGGAATTACTTGAGAACCATGATATCATCAAGGCCTTGGTTCAAACAGGTCTGCCAACTCTGGTCGTTTCACTGTTGAATGTTGCAGTTCCGTTCTTGTATGATTATCTGGCAAATTACCAAGGAATGATATCCCAGGGCGATGTTGAGCTGTCCGTCATATCGAAGAACTTCTTTTTCACCTTCTTCAACGTTTTCTTGGTCTTCACAGCATTCGGAACTGCTAGCAAATTCTGGCCGGTGCTTCAGGAGTCACTGAAAGACACGACAAAAATTGCATACAAGTTGGCCAGCTCAGTACAAGCCTTTGCTATATTCTATGTAAACTTCATCCTTCTTCAGGGTGTGGGCCTTCTGCCCTTCAGACTGTTGGAATTCGGGAGCGTCGCTCTCTACCCAATTATGCGGATGGGATCAAAGACACCAAGAGACTTTGCGGAGCTGGTCGAGCCGCCGTTGTTCAAATATGGCTTCTATCTCCCTTCCGCAATCCTGATATACATTCTCTGCCTTGTTTACAGTATCTTGCCTCCTGGATATATGGTTTTATTTTTCGGCCTTATCTATTTCGTCCTTGGATACTACACGTACAAGTACCAACTTCTGTACGCGATGGACCACCCTCAACACGCAACTGGTGGGGCTTGGCCAATGATTTGCTATCGAATCATGCTTGGACTCGGGGTTTTCCAAGTAGTAATGGCTGGAATCATTGCTTTGAAGTCTGCTTTGACCGCGGCCGCTCTGGTTGTTCCATTGATTCCATTCACAATTTGGTACAGCTACTATTTCGGTCGCACTTACGAGCCTTTGATGAAGTTCATCGCACTCAGATCCATTCGAAGGGATAGCAGTGCAGAAATCAACATCGCAGGCGAGAATATCGGGATCAATCGCCCACCAGGATTTGCTCGACGAGCGAGCACAACCCTCGACGAGGCGAGAGAAGAGGGGTTGAAGTTCGTTAATCCAAGTCTCGTTGGACCGTAAGTTCTCGCATATGTTCTTATAACACGGCTGACACGCTTCTAGGTTGGCGAAGTTGTGGATTCACAATGAATCGCCTCCGAACCAGCAAAATGGAGATGCTTCTGAGGCTGAAATTACCAGAGAAGATAGTGCAACAAGTTCCGTGAGTCTTGGAGATACACACATCTGGCGAGATAATGGAGACGCAAATGTATAAGAACAAAACGCTGCGTTGGCATTGAGGGCGTTTGGGAGCGACGGTCGCACCTTCCTGTATTGTTTTCCGTTCCTAGCACATATACCCATAGTTCCTTCCTAAAATTGCACACAATTAATTTAGTATTCCTACTCTCATCTACCATCCTTCAGCAGCCTCATATCAATATCCCTCTATCACCCTAGACGCCCTCCTTCACCTATCCAGGTCCTCAAATGTCACAAGGCGCATTCGCGACATTGGCAGCTGCTGTATAGCCAGCAGTCGAGCGATATCCACCCATGTCTTCCCAGATCCTACTCTCTCGGGGTGTTGCAGATCCGGATACGGCCACCTCTACTGGTCTCGACAGCCCGGCCCTGGTGACTTCGATCTACGAGTCTGGTACAAGCCATTTCATGACCCTTGGTAATGCCGCTTCTCAAAGCATTCCTGGGTTTGATGGCGTGGATGCCGACAATGGAACAGGCAAGACGGTATGTTCGCAACAACCTCGACCAGCAGAGACCGCGCCTATCGCAAAGCGCGCTTTCAGTCGTAGCAACACATTCTTTGAAGATCCCAACGATCCTTTGGCAGCTCTAGACGATGATTTGCTCGAACCCTGTCCTCATGTTCCAATCTGTGATTCGGTTTCGGAAGTCCTCCGAGGGAAGGAATATACCCGTGCAAGAGCCCGGTCAGCAATGACAAGGTCGTTGGATATGACTTTTCGAAATTCTCGAATTCCGCCAGGCGATACGGCTGCGGCGGCCGGTGATTACCCACCTCTGTTTCCAGCCTCGACCTTTCCACCAGATAGAAGTACTCAGCCAAACTTGAACATTGAGCCATGGTTGGATTCGCAGGCAACAAATCGTGAAGCCCGCCTACCAGCCGCAAGTAAGTTTGCAATGTCCTCAGGATCAGATACAGCATTGAACTCACTACTCCAGGTCGAGTGCCCACGGAAATTCTGCAGCAAATCTATGAACGACTTGGTCCTGTAGATTTTAACTCCGCTCGACATACCTGTCGTTTGTGGTTCATCAGCTCATTGAACTACCAATTGCTTAGCACGATGCTGCGCCGGATTGGATATTCTGATGGGGTTATCCGAAACAAATCCAATGTACCCAGCGGGTTTCGGACACTGAGCCCGGAATGGGTCATGAGCAAACGACTTGCTAGAGAATGTGCCCTAGGACCTGACGTCTCGCGATTGTCTGAAAACCAGTCAGCACTTTTCGAAGTATCCACAGTTGACTTTACGGAAATTGAAGTTCATTATCCTGGTCCAGATCTGGCCAGTACTATATTTACGGTCAGCGGTTGCGGAAGGTTCTTGATGGCTGCCAATGGCTGTGTGGTATTTATATATGAGCTGAATCGATCTCAAAAATCTGGAGGTGCGGCTGTTCACCCAGGTCTTTTACGCCCTATAACGAGCGTTGTATGCCCCAGAAGAGTCCTAACCTGCAGCATGGACACCTCATCTCAACGCTATGCTATAGCAATTCTACTCGATGGACGAATGGGATTGGTCTGCGACATCACGATTCTGAATCCATCTTCAGTACCTTCATCTCCACTGAAAAGCGCATCTGAGGAGCCAAGACACTTCAGCCACAGAGATTCGGATCCCACGTTGCTATATTCTAGCACTCCGGTAGGTTCACATGTTCTCATACTTTCCAAGGACATCTGCTCACCTACATAGTGCAACAAATTCAGTTCGCAGGACATCCAATGCACAACCGGTACGCAGCAAAATTTGGATCGATTTCCAGGACATAGTTCCATGCCACTTGAAGAAGGGCCTCGGTCACTCTACCGTAATCTATGTTCCGAAGATGACCCGCCGAGATCCGTTGCCATATGTCCGCAACGGCGATGTGTCGCTTTTGGCTGCTCCTCTGGACTGGAACTACACTGGGTCGATGCTCTCACTGGCCAGGACTTGAATCGATGGTTCCCGCTTACAGCACCAAGCGACTATTTGTTTTTCTTGCCCCCTAGGAAAACCGTGGATTCGGCAAAAAAGCTTCGGCTTATTAGTAGTGCCGGTCGGCCTCATGAGCGATCTTCAATGTCCTCAAGAGCTTTTGGACATCGAGCGAGGACGAGTCCATTCTGGGAACGATTCGGATGGGGAGTAGGCCACTTCGACGACGACGAAGGTGCTGGTCACGTGCCCGTGCCTGTGCCCAATTCCGCTCAGGGTATCCTTACCCGCCTTAGAATCGATGCCAGTCGCAGTTCCCTCATCGGGCGGATGGACTGCTCTGATCATTATCGGGCAGTTCCATTGAGTGATGTAGGTAGCAAATGAATGTCCCATACACGTCTTGTGACATTCAGTTGACGCTGATACTGAATAGGGATATCATATTCTGTTTACAGATCCGGCGTCTGGGCTTCTCTGTCTGGGTAGTGATGCTCCGGTTGGTGGACCGACCAAACTCTTGCGTAAGATATGGTTTCATTGTCCAGAATCGACTTCGATAATAGGATCATCTACGCCCGTCGCATACGCTGCTGGTTCAGATCTTACACAAGGGGTTCGAGTCTGTGCAGCTTTTGATACTGGATCGGAGCAAACCATTTGGCTATTCTCCGTCCCAACTGACATTTTTGGAGCAAGTCAAATTGAAAAGGCTTCTTCTACTACAGCTAATTGGCTGAACGCGTCCTCTTCCCGCGAGTCCATGATAGCGAAGCCTGAAGACGAATGGATGAAATGGTGGCCACACGATGGGCTCCAGCAATGGCTTAGCGGCGGCAGTCCCCCAGATCCTGCCCCTGGTATCCCTCCGAAAAGTGTATGGCCTGTTAAAATCCGAGGCCAGATGATCGGCACTTGCAAGGGACTGGTCGATCTTGCCATCGATTCGGGCCCACACATGACAGTTTGGGCATTCAGTAAATCGGGCATTGCTACAGTGTGGAAGCTAGACGATGGCCAGACCCAAAGTACACAAAATATTTTGGTTGTCCGGGACGGTACAGTTCGAGAAGTTGAATGTCGCGAAAGCGGCCGGGACATTGAGATGACGGACGCTCCAGATCCACCACCACTCGGTCTTCGTGAACCCGGCCAATTCGATGGTCCAGCTTCAATTGAATGTCACCACAAACAGCCAGTACATTACGATGTCGACGGGGACGTTCTCATGGCGGATCTACCGGCCTTTCCTCGCAAGAAGAGATCCCGAGCGCCAGAACAGGAAACGGTGGAAGCGGTGATCCTAGATGTACATGGCAACGAGGTACGGTACCAGACCGAGACCTGGACGAGGCCAGTATACCGAGACCTTGTGGAAGAATTGACGGGTATCGCTCGGATCGACCTCGAGATTCGATAGTGGATGGCTGCCATATGCTGAGGCTGAGATCGCGGGGATTAGAATGATTAGAGAGGTGGAGTAGATTCCATCCCAATTTGAGTGGTTTGTCTACTCCACATGTGCTATTATCGCCTCGCGATGTCTGGAGGTACTGCGTTGTGAGCCATCCACCACTCCCACCGCACGCCTCACTCTTCATCATCCTGCATCCCAGTCCAAACACCTTAGCGAAAGCCAAACAATTAACCGAAACGCCGCTAGTCCCCCCTATTTCCGCTCAGAAATGTCGTCACGTGTATATCGCCAAGCTCTTATTGACAAGGGACGAGATCTCGCCTCATCCCATCACATCCTTGAACCCTTCCCTTGTCCTCGGCTCGGTCCCAATCCCCAAATCCCCAAATTCTGCCCAATCGCCCAACTCCATCAGCGTAACCCCGTCCAGCATCCACCCCCCAAGGCCAAGTTTCCCAGCTTCCATTGCCGAATCCCAGTCCTTGATTTTCCCACTTCCACTTCCCTTCCCATCTCAGCTGCTCTGCACGCAAGACACCCAACAACACCAAGGAACTCCCCGCCATCATCCAATCGTCATCGTGGCATGGGCATGGCACGGCGGGCATGTGTGCCCAACACCCAACCTCCTCCATTGGACTGGACTGTGCCAGGTAAGGCAAGTCGAGGCAAGTCAAGGTAAAGCGAAGAACGACAAGACAAGGCCGCCCTGTGATGATTTTGCTTTTACTTTTCATTCCTTCTCTTCTCTTGGCGTAAGGTTGGCTACGGCGTTTCCGGGTCCGTATCATACATACTCTGTACATGACGGAGAGTAACTTAGTACACGTCGCCCTTCTTCTTATATGACTGCATTGTCTTACCGGTTACTTTCGTCTCTTCTGTTCGCTTGATTGCTGAGACTTGGATTGCTGCATTGCTTGCGATTACTTTGTGCCTGCATCCGCCTGTACTCTATACTCATAGTGGGCATTACGACACGATTGATATTACGAGGACCGAATACCAAACGATCAACGGACATTCAATTGTTAATTATTACATTGTACAATATTGTAAGAAAAAAGAGACTTTGCGCCAACAATATTTCTTGCGGTTCAGGAAGTATAGAGGGAAAATGTGTCTATTCTGTACGTACCCCGCCGCTCATCCCATCTCCCTCAATTGGCAACAAAGCGACGACTTCAGACGAGACCACAACTCATCCATCTCCTCCCCATCATCTCTACCATCAAGTCCTCTACTAACGAACTCCCCTCAGCCCGCCGTCCCGACTGGGAAGAAGACGTCGTCTTCGCCAACCGCCGCCACGGCCGCCGTCGCCGGCACTCCCGCGTCGTCTCCGAAACAATCATCACCTCCCGTCCAACCCAACAAGTCATCCACGCACCTCCCACCCCTCCACCCGTCATCAAACCCGCGCCCACGCCCTCTCCTCCTCCCCCACCGCCTGCGCCGCCCTCCCCTCCACGCATCGAGCTCGTCTCCGTCGAAGAAGATACGCGGCGCGCCAGCCCGCGCGGGAGCCGAGTCAGCGTCAGCACGCACAAGAAGAGCCGGCATGGGAGTCGGGGCGGGGGAGAAGAGGTGTACATTGAGCGGGAGAGGGAGAGGGTGAGGCTGTCGCCGATAGAGAAGCCGCGGGAGGAGTTTGAGACCTATAGATATGTGCATGGGAGTGGGCATATGGAGGCTGCGCCGGTGGTGCCGGTGGTGCAGGAGGAGCTGCATAGGAGGAGGAGTAGGAGTATTACGTATGAGAGTAATCCGAGGGCTAGTGGGAGGGTGATGGAGAGGGAGAGAGTGGTTATTGAGGATGATGGGAGTGGGAGGAGGAGGGAGTATTATCGTCGACCGTAAGTTGGAATGATGACGGTGGGCGAGGGCCATACAGGGCGGAGTTCTGCGGAGGAGTTCGAGCGTTTTACATGGTGAGCGTTGTGATCTTTGGGTGTACTTGCTGCATTTTTGTCTACTAGCGATTTCATGAGCGGGTTTCTATACAGCGCTTTTTGAGGTCCATATTCTACCAAGTTAAAGTCTTTGCATATCCTGGGCCCTTTATCCTCTGCTTGCCAGTTTTCATTTTCTTTTGTGGAGTCCAGGGTATTAGAGAAGCCAGCAATGTCATCAAGTGCTGGTGTGACACCAGGAGGAGGAACAGGCTCATATTAGGTAGTATCCAGCCGGGAGCTTAATCGAATCCCCCTGGCGTGTTGGGCTCTTCTTTTGGCTACTACTCACTCGGGTACGTTGTGTATCACTCTTCGAAGATGCGAACTGAAGGATTCACCTTGAAAGGAGACCTTGCCTTGACAATCTCGTCGATTCTTTTATGGGGTGAATTTCATGAAACAGCCTTGCTGCAGATTCCTCTTGCTGTAAATTCGATCTTTTCTTCAAACACCGCCCATCGCCATCACGTCAAATCTTCCACGACAACGAATCCCTTTCTTAAGTTCAGCCCTTCGCTATCACGACAAATCTTCCACAATGACGACGAAAGATCGAAACATCTAGCAAACTGTGTGCGCCATGTCAGACACAGAATCGTCCTCCAAAGACACAGGTTCGTCCTGCACAGAAGCGAATAAGCGGAAATGTTCCACAAGCCGTGAGGTGGCCAGCAAGAACAAGAAGACGGAGTTGCCTACGTTCTCGTAAGTCTCCAAGATAGCTATGTGCTGTATTCAGCTGCGAACAAATCGCTTCACAGGACGTCCCGTACTGACTTTGCTAGTGATGGAAAATCCCTCGTCACCTTCATCGTGGGCCCAGACCCAAACCCTACGGAGTTCTTGATTCACAAGGAAATCATTTGCCATTATTCAGAGGTACTTGCCACGGCCTTCAACAGTGCTTTCAAGGAAGGACAGACCCAGACGTATCGAGTTGAGGACACCACAGAACGAGCATTCAGACTCTTAATGCAGTGGCTTTACTCGCAGAAACTCACACTCATCCAGCTTCAGCCAGATTACTGCTTTGATGAAGCCGAAGGAGCGGAGACTGAGCTCGAAGATTCAGAGGACATGAGTTTAGTTGAGGTTTGGGTCATTGCGGACAAATTTGGAATACCATCTCTACAGAATGCTGCTTTGCAGGCGATACAAACTATCTTCGAGATGTCCTATTCTCTCATTCCCAGTCATACCTTTCACTACGTTTTCGACAACACGTCGGAAGTTAGTCCGCTCCGCGATTACATGGTTGCCACTTGCGTTCAATACGCAATGCCAGCACATCTGGACAATGAATTCAAAGGTGATTTTCCACGTGGGTTACTACTCGAGCTGTCTCGGATCTTCTTGAAAGGCAGCGAGCATTGCGAACCGGAAGAGCTTGATGTGTCGAAATTCTTCGTCCAGTGACACCGGCTTCAATTCACAACAAGCCGAGAGCCTTAAATACTCACTTTGGATCTACAAAAATTGAACCTACAACCGCAGAGTCGGTATACAAGATTCGCACTGCCCAAGGTGCATTGAATACCTGATTAGTTTCAATTACAAAATTACGTCAACGACCATGTCCAGCGCAGATTCCTCTTCCCAGCTTTCACAAATACGGGAGAGAAGCTAATAGCTAGTCTTCAAGATCGAGGAGTAGCGTGGGAAAACGCCCTTTCTGACCGCAAGATATTGAAGTCCAATTGAAATATTTCAAATTCATGTTTTCACCCGACTTGAATGTCGTTAATAATTCTTGTGATCTTGAAATTAGCCGTTGTGGATGTGTTTGACAATTGGGTGGAATTTTACTTTAGCCAACAATCACCAGGTCTCTGGTGATACGTAGAGGTTGGTATCTTATTGATTGTAACTTCAAAGGCATCCGAGGGATATATTCCCTGTGCTAAGTAACCATAAATGTTCCGTTGTTTTCTGCTTAGGTGGCTCACCAGCCATCAATTTTCGTTCTCATGAAGCTAGAGAGGTATCAATTTTAGCACAACGCTTAAATTTCATTCCGGCGATGTAAATTTGGACTGACCACAAACTTAGTGTATAACCTGGACTCATATCTCTTCATTAGAAGCCACTTCCTGCTTCTTCATTCACAAGACCAGACACTTCCCAAATTGCACAAAGTCTCAAAACATCGACACAACACTGGCAGGTTTCTGCAGCACTGTCGAAACGCCCGCTTTACAACCGATGTATGTATAATCTAATCTATCCATTTGAATTCCAGCTTAACCTATGTAGAATCATGGCGGGTTCAATAAAGTTCCAGAACCAGCGCTACCAAAGACTATTTTATGCAAACAAGTCCAATCTCAGGACCCATTCGAAGTTTATCAGAGACCTAATGACGTCAGACACATGGCCGACAATATGATAATACAACTGCGATATTGTACATGCAATGCGTTGGACCTTTTTTGCGACTGGATCAATGAGCCGGTCCGGCCCAACCAACCACCAGGAAAGGAATTAGATGTCTTCACCGAGGCGCTATGGAACGCACAAACAATGCTTGTACACCGCCCCGAAGTTTACGCCAAGGACGAGCATTTACATGCTGCAGCGAAGAAGAGCGAGTACCTCAGAAATATGCGACTCGCTCTTGTCCTTTGGTACTTTTGTGACGATGTTCAGGCACCGCATGTCCAGAATGCAGCTTTGTTTCTCATCGGGAAGCTGGTTCATATATACGACCTGACTCCTTGGCATGAAGTAGTCAAAGGTATTATTTGGACACAGGACAATGGCCTGACAAGGTACATGATTGCTGTGTGGGCGTGGGAGGTACAGCGTGGGAGAGATTCTGAGCATGGATGGAAGAGTTCTTTGTCGGTGGATCTGGTCCAGAGAATTACAGCTCAGGTGTCGAGCTGGGAGACTGACGGGATTGTGCTGACAGAGCAGCCTAATCCAACTCTTCCGGAATTTCTTGCCGATGTTACGATTCTTGATTAGACCCGACTTGCTTTCTAGAAGCTGATGTCGAAGAGGGGCGTAGAGTTGGTATGGGTCACAAAGAGGCTCGCTCTCGCTACCTCAGAGTCTCGTCTCAAACGTGTAATATACAAATCAATTCATTGCAACCCTTTCCTTAAGATCACCGTCGTTTCTGAAGCCGCCTCTGGGAGGAGTGAGTGATGGTACTCAATTCAAGAATGTATGTGTAATTTAAAGACAGCTGCATGAGCGAATTGGTGTTGTTGAGGTCTCGATTTTGCAGTATTCCATTTTCTGCACCCGCCCTTGAATATGTCACTGGTTGCAGATGGATTGGAAATCTCGCTTAATTGTTTGTTCTCCACAGCCACAACAACAATACCAGGCTTCCTCGACAGCTTCAGGGCATCTCATTCACCTTTTCTCCTGATTTTGAATAATGAACGGCTGCTATGTCATGTCGCATACCAAGGTTGTCACTTCAATACAGAATCAGCCACTCACTGGTCATTTCCAATTCCGACTTGTCTCATCATTAATTTTCCCTCGAGCTCGACAAAGAGACTTCTTTGAAGAATTAAAGTCAAATCGTATCAGTCGCATAATCAAAGGTAGAACATCTTTGTGTATGACAGGTATAAGCTAATTGAAGTACAGATGTCAACTGCTAGGGGCAACGCCGAGGTACCAAGTCCAAGAAGTCCACTGACCTTCAGGTAGGTAAAGTTGTGAGATAAGGCGAGGGAATATATTCTGACTCAAAGTCCACAGTGGAATCGAGGATCTTGTTACATTCATCATCGGGCCTCTCAAAAGAAGAGTCCAGCTCCACAAGAAGTTTGTATGTCACCATTCCCCTATCCTGGAGGCTGCCTTCAGTAGCGGCTTCCTCGAAGGATCGACGCAGACTTACGAGCTCGACAACGTCACCGAATCAACATTCGCGCTGTTCTGCCAATGGATATACACGCAAAAGATGGATAGCACGTCGACCGTCAAGCTCAAGTCCTTGGATCTCGTTGGCCTCTGGGTTCTAGCCGACAAGTTCCTCATTCCTCGTCGACAGAACCGCATCATGGATCTTATCGACGAGATCGGTCGCACGGGAATTGTCCCCGCCGCAATTGCATATGTCTACCATAATACCCCGATCGACAGTCCTCTCCGCAAGGTATATGTCAGCCAGGCTACATGGGCAAGTAGAAGCTCATTGTTCGTGGAGTTTGCATCAGTGCGTCCAAAGGACTTTGTGCTGGATGTGGCATGCGCTTGTCGGACTATCATGATCAAAAGAGAGATCTTCGGTATCGACGGTCAGGAGGGTATCTCGCGGAAAATCACCGATTACCATGTCAAGGAGCACTAGGAGCAAAGGTTTCGGCTCATCTGGGGACGTGTGCCAGATTTCACGACGGGTCTACATTCAATAGACTTGTTGCATTTTCTCGGATTAAGTTCTAAAGCCTTGGATTTAAATCAGGTCTCAGAGCCGGTGCTGAGGTCGGCATTGAAAACGAACTTGGGATTGCTTTTATTGTGGTGGGAAATTTAAGGCAGGTGCATTTGCTAGTCTAGAGTATTCTAAAAATTAGCTATCATGCACCGTATTTTCAAATTTTAATCAAGGTCCCAAAATTAATAGAATGAAATGAGAACTTTTCTTTTCCTCGCTCTCTTACCCTCGATCGAATTGCCTGCTCATCGACTTGCTTCTTCTACTTACTTTGTCCGCTATTTTTTGGGAAGCCCGATGGGACATCGTCAAAAGACCAGATTTATAGGTGAATTTTGGAGTAGTATAAGATAGTTCAAGTCGACTCGCAAAAGTGAATCTCATGGAAATATCGACGACACGTGTATAGCTTGAAGTAGCCGAAAGCTGGCGATGTTTGCTTCCATGTCGCTTTGGCTTTCCCTCAATTTTTTTGTTATCGAAACACTGCTGAGTAAAGACCTTCGCGGTCGAACTGAAGATCACCCCATCTGCCAAGTCAAGGTTTGCCTCTCTGATAATACCTTCAAGTATCCTTTCAAAGCATAGCTGACAGATTTAAAGATCAAGATGGCTTCGACTTCAAGTTCGGATTTAGCTGTACGAGCGAATGTGCCTGCACAAGAAGGTCAATCAAGCCCAAAGCGAAATGTAAATGAGACGTCATTCAAGTAAGTAGAACGGATTCCTGTGTATAAAACGTAAGCTAAGTAATGCAGCGCCGCTGGGATGTCCGAGCTTGTCACTTTCTTCATTGGTCCAACTAAGACAAAGTTCATCATACACAAACAGATCGCATGCGAAGCCTCTCCAGTTCTCAAGGCTGCTTTCAACAGCTCATTCGTCGAGGGTCAGACTCAAACCTATACACTCATTGACACTCCCGAGGCTACCTTTGCTCTGTTCACGGAATGGATGTATACGGGAAACATAGTCAATAGACTCACAGGTGATACTCCTGCGGTCGAGGTGGGATTGGCTGAGGCACATCTTCTTGAACTCTGGGTTCTAGCTGAAAAGCTCTTGGTTCCAAAAATTCAAAACCGAGCGTTGTGTCTTTTCGAGGAAATCCGAGACAGATTCAGTAAAGTCTGCATCTACAAATACAAGTACGTCTGGGAGAATACTGCTGATGGTTGTACTCTGAGAGCATATTTGCTCAATGTACTCGTTCGGTGTGTACTTAAGAAAGCTTACCAGACACAGAAACAGTGTTTCACGGTGGATATACTGGTTGATGCGGCGATTCTTTTGAGAGATATCCTGGATTCTGGCTGTAAGCTTCTGCCTCTACCAGCGGTGGAAACCTTCTATGTCATGGAGGAGAGTGAGTAGGCAGCACTGAGAGATCTGGAGTTCACGCGGCTTGCTTTTTTATAATATATGTATTTTGCTTGGGCCGAGAGATGTTTCGTCACCAGATACTGGGTGGAGACAGAAGATCTCTGTTCCTAATTTGATTACTTTGGCATGCAATGATGGTGCTGGCTTGGGACTTGTTTGGGATATTTTGCGTCGTCGCTGGAAAGTTGGTTCAGTGCCTTGTGACTTTCAACCCATGATTGTCTTTGACTCTTGAAAGTTTGAAGGAGAAAAAAAGAAAAGAAGTGGTCACTTCCACACTCTTCCAGCTCGCCGAAATTCTCTCAATGCCAACCCTGCAAAACGAAATCATCATACAAATCGTCCTCATCTCGCACAAACACCGCGTCCTACCTCCCTGGGAAATGCTCTCAGCCAGAGAATGTGAAGATACTGCTTCTCAGGACGCCTCTCATGCTCTCCGGGCTAAGAATGTGGGAGAGTCAAGCGCAGCGCATGGTACACAGTCACATCCTGACAATGAAAGATTGGTTTGCAAAGATATTATTATTGATTTCACAATTAACGAGGTTGAGACTAGTAGGTTACAGCAAACAAACACAGAAAGGTAGGGAGAGGAAGAGGGGAATGAGGTCCAGTGTCCAGTATCCAGTGGAATCATCCAGAATCGAGATATCCAGGCCAGAGGTTCCAGAAGCTGGTGCTGTAGCGGTCCATCCAGGTTGCTTTCAAGTGAGTAGTGAGACCGCTTTCTTCTCTGGGGGTGGAGGGGTGGGAATGGGGAGGGGACAGGTGATACATACGATTCCAATGTCCACCACTTTGACCTGCTGTCCGAACCGAAGGGATGTGGGATATGCTGGGGAGGATGTGGGGGCCGATGAGTACGTACCTCACAATCCGGAGAGAAATGTACATGCTGCTGGACATCCCGTGCCAGCTGATCAGAAGATAGAAGACAAAGACAGGAGAAGAAAGGGAGAGTAGATGCCTAAGAGCCCCAACCATCCGTTCCTTCAAGTAGTAAAGCACTCTGTGGCGCCAAATCCCCAAACCTCTAAAGAATGCAGAAAACAAATCCGTCAATACCTGTCACGTCCTGAGATCGTGAGTCAATGCCAATGCTAGAAGAGTAGCAAACAGAACCCTCTCGCGCCAGGAAATGAAACAAAATATGCCATGCCATCCTCCCTTCATGTTGTGGATACCAACAAATGAAAAGCTATCTCTAAAAACAATCTGTCTAACTATGTAGTATGTGGGTATTTATCTACAGCATCTCCTCGTCCTCGCCTTGGTACTGTGCTACCGTAACTCCGCCATGATTGTGGTGGAAATGTTGGTCGTAGGCGCCATACTGGTTCTCCATTGCTTGTTGTCGTTGCTCAAGAAGCGCTGACCCTAATCACAGGCAGTTAGTAAGTGGTACCACATGTATCCAGGAAGAGAACAAGCAACGTCTGCAAACAAAACCCGTAAAGAAAAACCGTGGGCTCCCCCAATACCTACAGTCTCCTCCGACATTCGGGTAGGTGTGAATCTCGGATATGTTGTTGTATACGGGATCGGTAGCATGCTTATAACCTCCAACTGCGGAGCCGTAGTGAGAGAAGACGTCTTTGATTTGGCCAGTAGAGTTCTCATACTCACGTTGGGCAAGAGCCTCATAGCCTGATTGCATGTATGGCTCGACGCCATCAGCAGTGTGCCATCGACCGTCACCGCCCTGAATTGGTGTGAGAGGGGCAGTGGTGCTAGCGTCGCTCATGGTATCTTCAGCACTATCCATGCTTTGTGTATCACCGCCTGATCTCGCCATGCGTTCCTCCAACATTTGTCTTTCGTACCTCAACTTCGCCATGGCTTCTTCTTGTTGGAAAGATGTCGCTGGCCATGTCCCAAGATCTTGTGCTAGAGCATGTCCGCCGTAGTTGGGTGGGCAAATCCGCCACAGCTCAATGAGCCGCATTTGCTGAGAGGCATCTGCTGTCTTAAAGAGATCGATTTGGGTGGGGAAGAGGGTTGCAACATCAACGCCATGTCTGCTTAGAATAATCTCAGTTGTGAGCTGATCGGTCTGTGGGGGTTCCGAGGCTGGTCTAGAAGGTTGTTGGACAACAATGTGAGAGGAGTGGTGATAGTGTTGGGAAATGGAATAGACGTAGGGTTCGTCGACTTGCTTAGGCTCCTCTTGTTGAGGGGAAGCATATGTGGGTTGGGGGATGGGTTGGAGGGAGAGGTTTCGCTGGAAGAGCGCTGCTAGGTCTTCTTGGTTGGCCATGATGGAGATGTCTTCCGTATCAGGGGTAAAAGGCTATTGGAGACATATTAGCTTGTTGTACATTTTCAGAAGATGCAGCATACCTTGCTACAAGTAAATTCGAGGTGTGCAAGAGTTGCTTTGCAAAGAGCCAGTCTGTCTGAGTAGTTCCACAATAGGAACAGAGAATGAGGCCGTCTGAAGTATAGGAAATGCCTAGAGTCAGAGTGTGCGAGAGCAAGCGATGACTCGAGTAGAGAGCGGAGCAGACTTGGACAGGTGCAAGAGATTTGCTAGTTTTGCTTTTATTCACTATGGCTATGTACTTGAAGTAATGTAGGTAGGTAGGTAGGTAGGTAGGTAGGTAGGAGCGCGAGAAACGAAACCAGGGAGTTCCTGAGGGAGGAGGAACGGTCGATCACGGTCGATCGAAGGAGAGGGGCGGATGGCAAGAGCGAGAAGCGTTTCGAGTCGTGGGCATGTGTACTAGGGTCGACGTTTAGGACGGCTTTGTAGCAAAGTCGAGTTTCGTTGTTGTCAGTTGGGTATCAAAGAACAAAGAGAGTTAGTAAGGCGTGCAGTGTTGTTGAGTTAAGTATGAAAGAAAGGGAAGAAGGAGATTGAGAGTACAAGTACCCCTACCCCTCCCCCTTTAAGTGGTAATCAAACAAGCGATGACGGGGATCACGGCGTGAAGGCACCATGAAACATAAAGGCCTGTTTAGCGCGGCCCCAGCAATCATTTATCACCAATAGATGCGAGACACGAGGAGCATCTGACCATTTTGTGCCGTGAACGCTTTTTTTGCGTGTTCTTCGACCTCACCGTTACCAACTAGAAGTCTCCTACATAATGATACCCAATGCTTTTGTGCCCAAATGCAATGTTCGGAGCGGATATCACGAAATACTGCGTAGACCGCGGCACCCAAAGAATCCATGAGCTACCAGACTTTCCTTGTAAACAGTGACAGCGCCATCAAGCTCATCCTGTTCCGAATAAACGGACATTTTTGATGAGCGATTCCGTGAGCCACGTCACGTGTATGGTTTCGATATCGGATCGGAGAAATATTCTTACGCCAGTGTACGGTACAAGCTAGCGGCATCAAACGCGCGCTTCATCGTGCCTGGAGCTTGAACGTGTAGTTGAGACAGAGTAATTCCAGAGCTTCACTAATCCCCCCCAATCCAACCTCATTCTCAATTCTCAATACTCTGGAACTTCTCACCCCATACCTTTCATCATGGTAAGCTTCAGACACTCGATCGCTTGAGGATTACCCCAAACCAAGCTCCTAAAGCTGACCTATTTAGACTTCCATTGGGACGGGTTACGATCTCACGAACTCAGTCTTCTCACCAGACGGACGGAACTTCCAGGTTGAATATGCAGTCAAGGCAGTAGAAAATGGCGGTACATCGATCGGTATCCGGTGCAAAGATGGTGTTGTTCTTGCAGTTGAGAAGGTCATCACCAGCAAACTGCTGAAGGCTGGAGCCAACAAGCGCATTGCTACAATCGACAGACATATGGGTGCAGTATGTAGCCTAATAAACCAACATCATTCTGTTGAACTGGACCATCGCTAACCCGCATGCCAGGTATCCTCAGGTCTTGTACCAGATGGCCGACACTTCGTTTCCCGCGCACGCGATGAAGCAGCAAGCTGGCGAAAAACATACAAGACCCCAATCACAACTAAGGACCTCGCAAGCCGAATGGGTGGTTATCTCCAAGCCTATACACTCTACTCCTCCGTTCGACCATTTGGCGTCACCACGATCGTTGCAGGCTGGGATTCGGAGCTCGAGCTTCCTGTTGACGGACAAGTAGGCAGTGGCCCATCGATCGGTTCAGGAGGAAAGGTTGAGGGAAAGACATATGGTGGACCAGGTCTCTACATGATTGAGCCGAGTGGACAATACTGGGGATACTACGGTGCTGCTACAGGAAAGGGACGTCAAACCGCCAAGGCTGAGATGGAGAAGCTAGATCTGGCCGCAGGAAAGTTGAGCTTGTTGGATGGTGTCAAGGAGGCTGCAAAGATCATCTACACCGCACATGCCGATAACAAAGATAAGGAGTTCGAGTTGGAGATGACCTGGATCAGCAATCTTGACGGGCCAACAAAGGGGAGACATCAAGAGGTGCCAAAGGAGTTGCTGGAAGAGGCAGAGAGATTAGCGAAGAAGTCGTTGGAAGATGAAGATGATGAGGAGGAGACGAAGGAGGATGATAAGCCGGCGGATGAAGATAAGATGGAGGAATAGACGTGTAGGTGCCAAAATCACCCTGTATTAACACATACCTTGGTTTGCTGGGCGCTGGGAGAATAAATGAATGGTCACGCAGCATTTGGGCTCGGCATATAAACTCCGATGAACCTAGATATTTGCATCTAACTGTTGATTATACTGTTGGTTTTGGTTTCCCACAATGGTCTGATCGGAGTGGAGATACTATTCCCGCCAAGTCAGGTACACCTGCAACTCCAAGTGGAGCTTCGACGTACTGCCCGAAATGCGGTACACCTCATAACAGTCAGCTCATTCAAGCCACACTTTCCTCCTTGCAGATTTGCTCTTTGTCCTATTTCAAGCACACCGAACAGCTGCGCGTAGCATCATTCTGGATAGTGCTTTTCCAACCTGGAATATACCTGATCTCCAATCACGTGGAGCCTTCTGCTCTCTTCATTGCTTCTAGTACAACCTGCTTCACTTCACATCGAATCTACCTTCAAGATCTATCATTCTTAAAATTCCCCAGGGCTCTTCCTGTTCCCTACGTTCCTCATACCTCGCACCCATTTCATCTCCAGCACAACGCTCCCGATGTTATGAACGCTCTTCTGTACAGCAAAAATGGGGGTACTACTCTGCCTGCCACGAACTAATCGAGTTTCGTGACCGTAAAACAAGAGTACAGCCTCCTGCTTCTCAATCAGCAATCGGAGAGCCAACAGAGCTTCTCCTTCTTCCCTTGAGCATGGGTAAACAAATGTTGACTTTAGGAGCTAAGGTAGTCCTTTACTTTCTACAGCCAGTGCCGCAAATTCCTCCATTAGGCTGGCAGTGAAGCACCTGTACCGATGATGAAAGATATACTCAGCGCCCGAATTCTTAAATTTCTGCTTTTTCACATGTGCTGGTCGGCTGGAGGGTGTGGGTAAACATACTCTTCTCTTACCTTTCGGTCCAGTCGTCCTGGGTATCTTCACCATTAAAAATTTGAGACTTGAGGGAACTTTCCTACTCCTCAAAGGTATCCACAGTGACGAATGGGTGGAGATCTGAGTGCTTCTTGATACCAAGAGATTTATGGCTTTGAGGACTAAGATCTTGTGCCTCAAGTCCGGTTTTCAGAGTCCCACCGAGGGATTGTCGCTGCATCTCATTGCTAGACAGCAGTAAATCAAGTCTTGATTGACAAGAAGCCTTTGTTGTTTCGAAATCCTTACGAGACGGTGGTATGTTGGAAGCAACATTTCCTTTGAAATCCAGTGCCTTTCCAAGAAATCTGTTGTAGGAAAAGCATTCCACTCATGTCTGAATCTTCATTCTTCTACATTGTGTGCTTGAAGAGAGGGAAAAGTCTTTCTATCTTTTTTTGTCTTTCTCTTTGTAATGCTGGTGCTGTGAATATATACGGTAGGACTAATCTTTGGTATTAAGATGGCACGACGAGGCAGTACACCTTTCTTGCCAGATTCAAGTCCAGGCTGCGGTCTAAGGAGTGTATGATCCTACTATTTTTTAGTCTTGTCAAATTTTGATTGCGTTAAAGTATGCTTGTCTTCAGCGAACGTGAATTGTGTCAAGGCCTTGAAGGATGGGAGTGTTTCAAGGTGTAGTGGAACTGGCCTCTGCCTACCCATACTCTATCACTACTTACAGCGACTCAGCAACTGTTCTTAAGTGTCTATTATTGTTTGAGAGTGATCTTGTCAGTAACTTGTTGCTCCAATGAGGTCATACGAGCGTCTTCGATATGAGTTCAGTTTTGTCAACAACCAGAATGCTAAGCGAGCCACCTCCAAAGCACATACTTCGAGGTTCTCTTCTCCTCTGGAGCTACTTCACTCTAAGAACACAGCACAGCGCATCGATCTCAAACACGAGCTTGCTTCTCGCTGTCTTCAACTGCACTCCTCTGATCTTCGTGATCTGATCTCATTCTTTCATTCAATTGCCTATCTGTTACGTATTGTCTCACTATTCACATCAACAAAGATGTCAACCCTCAACCTCCCCATCACCATCCCTCCCAAGGCACTTCTTGCACCAGCAGTGGTAATGAACGTCTCCCCTGCCAAGTCAAAGAACAACTGTCCCAAGGAAAACTGTAGAATCCATATACCAAAGGCTGCTAAAAACGAGCTTGGAGATCTCATGAGTCGTCTCTCTCTTCACGATATCTCCAATAACAATAATCGATCTGCTGCTATTCCTGTTATGAAGATTTCTCCCTCTTTGACAAATCCATTTTCGAGAAAGCCAAAAGTTCGGTTTCACTTTGTTCGTCATGCTCAGGTTAGTTGTTTCCCTTTCGATCTGTAGACCACAAGGCACGTCTCGAGTGTCAGCATTTTCGAATCTGCTCACCTTCTCGAAGAGACATGTATTGTCTGAACCGTAACTAACTCCTTCCTCTCTACTCTAGGCAATCCACAACATCCACACCATCCCCGACTGTACCTCCCTGCGCGACACCAATCTCACACCCCACGGACAGGAGCAATCACGCGCCCTCATCACGTCCTTCCCCCACGCCTCAAAAATCAAGTATGTCTTGTGCTCCCCTCTCCGCCGCACCATCAATACAGCACTCATCGGCTTTCCCTCCGTTTACGCCCGCGGCGTACAATGCATCCTCTACGAAGAACTCCGCGAATTCGGCCAAGCTCAATGCAATACCGGCTCAACTTTACTCAAGCTCCGTGAGAACTTCAAAGAGATTAATACCGGTGTTGTGAACACGGACTTACTTTATGGCGGCTGGGAGTGGCTCCATGAAAACGGTAGCGCTGCCAAGCGAGAGAGAATCGTCAAAGTGAAGAAGGCGTTGAAGGAGTTTGAGAGCGTCGTTGTTAATGGTGGACCTTGGAAAGGTATGGTGTTCATGCCGCACTATGGAGAGAATGATGTCGAGGTTTTGGTTGTTAGTCATGGTGGTTTGCTGTGTCAGTTGATGGGCTATTCAAGTAGGTTTCCTCCAACACCAACTGAGCTTCGGCGAAAGTACCCGGGATTTTGCTGACATCTGTGACCGCGCAGAGCAGAACTGGGCCAATGCCGAATGGCGCACTTTCAAGTTCCCATCCCAATCCAAGATCGACGCGGGCCATTTACCCCTGAACTTCATCCAGACCAAAGCCAGTCTCGCTAAGGTTCACATACCAATCCCCGAGGTCGGACCCCGCTTCCGTAAGTTCCATATCCCACATTTCAAAAGTATCCAGACATTTTAAGGGCATTGAGAGCTAATTCAGATACTTGTTTAGACATGATAACTGACGATTCCACCTACGAGCGTCTTGCCGAGATCAGGGAGTTTACTAAGCACGTGGAGATGATGAGGAGGAAGGAGCGGGAGGGACAGGCAAGAGCGTTCGGACATTTCATGAAGAATTTTGGTAGAGACGAGTCATGAAACTTAATGAGCTACATGTAGATATATATAGAAATGTGGGTTTGTGGGTTTAAAATGTCCTTGGGAGGCCCTGTGACTTTGAATCGATGCTGTTGTTGATGATCTCGCTTGACTGCCAAGACCCGGATCCGGAGTACGAATGCGAATTGAGATATCTCAGCCTTCATTGTCTTGAGAGAACTTGGTGCATTGGAAAACACCCATTTGAAGATAGACCTAGATTTCCTATCCCCTCTGTGGTTTATGAAACTCAAATGTGGCGTAGCACCTTTGTAGCATTTGTTGATAATTCGGCTCTGTACCAAGCATCGGAGTCGGATCCGAACAGCGTGTGTTACGACATTGAACATTCTGGATCGAGAGGGTATTTGAATAAATGGAGCCAGGTCGGTACTATTAAAGAATCTCACCGCTTCTTTGATCTCATTGTTCTAAACCTTCTCAGCACATTAAAATCTACTTGATCGTAAACGCCCACAACATCCCCACAGGCTTTTCACACACCCAGCAACGGTGGATCCATCCACAGGACCCAAAAGAAGCGTAGCCAGTATTACCAGATTTTAGCTATCTCAATCATTATTCATGTCAGAAAGTCTTAGGTTTTAAATGTCACAAAGTTATGGCACAGCATCAGCACGAGAGATTGCAGTTAGGGCGAATTGAAATCGTATTTCAGAAGAGAATTCAGTTCCCGAAAAGCCCTAACACCGAAAGCCCAAATCCTTAGCCCATCTCCAATTGCAAAGAACTCTGTTCTTCAGAGCCTAGGTATATGAAAGTTGTAGTTCCAAAGTCAGTCGGTTAATCGATCAGTTGCACGTTGTACCAAGACAATCAGACCAACAGCCTATTATGTAAGAGAAGTTGAACACTTCCTTGCTCGAGTCCATTATTTTCCCACCTTATCGTGCTTGTCGTGCTTGTGTTAAGTATAGCAGAGGAAATTAGGATTGCCGCGTGTGAGGTCGTGCTGTTGAAGTGAAGTAAGAAAAGTAATTCAGTGAAGATTGGCGGATTGTGGAGGAGATGGCGATCCAGATGGCAGATTCAGATGGCGAAAATCCAAAGAAATTAAAGACATGACATTCGTAAACGCGTGGTATGGAAGGAAGTCGAAGTGGCAATTATGCCTACAAAGGAGTCAGCCTAATCCAACATGAGAGTTCAGGTATGGTGCATCTTACCTCTACTTCAGCCTCACGTTTGGTCTTTCCACAGGGCTGGCCTACGAAACCACATCTTGCCTCTGGCTCTGGCTCTGGAGCAGGCTCTGGAATAGCATCACGCTTTCCGCATGGCTGACCTGGGTGGCCACATCGTGCCTCGGGTTCTGGGGCAGGCTCTGGCATTGCGTCACGCTTGCCACAAGGTTGGCCTGGGTGACCGCATCTTGCCTCTGGCTCAGGAGCTGGCTCGGGAATAGCATCACGCTTCCCACAAGGTTGTCCGGGGTGTCCGCATCGAGCTTCAGGAGCTGGCTCCGGGATGGCATCACGTTTTCCACACGGTTGTCCGGGATGTCCACATCTTGGCTCGGGAACAGGCTCGGGAGCTGGCTCTGGAATGGCGTCGCGCTTTCCGCAGGGTTGACCTGGGTGTCCGCATCGTGGTTCTGGTTCTGGAAGAGGGGCTCTGCGAACTTTGCCGCATGGTTGACCGACGTGACCACATCTTGCCTCAGCCGCAGGCCACAGGATGGCGCTAGAGCTGACGGTAGCAGCGAGGACCAATGCACAGAGTGCACTTGTCAACTTCATGATTGAGATTGTAGTGAGTGTGTAGGGTGGAGATGCTGTTGGGTTTGAGTTGGGGAGGAGAGTATCCTCTTAGAATAGTATACAAGGTATCCTTGTTTGTAAAAGTATTGGAGGAGATCGTAAGAGTGATCGTTTTTGGGTATGGAAGGAAGAATAGAACAAGCAGTATGTTCAAGGTATATTTATAACTTCCCTATTGAACGTTGTTCTCAATAGGAGGCCATCGTCAACAAAAAGGTTAGCGAAGCGAGGCTTCCCATTGGGTGCTCGCTTCCTATTGAGAACCAAAAAGGAGACTCGAGGTACGATCCGACAAAGGGAAAATAGATAGCACGCTACTAAAGATTCAATAGCAAGTCCTCTTTGATCAAAGAATTTTCGCAGTGGCTTGAAGTGGATGAGGTGGAAGAGGACCGCGCGCCGGGTTTACTTCCTATTGAGTTTCCTATTGAAGCCTGGATATTAACCACGCGCATGTGGCTGGATCCACAACGTGGTCCAGAACGTCAGGAAATTCCCCGTTAATATTGACGCCAACAAACGATTGAAAGGGGCATCTGAAGGATGTGCATGGACGAGAAGTGTGCAGTGATTGCGATACTTGTTCTATGGCCAAGGAATGTTCGATTTCTCCGTTCTAGACCCTATTGCAGACGGATAGGCTGGCTCTTGGAATCTTGGAGGGAGTGGAATTTTGAACGGAGTGTTTGGTTTCGAAAGAAAGAGCAAGAACGGTAAATATTGGTGTTTGTTGACTATTCCGCTTACTATTCAGATCCCAATTAGGCAATTCTTATTCAGCCCCTATTTCGTGAAATTTTCTTTGAGCCACAACAAAACCGCATCACCACAGGAACAACCGAATCGAGCAAGGGAATTGATTGCATTTAGCAGATCAAGAATTCATTGAGACGATTGGCTATTGAACTAGGAAAGATTCTAGGAGTTGAATCTAGACCATCGCCAGCGCGGGACGACTCAAAAGCCACTGCGATTTTAGAAAAGAAACTCTGGCACACCTTGAAAGGCCTTGAAAGGGATAAATGCGTGAAGGCTCAATTCGTGTCATATGCTGCATCGAAAAACTTAAAGTCACCTGCAGGTGCTGTTCGTGTGGATGTTTTAGGGCAGTTGTTGCCGGGCCCGTTGACCAATTAAGCGAGTATCACCAGCACCTATGATACTTGGACCAGGTAGCCTTTCTGGAATGAACATGAGACCGAATGACTCTGTGATCATATTCTCAAGTCGTCGCCCCAGTTTTGTAGGCGTGCCCAACTTTTCAGTGATTTTGTGGCATGTCATTAAAGACCCTACCACCTCCAGCCTCAGAGAAGCACAGCCGATCATTGCAAGCAAAGAGGTTCAGATACGGCATATGAAAACAGACAGGGGTATTCAGCGCGCTTCCTAGCATAAGACTTCAAATACTGTCCCAAAAGATAACTCAAAGAGCGCGTTGCAAGGAAAAATTGCCGAAGACTGGGAGATTAGGAACGAAACCGAGAATGGACAATGAGAACAGAGCTCCCTGTGACGCTCAAAAGTATTCCACGGGCGCAAAAGTCACAATCTGATACTATGTCCATGTTTACCTGATTGTCCACTGTGATTATTCTGCAAATTGCAGAAGTCCATCATGGATAGAAGGAAGACGTTAGCACCAGGGAGGTGGATCTATAGATCATGAGGGCGGCAGTAAAGACCCATAAACACAAATATCGACGCAAGTTAATCGAATATTTATTGTTCGACCATCGAATAGCTTTCGTCTTCGGCCAGGCTGAAGGTCGATTCTTGTTGTTATGATCCATCTGCAGTGTTGCCGTCGGCTGTCTGGAAAAATTTCACACCCGTGAGATGCCGAATCGCTAGTGTGGAAAGGGGAAGGCGGCTGGGCAATCTAAGTTATGCCGACAACCTCATTTTGCTGCTACCAAACTCTTGCACTCCAACACCTCTACACTCTCTCCTACCACTATTCATAATGTTGTCGCGCAGCTCTGCCAAGTCGGCGCAGGTATGTTGCGCACCTTCACCACGCCCAATGGCAGCGAATACCAGCTAACATACCTTACCAGAGCCTTCTGCGAACCGCCCAAGCTCCGTTGCGTTCCGCCCAAGTATGCCCTTCCACCCCTCCAAGCTCCTGCAGCAAGGAATTGTAGCTAATAGGACTCTCGAATTAGCCCCTGCGAACCTTTGCGACGGTCCAATCCGATATCTTCAAGCCCACAAAGTATGGTGGAAAGTACACGGTTACTCTGATCCCTGGTGATGGTATCGGAGCTGAGGTTGCGGAGTCTGTGAAGACCATCTTCAAGGCGGACAACGTGCCAGTTGAGTGGGAACAAGTCGATGTCTCGGGTGTAGAGACTGGAGGAAAGCTTTCAGAGGATCTTTTCCGCGAGTCAATTGCTTCCTTGAAGAGGAATAAGCTTGGATTGAAGGGTATCCTCCACACGCCCATCGAGCGATCCGGCCACCAGTCTTTCAACGTAGCTATGCGTCAAGAGCTCGACATCTACGCGTCGATCGTCCTTATTAAGAACATTCCTGGTTACAAGACCCGCCACGAAAATGTCGACCTCTGCATTATCCGTGAAAACACCGAGGGAGAGTACTCTGGCCTCGAGCACCAATCTGTACCAGGTGTCGTCGAGTCTCTCAAGATCATCACCCGTGCCAAGTCAGAACGTATTGCCAAGTTCGCATTCAGTTTCGCTCTTGCCAACAACCGCAAGAAGGTCACCTGTATCCACAAGGCGAACATCATGAAGCTCGCAGATGGTCTCTTCCGCAACACCTTCAATGCTGTCGCCAAGGAGTACCCCACTCTGGAGACCAACGATATGATTGTTGACAACGCTTCCATGCAGTGTGTCTCGCGACCACAGCAATTCGATGTTATGGTTATGCCCAACTTGTACGGAGGAATCTTGTCCAACGTCGGAGCTGCGCTTGTGGGAGGACCAGGTGTCGTTCCCGGTTGCAACATGGGTCGTGATGTCGCTATTTTCGAGCCTGGTTGCCGTCACGTTGGTCTGGATATCAAGGGCAAGGACCAGGCTAACCCAACTGCCATGATCCTCTCCGGATCTATGCTTTTGAGACATCTTGGTCTTGACGAGCATGCTAACCGCATCTCCAAGGCCGTTTACGATGTAATTGCTGATGGGTAAGCGACACGACATCCAGACTGCCAAATAGTATCGTTAACAAGTTATAGAAATGTCCGAACACGCGATATGGGAGGAGAGAGCTCAACACACCAATTCACAAGGGCAGTCTTGGACAAGATGGAGTTGGCAGGATAAACGGATCGTGGTCCAAATTGTATAAAGGGGACTCGGAGATAAACACCATTGGTTGTACTCTAGGATGCATTAGCGGGTGCACTTGAAACTCGTTCGGTCAATTTCAATTTGCTCTTTATGAAGTTCTCGTGCCATTCATACATCTTTCGTTCTAGAGAAAGCTCGCCCTTGCATTCTAGCAATATCTTCATAATAACAGCCTCTAGAAAGAAGCTCTAGCTGTAAGCTAATTCCCCTTAGCATTTGCAATGCCCAAATCTGTACAGAAGCTAACCACAAATACACTTTGCAAGAAAAACTCAGTCCTCCATGCCCGGTATCCCCATATCACGGATAGCCTCGAGGAAGCGTTACCGCTTCACCCCAAGTCTTCTTCGCGGCTCCCTATTCATCGCCATAGCCACCAGCTTCAAACACCTCACCACCACCACCACCACCGCTCCTCTTCCGCTTCTTCGCCTCTTCATCCATTAACATCTGCAATACCTGATTAACAGTCTTCCCTCGAAACTGCTGCCGAATACCAATGTCCCTACTATTTCTGTAACCCAAGGTATTTCCCCACGTTACATTTTCCGAGCTCGGATCGTAGAATGGTAGAGGCGAGTCTTCTCTCTTTCTCTTGAGATTTGCTTGTTGATCTTGGCCTTGAATTTGGGCGAATGTAGGTCGGATATCACGCTCGAGGAGGTGTTGGTCGATGGGTGCGCCGAAGCTGTGTGACGGGACGTAGGAATCACAGTTTCCTTTGTATGGAGATTCATTTTCAGAGCCTTGTCCGTCGCTGTACTGGTCTTCCTCATCATGACCGTCCTCCTTACCACTCGAGATACTGATGGCATCCCAATCTTCACCTCTGTTGATTGGTGCCCTCGACAAGTACCTCGACGTCTCAGCCTCTTCGTCGTCGAAATCCTCGTAACTCGGCAGTTCTTCATTGTCGAACCGTTGATAGTCTGGCCGATCACCATATTCATTGCCGTCTTGCATGTGCTGAGTCTCGTGGAGAAAAGGACTTGGCGGACTTGGCGGTGTTGGGGGAGAGTGTGAGTGTAGACTGGTTATGCGGTGTCTAGGCTGGACATCTCGCAGCTCGTTCTTGAGGTAGTGGTCTTGGCAGTTTTGGTTTTGGCTCTTCCGGGGAGTTATTGAAGCCGGTACAGGCACGTATTCTTCATCATAGAGGGTCGCGTCGACGTATGTATTCGGATCGAGGTTGGCAGGCGGAGGGACGTAGTCTATGTCGTCTTCTTCATCGTAGTCTGCATCATACAAGCTGGTTTTGACATACGAGTTCGAGCATTCGATGGTGGAATCGTTTCTAAGAACAGTAGGAATGATGCTCGACGTGGCGACGGCTGAAGAAATTCGTGGCTTCTCATGAGGCTCATGGTTCTTGTTGTTCAAGCTCTCGTCGAGATGTCTGACTGGGGCGATCAGCGTGGGTGTTATCCTTCGACTTACGGGCTGAGATATGCTTGGGAGCTTGAATACTCCTGCGCGAGGAAGAGGATTCGACGAACATTTGGACTTCGGCTCGATGCTTCTTGTTCCAATTGCTTGAGATCGATCCGTAATCGTTTCATTTGCAATTGGTATGCTTGCCGCGATATTAACGACAGCATATCCTGGCTGGGGACTGGAGGGTAGCTGGAGGACTCTCTTAACAGAAACAGGATAAGATGGATACTCAGGTCTATCTTCAGACTTCGCTCGTCCGTATGTACTGTTTTGAGAACCTATTCCTTCCATTGCGTCTTGTGGGCATCGTGTGGGCTTGTTCTCTGGAGGCGATGGTCGTGAGCGGTCTGCCAGCGATCTATCCGTGGATCCGTCCCAGTCGTTGCTTGGATTAAAAGTCGGTACGGACTGGCAATGAAACGGAGGTGCGTAAGGGCTGATGTATGGGCGGTTGATCGGTGTAAACTGGTTGGCAAGGTTGTGCTGGAGCCCTGATTGTTGTGCTTGATGTCTGTGTGCTCCAAAGACAGGAGAAGCAATAGCTTGACCGTGGCTAGAAGATTTATTTCGGTTGATGATACTCAGAGCAGCAGATGCTTGATTGGTAGCTTGTCCGAAAGTTGTCTGGTCCGTCGGCAGACGTACGGCAGGTACTTCCTCCGTGGAAGCCATTCCATCAAAATCAGGTTCCGGAATGCCTTCGAAAAGTGGCTTCAGCTTCACTGTCTTACGAGCGAAGGAAAGACCTCCTTCCTCGACAGGCTTTGACGCCAGCTCCTTGAATTCCGCCATCGTATCCACCAATTCGGCATCCAGAATATCCTTTGTGAATCTGTCCGAGACGCTTTTACCGACAACTGGCAAAGGCGCTTCGAAGTTCGTTGCCTGGGTGATTCTGTTCGTGAGCCCGTCGAGGGCCCCAACATCCAGATTGAAGCCCCTGTTTGCCCTCATCCAATCTCGACATTCAAGCTCGATATCGTTCAGTTGCTGCCGGTATTGGCGCTTCAACTCCGCTCTGTATTCTATTAAGGATTGCTCACATGCTTGCTGATACTCAGCGAAGATCTGCGGATTGTTGGCCAGAATTTTTGCTGCATGCTTGTTTGACACATGGAGTTCGTGTTCAGGGTGAAAGGCGTCACCTTTAACATGTATGACGTTCAGAGTCCTGGCCAAAAGCTTGTTGTAATTTTTGAATGATTTTTCAAAGCGCTTCTTTTGGAACTCGTTGTGTTCATTGAGTTGTTTTTGTAAAATTCTGTTGGCTGCCGTCTCAAGGCCTTTCTTGAAAGAGGCAATCTCGACGCTAGGAGTATGTGCAGACATGCTGCGTCGATTGTCGATGCTTTCTACTGGAGATGTTGTTGAAGTCGCCGCGTCTCTGAATTGAGCCTCAGTCTCATCTTGGTTGGTGACTGAAAGCTCTGAGCCATCAAGAGTGAATGTGATCACTGTGTATCGTTGAGTGTTACCGTTGATGAGATGCCTCGTGCGGATCTCGGATTCGACGTCAAACACATTATCAAGCGAGATATCTTTGACGAGCCCTCGCGCTGCAGGGCCGCGGACCTTGCCAAATTGTATGAGCTCTTGGAGTTTGACCATTCTGCCGTCTTGATGACATATTCACGCGTCGGACTGGTGGATGAGACTGAGTTGCGGATGCGACAGGTGTTGTGGTTTTGGGCAAGCGAGTGCTTCCGCCAATGAATTGCTAGCTTGGCACGACTTCCAGGCAAATGGAAATGTCAACTTTGTACGGCGGCCACCAACGACTTTTCTTGCTTGGGAGATCACCCAGAGTGATCTCAAGCTGCCGTACATCCTGCAAGTTAATGATCAAAAGGCTGGCTATTGTGACTACTCTAGCAAAATTGTATTCTTCACTGTCTTGGATGGAATTTTGGAGTTGAACAAGCCTGTGTGTGGCAAAGAAACAGTCTGGAGTTGAGAAACAACAAATATACGTCTTGTGCTAACAGTTTCCTTGCCTCTTTGTTTCCTATCTCGCCTCTTGTTACGATATTCACCAGCCGTCTTCTAGCACTATTGCTATTCAATTCTATGTCTTTTGAGTAATTATAAACGCGCCCTCGAATGCTTTCTGTCTTGTTTAGTTCTTTATCGACGCTGTTTTCCCCATTTCGAGACCCTTGAGACCCTTGATCTCGAACTCAACAGTAGCGTCGCCATGGATATCTCACAAGACCAACTATCGTCTATAGACATCAAAGCATACTGCTCTTCGAGTATTGAGCTAGTCGAAACCATATCAAATATTGGAGGCAAGGAACAGGGGGGAAATGGAGACAAATCGCCACCAGAGCTCCCAGAAAGGGATGAGTTCCTCGAGGCAGTACTTGAAGCAGCCTTGGCACCTTGTTCTGGTACCTCTTCATTTCGATGGAATGGAGTGGTTGAATCAATAAGTCAAGCTTCACCTCTGCCTCCCCCACGAGAGCAGAGAATTACCTTCCACCTCGTTCGACATGCCGAGGTATCCAATGCTCTATTACAATCTCTCTACTCAATCACTAATCAACTCAACAGGGACCTCACAACCTCAGATCAATCCCAGAGAAAGATCGAGTCGCCATGCTTGACCCAGGTCTCACTACATACGGCACCGCCCAATCGGAGCTCCTCTCGCAACGTTTCAATACCATGAAGAAGGTCACCCACATTCTTTCCTCTCCTCTCAGCCGCACCCTCCTCACTGCCTTAGTCGCTTTCAAGCCTGCCATCGATCGTGGTATCCAAGTCATCCTGATCCCTGACCTTCGAGAATGCGGCCAAGGTCTATGTAACACGGGCAGTAACATTCCCGATCTCGTGGAGGAGTTATCCGAGAAAGAAATGGGTTTCCGAAAAGACTGTATTGATTCCAGCTATTGCTATACCGGTTGGGAGCACAATACTGAATCTTGGGACGAACATGACTTGCGGCATGAGCGAGCAGACCGTATGAGATCAATGCTTTTCCATCTAGGGCAGATCGCGGCAAACCAATCAAACGATGATGTTGAAATTGTTATTGTCACACACAGTCGATTCATCATGGCATTAGAAGAGACTACAAACAGTAGGTTTATTCTGATTAAGTTCGATCTTTCGCGGATTTCGTGTGATTATTTTTCGGATGCAAGCTGATGTTGTTATAGTGCAAGATGCATACTATAATGCAGAATATAAAAGCTACCAAATTGTTGAAGATTTGGATGCTGCTCCTGGTCTTGAGAAATTTACATTGATTGAAACCGAGGAAAGCAAGGTTTATGTCCATACCCACCCCGAGGATATCAGTTTGGCGGAATAAAGTAAGAATGGCAATACATGCTGAAATACCGTGATACCATTTGATGAAACTTCGTGTATCTCTCTGTTCTTAAAAACTTCCAAATGCTGATGATTTTCACTGATCTGCGCAGCAACTTGCGCTTCGGCCTCGTTCCCACACCAGGAATCCATGATATCCTCCATTCACGGCCTCCAATATTGAATGGCAAAATTTTCAAATATAATTAGGCCACTTCTACGGCAAAAGGAATGGGACAGACTGCACTCTGCGGAAGAAGAGATGGCTATTATGATGGCAAGGTACAAGCTGTGGGTACATTAAAGCGAACCATTGACACCGGCGGAGCTTTTCTTCTTTCTATGAGGCTTTTTCACTTCGATTTCTTATGCTTCAACATCAAATTTAACTGTCAATCCTCTGGTAATAGATCCTGGGCCACATTTTGTCAGGCCGCTCTGTGGTTGTAGGTGTCGTTAGTGTGTTGTTTACGATTTTGCTGGTCTTGGCTCGCTTAAATCTTGCCAGTGCACAGCCTCTTATGCCATCGTCTGAAAGGTTTTACAGGAGTTCACCGGTGAGACTCTAGTGAAACGATGAGTTGTTTGGGGTTAGAATGAGCTTTTAGTTAGGTTTAGAGACCACACGCGGGTAGATTTGATGTAAACGCATGAAAAGTGAGGCCCAAATGTTTGAACTCTGTCGTCTGATACTATGAAGACTTCACTTAATGATTTACCCAGATTTGATTTGTTTCTAGCATGAGGAATGATGTTGCAACATCTGTGCATTTGAGGGTAACATAAGCTTTCTGGCTATGCGAGCTCTAAATGTGATGTATCTAAATTCCACATCAGTGACCTCACAATCCTTTGCTGAAGCGGAGCCTTCGCCAGACGTGGTATCCCGAGCTCTCAGCATGAGGAACAGAAGCGTTCTACTCATACCCACACTGGATGCGTATGAATATACTGTTTGCTTTCCTCGGTCTCAATGAGTTCAAACTGAGAAGACTTATGTGCAACGACCATCTCCTCCGTTGCAAACTCGTAAGATTTATACTCTGCATTGTAGAGCCGCGCATCTGTACGCATTTTAGTAAGAGGTTTCAATATATCTCCAGTCATCAAACAAACTTACTTTCCTCTCCCTCCAATGTAGCAAGGAAAGCACCATGAGAAACGACCACAATGTGAACATCACAGTCTCTCGCAACACCGTTGACTTCGATTCCATTCCAAATGCCCTTTTCTTCCTTCAGAGCAACCTGACCTAGCTCCCAAAGCTCCTTACGAACCTTCAGAGCTCGAGTTTGCTTGTACTCCGGGAATGGCGTGCCAATCTCTCTATTCATCTCCCATCCGTTAGGAGCAAGGCGAGTCTCGAGTTTTCCTTCCAGTCCCGGAAACTTCTTCAGAAGAAGGGACATGGGAATACCAGTATTGCAGTTGGTGTTTCCCCACTCTCGAACATCTGGATAAGCGATGATTTGGATCCCTTTTCCGAAAATAGCGGGACCGAGAGCAAGCTGGGTTGTGTGGATAGTACGTTGCAGTGGCGAGCATATGATGTGAGTAACCTTTTCCATATGTCTAAATCGATTCGCTAGTTCTTTAGCTTGGAGCTCTCCGTAGACTGTAAGTCTTGGATCCTTCATCTTCTTCCTGTACTCGTACGGCACGTCCTTAAGATTATGCTGAGCCTGTCATGTGTTATTCTTATAGATCCAAAGTAAACAAATGTATCTCTGTACAGATTTCTTACTTCTGCATGACGAATACAATGAACGTAGACACGCTGAGTCTTTGGTTGTGAAGACCCATCTTTTGTATTGAGAGCAAATAACTGTTGTGAATGCAAGGACATAGCTCTCATTGCTCTTTTTATAAGTCCAATCGGCTTGTCGCCAGTGATTTGGACTTGTTCATTGACTTTGGTTAGGGTAATAGCTGAAGCTAAGGTCCACTCTCCCTTCTTTTTATTCTCTTTATTCTTATCATTGCCAAAGTCACTTAAATCTTGACGATCAATATCTGAAGCTGGTCTTCCCATTACTTCACTACAGTTCTTGTCCTTTGCTGGAGATAGCTTGGCAGACAGCCTACGGAGACTACCCAATTTCGAGGAGTTCTGGAGGGAAGAGTGCGAGATCGAGGGCTGGTGTCGGAGGCTGTTGAAATTCGAGGACGCATCGTTGAAAAGATCTTCGAGTTTTTCTTGACATCATTGCTCTAGTAATTCACATTTGTGCCTGATTGTGATATTCTTAGCGAGGTTGTAATGATCGGAGAGTTGGACGAGGCCAGCATCTAAGCGAGAACTCGAACGGCGGTTTGTTTATCCTATCCAGGAGTCTCATTTTACGATTTAGAGACGCATAATCACTACACCGTAATACACAATATTGGCAAATTCTACTGTATTAGAGCATACCTAGTATTTTCTGGCGTTTGGATTCGAGTGTACAATGGAATTGGACCGAGAATCCTCCTCGTGGGTACCTCAGTCTGCGCCTAGGCGCCAAGAGAGGGGGCGACATCAATTTATCTATCCAGTGAATTCCTATCAGTCAAAGCAATCAATATAACAGAAACTAATCAAAGTCCCGAAACAAGTGGAAAACTTGTTGCGGACTCAAAACATTATCAGGAGTGCAGCGTTACGGACTGGACGCTACAAAGACTGCCAATGCATCAGACAGAACATTCAAAGTCAGACTCACGACATCAGAGAGGCTTGACATAATTTGGAGATTCTTTGACATTAGGAACACAAAACTAGAGCTGGAAATTGCGCTGTAATGCGCAACACCATATGACGCAGTACATAATATATCCCTGCATTTGCCAATACTGCAAAATCAATCCAAACCTCGAAACAGCAAACATCTGCACAACGCCCTACAAAGAATCCAACAGGCGATCCAAGGAATTCATACTACAATCCATCCCAACCTATTGTCTGCAAGCGAGTCGTTAGCTGGACTGTAGATTGTTCGGCAAAGGCTATAGACAAACGCACACCCCAGAGCGGCTCTCAGTGCAGCTACCAGGAGAATCAGGAACGTAAATAATTGCATTGTGTGCTTCTGGGGTGTAAGTTACCTGGGTGTCTTGAAGTAAGTACTAGGTAGATTGCTGCAGCCTGCAGGGGAAAGTGTTGGCCTTAGGCCTAGCAAGTCGTGAATTGGAACATGGATATCACTTAATATTTTTTAGTGGTGGAGTTGATGAAAACCAGTCAGTGGTAAGTACAATAGTAATCGGAGCTAGATTATTAATTTTGAATGAAGTTTTGGAAGCAGATTCATTTTATTGTGGTCCAAAACAAAAGGATCTGTATCCATTTCCTCTCAGGCCAATGGAGCTATCCGTAGAAGGCTTCAGGCTCAGAAAATCGAATATTCTACCATTGTCTGATATCTACAACGTACGAGGTAACAATCCACTGAGATGGAGACATACCTCCCAAATCCTTTGTCAGACTATCGTCGTAGCTTTGTCGTTCTCCTTATGTCACATTGAAGAGCTTGTTCTCTGTTTGTTACAGACAAACATATGTGACCTCAGTCATATTTTGAAACATACACAGAATTAGAGGATGAAAGACTCTTTTAGACCAAGAGAAACTTATTGTTTGAGAGCCATCGAAGTCCGAGAAACTCCATACGTTAATTCGTGCTACGGCAAGTAACCATACCACAATGAAACATCCTTAGCCCAATATACTATCGTTCTGTCCCTTCTCTCGCTCCTCTTTCCCAAATCTAAATCAATTTCGCCTATGGTGTAGGGAGCAAAGCAACAACCGCGCATTTTCCCTGACAGATTCCGAAAGCCGTGTTGCATGCCACGACAGTGGCAGGCGCAGTAGCTCCCAGTGTAGCTCCCCAAGTAGCACCAGCTGCAGCATAGCAAGCTGTGACAATGCTAGCGCAGCCACCTTGGCAGATGCCATAGCCAACGGGACCGGCCTGAATGAGTGCGGGGCCAGTGGCCAGGAAGAGTAAGAAGGCGGATGGATTTGAGAGACGCATTTTCATGGATTGTTGACTTGGCGAGAGAATCCGATTTGGTCTGAAATTGTATGTCTCGTTTGAGAAGATGGTGGACCTGGTTGACGTTTATATCTTGTCTGGGTAAGCTGGCATATTAGCTTAGGCGTGCTTGTTCGCCTTGCCTTCTGAAGACAGGAGCTGGGACAGGCATGGGGGAGTGCTACCACTTACAGATTTGATCTCGGTGTTTTTGATGGAGAGGAAAGAAGAGGTGAACATTGGGGAGGATGGACAGATTATATCTCATCTCTCGCCTTTGTTGACAAACGAAAGTCTTGGCAATGAGAAAGCTCTCGCAACTAGCCGAAAGCTGCTGCAGTTACCCGAAATACCTGCAAGCTGAAAGAGAAACTCTCGAAACTGGAAGAAAGAACTGCAAGTGGATGCGAGAGTCTTGCGTCTCTGGACAGTGCCAGGCTTCTTGATCGGCGGGCTTTGAGACGAGAATAATGTCCACAACGAAGCTATCAATGGTTACGAGAAGCTGCATTGCAGGTCCGTGTCAAGCTATGCTATGCTATCTCCACCTCGTCGGAACTTCCGCTTAAGGCGTTGGACCAAACGCAACAGCGGCACAAGCTGCATAGCACGTTCCTGTGCTGCATTGCAGGCTAGAATAGCTGACGGGGCTCCCGCAGCGAAGACCGTTCCGAAGATGGCTCCAGCAGCTGAATAGCATGCTACAACCACCGTGGCACAGCCTGCTTGACAGACGGCATAACCAAGTGGGCCGCCGAATGCTGTGGAGACTGCTGCCGAGAATGCGATGATGTGAGGGAGAAGCATGTTTTTTGATCGTTTGGTCGAGGTGAACGGAAGTTTGTGGTGTGCTTGTGAAGAAGACCCCTACTTTGTACAGTTATCAATGTCAGTTTATGAATTTGTGTCAAAAGCTGCCAGAATAGGCATGCTTACCAATTTATCTGGTTTGAGTGAGGTGTTGTTGAAGATAGAAAGGAGCCGCTCGGAGAATGGCTGACTATTTATTCGAGACCCTGGCTCAGCTCTCTTTGTTGCAGATGTGCCAACAGAATCAAGATAGAATATGACTGAAGGTCTCCAAGGACAAGTGCACAATAGCGGAGAAGGCAAGGGCGAAAGACAGAGAATAGAAGCTGCGAGACGCTACATACACAAATCTTGTAAGAGAGAACAAACGTCTAATTAGTCTCTGATTCCAAACCTATGACTGATGCCACATCACCTAGCTTCTAACAGGCCAATTCCCCAGATCAAAGAGGCATTCTTTCTCCAGAGGCTTCCTCTCGATATTGCCCCCGAACGTAAAGGCAGCACATCTGCGATGATATGTTCCTCTCGGCCGCTGCACTCCAGTTTCCTGAATATGGTCTCTGTTTGTTCCGTCCGACTTCCCACACGGAAATCACTGTGCCCGTCGCAGGAGCAGGCTGTGGTAGAGATTCCTGTAGGCTTTGACGACGAGAGAGCTTCCTGAGGCCGAGGCCGCGGCGGATACTGCGAGGTTCGTTCGAGCGGTAACAAAAATAGGATGGCAGTTTACTTATCTTGCAGTCAATCGACTGAACAGCCCTGTCAGCACCCCTGTTATGAACCTCCTTGTCCTGGTATATTTTGACTATCACAGGTGAAGGCCGGAGAACTCTCTGGTGCCACTAACTGCCATGTGGCCGAGCAGCAGTTCAGACTCAAAATTGTGCTTCGAAAAACTCCCATTTTGATATCATAACCTCCTCTACCAAACGCCACGCAATGCCATGCAACCAATTCCCAGTCTAAAAAGCAATCTTTCGTTTCCTTCCCGTGTACTTCGAGGAGTTCTTAACCACCTTCCCCTTCCTCTCCATCTGCTCCTTCTTACTTAGAATCCACGCTTTGCTTCCTTTCTGCACCTTTCTCCCCTTCTCCCTATGTTTCCTCCTCGCATCCAGCACATCTACACCATCCATTCCCTTTACCACACCCGTGATATCTCCGCCGTTGCCCTCCTCCGCAGATCCACCGACCGTCAAGACCAGATATAACTTCGCATTCTTGGTTCCAGGATCATCTTCCAGAATACCAGCTCCGAATCCAGCTTTGATCGCAGCACCGCTAATCATCGTCCTCTGCTGATCGTTCTTCGGATAAAACTGACACACCGCCCTCCCACCCCTCTTTAAACTCGCATACAGTCCATTAAAGAACCGTGATAATCTCCCTTCAGACGATACTTCGCTACTTTCCGCATTACACAGCCACTGAATAGCACTAATCGAAATCGCAGCATCGAAACTACCCGCACGAAATGGGACGCCTTGACCAATGTCCGCAAGCATGAGATCGCCTTCTACGTCTCGCTGTAATGCTATGTCAAGCATAGAGGCCGAGATATCCATTCCAACCCAGATGTGAGGTCCGCCTTCCGAGGGGTCGATCGAGGAGAGGATTTCGCCAGAAAGCCCGGAGCCGCAGCCTACATCGAGGATCATGGCGGGGGAGTCTAGGTCAAGCAGTTCGAGCGCGCGATTTGTCATGGAAGCTTGAATGTTTTGGATTCGAGAGGAAGTGGTATATTTGCGTGCTTCCGTATCATTGTAATGGAGATCTGGGGGGCTGTTCCATTGCATTAGCAGTTGTCGCATGTATATTGAAATCTTGGGGAGCAAAGTACTTACAGGGTATCTTCTGGACGAGACATGATTATGTTGTAAATCCAAACTGGCGAAAAGTTCCCAAGTATCCCGTTCAGCAATTTGCCCTTCAGTCGGAAATATTTCGTGTGTTAAGTGGGTGTTGCGCACGATTTCGAGATTCCTGTTCAAGCCATGTCGTCACAAAATATTTATCGCTGAACATTTTTTGGTGGGGGGATGTTTTAGCGCGGCCGAAAACCTGGGGATGATGAGATGAGAACACGATTCCCATGCCAGCCACGCGACGCCTTTTTGCCCCTGAGTGCGAATCCAAACTCCCTTCGCGACAACGATCAGTATTTCAGCCCTCCAAGCATGAAACTCTCGTAACCAAGTTCGGACGATTGTCTTATCATGTGGATTCTACCACTTGTCGGATATTTAGGCCTTGGCCTCGGCTTTGGATTTTTGACCCTAGCAATCGGTGTGTTGCATTGATTCAAAAGCCCACCATATGCCAGTACTGATACTTGGGAATAGCTTCGGGACTCTATTACCTCTCAGAACTGGTTGAAGAGCATACAGTCGTCGCGAAGAGGCTGCTGACGCGATTGATATACGGAATTATCGGCATCCAGACCCTCCTTACGTTGATCGATGGCTTCCCTTTCATGCTCTCCCTGTTGAGCATATTCTCGCATGTCGTGTATCTGGGGAACATGCGTCGATTCCCTATCGTGAAGCTCTCTGATCCTCTGTTCATACTCTCTTGTGGTATGTGCGATATTATATTTGCGCTGTGCGACAATGTCAGAGAGAAGTCGGAAGTACGTTTGCTAATGTGATCCTGCTGTCAGTGCTGGTACTACTTAACCACTATGTCTGGTTCAACCACTTCTCCTTCTCCTCCCTCGTCTCTACGCCAGCTTCACGCTACGATCCCTCGAACCTCCCTACCTTCACCGAGATCGCATCGTACTTCGGTCTCTGCGTATGGCTCGTACCATTCTCTCTCTTCGTTTCCCTGTCCGCAAGCGATAATGTGCTGCCGACGATGGGTAGTGAAGCGCCTGGCATGCCGGGTGCATCAGGGGACGGGAAGAATAGACGACAGGGGATGTTTAAGGTGGTGGTTGATGTCGTAAGAGACTGGTTAGGGGAGTTGGGACGTGTAGCGGGATGGAATAGACCGGATAGAGGGTTTTGATGTAGGAATTATTATGGGAGTAGGAACATTGTTTGGCGTTGGTGGATCTCTGGCATCCTTACCCGGACGAGAATGGCTCATGTGAATTACATAGGTATCTTTGGGCAGAGAATTATGATCATGATGTATTTTATGTGCTAATGAATCTGCAAATTAACTCCAAGGGTATCTTCCAGCAAATCCTCATTAACGCCCTGTAGGTAAGTGGTACATGAGTGTATGTATAGCAATAATTTGTAGCAATGTCTAATTCATTCAGGTGCCCACGATCAGCTTTCAGAGTTAGAAATTGCACAGAGATGAGTTGGGGGTCGGTCCTGTTCACTTACCGGTCATCACTTCAGTCACGTTGAGAGGAATTGGCCTCCATATCCTCGAGGCGGCCATCGAACATGGCAACGAGTTCACCAGAAAGGTGGACGGTGTTGGTCTCGATGGATATCATACTGGCGATGATGAGACTCTCGATGTTTTGGCGTTTCTTGTCCAAGGCATCAAGTCTTGCCCACGCAGCTTGGTGGGACTTGGAGCTGGGAATTTGTTAGTTATGCACTACAACCTTGACCCATGGATGACATTGGAATGCCAGTCCCGTAATGCTCAGAAGTGGAAAACGAGGTCGTGTTGAAAGTAACGAGACCTGTGCTTCCGGGTAAGACCAGGTCAGATCAAGTCACCTATGCTTACACTCTACTCTTCCTAGTAGCGAACAAAGTATCGATTTTGCTTTTAACATCCTTGACGCGTTTCTCATGCTCTGCTTCAATTGCCTTTCGCTTCTTGTCTCGGCGTTCATTGTTCTATAGTATTTCTGAGTACTCGTTCTTAGCAGAAGGATCAGCCACAAACCTTGGAGACGATGTTCTTTGCAGCTATAATCATTGCCGTGGCATCTTCCTGTGAACTTTGCTGTACCTCCTCATCGTCTGAAGCTGACGCTTGAGCTTGAGCTTGGCCCTTATGGGATTGACGTGGTCCCATAGTGACGAATGACGATTATTCACTCCCTGGATGTACTGACTTGGCCGCCGTATTGAAAGAGTGAAAAGTCAATATCCACAAGTGACGTTAGTTGTGTCGAGTGAAGAGACTTGAAATGGCAGTCAAGTTCCTACCCGGAGGTTGTCCACTGACCAATCAAACGCTAGCGTCAGCTCGGCCATTTTTGACCCACCAAAATTTCATCCGGCCGACTTCACATTTTCACGATAAGGATCAAGAAAGATCCCACCATCATCTTTCTAATCCTCCACCACAACCGCAAAGATGGGACTCGCAGGAGAAAAAAAGTATAATCCCACGCTCTGACTCCTCAAATAATCACTAACCAAAAATCTGTAGGCGCATGAAGCTTTCCCACGATCCCAATAACACGAAATGGACAAACGACACCTCCAGTTTCGGTCTCAAGATCATGACCTCCCAGGGCTGGCAACCGGGGCAATATCTCGGAGCCAAAGACGCCGCTCATGCTGAGTTTCATACCGCAGCCAATGCATCGCATATTCGAGTCGCGATCAAAGACGACAATCTTGGTCTGGGAGCGAAGATTGGGACTGGTGTCGGTCATGGAGAGTGTACTGGTCTGGATGCATTCAAGAACCTGCTCGGGAGACTGAATGGCAAAGATGAGGACGAAATTATTAAGGAACAGCAGTCGAGAGATGATCTGCGGAGGGCGATTTACTCGGAAAGGAAGTGGGGTACACAGCGATTTGTGTCAGGAGGGTTCTTAATTGGAGACAAGATTCAGATTTTGATTGACGCTGAGGCGGAGCGGATACGGAAGCTTGCATTGGGTGAGAATGAGGATTCTTCGAGTGATTCGAGCTCTGCCTCCGACTCCGAAGAGGAGGCTGCGCCTATTGAGAAAACAAAGAAATCAAAGAAGCGGAAACTGGAAGTTTTGGAGGAGGCAGAGCCCGAGGTCGTTGCGTTCAAAGTCAAGAAATCAAAGAAATCGAAGGCGCGGAAAAATCAGGACCCTGTTGAGGAAGAGAGTGCGCCTTCCGAGGACGAGAAAGCAACTAAGAAGTCCAAGAAATCGAAGAAAGACCGGAAGCCGAAGGGCGAGGTCGAGGACACCGAGGAGGAGAAGCGCAAGAAAGAGAAGAAGGAGAAGAAGGAAAGGAAGAGGCAAGAGAAAGCAGTAGAAGAGACAGATGAGACGGAGAAGGAAAAGAGGAGGAGGGAAAAGAAGGAGAAGCGGGAGAAGAAGAAAGCTGCAGAGGAAGATACGCCAGAGGTGTCAGAGTCTTCTTTACCGACGACGAAAGAGAGTACACCCCTTGCAACTCCTTCGAGTGGTCGGTCAACGCCGATGATGCAGGGGAGACACGCTGTTAGATCACGGTATATTGCGCAAAAGAGATTGGCAAGTATGGATGCGGCATCACTGAACCAGGTTTGTCATTCCCGAAGAGCCTCTTTTTTACTTCTTCTCGGAACCATTTCTAACATTCAGCAGATATTCATGATCAAGTCACAATAGATTACATAGAAATGACGAATAGGATATATTTTGACGAACACTACATAACTTTTGTCCTCACTCTCCTTTTGCAATCGTCACATTCAGTTTATATGCGCACATCTTTTACGAATTATTTCTTGTCGGTCCATTTTCCAGCTCTGAAGATATTGTCCAAATTATGCACTGCCAAAGCAAAAATATTGTCAAACGACTTAACTGGACTTGATTCCGCGAGTTGTTGTTCTCATGAATGATTACGGAAGCAAACCTCGTCTATTCCATAATACGACTTCCAATTACACCCAATAACCAACTATCAACTCTACAGCCCCACTCTCCCTCCCCATACTATCATCCTTTGGAGCAGTCTAAACACTCATCGCACTCTTCTCCCCATAAACCCTAACCATTCACTTCACATCTCTCTCCATATTCCCATTCTCAACCCTTTGAACCATCATTCCCTTCCCACCCTCAAGGCTCCAGCCATAAACCTAGGACTCCACGAGTGGAAAAGGTTGCGGAGTGTGGCGATGGATCTGGAATGATTGCTTGAGGAAGGGGGTGGAGTGAAAAGGGTTAGATACTGGGCGGAGGAAAAGCGATCTGGATTCGAAAGGTTAATTGTGAAGGGTTTGAGGGCTGTTGTTGTCGCCGAGTGGGTGTACTGGAGTGTAATTTGGAAGCTATTTAGCTGGGGATGGAGGAAATTCGGTCCTTATTCTGCTTCGAGACAGGTGTATGTGGGTGTTCTGCTGGGAGTATTAGCATTCTAAGCATCCAGTGGCAGACTCATGTGAAGATGAACAGGCGGAAGGGCGGGCTGGTGTTTCGCCATTTGTGAAGTCGAGGAATATTTGGATTATGTTACAGAGCAATATGTCCCATAGAGAAGAAAGAATATAGGTAGATCCGCGAACATGAGCTATTTTGAGCCCTATACTATGCTGAGGTTTGGAATCCTAGTAGGATTGAATTGGACCGTCTAAGCAGTCAGTGATTGAGAGCTTTGTCTCTTGAAATGGGCTGGGTAAATGTACAATCGAAAAGCTTCTCCTCGTGACGGTTGTCTCTTTGTGTTCGGTATATCACAACAGAATTAACAAGAAGAGAAAGATGAAGAAGCATAACTTTCCGGACCCACCGCAATATTGATTCTGCCCTACTTGGTAGGAAGAGCCATCTGATCCTCAGTGCTGCTAGAAAGTAGATATCCTCTAATCGTGCTCTGTCAGACTAGCTCTATCCCTGCAATGAACGTGCTTTTTTCTCTAGACAACTCCAAGAAGCCAACCCAAAGGAAGCAGTGGAGTCGAATTGCCAAGTACTTGGCCCAGGCGCAAACTTCAGAAGGCTGGAGCTCCTGAAAATTGCTGGCATAATTTGTGAAATCTAATTTGATGGAAACAACCTGCTGCATTCGTTCCCAACATAGAGATCGTTTTCGAGTTTGTCTGGGATCGCACTCAGCGAATCGACGCTGGTATTTCAGGTTTCGGAGATTCTCTGTTCTCTGGGACATGATAGGCAGCCATCTTGTCTTTAGGATCAAGCTTCAACCGCTCATGTTTGGTATAGATTGTCGTCAGCTTCGTAACGATGTCCAAAAGCATTTGCTTCGGCCAACAATCCGAAAAATCATTGTATCGTGGAGGGCTTTTGCAGCGGCTAACACAAAGGTCCACGAAGACTCGACGCAGAGGACTGTCCGCACTAGTATTCTCATATATGTATAAGAAGTGTCCTGAGGGAGTAACTCTTGTATGGTACCTGACTCGCATTATCTCATCAATCGCCGAGTTTTGGAGTCGTGGAATGAGTAGCTTTTCGCCGACTACCCAAAGCTGAATCAGAGCTTTAGTTTGGTATCGTCCGTCTACTCCAAAATCCTTGGGATTAAGATGTTTCCTGAGATCCTGGAGCTCATAGTGTCCAACGTCTGGGTGTAGAGCCAATGAACCAGTAGCCGGACAGTTTCTTCGTCCACATCTTGGATTTTGTACTCTTGAGTCTGTCCCTCGAGGAAATTTCCGTTGAAGGCGGCGTCGAAGACGGGCGAATAGTGACATGCGAAATATTTATGAACGACGAACTTGGTTGGACTGTCTCCAGCGAGCAATGTCACGAGCTGCTGAGGTTTTCTGAGAATGACAGATTAGGTAAATGTTTTCTCGAGCTCCTCAGTCTATGCGATGATGGGTGAAAATTGAAATTGCTAGACATTACCTGAGGCTTGGAGTTCCTGCTCTATTCTTCATGTTTGAGGTCGGTTTAATCGATGCCGCAGGTGAAGTTGTAGGAGGTGTCAAAAGATTCAGAGGAGCCGCGATGCTTGTCTGAGAATCCGCCATTGTCAGAAGCTACCCTAGATAGCGATCAATTGGTATTTCGAGTCTCTAGGTCGTGTAACTTACAAGAACAGTTCTGCGTAGAGCTTGACGTTCGTGAGCTGAGGCGATGTAATGATAATTTACGGTTTCTTTTGGTGCAGCAAGCCGACGAGGCTGCTTCCGTTACTATAGGTAAAATAGCTAAGAGGCCAAAAGACCAAACAAAGCAAACTTCGTAAGCGAACGATCCCTAGCCAATCTCACATGACGTGACATTCACCGGCAGTTCAGAGTATCTACCTATACCTGAGCAATACCAAGACAATATCAACTCGAAGGATTTTGGTATCTCAAAAATAGATTCCTGGATAAACACAAACCCGACATTTCGTTTGCCATGGCTTGCAAATCAGATTATTTTGGAAGTTTACTCGTTTCCTCAAGGCTTGGAGGTCTCAGCATCAAAGGCAGGTAGATGCGACTTCAAGTCTTGGCTCAGATTTCACTTTGCATAGCCATGGATTGTGAACTGCATACCTAGAAACAAGAAGCTTGTTCTGATCGTAACTAGCTTAATTCATGCAAGACTAGCCCTACGTTGGACAAGCAGGTCGTCCCTCCACCGATCGCAACTTCCTTCTACAACAACGTTTTCAAGCTCCTCTTCCACCGAGACCGAGGAGTCTGGCGTGACACATGAGATAGCTCGTGCCAAACAACTTAAACACAAGGGCAAGTCAAACCATCCTTCCCGTGAGTATCAAAGCTAATAGAAGTGTCGCAGTACCTCATCATGGCCGGGTCATCGATTGCACCAGGAGCTGCGAACTCTGCACGGCTCGGCTCTCCCGAAGCCTCAAAGAGACGTTCATCAGCACTCAGAACTAAGGGAAGAGCTACAATCTCGTGAGTAATTGAAGTGAAGTGGCGAAAAAAGATCTTGCTAATATTGTGCAGCAACCCAGCGTCGATGGTCACGCTTACAACCGGCAGCGGTCACTCTATCAAGAACTTTGTCGTCCACAAGAATTTCGCATGCCACTACTCGCCAGTCCTCAGAGCAGCCTTTGATAGCAACTTTATTGAAGGTCAAACTCAAGTTTATCATTTTCAGGACACTGAGGAAACAGTTGTCATTCTTCTAGTGAATTGGCTTTATTCTCAGAGTTTGGTTGTAAAATCTCTCAAATCACGAAAAAGCAATGACACCGACGACATGAAATTGTTTCGTCTTTGGGTCCTTGCTGACAGATTGCTCATACCCCGACTCCAAAACGCTGTCATGAGCAAGCTATACAAAATGGAAGAAATCTTCCTCGAGACTATCGACAAGAACAATTTGGGATACATCTACAATAATACTGCTAAAGGCGGTTCTCTTCGGCAGCTTGTGCTTCAACAATTTGTTTTGCTTGACGATCCCATCAGGGTATTCTCGAAGGGCACGGGTTTATTTCCCAAGGAAATGCTTATTTGAATTGGTTTGCTTGATGAGTTGCTGTTTGAACCCAGCTCTGTTGGATGAATGGACATCCGAAAGAGATATCAACCAATACATGGTCGTGGAAGAGTCTGAACCCAAATGATCGAACTGTCAGCGTGTTCTTTTTTGATAATGACACGAGTTTCTGCTAACTCATAGATCAGATCTTCTTCTCACACAACGGACATGATCACATGGTCTCGATAAGATTTAGGTGGATATGCTCTATTCGAATATGATGGCAAAGAAAATATGAGCTTAAATTTTTGTTGCAAACGATGCGAGGGATTTGCTGTTCGTGTACTTTCGCTGTAGGAGACTAGGACCAACCTTAGCTATGAAAAACTGTCTTGCATGGCCTAGAGCTCCGTCGTCTATTGCAAGGGCTCGTCCCAGATTGCAAAGATATCAACAAATCAAAATTGTCTCTTGTCAAAATTTCTCAAATTTCAAGTAGTTGGACAAGTACTTCCCCCAAAATCTTTTCCATTCTTATTCAGCATCCCGCCGACGTAGATCCATCCGGAGATCTGGAAAGCATAAATCCACCATCGTACTGTCGCATAGAGCTAGTTTTGTCTCCCAGCTCCACGACCTGAGTCGTGGGAGTCGGGACTCGTGGATGGAGGCAGCACTCGCTTGTTGTAAGCTGGTGGTTTGCGTGGCGAGTAGGGGAGGAAAGCAGCGGACTAGATGTGGTCTTTGATCGGCTGTGGTCATGCAATTATATAGAGAGAATGATTTTCTGTGAGAGGTGTGAGAGTTATGGGGCTTGATGTGTTAGACCGCTGTTCAAGGGAAGCTCTGAGCGATCTGGGATCAGATCTCGCCCCTATCTTTTAGCGATTGAATATCTGAAGCTTGTTGACTTCCTGCCACTGGATCGCTATGGTGTGCGATGTTTGACATCCAGGGCTGACTTTCAAGAAACAAGAAATCAACATTTATGTGTTCCAGTTTTTGCATCGGATCAACTGTGACCATAGATTAAAAAAGAGAACTTGGCTTGATAAGAATTGTTACGAATGAAGGGGAAATCAACCAAGAGGGCGAGAAGAGTGAAAGTATCACGATCCAAGCGTCTCCTACCTACCTTGTGAAAATAAGGTCTTACATTGGAAAGTAGGGGGTTGGATTTCTGCATCTTAATTTGATATCACCAAGAAGAAAAGTCTATCCTAGACATTTTGCTTCGTATCGGCTCGTCTAACTTCATCTCGTGCCAGGTCATGCCATGTTATGCCATTCCAATCATATGCTGTACTGTCCATCGAAAATTCGCAAGGAGTTATTATGCAGGTTCTTGGGCGCTATTTCGTCTCGCTCAAAGTCAATGTCCATGTCAGGACAGGGAAATAAAGAAAGAAGCGAGAAAAGAAACTATTGTACACATCAATCCAACAGTTACACATTCATCTGCACTCACTTGCGGACCGGAAGCAGATAGCCCCAATAATCTCTTTGAGTATGTAGAATCGGAGTCCAAGCCCCAGACCATTTCCAAAGCAACAAATCAGACGGGATCCATCATCCAGATCGATGCTATCGCATCCTCGATCATGCTTCACCTCCTAAAAAGGCCAAGTGACCGTTTTCTCCTGAACCATGAAATCCTCCAAGTTCAAATCAACCTTCATATCGTTACGACCTTTCAGGCTCTTCCACATCTGCGTCAACATCATGACCCACTCCTGGAGGAACTCATGCGGATAGTAGGGTTTTGCTCGAGGCTCCATGATAACTGACTCGCTCAAACGATTAGCATATTGCCAAATGAGGTAATTGCGCATGATTGATCCTTCTTTGGTACGGTTGTAGGTGTGATTGAGTGCTGTGAGGCTCATCTCCGCGTTGACATTTCGGACACGATCGAGTTCGTTGAGAGCGAGGTTTTGGAGTTTGGGGATTTGAAGGTCGGTGGCGCAGATCCAGAGGTCGACTAGAAGGGTTTGCTCGTCGGGAATGGCTTGTTGTGGGAACATTGGTCGTCGAGCGAATAGAGGGAGGGGGTAGATAGCTTGCTTGTAGAACCACTGGAAGGGAATTAGCATGGGGTATTGCAGAGTTGAGCTTCTGACATCGAATGTGTTCAAAGAACTGTTTAAGTAACGGTAGAAGCTCCCTATGGATTTGAGTGTAGCTTACGTTGCTTAGAGCATAGCCAGTCGCTGAGAAGCTGACCTGGATTGGATAGGGGTTGGTGGGGAGCTGGCCACTATTGTCGCTGTAGTACCATGCCAGCTTTTCCGAGTGGTAGAAGGCAAGATCCCAATCGATTGGGAAAGTAATCAAAGTCTGGATCTCCTGGGTAGCTTGATCATTGGCGTTGTTTTGATTGGCTCTCGTAGCCTCATCGATCTTGAGATAAATGGTCTTGGCTTGGTCCCAACTGTGCGAGATTCGACCAGCAGCATGTCGGATATCTTCGCTGTCTTGTGGTGGTGGGTAGGTGGTGCGCGAGCCAGTTGGATTAGCAGAGCCGTGAGCTGCCCATGCCTTGTTGGCGGCCTCGGTGATGGTTCGATATTCCATTGGGGACGGTAGCCGTCTGGTTGACGTTGGAGTATCGAAAGCGTGATTTGCTAATGGTGCACATTGCTGTGTAGGAGACACAGTAACTGTATTTGAGTTGGTGGTAGCAGGAGGACAGTTGCTTGCACTAAAAGATTGTCAGAAAGCTCAGAATTCAAGCACAGAAGTGAATTTTCGATGCTTGACATACCTCAAATGCTTTGGAGGTGTAAGGTCAGGAATACCAAGTGGCCTGAACATGGTGAGCACAGTGAGCAGGTTAAAATTGGGCATCATGGATTTGGAATAAACTTACCCCCAGCCCTGTTGGAAGAAAGACTTCTGTGGAGTACGAACACCTGCTTGGATATCACTAAAACCTAAAACCAGTTTTCCATAAGTAGGCTGAATGTTCGAATACAAGGATTGTGAGGCACCACCGCTGACTGTCGACGCAGGCGAATTGAAATGGACAGACTCGTTTACTGTTTTATGAGGAGTGGCTGTAGGCGTAACATCAAGGGTGGGAGTGAGAGACTCGGGGTAAGAAGGGTAAGGACCATAAGGGTATGGTTGATTCTCATCAGACTTAGTGGCAGTGGCGGTTTGTCCCCGTTGATCCTTCTGTGGGAGATCAGAAGTTTCGCGGAGAGTAGAGGAGCCACTGAATGTTGGTTGTTGCGGGAAATCAGCCGTAGGGGAACCTGAAGTAGGAAGAAGAGTACAGCGTTGAGACTCTCCACTTACAGCAGGCGCAGGAAGAAAAGATGTCTGTTGTGCTTGTGGGTATGTCAAATGAGTGGAAGAAGTCTCGGATACTATCGGTTGGCTCTGCTTATCTTGTTGATCTTGTCCAGTGGTAGGTGAGGAGGAATTGATGAAGGGCTGGTAGGATTGAGGGACCGGTAGATTATAATACTGCTGAGCCTGTTGATATGGAAACCGAGGAGAGGAAACCGAATCTACCGTAACAGCGAGTTGTTGTCGTTGATTTCCGCTAGGTATGGTTGCGGCATAAAGAGCTTGAGAGTCTGCACTCGGCGTAGAGGTGGGAACCTTGGGAGGCTGTTGGATGACTCGAGGGCGACCGCGACCACGCTTCGTAGGAGGAAGTTCTTCTGCGCTGTTGAGCTGCAGGGAGTGTGTTGGAAATACATGTGCATCCGACTTATGTACCTTTTGTGCTTCGAGATTGATAGCTTCCATCAGCTGCTGCTGAGCACGTTCCCTGGCCTTGTTGTTTATATCCGTTCGCTTTCGCTTTAGCGTTTCTTTCTCAGCAGCTTGAGCACTGTGGATACTGGCACGTCGATCTGTGTCTGTAGGAGTTGTTTCGTTGTTGGGAGCTGTGCTTGGAATTCCAGAGGAGGCGGACTGGCCGTAATCTACCAAGCGCGACGGATAGGACGCCGCATTGTTTGGTTGATTGGTGAAAGCCATGATGCTCGAGAGCAGTAAGACAAGCAGTATCTCGAGGGAGACAAGTGTTGAACTTCGAAGATCTGGGTGCTTCAAGGAGTGAAGGATATTTCAGACTTGAACTCGTCTTTAGAAGCGCAATGTTCTGATGGATAAAGAACGAACACGCAGCTTCTGAAAAGAACACACGAGTAATGTCTTTGCATGTCTGCGAGGGCGAAAATGAAAGACTCTGAATGTTGGTCGTAGTGGTAGAAAAACGCATCTAAAGCAAGATGTGTTGTCAATGGAGGAGACAGGAGCCTTTCGAAAGAACTTTTGTTGCCACGAGGTCAGCAGGAATTTAATATTCTCGCTTCGCGACATCAATCTGCTACATCACCTTCTGACACCGAATTCACGGGCTCAGCCTTCCCGGGCACCTTGTGAATATGTATGTTCTCCAAGGTCTTTATTGATAGTTTATGCGCAGCCCATAAGTTAACTTTTCTAAATAAGATATCATTTGGAATGTCACACTACACTTTCCAATCCGTTGGACAGGCGTGGTGACGGATCTGGGGAGCCTAATAGCAACGACTTCACACATCTCACTACGTCATTACAGAAATTATACGACACGTCCATCAAATGGGTTGATTCACTTCGATCGCTTGAGTAGGATGTGGTGTTACAGTGTTTTCAACCAATTTTAGCTTCACCGCCAAACCGAGCGTCGCTTAACGGCTTCACAAATAAACAAGCAAAGCGAAGCGATTCAATCAAAAGAGTTCTCCTCATCAACGTTTACAATAACGGACTACTCCCTTTGGAGACAAGATTGTTTCCTTGTAAGGGACTTGCCATTACTCAACGACTCTGAACTAGAAAAATATAACAAAGTAGCAAAACTTACTGACTAATCTCGATGAGGCGGACGAATCCGACCGAGAAGCAACTAGTCTGTTAGAAACCATGAGCTTGTCATGATTTTGAAGAAATATCACCGTGACGTAGAACGTGGATGCTTTACATGGAGTGCAGATCTGCTTATTTGCTTAAATATAGTGGGTAAAGACTTCCAACATCCAACTCCTTGAAGGTGAATGAAACAGGGGAACGGATGTACTTGCGACTGGGACGGGGAATAGAACTTGAATTACTCACTTCGTGCCGCAAAAACTGAATCTTAGACTCAGATTTTCACTAGTTATCTATCAATCATCTTCATTGTCCTCGTATATATTCATCGCATGGTAGTATGCCAATGCGAAGTCCTATTCATCTCACCAAATGTTGTAGATAGCAGGGTAATGAGTCCTAGTAGAAATGCCGTATGAGTTTGTCCCACACGTTCTTGAATTTCCCATTTCTGCGACATCGACCGAGCATCGATGAATGACACGATGATGACCGACACGATGAACGGCACCGTCGTCAGCGAGCTTCCAATTCCAGTCTCGCACGTGCATTTCAGACTGTTGGAACCAGACATCTTGCGATTATTCAAGAATTATTTGAAATAGTGTTTTTTCATTGAGCCTTCTGCACAGTAATTATTGTATCTGATCCATGATGGTGGAGGCAATGGTTCCCTAAGTCTCTATTAGGAGGTCTATGTTCGAAGTCTGGGATATGCTGCCAAGAACGCTTCAGAGGCTGAGCTCGTGGGAAAAGAATAGTTGAGTCATTTCAAGCCGCTCCGAGGAAGGGCATTTACTAGATGAGGCTGAGACTGAAGGATATCACCGTTGCTTTACTTTAAGTAGCATCATTGCAACTACCAATGAAACGGACAAACTGCGCCATTACAACCGAGTAAACATTGAAGAAAGTTAAGCGATGAGCTACTAAGAAAATGGAATTGGGAATTAGCTTCGGCATAAACCCCGCACTAAGAATTGCCCAGCAAATCTTCACCCCACCTTCCCTCGCCCCACTACAATCACGACAGGTCTCCTGATTATCTAACCTGGAAGCTCATAACTTGACTTTGATAAACGAATCCCCCGTTACTCATTCCTAGCCACCGCGGATTTCTAAGTTTCTAAATCTCGTTCTTCGAACACAAATTCACAACAGCTATATTTCTTCTTTAAAGAAGAAGGAAGAAGGAACTTCCAAAAATGTCACCACCGCCCGTCTACCTCCTTGACGGCGGTTTAGGTACAACCCTCGCAGACCAACACGCCTGCACCTTCGACGACAGTACTCCCCTCTGGTCATCTCACCTCCTAATCACCGATCCAGCTACTCTTCTCGCAGCTCAAACCGCATTTGTTAACGCTGGCGCGGATATCTTGCTGAGTGCAAGTTATCAGGTGAGTTTTGAAGGGTTTGCATTGACCAAGACGAAGGTTGGTGATGGCATTGGGGAAGAGAGGGCGGGGCAGTTGATGAGGAGTGCGGTGGGGATTGCGAGGAAGGCTTTCATAAATGGAGGAAGGGAAGGGACGGAGAGAGGCAAGGTGGCATTGAGTCTTGGCGCGTACGGAGCAACTATGATTCCTTCCCAGGAGTACAGCGGGAAGTACGATGAAGCGCGGTTATCCGTCTCCGGGCTGAAAGAGTGGCATCTGAAGCGCCTGGGGGCATTTACACCTACCTCTGGTCTCGGAGCAGGAGTGGCGAGGAGCAACAGTCTTGACGAGGAAGAGCGATGCAGGTGCTGGAAGGATGTGGATCTTATTGCTTTTGAGACTTTGCCGTTGCTAGAGGAGATCACGGCTGTTAGGCAGGTTATGCATGAGCTCCAGGCTGGGGCAGTAGACCAGAGGGACTTTTGGATTAGTTGTGTTTTTCCGGGGGAGGGAACGGGGCTGCCGGACGGGAGTAGTGTAGAGGATGTGGTGAGGGCGATGTTGGAGAGGAGAGAAGGAGAGAGTATGCCGATGGGAGTTGGTATCAATTGTACGAAGGTTGGCAAATTGAATGACTTGGTGTTGGAGTTTGAAAGGGTTGTTGGACAGGTGGTGCAAAGAGGCGAGGCTGACTGGCCAGCACTGGTGGTTTATCCTGACGGGACTGATGGGGAGGTTTATGATACTGTGACGAAGGAATGGGTCAAGAGTGCCCCTGGGGGTAAAAGTGAAGTAAGTTTGCTCTCGTAACTACGGGCTCGGGGACATTCTAAGGAAATTGACTTTCATAGACATCGTGGGACGATACTGTGTTCAGAATAGTGGACCAAGCTAGGAAACGAGGATGCTGGCAAAGTATACTCGTGGGTGGGTGCTGCAAGACCACGCCGGATGACATATCGAAGTTACGAAGAAGGATTGATGAGACCTTATAAAGTCAATTTGAGTTTTAAGACCAACGGGAGGGCAGAACAAGCGCCATACAAGCGCCGGTCTCTCCAGGTGTGTCTGATGACCACTTTCCCGTTTGCTTGACACGAAGTTTCGGGAAGACCAGAGGTGCGGATAACGAGGCTAGAACAGAAGAGGGGATCCGAGTTCTGATATTCTGGTGTGGAAACTTTGCCCGTACGCCTTTGGAAAGACCTCTTGGCTTGAAGAAGCTCCGCCAGGAAAGACCTGTGAAGATGCAACGACTCTGGAAAGTTTGATTTGGAGAAAATTCCACCAGAACGAAGAGGCCGGACCCTGCGTTTAGTGACACATGTTGCGAAACCAACAATGTGCTTTGACTTACTTTCTCGGAAATATTCAAGCTCAGAGCCTCATTGAACGTGTACTTTGGCCATGAGCTCTGCGAGCCAGAAACACTTCTTCATCGTATGTTAAGCCACTGGCCACGTGATCGTCTCCGTGTCACCATGCAACCCCGCGCGACTATCCCACTTGGCACTTTCCCTCCAAGGCCTGCCCAGACGGTAGAGCTCTCCCCATGAATCAGGACATGGCACCAGTTCTCAAATTAACTTCTTACGATGTGACGATGTGGCATGGCCTCATCGAGAAATGATTGCATCGCTTCCGTCTCGTCTCGCACAGAAGTTCCAGGGGTCTGTTTCTGAAAAAGCGTATCATTGCCGAATTCCGGTGGTGATCGACGAAGGGACTTCTTGATCGACTATGTCTCATGATTGCAGCCAATATGATGGCGGACACAAGCGAGATATATGCAAAAGAGCAACGGTTCCTTACTTTTGCCTTAAAGCTGTGAGGAGCTGTCACCGCTCCTTTTCATTCAGACGACGAGCATGAGCTGGCGTTCACATGGAAGCACTTGGGAAAGCTTGGCTCAACAAACCAAGGGTACATGAACCCACGACTCCGATTCAAACTCTGGAAGTGAAAGTCAATATGTATGCAGGTTTATCTCAACAGTCCGAATGCTTCCCGGAGCCACTAAGACCTTGGCCCGCCTTGTTAGACATGCAGGTGTGGAGGAACATGGGTGGAGTGCCTGTTTGAACGACCCTATCACATCGCAAAGTCCCCATTAAGCGGCAGTCAGGACGTTGCTGATGCTTTTTGCGTATGCGGTGGAAGCTTGGGTTCTGCGGTTGGGCATGGTACAGAGGGGCCTCTCGACAGGCCAACGTTGTCAACCCTGGCGGACATCCGCTTCAAGGGTCGAATGATACTGGATGATGGACACGACGTCGTTGGTGAGTTGAGGGAACTTTTGGTTGGGTAAGACAAGCAAGCAGTGAGAAGGAATAAAGGACGACTCAAGATAAGAGATTCTTGACTAGACTGGACTGGACTATTCCCAGATTGCTTTTTTTCTTCTTTGTTGGCCATCCCATCGAGCAGGGCCAGTCAGTTCCCTTCTTTGAAGCTTCGAGGGCTGTTCCTAGCGATAGTTATTCCTGGTGTAGTGTGCGGTAGTGGTGGCCGTGGGCAGAGATGGATGGCATCTTACCCCGCGAAATACTTCCAACCCCTTGTCTGTCTCCACTTTCGATGTCAGTCTGTCATGCCATTGGTCTGTGCCAATCTTAGCTAGCCTCCGTAAGCAGTTGTGATTGGACATTACGCAGGGCGATGGGGCCTTGGTGCGTCACTAGGGCTAGCGTGGCCGGGGCAGCTCAACTTAACTCCTCGCCCAAATCCCCCTCCTCTCTTACAACACACCATTCCATTCCACTCCACACCCTCCAAAGTCTCCAGATAACTCACACCACCCCCTCTCCATTCTGTCAATCCTTCGAAGTCTTCTGTCCATCGTAAAGAACGATTCTCCTATCCCCTGCAGCCCGGTCGTCGACGGCTACATACATAAAGCGGGCGTCCCTTCGAACTCCGAGAGCGAGCAATACCCCGACAACAAAGAATACCAAAGTTCAAAAGGGCCACGTTATACAACAACTCCTAGGCTGAGGAGACCATCCACGGATCTCTGCAGAATCTCACAGTTACGCCAATCCACTAGGGTACCATATACCCCCAAGATATCAAAACACCAAGCCGACCCCAAACAGATCAGCAATCAACATGTCCTCCTCCAACAACGGTGACAATTCTCCTCCCAATGAGGCATCTGCCCGGGCTCGTCGGGGCTCCTTCACCTCCCAAACCTTCAACAACATCTTTGGCGGCTCTATCAACCGATCAAATAGCACATCTGGTCCTACACCTCCCTTCCCTGGCCCTATTACCACAGCCGCAGTCCAAGATCAACGCCGGCGTATGTCAATATCGACACTTGGCTTGTCTGGCACCTCCCCAACACAATCATCACCATTCCCATTTGGTGGTCGGCGAGGTAGTGTCTCTACCGCGAACTCCGAAGCCATCGATGAGAATGCAATCGACGATGATGAAGGTCCCGGTCGCAGCAACCCAACTACTCCATTCGCACGCCGCATGTCATTTGGCGCACAAGCTCTACGAACCGTGAGAGGAAGTGGCAGTCCAGGCACAACCGGTAGAGCTCCCTCATACACTACTGCACCTCTTCCATCCATTCCGTCAGGGCCACGCAGCGCGGAAGCCCTCGCTCGCGCAGGCTCTGTCCCTAAAAGCGGAGTTGTAACTCCTCCAAAGTCCCAAAATCAAGCAAATCAGGCAAGCACGCAATCAAAGCCCAGAACTGCTTCTGACTATCCTCTTTCTGCTCGTCCAGGTGATGGCGGTGGATTCAACTGGTCCGAGCAGCTTAGAACCCGTGCCGAGAGTTCCGTTTCACAGACTCAGCGTCCTAGCTTCTCTACCTCCCCATCCGCAAAGACCATGCAAATGCATGAGCGAGCTAAGAGTGTCAGCGAGATGCCATCTCCTCCAACTGCTGTTCCTGCCGCTCCTGCACCAAGGCCGGAGCGAAAGAAGCCTGATGCATTCCAAGAGCGTATTCTCAAGGGAGACTTCTACAGTATGTGACAATCTGGCTGCAATCCTTGCACTGCTCTCAGTAAAATGATCTACATTCTCTATCATCAGCACTTTGTGGTACATCTACTCGCCCTTGCTGACTGTCTTGGTTCTGCAGTGGATTAGTCGCTTGATGATATCATTTCTTATGTTGATTACACACATTGCTCCGCAATGTTGCTTCACGATGACAAGGCGTTGATGGCGTTTACGAAGCGATGATGGCAGAGCGCCCCGCACACAACTAAAGGTTGTACACTTTGGATGACTTTTGATTTGTTGATTGAAGGATGTACGCTGGACGTTTTCATTCTTGAACTTGAAGCAAAAAGGACAAAACTGGATGCTAGGCTCGTGCCACTGGCACAGAAAAACTTTGGCGTTTGCTGCCTCGCTTCTTCACGGATAATGGCTTCCTCGCTTGACGATTGATGAGTTCCTTTCTATTTTTACGGTGCAGGGGGAGGTTATGGGATTATGGTGTAAGGTGCACACCCAATGTAGCTGTAGGTTAGCTTATCAAGTATGGACATAATCGAGCTTGAGTTTGCTGCACAAGTTACAATTACCCGCATTGCGAAGGACATTACTTCTGGCGCATCGACGCCCTCCAATCCTAAGTATCAAGCTCTGCTCTTCAGCACTTAAGACGACTAGAAATTCGTTTCGCGAATACCCGAGCCTGAGGTATGAATGAGCTTGATCAAGCGGTCTCCCAAACTGGACTTGGATATGTATAAGTCAATACCTGGTCTTTCCAGGATACTTTGTTTTATCCGCAGCTTTCCGCGCCACTTATCTTTCGATTTGATATTTTCAAGATACGTATTCTAAATTACACCAGAGATGCCGCACCTATCGACTATCTATCATGTTTGTTACACATTAGTGTGTAGGGGTAATTAGGTAGGTTCTTCCCAAGGTAGGTATCGCTGGAACCAAAAGGAACCACGTGATCTGCATTTCTCACTTGGCTTGCAGCTGACAGTTCTCGCAGCCTTATCACAACGTCAGAAGTTATTTCTTGTCGTAGCATCGACGAATCATTATCGATGACAGTGTATGCATGGTGTATTTGACATGGCTAATCTCCCCGATGGCGCGCCATTTGAAGCTCAGATGTCAGGGGCTTTGCTTGATCATGAGGGGGATGAAGTTTGTAGGTTTCAAAGATTCTGTGAGGATAGACTTGCTGACGGCCACAGTCTTAACTCAAATCAATCAGGAACTCGTCGCCCAGGAGCGGCGCGTACAGCCTGTTGAACAAGATTCTACATTACTGTCTCCTCGGGAAGACCCTGAGCCTTCCAGTGCAGCTGAACCCGGCCAGAGCTCGCCGCAGGAAGCTTTCTCACAAGACCATACAAGAGTTCTTTCGGATGCCCTGCCAAAATTATCTTCCAGTCCCGAAGTGACAGCTAATACAGCGAATCCATCCCATCCTCCCGAGACAGTGTATTCCGGTGCTGGACCACGACCCAACGTTCTGGCTCAACAAAGCAACTCTAGACTTTCACCTTCACCGCCGCCTCTGCCTCCACCACAATCTAATAGCCAACCTGTCTCGCGACAGCATGGCAGGATCCTGACCCAGCCTAGTGGCTCTGTACGTCCTCCGCCACCCAGAGATATAGAAATAATAGAGCAGAAGGATATTTTCTTCAATGATTCAGCAGACTACCGGATCAACATAAATTACGAGCGTATGGTACGGCGTGCAACGGTGATCTCTGACAGGTTGAAAACAGGGCGGTTCCGTAACCATGTTCGCCTTGACCGCGGAAGGATCGCGATTGTTGACTATGCATCCTCCGAAGAGATCCGGCATCAGGAATGGGAGGAGAACAAGAGTCTTCATCCTGGGTCGCCTTTCCCTTTCTCCGGCTTTCTGAGAGGTAATGCTCATGATGTAACACGCCGCCTCATTATCATTGAAGATCTCTTTCCTTCTATAATCACCTTTCTCGTTGGTAGGTTTGGCATATCTCCAGAATTCTTTGGTGAGTCAGTTTTCGTTACGGTGTAGTGCGCAACAACTGTCTGTCTTGCCTGATTTTATCAGTATGGCAATTTCCTTCGGGTCCTGCTGGGCTGCACCAACCTTTCTTGCTGACCATAATCCTTGGAGTACAGAGGAACATTTAAACAACTCTGGCTATGGTGGCGAAGGCTTCAACGACAAAAGTCCCAAGACCTGGAAGACCGCCGGCATGAGGAAATCCTATGTGTCAATGAAATGGTACCGGCCGGCCTGGAGACTGTCCATGCCACCTTTCTCCCAGAAGCAACTGGATGACTTGTTGGACCCTGATGTTGGAATCCTAAACTTCCCTCGCGGAAAATGGAGAGCCACGACATTCGAAATGAATTCTAATATTTTCCGGCAGGCGTGGGACTTGCGGACAGATCCGAGATCAACAAATCGTGAGAAGCGCATGTGTGGGCTTGAAGAGCGTGCTTCTGTGTGGAAAGGCAAGATGCCTGGCACCAAATGTGAACTTGGTGAGTGTTCAAATACCCAGAGCCATGAAAGTGCTCTCCTAAGTTATTTTGTTACAGTCGTTTTATTACTTGATCCATTACCAGCTCTCAAGGAGTTTTCCATTCGCTACTATTGGCCCAAACAACCAACTCGACGCCAAGGCGGTGGTTCGAATGAGACACAGACAAGCGACAGCCACTCACTACTGACGGACATGGAATCCGGTGATACTTCCGCTTCTCAGACAACTTACTCCGATGAATCGTCTATAAGTGTCTCCAAACGCCACACTGAGTCCACAGGATGGCTAAGAATTCTACCTGATTGGCTTCTCAAACTATTCAAGCTGGATGAGTCTCAATCACATGCTCGTATAGAAAGTATCGCCACCCCCAAACCAATACGGCCAGTAATTGAGCACATTGGCTCTCGGGTCCCATTGGAGAATACAATGGAAGAATCACTACTGTCCCAAGGTTTGGCGGACGCATTACGAAATAAGCTATACGATACGAGCCCCACATTCACGACATTCAGTGAATATTTTGATGCTGGCGCAAGCATGGATCACAGTTGGCCTTTTGGTCCGTTGACGCCGCTCTATGAAATCGTCTGGAGAGACGTCGAGGGGCTCTTGAAGATCATACAGGATATTCTCGACGGCATAGATAATGATATTCTGGATGATGACAAGATGGAAGACCGCTTGGTGATCTGGAGACAGATTCTTACACGTGCTCAGCTTGAATTACCTCAACTGAAGAAATCAATGCTGCAATTCTTCACTTTTATTTTTCTAGAGGACCATACGCTTGATCGCGAGAACCAGCTGGACGCATCCGTCACCAATACTGGTATGCAGAGTTGTCTAGACGCAATCGACGAGATGATAGTTAGGCTTCAGAGTGTTTCATCATCCTTAACATCCAACATGGCGCTCCTCGACAGCCGGCGATCCATAGCAGAAGCCAAAAGTATTACTCGCCTGACGGAGTTGGCCTTCTTGTTCATACCTCTAACATTCGCGGCAACAATCTTTGGCATGGAGATCGAACCGTTCAAGGATCCAGTACCATTATCAACGTTCATAATCCTCGCCGTCACACTCAGCGGCTTCTCATATGCAGCAAGACTGGTAATTCGAAGCTCATGGGTCATTCGAGTCAAATACTCATCAAAAGAAAGCATCAAGCGATTTGCTGATCGACAGCAGCATCCAGTGCAAGGCGGGTATATACCGACCACTCTTGCTCTTCAATGGCTATACTATTTGATCCTGTATCACTTCAAGTCCGCAATTTCCGTTACTGCGAGCTTCCTGGTCCTTGTAGTAGTCGCGCCCTTTTCGCTCGCATGGAGATTACTGACCCCTTTCGAAATCATACTCAAGCCACTGACATACGTCGGACTGATTTGTGTATTACCACTGTCAATTCTCTGGACTCGCGATCTGAACCATGATATCCAAGTTGCCTTGACTGTCGCAAGCGTCTCCTCGGTTTCGATTCTCGTCTGTGTATCTTTCTGGAGATCGAGTGACCCTGACACCCGGAGAGCTCTCCCGAATCTATTGAAGAGGGAATATCAGCTATTCAAAGACGGAGACTCTGTTCTATTCAAAATTGTCTCATGGGTTGGGAGTGCAGCAGTGTTCCTTGTTCCGATAGCGTTGCTCTGGTCCAGACCGACAACTTCCGGTATCAGAGGTGCATTGATGGCTGGATTGGGCTTAATATTTTTGGCAATCTGCGCTGGATATGGGATCTTCAGGCTTCTTTACGTGGCTCGGACAGGGAGTTTTAGTGATTTTGACAGCGAAAGTGGCAGCGAAGTTGATGAAAACGAGAGCGACACGTAGAACATATGGAATGTAAATGACGAAGATGTGGTAATTTAATTCTTATTCTTTCTCTGTGCCAGACAATCAGGCGGACTGGTATTCAAATTATAGCTTACAATAAAATATCAAAAAGTAAAAATCTGCATTATTGACTCTTTCATTGTTGGCACCTGCTCTTCGCCTAAACACGAGGCCGGCTGATTTGAATTACTAAAGTAACGGAAATTTTCGAGAGGCAATGTAACCAAGATATCTGGATATATAAACCCCCTTCACATCTCGTCATCTAGGAATCTCAACGTCTCAATCGTCGACCGCCCTCATGAGATTGCTAATTGACAAAGCCAACATCAGTAGTCCAATAGTTGCAAGAACATAAAGCAATTCTCCTCCCCAGCCAATGACCATGGAAGTTGTGCCGACCTTCGCTCTCACAGTACCGTACGATAATGACTCCACCAAAGCCGACCCTGCAGCGCCAGCGACGTGTTGAAGCATGACAGAAATGAAGCAAAAGAGTGCCCCAAGTATGAGAGCTCCAAGAGCTAATTTAATGACAGGTCGGGAAGGAAACGGCTTGACCTCTCGCTCTGATCCCTCGTCGTCGACCTCTTCATGCCATCCGGGAAAGGTGGCGAGCAGAAGAATCGTGAGAAAACCGAGTGGGATTGCAGTTAGCCTGGAATCTCTTGTCAGAACAGTTCTGTGAAGGTCCTGTACCGGCTTTGGGATGAGAACAGGCAGACGGGGAAGATCTTACAGCAAGCCGGAGAACAAGACTTCATCCTTAAACTTCCCCGCTATCCAAATTAAGTTGAGAGGATCTTGCTCACCACTCCTCACACCCCCATACAGCTTTATTAGACTAGAAAGTGTCCGCGCATTACTTGAGCACATCCACTGCGAGTCAACCTGTGAGATGCAAATCCCGAGGTAGCTAACCCTGACTGTGAGGCTGCTATGGGTGGATGCGATATTTGAGAAGGTGCTGCTGATGTTCCCATTGAGCTGAACTGGGGAGGGTGACGATGATATTTTCGCTGTTGGAACATATGATAGAGACAAGATGTAGACATTATGAAGGTTATTCGATGTCGTACATCCAGCTACCATGACCGCTGTGAAGACGTGTTACCCACTTGTGAAGATTTGACTTGGATCTTTGTATGAGGCAAAACCATTACTTACACAAGAACACAATTCCAATCATCAGCAGTATCATAAGCACGTGGTGATAGCCTAAGAACGGAACGAGTCCTGTAATGCGATGTCAACCTGGAGGCCATCCTTGACGTGGGCTGCCTTGACGATGTGCCGAGGACAGAATAACTTACTCATCCAACCTATGTGCAATTTAGCCGCCATGTCTGGATATATATGTACTTCAAATCTGCTACTAGCTGTTATTGTGATTGGAATTATTCACGCAAAGTGCAAACGACAACGATTTGCACGAGGCTGAGGCTCTGCCATTTCAAATATTCTCACGTTCAGCTGCAGAATTACCTAAGCATAATGTGGTACAAGCCTGAAGGGTGCATCTAGACCACGTAGCACGTACGAAGTTCTGGATATTGAGATCCCGAACATCACTCATTTCACTCATGCAGTTTTGGTTTCTAAATGATGCATCCTGGTCGAAGTCGTGTAAATATGGTGTGGTCTGTGCACTAGCTTCCGTCTCGAAATGAAGCTATTCCCACGCGTCTCTCGGGCTAGCTGTAAACAAAGCATTGACGACGCGACGACCTCAGGAAACACCAAGAGCATGGCAAGGACATCTGCGAGAAAGAAATTTACACCGAGGAAAGCCGGCGAAACGGCTCCAGCCGTCACCACAAGCGCTAAGTTGCGCAAGAAATCTGGATTTACCCATCTACATCGACGATGATGATACAGCTCCACCAGAAACAGGACTCGGCTCATCTTCCAAGAAAGACAAGCCCCTTGCGAGCTCTAGTGACTATGGAGGATCCAGCGACAATGAGGATCTGGTTGCTGCGGCTGCCCAGGTGGAATTGATGCGGTCGTGGGTGGATTGCGGGATACAAATGGCGACAAAGGAGATGGAAGCCGAGAGACTTGGTGGAAGGTAAGGACAGCTGCTCATCTGTTACGCAAGAGTTCACTGACTCTCGCAGACTCGGTGAAGAGGATTGCGATCCAAACCGCGCTACGAGCGGAAGTTCTCAAGCCCCAATGCCGCAATCAATCCAACCTCCCCGAACCCCGATCACCCAGATATATCGACACAATACGGGCTATGCAACCCCTTTACAAAGCGAAATATCGCATTCTCAATACTACAACGGTGTGCCACAGTACCAGTCAATGGGCACTCTACAAACATACCCAGCCGCTTCCATCCTACCTTACTCACAGACATACCCTACGCCACAACACAAAATAGCATATGCCCCTCCTATCCATCTAACCCCACATAATTCTCTACCCCCGACCTACTACGCTACCCCACCAACGTCCCAGCCACCATTTTTGCAAAACCCAGCCTTCTGTAGCTCCTCAGCTCCTCCTCAGTCGAGCCCAACTCCTCAGCCTTATGCAGGAGCAGCCTTCCATACAGACTCGATATCTCAGTCATCTGGATTCGCGCCCCCGAATCGACAACCACTTAATCCTGCTTCTACCAATATTCAAACCCCCACTTCCGATCCCAAGAGTAGATTAAGAGAGCGGCCTTTCGTTCTTCCTCCAGGCCAATATCTGTCTTGGCATGAACTAGAACAGTACTATGGACCAGCGCGACAGAACTTCCCACATGACGATGCCTACAAATCAGCGCGGCTTGACTGGGTCCAGAAGATCAAAATAAACGAGCCCCCTTTCAATCATCCATGGATTGCAGAATACAAGAAACAAGAGGTGGAGGATACCTGGGCAGGAATACCAGCAACGAAACGGAACCATATTGAAATGCTCGCTCTGGCATCTAAATACCGGACTATGGTCCAGGCTCCCTGCCGAGAAGTTCCCGCTTATGCTCTCCCACTTTCTTTCATGGCTCTCGAAGCCCAGTACTTCAGTATCCCTGAGAGAAAACTGGCCAGCGACGTAGACACTATACGAAAAAGATCGACCTGGCTCACGGACCTTGGTCTCTTCGAACCCATCTACTACCTTCTGTGTTCTAACCACGAACAAGAACTTTTCCTTGAAAATACGTATAACAAACTGTCCGTCGTGAAGCGAAGGGCTATCGAAGCAAAAGCCAAGTATTTAAACGTGATGCTCAATCCTCCCAAACCGCTCTTCAAAGAATTCGAAGAGCAGTATTCGATCCACAAGGAAGAAGACTTCGGACGGAAGCCCGAGCACAAAACCAAGCGTGGCGACTGGCTTCGAGCAATAGGACTGGACTTTGAGCCCTTCTGCTGGTATCCTTACACCACGACCGAATTCGGCGTTGCGCAGTCCGAGAGAACAGAAGTCGCTTGGAACGATCTCGGGCTCGCAAAACGTCGAGAACTGGAATCTAAAGCAGCGGAATACAAAAGCTCTCAAACATGGGGTTTATCCTGGGGTCAGATAGAAGACAGAATCGGGTTCACGCCTGGCGATGGCGAGAAGTGGACGCGATGGCTAGCGGCTATTGGTATGGGTAGAGCCTTGAAATCCAACGAGACTCGCGATGGTGTTTGGCAGATGAAATTGCGGGCTGATAGACAGGCTATCTATCGGCTGGCTGCTGTTCAGAAGAAAGAAATTCAGGCTAGGTGGGAAGCGAGGCAGGTGGTGCAGGCGCGGGCGCAGGCTCAGGCGAGCAAGCAGTCAAAGGTGAAGGCAAAGGCGGGTACGAAGCCTGCTAAGGTTTCGAAGGTGGGGAAGAGCAGTAGATTTCCCCGTGGAGGATATGCAAGTTATTCTGAACCGAATTGGTTATACAGTCGAAGTCGGAGGCGACGCTGATTCGATGTTTTGGATTGTATTTGTATATTCATCCTCCGTGTTTGGAAGGTTCCGGTTCTTGGATATGATTGAAGTTTGATTGGACAGACGAGACATATGCTCAAGCATCAAATGTGTTTTTGTTCTCTTGACATAGTCCATTTTATATCCTCTACTAGTTGAGCTGTATCATACCATACCATTACAATACTGTGCAGTCCGTGCTGGAATCCAGACTATGAGCGAGGCGACATTCGCTTGCTTACTTGCTACCAGGTTGGCAGGGAACGATCAGTTAACAATGGCTCTACATCTGACCATGTTTTCTCTATGCACCCAACGGTATTTTAACAGCCCAAGAGCCTCTCCACCCATCATATGCAATCAATCGGCAGAAACGAAGTTCCACTCAACATGCACAATAAATCCATACGACCAATCCCCCTCACATAACATAAACCCCCATTTCCCTTTTCCCTCTTGGACGAGTAAGTTACGAAACCTGGACCTTGTAAGATGGAATTGAAGTAAAAATTACGTGCGGCATTGCGGTGTTCCCTCAGCGTGGTATACTTTAAATACGCTAGTCGCGGATGCGATATGCAACAAAACAAAGATAAGCGAAGCACGTGAAGCTAAGTAAATGTGGGTCCTTCACCGAAAGGGCGGCCGGGGGGGCTCGGGGGTTTTTGACGGCAGGGAGGAGGAATAAGCGACAGATGGGAGGTAAATAATGTACGCGAGGAGTTGATTATTTTATTTAGACTTACTCGATCTGTAACGACTGGGCTAGATCTGCGTGGAAATGGAGCTCCAAGCGGTATCACGAGCAGATTTCTGGCATCGGCCACAGCTTGTGCTTGCCAACTGATTTGTTTCGTCCTTGAATCTGTTCCGTTCGTGGCTTGTTGTCATTTTTTCTTGCTCGTGCCTAGATAGCTAGAGTGACAGCTAGCAAAATTCAGAGTATGCAAATTGTGTCTTGCGCGCTCCAAGTCCAATACAAAGATAGGGAAGGAAAAGTGATTGGTTGACAGTCCATCCATTCAATCAAAGTTAATCCATCCAAAACGCCAGCGCTTGCGCTCCCTTGACTCCAAGAAGCATGTCCAGACGCAAAACCAGCTAACCAGGATATCGTATACATTTTGCAATCGTTTTTCTCGTTTCCTTTTCTTTTCCCGCCTAATCTCCCCAGGCCGTTCTTTCCCTTCGAAGTAGCACAATTACAACTCCTCCCTCTCTACCTGTCCCTGCTCATCCTCATCCCCAAACTTATATTTATCCCTTCCCCAATCCAGTGGATCGCCACCAGGGACACAGAGGCCCAATCTCCAGAAATAATCTCTGTGGGCGAAGAAGAGCTGCCACATCTTATAGCGAGCCGGTATAGGAATCCCCCATCTCTTTTCGATTCCCACCTCTTCATTACTGCTCTTTGAGTCCAATTCCACGTCGCCATCAGCATCATTATACACCTCAACTGCATCATTTGCACCTTCATGCTTGAACCACGACTCCTCAACCTCCGCACTAGAAATACACTCTGTATCCTCATCTCCGTAACACAAGCGAATGTCATCCACAGTAGGTTGCAACGACGCTTTCGCGATAAAATGCTCCCCAGCATGTGAGCGATATCCCCATTCCTGGAGCGGCAGAAGCGGGACCGGATCATCGACGTGCGTGACTCTTCTATACCGGCCACTTTTCAGCTCTCCCTTCTTCGAATGCGAATCATGCTCAGATGGTAATTTGAATGCCACATCGATGTAATTCCGCAGTCCATTATTGCCGACTTTCGGCTCGCCGAATGTGGTGACTATTGGTTTCAAGCCCATGGAATTGAACTCCAGGCCAGCGAGCGCGGCAACTGCGCCGCCTAGTGAGTGCCCTACCAGATCCAGTCTGTAGTCGGGGTATTTCTCGTGTAGGAGCTTAATGTACGGGAGGATGAACGGGCGAGTGTTTTGCCAGGAAGTCCAGAATCCAGTATGCACTGTGCAATTCGTGCATTTCACCTCCTCATGCTTGTCCTCCACCTTAAAATCCTCCTCCTTCACAGCGCTCTGTCTCCCCCTCCAACGCCCAGGAAGCAAATCCCTCCACGAAAACCTATGCCTCTCACCCTGCCTCCCCAACTCCGGCCGCCGCTGATGCTGATGCTCATGCGACTCACTCGAATTATCCGGACTATCAGGATACGGGACGTATTCCTGGGGCACCGTACTCAAATCCACAATCGTATTCGCAATACTATACGTGCCCCTAAACGCCACCAATATCCTTCCCTTGCCTGGCCTCCCCGTCCCATGATCCAGCACAATATACCCACAGCTATCGCTCATGAGCGGGCCCGTGTTGAACGTATCGACGAGTTCGAAGGACGGGAACTCGTCGCAGCGGCTGGCGCAGGAGAAGGGCTTGGAGATACCGGTTGTGCCGACGCAGTAGGAGATGTCGACTATGCGGGCGAGCTCTTCGAGTTCGGCGAAGAGGGAGATGGAGATGTTGGACGGGTGGGTGCTGGGTTCGTTGGGTGTGGGGATTGGGGAGGGGTGTGCGGTGGTTAGAGGGAGGGTTGCGATGCTCGCGAGGAGAGTGGTGGTGATGCTTGGATATAGCATCTTGAGGAGGTCCGTCACATAGTCGTTGTGTTTGTTCTCTGTTGAAAGAGAGAGAGAGAGAGAGAGGGGGGGCGGTTGAGAGTTGAGGTGGTGTTGTTGAAGGAGGCTTGGGTTTTGTGCATCATCGTGCAGCCACAAGTGGGACAGCCTCTAACCGCAATCAGACGAACAGTTACTGTGTGACTTGCCCCAGTCAGAAGGACATGCCGCCAAAGTTCCAACTTCGTGCCATTGAAGAAACTGTCTTACTTATTCTCCATCTTTCGGTGAATGTTATTGAAGCCTATTCTCAACTTTTAGTTTGGCAGCAATGAAAAATGATGAGCCATATAGCGTCACGTGATATACTAACCCTCATCCAGGTGCATTCTTCGGGCTCAGTCCACCGCACAATCCGCTTCTCAGGTCTTATATAAAGTGTATTACTACTTTAGATCACTGTCATACAGTGTATTACTCCTCCACCAAGGCTAATAGATACAGCCGCCACTCTTCTTCATCATGGCGCACTCATTTCAATCATTCCCGGTCCCTTTTCCCTTCTTTATCCCTTCGAACGCCAGGGTTTATGAACCAACCCACCCAAGAATACACTCCAAATACCATGTATTTTCGCATCCGATCCCAGTCGCAGACCAACTCCTAAACCTGAGCGCCAGATACCCCAAAACGCTAAGATGCATTCGCTATGAGCAGACCTGTGCCCTAACTCCAGAAAGATAGTACAAAGGAAAAAGTAGCGAAACTGCACATCTCAACTCATCCCATGTCATCTCTTGTAATATCATCCAATCCCTCTTGTCTAGCAACATTTATCAAAATGTTCCACGATCAGGCGCTCGATATCAAACACCTTGTAAGGCTTTGCAAGGAATCCTTGCATGCCTGCCACCTTCGCTCGATCGACCGAATCCTCAGTGATATCCGCTGTCACGGCGATGATCTTGGTGGGCAGTCCGCGTTGCTGTGATAAGTTCATAATTTGTGTCGTCGCACCGTAACCATCGAGGTTCGGCATCCATATATCCATCAATATCACATGGAACCTCTCTGCCTGTGGCTTGTCCAGCGAGGCCTCGTAATGCTTGACTGCCTCGGCGCCGTCGAATGCCAACGTAATGTTATTCTTGCTGTAACCGAGCTTCTTCAGAGAACCGACAGCAACGTCACGGTTGATAGCATTGTCTTCGGCGATCAGTATGTTCAGTGGATAGTCCTGGGCAAGGTTCGGATTGAAGGCAACTCGTTTACCCGTTGATTTTGCCCGCTTCTGTTCGGGTTCAGACTGTGCGGAAACGGGTCTCGAGTCCATAGAGGACTCAGGAAGGGGCGACAGTCGAGGAGAGTCAAATCCACCTGGCGGTGGGGTACCGACGAGAGGAGTATCGGTCTTGCCAGTCTCTAGTGCTGAGATTGGTAACCTGATCAGGAACTCCGAGCCTTTATGTGGCCCGTGAGTGCACGACCGCTCCAATGTTACATCGCCGCCAAGGTTCTTTCGCACATGAGCCTTCGCATTGAAAAGACTCAGCCCAAGACCATCTCTTGATCGGCTGATAGATGCGTCTTCCTGGAAGTGAGGTTTGAACAGACTCGACTTCGACTCCTCCGATATGCCACACCCTGTATCGACAACCCAGATCTCAACTACCTGCAGACTTCTTGCGATCTTGACTGTGATGCTAATCGTGCCATGCTCGGTAAATTTGATGGCATTGTCAACGAGCTTCTGCAGCGCGAATTGCAGATGTTGTTCTTCGGTTATGATAACTTCTGGCACATCTGATCCGATCTCCAAGTGTATCGTCCTGTCTTGAGGTTCGCCATTCGATCCTGTAGATATAATGTGGATATGCTCTCCTAGATCCGTCTCTTCATGAACCTCGCTGGTAGTACGACCATTTCGTAATGCTTCGTTCACAAGGCTCCGCATGAACTCGCGTGTGATAACACGACGATGGGTCGGACTCAGGACTGCTGAAGTGATATGCTTCTGCTCAGGTGAATGAGGGGCGCTCAAGGATACTGATGATGCCATCGTGGACATTGAGGTTTCAGTGCTTGAGGTTGTCCTGCTTGTCGATGGGCTTGAGGCAGTGATAGTTTGACCCGCACAGTATGAATTGATGATTTCGGCTTCTGTGACTGTTAATCTCCGCTTGAGGGGAGGGCCAGGCTCGAAGTTTAGTTCTTCGATCCGCTTCCGTTTCATGACAATTGGGATCGAATCAGAACCGGACCATCGTCGATGAAATAATGAGGGCCCGGATGTTCCTTTGAATGAATTCGTCAAGTCATTTGCAGACAATGGTGTCTCGGGCATTTGCATGTTAAGGTCATAAGCATGAACAACATTGTCAGCTGCCTCTACTGCTCGTCGGGAACTCTCTGTTTAGGTGATCAGTATCTCGTCCATCTGCACATATGGTAGCTATCGTACCTTGAACAACCTCAATGTGAGTTTTGAGATCCGCGAAAACGGATCGCACTCGCTCGCTTTGCTGATGTTCCATGGCATCGAGGACGGTCGAATACATGATGTCCAACATACCAACGACTCCTTGCATAGGCGTTCTCAATTCGTGCGAGAGGCTCCGAGCATACGGCTTTAAGGACTGAGTGGCAGTGATAGCCGTGAGTGGGATGACCTTTGCGGAAGCCGAGTCGGTAGGTGCCATCTCCTTGACGAACCCTCTTCCTTCTAGTAGTCGTTGCAATATCATATCTTCGAGAGAATGTAAGAACATCTCAATGAACGGCCACCCTAGTTTCCTCTTGGTAGCACCTTCAGAAGACCAAACCACGCCAAAGTGGGCGAAGCACCTTCCTTCCGTGAAGAGGGGCACTCCGATGTAAGCCTCTTCATGGAATCCAAAGCTGTTGGGATTGTTGGGCGTAAATTCTGACAGTCGCTCAGGAACGATGAAAACCTACAAGCCGATCTCAAAGTCAGTATTCTGTTCTGGAACAACTGGCACAAAAATGCTCATATATCGTGGACAACACACAACTCTTGAGTTGCCAGTCTTCCAGAAGGATGAAAAGGGGGCTCCTACCTTGTCATGGCGCATGTGGGCACACGGAGTCCCAAAGGCATGGTACCGGTAGTCCCGAAACATTTGCTTCGGATCCTTCCCATTGTTGAGATAAAAGGCGACTCCCATCAGACATGATCCAGGCTCGCCTAGCTCGGGCATCTCAATCGCACTATCTTGGTCATCCACAAGCATCCGTTTGGCGACATATGCAGACTGGGCCCCAAGGATATCACAAATTTCCTCCATCAGGATACCCCAAAAGTCATGTGTCGAAGCGCTCTTCAGCTGTGATTTCAGCTCCATCAACCTCTCTGTAACGTTGCTCTCTCCAGATGGGAAGTATTGCCGGAGCGCAGCCTTGAAACCATCATCCCCATGGTGGAGTACGGTATTGTTTGCGTAGTCGGGTACACATAACGAGGCTCGTTCGATGAGGCTGTCTATTGGCGGTTCTTGAGTGTCCCCATCTTCCACGTCCGTCTCCATCGCCCCCTCTTCAGTCTGTCTGACGCAGGATCCCTTTATATCCTTCTCCAAGCGGCCTCTTGCTCGTTGCCGTAACGGTCGATATGTCCGGGGCCCACAAGGTCGGGCTTCGAAAGCGTTCGGGAGGGAGGATATCTCGTGCATTTGCATCCCACGATCCTCCGCTGTTGGTAGAAATGCATACAGTGTTGGACAATGCTTCCACCCAGACACGAGATTGGATAATAAACCAGTGAATTCTGGTTCAGCAACCAGCAGAAAGGAAGTCGTCTGGTCCTCAGATTAATTCTTCGTTCCTGAAAGCGGCACCCTTGAATCCTCCACAAATGTCGTCGTTCTTGTGTGCGTCCAGTATCCCGTTCCCGACTCGATCCTAACGAGGTTTGCGAGCACAGTAGGTTTGGAGACAGTGTAGACGTTGGTGGTGAGAGGTGGGCGGGTCAGGGAGGACAGTCACGGAAGGCTACAACCTAGAAGCTGTGATTAATGACGGGGTCTGGACTCGTCGACGTAAAGACGGAGAGAAGTTCGCAAGACATAGGGTATTAGCATGCCGGGGCTGCGGGCTGCGGGCTGCGGGCTGCGGGCTTCAGACTCTCTTTTGGTGGGGACTATGTTGATTCCAGGCTTAGGCTTAGGGGGGCATCTCGGGCATGAGATGAGGGCGAGGGCGAGGGCGAGAGGAGCTCTTGGTGAGGCTGCTGTAGCGTACTCGTAGCGTTATCCTCTCCTGGCATGGCCTCGCAGTAAAGTCAAAAGGCTTCCTCAGTTCTGGAATCCGAACCCGATCTACCTAGGTAGGTAGGTAGTGCTGTGTTGCGGGTAGTGCTTTGCTTTGCTGTGCTGCGCTGCGCTGCGCTGTGGACCTGCGGTGGTGGTGTCTGGCTGGATAGAAGCCGTCGGTCGGGCGTGGTGACACTGGTGGGCTTGGCTTGGGCCTTGGGCCTTGGGCCTGGACGACCACAGTGGGCCGATCTAGAACCGCAGATCCAGCAAGGAATCGAAGTCCTGCCGGGCCAGGCCTTGCCAGAAGCAGAGTAGGGCGGGTCGGTGCTCTTGGGTGCCTGACTGGAGTCACTGGACGCCGGGACTGATTGGTGCTGTCCCCGCTAAAGGCTGCAGGCATCATGCGGAGAGATGCCCTGTAAGTGTTCTGGAGCGGGCCATTTGACAGCCGTCTATCAGCCGCTAAGCTGATGCGGGTCAGCGTGCAATTGCACCTTGCACACCTTGCAAGTTGCACCACCGACACCACTTCCCTTGATCCAAATCCTCCAGCCCCTCCATGAGCCCGCCCATCTTGCTCGTACAGTTTTGCCCAGCAGCTCAGTTTCCGTCAGTGACTCTTCCTGCACGAGTCACGACCGTGCTGAAATGATTGATTGATTGATTTATGCAATTATGATGAGACAGCCGCCAGAGATATATAATGTCATCTCACATCTTGTTTCTTTGTTTTCCATCGACGCGGGGTGAGTTTCAATAAAGTCCTGGACTTTGGCGAACCTGGCATACTTTTGATTGCGATTCGTAATGCCGGGAGATCATCCTGTTCGAGTACCGACAACCTGGCTATGGATCTATCCACCGTCATGAGATGATGAGAGTCGTCCTGTGCTGCGGGTACCAGTCCAGTATCTTGATCTGGTAGAGTACAGCAAATATTATCCGCAGGCTGGCCTGGATAGTGAAACAGCATGACAGCATCATCTCTCTTCACTTGGGCTATTGGAAATACCTTGGCTCCTTCAGCAAGATGCTCCCGACGTTACGTTACTCGCACCAAGCCAATGGATCTTGGTAATGGTGCCGGCAATAAGATATTCCATTTCCATTTCCACGTCTTGGAGGCACGAATCAGGACAAAGTCAATCCCTCTTTTCATGCCAAACTTGTGGCTTTTCTAAAGTTCAGGCACTAGTCCGATCTACCGCAATGGCAGTCTCCTCGATGTGAGTCTGTAACTCCAAGACACGCATCGTAAGGTTGTACGGACCGAAAAGTACATGCACCTCTTCGGAGCACTCACTGGAGGCTAATCCTAAACCTCCAGGCCGAGGGCGCCACCAGTCTCACCCGTGATTTCTACGAGCAAAACTGCCCAGAGATCTCCTGATGACCTCTCACATGCTTCGGCGCAACGTCCGTGAAGACAATCATTAGGGTTTTAATGTCGAAAGCCACAATGGTGCAAGTGCCGTTCCATCCGAACGTCATTTGTTAGCGGTTCTCGCGTAATTTGCAGGTCGAGAACTCTCTGTCCAATGGAAAGACGATCAGTTCTTCAACTGTCTCCGTCATGTTATTCAGTGAGACAACTTCAGACTATTGTACCAATTAGAATGCGCATGCGGATGCGGATCCAGTCCCCGGAATAAGATAGACGCAATTCACTTCCCCTCTTTACATAACCCTATTTTCTTTGACAGCTTGGATTCCTCACCATCTTTTGAGCTCGGTTAGACGAAATCATCGAAATTCCGCAATACCTCCTAGGTACTGACTCTGAAATGGAGCCCTCTGTCCAATTTCTGCAACAGGTTGACAGCTTTTCAAAACGATGAAATGATTCCCAAGAGCGTCCAAGGCAAATGCTGACTTCGCATCTGAAATGTCTCAGAAAGCTCATCCTTCAAAATCCCGCCGGCGAATCATTGGAGCCTCTTTTCAGTACTGGGCTTAACTCTTGATCTTAGATCCTTGGCCTTGGGGGAGCTAAGCTGCTGGAGCTTTCAAAGACTCAAGTGACATGTATGCGTTTTAGGACTGAGATGGCGTGATGGTTTCAGGATCATCGCTGAAGGTGGTGAATTTGACTTTGCATTCTCGGGCATATTCCCGTGAAACCAGAAGCATAAGTTCCTGATTATTGACTCTACGTTCAGTTGATCGGCGAAGAAGCAATATGCCTTGCCTCTTGGGCGGGAGACAGGGAGCTGGCTCAGCCCTATCATAATTCGAACCATGACTTGCAAATATTTGGACAAAATTCATACAAATCGATAACATGACTCCCAGGCAAAATGGTTCAAGTCTTCTAGTATCTGAATACCCGAAACAACATGACTCTAAGCAATCTGGAATTATAAGAATGTTCGAAAGTGAATTTCACGTGACTGAATATAAATATCCCTTCAAAGGCGGTGAGGTGTAACGGCAGAACCTCCAAGTTTAAGGTTATTATGACGAAGCTGTCTCACGAAGTCCAAACACATCCCTTCAACGTTTCCAGGCGTGAAGAAATTCAAGATGCGACAAGACATCGACCATAACCAAGACCTAATCTCGAACTCCCCAGTATGTCTATTCGCGTACTCCTGCGCGAATACCCTCACCGGTCCATTGCTCTTGTGACGCCCTCCTACGCCCTCATCTTCCGCCATAGTCCGACAACAAATGATGCCATTGCCAACGGGACCCTGCTTTCGGTACAAGGAACTGGTCGGACGTCGATAGATGGGCAAAATGCTCCACGATGCATGGTCGAATTCGCAGATGTGTCTTCGGTGGATTTGAGCGACTATCGAACATTAAGCCCGCTGCCCATACATGGAACGCTGGGATTGATCACAATCAACAATGATGTATTTCTGTGCGTGGTAACTGGTGCTACAAAGGTGGCATCTGTCAGGCCGGGGGAAACAGTGGAAAAGATATTTGGGGTGGCGTTCTACTGTCTGAATAATGGCGATTACGATAATACATTTGGAGAACATTTGGACCCGTATGCTTCGGAGGGGCAGGATTACGGCCAGAATATAAGTCGAAGAGATCCTTTGGAGCATCCATGTGTGGAACTTCAGAAGCTGCTGGGAAATGGAAGCTTCTATTACAGCACGGACTTCGATGTTACAAACAGGCTGCAGGATAGGTTTGGGTTCTGGAAATCTCCCTTGTTGCTTAATACTCACCTGTAACAGATCCACAGATGCGGCTACCTTCGATATTGACAATCTCGATGACTCTTTTCTTTGGAACTCCTATATGATCAGTCCTTTAGTTAAGTTTAGATCACGGCTTCTACCACAAGAGAGGGATGCATTGGATAGTTCACGGATATTGACATCCGCAATTCGTGGTTTCGTCCTGACAATTACGATACCTTCCTCGTCTGCACCTTTACGGACAACAAGGACTGGACTTCCATCATCGTTGACATTGATATCACGGTTATCGTGCCGAAGAGCCGGAACCAGGTTTAACAGTCGGGGGATAGATGATGACGGAAATGTTGCAAATTTCGTGGAGTCTGAGACCATATACTGGAGTCCTTCTGTAGTTGGACAATCAGATCCTTCAACCTCAGAGAAGCCATCTGGAATTTGCTTCTCGTATGCACAAATCAGGGGTTCAGTGCCGGTCTTCTGGGAGCAGGCAGCAGGTCTTCTCCCAGGTCAGCAGAAGATCACCGTCACTCGGTCACCTGAAGGTACCCAACCGGCATTTGACAAACATTTTGGAGAACTGGAACAGAATTATGGATCAGTTCATGTTGTAAATCTGCTGAGCGAGACGAAACCAGGCGAGGCTGAATTGACAAACCTCTACCGATATGGGGTGAGACACTCTGCCCTCAATCATACAGAAGGACAGAACTCGCACGACCATCAGCTCTTACGAGAAACAGAATTCGATTTCCACGCCGAGACCAAAGGTCCCAATGGATATGAGGCCGCAAGCATGATCCGGAGGTTGATTGAGAATTCTGCAGATGGATTTGCATACTATCTCTCAGAGGAGATCGATGATTCTGCAGAAGACCCACAGGAAAAGTCCCCGCGAAGAATCGTTGTTGTGTTACAGCAAGAAGGAGTCTTTCGCACCAACTGCCTTGACTGCCTGGACAGAACCAACTTAATCCAAACAATCATTTCACAGATGGCTATGGAATCATTCCTTGCTCATCGAGGCGAACGTGCGGCTTCAGATTTCTGGGTGCGACACTCGAGTCTGTGGGCTGACAACGGCGATGCACTTTCACGAATTTATGCCGGAACAGGAGCCCTCAAGTCTTCATTTACGAGACATGGCAAGATGTCAATAGCTGGCGCAATTGCCGATGCGAGGAAAAGTGCAACTAGATTATACATCAACAATTTTGCCGACAAAGGTCGACAAAACACAATCGATGTCTTGCTCGGGAGAATGATGGGGCAGACCCCGGTGCATCTTTTTGATCCTATGAATGACTATGTGACTGCCGAGCTTTCCAAGAGAAGTTCCGAGTTTTCGTCTTCCGAGTCAATCAACATGTAAGTCTTCCCTAGCCTATGAGGTCACCAATGGCTAACATTCGCGTCAGATGGGCTGGAACTTTCAACTTGAATGGCCGCACGACAGGTATTGAGGAAGATCTGTCAGAATGGCTCTGTCCAAACCTCCCAGCATCTCAACAGCACCCCGAGATTGTAGCCGTAGGCTTCCAAGAAATCGTCGAACTCAGTCCTCAGCAAATAATGAACAGTGATCCAACGCGGAAACAGGCATGGGAACGAGCAGTCCGTAAGACGTTAAATCGACATGCCCGTGCTGCTGGGAGTGAGCATTATGTGCTTCTCCGAAGTGGACAACTTGTTGGCGCTGCGCTTTGTATATTTGTCAAGTCGTCCGTTCTCCGTAACATCAAGAATGTTGAAGGCTCTTTCAAGAAAACTGGAATGTCTGGTATGGCGGGAAATAAAGGAGCAGTAGCCATTAGGATGGACTATGCGAACACTCAAATCTGTTTTGTGACGGCACATCTGGCTGCTGGCTTTGCCAACTACGAAGAAAGAAACAGAGACTACAACACGATTCATCATGGTTTGAGATTTCAGCGAAATCGAGGAATCGATAATCATGGTATGTGTGATTGGAGCACATAATCCTTGACCTCGCTAACTTGCCTTAGATAGTGTCATTTGGATCGGCGATTTCAACTACAGAATTGGCCTTGGGGCAGACAAGGTCAAGCAGCTCATTAAAGCTGGTGACCTAGAGACGCTATATGAGAATGATCAGGTACGTTTGACAGGGTGTCTTCGCTGCAATTGCTAACTTCTCGTAGTTAAATCTTCAGATGGTGGCAGGACTCACGTTCCCATACTACTCTGAGGCTAGGATCACTTTCAACCCTACCTACAAATATGATCTTGGAAATGACACTTACGACACTTCGTAAGTTCCCCAGCCTAGCAGTTACAAGATGCGCTCTAACAGCAACAGCGAGAAAGCGAGAATCCCTGCATGGACGGATCGTATCCTTAGGAAGGGTACCAATCTTCGACAGATCAACTACAACACAGCTTCGCTTCGCTTCTCTGATCATCGGCCAGTCTATGCGACCTTCCAATGTACGGTAAGCATAGTTGATGAAGCTCGTCGGGAAGCCCTTAGTCGAGAAATATACGAGAAACGCCGTTACGAAGTCGGTGGAAACACAGCAAGCAACCCGAATGATGAGTCCGATGACGAAGACCTCATCGGGTATGACTCTATCGAACCCGGATTACCACCAGCCAGTTCTGATTCGCGGAAATGGTGGCTAGATAATGGTCAGCCAGCACGCTCCAATGTCCAACCCCAGCAGAAAGGACAAACTCTAAATCCAAACCGTCCATCCAATCCTTATACACCGACTGATGAACCCGATTGGGTCACGGTACCTCGGATGGAGCAAGGTCGACGACAGACTACTTCATCCAATACTCCCCCTCCTCCCAATCCACGACCTTCAACTTCAAACAATACGAACGGTACCCGAAAGTTACCACCGCCATTCAATCCATCTTCATCTGTGTCCAGTGTCACGAGAAGCCTGGCACAAAACTCTATTTCTGACGATGTACCAAAACCGCTACCAAGGATGCAAAGTCAGCAAGCACTCTCAGATCGTCGACTATCAACATCTACCGTGAGCTCTTCAGGAAAGAAAGCGCCACCGCCTGTCGCTCGCAAACCAGTTCACCTCTCAGCATCGCCATCACTGACATCGTCCCCCACACTATCCACCGTATCCGTAGCATCACAATCACGACCAACCTACCCTGTACCAAAACCACGTCAAACAACAGCAGATCACACTGGCTTTGCACCACCTCCACGACGCAATACCGGCGGCATTGGCTCAACGGTTGGGGCTAGCTATGGGAGAAGAGATATCGAGGATAGGAGAGAAGTGATGAGAGATACTGCGACCCCGCCGCCTCCTCCACAGCCGAGGAGAGGAGCGAGGAAGACTCCTGTGAATGGAAATAGTGACGATGAAGGAGCGAGGCCATCGCTTCCGCCTAGAAGGCCGACGGATCTTTTGGCAAACGATGAACCCATGAGCAGTATGCAAGGCTGGGAGGCTCTGAAGCCTAATTGACACGAGGGCGCTCGAGGCATCAGGACTTGAGGGCATTCGCGGCTTTGCAACTCTGCATCAAGCTTAATCATGAGAACATCGAAGCTGTTTACAATCGGCGCCCAGGAGAGGTACAATGAAAGGATACGAACGGGTCATGTCGGTCTTGACGGTCTTGACGATGACATTATGACGGCGTCATGGAGGTGAAAATTCTTTGAGACAAAATTACTTACGATTTAGACATAGAAGTGCAGAGAATACAAACATGACTATACAGCCTGATGTTCCATCTGACGTTTTCTAGACATCCAGAGGACCCTCTCCCGCCCTTTGCGCGCTGTGCGGCTGTCAGCATTGAGAATGCCCTTTTTGCTCTGTAAGGCTCCGGGTGCCTGTGATACGCGAGGTCCGCCCTTTCAACCACTCCACCAACCAGAACCTTGGGTCTCGGTGAGTTCGGCCAACCACATTCAGTATCCTGTTCGCTCTAAATAAAGCCTAGGAAGTATTGCTGATCGGCTACTGCCGGTTGGGTAGTATGTCATCTGAAAAACAGCCCCCATTTTGATGGCCGGGGCCGGATTAGGAGTTTGGATGCAACATTGAGGAAGCACTGTCACAAGGCTGCGTTTACTAACTAAGCTGCACGAACAGTAATGCTCTCACTATGAGTCGATAGGTTTCCCACAGGGCGCCTGTGATGGCTTTGTGGCTTGAAGCTGGATATCCCCCTGCAGAATCACACTATTAGACTACTCGGTGAGGCAGCCTTGCCTGCCGAGTGACTGATAATTGGCTGCCGCTCACAAGCGAGTGTTAGGAGCTCTTCAGATCACCGAGTAACAAATCCGTGGATATTTAACTCATGGTCTTCTCTCCTCAAGTGTTTCTATTTCTCATTACAATTAACTCACTCTCGCTCGCTCTACAGAATCATCGATTGATTCTTCGCTCGATCAATCAGTTGGGTTCTTGCTAGACGAGACGAAGGCACCATGGACCTCCCCAACACCAACGCCAACATTATCCCTAATGCATCTTCAGATCCAAATGTTAATCAATCACCATCTCAGAAGCCAATTATATTTCAATGTCAAGCACGAAATCCAAATCCAAATCCATTCTCAGATCCCTGTTACCCGCAGCCAGACCTCATCTCCGTCTCCCGCAACGGCACCCTCCTCGTAACAAACATCACCAAATACCTCTCCACCCTCCCACACCCCATCGAAATAGTCGAGGAACTCGTCGCCGTCTGCGCCGTAACATCCTCCCTCCTAACCTCCCTCAATAGCACTCTTCTCCGCTTCCCGCACCTCAATCTCTCACTCGCTAAATCCTTCATCGCGCCACTATGTCACGACATCCTCTTCGCCTTCAAGCTCCTCGGCGACCGCGTCCAAGAAGCGAAACGCATGCGTGTGTTCGAGCCCAATGATGTGGGACTCGTGCGTCTCCCGCGCTGTGCGTGGACGCTAGTTCTTGGCACGGAAGCGAAAGTCGCTGCCTTGAGGAGCAGACTGTATGTGGAGAAGTATCGAGTCAGAGTGCTGATTGAGGCTGTTGCTTATGAGGGGTTGAGAGGATTAGAGGGGAAGAGTAGGAGGGAGGAGGATGAGTTGAGGAGTTTGAGGAGGATGTTGCCGCTTGTTGCGGAGAGGTTGGTGGGTGTGCAGAGGGATTATAAGCCTAGGTTGATGAGGCTTAGTGGGTTGGTTGTGGATGAGACGTTGGTTCTTCCTGAGGCTGTGATGAGGACTGCACCGATGAAGAACGTTGTTGTTCCTGCTTTTGCGGCTCCTATGCCAGCTCCTGCTCCTGTTCTTGTTTCAGTTACAGCTCCTATTCCAGTTACTCGACCAAGTGTAGAAATCACTCACGAGAAACCTTGCAGCGAGAAAATGGGTCTCAAGGCAACGATCAGTACCCATTCTCTCGCTTCCACGTCCTCCAGGTTTGTCATTCCCATCTCAACCCGTACAGCAAAATTAATTTTACGCAGCATCACCGTCCACGATGATTCCATTCTTGAAACCTGGCTCCTACGCTGTAATCGCCCAAAGAAAGACCTAAAATCACGCACCTCTATCCTCGGTCTCCCCCTCCTCTCAACACACACCTACAGCACCACAACCCACTACGTCAAGCCCCTCCCCTCCACCCCCTCTGAAACAGCTTCCCTCCTCGCCTCCTGTCACGGCATTCAATCACCGACTGAACACCTCACCACTGTCCGTCGCACCGTCCTGGAAATGGACGACGACGCCCAATGGGAGATCCAGAAACTGATCGAAGCCCGCGAGAAAGCCTGTTCATCCGAGAAAGTAAGTCGCAAATGGATGGTCATCGGTCTCCTCGAGCGGAACCGACGAAAGTTGTCGCCATGCAAAGGAGATAGGAGATGGTGGAGCTTGAAGAAGAAAGAGTGTATCACCGAGTGGGTGTTGGTGTTGAGAGGCGAGACAGCTGATACGGAGAGGAGAGCTGTGCCGGAGAAGCATGAGAATGCTTGGAAGGAGAGGGATAAGCCTGTCAAGGCTGCTGCTCCTTCTCCTCCGCCTCCTCCTCCTCCTGCTGCTGCGGTCGCAGCACCAGCTCAGGTTCAGAGCCTGGTTGCAAATGCACCTGTGGTACAGCAACCACAACAAAGCACGATCCTCCGCCACGTTGAGAACAGGCGCGTCCTGAGCGTGGAAGAAGCAGAATTCAAGATGCGCGAAATCGTCGCTGATCTGTTTATTCAGAATGAAGACTTGGAGACGGATTCTGAAGAAGATGATGATGAAAGCGAGGAGGATGAGAGCGAGATCGAAGATGATGTCCAGAGTGAAGTGGAAGGAGACGATTGAGATCAGATCAGATCCGAATACGTTGATGAGGCCGAGAGGCTTCTTGATGCGATTGCTGGTTGCGAGAGCAACCGGACCATTTACGTTGGATTTATGAGATCCAGACCTTCTTTACTTGCTTTATGACTTCATGATCTTGATGATTCTCGTCCCTCTTTCTCCCTTTCTATGTCTCTCTCGCTCTCGCTCTCTTTCCTCTCTCTAGTTTCAGTCGAGTTTCTGGTGTGTGGGTATAATGGCAATATTTGGTTCTTGTCTTCTCTCGGTGTTGGGATTGGATTTGGCTGAACTTGTAGAAGTCAGTGGGAGGATTTCTGGATTTCCGCATGTTTCTCGTTCTCATTTCCATTTTTTGTTTGAACTTTGAATACGAGTTTCCATTGTAAGTTTCATGTGCGGGAGTAAAAGGGGCGAAGATTAGGTACACATTTTGAGTCATAGCATCATCGGAAAATTTAAATAATAAACAGAATAAAAGAGACAAAGACTTAAGACAGGAGAGAATTTAGTACTTCTGTGGTAATAACAAACGGGTAGCAACCTGGCTCTCTCTTGAATGGTCAGGTTGAAGTCCGGATAAGATTGATCGTAGTATCCACTTTGATGCATTGCATGAGACTCAACATCACGAGGAACCCTATCCACAGCGTCTCATAACCTCGTCATTTCATCAGTTCATTACCCCCTACCTGTCCGCACCTAATGGAAAACACGAGATCTTCAACCCAAGCTTGGAGTATATACCATCCTCCTGTCACACATCGCTGTTCCGTATTACACGCATCCGACGGCGAGGGGCCATATTGCGACGATCCCAAGAGCAGCAAAGCCAATTCCCGACCCTGCCAACAAGCAACTTGACAATACTGTGTTGACCTCAACTGGGATTTGTACCCTGAGCGGATAGATAGCGCTTTTTCTGATACGTGGGTACAAACTACTTTTCGAGGGATCACTGGAGCTGCGGAGAATGGATGCAAGACATGTTCTCTGCTTTTGGAAGGCATTTTAGCTGTTTCGAAATCATCGAATGATAATGCTACTTATGATGGGGAGATACTAGAGAATAGCCATCTGAGAATACATATCAGAAAACAGGGATCTGTGTTGGTGGCTATCCACCAGAAAGTAGATACCGCTACGTCAGCGTGCTAGGTGTAAGTGGTAGCCCTTGCCCGATTGCGAATATTGGCTATGCCGAATATGTGCCCTTTCGCCTCGATTTGGTAGCGTTGACTGCGTTTGTGAAGAAGCACATGGCTCAGTGCTTAAAGGGCCATTCAAATTGCTACTCTACTGAGCTAAAGGTTCGTCCGAGTCGTGTTATAGATGTGGGTCGAGATGTAACTCAGCAAGATGTCGTCTTGACGACTTTGGAAGATAGTAATGTTCAATATGTCACCCTGAGTCATTGTTGTCAGTTCTGCGCTTCATACATTTCCTGGGTTGATATTTCGTGGGACGATTCCAAGCTCCTCTCATTTTCTGATTATCGACCTAGAACCAAAACAACTGCTCACATCTGAACGTATTCAGGGGGTTCCAACCCAAACATGCTCACGACCACCCGGCAAACCTTGGAAGAACGATGTCGCAACATTCCATTCTCCCAGCTCCCAAAGAGTTTCCAGGATGCCGTACAGATTATTCGCGCGCTTGGATTTCGCTATATCTGGATAGACTCACTCTGCATCATCCAAGATGATACAGCCGACTGGGAACTTGAATCTGCCAAGATGGCCGGAATATACATGGAATCCTGCCTGACGCTAGCAGCAACCGCGTCGATTGATTCAGATGGGGGATTCTTCTTCAATCGATATACACGTCAGTCTGGAGTAAGAACAACGAGCATGAAGACCTTCGAGTTTCAGCGAACCTTCGGGGGCGTGGAGTGCACGTTATATGTCCGCTCTGCACTTGAAAGTGGTCACTTGTCAATTGCAGAAGCACCTTGGCTGCCCAAGTTTCCTACACATACGACGCCTTTGCTGCATCGAGCTTGGGCATACCAGGAGCGGATGCTTGCTCCGAGAACACTTCATGTGAACACGGATGAAATGCTCTGGGAATGCAAAGAGTGTACTCTTTGCGAATGTGGCTCTCTCGCGTGGTATCGTGAGCAATCAAACCCTGAGCACTTAGGACATGAGAAGCCTTTTGCTATTGAATCTATCTCAACCCTCAAAGGCAAAGTAGCTCGAGTGATGAGTCTGGACAAGTCTTTCGCGGAAGTGCACATGGCGTGGCAACAAATCGTCAAGCAATATACCATGTTGAAACTCACCAAAGAATCCGACAGGCTTCCTGCTCTTTCTGGTCTGGCAAGCTTCCTGTCACAGAGACTCCAGACACGATATTTTGCTGGCTTGTGGGAAGACACTCTGGCCGTTGATCTACTGTGGCAGCGAGCCCGCTACGATACTTTAGGATTATGCTCGCGGGACACACAGTCGGGCATTCCGTCTTGGTCCTGGGCTTCCATAGTAAGGGTTCACGCAAGTGCAGAGACCATCGATCGATATAGCCATATACGGCAAAGTTCACTTTATTTTATCAAAGACAGTCGACTCGATTTTATCCATGCAGACTGTCAGGTCATCGGCAGCAATCCGTTCGGCCAAGTATCTGGAGGCATGATCACCATTTCGGGAGCGTGTATCAGCGTGAGCCTTTATTTGAAAGCGGGATCTCCGTGGGCGCAAAGTCGGTCACGAGTCTTCTTTCGAAGAGGAACGGGATTGGTGACAAAACCAAGCTTGGAGTGGAACACTGTGGAGCTCGATATTCTGTGGCCGGACGAGCCATCAGAGGTGGTAGATGGAGACATATTGTCGTGTGTCTTGATTGGCAAAGAAGAGCCTGTTATGAATGATAGAGGTTACGCCGTTGTTTTGAAAGGTATAGAAGCCGATATATATCGAAGGGTTGGCATTTTGAGATTGTATCCGGTAAAAATGGAATGGTGGGATGGAGTCATGCCTACAACTGTCCGTGTCATCTAGACAGTATTCGATTGAGAAAGAATCCCCATTTTCAGAGGCGGAGCTTCAGACAGCTACTTTCTAGATTCTACGTTTCCACCTGGCGAAGCTCAGAAGGTAACAGCAGCCTCTCTTTGTGATCAATGCGGCTTAGAGTACCTGGTGACTCAAAGCGACGATGCGATCATGCGACTGTCCTTTCCTGAACTGCTTTCTCTCTGTCTGAATTTCTTCTCATGATGATAATGGGACAGCTAGAATAAACTCCGCCTCTCAATTCAACGTAGAAGTCAAAATCCACTCTAATAACATTCTTTGCAGCCTGACTTTACTTCCGAAAACTACGGTGGGTGAGCAAGTGCAAGTTTTGGTTGAGAGGAAGGTTAACGGGATCTCTGAGTCGGATCCGCAGCAAAATGAAAGCAGTGAAGGCTAGAACGAGTGTAGCAGATTTTATTTGCCTGAATCAAGCGTTTGGTTTGAAAGCGAGCGTGTAAAGCGCGGCATGTGGTGGAGATAAGTAACCGTGGTGGTACGTAAAGAAAGATCTCAATGCGCTACACAGGGCGATTAGCCCTGATGATATAGGCGGTATGAAGATATCGTTGTCAAGTGAGGGCAGAATCTCTAACCAGGCGGGAGACGACTAATCTTACCTAGCGTACACCACCATCTAAGTCCATCGCTAGATTTTGAAGAGATCTCATGAAATAACAGAGCTTACGGTACCAGTCTTCAAGTTGCTGGGTTGCAAGTGTTGTAGAACATTCGATCTAAAATATGAGAGAAGTGCCAAAACCCCAGCTCTGGTCCATCCATTCTGTCGACCTTGACTGCTCTATCAAAATGGCCGCAAAAAACCCACCAAACATCTTACTCCAGGATTATGATTGTTCCGAAGTGCGCTTCAGAGACCTTGCCCGCTGCGTAAAGTGTTCAAACTTTCCTCTGCAGATGGCCTATCAGTAGGGCGCAAAGCTAGTAATCTGCCCAGCAAGTTGTAGAGAAGTAGTGGTAAATCAGGTCGTTCAATCCTGTACGTGCTGGTCATTTGGAATCCGGACCATGATACTATTGCTTCTCTGGGAATCTCGAGATCCGTGTCTTCCTCACCAAGGCTGAGCCTCGGTGCTTCGAAAGGCAGTCTACCAAAACACATGAAGTGCAAGATGAGGCCAAGGCAGAAAACGTCCGATTTCGTACTGTAATTTCCATATTGGCCGTATTCATCTTGCTTCAGCAGCTCAGGAGCAATGTAGCCGTCCTGTGGTCTGGAGTCATAGTTATATTGGGTGTCCGGTTTCTGATCGACCCGAACATCCCCAAAATCGCTAATCAGAGCGCGGAACTCAGTATCCTGCTGCTGAAGTAAAACATTTGATAGTTTCAGATCCTGATGGAGATGTCCATTCTCATGTAAATATGCAAGGCCAGTTGTTATGTTCTTAAGTATTGTGGCAACCTCTTCGATGGACAGTCTTCTCTGCGGCAAAACTGGAGCTACTACTTCTGCTTGTGGCAATTCTTGGCGCCTTCGTATTCTCTCTTTCAATAACTCCTTAGTACTAAAGCTATTCAAATACGGCATTACGTAAGTCTTCAGGTCTCCTGCGTTACAATATTCTTGTAATATAAAAACGCAGGGGATGCTAGGAGTGAACTGGTTGATTTGAAAATATTCCAACCAGACGTGGCGATAAGAGACAATATTTGGATGCGATAATTTTGAGAGCAGTTGGATTCAACGGGGACTTATTTGTAAGTTTCGGTACAACAAAGCCATTTGAAAGAAAATGACTCACTCTTCTCTATCCGGCCAATGAGGCCATGGTCAAGATCAACTGGAATTCTCTTGCACGCGAAAAGTTCTAACGAACTGAGTGGCATAAGTCTGTGCACTACAGCTTCCTCGCTTGTGTGAGGAATTGTGCTTCAAACATGATATCCTCTACTTTGCGTTTTTGTAGCACGACTAATATATGTTTAAAAGAAAATACATGGTGACCAACTGAACTTTCTTAGTCAAAGAAGAGTTCTTCTAACTAAGAAATTTGAATTTGATATCCTGACTCTGTTAAAACTCATATTCGACGTTTTCAAGCTTGTAGCGCATGGACTTATGCCACCCAGTTCGCAACAGGTCAGACTTGAAAATTTACCCAGGAGTCGCACCAATGTCCTCACCTAAGCTCACAGTATCCAGCTCATGCCTGATGAGCAGAACAATCCCTCCACCGCCCCTCCCGAGTTCCTTCTCCTCCGCAAAGAATTTTCAGAGATAATTGGGAGTGAAGGTCTTCTCTCCGTGATTAGAGTAAGAAGTTCCGGTCTCTGGAATGGTCTGAGTCTCGGTCATTTCGTCGCTTTGCCGAAGCAATTGGAAGTAGTCACCAGACAAGAAAGCGTTGGTATTCACTGCAGTACCTGGAGGATGAATCAGTTACGAGAGCATCCATTTTTGAGCAACCTTACGATTCAATCGTAATAGTTCGTTATCATGTACTTCACTACTGGCTGGGCAGTATGTACCCCCCGTATTTGATTCGGGGCCCTCAGCGAGACTCTTAGGGTCAGGCTTGCTGGAATGCTTGAAGGTCTGAGCCTCCGAATTTGGTTCATTACGATTCGGGATGCCTGCTACTTCACCCTCTTCCCATCTATACTTTGGTACCGCAGACTCAGCAGTCGCACCGCTCAGACTGGATACAGGGCTCCCTCTACTTCTGCCATGGCCTGGATCGGAACTGTCTTCGCTAGCAAGCGAAGCTGTCTTTAGTGGCTTATGCGCGGACTGACTTGCTTCTTCAGGATTCACGCTTTTGTGTGCAAGCATCTTCTGTCGTTGAATAGACTGCATGATCGGATCCTTGTCGGAAGTGGTTGCTGTGACGTATGACTCGGTGATCGCACCCCATTCCCAGCTTCTTCTATTCACCTTGGGGGTGGAATTAAGCAATACAGGGTCAATGAACAGACTTGAATGGTCGTCCGAACTCCAATATTCGATTTCGTTTTTCTTGGCGGGGTCATCCGGGATAGATATTATATCTGGATATGTGGTTGAAGGTCTCCCGCCGTAAATGACATCCAAAGACTGTGAGGGAAATGGATTCATTTTATCCAGGTATTTTGGATTGTCTCCGATATCGACAAAAGACGGTCTCACATGTCCATCCGGGTCCACTTTGATCGTGCTTCGACTCTGAGGCTGTGATGTGGCCAAGCTGTCTCTTCCACTTGCGGATCCATCCGAACCCTCGTCGTCATATGGCGGGAGAGATTTCAGAGCGAGAGACCTTAAGTGGCTGATAACATGATCTTCCATAGAACCGGGTACCTCCATGGTGCTACAGAGTGGACAAGACTCGAACAGAGGCCCAATGATCTGAGCGTTTCTATCGGCAATCGCTCGAATTTGGGCTTCAGTGTAGGAGCCGTGGCTGTTGCGCATGTGTTCAAGGTATGTGTCCTTAATATCAAAAATCTAGAGTCCAGTCAGATCAGCAGGCAATCTTTGATGATAATACCACAGTGAAGTGACAATATTGCATCTTTACACGAGGGCGCAGTTCACTCGAAAATCCGCAGAACACAACATCGAATGACAAGCAGGGAGAAGAGTCATACAAGAACACCATGGGATTTTGAGGTACACCGCCAACGTAAAGCATGTTCACGCATGTGCTGGAGCCATCCTTCCCTATTGTTGTAGAGGCTGTCCGGCTGATCGCATTGCTCGAATAGACAGACGTAGGCGTCGAGGTCATTTTTGACGTGTGCTCTGTACCAACTGTCAGATGAAAAGGTACAAAGAATTAAAGTGCTTTCGAGGAACAGGACAATACTGGTTTACGGACGTACCTCCATTTATTGTCGTCAGCTACATCGAGACTAGGGAGAGCATGAAAGCAGAAAGGGCATGTGATCTCGTCAATCAGTTGGCAGCAATAGATCCAATCCTTTTCGAGATTGAGCTTCAGTTTATGTTCCATCTCCTCAATATGGTTTATGAGGCTGGGGTACCGATCCGGGTTGCTCGTTGCTCTCTGATGGGTAATGCGCTGGATGTCATTTTGAGTTCCTGCACGAGTGACAGAAATCTCTTTGTCATTTGTGCTACCTTCATCTACGCCAATTGACCCTAATTCCTCCTCCGAGGAATTAGCAAATAATCAGTGATTGCTTTTTAAAGATCTCACCCGAGTAAGATGACGCGGCAGAAACAAGCTCCACATACCCGGCCTCAACTATTCCAATCATCAGCATTTTATTTTCTTCATTGGTCTGGTCGTACCTGAGGCTGAGGGATGTGGTCGCCGAATCCAAACAACCTCCCAATGAGCTCTTTTAGCTCGTCTTCTTTGACGTACCGGCAGGGGATAAACTGTGAGGCTTGGCATGTTTGGCATGTTTTATGGTCCTCAAGTCGTTGTCTTTTGAGTTTGTTATACTTCTGCCTCAAACGACCCGTCGGAGCTGGAGGAAATACGAGCTCTTCGTGGTTACCAAGAGCAACGGTTTTTGTGACCGAGATTACGGATGGGGCAGACACTTTTTTAAAGGCATCGGCAGCCAAAGTCGTGGCACTGACGGCTTTCGATTCGACAGTGTTTTGGTCCCGTTTTGAAGTTCGGGACTGATCATGGACTGCAAGCGAGACTTCTGGAGAATTGCTTTGCTGGTCCACTGCAGGCAGCGTCACTACCGGCTGTAAGGCTGACCTTCTTATTTTGATCGGATTGGCCCCGTATCGTGACCTTCGATAGAGAATTCTCTTTCGTCGCAAAACCATGGTAGCTGCGAGGCGTTGCAAAATAATGTCTTGGATACTGGGAAATCGTCCAAAAACGTAATTGGTGAAGATCAGTCGTAAGCATGCTTCGACATCGTTTCCTTCATCGTCCTTGATCTGGAAAGATTCTGCTGCTTTTTGGTTCTGTGACTCTTTACTGGCCCTGCGAATGGTATTTGTGAGTCGGTAAAGAAGACTTATGTCCTTAGCGATAGCTTGACGGGATCGATCAACGGTAGGAGATGAAGTTGATTCATCGCGATCCAAGTACTCTTTATGGCTCTTGCAGGCGCTCAGTGCTGCCGAGCCTAACACTGTCAGCAAGCTCCACTCAAGGTATTACTGTGACGTACAATTCTTGATACTGTCGTTCAGGTCGTCCAAAAGACCTATAACGATCTCGATAATCTCGGGGGCCTCTCTAAGTCGATGGTCCATTGATCCTCCGCCTGGAGTAAACACGCCGATATTGTTGGCCCATAGAGAGAATCGTGCAAGTTGGTCCTCACTCAAGGAGAGCTCTCGTGGATGGACAGTAGCCGATCGCTGGAGGTAATCCTGGAACGAAATCATGCAGAGCTCAGCAAGATCAGAAACGCTGACCTGTGTCGAACGCTGATCTGTCGCCATACTCTTCTTAGATACCGAGAATATATTGCCGATGAGCTATGATATCCAAGCAAAAACCAGATTTCTCTCATACACCCCACGCCTTGTTGTACATGTAAACGTTCACTGAGTTGATAATTATCGGAGGTTATGATGAAGCTGAAGGATTACAATTGTGGATCGAGGCGGCCCAAATTTATAACCAGCGAAATGAGCCGCATTCAGCGCTGTCCCGCATTTCCTTTGTTTACCACCTTTTTTCTATACAAACACGAGTCTTCCAAAGACACTACTCAAATTGACACTTACAAAATTAATCAGCCTTTGTTAGATAAGCTAGCTGCCCCTTTGTCTCCTTTGACTTTAATAACGTTAAAACCTTTTTATAAAACTAATTATAAAAATGATATCTAGGCCGAGGAGGGAGAGGAAATTTGTTACGGTAGAGAATTGCCCCGCGTGCAGTTTCTCCCTGGAGAATGTTACGGAGATTTTGGTGCTGGATATTGTGGATGCGAGGGAAGGTCTAGCTGTTTAATCAGCAAGTATGCTTTGCCAACCAGAGAGAAGCTTCCATCGGGGTACCAGCATAAGATGCAGATTTCATCTCATCTCATCATGTACATGCATGGAGATGTTGTGTTGATTTCATTTCCAATTTATGGTTATGCGCGTAGAGAATCGAAAAGTAAACAACATACGAAGCAGTAAACAACGCCCGCTCAGGCGTCTTGATAGACGTTATTACATTCCCAAGCTTAATCGGACCTGAAGGAGGGGGTGGAAAGTCCCATGTTGGGGCGTAGAAATAGAATGGTGTTTGGTTCGCCATCTTTGAGTGGATGTATCCATGAGGCTCCAAAGATCGGCAATATCCTAAGAAATAAGTGAAGTGATAATCTGGTAAGGTTGAAGCTCCCTACAAACTACATGTGGAAAGGCCTAGCGGAAGCTGAAGCTGATCGATACGTTGTATGTGATGAGGTAACCGAGCGTGTAGCTAGCTGCATTTGGGTTAGCCTCATTTACAGCAATTTGCAGCAAGCGAAAAATGAACTTAAACGGAGATGTGGAGGCATGGGGGCCTTGTTTACTTTTGCATTTGTTTTCTGCGTCAAGCCTATTGCTTAAGCGACATATTTTAATATCTCCAAATCGAGTAAAAGCATCCATCGACTTCGCTTTCGTTGCTTTTTTCTAGTACTACACAAACATTCGATCCAAACATCATACACATCCCACTAAAACCAGCACTAAAGGACAACTCTATCGGCCCTTCGCGCTCTTCTTCCTTCGTACAGCTTTACCGTTGCCATTGGGAGCTGTGGTTTTGACTTTCTCGGGGACTTCGAAATCATCTGCGCCGGAGGAGCTGGATGGTGCACCTTCGTCGTCGTCGATGTCGGACTCGGAATCGGTGGCTGGCTTTGGGAAGAAGCGGGAGGTGGCTTTGTTCAAAACCCAGATTGGGACGCGGACGAGGGCGGTGTCTCTGATGGTTGGCTGGGCGAGTTCATTGGGCTGTGATTATGTTAGTAGTTGTAATTGGGAGGCGAGGTATAAGCACTCACATCAAGGAGGAACTCCTGGATCTCGCCGTCTTCATTGGCTTGCTCAAGGAACACGTTTCCAACTGAATCAACCACCAAGATCTTGCCATTCTCAGCGACAACACGCTTTCTTGGTCCAGTTGAACCGCTAGGAGGAGTGGCCGCTGGAGAGGCACGGGCAGCCTTGATACCCTTGGTCTTCTTCTCAGACTTGTCTTTCTTGGAGTCCTTCTCCTGCATTCTTCGCATGCGGCGGTTCATTGCCTGGCCAGCTGATGGATCCGAGTTGTCATCAGCAGTAGGAGGTGTAGCAGTTCCTTCCAAGCCTGGGATGTTGAGGTTGTCGCCCCAAGCAGCATGTCGTGCGAACTTGATGTATCTGCCGACGAATTCCTGCTGTCTCTTCCAGCTCATGTACAGCGCAAGCCAGTGTCCACCACCTCCAACGAAGATGAAGAGCCCCAAAAGAACCGAACCAAGACCAGGTCGGAATCTGGCGTAGTAGTATCCAGTACCCTTCCACTTGGGGAAACCGTTGCTCAAGAAATGGTCATAACGTTCTCGGCCAGAGCCACGGAGGATATTGGTCACTATGCCCAGGCGTGCGAATCGATCGCTGGCAGCTTTGGCAGTAGCTTTGATCTCTGCCTGAGTAGGCCCCTTGCTAACGTGGACACCTGGCTTCTTCGACTTTGCCTTATCCTTCCCAGTCGACTTGTTGGCAATGAATTGCTGCTTGACTTTGTCGGGGTGTAGGGTTCGAGACTTCTTCTTGTAGGCCTTGTTGATGTCCTCTTGGTTCGCAGAAGGAGTAATGCCTAGGAAATCGTAGAAAGAGACGCCGACTCCCTCGGAAGCTTCAACCTCATCGCGCAGACGGAAGATTTCTTGATCTGTGATTTTGGTGACGAGTCAGTACTTGACACGTTCGTAGTGGAATGTGCAGCAATTGTAGCAATTGTCCAGAAAGCATTGCTTGAACTAGGGATATTTTACTGACCTTCTTTGCTCCAGGCAGCGACAGACGCGGTTAAGCAGGCAAGAATGCCCACAGTGAGGACGGAAAGCCTCATGTTTGTTTGGTGGTTGAGAAAGAAAGAGAGGGGCCACAGCGCTGAAGTGTCGTCGTTGTACTCTGGTGTGGTCTTGACTTTTTCTCGAGAAGCCAGCGAGGCACTCGGTTCGGCATGGGCTTGGGTGTGGGTGTGGTTTGGGCTGCAGGGGACCTTGTGGAGGTCCAGGGTCCGACCCGCTTGGCTCCAGATCCAGGATGCGATGGGAATGCAATAAAGTATTGTAACAAATGGGACTCTCTGCTCAGGGCTCCGTAGTGGCTTGCATCCAACTGAAGCTGGTGAGAGTTAAGGCTGGGAGGCTGGCTAGCTGCTGTGTTGTGCCTTGCTGTATCCAGTGATGACCATGCACGAGTGAAAGTGAATGCACGGGCGAGTAGCTGCAGAACACAGTGCAGAAAAATGCAAATACGGCAATAGTTGAGCGAAACGGAGCTGGAGCAGCCGTTTGGTTGGTAATATACCTAGGATGGGTAAGGTAGGTATGGAATGGGGAGAAGAGGAGAAGAGAGACAGCAAACAAACAGGCTTTAGGTTTACTTATAAAAGTCTTCATGTCCCACCAGCACTTCTACGACTCTTTTCCTTTCCCTCTCCCTCTCCCTCTCCTCTCTTCCTCTCTTTCTCACACGACCTCTTTATGTGCCCCGCCCTGGATTATTGCACCACCACAACCTCCAATTCCACCCTGCTGGTGCCAGGATCATAAGCGTTTCAGCTTCTCTGACGAATCCCCGAATTTCTATTTCCAGCATTTCGAGCGATGGCCACAATCTTCAGGCAGTAATTGAGGCCGCTATCTCACCAACAGCCCAGGCCGCCGGGCTGGGGCAAGGGTCGCGGGAGTGGGACAGATCGCTCGTTGATTGAGCTTCCCGTCCCCCTGAAATATTTTCCCGGAGACAGACATCACCCTAGCTTGTTCACGACTCAATTCGTTTCTATCTCACCATCAATCCTCAGATCAAGACTTCTCGGCCGAATCCTCGCAAGTACGCGTCAAACCGAATCACTGAACATTCCAACACGAGGTCAGTAAGTCGTGTTCTTTGCCATTCATTGTCTGCTGCCTTGCAAGGGGTACGTACGAGTCCAAAGAACTGCTTCTGATATCATAGTATTTGACAGATCTCGAAAGAACCCATCTGTCACAAAGAACTTCCACCGCGTTCAATACAAAATCCTGAATCAATACTATCAGATTCACGTCCACGTACAAGAATAGTCTCGACCAGATCGCTTCATCCTCTCAACATATTTGACTTCTGTACCTTTCTTGAATCTGCAATCTTACACAACCACCTCCAACCACGAAATGTCGCGCATCCAGATCCCTCTCGATGTCCTTACATCGCGTCTGAACCTCTCAGATCGTTTCGCCAGCGTGCGATCGCAATCTTTAGGTTCTAGATTTGCAAACCTCAAGCCTGTCTCCGAGTTCCTTGATTTCAAGAGGCTGTCGAAGCCAGCCAATTTCACTGAGATCCAGTCAAGAGTTAACTACAACTTGGGATACTTCTCCAGTAACTATGCCGTCGTATTCACCATGCTCAGCATCTACAGCTTGCTGACGAACCTCTGGCTTCTCTTTGATCTGATTCTGATCATTGGTGGCATCTGGGGTATCGGCAAGCTTGGAGGAGCCGACTTGGACATTGGTGTTTTCCGCGCCACCTCATCCCAACTCTACACTGGTCTCCTGGTGATCGCAGTTCCCCTCACGTTCTTCGCAGGACCATTCTCCACACTTCTATGGCTCATCGGCGCAAGCGGAGTCAGCATTCTTGGACACGCCTCGTTCATGGACAAACCGATCGATGAGGCTTTTTCCGGGGAGGCGGTCTAGATGGTCGGCCGCGATCTCCCAAATTTATGCCCTCATGGGGAAGACCACCGGGGGCGAAGGGGAGCAGAAGGAGGCGGCAGTGGGAGCGGGAGCAAGGATTTTGGAACGAGGCTCGTGTGGAAGAGCTCGACAGCGACGATACAGATACACAGGGAGTTGGTTTGAATTATGATAAAAAACGATTTGCCAGCGATCCACTTCATTTCACGGGTGGCGACTTGGGATCGGCTTCTAGGGTTAGACGGAGTTATGCTTTTGGCGATTCGGAAGATTCTTCTGGGGACTCTATAGAGTCTGAAGTAGAAGGTACAGATGCTTTGCAGATTGCTTTACGGGATAAAGAGGAGGCACTAGTCCAGTCTGCTCTTGCACGGATCAGACGGGCTCAAGAAAAGGGGAAGAGGGAGGTGAAACTTAATCAAGACGAGCTGAATGCATTGGAGAACCGTAGAAAACGTATGCAGGCTGCTGCAACGGCCAAGGCACGAAAAGGAAGCGGTTCCGGTGGTGGAAGTGACAGGCAAAAGAGGCGACGAAGCGACAGGATCTCAGTTCCAATCTCGGCTGCTACAGAAGCTATCAGTCGACCAAGCAGTCGACCTAGCAGCCGCAGAGACATTACCAGATCCAAACGATCTGATGAAGTGCCGCATCCTCCAGCAGCCGCCAACCCACCAGGAATGCTCGTGGCCGGACCTGATGGCCTCGCTTACGCCCCATTAGGAACCTACCCCTCCAACAGCTCACTCTCCAACTCTCAACCTCCAAGCCGTAATTCTCCTTCACGCCCACGCTCGGCAACAACCCAACAACTCCGCGGCCAACCACCTCCGATTCCCTACTTTTCACACCAACAACCACCCAACTCGCGTCATTTCTCAGAAGGCATGCGTCCAGCATCTTCATCAAGCAATAGCTCACGCCGTCCCCTCCCAGACGAAGCAGACTGGCAACCGACAAACTCCCGGCGAAGTTCTGCAGCATCTTCGCATTCTCAAGGCTTCATGGTCGACCCGTTCGACTACCAAGTCTCCTCCGACACACCTCCACCGATTCCCAGTCAATATCAACAGCAAGCCCAACAAGGTCGTCGCCACGTCTCCAACCCAGCAGACATCTCCTACTCCTCCATCAGTCGCACACCACCTGGCTATCCTCCTTCCGCTCAAACCTCATCACGTTTCCCGGCTGCCTCCTCAGATCCGAGTCTTAGACATCGCTCGTCACGCGGCCCCGGCGCGTTCGAGAGCAGTTCTGAGGAGGAAGACGAGAGTGATGATTTGGGGAATGGGGTCCAGGTTTTTGTGGAGGAGGAGAGGGAGCCTGAACGGGAGAGGGAGAGGGAACGTGAGAAAGACAAGGCTGTTGCAAGGAAGCCAGTTGGGGGGAGGAAGAGGGGGAAGAGGTAAGAGGGTTTCTTGGTTGATGGTGCTGTGGGAGGTGACGGGGAGTGGGTCGTGGGAACTTCGTGCTCTTATTACTTTGAACTTGAACTGCATTCATGGCATTGCATTATAGACTATTACTACTCTGCTTTTAATGGTATTCATCTTTCTCTCTTCTCGACCCTCTTGCAAATGTTTACACTCAATGCATTCAGTCCACAACGAACGACTACTTGACTCAAAATAATCTTTTATCTAGGTCTGTCTGTCTGCTATAAACATGAAAAGATAGATAGATGTCTGTCTTACTGGCTAGATGGTCTGTTGTCATTGTTGTATGAAGTGAAGGAACCGCCATACGTCTTTTCTCCTCAAGCTGGGTCTCGTGAGAACCTGGTATCCAAAAACGCCATACTCCAAAAGAAAGGAAACTTTATGTCCAAATCATCACCCCTCCGCCCCTCACTGCGATTTCCTGTCGTCCTATACTCCCTGTTCCCCAGAGCAGAGTAGCTCAATTCATGATCTATGTACCCGCCTACCCACGTAGCTACAAGTCTTTCCTTTTCCAAAGTTTCTCCCGGAGCCAGAGGAACAACCTCACATAAACATTTTCGCCAAACTAACCGCACCGCCCACACCTCCCATCCCCCCAAGCACACTCCCCAACCCACTCAACGCACCAAGACTCCCAGATCCCTCAACATGCGTCCTCTCAAACTGCATACCCCCATCCCTCCCCCTACTCACTCCATACCCACTTCCCCCAAACCCCCCACTCCCTCCATACCCACCCGCACCTCCCGCCATACCAAACATCCTCTCAATCCCCGCAGGCAATCTGATTCCAAACTTCGCAAGCAGACCAGTGAGAGCGCCGCCTGTGATCAACGGCATGATGACGAGGATGAACACTTTCATGGGGTGCTTCTTCATGTAGTAGACTAGATCGCGGAGGAGCCGCCGGAGCTTGTGGTACATTCGCGAGAGGTACCCATGGCGCGGGGAGCGCTTGTAGAAGGAGGAGGAGGAGCGGTGACTAGGGTTGAATCCTGTTGGGGGGTGGGATGTCAGTTGCTGGCGAGAGGGTAGGATGGTATGAGGAGGAAGGAAGAGGAGGGGTATGGGAATGGGAATGGAACGTTGTATGAGGGACGGGAGATGGGGGATTGGATTGAGGAGAGAGGACGGAGGAACATACCAAAGAACGAACTCCTCGACGAGTTATGTCTGTGATCACCCCCTCCGAAAATCGAACTCGCGCGCGGAGAGCCGTGCGAAGAGTGGTGTTTACTGCTCTTGCGGTGGTGGTGTCCCGAGGACGAGCCTATTTCTGAGACGCCATCGAACCAGCCCATTTTTTGACCTGACTTGTGCTGTGTTCCTATTTCTTTATTTCCAATTGGGTTTGCGACTGTACCAGGGTTTAGAAGTTTAGATGAGAGTTTGAGTTCGGACGAGGTGCGTTGGATTGGAATATGTGACTTGTTGGTGGTTTGGTTGGTTGGAGAGCTTGAGCTTGGACTTGAAGACTGCGAAATGTGCAGGTAGAAAGCTTGTTGATTCAGTAAATATAGGTAGGGTCGTCGCCGTATATGTTTAGTAAGATACTGGTGGAGTAGATGTACACTTCCAGTCGAGCTCGCGAGTCAGTCTCCGTTGTTGGGCCGCAAGAAGTAGCGGTTGATGGTTGTGGAGCTGTTCAAATGGAAGTGAAGCTCAGGAGGTCAGCTCCAGCTTCAGCCAACCAACCCCAGCCCCTCCAATAAATTCCTGCCCCGGCGGTAAGAGTCAGGAGCAGCCGAGCTGTGGCAGGGGTCCTACACGTGATATTTAAGCTAGACTGGACTGAGAATAGCGGGGCAACAAAACGGAGATGTGGCTTTATCGTTTTAGCATGTGCACCGCCACGATCAGTGACGCATGAGATAGTGGCAGCTGTCGCGACCAAGCTGGTGGAACATCCGAGGGGCAGAAACAACTTCACTTCGTTCCATTCCTACCTTTTTGCCTCCTCTCAACCCTTCTAGACTGCGCATAGTCTCTACTGGACAACTAAAGGTCCTTCAAACCATTCTAGATACCAAAAGAAATAGAAAGTCAGAATGGCGGGACTCCCAGTTGACTACTGTAAGTACAGCCTCGTCAGCCTTCTGATTCGGATACTTGAAAAAGAGACATGCTAATAAGTACAGATGCCGCCCTGGGAATACCCTCTTCAGCCTCCCAGCAGCAGATCCGAGATGCGTATAAAAGGTATACCACTTCCCCACTTACCTATTTTGTTCGGGCTTCATCCCTTGGCTCAACTGTAACTCCAGGTAACGATCCAGGCTAACATCAACCTCCAGAGCAGCGCTCAAAACGCACCCCGACCGCGTCTCCTCCGACTCCCCCGAACGTGCAGAGCGTACCCGTAAATTTCAGCTAATAAACGATGCCTACTATACCCTATCCGACCCTTCACGCCGCTCTGACTACGACTCGGCCCGCAAATACCACGGTTTCGGCTCTGGTGCCTCGACCGCCTCAACAGCCTACGACTCAGACGATGATTCCACTATTCCAGACCCTGGTGAGGATGCTCGTGCGGCTGGTGGCTTTCCATGGAGTTCGTTTGGATTTGGGGCTAAGGCGAAGAATAAGGAAGAAGAGCAGAAGTTTGGGAATGAGCAGTTTGAGGATGTGTTTGAAGAGATGTTGAGGGAGGAGGGGATGGCTGAGAATGGGGGTGTGCCGACGGGGAAGTTCTGGAGTGTTGTTGGTGGGTTGAGTGGTGGTGCGATGGGGTTTATTGTGGCGAATTTTGGAGGGATGGTTGCTGGTGCTGTGGCAGGGAACAGGCTTGGTGCAGTAAGGGACGCGAAGGGGAAGAGTGTTTATGCTGGTATGTTTCTTTGACTTGAGTGGGATGGCTCAAGGTGCTAATGTTCTGGCAGTCTTCCAGGAGTTGCCGCAGGATGCGAAGGGGAAGCTTTTGAGCCAGCTTGCTGCAAAGGTTTTTAGTCATGCAGTGGGAATTTGAGGTGGGGTTTGCCAGAGCTGCGATAAACGCGGTCACTTAGCCGAATCAAGGAACGGAAAGAATTGAAGGAAACAGTAACGAGATACCAGACCTGGGTCGGAAGGCGTTGCGGAATCTCCACATATACAGGAAGCATGGCTTTTTTCGAGATCGAGGAAATTGAGATGCAGAACAAGCGATTAAATTAAGTAGGTAGATAGACGAATTAAATCATTCAAATGCACAAAGCCTCGAGCTTCTTTCCAGTTCCAGTTCTCGCAACAAATAATGACAGACGTCCCCTTTTCGCTTAAATCCAAACAAAGCGAAGCGACACGACCTGCCAAGAAACTCCAAAAAAAATATCATATTTCTTTCGAGAGACCGCGCATAAGTGCGCACTTCAAAATGGAGTTTCCCTATCTCTTAGGATTACTTACAAGTGAAAATACTCCAATGACAGTACCGGGTTTATCACAGAACCTCAATGGTACCTGGAGATAACGAGGTAGGTGTAATTGTGGTCCTCTTCGTAGGACGCAACATGGAATGGCGGCGCTAACGGGTGGCAAGATATGTTTTCAGGACACTCGATTTGAGGTGTCTGATGTGAGATAGCTTGTAGTATTGAAGGTTGACGGAGGTTAATAAAAGTGAGAAGTAGGACTGGAGCTGGTGTGAGTCGTGGGCCGGAAAGCCGGGGGGATCAAGTGCGTGTTGAGGAGGTAGGGGGAAGATATTGTTAAGATTATGGTATTATGAAGAAATTCGAGCACAGGTGCTCATGGGGTTGTGAGGAAAGGTCAGGTGGGGTCCATTAAATCTTAAAAGGATGAATTTCCAGACATTACTGTTGAGTACCGAAGTATGACACAATCATGGCGACCACTGATGGGCACGATAGTCGTTCGGAAGAATTTGCTTTTCAGGGTACTAACGGCAAGTCATCGATATAATCCCAAGGACCTCGCCCCTCCAACGATTCAATTACGCACAAACTCCAGCCTCAGTCAATGATGACCCGGTACACACACCAGATTCGCAGTCGCAATTTCTCCCACACGGAATTCCTGAGGCGACAAAGAAACGCGAGGTACACGTGCAAGAACCGTCCACGCAGCTCCGGGAGTCGCAGTCGCAGTTGCTGGTACACGGTGTTAGTCCTTGCTGTAAGTAGGAGCCGGTCGGGCAGGTTGGCTAGGATTCAATACATGTTAGTGAACGTGCTCCTTACGACGCTAGATAAGCTCTACACCAAAGATGTGGAGCAACAGGTTGCGGAAAAGGAGGTGCTTACAGTAGCAGTGCTCGTAACCGTAACAGTCGACGTCTTAGGCACCTCAATACATCCACACAGCGTACTCAGCACATTAACCCTCATATTCTTCTTGCAGTTTTCCCACGCATTGCAGGCGGCGCCTGTACATTTCGTTGCTCGCTTCGCGACTGGTGTCACCGTAGCTGTGACTGTCGTCAAGACTGGAGATTTGGGAAAGGCTTTTGCGCAGAAAGATTGAGCGGGTGGGTTAGTGGAGAGGAACAAAAGCTCTTTGTAGGGTAGGGACTGGCAGGCGTTGCCTGCTACGGCTACTGCGGAGGTGGATGTTGAGAGGGTGGTGAGGAGTAGGGTGAAGACTTTTGTGAGCTTCATTGTGACTTGTGAGTATCGTGGAGGTTGTTCACTTTACATGGATGAGAAGGAGGGTGATCTTGAAGTGGAAACGGGAATTTCAGGCGGTGAATTGATTATTATAGTCTGATTCTTCTTATTTGTCTTGCACACAGTTATACTTGAATTGGTTGTTCTGGCCAACTGTTCAAGCTCGTGGCTGTCTCTCATCTAGATTTCCAAAAGTTAGTGTGAAGGCTGCATCTGTTTGCGATTAAGTGGGGAGTCCAGGCCAGTGGCCCGCAAGTGGCTTGACAGTAGGTGGTTTGTAAATGCAAGCGAAAGATGGGGGAGCGGGCTCGATCCAGAACGTACATATTAGCTGGTATTCAGCTATGCCTTAGGAATACACAAACCAATGAAAAGCTGAAAATATAGTGGCATGATGTGGTGGTGGACGGCGGGGAGGGCTGACAGCAATGGCGCAAAAGCTTATCACAAGCCATATTTCTTTTCGCGAAGCTTAGCTGAAAGCTTGATTACCAACATTTTATTCGACGTTGAGACTGTCATGCATTCATTGAGAGCAAAGTTTTGCAGTGTCTTGATATGACAATGTAGACAGCTGCAGTCGTCGTGTCTTGACAGAAGCTGTAGTGCACTCAAAGCCACTGATGATTGGTTATAGTACCCCTTGTTGGAGACTTTATGTGACAATTAACTGGATATCTACTGTCCTTTAATGTCTGGTAAAAATAGGCACATTCTGTCTTTTCGTTGCAACTCCGAGCATATTGCCCCCCATCACTTTCAAGCAATTCTTTGAGGCTATATCTATAACTTTGACTTCCTGGGAGTTTTACGTGCATAAGGATGCCTTGTATCGCTTCCTTTCTTTAGATAAACATCCGCCTCTGTGGTGTTCAGCATATCTGGACTGGCTTGCGACAGATCTGAAATCCCACAAAGGCGCATCGCTGTCTGCAGCTCATCTTTGATGACTGTAAATCAGATCAGATATGTCAACAATGATAACAGGGTTATTGAAACTTACTATTTACTGCATGTTCAACTCCTTCCTTCCCATAGCTCAAAGCATACATGAATGGTCTTCCCAATCCGACAGCTGTGGCTCCCAAACAAACGGCTTTGAGCACATCCGAACCTCTTCTTATCCCTCCATCAATCAAGATCTCCATCTTCTCGAAAACTTGCGGGCACTCCATATGCAGCTCCAAAAGCGTCAAAACAGACGGCGGTGCAGAATCGAGAGCTCGTCCTCCATGGTTACTCAAAACTAATCCTTGACACCCAATGTTCAAAGCATTCCTCGCATCTTTCGCCCTCTGAATGCCTTTCAGCAAAACGGGGAGATCGGTGTGCTTCCGTACCCAAGCAATATCATCCCAGCAGAATGTCGGATCGATAAAACTTCCTACGTTACGAGCGATTCCTGAGCTCTTCACGGCGCCTGATGCTGTGGTACCACTCAACCTACTTGTGTACGACGATTCTGACTTGGCTCTCTCGTCCGCTTCACGCTTAGAGACCACTGGCAGGTCGATGGTGATTAGGATTGCTTTCACGCCTAATTTGGTAACATATTTGATCAGCGCTTCGGTTTTGGCGCGGTCTTTGTTGATATAGAGCTGGAAGAAGAACGGGTAGCCAGTGGGTGCAGCACCCATGATCTCGTCTAAGGGATATGAAGCGGTCGTTGACACCTATAGACTACATTAATACCAGATTAAAGTCGCCCAGAACACAAAGTACATACGCATTGAATAATCCCTGTACTTGAAGCACCAGCAGCCAGCGCCAGTTCGCCATCCGGTCCAGCGGTCTTGGCCAGACCTGCTGGTGAGATGAATATCGGCAGCTCAGCATCACATCCTAGGATCTGAGATTTCGTGTTGACTTTCCCCACGTCCTGCAGTACTTGAGGTCGGAACCAAATTCGTTGCCACCAGTTCTTGTTAGCATCTCGTGTCAAGTTATCGTTTGATGCGCCCGAAATGAACGCCATGGACTTCTTGGAGAGAGCCGAAGCTGCGGCCTCTTCGAAATCGTTGAGATTGATAATATCCTCCAGCGGTGTCTTGTCAGATGTAGTAGATGACTTCTGAGCTGACTCTGGAGGAAACTTAAGCCACTCAAGAGTGACGGTAGCCTGGTCAAGGATTCCGATTATTTTGGAGGGTGAAAGCTCTTTCTTGATTGTATCAGGAGTGTGGACAGCGGAATACTCCTTCGTTGCATCATGCCCTGCATATCTGTAAATGACTATGATGATCAGTATAGTTTGAAATCCACGCTGGTGATTGGATTTTACTTTCGGCACCCCCTGGATGTTTGGGGGCGAAATCGGTCAAGTCGAAGACCTCTCCGTTTACGACTAACCAGCAGTCATTCGCTGTTCTGTGTGACAACATCTCCGAGCAAGATATTGCCCTTGATGGAGGCGCCATGGCAAGTAGTTTGCTGATAGTTAAGTATTACTTCAGATGCAACTCGTTCCTGGATTCTGGCGGAGGGTCTGAATGCGGCACAAATGAGACTCTCGAGGCATAAAATATCCATTCCACCGTCACCCAGGTACTTCACGACATCGTGGGGAACCAAAGCGTTATTGGCTTCTCACTGGGTCCACTCAATTGTCATGGGGTAACTTTCATGGTTGTACATGCTAATCTGACATAGGTTAGAGATGGCACCGGAGAGCTTTGTGATTTGTTTACTGGTTTTGGCGCGTCTCGCTTATTTGGCGAGGCCTTTCCCGTGCTATTGCCGTACACCCTCCGAGACCCCGCACTCCTTAACCCCACCAAAAGTTCACTGGTTTAATGTATGTGACAATGGATAAAAGTAACCTTGAACAAGATATTGTCCTTTTCATTCTCTCCAAGCTCAGAATCCAGCTTTCTTCTTTTCACCGCGCTGCAAAAATTCATGGTGCTCCAACTTTTCATAAAGTTCCTTTCGATTCTCTTCATTTGCTCCAGCCGCATCAGTGATTTTGATAGCAACCTCTAACTTTTCACCAATTTCTTCCAGTGTAAACCGTGCTGTTTCGGGCATATACCAGTAGATGGATGGCGAGTAGACCACCAACCACAGGATGAATAGCAGATAGAATTTCCAGCCCACTGCTGCAAAAGCAATCGGAGCTGACTGCACAACAATGAGAGTGCCTGCAAATTGAGCGAACAGGCTGAAGCCAATGCCGATAGTTCTCATCTTATGGAAAGATCTTGGAAACGTACAGATACATTGTTGTATCACAAAATGTGCCTTGAAAAGCCAAGTATAGGAATATTATGAGCACAGCGAAGCCGTTACCAACCTTAGTTTCTGTACCAGCATGTTGTGCAGTCAAAGCCGTTAGGATAGAAAGTGTGATAACTTGACCGCAGTTACCGGTGAGGTACATCCCGCGACGAGAATTGACTTTGTCGTGGAGCCACGCACCCAGCGGGTTATAGATCAGTGCCGCAGTCGTGATCCAGACTGCAGAGAGCAGAAGGGGGATTGCACCAGTTTGGCCGAGACCTTGGTATAACAGCACAGCATAGTTGTTGATGACCAAAACTCCTCCCATCTCTTGGCCAAACTGTATCAAGGATCCCACGATCACCCGCTTTCCATAGGAAGCTTTGGTGATTACAGACTTCAATACCGTGGTTCCGAGCTGTCTTGTACGGTCTTCCTCGAGCTTTATCTGTTGGGTCATTTGATGGAACTCTTCCTTGGCGAAACTGGAATGAGCGTGGATTCGCTGTAATATTGTCCATGCTTCCTCGGCTCTGTCATGCTTCAATAGCCATCTGACGCTCTCTAGAACCCAAGGAGAACCAAGAAGTAGGAGTAGTGGAGGAAGCAATTGTAAGCACAGAGGAAAGCGCCAGGCAAACGAAGGGTTAACGGGAGTTGCAAAGTAGCAACCATAACCAGCCCAGGATGCCATGAAGTAGCCAAGAACCAGGAAGATGGCATGGGCACCGACTTGTCGACCACGGGAGGCTGGAGCGCTCGACTCACTGAGATATAAAGGGATGCAGCTGACCAGCATTCCAATTGCCATTCCAGCGATGAAACGGCCAGCGTAGAACATGTCGATATTCGCAGCACCTCCCTGAAGAACACCTCCAAGAATCGCAATCAAAGCGCCGAGTTGAATGGTACGTAGTCGACCAAAATGTTCTGCAAGCCACATGAATAATAAACAAACAACGGCACCACCTGCGCTGTAAAGACCATTGACAGTGGCAATGACATGGATGGTGTGATCGTATCCTGGACGAGTTGGGTCTGGTGCAAGGTTCATGAAGCTGTAGAATCCGGGCTGTCCCAAGGTCGTAGCAATGATACTAGAAAAGTAGCCATAGGTGATGCTTCCAAGACTGACGAAAACATTGATTAGGAGGGCATATCTAGTGAGATCTCGAAGTGCCATGTTGCTGGTTGAAATTGTTGCGGTCTCGTTACGACACAGATTTCGAGGAGCGATTCCGTAGGCAGAGTGACCTTTATAAGTGTAACTTTAGGATCTGCATATCATTTGTAAACTGCGGGACTGGAGACCTGTAGAGTGGTATCATCTGCGGTGACACCGATTCCCCGTATCGCTGATCGGGATCCGCAACCAAGCCACGAACCTGAACTTAAACAAGTCCTAGCCAACGTGAGGAACCTAATCCCGCTGCAGATGCGTATTTCATCGTTGACCAGTCCACATTCCTATCACAAAGATCACCTTAGTGAAAGTCTGATCGAATTTGCCGAATCGGGATCTGGAGCAAAACCCTGCTTGACTCAGGGGCTGAGGGGAAGCAGATCGCTAAACCCCGCCCCCAGTTTCGCCAGATGTCAACAAACCAGGGTAAGTCAGCGTCTCGGTCCTGTGGGAGATAAGAATTGAAGATGCCTCTTGATTTTAGAGCGGTAATATACATTGAGCTAATGTTTCCAGTAGGGCTGCACTATGAAGTCAAGTAAATTCTCGAAATGCATGCTGACCACCGTCGCGCACTTGAACACACATGGCCATCGATTACATATTTTTGACTCTTAGAGAAATGTTACAGCTTAGACTTTCCGCTTGTACTACCACCAGCGCCTCGATCGTTATCCGTTGGCTCACTATCCGCTGTCTCAGCCTTTAAGCTGATCGGATCACCTAACTGGCTTGGATTCTCCTGCAACTTGTCCATAGCCCTCTGTCGGAGTGTCTTCTTCCCGTCTCGTCCATCCTGACCACCTTCTGTTGGTGCTGGTGCAACTTTTCTGACATTCTCCTTTGTTGCTTGGGAAGCGGACTTGGGCTCTGAAGAGGAAGCCCCATTGTCTTCAGAAGTTGGGGATGTTGACGACGTCTCTGCTTTTAGAGAAATGGGATCTCCGAGCTGAGACGGGTTTGATTTGTTGGTCTGTAAGGCTCGCTCGCGAAGAGTGGGTTCCAAGTTGTTTTTAGACTGATTGTCGTTAGTATCATAGTGATCAGGGGCGAACATGAATATTAACTGGTGACATGATTCTGATTATTTATAGACCGTATTGTGCTAAGCAGTAGAATAATTGATTAGATGCTTCTGTTTCGGATGGCGGGGATTGAGATTGACAACTCAATTTCACGAAAGAGATAAGGTGCTATCTGAGATTGTGTGATGAAAGGAAGATTGTTTTTGGGTTTCTATCCTTTTTACATATATTGAAGCAACATTTGTGTTTATATGTATGACGCGTTGAAAATTTGTTAGTTCGCCGAGGCAGTTGTCTTAGAGAAGTGTCGGGAGTAAGCGATGGCTTGTGATGTGGGCCAAGCGACTCTGGGCTTAAGCGACAAGTAAACATCTCTCGGGAGCCAGGGTTTGACTTCAGAGAAGGAAGTAAATACCACACCATGTTGGACAGCAGCATCTTCGCTTGAGACACAAAAATCGTGCAATAAAGAGCTTTATTATGTCGGGGCATTTGTCAGAGAGCTACCTTCAACTCTCTCCAATGGTATTCTTTGTCCAGCCAAACATCACTACTCCAAGCAATTATGCATCATACAATCATCAACTCACTTGTGGAGGTTTCACTTCTTAGACTTCTTCCTCCAAGCTTTCTCACGCTCGTATTCCTTTTTTTCGTGGCCCTCCTCTCCCTGGATCTCCGCCAGTAACCTCTTCTGTTTCTTCTCATAGGCCGCATCCCTCTCTTTCTTCTGCTTGAGACTCGAGCTCGCCAAAATTCTCGAATCCTTGCGCAATTCTCTAATCGCACCTTTGCGCTCACGTTTGTGCTCTTTCTTAAGCTTCGCCAATTCCGTACGCTCGCGGTCTGGGTCGTAATGACGTTCTGGATTGAAGTTGTCTTCAAATTTGGGAATGGATGTTTTGATGGCGAGAGGTTTGTGGTGGTGTAGTTCAAGAGGACGACGGGCAAGACGAGACTGATCGAGAAGAACAGTAAGCTTTTGGGAGACGGTGGTAAGGGTTTTCTAGGTTCGTTAGAGACGCTATCTTGAGGTCATTGGGGCTGTAACTTACTTGAGTGTTGCCGGAGAGCTTGGTCCGGCACTTTTTGGAGGCGAGATAGTGTGTGATTCTGAGGGCAGGCTCGAAGACTTCTATGAACGCAGCTTTGCCAGTCCATATCGTGGCTGCTACATTGACAAGACTCAAGTTGATATCTAGTACAGCGGCTTTGACAGTCTCTTTTTCATCTTCCGATAGTTCGTTCGTAGTACAATCATAGAACTTCAACCCTCTCCCTAATTGGGGGACTCTTTCGATTCGTAGCGAAGACTTCGGGTCATGATAAGGAAAGCTATCAGGTGTTCTTGACATCTTCGCAGGCGCCAAAGCACATAACGTGTTCTCGATGAAGTTCATCACCTCGGGGATATATCTCTTAGACAGTTCCTGATACTGGAGACAAAGGGTGCATAAATATGCTCCGGTTGCGTAGTCTGCTAGACTTTGGGGGATTTTGAGACCAAGGTATCGTGCCATCCCAAGGATTGCAGGAGTAGCAACTTGATGAAAGTGATCAGATGTTGGGAAAATCGTTCCAACTGCTGTGAGAATCACCAGGTCTCCAGGGGTAGGCGAAAGAGCTCGAGACGTGTTCCAGTCCTCAAGATGATGGCGGAAAGAATTTGCGATCTCGACCGGGAACATGTTTGCTAGAGAATGGATATGACGGATAATGGTCTCTAGCACAGAAAATGGAGGACGCTCTTCCTGGTTTGCAAGGTACGATATATGGTCCACCAGTGCTACCGCCAAGTTCCCAAGCTTCGATTTATTTTCACTCTTGAGCTTGGGATGGTAGAGGGCTCTTATTCGTTGTATGACGGTTGGGAGATCAAGGATATCAATTCCCTTTGTGATCTCAATAAGCTGTTCGTGTGATTCGGGGCATAAAAACTTGAATGCCAGATTTCCGTGTACTCCGTTCTGAGATGGTAGCTCAATCTCTTGTACAGGACCGTTCGCACTTGTCAAGAACTCTGGCCTTTTGGCCTCTTCTTCAGTCAGGAGTCCAGTGACGAATTCGTCGTCCTCCTCTTCCGCAAGTTCTTCAATCTCATCGTCTGAGTCTTCCTCCGAGTCGTCCTGCTCTGAGCCACTGGCAACTAAACCGTCGTCTATCAGGAAATCGTCCTCATCCTCAACTCCCAGATCAGCCATTGAAGGCCTGACCTTAATACCTGCTCCAAAACCAAACTCGTCATCTTCGTCCTCTTCTTCATCAGGTCCGTCCTCCGTTGTCTTTTGTTCATCGTCACTGACTTCTCCTCCCTGCATCCGGCGAAGTCTCTTTGCTTCTAGCTGTTGCAGTTTCCTCGCTCTCTCCTCTATCATCTCTTCTTCCGTCTTCGACTTCTCGGTAGGTTTCGCCCGGGCGTCTTGAGCTAACTGCCTCAGTCGGAGATCGTATTCTTTGTCGAATTTCACCTTTTCAGTCCCATTTAATAGTGCAACACGGTCTGGATTCATGCCAGGTACCGCTGCTGCAAGTACTGGAACAGGTTTACGACCAATGCCTCGGAGCAGATCATGAATGCTTGACATTTCCTTGTCTAACTCCTCCCGGACATCCTCATCATCATCCTTCGCGGCTTGTCGCTCATATTTGTGCAGCTTTGATTTTGCTATAAGTTCCTTCATAACTTCCTGCTTGGACTTCTTCCGCTCTGGACGATCCTCTCCATCTTCGTCTTCGTCCTCGTCTTCTTCGCCATCAACATCTGACCGCCTTCGTTTTAGTTGTCGCTCCTCATCCGAAGGATGGTCATCTGCGTCCGAAAGATCCAGATCGTCCTCCTCGAAGTCATCCTTTAAGGCAGGTCCGTCTAGAGATAGGGACTGGCCCATGTGCGTGAGTTCGCCTCCTTCATCGTCTTCTAAGTCAAATGCAGAGCTGTTTTTGTGCCGAACTTGCTTCTCTCTCGTGAAACGTTCTAACATTTTCTCTTCGGGGGCCATGCTAGGGTCATTTTCTCCAAATCGCTTATCCAGTATGCCACCAACTTTACGCCGAGTTTGTTGCTCTTCAATGTAAGCCTGCCGGCGCTGTGGACTTCGTTAGCAGTTTAATTAAGTGCGGTATAGCGAACAACTAACCAGTTCTTCATCACGACTTTTCTGCAGACCTGGTCTCCTGATAGCAGGCTTATGCGAATGTTCGGTGGTAACGTCAAATTTAGGCTTCTTCGAAGATGTAAAATCGAATGGGTTGAATTGCTCTCGAATGCCATTGAGGGTAACATTTCTCCCCACCTTCTTTTCCTTGTTGACGCCATTCTGCGCATTCTGCTTCTTCTGTTTTTTCGATTGCTGGGGGCCAGTAATACCCTGCTCTCGTAAAGAGGCTTTCAACCTCTTGAGCTGCGAAGGAGGCATTTTGTGGAGGATTGCGAAAAGGTGGTGACGGAAGATATATTTTTTTGATTGAAGAAATCAGTTATCGCGATAACCACCTAATGGAGTTTAGATAAGGCGGTCAGTTACGGCAATATTTGGCAAAGGTTCCTTGAACATTATCAGCCATCATCATCCTGCGCGAAACTCCGCAAGACTCCAGACTTTGTTGACACATGTAGTTTCATCGACATGGCGGCGACATCGCCATCCGGTAATGACCGGCTCTTCATTTTTGGTATGGGATGTGCGGCAGCCGCAGTGATGTGGGCAATGCGAGAGATGCTCATCTACTACCGCGACGAGGCTGCGATACCTCCCTCCGAAAACAAACCCCAGTACATAACGCAAGATGTGGAGGACTCTTTGAAACTTGGTACTTTGAACAAACTACTGGACAGTCCTAATTACTCTATACAAGAGACTACTGCGATCATCATCTGCGAGCGAGCTCTTCACGATCAAAACGCCATCGACGCTCTTCTATGGCACATCACTCGGCCGGAACACGAATCAAGAGAACAGGGTATTCGAGCTTTGACAATGATGATGAACAGCTGTATGTGAACTCATTATTACCTTAAACTTGGGTCTGACCTTTCACAAGCTACTGTGAAAATGATCAACCGACCAGAAGGATGGGCGGCGTTGGTCAAATGCCTCGAGTACTCGATTACAGACTACAAACATAATCTCTTCGACTCCGAATGGGACAATTGGCACTTACGAGACGTCGTCGAGCAAGGCTGTCTAATGGTACTGGTTCAGCTAACAGATAAATACGGACCATCTGGACTGGTCAAGTCACGATTTGTTGACCGGTGGCTTGCGAAAGAACCATGGTCTGAAGATGAAACGTACCGAACGATGAAGTTCGCAGACTCTTTGCACAACAAGAACCGACTGAGCGAGCTTACAATACCATTATTTCGAGATCATGCTGGTCGGAAGCAGTTGATCAAAGCAAAGCTTGTACCCCCCGAACTCGTCATGGGCCCGTATTCTAGGGATATTAAGATGATCAATGGGGAGAGCACAGCAGGAGAAGACTTTGATGGTATGTTTGTGGATAACAGACGAAGGCGAGATCAGAGTTCTGAGGATGACCATATCCGGCGTCGTCACCGTGAGGCTATGGTACTGAACGATGGCACAAGACCACTCGAGAGAGGCGACATAATTCAGCGAGAACGATGATGAGATATGCCAAGGAAAAGCATGATTATATTACAAAGAGGTTGTTTGCTATCCAGACAACTAGGAACGTGATGGGATTTCCGAATCTCTTGAAAAGATTGACCCGCAATGCGTCCGGAGCAGGCACCCTTCCCCAAAAGGCGAACTTCACGCACTGCGAAAGAACCGATTTCGCTGCTTATCATGCAGCGGGTACACACAGTATTGTCGGTGCAGGCTTACCGCCCAATTGCCACTCAACTGCCACTCAACTGCGTCACTTCCGAGGAATTAGAATGTTCTGAAATGGCAAATTGGAATTGAATGTCTATTTGGCCATCAATCAAACTTGGTAGCGAATGAGGAAGTTCACTTCGATCTGACTGTGTCTTCTTCCAGCTCTCAGCGGCACAGCAATGGTGCCATGTCTGTTGGCTGCAGGTACGGTGTAAGGGTATTAGATTACTCCCCGAACCATCAAAGTTTAGTCGGAAGTTTGCCATCAAATCTGCTTTGTTACATTTTCCGATCTGCTATTTGAGTCTGGTGTAACACTTTATTTCGGACGCCCCCGGCATTGTATACCGTAACGCTCGTATTGAGCGGGTGGATTCATCCCCATAGACTGATTTTTTGATTATCACGGATGATTCTTCAATTTGTCCACTCATCATCGCCTCCCTCAGGTAAGACCTTGCTATGCCAGCCTGAGCCGGGCCTTTTCCGGCTTGCGGCATTTACGTGGCTCTGTGAGTTGTAGGAGGAACTTCGCGTCAAATCACTCGAACCGTTAGATGTATCAATAGAGGCCAGCACTTTAGTGGTAAATGCTAATATCGCATATCTTGCGGCCTTCTCCAACACCTACCATCTTTCCAGTCGTTTCTGCTCTTTGGTGGGGTGTTTCTCACGTTGTCCACAATGTAGTGCTATACTTTTTCAGGTATTTATTTGAGTTTGCTAGATTGCTGTGCCTCAACTAGATTGAATGCTACCCAGTGGTAATGCACTTCACTCTGTGGTACCGGCTTTCTCTATATTGCCTGCTGCTTACTGCTTACCCTTAGCTGTAGTTCGCTTGTTGAAAGTGGCATCGGTGAGAAGCTGAAGTCGCATGTATGGCCAAAGCCACTCATCGGATGAGAAGAAGATGCCATGACCCATGGCCCTGAGCATGTAGAGAAGTTTTACTATAAGTATACCTCCTCAACCCAGATATATAATGCTCTCTGCCTGTTCGACTCACTCACCTTGTTGCACTTGCCTTGGACGCTATACATACATCTCATAAACTCATCCGTAGTTACATTAACACTAAATCACTACAATGCTTACTTCCTCGCTTGTCATCTTGGCTCTATCAGCCTTCTCAACTGCCCTCCCAACGACACTCGAGAAGAAAGATACCGCTTGCTCAACTCCAAAATCTTTCACAATCTCGCGTTTCTCCAAATTCACACCAGCAGCTTCCAATCCACATCCAGCACAACTTTCCTTCAGCTATGGCGACGATGGTGCCACTGTGAGCCAAACGAGCTGCCTATTGACTGGGGCTACCTCGACATCTAGCACGCCTGTTGCCTGCGCAAATCCTGATGTCAGCTTTCTGTTCGAAAACAATCAATTGACTATTTTTGAGAACTATACGCCTTGTGATTCGTAAGTCCATCGATCTTCTCTGACCTGTAGACCTATGGAAATTTTCTTGCTTTGGCCGAGAAATACACGAGCAGGGAAAGGAAAAGTTCGCTGATACACCTGAGATTTCGCAACAATCATCGAGTCAAGTTGCTAACTGAAGTTAATAGAACCACAAAGGCTAAAGTTCAAGGAACAATCTACGTCGCTACGTACTGCTATCCTAGTCCTCCACAAGTTCCGCTTGGCGAGGGAACGACATGCCAGACCCCCAGTACCTCGCTTGGTGGCAGTTTGGCAGCGGCTTAATCAAAATCTCAAGGAAGACTTTTGTTCCGTGAAGTCTTCGTTTGGTGATGAGAAAGAGATGGCAATGTGTGAATCTGTTCTAGACTTTTGAACAAACGTACGATGATGATCGATTTTGGGTTTGATGTTTAATCTAGATTGCATTAGGTATCAGAGAAGACAGTTGAACAATATAAGATGGGATTAGTAAAACAAAACGTTCCCTCGAATATGCCATCATTTAGATGTGTCTGGTCAGCTCAGCCAACAGTACCTGTCACTCATCCACCCCCTTCCCATTCTGCATTTAGCAAGTAAATTCCAAGAAATCTGAGCAAGCCGATACACTTAGATCGGACTCTAGACCTATATGCAGAATACAAATGTTAGCCGGGCGTCAAAACTAATACTACCTTGCCAAGCGAAGGTCCGGATTGTCTCATTATCCGTCAGCTTGTCTGAGCGCACCATTCCAGCAGTGAAATACTCAGCGAGGCTGGGCGATTTGCCCAGCTCCAGGTCCAGAAGGTTTCTTTTTGTACGCATGCTAAGTTGTGCAACGGGAAGATACATTGAGTGTGACGCCCGCCTCATAAGTCAAGGCTCTGTATCGGGAGACATCATTATCGAGATATGAAATCGGAGCCACTTCCTGTCGCAGAGACATCAAAGCTCCGAGACTAGACTACGAGATTGTATCATCTCGAATCCGGAATGTTTCTCAAGATATCAAGGATTTTTGACGCCTTCTGGGTATTGAGCAGCAAGGCTGTGCCAAAATTGTTTGTTGATCAGGTTACATACAGGGCGCTTGGTGCAACAGCATGACGTGGTTGAACGCCCTGCTCCTGCTACTCGCAACTCATCCTCAAAGTAGAGAGAGTACTGACAAGGCTGTCCATTCTTATTGAAATATTACATCGTCTCTCTGTCATGCTGCTACGTTTAGCTGCGACGTTTGCTCTGGACTATTTGACAGTCCGGATTCGGATATTCTGCGTGAGCAATTACCAGTTCTTATGATTGTGTTCGGTTCAGAATATTTGAATGATTTGATTTGACCGGTGGAAAATGGGAGACTACGAAGACTGTGCGTCAACACCGTCCTGCTCCTCACATTCCCTCCAGCCTTGTCATCAAAAATTCGCAAACTCCTAACTTCCTGGTCCTAACATCTGCCAGACTACTCATCCTCATCCAGCTCCTCAAGCAGCAGAAGCTCGGAACCATTCCCAGACACCCAATGCCGTGGCGAGCTCTACCACGGCAAAGTGTTCCAAATATCAACCTGTGAGAATCCGAATTTCACGACCACGACGGTTGACGGAAGATGTTACAACTGCGGAGGCATGGGCCAACTAGAACTGTATGTAGCACTCAAGTTCGCATTTGCTCGAGATGGTAGTTCCTAACAGACGTAGGGAGAGACTGAAATTGTATCATAAGAGCAAGGCTCGACAAGCTGGCTACAGATGCTGTGATTCCCAAGACATGGGGGCTCGAGACACGGGACACAGCAAGAGATATGGTGGAAGCCAAAGGAGTGGATGTGACCCTCGCCCTGCTCAACGAGAAGATATGCGCATGAGTAGCTCTGATGAAGGAGATAGGGGGTATTCTATGCAGAGAGCTTCGTGTTGTAGGAGTCCGAATTTCTCCACTACTACTCGCGATGGGACGTGTTATAATTGCGGGAGGTTTCCTGATGGGAGGAGGAGTTGGTACAGATAAACATTCAATATGAGGAAGAAAAGAAGCTGGGGAATGTTTTACGGAGGAAGCAGGAAACGGCAAGTGGATGTCAAAGCAAGACGTTTGATTGGTGCATGGCATGGTCTGTTTGTGACAAGTCTAATATAAGCTTCGTATCCACGAAGAGGGCGGTGAGCTACTGCTTAAAACTTGAAAGTTGAAGCGTTTACCTTTTAATTTCCAAGAGCGAGGCGAGGCTTCTGAGAAGTTCCAATGTCTCAGCCTCTCACCATCTCACCCTTCTCCTGCATCTCGTTCAAGACTCGGTCTGCAACCCGGAATGCTTCCATACCAGATGGCAGACCACAGTAAGCACTGGGTGGACTTTGTTAGCCTCATTTCTTGACTGCTTGTCCATCTCGCAGTAGCTCTCCACTCTCCTCTCTCAAGCCGCTCCAGCTGTCGGCTACATATGGAAATGGCAGGTAAAATAAATGAAAGGCAGAAATTATACATACCTAGCCTGTAATAGTGCCTCCCTAATCTCAACCTCACTACATCCATTCCTGACAGCTCCCCGAACATGCGTACCGAGTTCAGTCCATTTACTCATCGCTGTGAGCATAACGAGGTTCAGCAAACTCCGATCTCGGTGCGAAAGACCCGGTCGAGTCCATATTGTTCCCCATGCTGATTCCTATTGCACTGTTACTACCATTCTTCATATTTTTGCAGAACAATAAAGGTAATGACCTCGATAATGAGGTGGACAAGGGGAAAAGGAACTATTATTGTATGGAAAGAAATAGAACTATTGAACTCACAGTAGCAAACTGTTGCAGTGGCCTCATGAAATCTCCACTGCCCTTTTCGAGAGCGTTGGCCACATAATCCTCACCGACGACTTTCTTCCTCATTTCAAGGCCTGCTTCGTACAGGGTTTGGTGAACAGAAGTATCCATATTGTTTTTGGAAATAGGGACTGAGGAGTCATCCGTGTTCTATTTTCATAATGAGTACATGGAGGAGACAGGGGCGAGCGAAATGAAGATGGATGGGATAGGTCGATGGATTTGGACTAGAATGTACAGAAATATGATGGTCAAGAGTAGTAACAGAAGGTAAGAGACAGACATACTGTAGGACGGAATTGTTCTGTCCCTTTTGGGTAGAGTTGGGGTGCTCCAGAAGTAGGACCGTAAGCCTCGCCTGCTGGATTGCGTGGGAGTGCCATGCTTCAGGATGTATTGATCGTTCAGTGTACCTTTTGTTCCCGCCTGCTCTCGAGCTCCTTTAACAGGTCGAGAGCCAGTTTAGTAAAGTAATGTCTTTCAATAATGAGATGTAAGATAAAAAGTTGAGCGAACGAGAGCAGGTGACGGAAATTGTGCTTGCAGCTGGAAAGGATGAATGTTTATCCACCAACTCACAAGTCCAGAAGGAGGATGTTGTTGTTACAGCAAGGGTTGACGAGACCTGATGAGGTGGCGCCACGCCGTTTGGGTGCGGGGTAGCGCCTCCCTACCCCGGATTCCGGCCAACGAGAACAAGGCACTGATCCTGGAAAGGCTCCAGGTTTGCTTGGTGATGCAAGCTAGAGACGAAGGTGGACCTTATTTGGACGTCCTTGTCTTTTTCTCTTCCTTCTTTTTTTCTTCTTCCTTATCCTCATTGCTTCTCAAGGTCCCAAACCTTTGGCTTGCCGTACGGACATTCATGGACGATGATCTATTGATGGAAGGTCTTCAAGATGAGGGAAGAGACGAGATGATGTCACTGATGTTGTAAATGAGACCGTAAGTGTGGAATGGGGGATATGTTGCATTCCAAGTCTATGATTGATCGCGGTCTATGATTGCTATCTTACAAAACAAATCGACACATACAAAACAGCAAGTACTCTACGCTCTATCCTCTCTATCATCACAGGAACTCCAATTCTATCCCTCTATCTATCTATCTGTCTATCCATCTACCGGGTATCATCGGACTCTCTAAGCGTTGGTAGGCTTGAAGACATACTTCTCAGCATTCTCCGCGAAAGGAACACCGAGCTCGAAGAGCTTGGTGATAACTGCAGAGAAGTCCTTGAAGAAGAGATCGTTGTCCTTGGCGTACTTCTCGACCCATTGCTTGAAAGACTTGTCGGATACGAGTGCGACGTCGGTTGGAAGCATCATGAGGGTCTTGGTTGTCTTATCCTCGAGCTGTGTTTCCTTTCGTCAGCCATGTTCTTTCTTGCGTTCTTCTCTTGCTGGAGACTGAGAGGAAAAGAGTGTGCTTACCTGCTTAGGACCATTCCACTTCTTCCATTGCCACTTCTCATTCAAAAGAAGGGTGTAGTAAGCGTTCGTCACAATCGTTGGAGAGAAAGTCCATGGTCCAGTGAAACCACTGCGATCGGTGTGGCAGCGTCCAAGAGCATGAGCTCCGCTCAACGCAACGATCTCCTGGTCATTGAAGCCCATTCGGCCGAAGATGTCGCGCAAGTGCTTGTTGCCCTGGGTAGCATCTGGGAGACGTCCATCAGGTGTGCAAGCTGCGATGTCCTTGTCAGAGCGACCTGGTCGGTATGGGATGGCTGGGCCTTGCATCTCCTGGATAGCGCAGACACCGGAAAGGATCCAGAGATCGGAGTAGGAGATCCATGGGAACTTCTCTGTAGCGGCTGTCAGCGATGTTCTCGTTCGGAGCGATCCGTATCATCCAAGAGATGGAGATGTGTATCTTTTCTCCACTTACGCTTCACCGGCTCCAAAAAGTCTCTCGCGGCCTTCAATCCAGCATTGGCACCATGGTCGCCCTCAGGAGCAAATCTCATAGTCGCACCATTCGACCCTCCAGTTCCAGTCTCCTTATCATAAGTTCCACTGGCATGCCACGCCAACCGCACCAGAACTGGGCCATACGACCCATCATCATAATCATCCTTCTCCTCCAACCGAGCCGCGATCTCGTTATACACCTTCTGGTAATCCTCGAACTTGGGCGTGATGAGGCCCTTGGTCTCGCCCGAGGATCCGGACAGCAGACTGCCATTGCCTTGGCTATAGTAGTAGTAGCCTGCTCCCCCTGCAACGGCGAGAGCTCCTACGCCGATAAGGAGGCCGGAGGAAGAAGACTTTGTGGCACCGGAGGAGGCATAGCTGCGGTGGGATTGCTGGCGGAAAGTTTGGCGGGGGAGAGTGAATGCTGAGGTTCGTGCTGTGGTCTTAAAGGCTGATGCTGAGGGGGCTTTGAATGCTGCACGAGCGACGTTGCGTGCTGCGGAGGCCATGGTGGCGTGGTGTTGTGTGGTGTGGAGTTTGTGAAGCTATAAAATTTAGGTACGACTGATAAGGTCAAATTGTAGCAGCTATGTAGCTGAAGGGAGCAAGAAACAATCAGTCAAGCTGTGTGAATATGAAAGAGGCAAAGGAGGGTTCGAAGAAGAGTGGGAAAGGGAAGCAGAGCAAAGCAAAGCACACGAAAGATAGCGAAAGACTAATTGTTCCTCGGGATTCTAAAACAGCTCAACACCTGCCTGTCGCCAGAAGCCGAGCTGGCAGGAAGCTACGCAAGTCTCCGATACCCACCTCGCTGATTGAGATCCTTCTCACAGGCAAAAACATAAAAAGTCCACCCCACTAAACGCGAGCACGTCCTCATTTCAAACCAATCATATTCGCGACGAAAGAGGTGACCAGAGTTGAGATTTGTAAGTGGAGCTTCTGGATCGTCTATTCAAGGTTCGATTCTGAGCATGAGTAATAATGGATCCCTGTATATTCGACTCGAGTCGTGTACTGTACCTCCGTAGATATTCACCTGGAAAAGGTAGTCCAACCCGAGAATTTTCGTGCGGCCAGGTACAAGTGCAAGGCTGAATAAATTTGTTTGGAATGCGGGACTTTCGAGAGAAGGCTGCGCTCCGATCTGAACTCCGAGGAAAAAGAAATGGATCTAGTTTGTCAGCTGCGAATTGGGTGGTTCTGATTGGCTTGGAAGAACAATTGACAGACGCCTCTCGTGGGGGAGTATGGTTCGAAGTTCTACGTTGAGTGTATGGAACATTGAGACCTGTTAGACGGTAGGTAGGAATAGTACGACATGGATCGTCAGTTCGATGAACTGCATAGTGGTTGCAAAATTGGACAAGGATGAGGATGTTTGGCCGGGACTTCACCTGCTGGTGATAGGCTTAAAACCATTTTTTACCTTCCTGACCATCGCACAGATTAGGTAGCGAGCGAGAAGGAAGATATATTATGGAAGGAAGTAGGCTACGCAGAGTTGACTTCACAGTCGTGCCGATTAGGTGAGTGTGCATTCAACAATACCTGAGAGAATCCAGACTGTGTTCACCACCCACAAGATTACGCAGAAAGAGGCACAATTACTGCCTTAGGCCATACAGGCGCTCACCCATTGGGATGAATGGAAACTAATGACTAGATTTTCTGCAGATGGTTTCAAAAAATGCCACCAAGAAGTAATAATAATAATACGTAAGAAGTTAGAGATCCTCCCCTCAAGGACGGTCGCGCAAATGACCCACTTTCGCTTACTAGCCCATCCACCACGTGACCACACAGTCCACTCGCTTTGAATCTCCAAAACCTTTCCCCTCGCGAACTTTTTCTAGAGACATCGACAACCCACGACAACGCCATCGCCGACCACAGCAGCAATGGCATCCACCAAGACCGAGCGCAGCGGCATCGCCGTCGGCCCAAACAAGGGACACGTATGAAATTCCCCAAAATCAAAACCACACTCCAGCCCGTCTCACCTCTTGGAGGATCTCAATCTTGTTACTGCTCCTCGAGAGTGAGACGATTGAAGATGGACATAACGGGCTAACGCTTTCTTTCTTGCGGGAATATAGAAAACAGAGGCACGCGTTGTCAAGCCCCGTATCAGCAGATCCAAGGGAAAGGCCAGCAAGCGCACCCAATTCGTTCGCGAGATTGTTAAGGAGGTTTCTGGGTATGTTCAGCCCCCCTGCGCATTTTGCGCATTCTTCGCATTCTTCTTGAAGAGGCAAACGAAGAGATCAAGAGGCTAACGGATATCTCGCAGACTCGCACCATACGAGCGTCGTGTTATCGAACTCCTCCGTAACTCCAAGGACAAGCGTGCCCGTAAGCTCGCAAAGAAGAGAGTACATCATCCCTCCCCTCGAACATCACACACATATATCTAACCACTCCACAGCTCGGTACTTTCGGACGTGCCAAGGCGAAGGTTGAGGAGCTCACCAACGTCATTGCTGAGTCGAGAAGAGCTGGTCACTAAGCGTCTCGCCCTCTTTCTCACACCGCACCATACCCTCTCGGGCATATCGCACGCATACCATTGATCGATCGACCCCATCTTCATTTACGATTTGAGATTTCCCGCACGGCGTGCATGGGTGGAGGAATGCTGGATGGTCTGGTTGGCGTTGTATGAATGAATGCTAAGGGTTTGCTGGAACAGGATTTGCATGGGAAAGCTATTTTCTCGGCGATCCTGGAACGGATGCAAAAATGAAATAAAATATATTCTGCAACTCCATCAAGAATTTTGGAACAAATTTGCCTCTGATTTTAGCGCTAATCACTTTATCTACTTTGGTGCGCTTTAAACAGAAATCGCATCTCATGCTGACAGAACATTTTCCATCCTCACTCTACACAATTCTATCCCCATGCTCCTCGTTAAGCATGCCAAACGATCTATTGCATTGATAATTACAGCACATAAAACTGTCTCGTTGTCCTCCTACGCCGAAGCGCTCTATGCCCACAAGAGCATGCACAACATCCTGATTTCCCAAGCAGAAATAACTCCTCGCTATGTAAACCCCAATGCCCAGAAAATGCCATGACCACTAGCAACCTAACCATCATCTCATGTCGTATCTCATAAACCTCCACTCCAAATCCAGTCCAAGACTTTCTCATTTCACTTCCCTCCCCTCCCCATCACTTCTTGCCTAGTCCCTTAAACCACTTGGGAACACCACCCTTACTCTTTCCACCACCCGGAACCTCCTTCCCCTTGCCCTTATCAACACTTGCCTCTCCAGCTGCGACTCCGGCCTCTTCCTTAGGATCATCCTTCGGCGGCTCCAAAACAGGAATCTCCTTCGCAGCTTGCACATACTGCGATTTCAGCACTGGCTTCTTCCTCGCTTCCTCACTGGCAGCATCCTCCCAGACAAAATCAACCAGAACCCTGTCCTCAAATCCCAAATCCTTAATCAGCTTCATGTCACTCCTTGGGACAGCTTGCGGACCTGGATTCTTGTAAACGAGCTTGAATGGTTGAGTTTCGGCAGCTATCAAAGCTGTGACAAAGGCGTAGAGACTGTTTCCTGTTTCGTCGGCTGTGAAGGTAGCTACTGTGCTCTGTTGATCTGGGAAGCGGATTTTGATGGTGACTTTGGTTTTCTTAGCCAGTTTCAAGGCCTTTTCCTGCTCGAGACGCTCTTGTTCTTCATATGAGACGAGGCGCTTGTTGACTGAGCTCTCCTTGAGACGGGTTTGGTGGAGTTTAGCATGAGCGACTGTGGGTTCGTAGTCATCTTCGTTATCTGGGCGAAGAGCGGCTTTGGGTGTTGAGTCTGAAGGGGCAGCGTAGACTTCAATTGGGCGTTGATCGGGTCCTAGTATTTGGGATTCTGGTGACGATTGGGAGGGAGCAGGTCGTTTGGACGGAGTTAGAGGTGCTGGTTGTGTACCTTCACTGGTTGGTACTGGATCCGAGGAAGTCGGAACTTCCTGACCATCTGTGTTTGCCATATCGACATCCTCAGGCTCGTTAGATGGAAGCTTTGCAACGGCATCCGTGACAGTCTGAAGCTCCTCTTTGGGCTCTTTGGCGACTTCACTACCAGGCGCAGCCTCCTCCTTGAAGTACTGTCCGATCTCCTTCATCGCCTCCTCCAGCGGTTGATCCGTTGCCTTAAAGCCTAGTCTGATAGCCACGCTTCCCTGGTTGAAGCCCAGCTGTGCCAAATTCTTCTGTAAGCCTCCGAAGTCAGAGAAGTCCCGTCCCATTATGTTCAACGTAGGCATCTCGTAGAATATCCGACCTGCGCCTGAAGCTCCACCATTCTCAATCTGCGTTATACCCCGCGCAGTGAAGTTTAGGTTCTGGCCCAAGTCTTTGGATTCGAATTTCCGCAAGATGAGCCATAGTGTAGTGTCACTAGGGAACTTGTCTATTAATCGTCCACCAGGTATAGATCCTGCCACTGATTCTGGTAACTGGAGAGCTACAGATACGACGGAGGGAGAGCGGGAGGCAATGACGAGCTCAAGCTTTGCGCCGGGGACGAGGCCTGTTTGTCTGTATGGGCTGGACAGTTCGACGAGCTTGTTGTTATGTCTTGGTTTGTTAGAACGTTACTACTTCGTGAGAGGACAACTTACTTGAGACCGTAGTTGCTAGATTTGAGATTCAACTTCTTGCAGGCTTGCTCCAGCACATCTGTCATATATGTTCCTGGGTTGACCTTGATCACCGCACGCCTAAAGGAGCTGTCGAGAACTACGACGTTCGACGCCATGGCTCCTAGTTCTATGCTGGAAATCGCAAAGTAGTTTGGAAGTTTTGGATCGCTGGTGCAAGAACAGGTGCTGAGTTCAAATTACTCGTCGGGTTAACCTGATATGATGCCTGCAACAAATACAGGCTCCGGAAGCGTACGTGGTTGAACGTTTCTCTAGGCTTCTCGAATCTTGGTAAGAGACAAGCGGGCGTGGCGGGGTGTTTTGTTTGTCCAGTTTGGAGCTTTTCCCAAAACACAGGCGTGGTGAATCTGCCTTGAAAGCTCCAAAATACTTCGAATGAATAATCGACAATCTTGGCCCGAATTTCCGAGAAATATGGCAATCCGATCGTTGCTTTGGCGGGGTTGTATGTGAGAAGGTCAAGATTAGGAGCTCGCATGCATCTGGTGCCTGGATGCGGCAGAACTTCGGAACATTATTGTTCCAGCTGTTGAAGCTCGACAGACGCGCAGCCGTGTCTACCTGCCCTTGTCAATCAATCAACGTCCACATTCAAACCGCCAGCCTCACTTTCTCCTCAACTCAACCACGAAGCTTTCACAACACACAAGAGAGCTGTCTAATACTGCTACACCTGAAGATACCCTTGATAGAAATCACTGAAAATGGTAGGTGTTAATCTCTAATTCTAAGCCTCAAACTGGACGAGCAGCATAGCTAACAAGTCACTACAGAGCTCCCCCTTCTCCATCAGTACGTGCATAGTGCAATACAGAAGCCTCTATACAAAGGACAAGCAAATCTAACTCATATCTGCAGATGGCGGCGCCTGCGTAGCAATGGTTGGCAAGGACTGCGTAGCCATCGCATGCGATCTCCGACTCGGTCTCCAAGCTCTCACCATCTCCAACAACTTCCCCAAGATCTTCTCCTACGGTGACGTCTACCTTGGTCTCACCGGTCTCGCCACCGACGTCTCTACAGTCTCCGACCTCCTCCGCTACAAAGTTAACATGTACCGTCTCCGCGAGGAGCGCAACATCTCGCCATCGACTATGGCAAACCTGGTGTCCAGCAGCCTGTACGAGAAGCGTTTTGGTCCGTACTTTATTGCTCCGATTTTGGCGGGGATCGATCAGAAGAGTGGGAAGCCGTTTATTTGTGGGTTCGATAGTATTGGGTGCATTGATTTCGCGAAGGACTTTATTGTTTGTGGGACGGCGAATGATCAGTTGTTTGGTACTTGTGAGGGTCTTTGGGAGCCGGACTTGGTAAGCATCTGATACATTTCCTCCATGTTTATTACTATTTGGATGGACTCCCGGCTAGAGAAGCGTAAAGAGCAGATTCTGGGAGTGTAGATGGCTATTTGGAGGATTGAACCATGGCAATAAGCTAACAACCCATCCCATAGGCACCAGAAGATCTCTTCGAGACCATCTCGCAAGCCCTACTCAACGCCGTCGACAGAGATGCTCTTTCCGGTTGGGGTGCACACGTCTACATCATCGAGAAGGACAAGGTCACCAAGCGGTTATTGAAGGGTAGACAGGATTAGACGATTGACAGAAAACGAAGTTGGCGTTTCCTTCATGGATGGATGGATGGCATGGGCGTTGGAGATATCAGAGAGATAGCGAGTCAAGTTTTAGTCTGCGAGGGCTGGCTTCGACCTTCTCCTATGTACACTAGATCGGGTACGATACGATATTTGCATGCATGCATGGCATTGCGGTGCGGCTCATGAGAGCAGAGCAAAATGATATGACTTGATACACTACTAAATTTGTCCTATATGATACATTGAGTACTGAAACTGACATTCTCACTTGGACATGACCAACGGATTGCAGTCACGGGAACGTACCAGACCAAGTTGCGAGTATCACCTCCATACGAATTCACTGAATTTTCATCGTCTGAAGCGCAAAAATCTCAACGATGGGTCATTCTATATACGGGAATCTTCATGCAAAGATATAAGATAAAGATATAAGGAAAACAATTCTTCAATAACCACAAGTACATTTATGCAATACTCTATATCTACTTCTCGACGGACATCTAGGTTGCGAGTAACGGTAATCTACAATGCATATGTACACACACACACACACACACACACACTTTCTCTTTCATCCCTCCAATGCACACAAGGGATGTGTATCATACTTCTCATTCGTCTATCTCAAGCAAAGTCTCGAAGTCTCCTCTCTTCCATTGCATGCATGCTGTACTCCGTAGATTAAGTATCGAGTGTGTGAATTACTCCTTCTTGGCCCTGGGTGTGGCGACGTCGGTCTTCTGGATGAAGAGCTGGCGCTCGATGAACTTGAGGAGTTCGTCGATGAGACTGTGGGGAGCGTTAGTGGTTTGCTTTGGTTTACAACTCTGGGGAAGGAGGAAGCGGATGGGAGGCACTTACATGACAGGCGCACTGATGACCAAAACAGCCTGCCACTCATTCCAGTTCAGGGGTAAGATCGAGAACAGAGTCTGTAAAATAGGTGTGTAGAGGAGTGCGAAATGCAGCGCCATAGAGAGCGTGATCGCGTATACAAGCATCATGTTCTCCCAAAGAGGTAACGTGAGCAGCGACTCGCTACTCGACAAAGCGTTCATAGCATTCAGCATCTCGATGACGACCAAAATCGACAGCGAGACAGTAGATGCGGACTTCGCCATATCGTTGGAGAACATGCTGCAACCGATGTCGGAGAATTGCGCAGAGCACTTGTGGAAGTGCGAGAGTTGGTAGAAGGAGATCTGTGGTCCTTCGCTGTTGTACATGAACCACCAAGCGTAGCCGGCGACCGTTGCGAGACCAACGTACACGCCGATGACCATGTAGCGGAAGAAGAGCCAGCCTCCGATGAGACGCTCGTCTCGCTTTCTAGGGGCGCGACGCATGATATCATGGTCAGGAGGGTTGAAAGATAGGGCTGTGGCGGGGAGACCGTCGGTGACGAGGTTGACCCAGAGGAGTTGGACGGGGATGAGAGCTTCTGGCATGCCGACTGCGGCAGTGAGGAAGATGGATACAACTTCTCCGATATTGGAGGAGATCAAGTAGCGGATGAATTGCTGAGTATTGTTGTAGATGGAGCGGCCCTCCTCGATAGCGACTTCGATCGTTGCGAAGTTGTCATCTGCGAGGACCATGTCTGACGCAAGTTTGGCAACGTCGGTTCCGGATCCCATAGCAACTCCAATATCGGCTTTCTTCAGTGCTGGGGCATCGTTGACTCCGTCACCGGTCATGGCAACGACTTCTCCAGCGGATTGAAGAAGATCGACCAGCTTAGACTTGTGACTTGGCTCGACTCGGGAGAACAGAGATGCTCTCTTTGCGGCTTCCAGTTGTTCGCTTTCGCTGAGGTTGTCGAATTCGCGTCCAGTGTAGCTCTTGCCCTTGAGATCTTCGTACTCTCCAAAGACACCAATTTGGCGACAGATAGTCTCGGCAGTGTTGCGGTTGTCTCCAGTGATAACAATGACTCTGATGCCTGCCTCCTTGCACTTTCTGATGGATCCGGCGACTTCTGGACGGGGAGGGTCAAGCATTCCAACGAGACCGAGAAGAGTGAGCTTTTGCTCGAGCTGAGAGTATTGAGCGGTAGATTTGGCAGTCTTGAGAAGTGGGTTGGAAGCAACATCTTCCACACTGGCAAGAGCAATGACTCGGAGGCCTCTGTTGCCATAATCTACAACCTCTCGCAATAAAAGGTCTGTAAGAGTTTTGGTCATGGGTACCTTCTTGCCATTTGCTCCAACCAATGTGTGAGTGCAGCGATCAATGATACTCTCTGGAGCACCCTTGACAAGCAACTTTTGCTGGTTCTTGCTACCAACAAGAACGGACATGCTCTTTCGGTCTCTGGAGAACTCATATGTTGCAAGGCGTGGAGCTCTGGCCTCGTACCAAGAGCTAGAAAGATGAAGACAGTCCTGACCCGTGGCACCAGCACGTTTCTGATTCTGTGCGGCGTCTTGGGTACCAATCTTTTCCACGAGAACGCGAAGAGCTCCTTCAGTCGGTTCACCAACATTTGAGTAAGTGCCAGACTTTGCATCAAAAGCGAGCTGGGCATCGTTACAGAGTGCTGCTACTTCGGCCATTTGAAATACAGTGCTTGATGAGGCCGCCACATTTGAGACAATGGAGCCTTTAGATGTAATGCTACCCAGAGGAGCAAATGTGGTACCCTGAACATCAAGCTCCTCCAAATCATTGCCAGCCTCGTTGATGTAGACGACCTTGTTGACGCTCATCTGGTTCGTGGTCAAAGTACCAGTCTTGTCTGAACAGATGACGCTGCAGCTTCCAAGCGTCTCAACAGATGGCAAACTTCGAACAACAGCGTTCTTGGCAGCCATCTTTCTGGTGCCGAGTGCAAGACATGTTGTAATGACAACAGCAAGACCTTCTGGAATAGCTGCAACACCGAGTGAGACTGCGATTTTGAGGTAGTAGATAGCTCCCTTGGCCCAGCTTCCGTGAGATGGGTCATTGAAGTGGGGAATATTGATGAGCCAGACGACAACGCAAATGACCGAGATTACCTTTGCCAAAGTGTCTCCAAAGTCATTGAGCTTCTGCTTCAAAGGCGTAGGTTCCGAGATCTGAGCAGTAATGCTCTCGTGAATGTCTCCAATTGCGGTAGATGATCCAGTGAGAACCACGATCGCAGTAGCATGTCCAGTAACCACTGTTGTTCCAGAAAACAGGATGTTGATCTGATCCTGCTTGACAGCTCTTGTATCTGTGACTGCGACTGTATCCTTTCCAACACTCTCACTCTCTCCAGTGAGAATTGCTTGGTCCACATTGAAACTGTTGCTTTGAATAGCCAAAAGTCTGCAGTCTGCTGGGATTCTGTCTCCCACAGCGATCGAAATTATGTCTCCGGGAACCAATTCCTCTGCGCGGATCTTGCTAATTAGACCATCTCGAATAACCTTGGCCTCGTTCGCGGAATATTCTTGGAGGGCGGCAATTGCTTTCTCGGCGCTGCTTTCTTGCGATACACCAACGACAGCGTTGAGTATCAAAATTGTGAGGATCTGCGATTGTCAGTCGTATGCAGGAGATCTTCGGAGAAGGGTAGACATACAACTGCTGGATCTACGAAAGCTGTCCAACCCCCACCTTCTTCCAAAAGCGCCAGAACGAAGGAGATGGCGGCGGAACCCAGAAGGATTATGACAAGCTGATCTTTGAATTGCTCGAGAATCAGCTCCCAAATAGGAGTTGGGGGCTCCTCTTCAATAGCTGTTGGACTGTTAGCTTTTGTGCAGTGCGGCGAGGCGCAAAGGGAATTCTCTGCATACAATTGCGACCATGCTTTTCTCTTGAAGCCTTAACTTGAGACTCTGATAATCCCTGGGCTTCAGAGACAGAGAAGAACTTCAGCACCTCGGCGGTGGATTTGGCGTATGCATTTTCCATAGTGAACGTGGGGTCGCAGGCTGGCGAAGTGAAGGCTGGTGGGATACGGAGGCTGTACCGTTTGGCGGCTACTTTTTTTGTCTTGGAGAGCTCATGCAAGGCCGAATGTTTCGTCCAAAAGTTGTGGCAAAAATGTAGTGAAAATTTGCAGCGGAGAAGAACGACGCAGTGAACGTCGGAGGCGGGGAAAGAGAATATATTCTTTCTAAAGTCCTGCTTGGTAAGTGCTAGGTCTCGCCGTCTCTGCCACCACAAATCTACAAGTGTCCTCTTCGTGCAGGATGGGATTGGTCGGTTGGAGAATCGTTAGCCTCGCCGTGCGCAGCGGCAGGTCTGGGCAGTGGGCACTGGGCAGACGTGGGTGCTGAGCTGCGCTTGAGTCGCGGGTATTCGGCCAATCTGTTCTTAGAAAGGTGGCTGGTGGGCTGTGGTTCTTCGTGAGTCTTAACCTGACTGCCGTTTGTACCGGATGTCAGACATTAGGCTTGAGTGTTGAATAGATTGCAGACTTCAGTCACGAGAAGAGACTGAGAGCAGTGCTTTGTCTGCTGTACCGACCTACTGTTTCCAGAAGTACAAGCCTAGCCTAGCAGGCTGGCACTGACTGACTGTGTCCATCGTTTTGAGCCGCAACTTTCCCCCAGATCGGTAGGTTCCAGACCCGGAATGCTTGACTTTGCTCATCCCAGCCGATGGAAACAAAAGAGCTCACCTCAGCGGAAGTAAAGTTTTCTGTTGAAGACGGTATCTGGCTGAGGTAATTTACGTTCACTTCTGTGAGGAGAAGGCGGGGCAGGACATGGGCCGGACGGGCATGACTGGTCCACGGAAGACTTCCATTATTGCCATCATGGAGTGTCAGGCATGTTACGAGTGTCTCGAAGTGGGCTACAGGACAAAGTACAACTTGCTGTTCATCAGGAAGGTCAGGGTCAGAGTATCGGCATACTTCGCATGCTCTAGTGATGAAGCTATATACAAGTTTCCTTCATGATTTGAGTGTATTTACTGCATCAATAATAGGACGTTGAAGCCTGCTTTATCAGGATTCAGAATAATATCTCGCTCTCAACATCCAAGCTCTCGTGTTGTTATCAAGGCTCAGTGGTCGACGTTCTCCACCCCAAAGTTCGTTTCACATGGGTCATGGTGATGTGCAGCCCAGCTTTTCCATCTCCTAATTCCGACGCCGAGAACATCATACATGAATGACCTCTCAGCTCCTCCTCTCATCACATCAGATCACCAGGATGAGTCTTTTTCGTCCAATTGTTGGGCCATCTAAGATGCCATGTGGCTCCATTGGTTGATGATCCGCCAGCACATGCAGCCAAACAACACCCCTGCGTACCTCAAGGCAGAAACAAGTTGGCTATACAAATGATAAGGGACGTACTCTATTAAGACAAGTAGCCATTCAGGATAGACAAATAGCCAGAGAACACAACAACAGCAGATGAATGAGAGTGGGCAGAATCAAGATGTGCTGTGAAATGACGTGACCATGGCAACGCTGTCTTTGTGTTGTACAAACCGGAAGAGTTGTTGTTATTGTCAAGCCCCCAAGTACCAAACTCCCGATATCTACCTTCTTCCAGTCGGGGTATCAGATGAGGCTTACCCTGATCTGAAGCGTCGAGGAGGGTGACCCAAGGTCGGTAGAGAAAGTGGTCGACCGTCTTCCATCGCCCGATGCATTGTTGTTCCCACGTGATACCATTTTCAAGTTCCCCTCAGCCTCGTCAACATTGATTGTAAACAAAACAAGGCATACACAACTCGAGACAAGATTTCCACTTCATAGACCATTCACTCGAGTTGCAAAACGAAGCAATCGAAGTTGTCCAGAGGCCGTTTTGTTGATGTCGTGTTGCTCTTCACCTGCAATTCTGCCACCATCCATCTCAGCCCGCCTTCCATTAGCGAAACTCACTAGCGCAGTTGAACACCGTCGGCGTGGAATCCCCAGCTTTTGAATGAGCACTTCGATTTCAACTTTTCCTCCAACAACTCAACCACGCACCATCGATCTGCAATCTTCTTCATCCACCTCTTCCCTCCCCTCCTTTGCAAGCACATTCTGATCCACCGCAAGAATGACTACCGAAGTAAGTGCTCCGTCTGCCCCAACAACGTCACCTTTGCATTACAGGCCGCTGTTGTTTTCCCCTCCATGGCCCAACAACCCTTATCGACCGCGTTGTTATCCTCCACCTATCTCTCTGCCATCTCTCGAGAACAATCTACTGACTTATATGTCTCTATTTAGCGTGAAAGGTACGGACTCGATCCTGATTCGATGCGCCCGGCGCCTATCCGATGTTGATGCTAATTCCCACCGCAGTAAGACCTTCCTCGCGAGGCTCTGCGAGCAAGCCGAGCGTTACGATGAGATGGTTACATACATGAAGGAGGTTGCCAAGGTACGCAATGCGCTCACCGACCTTAGCGACGATGTTGGCTTCGAAAAAGGATTACAACTGACGACGCGTGACACAGTTGGGTGGAGAGCTTACCGTTGACGAGCGAAACCTCCTGTCGGTCGCCTACAAGAATGTCGTCGGAACCAGACGTGCTTCCTGGCGCATAATCTCCTCGATTGAGCAAAAGGAAGAGTCCAAGGGTACCGACAAGCACGTCTCCACCATCCGTGACTACCGTCAGAAGATCGAAACCGAGCTCGAGAAGGTCTGCCAGGATGTCCTTGATGTCCTGGACGAGTCCTTGATCCCCAAGGCCGAGTCTGGCGAGTCCAAGGTGTTCTACCACAAGATGTACGTCTTATCGCTGGTGGCATGTCCACTCTACAACTCTATAACAGGACCCGTCGCTGACACAGGTCATTAATCAGGAAGGGTGATTACCACCGCTACTTGGCTGAATTTGCTTCCGGTGAGAAGCGCAAGGTCGCTGCCACTGCTGCCCACGAGGCTTACAAGGTATGCGATTGACCAGACAAACCTTTCAACTTTCCTAACCTATCCTGCATAGAACGCTACCGATGTCGCTCAAACCGAGCTCACCCCAACCCACCCCATCCGTCTTGGCCTGGCCCTCAACTTCTCCGTCTTCTACTACGAGATCTTGAACTCCCCAGATCGCGCATGCCATCTCGCCAAGCAAGCCTTCGACGATGCCATTGCTGAGCTCGATTCTCTGTCTGAGGAGTCCTACCGTGACAGCACCCTCATCATGCAACTCCTCAGAGACAACCTCACCCTCTGGACTTCATCGGATAGCGGCGAGCCAGAGGCCGCACCAGCTGAGCCAGCAAAGGAGGCCGAGAAGGCTGCTGAGCCAGAGGAGACCAAGCCCGCCGAGCCAAAGACCGATGCTGCGCCTGCCACCGAGTCCTAGATTTCTCCGTCTCGAATCGTCCCATCTCATTTTCACACGCTTCTTCGATCTTGCTAGAGTGGCTCGTATCCCTGGCTACTGGTGGGAGTGATTGCAGCATTGGGTGTAGGGGATGGGAGTTGATATGAAAAGCAGAACGAGCGGCTTTTGCGAATTCGGTTGCGATTTGCGAATACACCATCCTGCGAACCTGATGATCATGTTTTCCTTTCTGGTTGCGATGTTTTCCCCTAGTCTCCTTGCGGTTGATCTTCGCGTCTCTGTGACGTTTTTTGTCGATGGGTGTCTATACCATAGGTTGGACTTCCTAGGCAGGGGCGTCTTTTGATACCGGAATGCATTTCTTCACAACAGAGCCTCAACGGCAAACAAACAAATATCGTCTATAGGAGATCTCCTTTCTATGGGCTTTTTATTCGTTGGTTTTCCTGGTTCACTCTGGAGGTGTGCTTCTAATCGATTAGATATCCCCTCGGAAATTCCTGATTATTTTCTTTTCTCCAATACCTCCCTGCTTTGTCTTGCTCGAGTCTTTGCGTTTGTCATAGCGGTCTGTTTCCTTTCTTGCCCCCGAGCAAAGACAGCAGCAACAACAACAAAAAACCAGAAATCCATATCTTGTGTCTCGTTGAGTTACTTACATACTCCGAATAGCTTGCTAGGATCGATGAACACCTACACTGCAAATTTCTGTCTGGTCTGATTTCACTGTGCTTTATGTGATTTGATTTGTTCTTTACATAATGGTCTTTCGGCGTGATATGCTTGCAGCGCTTGTATTTACCATACCAGTCACTCCTTGAATTCCCCACCACTGGAACTTCTTCGGTAATACTCATCCTGACGCTACTTGGATTGCTGATACCTTTGCCCATGTATGAGGAGTTGTAACTACTTTGCCCCTCCCTTCTTCCCACCAGGGCAAATGCATCTATCTAACTTCTGGCCTCCAGTTAAGAAGTCATGCATCCATTGCTGTCATTTCTCTTTTACTGAGCGTATCCTTGGGTTTGCCCCTCAAAGACAACACATTCTTGACCATGATGCAGAGCTCATGTTCTCAGGCTGTGGTCGTATATTACGATTCGTATGTGCTTCTGATCTGTACTTGTCGTGGCTAGGGGAAAGTTGTTCAGCTTGTTCTGAGAAGTGTAGTTGGCGTTATTACTGCTTCTGGTAGATCTGATGTTGAAGGATGTGGAGGTGGAGCTGATGACGATGGCTTTTGAGACAGATCCGGGGTTGGAATGTGAGACAGAGAATGGGGTGTTGGTGGTGGATTTCAGTGATGAGAGACTTTGTGATGCTCTATTCTGAGTTGGGAGGGAGAGTTTGAAGAAAGTGAGGATGAGAAAGAGGCTTGTCGGGGGGTTTGTGACATGTTTGTTTTGTGTTTTGGGGAGTTGTTTATTGATCGATATCTTTGTCGGCGCTTTAGGGATGGGGGATCAAGCTTGGAAGGGGTAGTAGAAGGGATGATGCCAATGATGTGATTTGGGTAGATTGAGATTGAGTTGAATGGCAAGACAGCGTCGTCCGTTTCCTAGGAGCTCACCAAAGTACTGACAAAGTGACGATATATTAGATAGCATAGTATGATATCAGGATATTACGATTCCCGAACAGCTCGGGGGAGGGTCGTAGCAGGGCAGGTATCTCAGGTGAAAACCACGTATTGCTTTGGGCTTCATTCATTGTATTCATTAGGCTTGTTTCGGTATATTCAAGAAAGGATGCAGTTACAGAAGGACATTAGATATGAACCGCACTGTTTGACCGACGATTTATGTATTGTATGGGTTGTATAAGAGCTTGAGACAAGTTCAGGACGTGGCGTATGTCACTCAGTGACAGGTGGAGAATATCCATAGGGACAGACAAAGGTCATTGTATATTGTAAACCTGTACTTGTGTGCTAGAAGCACATGAGGACATGCGATAATGGCATACACGCTATATCCGACGCAGAACGAAGCTTCAGATATAGTTCTTCTGAGACACATGTGCAAGGAACCCCCATCTAGGAGAATTGGGCAAAAATGAGAATGGCAGCATTGCAACATGCAATCGAGGAGGAATAATGCAAGAAAATATCATGCATGACACAAGACTATCAAAGTCTGACATCCCTTTCGTTATTTCAGGCATTGTATACATGCAAGCCCCTCACCACTCTGACCCGGATTGAAGTGGCGTCGAGAAGGATAGTAGAGCATCTTTCAGCTCAACCAACCAACTACATGGTTCACCCATCAAGATAAATGTAGCGCAGGTAGGTAGATGACGATAGGGAGGACTGCTCTCCCAGAAAGATCCAAAGAAGTAGAAAAGTGCGGCAACAAAAAAAATCGGAACAGGACAAGAAGGGGTCCTTTTTGTGTGGCTTCAGAAATGGTCATACTGAGATCATGATCGTGAAGATTCATTCTCTTCCTATTAAATTTTGATACGTTGTATCAGTCATCATTAGCCATATGGAAAGAAAGGAAGAAGAAGCAAACCTTCAGATTTCAAGGTTTTCTCTTTGGGCGCGAGTCCCATTTTGGATTAGCGCTGGCGTCCTCCTTAGTCGCTATGAGGCTGAATTCAGTCAGTCGCGAAAGCTTGCCCTGCCACCTTTTCTATCCCTCGCAGAGAGACTCAGCCTTTCACTTCAACTTTAACACTCGTCGAATAACGTGAATCAAACAATTGGTCACGTCTCGCAACGTCCATCATTATAACCAGCGAAGCCGCGCGTCCGATCCACTCGTTATCGTTCTTACTTCCCATTTTGCGACAATGAGCGACTTCAACTATGGAGGAACCGATGAGGAGTCTGCAGAGATCAAGAAGCTTGATGCTGAGGTGGTATGTTATTCTAGTCTCTTACCGGTCTGTGATCGTGGTACTGACACTATTGTCACAGCTCGAGGATCCTGACAACTTCGAACACTGGGAAAAGCTGGTCCGCGCTGCCGAGTCCCTTGAAGGAGGATTAAACCGAAACTCCAGCCCGCAGGCTATCGCAACTACCCGCAGCGCATACGACCGATTTCTCGCCAAATTCCCTCTGCTATTTGGATACTGGAAGAAGTATGCGGACCTGGAGTTCTCTATTGCGGGAACTGAAGCTGCTGAGATGGTGTTCGAACGGGGGGTTGCGAGCATTACAACCTCGGTCGACTTGTGGACGGATTACACAGCGTTCAAGATTGAGGTCAGCCACTGCGTCCTTCATATGCCCTATCATTTTGATGTTTCCTATGCTAACTCGTTGTAGACCAGCCATGATCCAGACGTGATCAGAGAGTAAGTATAACTGGAGTCTTTCCTTCCCTTTAACACAGACATCTGCGGTGCGCCGTATGCTACGCAGCCGCATACACCACATTTGGAGAGTCAAGTCACAGGGTCGCAGACGGTGAGAACTGCCAAAACAGTCGCTCCCTGTTTGATATCCTTCTCACCCACATGATCAGGATCTTTTCTTCTGCTATCACACGTTCGCGTTTTACATCGTACCACACTGCACAAATGTTCGGCGAGGATGGAGAAATTGAGGATCATTAGTTCAAGCACACCTGCCCTTCCCGTATTTGCACTCCTTGCCACCTTACATCCGTCCCCTCCCCCTGAAAGCTTAGCTGACACTTGGTGGTAGACTCTTTGAACGTGGTGCTTCGTGTGTTGGGTTGGACTTCCTTGCTCACCCTTTTTGGGACAAATACCTCGAGTTTGAGGATCGTGTGGAGGCGCACGACAAGGACTACAAAATTTTCTCCATCCTTAGCCGTGTGATCAAGATTCCCATGCACCAATATGCTCGCTATTTTGAGAAGTTCCGTCAACTTGCTCATGCTCGTCCTCTGGTAGAGCTCGTTCCAGCGGATACCCTCAGTCAGTTCCGCGCCGAAGTTGAGTCGGAAAGCGCAGGCTACCAAGGTGGTCCCAAAGCAATCTCAGAAATGGAAATCGAACGAGAAGTGCGAACCAAAATCGACAACTTCTATCTCGAGACCTTCACAAGCACACAAGCTGAAACAACGAAGCGATGGACATACGAATCTGAGATCAAGCGGCCATATTTCCACGTCACCGAGCTTGACTACCCTCAACTAGCTAACTGGAGGAAGTACCTGGATTTTGAAGAGGCGGAGGGTGACTACACCAGAGTCGTATTCCTATACGAGCGATGCCTTGTCACTTGCGCTTTCTACGATGAGTTCTGGTTCAGATATCTCCGATGGATGTCTGCTCAAGAGGGCAAGCAAGAAGAGGTCAGGAACATTTACCAGCGAGCCAGTACCATCTACATCCCAATCAGTAGACCCGGGATAAGATTGCAATACGCCTACTTTGAAGAGATGTCTGATCGCTCTGATCTGGCCCGTGACATTCATGAGGCTATTCTGGATCGTATGCCTGGCCATGTCGAGACTATCATTTCGTGGGCCAACCTAGAGCGTCGACAACATGGTTTAGAAGCGGCCATTCAAGTTTACAAGGCTCAAATTGACAACCCTATCGTTGATCTCTTTGCAAAAGCTGCATTCGTCGTTGAGTGGGCAATTCTGTTGTGGAAGATCAAGGGATCCGTCAACGAAGCCCGCCAAGTTTTCCAAAAGAACCAACAGTGGTACCTCCAAAGTCGTCAGTTCTGGGCAAGCTACCTTGAGTTTGAGCTTTCGCAACCCACAAGTGCTGAAAAAGAGACCGAGCACTACGAAAGAATCAAGAAGATCCATGAAGACCTGGTGAAGAAGAGCGGCATGAGCCTATCCACGAGAAAAGAGCTTAGCAACTACTACTTCACATATCTCCAACAGCGTGGCACGAAAGATGCCATGAAGGAGTTTCTGCAAATCGACAGAGAGCTGAACGGGTATGTTACCCCAATAAATCTTCTTGTTGACATTGTACTAATATAATATGAACAGCCCTATCTCGGTCCAACCAGACTACGCCAAACCCACCACATCCGGTAAAGGTCTAGAGAATGGCCACGCACCCATAGTTGACGAGGCGATCCTGCGCAAAGGAGAAGCGAGATACAGTAACTATTACGCTGAGCGCCGCGACGTATCTGCCAATGCGCAAGGCACAGCTCCCTTTGCTTAGATAGATACCCTGCTTCTTTCTTCTCGCGGATATGGTATTTCATGACTGCCCTTTTTCTACCTTGCTTATATACAATGCATAGATGCATGAATGGATGGATGAACGGCCGGGCGGTGGGAGAGCATCCCTGTACCATAGGTTTTTCGCATTTCCTACCTGCGTGCGAGACTTCCCTTACTTGCGATTCGATCGATCTTTGCAGGCGGATAGGGAGCCGGAGATTTAGTTTTGGATCTCATTGCTGTAGCTCTAATGCTAGCTAGCTCACTTGGGCAAATTTTTCAGTGCCTCAAGGATCTCGAATCTCAATGAAATGGAATGGCGGATACGTTAGATTGGTTGGCAGTCTGTCTGATAGCTTCTTTTTTTTTTGCCTAGCTTCTCTGCAGTGTCTTCAATAGAATACCTACCTATATTCCCAATATAAAGCTCGTGGATTCCCTGCACACAGGGTTCTCGCATACAGCTAAGTAGACGTGTTCGCTTGTTGCAAAGGCAAGTACCGTACCACAATCTCCCAGCCGATCAGATCAACGCTCACACACCTCTGTGCCTCCAGCATATATCTCGAAACGGGAGCTAATGGTTGGCGTGACTTTTATCCCCATGATCAGAATCTATCGGAGGCGCCAGTCCTGCAAGTCTCGCTGCTTCTTCAACTGGCATGTGATTTATATACCTTGCACTCGCAGAGCTTGTACTCGACGCTACCCATCCAGGTTCTGGTCCACTGGCGTGTGCGAGATTGGCATCTTGCTCTGGATCACGAATGATTTCAGAGGGCTCAGCCACCACATCTAATGCTATCGGAGCCAGTATCGAGGTACCTGTGGGAGTCTCAGTCTCGGGTCGAGGAACTTGATCAGACCCAGCGTGTTGGCTGTGCGTACGTGTGTGTTCGTGTCGATGGGTGTCCTGCCTTGCGCTACGCGTGCTTGGTGACGGCGGCGCATTTGGATGACTCCCTCTTCTGGTTGGGCCTCCTTCTGATCGGCTTTCAGAGCGAGTGCCTCTCCAGAATTTACGGAAGAGGCCGGATTCGGATCTGTTCTCTTTTGTGAGTGAAGGTTCTGATTTCTGGTCTTTAGATCTCGAACTTCGGGCTTGTGGTGCGTGATGAGTCCCCGGGTTGCGTTGAACTGGTGCTGCACGGCTCGTCGGTCCAGATTCCTGCCTGACTGGACTGCTCCTTGCCGACCTGGCTGGGTCAAGACTGCTGGTCTTATATCCAAGAAATACTGCCTTTGTGAAGGTGATATTGGCTTGGTCAACAGCAGCTTTCATAATAAGAGCTGGTAATAGACAGCAGAAGACGCCTTTGATATGGTCATGCCGAGACTTTCTCCAGGTTACAATGTCCAGGATGTCTCCGTCTATTTCAGACAGCTGGCTCCCGGATTGCCAGCGCAGCTCAAATTTCTTGCCGGAGCAATGGATCATCCTGTGGAAGTCTACGACAGGCTGCAAGATCATTTCATGCAGGCTTTCCTCGTGCCCAACCAAAAGCTTGGGGCTTAACCATACTCTCATGTCGTTTCTCAGCTCTTGGAAAACAAGCTCCGAATCCTCCTTGTATCGTCTCGCAAATTCCGGAGCGCCAGCTATCATCGAAAGCGTTTCTCCTCTCCACCTGTAGAGCGTTGCTTGACCTATGTTTATCATTTAGCGCTGCTTGTATCATTTCTATCATTGTTCATACTTTTTGTTGCAGGGGCGGAGCTCATCAATATATCAAGGAACCTTTCTTGAGAATTACTGACACCGAGAGGATAAAGCCACTCAGTATCGATATTCTTTAAGAAGTTGGCTATGACCATTCCCAAGATGACATAGATGCAAGTTTCTTGTTCTCCTAGTTTCTCTTCCCAGAAAAGTTCCAGACATCCAGCAGTGAATCCTAACTTGTCAAAAATGTCAACTCTGTCGCGTGCTTGCAGGTTGGCGTGATAATTTGCTCTGAAGTCTTTTCTGTCGTCCTCTTGGAGCCCATCGATCCAAATATCGAGGCCATCGCGAATCTTCTGGAATGCTTTGGCGATCTTGTCATCTGTGATTTGGTATTCTCGCTGTGCGAGTGCAATCACCCTCGCCTCCAACTTTTCGTAATCGGCATGCAAGCTGTTATATCTCCTCTGCAACAGATTGTCGTCTTCCTCTGTATCCGAGGAACATGGATCTGAGGAAGACATCACTGGACTAACAATTCCGCTGAAACAGGAAGTATGATCGAAGTTCTGGCTTTTAGCCGTCGCTCTGCTGATGCTCCTTCCCACAGTGGCTGCACGAAGACTCTCTATGGGTACCAGAGATACGATATTCGTTCAATATTGGGACACGCGAGCTGATAGAATCGAACGTGTGAGGAGAGGCAACAAGAGTCAAATTTCTTGCAGCATCGAATTTGCCTGTTCGCACCACTTTCAAATGTTCAGCGGCGAGGACGTGGCAATCATCTTCCCATACGTTTCAATCAGATGGTACAATCAACCACACCCGACAGCACTACCAATGGTTTGCAAGTCAATCCTAGTAAGAAATGTTCCCGGTTCAAGAGCGCCGTCGAATCATTTACCTCTTGCCGTTTTTGTAGCTGGCTAGGCGCATTTTGGCACTGGGACGGTGGACAAGGGAACCACAAATTACACGTTCTCCATGATTGCTTACGACCTGAGCGAGTTGTCGGCTTTTCTCACCTACCAGACCCCCTGTGGACAAGCAATTGTTGGTTTCGCTATTCGGCGTGGATCTGGCCAGGCGTGCAGAAACCATGCGGTGCGACACAGGCTTGCCTCACATTGGACGAACTTGCTTCTCGATGTACGGAATGGTTCAGCTTGAGCCCAAATGAGTTCCATGCAGCATCATTTGAAAGCACCCTCTACTCGGCAGCTGTCCTACTGGCTAATTCAAGCAAAGGAGGGTTTATTGGAAGGGTATCGCATTGCTGCCAGTCGATGGAGGATTGCAGAGGAGGCTCCGCGCTGAAATAGGATAATACCTCGATATCCAGCCTTGCTTTGCCTGCGACCTGAAATAAATCCCTGTTCCTCATCAAAGAGAAGCATCTTTACCCCGTATATTAATCAACAACACTTTTACTGAGATCTGTTACTCTGTCATTGCACGGCATAGAACGAGCCACCACCGTCACCTGCTCCTTGCCGAACACTTCCTAAATTCTCGAAGTAGAGTATACCCAAAGCACAAAAATGAGCGGATCCAGCGTCAGTGTCAGTACTCCTAAGAATAAGATCATCATTGGGATTGATTTCGGTATGTCGAGAATCTTAGCAAGCCCGATAACCACAATCTCAAGAATCGATAGGAACGACATGCTCGTCAATTGGTTACGTACACAGCTCGGAGGTACGTCGTGTTGATTCAAATGAGAGCGTGCGCTCCGAAAAAGACTGACAACTGTCCAGCCAGAAGGGTCAAAGACCGTTAAGAGATGGCCAGATTCGGCCCAAACCACAGAGTGGGTGCCTACGTAAGTGCCCATCTACATATATCATACCCTCTGGGTTTGGAAGCCCCTAAATGTTTATAAGAACAATCAAATATCACGATGACGATCCTACGTCTTATAGGTGGGGCTACCAGATCGAAGACGAGGAAGAAAGGCACGAATGGTTTAAACTTGGCTTGAATTCCGACGTTCCACTATCCGGTCTTGCACTGAGTTATCCAAATCGTACCGCGTTACCTGCCGTGACCGGTGCAGAAGCCGCGAGATTGACTACAGACTACTTGCGAGGGTTAAAGAAACATGTCGACCAATACATTTCGGAGAAGCTCGGAGAGGTGTTCCTCAGAAACAAAAAACCTCAATACATCATCACAGTACCAGCTGTCTGGTCAGACAAGGCACAGGCTGGAACACGACAATGCGCGCAAGATGCTGGTATGGGACACAAGAACAACATCCAGATCATCACTGAGCCAGAAGCTGCGGGGATATACGCGTTGAAGAGCATGAAGCTAGGCTTGAAAGAAGACGATACGTTCGTTCTATGCGATGCTGGTGGTGGGTAAGTCATTCGTCCCCCGATCCAAAACCTTCGAGCTGAAGTTTTGGGAGCAGCCTGCTGACGCCATTTTTTCAAGTACTGTCGACCTCATCTCCTATACAGTGGCACAGCTCGGCAAGTCACCTCTGATTTACGAATCTGCCCAAGGATCTGGAGGTCTTTGTGGCTCTACCTTCCTCAATCGTATCTTCGACGCCTTCCTCCGCCAGAAATTTGCTTACTACAGTGCATGGGTGGATAATGGCTACCATCAGGACGCAATGCACAGGTTCGAGGTCCGGATTAAGAAGGAGTTCAACGGTGACCTTGACAAGTCCTTCTCCGTGCCTGCGCGAGGTTTACCTTATCGGCCGGGGATGAACATTGAGAATGGCCAGGTCAAAATTTCAGGCCGAGAGCTCCAGCAGATCTTCGAACCAGTCATAGCACAAATCCTGTCTCTTGTAACTGCACAAATACGAGCAACTCATAAGCAAGTAACCGCGGTTCTCTTAGCGGGCGGGTTTGGAACAAGTAAGTACTTGATGAAGAGGATCCAGGACGAGGTAGGTAGTATCAAAGTTATACCGGTTGAGGATGGGTAAGCGATGAGCCTTTCGACAGAACCAGGCAGCATACTAACAAGTTCTTCCAGCGAAACAGCGATTGTAAGAGGTGCGTTGATTCGTGGATTGGCAGAGATGTCGCCAAAGCTCGCAACTGTGCGAATCGGTGCTCGGAAAGTGCGCAAATATTACGGAACTCTCGCATACGATGTTTATGATCCAGAGAAGCATGATCACAAGCGAAAGTAAGCCCGCTTGGACCAGTGAATCTTCTATTGAATTTTACTTACAGCATTTCCAGAGAGCCAGACGACTTCAGGGACGGAGATCGAATCCAGGTAATGAGCTGGTTTGTCTGCAAAGTAAGTGTCATGAAGGAAATACTTCGAAAGCAAGACCGCTTACACACACCCAAAAGGGGCAAGCCGTTGATGAATCGAAACCAGCCTCATTCCATTTTTACTGGGACCAAAAAGTTTCTGAGGGCCGCCCTGGGATAATCGAAATGGCAATCTATGCCTGCGATGACCCGAATGACCAAGGCGCACCAATGTACGCAGACGACAGAGGTATACACACATCCACTCGTCATGATTGGGCTTCATAGGGTGAAAGAAAATCGCATGACTGACCAAGAGATCTCTCCGTAGGGGTCAAGAAGCTAGTTGAGCTCAAAGCAGACGTAAAGAGCATCCCAGCTTCCGAATTTAACCAAGAGCCCAACGACAGGGGAGAGATGTACTACAAGCTAGACTTCGACATTGAAATGTCGTGTCGATCCGGCAGTCTCAATTTCGCTATCGTGTATAATAAGAAGAGATACGACACGGTGAAGCAGGTCTTTGTGTGAGCAGCTGGGGCTTACATGTAGAATTTCTAGCAATTAGCTATTTGATTAAATTGTGTATAGCTAGTTGTGATATGGCAAGCAGCAATGGCCGGTGCTTCTCTGTGATTTCGCTTGTAAACGCTCGCGCTAGTATAAAAGATTCATCTGACCATCTCGATACTTGAGAACGAGCATTTTGATTATATTAAGGTAGATGCTCTAATTCCACTTTTCCTGTGACGGCCCGAGCCATGCTGCAACAATGGCACATCGACGTTACACAAGATTAGGTGTCTGGCCAACCTTGCGGTTCCCAATCCGGCCTCACCAACCGAACCGAGCTCAGCTGGTGCTTGTGATTGGGCAACCACGACTCCCAGATAAGATGTGCATGATGGGATGGCGGGATGGTGGGATAATTCATTATATGTTGTTTATTTACTTTGTCCATTTCTCCTTCTCTCCATTTGTTTTTCTGTATACTCCAAATCAAACATCCTCGGGTTTCACTAGTTGCTGTTCAGATACAAGTACTATCCGTGTCTGGAACCACTATTTCACGAGACCGTTTTCTCAAAGATGTCAGTTGGCGTTGCTCGAAGCTAGACGACTCATTTGAGGTGCTGCCGTGTTAGTAGAAACCAGTCATAAATATCCATTTCCTAGCTGACACCAGCAAGAACAGCCGTCCAGTTTCACCAAGTGTATAGCACCACAGCACTAAAGCACATCGACACGATCCAAATCTATAATGCCGCAAAGCCCATCCACACCCAGATCACAAACCCATCAAGCCCAAGACTCGTCGTGTGCAACCTATCGATATTTCACATAACGAGCCAGCCATATGGACAAGCATAACTCTTCACCATCTCCCTCATCTCCATCACCATAACCGTCACCATCTCCCCAGCGATGGTGAAACCCAACGATACAATCGCCCTGATAATCCTCCTGCACATCATCCTCTGCGTCTTGATAACATTCTTACTCTACCGTTTAATCAATCGCATACGCTCCCGCTACCCACCACCCCTTTCAAGCGGCTACAAGTCGACCGATTCATCGTTCTCAGGCTCGACTGATCGTAGTGTCCCTGGTCCTCCTGGACATCATGGAGGACATATACATGTTGTTGAGGTGCCCCTTCAGGGCGGCGGGCATGTGAATGTTGGCGATGGACCACCGCGGCAGCCACCTCCACCGCCTGTCGGTGGGGGAGGAGCACATGTTAATGTAGGAAGTGGTGCTGGACGAGGAGGCGCTGTGAATGTTAGGCCTGTTTCACCGCCGCCGTTGGGAGGAAGAGGTGCTGCGAATGTTAGACCACCACCGCCGCCGCCGCAGGGAGGGAGGGGTGCTGTGAATGTTAGACGTGGGGGAGGTGCCGTCAATGTAAGGCATTGATAGTAGAAAGAGACCAGAATACCTGGAGGCGTGCATTGGCGAGTAGCCAGACCTTATCTTATTTGAGACCTTGCGATGAGTGTATATAAGTCAATTGGTATATTTCATTGCCATCTCATCTCAGCTCATCAACATCCGCGTCATTCTCATATCAACGACTAGGTACAAACACATCTCATCCGTTCTCCCCAGATGCTCATCGAATGTAACCTCCTAGTCCGGATATAGCCACCTATTAACGAACGACAAACTCCCATGTCGTCCGTCCCTCCGTCCATTCGTTCCAGTCCAAATCGTACACATACACAGGACGGGTATCCATTCATCCCGTCCTAACCCCTCCTGGGCCTCCTCCGTCCTTTCATGCATGCGTCCATCCATATCCCAAGTACCTCTCCTCTCGCACATCCCACCACCAAGAAACAAACCCGCAAAGCCGCAAACACCCCCCAAAAAACCCACACACCATACAACAAAGCATTTCTAAAAATAGTATGGACTCCCAGCACTTCCTAAAATAAAAACAGCACGAAAAATAATTGGGCGATCTGGGTATAACCTCCTCTGCTGACGGACGAATGCGCGGGATGCTGAATGCGCTATTGCTGAAAAAAGAAGAAGTGAAGAAACCGAATGAGAATGTAGAATCCGCCGACAAATGATGAATGATTTGCTTGACTGATTGGAAAGCAATGCGCAATTTGCAGAAACAGGAGGTCGTAAACAATGCCCTCATGCTTTGATGCTGGTGTAATGTACAGATGGGTTGGTAATGTGTTGGTTGTGGTGGTGGGAGTCCATGGTGTAGGAGGTGGGTGAGGAGGAAGGACGTGTTTCATTAAGTATTACAGTAAGATCGGTCGTGTAATGACCGACTTGTTGGTTTCGTTTGTTTCGTTCATATGTGTGAGAATCCATGACAACAACTTTGGCACCAGTCCAAAGTTGTTGTCCCTCTATGCTTCAATTGCATGCTTCTGCAGACGATGTAGCATACCGAGCAGGATGCATCTGCATACTCTCCCTTCGTAAAACGCCCACCTGTCCTGTGTACTGACCGAGTCTTCAGTCGAAGAAGGACTGTTCATCAACAAGACCTATGCGGACGTATTAGACAACAAAGTCATATCAGTCGAAAGCATTGGTGGAAAGCTTACGAGAGTCATCTCTCAACTTGTTATTGCTGGGCTTGCGCTGCCCAAGACCCATGTTCATATTCATGCCGAACATACTGCTCTCACGCCTTTTGGATTTGCTGTTGCCTTGGGAATTCTCGGAGCCATATTGCTGTTGTCTATAGCCTTGGCCACCAGCGAATTGGTCGTATGCTGGTCCAGCTAATGTTTGCTGCTGCGGTCTGCCATATTCCGGGCCGGCCATGGTTGAGAAGCCTCTGAGTGGTTCGTAGCTGGGCTGGAGCGGAGTAAAACCAGTGTCATAGTTTCCACGCTGCTGTTGCTGCTGATAGTGCTGAGGAGCTTGAGCTTTCGGGAAGGATTGCTGATCATAGGAAGGAGTTGGTAACTCCTGGAACTTTTGACGGCGTGGAGAGCGAATATCCTCTGGTGTTAAGGGAGGGGCAGTAACGGTCACCTCAACAGGTCCATCATGGTCATCTGGCTCCTCACCAAAAATACCATCATACTGCTGCAAAAACAACGCAAAGACAGGGGCGGGAATGTTCAGTGTCGGCGAAAAGACAATACCCACGTTACGCACAGTCATCTTGTTAGTGTCGGCATGGTTGATGATATTGATCAGGAAACCAGAGAGGTATCGGAGGAGTGCATTATTGGCTCTTGGAAGTCTGTGAACGAGACCATTCAGCGCGCTGACCTTCTCGTTGACATCGTGCAACTCGGTGACAGCAAGAAACTCGAGATGGAGCTCTCTCGTCAAAATAGTAGTTGGTAGCTCTCTTAGGTACAACTTCAGAAGTGAAGCAACCGCATGGATATCGTAATATTGGTCGTCTGTCACGAGATTGACATCTCCTTCGACATTGAAACGCTCTCGTAGTTGTTTGATAACAACATTAGATCCACTCAATCTGAAGATGCCTTCTTCGCCTGCAGCATTTTTGGCGTCCAGGTACTCAATGCAGCGGTAAACAACAGCGGGAAGTTCAATCTGAACATCAGCAGGATGATTGTACCTCACAGCTTCTCCAAGAGGAGAACCAAAGACTGGCCGGATAGGTCCATGCTGGTCATAAGCCATCTGTGTCAGACTGGTGCTTGAGTCATTGCCCTCGTTTGTATTATCAAAGGACGCTCGAGGCTTCGAACCGAATCCGAAAAAGCTGCGCTTCTTTTGCTTGATCCTGTCATCTGCAGCGGCAGGTGCCAGCATGTTTCGTCTGTTGCCCCATGATGAAGAATCCTGGATGACTTGAGCATTCTTGGGACCAGAAATATTCTTGGTGGATTGAGAATGTGGCATTTGGCTTATTGGATCACGCTCATATCCATGAGTCGGAGGCGATGGAGTGCCTGAATTCTTCAGTCGCGATCCCGATGGCATGCTGCCTTGCTTCGTGTTCTCATAGCTCATACCACGGAGGCCGTCATCTGTGAGATCTGGCATGGTCTGACTTCTACCTTGGCCCGCATACAGCTTTTTCTTTGACTTCCCACCACTGAGGTGTGCAGAACCGTTTGAGTCTGTGCGATCATGCTGCTGCCTCGATGAAACCGAACGATCATCGTCTTCATCATCCTTAAAGTCAACGTACAGGAGCAGTGCCTCAACCCACTGGTCACGCTCTTGGTCGCTCTCAGCACACAGGACATGTCTGACGAGACTGGAAGAATCTTTTCGCTTTGGCTCGAGAATCAAGAAAGCGTGTCGATATTGGTTGTCAACATCGTCGGCATCGCCACGAGATGGCGAGTGATTGTCAGCTTGCTGTTGTTGCTTGCCAATTTGAGCGTTCTGCAACTTGATTGCTCCCAAATGTGGCCCACCAGGTGACTCGTAATATTTGAAGACTGGACCATCCAGTACAAAGTAGCGAGCCTTCCAGCCTCCGAAATTCTTTCCTCTCTTGGTCAAGTATCCATTCTTCAATGGTCTGCCACCTGGCCCTGTCTTTACAGGACTCTCGCTAGCCGAATCACCACCTTGGGCCAACTCGTCCGCATATGGCTCCATAGTATTGGTCGACAGATAACGGCAGATCTCCAGAGCTGAAGCTAGGTCCATCTGAGTGTCCAAGATTTCGTCAAGATACTTATCCAATGCGGCTCGGCGAGCATCCACTTTTGCGGGTGCATGACCATTGAATAAAGATCTCTCTGGTGTTTTGGCTGTGAACGTGTTGGATTGCTTCAAGGTCTGGTCCAAGTTGGCTAGAGAAGTCGAATCCTTCTCCACTCTCCAAAGTTCTCTCCCATCTGATCTGGCGAAAACGGCGAGTGTAAAGACAGGATCTTCTTCGATATTCCGGGGGAACATGATACTTGCTCTGGATGGCTTCAGGCGTGAGGAGGCTACTCTAACATGAATTGATGGGAGCGCATTGGGCGGAAGGAGTAGATCAGGATATTCTTCGGTGACTAATCCCATGTATATCGAATTTGGACCAGGGCTCTGTTGGACAGGTGAGATTCGTTCTTTCGGACTGGATTCAGACTCTCCAGTGCGTTTGGATATCGCCAGGGCTTTAGGAGAGACGAGATACAAAGGCTCGCCTTTAGGAAGACCGGGAGAACCAATCGACATTGGAGTATTGGGCGGCAAAGGTATCGGTTGTCTTGGTGCTCTTGGAGATAAAGGAACAGCGCCTGGGAAAGCACCCATCCCACGAGGCGACATTGGGGGCGAGTTTACTGTGGAAGAATGGTTGGACAGATTTCGCGGCATGGGAGAATTCATCGGCCTATCTGCTGGTCGTGGACTCATGGGTAACCCGGGACTCAGCAGAGGTGGTGAAACGACCCCGGAAGCTTCATTGAGTATACCTGCCAAGGACCCTGCGTTAGGATCTGGGGGAGACAAATGACGCGTGTGAGCATCTGGTGGTGAAATCTGAACGGTTTGTCGAGGGCTTGTTGGCATAGGATCTGCCAAGTGTGCAAAGGAACCTTCCTTTGGAGTCGTTGGTCGAGACTTTGGTGTGCTTTTGCCGCTTTTCTTCGAAAGGCTCCTCATTTCCGCATCTTTCATTGCTGCGATCTCTCGCTCTCTATCATCTTCTTCCCTTGTCTTTCGGCGACCTCTTTCAGTGAATGTGGGTAATTCGTCAACCTCCAGAATGTCATCGTAATCCGAGTCAGTCTCCTCTCCAGTGCCAGAGGCCTGACGAAGGTGAGAACTGGCTTTACTCTGCTTTCCAAGATTTAAGGGTGCTGGTGGTGCTTTCCTTGGTGGTGTTGGAAACGATCTAAGTCCTTCGTCTGGATTAGGAGAAGGTTCTATTAAATTTACAGAAGGGCCTTGACTGGACATGGGGGTCCTCGGTGGTGGCACGCTTGGAGGCGGTCCTCTTGGTGGGTTGGAGGGCAGACTTCTTGACGGTGGAAGGGACGCATTGTATGGTACCTCTCTAGCCACCTCGTTTGCCTTGCGCTGTTGTTGGCCAGCCTCAAATCCTGGTGCAGGTGCATCTGGGTTGTACTGTTGGAAAGCATGCTGCGTCGGTGAAGGCATCTTATGCTCGGCTTCAACCATATTGGACATTCCAGGTGTCTGAATAGTCATCATGGCTGGAGGTGTAATAGGATATGGTGCGAGAGCAACATCAATCGGCGACGGTGGTTGATCTTGTTCCGGCTCCCTCAAACCAGCAGACACCATAGATCCAACATTATTTGCCTTCACTTCTGCCACAGGCTTCGTATCAGAAGATATCGATCCAACTTCCGAGCCCAGCCCTTGTGTTGAGTCCACTGGGGAAGGATTCGATATTTGTGCCAGGCTTTCTTTTAACTTCTTCCGGTACCGTTCCTTATCCTTCAATGCCCGCTCAAGATCCTTATTCAGGCCTAGGATCATGGCTCGTTGCTTGTCCACCAGACGCCATAACTGTGAGTTCTGTGACGCTTGAGATGCCTTCTCCTTCAGCAAGTATTGAATGACAGCCTCCGGGGATCCTGCAGCCTGTATTAGGTTCGCAATATCTGGTGGTCCTCCTGCCTGTAAGTCTTGCGATCCCTTCTTCGAATGTGTGCCGCCTGATATGGACGAAATCGCCGAATCGATCGACGATGTCCGGGGTGGTCCTCGAGCCATGTCAACACGATGTGCCGAAGCCATCGGCGGTCTCGTGCTAGAAGACGGCCCTCCTGAGGGCTTAGAGATTATAACAGGATCGGAGACGCTTCTCGAGGTACCATTCGTGTCGTGTATTGGGCGAGGGTATCTACCATCCTTCGTCAGTACAGTGTGATGGTCTGTTTGTTTTTGTATATACCTGGGCCTGCTCTCCTCCGGATTTGACTCGACAGACGAGTCTTTGGACCTGTAGAAGCTCTGTTCCGAGGCCAAAAGGTCGTCGAGACGCTCCTTGGGCGATTTGGGTGACTGGGGAATAGACTGTTGTATACTCGCCGATGAAGTAGAATGATCGACGCCGGCTCTTGGAAAAGCAGTTCTTGTCGGAGTGACACTGCTCGGTGGAGAAGTCGCAGTCGTGCTGGTCTGTAGAGGACTAGGAGCAGCCTTGCGGAGAGATCTAGACAAGAAAATCCAAGTCAGCGCACGTTTGTAGCGATTGCTTGCTGTGGTAGCTCGCTCTTTCGATACCGGCTTGGTGTGGTTGTGTATGAAATGCGAATCAAAAATAGCAGCACACACGACACGACGTACCTTTTCCCTGGCTCTGACCTGGGCGAGGGGTTGTTTGGAGAGTAGACCTGCGAGCGTCCTACTGTGGGGCTGTCTTGAGGGAAGAATTGCAGTTGTGAGTTGGAGGTAGCATTGGCATCGGCGGAAGCATCGTTCTGTTGCGAAAGCTGCGACATCGCCCAATGGCTGAGACTACAGGACTACAATGCAGTCAGCGCAGCAGCAATTGGCCGACAGCCAGGCGCACGAGGACACAGGGCAGCAGAGCAGCAGAGCAGGAGTCTGTCGCAGGGAGGAGGCAGCTCCAGAATCCGTGGTGGAGGGTGGCGCCTGACAGTGCTGCTGGGTGGAGAGTTTCGAAATGCCCGGATGAGGTTGATTGACGTCGCACGTTCAAAGGGACTGGGGACTCTTCAGGCGAGCGCGACTCTCCAACACCAGCGGACCAAGCGGCGCAATAGGAACGGCGGCCAGCGACCAGGATGCTATTGCTGCTGGGTACGGGTATGGGTCGGGCGACTAGGTCAGATCTGGCTGAGGATTATGAGGACAGGGAGACAGGACAGGATAGGAACAGTATGAAGTGGATGCGATGTGATGTGCTGCAGAAGAGGAGCGCGAGTGGGTGCGCGCTCACCACGTTGGATTGAAGGATTAGGGTGGGCGCGTTCAGGCTGGCGTGCAGATCTGCTGCAGAGTGCTTGCAGGCGGGCAGTATTAGTATGAATGTACAATAATAAGACGGGACTGGATTGGATTGGATTGGATTGGATTGGACCGAATTAGGGATTATCACAAAGGATTGCGAGTGGGTGTGTGTTTGTTCGGCCAGCGGGTGAGGATGGATGAGATGATGGAAATAGAGATGGACCAGTGAGAGGCCTCACGTCAGCCACTGTCCGTACAAGAGCATTTGTAAGAGGCAAAATGATCATTTATCAAGAAGAAGGGGGGGGTGATGGTCGTTATCTCAGGAATGAGGGATGGGATACTTTGGGTTAACACTGCGGAACTTTTCTGCAGATAGAGACATATGATTTCATGGGAGCAATGCCTGCTCTGGCAGTTGATTTACTTGCCGAAATGATACTGCAACGATAAAAAACTGGGGCCGCGCCTACCAGGCAAGAAACTGCAAATTTGATGGAAAGTGCCTTTCGTGAAAATACGGGAGGGATCATTATACTGTACTACAAGCCATCGCAAGGGCGGGTCAATGACTATCGCATCGATTTCATGTCGGCCCCTGCCCTGGTTCAGGTTCGTTCAGATTCAGGTCAGGATGACGGCCAAAAGATAACTTATGACGGGCTTGAGGATAGCCTTTGTGTCCTTTACCCTCAAACATATCGAACTCAAACATATGGGATCCTTTTCATCCGTCCTCTCCTTGACACTTCTCCTTTCCCATACACTCCACTGTTCACACTTTTCTATATAACCTTTACTTTCCCCTCGGCCCATATCTAACCTTACTACAATACAGTACAGTACAGTACTAAGTACTGCAAGAAACATGCAGGATGCCTTCCTCTCCACTCCACACCCCAAGCAGCAAGCCTTCGACCCTTGGCCCATCCACAGCAGAGCTAAGCTGTTCCTGTCCCTTCCCAGTCCCTGCCTTGTTCCAGATTGGCTCTCTTACAGTAAGTAGCACACGGGTCGCATTTGATTGGCAGCAGGCCGGATTACGGGCGGCACTTAAGGGTTGCATCTTTCAGGGTTTGAAGGTCACGGTCACTCTTCACGCTCAAGCGAAATGGCTTGATCCAGATCTCGACGTCCAGACTCCAGACTCAGCTGTGGTCTGACTCCTCTCTATCTTTGGCAGGTCTAAGGGTTGACACATTAGCTGCTCAAACGTGAGCAGGAACAAAAAGTAGTCAGATAAGATCATCTTGTACGAACATTGGGACTAAGCCCATCAGCAAGACAGGCGGCCGGCCTCCTGCATAAGCAAGACGGAGAGCGGAGGCCAGCTCCTGCAGGTACTAGTACTCGGGTTCCTGTCACTACTGTAAAGGAGACGTGCAGGAGGAGGCCACCAGCCCTAACCACGACTACTTGTAATCTGTACACATAAACTTTCCCTTACGAGTAAGTAGATACTCAGTAGGCCGATGCATGCGGTGCTTAAAAGAGCAGGAGACAGACACTTCCATACCAAGGGCGGAAAGGAGGATCTGCAACTCCAAGATCACCACCATGTCAAATCTGCAGGAAGTCACACCCCTATCTTCTAGCATACACCATAATACGGGAAAACGGACAGACGGTGAAGGCGGCACAGGCTCATCAGGGCTCGGGCTCGGGCTCAGACAAAATTTTCGCCTCTGCCTGCCAAATAAATAATACAAGTAAACGGGCCATCAAACGACAGAACAATGAACCACTGCCGATCAAGAGACCGACTTCGGCATGGAGATGAAGAAGCTCATCAAACGGCAAAAGTTCAGATAATTATTCCCCTGCCGAGTTGCAGATTCACGATCGGATATTTATAGGATTGGCAAACCCCGAAAAGCCCCTGAACCTAACTTTGAGTCTCATCCTGCAGCCGAGTTGAGTTGTATTGACGCCTCAAGGACGAATAAACAACTTATCAGTCCCAGGTCATAAGATTGACAGACATCAGTCCTATCCCCCAAGATAGGTAAAGATATCAATCCAACGCCACAAGAAATCGATTTCCTCCCCCCTCGATCACATCTGCATTGGCGCCATGGCACCTTTATCTAAAGCATGGGGTAACAGGGTCCCCTCTCCCCCTCCTCAGAAGAAATTATGAAACAAGTTTCCCAGACAGATATCGGGCTAATCAGAAGAGATCTAAATTTACCCACTAATCTTCCTCGTCAACAACGTCTCAGATCTCACCCCTCCAACCAATCCCCAGCAACAAAGTCTCAGAACCGACAAAAGTCACGCCATTATGACCTGAGCCTGGAAGATCGACAATTCCGAGAAGGAGAGTGAAGCAAGCGAGAAGCATCAAAGCCCATTATTATTATTCAGAGCAGCACCAAAGCATGACATAATTATGCCATCTAATGAATTGGACAAGTCCTTCTGCTTCCTTGGAATTCTGCACGCGACCAAGCAAGTTTCAATACTACATCTCCCCAGATCTCCGATTTCACGGCGCTGTGCAGCGCATCAAAAAAGCAAGTCCAAGTTGAGAAACCTTCAAGTCCCATTCCCGACCCGAGCGCTTCCTGCAACACAACGCTCCCAGCTCAAACGAACCGCGAACGTCTTCTTCAGCCACCGAAAACTCTAACTGGTCCCAACAGCTGCACGAGATGCGCAAGCCGTTCATCGTCAGCACTGAAAACCGCTTGCTTCTTTGCAGAGAAGCAAAAGGATGTCCCTGTCACCCCCGCATAAAGTTTACAGTAGATCTCGAACGGAAGGCGAAGCTTGAGTGTTAACCTTTCCTTCGGATCATCACTCTTCCAGAGAATTAACTTTTTTTCATTCTCTAAGTTGTTCACAGCCGCGGATCTTTTAACTTACGAGGAAGCTTCAAAACTCGACCTGCGTGAATAAGGTCAAGAATTCGGACTCAGCTATCAATCTTATCCATACATATGAAATTGTTTACTTCATGTCTTCCTTGCCTTCTCGCATGTGCCCCTCGCTCCAGACCAGATTCAGGGGCTTCGCTTGCGCCCGTCCAGCGCGCCACCAAAATCCACCATATTCACCACCAACACTACAAACAGGCAGCTAACCATTCGCTGACAGCGGTCCAGCCACACGCAATTTCCCTTCAAGCGCTGCTGTGGAGAGTATTAGAGAAGCGGTGTGACATGCGTAACCAGTCACGATACGGCGTCCTCTGGCCGTTCTTAACACAACAGTTAAGCTCAGGCCAAATCGAGGTCTGTTTGCTACTCGCGGCGTAGCTGCTGTAACTCTACTTCGTTAAGCAGTACCCTCGAATCTAGTTGAGTCGAGGCTGGAGGTTACTGAGGACATCATGGCATCAACGACGATGTCATCGATGACAACGAACTCTAGATGAGAAGGCTGACGAAGCGTGAGATAAATATATAAATACATATCTATGCGTCCCCGCCACCAAGAACCACACATCAGCCTCCGAACTGCCATCGCCATCCAGCGCGGCTAATTCCGATGTAAATAGACAACTGCTCGTAACGAGGGAAGGCAATAAATTGTTCAAGGAACCCAGCACCGCCCGATGTCACCTTGTACCTTTCCAGAGGCTTCTCGACTCGTACGACAACTGCAGATTCTGCAACAAAGCTACTCCCACCCAAACTCCAACATAACCTTCATGCTTCCGGCTCGCTCCAGAGTCCAGATGAACGCCTCGCAGTTCCCAGAACCATCATCAGCCTTCCTTGCCTAACTCAAAACAAAAAAACCCTCTCGAATCGTACTGTAACCTTCACCAGAAAAGTAAATTCTCTGCTATCCTTCACACTCCCCCAGCTGAAACACCACCACCCAATAACTCAAAATCCATCCACACCAAACCACCCCCCAGCCTCAAGCCAGGCGCAACACCATAAGCGAGGAAAATAGCCCCCCACCAATCAAAACGCAGAAGTCCTCCCACCCCTCCGGTTCGCTCAGCAGCTGCTGCACGACGTGAGGCTCATCTGGCTCCCGATTCGCACAGCCCATTGGGCTTTGGTATGACGGGGACAAGGACTTCGGCTGGAATTGACATCTTCCTTCTTTTCTAGCTTATGAGAAGATGTATGATGAAGGGAGCTAGACTCGTATTTCTTGCTCACATGCCATACTTGTCTCCATATCTAGGTAGATCCGGCAACTGTACAAGCGACCCAGTTCTCTCTCACATAATTCCAGCCTTCCAGGTTTCCTCACAGGCCAGCTAACACGCACTTACAAGATCCCCTTCATCCAATACCACTTCTCCATCCTATCCCATCCCATCACACCCAGCCCGACCCTATCTCATTCAATAAAATGTCCCAAGCTAGGCAAAAAACATACATACGTACCACTCCCTCCCCCTCCCTCCCACACATAATCCCCAGCCACGAACCCAATCGATCATCTGCACAACATCCTCCTCCCTCCTCTCCCCACAATAAACCACAGCCAATCACCCAAATACTTGGGACTTCGTCACATTCTTAGCCTGACTTCCTCAAGGCGGAGGATGACTCGCATGACTGATGGCTGATGACTGATGACCGATGAGCTGCGCCTGCTTTATGACATGCAAGCTGATTCTGATGATGAGAGGTTCCGGACGTGCCGAGTGGATAGTATCTAGATAGTGCCCAGGTAGCAGGTAGGTAGGAGTGAGTGAGTGTGCTTAGCTTGGTGGGTTTGGTGATTGGATGGGAGGAGGTGAAGATTTTGTCGGGCATCACATTTCAGCTGTGATGGCTGGGCTGGCGGGGCTGGCGGGGCTGGTTCCTCGTTTTGAGGTGGAAGGAAGTGGGTGTGTGTGTGTGTGTGTGTGTGGATGTGGTACTCGGTGTCGGTATCGACAGCTGAGAAATTTCGAAAGTACGAAGGTGGAGTGAGCCCATTTTCGAATCTGAAGGCTGCCTCCAAGCGAGGCTGCATTGAGAGTTGGATGGGCTTTGCTTCACGGAATGCATGTTTTGAAATGAAGAGGCGGGTCGAAGAGATCTGAAAAGCCCTGCGCCTTGCTTATGTACTAAGTTTTGATTACTTTTGACAAAATTACCCTCCTTTTGAAATATAACATCATGCATTGTTGTTGAGAGGCTAGAAGCCAACTCCCTCCAATACGCTTATGAGAGTTAGCCACAAGAATTATATGCTACTTGTACCTCTTCCTATCTTCCAGACCGTGACATCTTTTCATGAATCCTCCATAATGAAGATTATCAATCAAATCGCTTTCAAAAGTAACCTCTGGACTACCAATTTGTTAAAATGATTAACACGGCCAACTGTCTTCTCTCCAAGAACTTATCACCTCGTTGTGTCTCGGATTATTACTTCGACCCTTAAACCATGCAAAATCCAAGTAGATTCTATTCTGTGCCTCGTTAGATGACAACCTCTAGCCAGGAATTCAGGAAAAGCCGACGGCTTTGCGCCAAGACCTAAGCGATTGTCAACATCTATCCTTCGCGATTTGTCACTACAATAATAATTCAGACCTTGACTCAAGGTCATGGCAGACATACAGTATTGATATAAGACCAAGGACAATTAGCATGTATAATTTTTGGCCGCTAATGATTGAATCTGTTGTACAGCAATCAGCGACACCTGTGATGTAAACAATCAAGTATAAAAATCCCACAGCAAACTCCATGCGTGGTATCCCAACCCTGAGGGAGAAAATCCTGGCTGGTATATCTCTCTGAACTTTCATACATGATCCAGGGGAAATTCAGAACGCAATGGCTACCTTTCGTATCGTCATTGCATAGCGGTGCATTGAGCTGGAGCAAATACTTTCTGCACTTCTCCCTAGTCATGAAATGATCCTCACAATCCGAACCTGCAGCCTCACCTTCAATATCCCATTCAGCGATTACCTCAGGAGGCAGTGCAGGTTCTGGTGTGAAAGATTCAAGTCACTTCCCCGTATCCTAGTCTGGCGTTGACTTACTTCAACACCGAAACTGACTCCCTAGGCTTTCCCTACAAGTTCTGGCTGGTATTATACCCAGAAGAACCTACAAAACGAAGCACCGGTCAACGACAAGACAAACAGTATGAGCGCCCTCCTGTACCGTATTATTCTCAGCATCCCCTTGCCCATATTCCACAGGGCAAGTTCAACTAGAAACTGTGCAAACACAACTACCCCAAAAATAACCAGAGCCACGTCAAGAAAACTCATCACGGCAACACGATTATACCTATCCAGCAACCAAAACTCGACATCTGAGATCCATTCTTTGAGAGGATTCCCCCGCACTACCCCTTTCTGCCTTCTAGGGGTGCGGGTGTGCGATCGCTCAAGCGGTTTATCTGTTTTGGACTTGAGCTCAGGCTCATATACCACCACGAAATCAGTATATGGCTCAGGGGCTTGGCCGGCAGTTTTGCTGTCAAGTGGTGTTTCTGCTTGTAATTGTGGCTGTTCATACATTTGAACATCTTGCCCAGTGTACGAATCATCATCTGAAATCTGATCCGAACTGCTGTCGCTGCTTTCGTAATGTGCATCTGAGCCCAACTCACTGTCTGAGTCTTTGTCCGAGTCTGAAAGCGAATCCCCATCGCAGATCCTCTCTAGAGCTTCTATCCGGGAAATACATTCCGCCTCGGATAAGTAGCTGAGCTTCGCCACAGAAATTATAATAGAGAGCCAGCATCCAGTATCAGATTTGGCAGGCACAGAATGCGTGCTAATCTGGTAGCATGGTTGAGATTGGTCTGTTTTCAATACCGTAATAGAGACTGGCCGTGGATGTTTTTGGGTGACATAATCCTCGGCTTGCTTGAGAGCAGCAAGTAATGAGACTTCTGGTTGGCTCATACAATCTATACGATTAAGTATTACCCTCAAAGCATCGGAATTTCCCTGATAGATCACAGCCTCGAGTGCTGTCAGACTAGGCTTGTATCTGTCGGGATCAACGAAGTCCACGCTTGCTCCTAGATCGAGTAGTGTTTCCAACGCTTCTATCTCTTTCTCCTTCAGGGAAGACATGGCGATTTTCAGAACCTCGGGTCCAAGAAAATGGTCCCTGGCATATGGTGGGTGGCAGTAGCAAGCATGTCCACACTGCAAAAGGCGTTTCATCGCATACCTAGAGCTCTCTTGTCCGAGGGTCAAGGCATACTGGTACAAAAGCGAGGATGGATTGTCGTTCTGGGTGGATGTAGGTGGGATTCCTTGAAGCAAATCATCGATAAAGCAGTCATCATCTCCAAGGAAGTCCCAATTGACAAAATCCATGAGCAGTTCCAGATCCAAAGCTTCTTTAGCCAGTCCATTTTCATCCATAACGTCACAAAAAGAGTCGTAGGTTTGCACATTCCGGCTGATTACTGCTACACGCAGGAAGTCTCTGCTAGCAAAGTTATTTGGTGCCTCATTAGCCTTGGTAAGGAAAGGATCCAACATCGAGTCCGTTCCAAACGCACACAAGAACATCACGAAAGCGCGCTGTTTGGGTTCCGGTGCAGCCAACACTTCATGTACAATATTCTCATACAGGAGGCCGGCGGGAAGACTCGATTCCGGGGTAATGAAAGCTCCTGGCGATCGAAAGCTTGCAAAATGACTCGATAGATAGGACTTCAGGCTGGGCTCAGAGTGTAGCAGAGCGCCAATCCACCATCGGTCCATTTCAGATATTTCTGAGCAGCATAAAGGATCGAGATGCTGAGCAATATGCTGCTTGAATCGTTTCGCACCTCTTTGAGAGATGGAATTACAAAAGGTAGGTAGTTCAATGGCTGATCCGGAACAATCAGCTAGTAGCTGTCGCGTTGAATCAAACGAATCATTCTTGTCCCATGTGTGGTCAAAAACTCTATAGGTCGATGACATCTTACAGAACGCCTGATGATGGGCCTTTGACGAGTTTTCTTTTGTGACCAACACCGTTCCTCGATAAGAAATATGGATTTTGGGGTATCTGTGGCATAATGAACATTAGTCCTTCTGCAAACAATCTGGCGCAAGGCGGTACGGACCGTAGCTTGGATGGTCTTTCAAAATCATTGAAATCAATTGTCAGCTCTTGGTGCGAGTTGGGTTGACCAGTGTTCATAAGTTCGAAATGTGAAATGAGTCTCCAGGTGATGTCGCCGAAGATGTCATAGAAAGCGCCTCTCCAACACAGCTCCTGGATATCCCAAGAAGACATAGAAGACAGACAAGAAGCTGCGGCGAGAAAATCATCATCTCTCATGTAGCTTAATAGCTCCTTTGGAATTAGGCTAGCATCTCCACACTGAGTCCTTTGCCAGTAAGGCAACTTGTGACCTAGATTCTCAACATTCAAAACATAGGATATCTGACAGACGACCTGGGTGATCCAAGCGGGAGGCTGAAATTTGAAAGTCACTTTGTAGTCGTGATTTCCGTTGGGACCGTGCTCCTCAGATTTTGGCCCAGAGTGAGAAAATTCAGTGGTCAATGTACCGATGGGAAGTTGGTACATTGCCCACTTCCAGTATACCAACTTATGCCCTCTTCTGGTCGGTCTCAGATTCAAGTAAGTTTCAGTCTTCGCCTCGAACGTTCCGTGAGTATGAGTCAAGACGCTTAGCAGTTCTCTTTCAACCAGGGTTGTTGATATCTGTGGCTTTGACAGCGTTCGTTGAATAGCACTGACTTCCTCCTCAATAAGTCCAAGTCCACTGTCTAACATTTCCACTATTCTCAGTTCAGTGACACCAAGAGCAGTATGGACCTGTGAGATCTGGCGTGATGTCAAGAGACTCTGAACAAAATTCAACATCTCGATATGACTTCTGAAAGCCATGCGGCATTTCAATATCTGTTTATCAGATACGGCAAATCGCATTCGTCCCAGTTGCCGAATCCTTGAGCCTCCATCTACTTGGAGCTGCAGTTTCTTGATCAGTTCCATGAATCTTGCAAGATCTTTCCGCATCTGACATTCGTTGCTCCTCCATATCGAGCGCAGCTCTGGCGATAGAGCAGCTGATCCAATATCACTGCTGGTTTTCTCAATTTCTCCTAGAAGGATTTTGAGGATTTCTGAATCGGTAACGAGCTGGTGCAACTCCTTCGGTGCATTCTTGAACCGTATTTGTAGCTCATGTAGCTTCGTGCATCCTTGAGTGGCAAGGCCGACGAGCGTTACCAAGCTTGCTGCAAGACCAATTCCAGTGATTGGATCCATCTCGGTTGTGCTAAAGCGTAGACTCAAAGCATTATATTTAATGAAATGTTTATGTGGGATGTTGAGGTAAAATTCTACAAGATTGTTTTGAAGAAGAGGCCGCCGTCAAGATAGTTTGGGTGCTTTTGTTTTCCTTGCAGGAGGGCGGTGGCTGAGCGACGCCACAAATGGGTGCCATCAAGTCTGCCTCGTAGAAGCATCAACATACTTGCGAAAGGTAGACCCGAGAACAAACTCAAGTCTTTTTGATTGACTAGAAAAGTTGACTAGCAGCACCTCCGGGCGCCAAGCTAACAGATGTGGTTACATCAGAGATTACTTGACATACCGGCTGGGACTGCGGAGGAAAAGAAGTCAAGCGAGCGACTTGCATCGACCATTGGCTCAAGACTCAACTTGGTAGAGCATCATGAATAGAAAAAGACTCATTGGCCAAGGCATGGAAAGAAATCGATCAATGACTGACGGGAATGTATTGAGCAAACCCAAAAACAAGAATATCCGGTTTAATCCTCTTCCATCTTCTCACAACACGATGGGCAAGTTGGCATTATACACCCCCACTAATACTCCTGTCCCTCCACCCCATTCTAACAGCTCGTTCTTTGATACCCTCACTTCCCTTACATTCCCTTCTCTTCAGCATACTATTTTTCAACTCGTCACATTGCTTTTTAACACCTTGATCGTACGCCATGTATTCATCTCCACCATCTCGATCTCCAAATGAGTTCTTCTGGGCACATTTAGATCCCAATCCAATATCCTGGTCACCAAGCATGTATTCCACTCCATCACAATCTTCGAGTTCACATCTTGGCTTCGGATCGTGCTCCGCCATTCTCTTCTCTCTGAGCGCTTCCCAGGCATTGAGCTTGTCTCTCCTCTGCTTGGCTGCTCTCCTTGCCACACCCGCCAGGGTGTTGACCCCGAGACCATCGAAAGCACTAAGTGCTGATAAAAATCTTCGGGCACTTGAACCTGTGATCTCTTCTATCCACTTGTCAACATCTTCGTCACATGCCGCGGCTGTTGCGACATGCAGGCCTTTGAACACCTGCTTCTCATTGATCTCGCCAGTTTTCACGGAACAGCTGTCAGTGGAAGTTGTCGAGGCGAAGGCGAGGCAGGCAGGTGGGTCAACTTGAGGGATTTTGGGCATCTGTGGAACCGTTTTGGGACGTGATATTGTGGAGTAGCAATGAACATGCTTAGTAGGTTCAGATGCGACGGGCCTCAATTTAAGTCTTGGTAAGGAAGGTCTCTTCATGGGATCTGCCATTGGCTCTTGCTTTGTGTATTCTTCAATGGCGAGTTCGGCTAGGCTCTGTGGTCGCTTCCCATTTGGTGAGTGGCAACTTTTCGGAGTTTCGACCAAGGAATGTTCGATCTTGCTCTGAGTTCGCTTCCTCTCCGATGTACTACACATCTTGGGAGTATCAACAACGATGCATTCAGCATCTGCGGGGCTTGGGGTTTCCTCTGCATACTCAAATGGCCCAGCGGGGATGATGGGTCTGGTAGACCGTCGAGAGGGAAGGTACTGCACCTCAATCGGTGCTCGAACCTCGGCAGGAAATGTACCCTGTAGGGGCGAGATTGCAATAGAAGAGTTTCTTGATGGAAAGCATTGCTGGCATTGTGTAGATGATCTTGCCGTACAAGCATGGACCGGAGATAACAACTGCGAATCTGCTTTTGGCGATGGCTCGGTTGCGAGTGTTGGATTCAGAGGACCAGAACACTGGGTGCACAAAGGTGGGATGGAGTGACGACTAGTTGGACCTATTAGGCTGGTTTCAGAATTGGTCTGTTCCACCTCATACTGTTCTTCGTCATTTTGCGCCCAAGTTGACGTTCCTGCATCCTTGCTTTTGTTTGGACTCCTGGAATTGGGAGGTGCCTGGTAAGGTCCAATGCGCTTAGTAGGAGTTGTGGCGAGCGGAAAGGTTCGCGTGCGCTCTCCTGGAAGTGCGTAGGATCGAAAAGAAGGCTGGTCCTGAATTGCATCTGATTCAGTCATATGCCTGGGCTCAGGATCTTCCATAGTGACTTGGGAGTCTTGGTCTACTCCTTTCCACATTACTTTGGATGGCCTGGATGATCGCTGCTGTGTGGCAGATGGGAATGGCTCCGCAGAGGGCTGTGCACAGTCCCCGTTACAGTTTTTTGACTTCAAAGGAAAGGTTTTGCTGCGAATGCTCGAAACAGGAGCACGGTCTATATATAGCTGTCGTTCGGCTTGGTTGTCATTTATAGTGTCCTGACGAGATGTTGTAGGACTAAATGCCACAGTTTGAGTCCCGATGTGTACGTAAACATTGTTGGGGCGACTTGGTTCCAAACTCTCATCGGGATTCACTTGCGTCTGCGCCATCTCGTCAACCACTTGATTCATGTAGTTCGTAGCAGTTGAATTTCTAGCGCTATATCTTGGATCATCTCGCGTCGCATTCGTTGGCCTCTGTGAGATTCCAGGGCGGGCTGCGAAGAGTCAGGCAAACGCCTTCATCATGGAATGAGAACTCACATTGGCCTACGGACTGGCTTTCTCTCCCCGGCTTTGTAGGTTCCGCAACATCGAACGTGGAAACCCAGCCACCAAGCGGGGTGGATGGCCTATGCTGCTCATGCATCACTGAAGCGCTTTTCAATTCATTCGTAGGAGAGGATTCAGGTGAGGCTTCAGGTTTGCGTAGCCATGGAAGAGACTTCTTCATCGATGCTCGAGGTGTGGCTGGCGCTTCTCTAAGGGGCCGCGGTGGAGAAGCATCTTTCTCATGTGGAGTGAATCCAATGATAGTCTGGTCTGTTGAGATCGATGAGCTCGTCCGATCTTTTGTTGATGGCCGTCCATAAGTTTTCTCGTGAGGTGGGGTCCATCCCAGAATTGTTGTGCCAGTGGAACCAGACGCATACGAGGGAAGCTTTGTTTTTTGTCCCAATTGCTGGTTGTTATTTTTCTTCTTCGGTGGTGTTTCGTTCTTTACATATTTGTCATCTTTAGGAGGTGTTGGTGGAGGTGTTGGCCCTTTCTGCAATTTCGCCATCCCCTTTTGTTCCGCTGCGGTGATAGCAAGACCCGCGGATCGAAACTCAGATTGGTAGGGCTTCAGCTCTTGAATAGTGTAAGCCGAGAGACTTGTCGTGGAACGAGTAGAGAGTGATGAAACAAGGGACTGCGAAGGGTGTTCTTTTGCCGCCTGTAGGTAAAGTTCGATTCCTTTCGTAAAGCGGGCGAGGACTTTCTTTTGGCTTGGAGAACGAGACGCTGTTTCAGACACAAGGCTATGGACAATAGATTTTATAGATGCAGGGGGTTTCCCTTGCAACCTTGACTGCTGACTATATTTTCTCACTGCCTCCCAGAACTCCGTTCCTGTATCCTTTCGTGTTGGCGATACCTGCGAGGTTGCTCTGCGAAAAGTGTTCGGCTTGAACTGAGGTCGGGGTGATAGTCTGCGACGCTGGCTTGCAATTGGACCCAGTGTCTCGAATCTAGTATCGTAAGAACGCGTTCTTTCAGTTGGGCGATGGCTTGAAATCTGGTTGCTGGCCGCCTGAAGAGGACCTGATCTTTGAGCAGAGTACAATCGGTCGGGATTGTAAGATGCCTTGTCTGCTTTTGAAGGATGATCAGCAGTCCAATATACCGGTACTTTAGCAATATGCCTCAACGAGTAGGCGTTCTCGGACTGCTTCTTCCTTGGATTGAGACGCCTGGCAACAGAACTCGCTGCACCGTCGGTCGATGGGATAGCAGAGCTTTCTTGAATTTCCGGGCGGAGGGTTGCACCTGATATTGACCTGGGCTTTGTAGGCCGGCTTCCAGATCCACTTTTCTCGGTGACTCTGCTTGCAAGTTCTGCCCCAGGTGTATCCCATCCAAACACTTGTATGTTGTGCCTAGCTCGAACAGAAGCGCGTCTACGGGCCCTCAGAATAGATGAAGAGGCACGCGAACCCCGCATTCGCTGGCGCCGGAATTGTATCCTGAAGGGGCTCTTCTTGTTCTCTTTCTCGGACTTGATATGCGACTGAACCCTCGAAGTCTGACCGGAGCCAGAAAGAAGTCGATTGTGGACCGACTTGTGACGGGTAGAAACGACTCGAATTCGTGGCAAACGATGATGAGGATACCCGCTCCAATGAATATTAAAATTGGGCATGGTATGTATCACACAGAGAGTCGGTAAGAATGCATCTTAGGGAGGGTATTGAGCAAGAGGAGGCTCCTCACGTTGAGGGCCGATGAAGCTCTCGACCGTGCCATCGCTCCTTCTCTTCTACGTAGAAACTGGGTTGTACCATCACTCTTGTCTGAAAGCTTCATCTGATGTCTTTGATTCCGGGAGAAGAATACATGTCGATTTGTCTTTGTCCCTTTCGCATCAGATATTCTATGGCACTGAAGTCCTTCTTGTCCAGTCCAATAGCTTTCTCGAATTCGGTTCTGTATTCCACCCAGTCATCAGCCGGACCCCTAAACGAAGGATCGAGTTGTTCGACTAAAGCAAAAATGAAGAAGCTCACCTAGCATACTTTTCGAAATGCAGTCTTGCCTGTCTGGTGGTCAGAAAATTATTCCAGAGCTCCATTGCAGCCCACTCACCCCACCCTTAGTCCTGCTGACCCGCAGACACTTTCTATACAATGATAAAACATCTCTCTGCAATCCGGAATGCTTCATTTCGACTTGGCGGTGGTGTTGATGGCTGCAGAAGGAAGAAATTTATAGAGTGAGGATTGGTGGACTTTGATGACGGCTCTATTCCGAAATGGTTGCAGGGATCAAGCTCAAGCTCCCCTGGCATTGGCGAAACGTGGGGTCGCTTCCAATGCAGGCTGGTGAAGGCAATTTGGACATCTCCCTCCCCTTCCGCCTGGTCTGGTAAACAATATAAAAACAAACAAGACTTCCCAAATTCTTGTCTTAATAACTAGGCTGTCTATCATTTTGACCTTGCCTTACAGACACGCAACTTAGATTAAGCCAATGGCAACTTTCTCTGTAGGTATCCTTAGCCCTGCTGGGTAACCCCCACTCCACGCAATTAAGCTCACTTCACATGTAGAGACTCGTCCGTTTCCTTGCAAAGGACGGCAGGACATACTATGGCGATGCTATTCTTCCCAAAGGAGTGACCGACATCGCCAAAGCAACTCAAGCCAAGATCATCCGCGGGAAAATATTTGGAAAGCATGATGTTACAGATCAAGTTGCCGATATCCGACTCTTGCTCGCTCCTCTCGCTCTGGAGGACGTGAAGACAGTAAGATGTTTAGGATTGAACTATGAGAAACATGCAAAAGAGGTTGGTCTCGAGTTGCGCCGTTACATCAAGTGACAAAGATGTTAACATGTTCTCAAGTCAAATATGCCCATCCCGAAATATCCCGTGCTCTTCTACAAGCCCATCACATCTCTCACCGGACCCACTGATCCAATTCCCATCCACGCTCTCGCTCAACAGTTCACCGGTCTTGATTATGAGTGCGAGCTTGTTGCTGTTATTGGAAAGCCCTGTTCGGATGTACCAGAGTCTTCAGCACTTGACTATGTCCTCGGCTACAGTGTCGGCAACGACGTCTCACATCGCGACTGGCAACTCAAGTACGGTGGTGGTCAGTGGGGTCTCGGAAAGGGATTTGATGGCTGGGCTCCTTACGGACCAGGAATCGTCTCACCAAAGCTCATTCCCGATCCCCAGAATCTGAAGATCTCGACTAAGTTGAATGGCAATACAGTACAGGAGAGCAATACTGGTGATATGATCTTTGGCATAGCAAAGACAATTGCATTCTTAAGTCAGGGTACCACGCTATTGCCTGGTGATTTGATCTTCACGGGTACGCCAGAAGGTGTTGGTATGGGCCGAAAGCCACAGCTTTGGTTGAAGGATGGCGACGTTGTCGAGGTTGGCTTAGTGGGCGTGGGAACATGTGTCAACAAGGTAGAGTTTGCGAAGGAGAATTCAAAGCTGTAAATGTGGTCTTGAAATCCAGATAACCTTAATCCTGGGATGTGTTGTTACAAATGTCTCCTTACTTGTTCAAAGTACTAAGGTAGACTGGGCATCTCCTTGAGGTTACATAAGGCTAGTATCGAAATTTAAGGGGAAAAGAGTACCACACCAACGTCACTTTGTTGCCCCATATCTTTAATCCACATAGAATTCTGTAACATACAGCTCATCATTGCACCTGAATGCCAAGCAACGACCCTATTGTTGCCTACCTACCACAAACTCAAAACAAGAGACTCAAAGATATGATGCTTCGGTCAAGAACCCGATTGTAAGCTTGATATGGCGCAAGACAGCATCCCACTGGATCGTGCTATAAGCCTATTGACAATTTTGTTAGTACGTCCTCCAAGCAATCAGACACCAGGCACTTACGTCATTTGCAGAATGAATGTACGGGCTCGATCCATCCATCGTGTCTTCATGGACAAAAGAAGCAGCTATTGGAATTCGTCAGCATTTTCCAGCTTGTCAAATCTCAACAGGGGCAAATTAAAGCTACTCACGGAACCCATTCGAGGTAGCACTCGCATGATCAGAGCACCCGTAGCCACAACTACTCGTGCCCGCCGTGATGCCAGTATACTGCCTGATAATCAGACGCATATACGTGTTCAACGCCGCATTCGTATAATCTGTGAACACAACAGGCTTTCCACCTGGCGAATATCCCGTCATGTCTTGGTTCAGCATGGCGAGGACTCGCTTGCCGGCTGAGCGGTAGTTGGAAAAGATAGCTGCAGAACCAAGAAGACCACCCTCTTCCCCAGAGTAGAAGTGGAATTCGAGTGTGTTCTTGGGTTTGAAGCCGGAAGTTGCGAGCACGCGGAGGGCTTCCAGAATGGTCACAGTGCCACTTCCATCGTCATCGGCACCGGGAGAGCGGCCGGTTGATGTACTGCCAACGGAATCGATATGTGCTCCAACTACGACTGTGAGAAGTTAGCTTTTGAACTGATCTGTGATGCTTTGGGAGAGGGTTCAACGCACCCAGATTCGTGCTGGTCCCTGGAATCTTCACGATGATTGAAGGCATGTTGAATGAGTGGGTGAACCTGGTGACAGTAATCGCAGAATTCACTGCTGCGATGCTTGAGAGTTGGTTGAACAACCAGGTCGATGCCTGGGTACCAGTTGCACTTCGGTAGTAGCGAGTGGTAAACCTGAATAAGTCAATATCAGTTCTTATACAGCTCGTGAAAATGTGCTTACTCGGTGAAGGTCCTCAGCGTGGTCTGTGGCACTGTGATGTTTATCTTGCTGATGAATGCGTTGCCCTCACTGACATGCGTCAAGGTGGTTGGGTAAGTAACAGCTTGTCTTTCGACAATCGTGCTCTCACTGACTCCTGAAAGGGAGTTCAGAACATAGCTATCCTAGACACTTCGGATTAGATTAAGGGCAAGGTATGAAATCCAAAGGGCACATACTGTGATATCTGTAATATCGATGAACTTGATGTTCTTAGCAGTATACTTCTCAATTTTCTCATCCTCCGTGACCCATATTCCAGGGTCAGCTTCAGAGGTCTTGATCAAACGAAGACCAGCATTGATTTTCGAGCTATCAGTGGAAGGAAGCGCAGATACAAGAAGTGAAGAAGATGCCACAAGGGCTCCGAGAAATAGATTGTAAAGCATGATGATTGCTCGAGAATACAATATTTGTACTGGCTTGACGCAAAATCAAAGGGGCAAGTTGTCAATATGTACTCTTCTCAATTCCGTGTTTTCTGCACTTCTTGTATGATATCTCAACACTAACTGTCCTCCAAGCCAAGATAATTGCAGCCTTCCCCTTTCTCTAATCGCCAAGTACCTCTCACCTTCCCCTACAAGCTTTCAGCGTGATTACCGAAGCCGGCAAATCTCCAATCGACCACTCGCTATCCTTTCCGCGTATGTCATCTGATACCAAGCCGGAGACGATCACTTGGCGGCGGGAGATTGCAACGGCATGCCGCACAGTTTTGGAATGTGCTCTTGATGAAAGTCTTGTTTTGCAGGAAGAAGTCTTGTCAGTTTCTAAAATGGGAAGGGCCAAGCTGAGGGGAGGAAGGCTGCATCACAATCTGTGCTAAGAGACGAACTGCTAGTTTGGGGTGAGTAAGTATAGGCTCAAGTGCGGTACTTGATGCCGTGATGATCGATCTCTTGGCGAGCGAGGCTTGATGCGGAAGGTGGTTGAGGCTAACCCTGCAGAGTATTATTCTTGACAATTCAAGAGATCAAACAACTAACTGACAAAGATAAGGAGAATACGCAAGAAGACCGTCCGCGATAGGTCGATCTATGCCTGAGTGCAGCTGAAAGCCGAAGCGCAGATGTGCGGGTGTGTTTACAAAGGGAGTTTAAGCGAGCTGACCTCGATGCTTTAGGGCAGCATCACTTGGGTATCCAAAGAAGTCCGAGAACGCGCGAGGAATTAGGGCGAAGACTGCCCGGTGGCAGGCAAGTCGACATCGTAATGCTAGGTAGAGTAGCGGGTTGCTAGAACTAAATTGCTTGCTTAGCTTTTGGCACTTGCCAATACTCACATGAAGGGAAATAGATGTCGCTACTAGTATACAAGCGACACGGAAAAGCGAGTTAAATCAATATCTCCAAACAGAATTAAAACAGTCAAACTTGCAAAGATGTAAGTCTCATATCTAATGGCAGAGTTTCTATTACATTCAGCAAACAATCCAACAAGATTCCCGTTCCCCAGCCAGCCGAAGCAGTAAATGTCGAAATTTGATCCTCAACGTGGGTTAGCCTGAGCAGTAACAGAGTCGGTACTTAAAGTCCTCATCTTCTTAATCTTCTCTCTGAGCAACTCCTCTCGCAGTTCCTGGGCTTCTCTCTTCGGATCTTTCATCTGGGCCTCCTCAGATATGTCAGCCTCACTGAATGCAAGTAGAAGACATGCCAGTCATAATGAAAGATCCAGCCCCGGTTTGAGATTACGAATCGCTACCAACCTCGTTGGGACGGACGGGACCAGCATTCTTGCTCGTTTCTCTTTGCGGCGATTCCCTATCTTTCTCTTCATCTGAATCAGCTTTACGATCTCTCGATTCAGAAGATGTGTTTCGTCGCCTCTTGTTTGCTGGCTCATAACGTTGTACAGAACGACGACGCTTTCTGTCCCTTCCACCACGACTGGAACTTCTAGATCGGCTTCGGCGACGGCGCGGAGGTGTCATACTGCGGCTGTTGCTCCGAGTTAGCCGATGTTCGTCACGGTCCTTTCGAGCCCTAGGCCTGTCTTCATCAGTATCTGGGGTTGGCGTGTTTCCCGCCCTGCCTTTGCTTGAAGCCAGGATTATGTCAGGGCTTCTCGATCTCGAGCGTGAGCTAGAAACAGATCGAGAGCGAGAGCTGCTATCACGACGGGCTTTTCGAGACCTTGGCGGAGGCGATAGAGACGCTGAGAGAGAAATTGATCTTCTGCGTCGAGTTGGTCTCGGAGAACGAGACCGAGATGAGTCTAGACTGGGTGACCTGGGACGCTCTTCGCGATCTCTGCTTCTTCGGCCCCTCCCTCCACGAGCACGGTAATTGTTTCTTCTTTCAGGTGTTCTTGATCGTCTCCGAGGAGGAGAAGGGGATCGGGATATGGAACGAGGGCGTCTGCGAGGAGGTGTGCGCGATTCTGATTTGGATCTAGTAGGAGATGGCGAACGAGACTCGGACGTTGATAGGCGTCGGCGTTCATTTCGTCTGCGTCCACCTGGTACGTATGAATCGGTGACAGCCCTAGGAGGCTCCCGAAACGACGCTCGCTCTCTTGAATCTCTTCGGCGAGGAGATCTAGAACGTGGTGGACCTCGTCGATCGAATCCTCTTCCACCTCCACCATTACCTCCTCTGCGATCAAAATCTCTATCTCCTCGACCACCTCGCCATGTATCTCCGCGCCCTGCTCCGCGGCCACCACCTCGGTCTCCCCGATCTCCTCGATCTCCCCGGTCACCACGCTCGCCTCGTTCCCGGTTGCGGATATTGTTAACTTCGCGTTCTCGGCGCTGCTCCTCTTCTCGACGGGACCGTGATTCCTCTGCTGCTTTCTCGGCTTCGATCTGCATCATTGTCAGTGTGGACCAGTCCAGGTTAAGCCATAGAGCATACCTTCTCCTGTATGAGCTCCAGCTTCTTCGCCTCAAGCAACTCTTTGGGGACTCCCTGGGGATTGGATTGAGCGCTCAAACAAAGACTCCAGAGCTCTTTACAGAATGCTGCTGTATCCTTATCGAGAAATCCCGTCAATTGTATTTGCATAGTCTTGATGTCCGGCTGTGACACTTGTGAGCTTGGCGCAACCTTGTTCACATGCCATACATACAAATCGAGCGCCTTCAATCAGATTGAAGCACAGTTCAATCACAACATCGTCATCATTTCCAAGGATTTCAGAGATCTTTCCTGCGATCCATCTGTGTGTTTCACCGAATTAGCCATGTGCTCGGTGGTAGGCAAGACGACGTACTTTTTCATGACCTCAGCGTTCACCTTTTGCATATCCACCTTCTTGCTGAACTCTGGAGGAAATTTTGTCGATTTCAGGAGCTTAGCATCTACACTGGACGCCATTTTGGAGGATTCTGTGCACGGCGTGTGCGAATGACGATGGTGGTTGGGACGTTCTGTGCAAGATGGAGGAGAGACGTTGGTGAAAGCCAAAACGACGAGGCTGAACCCGCTAGGAATGTGTGGCTGATGAATGCGCCACATTCCATATCAGATCGACTAAGACCTCGACGACAACACGAGGCTGAATGCACATATATGTGGCTCACGAAAGCCCGATTTCTGGGTCTCCATTACCAGTATGGAGTAGTTACTAGTTGCTGAAATATTGGTACTGCCTGGATCCAACAATTAAAGCTCTCTGGGCTACTCAAGTCAATGTCCCCATCCGTTAGAATTTTGATTGGGTCATCTTATGCACATGGAGACTGTTACAAGACGACTTAAGCAATACCATTAGCTTGGATCTCTTCGTACGCTAGGTGTTTTTGTACAACTGTGTGTACATTGGGAGGGTGCCATGGAGCCAGTACTTACTGGAAACTCAAGGCGAGGATAGTTCCTTCCAGACTTGTTGTCAAATTGGGAGAAGGCAAGAGCTATTCCCCACCTCTATTTTCAAAAGCAGTTTGTCTTCCTGCTCTTGTCGGCATCTTTCTATTGTCATTCTTTACAACATGTATTCTTAAGTATGGTTGCGCTTCGAGGCCCTGCTTGGCGTAGTACAACTCCCGTCAGTCGACTAGAACGCTCGGATCTATCTCAAACCACTCCCAGCTCTCCTGCGGAGGTTGAGGTACCATCCGTTCAAGATCTTGTCGGCCAACTCGAAGCCAAGGAGGAGCAATCTCGTCGGCGATCATCCGTCGGAGATAGACCATCAACTCCAAACTTTCGGGCACATCCCTTTCGACCTCTCATTCCTTACTCCCGCACTCCGAGCCCCAGTACAGTCTCAAAGGTTACCCCTCTGCCAAAAGAGGGATCAGTGGTACATGAGGAGGTTTGTCGTGGACTCAAGGGCCGACGAACTTCACTTGACTTAGACCGCAAAGCCATACCCTTGGTTTTCACCACGGCAGAAGGAGATTTAATCTGTCAGCCTGACTCTCGTCTTTCTACACCACCGGTCAGAAGGGACGATCTAGGACCTGATTCCAAACCACGGCTGCCACCATCATCAACTAGCCAGGCAGTAGACTCTGTTGTGGTCGATTTTGAGGTAAATTTCTGCATCTTCCAACCAAGCTTTGGGATCCGAGACTAAATTCTGCACATTAAGAACCTCCCTCCTCTTCCCGACACTCCCTTGATCACCTCGCTGTCGCCTCGAATGATTACCAGGAAGTCACAGAACAGGACTGAAGACTACTCTCCTCTGAATTCTCCTATTGTCTCTATCCGACCCATAGCACCACTATCACCATTGAGTCTTGCCGTTGATTCTGCTGCAGACTCATCATCTATAGCAGATCCGCCCTGTCCGACGGAAAAGCCTCGTCCAGGTGAGCATCTTCTCAACTCTTGTCTTTGCCAAACCATATCCCAATCAATCTTCAACATTTCGATCCATGCCAAGGTAAAACTGACTCAGATTCTCAGGTACGCTCGCAACTCTCTACCAGCTGGACCCTTCCAGTACTGCGACCTTTAATACGAGTGTACGTGATCTGATACAAGAAGCTCCAGACAGTCCAATTGGTGGAGATTGTGTCGAACCGATGGATCATGATCGTACTGTCGGAACCATGGTCGTTCGCGGCAAGGACCATCTGAATACCCCCAAGACAACCTCCGCGCTTCAGAACACCAATAAGCCGCTGAGATCGCGCTCCAACTACTCTGAATCAAGCGCAGGTCCGTCTCGTAAAGAGGAGCCTATAACACTGTCACATAAGCCTTTTGCGAATTCGGAGAGACCTGCAACACTACAGAGCGAGAAATCCATCCCAATGGTCACGGCACCGGACACGCCCTTGTTTGGAAGGCGAAATGAATTTAGTGATATTTCGGACATAACTTTCGATGGGAGTCCTGGTTCCAGAACTGGCGTCAAGGACTTCGCAGTTGTTGCTGAAGTTACAGAGGTCACTGGTGGTGACATATGCCCTGACTGCGATCTTCCAACGGCAGGAAGTGATAATGGAGACAGTTCAAAGGGATTCAACCTTCCCAACCCAGGAGGTACCGTCTCTGGATCTTCGGCACCTGGAATAACAGGCGCTGGTATAACACCATCGGGCGTTGCAGCATCAAATTTGCCAGCTTCTGGGCTCTCCCCTACTGGAGTACCAGCGTCGAGCGTACCAACAACTGTAATTCCAGCACCTGGTGTCTCGTTACCAGACGCTTCGTCGCTTCCTGGGGTTCCTGGAGTACCTGATACAGGTGGTGATCACGATCTCCATATTCCCGGTTCCAATCTTCCAGGAGGTTTGGCTGTGCCTGTGGATATCACAGGCACAGTTGACCCTCCCAAAATTCCTCCCCCGAGCAAAAAGAGGATGGCTTTAGGCAAGGGAAAGAAGAAAGGGCAGAACGCCATTCGACGTGGAAGACGCTTGCTGTTGCGTAAGCCAGTTCTTGCAGTGGTGATTGGAAGACAATTAGCAGGACCAACCTCAGCAGCACTGAAACTGGTTTCAAAAGGTACCCCAGTAGATCCTACTGCCCTCAAAGAAGCCGCAGTCCCTCAGGCAGTACCGCAGCCTGTTCCTCTGCCAGCGTGACAAAGAAAGATGAGCCAGCGTCTGCGAACGCGGCTGGAAGAGATGGAATGGACGATTATGGTAACGAGGGAGCTTGATGAGGTTGCTTGGGAGGAAAATTGGTCTTTACCTTCTGTATAACCAGATTGTGCACACCACCAGTTCAAGTCGGGAGACAAATCAGAATGCCATTCTTCTTTGCCCGCTAGAAATGATCTCCCGTGACCCGTAACTTTTTTTTGGATGACTCCCAAGCAATGGGTATTTCCCAAACTCCTCGCCATGCCTGAAGCAAATCAATATCCTCCGCTCTAATCAGTGAGTGCCATCCGTCGAAACCATGCCCTGATATTTATGCCATTCGCATGCATGTATGAACCTCAACTCATCCCATCTAAACACCCAAGTACCGAGCCTTTGCCACCTTTTCTCGTTCTTCCAATTCCGCCTTCGCATACCGCGCTACCACATTATCTACTCTCTGCTTCGCACGACTCAACCCCGTATCGCCCATCTGCTTGAACTTCCCGCGCATCTCGAAGAGTTGAAGGAGTGTCTTTGCGCGTGTGAGATCTTCGTCGAGCTGGTGGGTGGGGGGGAGCCGTTAGCTTTTGTTTTGTTTACTTTGGAAGCGAGGAGGGGAATATTCACCTCTGCTTCAGAACCAGGGTTTCCAATTGGTGTACTTGCACCACTGCCTCCCATGCTCATACTAAAACTACTCCCCTCTCTGGCAAATGTCGGGGTATTGACTCCTCCACCATTTCCGAATGATTGTGATTGTGACCGGGAGACTGTCACTATTCTCCGTCCTAGCTTGTCGAATTTCGGAGCTGAGCTGTTGTGACGCGAGAGAGGAGTTGTGGGCGAATTATTGGAGGCAGTAGTTTTCGGGGCGTTGAAGGGTTTGAGGAGGGAGAGAGCGGCGTGGGGATCCTGGGGTGGCGAAGGGGTGTTAAAATGATTGGTTTGTTTTCGAGGAGATTGTGGGGTGAAGAAGAGGGAGAGGAATGAGGATGGTAGGGATAAGAGAGAGCTTGAGGGGTTAGGAGATTGAGAAGTAGAAGGAGAAGGGGAGTCGGAAGGAGGGGTACTAGAGGAGCTAGAAGCTTGAGGTGAAGGGGGAGGTATAGCAGGTGATGGGGATGAGGATGAAGGGGAGGGGGAACCCACTGCGTTTTGCAGGGTTTGAAGGTCGGCAATTATCTGCGCAATCTGAAGACCTTCTATTGAAGACATTCTGATGGATGTTGGTAGGTATGATGTGGTGATGTGGGAGCTGGATGGAGGAGTTTAATCGAAGTAGATGACTAGCAGGAGGAGGCCGGAGAAGTGGATGTTTTGATTTGTTTGCGGTCGGATGGAAGGCGAGGTGGGCGATCTTTGTGATGGTAGTAAATCAAACACTTTACTTGTATCAAAACTGAAAATTACGACGGAATAAATCAATGTTGTATCAGACTCTGCGAAATCGAGATGAATGATTGTTGAATCGAAGCTGGGGACCTGGAACTTGCAGGGATGTCGATCGAGGCTTGTCCATCTCCCGCTTCTCCCCACCTCTGGCGTCCACTGCCGGTTGCTTGTCCAGACTCTGGCCTTCTACCAACCACACCATCAGTACACGCAGGGTAAATATCCAGGTGATTTACCCCTCATCTTCTCTTACCCATCATGTCACTCGTCTTTCGTCGCGGACTTGCAAGTGCACCAATGGCTTCTTTGAAGAAAGCTTCAAAAGTGGTGTGTATTGGGAGGAATTATGCGTGAGTGTCCCTCCCACTCTTACTACTCTCAATTTGCACTCGTCTGCTGCAGATCCAAAATTATGGCAATTGGTTTGGAAATAAGATTCTGACTTCAATCCGTAGAGATCATATCACAGAGCTAAACAGCGCCCGCCCAAAGCAACCATTCTTCTTCCTTAAGCCTGCGAGCTCTATCCTCCCTCCCGGTGCCGGACCAGTAATCCGACCTCGCGGAGTGGATTTGCATTATGAGGTTGAGCTCGCCCTGGTTATGGGAAAGACGGTCAAGGATTTGGAAGCAAGTGATATGCAAGGAGCTCTGGATTCTATTGAGAGTGCGTATCCCCGCCCTTCAATTGCAATTGATATATTGCCAAGTCCAACTGAGCTAGAAATGTGGTACTGACCTAGAAACAATAGGCTACGCAATGAGCATCGACATGACCGCCCGCAACGTGCAAAACGAAGCAAAGAAGAAGGGACTCCCATGGAGCATAGCTAAAGGCTTCGATACTTTCCTGCCTGTCTCCCACCTCATTCCCAAATCTGCCATCCCAGACCCACACAAAGTCGAGCTATACCTCACTGTCAACGGAGAATCCAAACAAGCCGACTCCACCGACCTTATGCTCTTCCAGATCCCGAGAATCCTGAGCGATATCTCGAAGGTTATGACACTTGAGAAGGGCGATGTGGTGTTGACGGGTACGCCAAAGGGAGTGGGGAGTGTGAAGCCCGGTGATGTTATGAGAGCAGGATTGAAGGTTGACGGCAAGGAGGTTGAGGAGGGGAAGATTGAGGTTAAGGTTGAGGAGTCAACTGGTAGTTATGAGTTCAAGGAGACGTAAGCGGGGAGGTTTATAAAGTATATAGTGAGAATTGTATATTGGAAACGCAGGAAATTTTGATGGAGTGGGATATGTGTTCTGGAGGACTGTTCCAGCCATTGGGTTTCCAAATATTGTCCAAATGGCTCAAGTGACAATCTATTACCGAAATTTTGTGCTACGATCATCTTTGGGCTTCCGCATTCGAACTTATACCAGCTATGAGTATGGATTGTAATTCGACATGTTGGATCCACGTCGTGCAGGATCGATATTCCCAGCATTTGTACCTGTTATGTTGAGGAATTCCAATCTTTAGGTTAACGTAACGAGTCAAAGGATAACTGGTTCACAAGATGAATTTATACACTCGAGCATTATGTAACTCAACCCATCTCAAAGACTCATGACCAGAAATGGTGACATAATTTCAATGCACAAGCACCCCACTACCAAAATGGCGGAACAAATAGCGCGGTCACCCCATGTCATTTTCCAGCATTCCCCGATAAGCCCGATAAGGCTGAATTTGTGCAAGCCAACGGTCCAAAGCTCCTTCGCGTCAAGCTCTCATCATCATCAGCAGCAATCAACAACCCAACAATCCCACAACTATCCTTCTCGAACCCAAACCATCCAGTCACTACCTGCATAAAACCCCCACGATGAGCGAAAATAATCCCCCGCCATCCGCCGGCAACAATAACTCTGCTGATGTCCCTGGCCAACCCTTCTATGACAAAACGCGCGCGCATCTGCGCGCTCTCTTAAGCAAGCGGCGCGAGCTCGAAGCAAAATTGCAGAGCCAGGAAGCGGATATCTTGCGCAAGGAGACGGAATATCTAGAGGATACGCCGTATGGAAATATCATTATCGGCTTTGATGCGTATACAAAGGGTGTCAGTAGTGTGCCGGGACAGAGAAGGCGATTAGTGGTCGTGGAGGGGAATAGGGTCTTTAGTAGGAGTAGTGTTAGTTTTGGGAACGGTGGAGTAGGTTCTCTTTTCTTTCTGCTGCTTTTGGATGTCATGGTTGTTTGTGAAATTTGAGTTGGATCACAGTGTTGACAAGGAAAATTGAGAAATCGCATTCCTTCATGTGCGAAAGCTAACATTCCTCTCCTCTAGGACTCTCCAATGGACACAGCAACATCAACTCCCGTGGCAGCTCTGGCCCCCACGCCTCTCTCAACAGCTTTCATCAAAGCCGGCGACAAAGACGGCGGTTCTAACCACGCTACGCCGACCAGTGCGACGAGCGCGAATAAATCCGGTGGGGGAGGCGGTTCGAAGAAGAATAAGAAAGGCGCGGGAGCCGGAGCAGCCGAGGATAGTGATACGGATACCAGGGATACGAAGAAGCAGAGGACGAATTTTGGGGCCTCCGTGGGAAGGAAATAGTGCGTTTGAGTGGTTGAATGGTATTGAGTTTGGGGAGGTAGAGCTGAACCACGATATGACGAAGGCAGGGGCAGGAAAAGAAAGAGAGAATGATTTGCATGGCATGGCGTGGTTGGCGTTTTTGGTGTTGGGATGTATACCTACTTGAATTTGGCTGAGATTGCTTTTGAATACGGAGATGCGAGCGAGACAGTGTAAGAGAGTGGACGGGTGAACTGCACGAGTGTACTGGGACATTGGTGGGAATTGGTCAAGTCAGAGACTTCAGGATACCAATACAGGACATCAAAGGTGTGTAGTTTTGAATATTGGATCATATCTACAACCAAGTCTTGACAGTACCTCATTACTTCTGTCGTTATGTTCCCTCATGCTCATTCATCATGGCAGCTCCTCATCACTATCTCCTCCAAACCCAAAACTAAATCCTCCACCACCATTCTCATCTCCATCAGCCTTCCCAGCGACCACATCGTCCCACTTCCGCTTCTTCGCCTCCCTCTCCTTCTTCCTTTCCAGCTCTTCCAATGCCGCCTCGAGCAAAACCGGGTACTCCCTCCTCAATCCTTCCACAAAAACTCCATACGGATCCACTACCTCCTTCCTAAACCCCGAGACCTGCTCCCTCTTCTCACTCATAAACGCCAACACCCGCCCAAGATGCGCACTTGGCACAAAGTTCTGCGTAATCGCAATACTCGCCTCGAGATTAACGACTAAATGCCACCATCCACTCGGGACATGCAAGACTTCGCCCTCGCCGCAGACGCCTTCTTGACAGCCGGGAGTCTTGCGTGCTTCGGCATGGAAACCGAGCAGCCATTCGGCGATGCTGAGTGGTGAAGTGACTTCGCTTTGGTCGGAGGAGACGTAGACACCTGGCGGTGGGGGCGAGGAAGCAGATGAAGGGAACATGATCCAGTATTTGGAGCCGCGGAGGACAGCGTTCCAGGCTGATGTTGCATTAGGGTCTTTGTGGTAGGTTGAGCCGCTGCGGGAGGGGCCTATGATGAGCCATTTGTTGTCTGGGCGGAGGGAGCCGAGGACGGTGAAGAGATCCTCGCTGAAGGGAGCTGGGATAGTGTATGATGGTGGGGAGGAGTCGGTAGACTTGTTGTCGTTGCTAAAGTCGGTGGTAGAGTTTAGACTCATCTTCTCTACGAAGCTCCTATCGAAGAGGTATAGTGGACTTTCGTCGCTGCTATTATTCATATAGCTGATATAAGTGTCCAGCGTCCAATCCACAGCCTCAGCGCGGAACTTGACATCGCCGTACTTCTCTACCAGCGCTTCTGTGTTCCATGACTGGAACACAGGCCATGACTGAACAGGCTCTGTAAGGATAAACGGCTTGTCAGCCCAATCTGAGGAGAACTCAGCAGGCGTGAGGTTGGCGAGCCGGGGAATGGCATTCCTGGATGGTATATTGGTCGTGTACGGGAGGAGGGAAGTGTGAGTGCAAAGAAATGGTCGGTAGAGGACGTCAGAGAAGACGCCAGGGCAGGGGATCTGGCTAGTTTGGGAGGAGGTGAGATTCAGGAATGTTGAACGCCATGTTCCGTGCCAGGTGAAGGATCCAGATTTTGAAATGGGTGACCTAGATGAGTTAGCATCGGTTGAAAGATATGTATATTTGTGTCGGCGGAATGATGCATGACTCCGTTTGCGACCCAAGCAGCGTATGTTCACAGGATGTAGGACTGCGTTTGATCAAGAGACAGGTAAGGTCAAAGCATTGACTTAGCGTTCAGCTGGATACTTCCAGTGAAGGATAAGTCTTACAGGGCCAATTTTCTCCCATAGATTGTACCAGGACAAACAGACAATTATGACGAGACATGGAATCTCATCAAACACACTTGAACCTAAAATGCCGCAAGGACAAGACCTGACTGTGAAAGCTATCACTTACTCAATGAATAATGCTTTCCACAAGTCATCAGACCTACAGAATGCATAGAGAAACTTGCATGTTGCGCCTAAGGAGCGTAATTTGTATGAGTCAAGATATTCTAGAAATATTGCTAAAATCTCATCTGGAAATGCTTGAAATGAACCGATGGAATTTTTAGCAATGCTGCTGGCGGTATATTGGTTTCCAGCCGGCTTGACTCCCAAAGGATGAGGTGGTATGGTATTAGGTGACTCTTCGATGGATAGTGAGAGTGACTCAACTCCGCCACTGGGATAAACGTCCACGGCTGGATTGCCAGAATCTCCTGAAATGACTGAAGACTTCATGGTCGTTTGAACGCCTGAGGAGCAGCCAATTGGATATGAAGGTATCGGTGAAAGCGAGCAAGGCAAGAAAAAAGTTGCCTCCCAGGTACCGGTGACTTTAGTGGAAAGGTTGGCACCGTACACGCCACTTCTGTCGTGCAGGACTGGAGGAGGGGCAAGACCCTGTCTCTAGTGCTTGCTAGTGCTTTCGAATCCCTCCTCCTTTATTCAATGACCCAATCAGTATCAGAATCCGGTCCCAAGCCTGTGTTGTTGTTACTCACGGTGCAAAATTCACGGTAAAAAGTGTATTTTTCGAGGTAGTTAAGTGGCTCGAGTGGGTCTTCCGTTAGCGAAGCTAAGGCTACTTAGCGTAAAGTACAAAAAATTGTAAGAATATCTTCGACGGTCCGCCTTCCTTCCACCTCCTCATCAAACAATTCAAACACCACAAAACACAACATACACACAACCACTAGATCCCATTATAACTCTCGCTATCGGGAGTTTGGCATCTAGTTTTTCACACAACAGCAGATCTCTTGTCGCAGGCTCTCGTTGAGACCTCTGCGCATTCTATCACCCCACCTCTACCCATCCAACTTCCCGATTTCTAGATCCCAAGCACGGCTTGCGATCTAGATATTTCTATCAATCGAAACCGCAATCATGGCTTCCACTGATAAGGGTCTCGAGGAGATCCCAGAGGGTAAGGCTTCCTGAGACTCTGCCAACACTACACCGCCACTGGACTGCCGCACACGAAAAATTGAGGAAAGCGAAGCTGATAAAAGTTTTTTCCAGGTCAAATCGAGTCCAACTATGACGAGACCGTCGACTCTTTCGATGCTATGGAGCTCAAGCCTGAACTCCTCCGAGGTACGATTGGAAATCCATATGCTAGGAATTAGGGGTTAATATCTGATACAGGTGTCTACGCCTACGGTTTCGAGCGTCCTTCAGCTATTCAACAGCGCGCCATCTTGCCAGTCATCGGTGGTAAGTTTATACAAAAATCGCAATATTTTAGCTGTAGCTCATTCATTTCAAGGTCGCGATGTCATTGCTCAAGCCCAATCTGGAACCGGAAAGACTGCCACTTTCTCTATCTCCGTCCTCCAGAAGCTCGACCCCACCATCAAGCAATGCCAGGCCTTGATCCTTGCCCCAACCCGTGAGTTGGCTCAACAAATCCAAAAGGTCGTTGTTGCTATCGGAGACTTCATGAACATTGAGTGCCACGCCTGCATTGGTGGTACCAGCGTTCGTGATGACATGAAGGCTCTCCAGGATGGTCCCCACATCGTTGTCGGTACCCCAGGTCGTGTGCAGGACATGATCCAGCGCCGATTCTTGAAGACCGACAGCATGAAGATGTTCGTACTTGATGAGGCCGATGAGATGCTTTCCGTAAGTTTCTTCCTTTTCGCGAGGTCTGTGCGATATCTAACATTTTCATAGCGTGGTTTCACTGAGCAAATCTACGACATCTTCCAACTCCTTCCCCAATCTACCCAGGTCGTTCTCCTTTCCGCCACCATGCCCCAGGATGTCCTCGAGGTCACTACCAAGTTCATGCGCGACCCTGTCCGTATCTTGGTCAAGAAGGCCGAGCTTACCCTTGAAGGTATCAAGCAATTCTACATCGCCGTTGAGAAGGAAGATTGGAAGTTGGACACCCTGTCCGATCTCTACGAGACCGTCACTATCACACAAGCCGTTATCTTCTGCAACACCCGCCGGAAGGTCGACTGGCTTACCGACAAGCTTACGGCCCGTGATTTCACCGTCTCGGCCATGCACGGTGACATGGACCAGGGTCAGCGTGACCTGATTATGAAGGAGTTCCGCTCTGGTTCTTCCCGTGTCCTGATCGCCACTGATCTTTTGGCCCGTGGTATTGATGTCCAACAAGTTTCCTTGGTCATTAACTACGATCTCCCCGCCAACCGTGAGAACTACATCCACAGAATCGGTCGTGGTGGTCGTTTCGGACGTAAGGGTGTTGCCATCAACTTCGTTACCGCCGAGGATGTTCGCATGATGAGAGAAATCGAGCAATTTTACAGCACTCAAATCGAGGAGATGCCAATGAACGTTGCCGATCTCATTTAAACGTTGTATTTCAGCTAAGACATAAGGAATCACAGTTCCGGCATATTCGGTGGTACGAGAAAGTGCCTGTGTCGGAGCCCCTCTTTTAGGGTAGTGTGATAGTGAGCACGGTGGTTCGCCCGCGTGCGTGGATTAATTGGGCGGCATAAAAGTTGCTGCATTCTCTGCAGTTCCCAGGGTTTTCTCGCGTGTCATTTTGGCATTGCCAACACTAGAAGGTTGGGCGATGCTATCTGCTTTTCGGTCTCCTTCCGTGTATCTAAGGATTTGCTTCATTTGGTCATCAATCATGCTGCTTGTCGCATGGGTCTCAATCTACTGGGCTGTTGGCATGGGCAGCTGTAGATATGGAGACCAAATACGATGGGTGCAGTGGTGTTCTCGTAGCAAGGCAAAATTCAGACGTAAAACATTCCTGGTTGTTCGGTTTCTCATGGTGATTTTCAAGTGATAGATTCCTTCTTGTTTCTTCCTAAGCGAGTGCTCCTTCTGTTTTCGAGTTCTTGGCGCTCTTCCTCAACCTGGAAGGCGCACAACTTCCAGAGCGTCAACGCAAGGTAGGTAGAGTTCTGTTCGCCCTCCTTGTAGGAACAGCTTTCCCCATCCCATTCCGTCAATCTCTGCGACGACGTTCTTTCAGCCAACAAACATCCTCGATCCGCGGCAGCCATGGCAACATCTCTCTCCGCGTCCGCGGCCACGGCCGGCCCAAGCATCGCAGAGATGGCCCAAGAGAGACTTGAGAAATTGCAGATTCGCCGAGAGCACCAAGCATTACTGGAGAAGATCAGTAACATCGGAGCGCAGCGCGATAAGGACCTTGAGGACATCCGACAGCAATATGAGGCTGCACTTGAGTCGAATAAGGAGACTTTGACCAAGATTGAAGATCTTGAAACCAAAATATCCGTCAGGGATCGCGAGGTGGACGAATTTGTCAACGACCTGCAACGGTTCAAAGCTACAGTGGAGGAGTTCCTGCGAATTCGGGCTTCTGAAGGTCGGCCCAGGTCAGACATCGGTGCTGTTGACCAAGCTGATATTGAGTAGAGGAAACAGAAGAAGTGATGTCTGCTGCCACTGCGGGTCGTCCCTCTTCTTCTTTTATACGTGAAAAGGAACCTGAAGGTAGCTCACAGCAGCTTTTTGGCTCTAACACCAGCTGACATTGTGCAGACAAACCGCGAAGCTCAATTGAAGTGCCGGCTCCAAGCAAGCCAACAAGACCAACACGCCGTGCTGCCAACAGGAAGTCATCCTATGTCCCTCGAGAATGCAACCTTCCCCATTCGCGATCTGAAGCTGTCAATCAGGATGTAGCTGAATCATTTGGAAAAGATACGGCAGCCAATGGAGGCCTCAGAAAGTCAAACCTTGCAACCGAAACTATGCTGTCTAGTCATTCGACAAATAATCGAAAGCGCCCGACTACAACTCGACCAACAGAACAAGAGCCAGCTAGACCTCATCCCTTGATGACACGCCAGAGAAGCGGGAGTAGGCCCCAAGAGCTGAGAAATTTCGCCGCCACAACACCAGCTGCTCCTAGTCCACCTAAGATACCAAAGTTATCCCAAGATCGTCGACCGCTCGGTACTTACTACAAAGCTTCATCCATAATCTATGCCTCCTTGAGACTTGATGGTGGACGACCTGAATTTAACTTTATTTCATCGTTCATTTCTGGCATATCGAGCAAGAAGGAGCAGAACCGATTGATTGACAGTTTGGCCAATTTCTGCTTCTGTGACACCAAAGATGACGGAACTCGGGAGATACTCTGCACGTGGGATGAAGTCATGGATGGATTGAAAGCTGCGAAGCTAGTCGGCGATGAGGATGACGGTCAAGACCAGAGGAAAGGCAGACCAGCTTTAGTTGCGGCTGATACGGCGTTAATGAGCAACCCAAGAGCGGCCGATAATCCATTTGTCAAAGAACAGCCAGCCGCCAGAGGTTCCAGAAGAGGAAACATTGTTGAGGCTACTGATATGCCCGTTGGTGGAAGAGAGAGACGTGACGTAAAGAAGAGAGCCGCCAGACTTGGACGAGCAGGCAACGGCAGCGAAAGCACAGGTGCTGGCGTGGTTAACAAATCAGACTCAGGCAATGCTATATTTGGAGCAGCGATCGAGAATCTAGATCCAAACAAAGCTAATTTCAGAGAACCGGCCAGTAAAGCGAAAGGGAAATCGAACCCAAGAGTAGCCAAAAGGCCGGCTCCGAAGAAAGGCAAAGCTGCTGCTGCTGCAAGCGCCGTTGACCTCAATGACCAGGACAATCGAACAGCTGTTGGAAGTGGAGCCCAGACCACAGGAATAACGAGAGGAGGTAGAAGGGGTCGCCAGCGAGCTGCGAAACGCTGAGTACTTATGTGTGACCATCTTCTTTTATATGATTAGAAGTCTATGGTCTGAGAGACCACGAGCTGCGTGTGGCGGCTCTTGTGCTGCGTATGATTTGCGTAAAGAGAAAACAATAGCTGGATATTTGCTGTGATGTTCATCTTTGTTGATATTAGCGAGCGGGCTGTGCTATAGCTGGAATAATTGCCGACATGTCGAGGAGATGAGGGCTTAATTGCTTTCAGGAGGTTAAGAGCATATTTGCGGTCACTCTGTACTTTACTACTAGAAGCTTCATGCTAGTAAAGATCATCAGCATACTTGCAAATTAGGTTCTCTTTTCGGATTGTGTGAGACTTCGAGTCATTAAATAATGAATATGGTGAGTTTAAGAGAGTCTGAAACTTTTGATTTTGTTGTTAGACATATAGCTTTTCCATTCCCTTTCATGCATACAACTAGAACTAAAGATACTCATTGAACCATTCATTCATCACTAACCCATTGCATCATGCCCCACGTGCCATCATCCCCTCATTCTCACGGAACCCTCACAGCCGGTCCATCCCCCTTATCCTCAGCCTCCCACTCCCTCTCCTCGCTCAGTCGCTGAACCTGATTATCAACCACCTCGCCATGGATCGCCAAGTCCATGGCGAACTTACGCATCGCCGACAATGCTCTCGAATTTATTTCGGCTTCGCGCTCGGAGGTGATGCCGCTGTAGTGGTTGATCCAGTCGAGGACTTCTGTATGCCAGACTAGCGAGTTTTCGGGTTTGAGAACCCACTAGGAGGTAATTGGTTAGTTGTGGCTTTGGTTGCGGGATTGAGGGATTGAGGGTTGGGGTTTGGGACGGTGAGGGGATGGGATGGTAGGGTAGGATGGGTTAGAGGAATGGAAGGAAAGAAATAATAATTGACTAACGTGATTCTCGTCTGGGAAAGTCAGGAATTTACTCTCCACTCCTCTGGTCTGCAAGACATTGAATGGCGCCAATCCCTCTCCAATAGGAAGTCTGTAGTCCAGCTCGTTGTGGATAATCATTTGCGGAGTGCTCCAATTCGCTGTATGAGCACTCGGATCCCACTTCTCGTACCCAGCACGATTGTCCCATAATGTACCTCCAAAATCGTGGAGAGGGAAGAACAGTTCTTCAGAGGCATATTGGTTCAGTGTACAGAATACGCCGTCGTGAGTTACTAGGGCTTTGAACTTGCGGCCCAGATCGTGGCCTTGGATCCAGTTGATCATGAAACCACCATAAGATGCGCCGAGAGCGACGGCACGGGATGTATCGACGTAGGGGAGGTTGGCCTCGATGTATTCGAAGCCTTTGACTAGATCAATATAAGGACGTCCACCCCAGTTCTCTTTGATTCCATTTTGCAAGGCCATGCCGTAGCCTGTGCTGCCGGTTGGGTTAGGTGTTACGACAACATAACCTTGCTCTGCATAGATGAGAGGGTTCCAGCGGACGGACCAAGCCTCTCCCCAGGCTCCTTGGGGCTATGTATTTTTAGTAGGTTTAATAATGCCTTGAATAGCATGGTAAAACTTACGCCACCGTGGATGAGGTATGCTAACGGGTATGTCTTCTTTGGGTCGAAACTCGAAGGTTTGATCAGCCAAGCGTGGATCTTTTGCTTGTCGGAGCCTTCATACCATATCTCATCGACTTGGGACTGAGATATTCCGAAGGAAAATCCGCCTTTGAAACTGGATGATATGAGCTCCTTCGTATCTGGTTTCGCAGGATCTATGATGGACCATATGCTGTTGTCTACAAGAGAACTACTGCAGACGAGTAACTTGTTCTTGGGAAGTAGGCTCACAGAATTGACCGTGCCATCGTGGACGATAGGCTCAGGAAGATCTTTTGCATGCCTGGGAGATGATGGGAGTTTGAAGAGTTTCGTACGGCCATGCTCTTCTGCTGTGACGTAAAGCTCCTTCCCATCATGGCTCCAAGTAATGTCTTCCGGTCTGCGATCCCAACCCCCCTCACCATCCGAGGTTTCATAAAACTCCTGGACATTTGAGAGGTCTGAAATATCTGGCCAGAGGAGCAGTCGGGGCTTGTCACTCTCGTACTGCCTATTCTGCATACGCCAGAAGGCTACAGATTTAGCATCAGGAGAAAAAACAGGACTACCGCTATATCCTCTCAAGTTTCCGGTTTTGACGAGCTGTGGAGATGGCGCTGGGGACTCGCTGAAGGTTCGTAATGGGACGTAGTAAAGATCACTTTTTGTATACGCCGCAGGTATCAATTTGGGGTCTTTTGCAACAAACACAATTCCGTTCTTGCTGATATCGAAATCTCCTGCCCCACCAAATGGAGGGACTGGAGATTCTAACGCGATCGAGTGTCCTGCGAGAGCATTCTTCAACGGCTCAACAGATATACTTTTGCCTCCGTGAAGCGTCTTTATCGTAGTATACCAGATGGCCTGCTTGTTTGTGTCCACATAGGAGTCCCAATGTCTGACGAAGAGACTTGAATATATCCGGCCGGTCGACGCAGGCTTCACATGTTTCGCGGGATTGAACGGTTTTCCAGAAGGGGTTGCATAACCTGTTACGGCGATGGCGACGGTGTCATGATCGAGAACGATGGCCTTGAGGTTTTCGAATACTCCCTCGAAAGTGGCGATTACTCCTGGCCTGAAACTATCAGCACATGTCCGCAACGTAGCTTGAGCACTTACTCGCCCTCCAAATCATCCACATCTTCTAGTATCAACTCCGTCGTCGACGTCTCCTTGTCTGATCCAGGTTTCAACCACAGGAGTAAGGTATTCTCCAGCCACGTCGCATCCGTACATGTCTTGTCCGCATTGAGAACTCTTGTCTTCCCAGTCTCGAAATTTCTCACTCTGATATCGGCGGTCTTGCTGTGCGTCTCAAAAGACCATGACTGCACTGTGAAGAGCCCTAGGGTGCCATCTGAATTGGGAGTCACGGCCGACCTTCGAGGCGCAGAGATCAAAGCTTTGGGAGTAAACTTTGCGCAGACCTTCATTGTGAAAAGTGCTCAGAAACTTGAGGATGGAATTGAATTTCTTAAGAAGAGCGCTGGGTCAATGGCAGATATGGCAAGACTGGCGTTTAATATGTGAAGAGGTAGGAATGTGATGACCCGAACGATCGTGAGCTGCCAGGCCAATGCCCAACGTAGCAGTATCGCCCCGTTGTATTGTTGAGATTGCTAAGTGATTGCAGCTCGGCGAGCTACGGAACAGCACAAGATGTAAAGATACTGAGTGCTGGGGCTTTTGCAGATGTAATTGATTATCGAGTGGGTTGAGGATCTACCAGCGCGGGGCGAGCTCCAGAAGGTGCAGCTTCACCCCGCCTTTTGCCGCCCAGACACCTTCCGTATTGATGCTAATTACCTAAAAAATATTTTCACCCAATTTGCATATTGATTCCGACGTTTTGATGCAGAGAAGATGAAATGTTTAAAAGTGCAGTACTAGAAGCAATCCTCCGAGGTCCAGTATTGTTTGTTATCTCAATAGCGTGAGTTAGCCAGTGATAGTGGCTGGGGGTCTGGATCCGAGATTTCTGCAGGAACAGCAAGCGAACATGAATGGCTGATGAGTGGATTTGGATAGCAGCCTTATTGAAGCTAGGACATTCGTACCTAAATTATCCACTGGGCATTCCCATCCCCGTCTCTCAAGAAAGAGTCCAAGCAAGTCTCCTCACGTCAAAGGCTTGGTAGTGGCTGTGGCTCGACAACTCTGGGTATTGACACAAGCGATGGGAGCGGCGTCTGAACACAACGAAGTCGCCAATCAGAAGAGAGGGGCAGGCTGAGTCAGCTTTGGGAACAACTGAACATTATTGACGTTTTGACAGCACCGGTTCCCACCAACTGAGGATTGTGGGAACCGCAATAATCTACCAGGCTGAAAACGTCCAAATAAACTTCGCACCTCCCGCAGCGTCCATGTAAGATGCCGATCTGCAAGGGACTTCTTTCGTCTCATTGGTTTCGTCGTACTTTGTTCCAGTCCTCTGGTGGTAGGAAGGAGGTGTAACTTACCGCCACTGACCATATCATCTCCGTGCCGCAAAATTCGTCCCATATCCAGCTCAGCCTGAGGCGAAGCTATTCAGGAATGAGCCATGCCTGGTAATCCTTTCCCAATGACATGTTTACGAGGGCACGGCTGCTTAGTTATCCACTGAGCCTACGTATTCCGTGGGAGCCATGGGCATCTTTACATGGCATTGTCCTCTTGGCGATGATCCTTCGATAGCTTCTAGGAAGCCAGCAGTAGTTCTACTTATATAAACAAGAAGATATGTTGTTCATTTGTTTTGGATTTGTGTCATCATCAAAGTCATACTTGAATTTCACACCTTTTCCTTCATTCTTATCCATAATCGAACATAATGGTTCTGCTTAAGCCGCTCTGTGTTCTAGGAGCACTGCTTCCTCTCACAGTTCAATCAAAGCCATATTGCCCATTGCTGGGACCCGACTTTCCAGCTCCCAAGAATCTCTCGTCCAGTCCATCATTCCAAGCAGCGATTACGAATCTCACCCAGCTCCTTACTACAGCACAAACATCTGGCAACACTTCATATGGACCATTCGATGCCGTGAATACATCGTATTCTGTAGAGTTCTTCTCGATACATGATACAGCGCCGTTGTTTACGAGTAACTATGGCGCGCCTTCGCTCTCAAAAGCCAAGTATGGAGTCAAAACCGTGGATCCGGAGTCGGTGTACAGGATCGGAAGTGTCACCAAGCTCATGACTGTGTACACTGCCCTCATACAGTGCGGTTCCAATCACTTCAACGAGCCCATCACGAAATACATCCCAGAGTAAGTGTATCTAACCCACATTGAGGTCACGCTTATTTCGAACGGATCCTAACGAAGTCACTCAGACTGCAGCAAGCAGCACAAACCCTGAATGCCACATCGAACCCACTCGACCACCCATCATGGGAAGAGATTACCCTTGGCGAGCTCGCCAGTCAGCAATCAGGTATAGGTCGTGACTATGCTGCCTTTGGCGAACTTAGCGGCCTTCTTCGACCACTTTCCAACCCAGCAGCTCTTGGCTTACCTCCTCTCAATTCTTCCGAAGCAGCAATATGTGCAGGAGGTTCTTTCTGCACCCGTGAACAATTCTTCAGGGGATTTACGCAACGCCATCCAGTGTATGCTCCTGCCACAGGTGCAGTCTACTCAAACGTAGCATTTCAACTCCTTGCTTATGCAGTGGAGAATATCACTGGCAAGGCGTTTCCAGAGCTCGTGGAGGAAAGTCTATTCAGACCGCTAGGCTTGACTGGATCGTACTGGGATATCCCGAAAGATAACTCGACTGGTGTTGTTATTGATGCCACAGTCTGGAACCTTGATTTCGGCGATGAAACTCCGTATGTCTTCCCTGACCCATTCAAGTCCTCCTTGCTGACAAAACAACAGAGCAGGAGGCATGTACAGCACCCTAAGCAACTTAACCGCCATCGCCCGATCGATCCTCTCCTCTTCCCTCCTCACACCCGCACAAACAAGAAAATGGATGAAACCCCTCTCCTTCACGTCAGGACCCGATTATGCGGTTGGAGCTCCCTGGGAAATCCGCCGCATTCACACAGCACCCAACAACCGCATTATAGACATATACACCAAGACGGGTAACCTTCCCGGCTACGATACTCTTCTCGTCCTCGTCCCGTCTCTAGACGTAGGTTTCAATGTCTTGACAGCTGGCGTGAATACACCTACAAATGTCATCATGCTCAGCAATCTCTTCTCAGACACACTCATCCCCGCTGCGGAAGCAGCAGCCAGGGAAGAAGCTACCGCGACTTATGCTGGCACTTACACATCCTCTAACACTTCTCTAAACTCCAGCATCACTCTTGCAATCGACGACACCAAGCCTGGAATTGGCGTCGCCTCCTGGTATAGCAACGGTACGAATATGCTCACATCAAGCTCTTTCGCTCCAGGCTCAAGCGTACGGCTCTATCCTACAGGATTATCGCGGGCTATGGAGGGGTGTACAGATGTTGAGGTGGGTTTCAGAGCTGTGTTTGAGAATCTGGAAAGTGGAGGTGTTGGCGGGACGTTCACAACGAGCTGTCAAAGCTGGGGACTGGTGGAGGCGGTATATTGGGGGACGGTGGGAAGTGATGAGTTTGTGGCGAGGATTGGAAATGATGGGAAAGCAAAGAGCATTAGTCCGAGGGCATTGAGGGTTGAGTTGGTGAGGAGTACGTGAATACATGGATGAGGGGAATTGATAGAATGCAGTAATGTTTTTGTAGGTCTAATGTGGCAACATAGAATTCTAAATATTTCAATGTAACGATATATAGGCCAGCAGTTATTGTCCCACACACTATCTGTTTACTCGCCACTAGGAGCAACAAGAACAGCATCCAAAGGCTGGGGTATCCCAAAATTCGGAGTGTTATTCTCATCAAACGTCACGATCTGCGCCAAAGTATATCTATCATCACCACACGATCCCCCAGCATTCTTCGTGGCATGGAAACAGTTCTATGACATCATTCACACATCAGCTCAATCCTCCAGAAATAAGTCAACAAGAACAAGTGCCAGAAAACTTACCCAAATCTCAGTCCCATCAGGCGATGTGAAGAAAGAATTGTGTCCAGTGCCATAATTTCCATTAGCTTGAGAGAACACCGGACCTGTTTTGTTCCATGAGGATTTCAAGAGTGGATCCCCGCCATTGTATTTGAGGAGGCCGAGAGAGTAGTTTGGCGTTCCGCAGAATGACCCGGAGTACGATAACCAGATTTCACCATTATGGTACAAAGGCTATTTAACGTTAACCGACCATCCTCACTTGTCACTAGTAAGAGATAGCAGATTTAAGAAACTTACATGCGGCCCTTCATTAACCGGAACCCCCGTAACCTCCCAATCCTGATCCGGCACCGAAATCACATTCCAGCCCTTCACCGTCCACGCCTCCGTATCCAGCTCCGTAATAGCAAGCGACTGCAAATTATTCTCATCATTAATACTCAACACATGGTATCTTCCCTTGCCCGGAATCTCCAAATACGTCCCATCGATCGAGAAAGAGAAATTTCCATTCGGACCCCCTTGACTGCCAACTGGTGGGATCAGCTCGTTTATGTAGCTGTACGCTGGGCAGTCGAAGGGGTTGGGTCCTGCGCAGCCGCGGAGAACGCGGGTTTTGCAGGAGTCGCAGCAGGCTTCTTGGGCGTTGCAGGCTGAGTAGAACATGTACCATGTGTCGTCAATCTGGTGGATTTCTGGGGCCCACATGTTGGCGTTTTTGGAGGTGTCGGTATCCGTCCATATTGTTTTGGTTTCGCCGTTGATGAGACCGGATAGTGTTGTGGAGCGTGTTATGGTTATGGAGTTGTAGGAGGTGTAGGTGAGATAGTAATGCCCGTCGGCGTAAACCATGGAGGGGTCAGGTCCTGGTGCTCGGATGGGGTTCTGAAATGCTGTTGAGAGAGGGATGAGAGCTCCTATGAAGGAGATGACGGATAGTGAGAAATACATTGTGATACTTTGAAATGCTCCAATTCTGATCAATGGGGTCGGAAGTGCGTGTTACCCGGTGCCATCCATTCCTTTTTATGTCCACGAGCCTGAAGCTTTTTTGCTGACACAGAACCTTATGGTGACATGATCATCCATCACCTTTCTCCGCTATTACGATGCCCAGAGAACCGGACATCACGAAGTACAACCCCTCCAATAAGCCGTTGCTGAACCCTGAAGATACCCCAGATCGACATCTCATCTGTGAATCTTGACAACATTTCCAAGAGTTTTCAACTTGGCAAAACCTCGAACAACGACAACGACACGACAAAATCCACCTCTGAACATCAAGTACCGATCCCCTCATTCTCCGTACCCCGCATCAAAAGCTTTCTTGAAAGTCAATGTGTCAACCGGTGGAGTCTCGGCTGTAACCGTATGCGCTCCAATCGGGGCATCTCGCTTAAGGATTTTGGGGTCTGGCGACGAGGTGAAGTCGCCAAGCGCGCTAGATCGGCCTGATGTACGCAAAGAGAGGCTTTTGTTACTTTAGGAACTTCTTCTTGATTTTGTGCAGAGGTTAAGCTCTTTGTATCCTCTTCTTCGACACTACTATTCTTATGTAGGTGTGTGATAGCATTGTTTGTTTAGTGATAAAGGAAACAAGCGAGCCCCTTTATTTAGCGAAAGCTTGATCAATGGTTGTGACAAGTTAACCTTATGCAATTTAAATCTTCTATTATTGAACTCCTATGAACGCCTATATATGAATTTCGCTTCCGCAGTAGCCATCATATGTGTTTTTGTGTCCCTTATGGCCATATTCCAATTATCAATTACCACTTGCTCTTCCGATTCTTCCCCGTCTCATATTTCTCCAGTGTCTTAATTCTTTCCCAGACATGCAATTATACCTCTCAGTTCAAGAGAAGAGGATTTCCACATCCAACATCGTACCATACCCGAGGCACTTCCTTGATGATGCTATCCAAGCTGTCTGCCACACTGCCACCAAAGAGATCGCATCTCGCATCATCGGTTCCTGCTTCGTGGTAGAAGGAGTAGGAGAAACATCCCTTGCTATTGGCCTGTGATTAAATTGTTAGTACTTTAATTCAGACAAGGTAGAGAGGCAAGAGAAACAAGATGGCTATCACTTACCTCACAGAACTCATAACACCCCTCAAGAGTAACATCCACACCAGCTTTCTCCTCCCAATACTCCGCAATCTTATACAATCCAATTGGCAATCCGTGAACACCACAATGGAAAGCAGTTGGGTCAGGCACACCCGTGGCCTCACCTTCTACGACTGTAGTGGTTTGCGAGGCTGTCGTGGTGGGGTGCAAGACGGCGCTTGTTGGGGCCACGTAGATTGGATCTGCGGAGACAAGGATGGATGTTGGAATGACTTCGAAGATGCTTGATGATACTGCTGAGGACTTCTCGGAAGCGGTGGTGGATGCTAGTATGGTAGATAGCACTTTGGTCGAGTAATATGAGCTCGCCTTGAATGTGGTGAAGTTCGAGGTCTGGCTAGCATTGAATGTAACCGTAACGTTTAGGAACGGCGCAGGCGAATGTGTTGATGAAGACATGCTTGTGATCCAGGTGTAGTTCGAGGCGCGGGATGGTGAGTATGTGAATGTTGTGGTTATGCTCTCGGTTACCGTTAATGTGCTGGTCAAGGCGGAGACAGAGCAAGCTGAAGTTGAGGTTGGGAAGACGGTCGAGGAGTTGGTGAAGTAGGCCGAAGTTGTGTTGGGATAAGTGTAGGTGTGTGTAGTGTTTGGGTAGCTGTAGGATGATATCATCGATGAGCTAGCTGATACAGTGCTTGTTCGAGGGGCCTCTGTGGTGTTAAAGTAGCTGTAGGATGCCATACTTGTTGAGTTAGCTGGTACGGTACTTGTGGGAGGAGCTTCTGTGGTATTTTGGTAGACGTAAGATGCTATACTGGATGAAGTAGCTGGTACGGTACTTGTGGGAGGAGCCTCTGTTGTGTTTTGGTAGCTGTATGACGCCATTCTCGATGAAGTGGCTGGCGCGGTACTCGTTAGAGAGCTCTCTGTTGTATTCTGGTAGATGTAGGAAGCCATGCTCGATGAAGTTGCTGGCGCGGTGCTCGTTGAGAAGCTTTCTGTGAGGTTTTGGTAGACGTAGGCTACTAAGCTCGATGAACTCGCTGGCACAGTGCTTGTTGTTGGGTCCTCTGTGGTTTTCTGGTAGCTGTAGGACGCAATATTCGATGAGCTGGCTGGTACAGTGCTTGTTGTTGGGTCCTCTGTGGTTTTTTGGTAGCTGTAAGATACAATGCTCGACGAGGTAGCTGGTAGACTGCTTGTTACGGAGCATTTTGTGGTGTTTGGGTAGCGGTATGATGGAATTGCCGAGCTGAGTGCAGAGCTGGAAGCGATGATTGAACTAGTCGAGATGGATTGCTCGGCCATATAAGGATACCCGGCAAAGGTGAAAGTTGCTGCCGTGTCGACGGTGGAGGATATCGAGGTTGAGGAGATCATTGGGTCATCAAAGGTAGGGACTTCAGAAACCGATTCTTCATTTCCGGTATGTTGACTATCTCCATCGTGTTCGTGGCCAGCATGTCTAGATCTCCACCAACGGCTGTGCTTGTCCTAGGTTGATTTAGCAAATACCAAAATCCAAGGTGTAAATAACTTACGGGAGTCTTTTTCTCCAGTTCTTGAACAACAGGCTGGACAGCAAGAACGGTGTTTACAACCGCAGTTGCGGCGAGGACGGTGAGGAGTTGCATGTTGAGCAGAGAAGGACTTTCAAAAAATCAAGATGTAATGCAATGCGATTAAAAAGAAGAGGAATCACTAAATGAGTGTGAATGTTGGATGGACTGGAGTGAGATGATTGTTCTGAGAGAGAAGGATCGTCCATCTTATATGGGAGAGTATCAAGTCTAGGAGTTGTATTGAAGTTCGCGTATTGTCCTTGATGTCTCTCCCAAGCGAGGAGGGCTACAAAGGGGCAATTATCCGAGGGAGCCTCAGACAACTCCCTTCCTCGCACGTACCCAAGCAAGGCAAACCCATAAAAATATCGCATTGAAAAGAGAAGTCTCATATTTTCAATAGCGCAGTGACAGTTGATGTATTGAAGAGGGACCACTTGATTCATTTCTATGTACAGGTCTTGAGTGTGTGTGAAGTCCAAAGAATTCCTTGGAGAGCAACAATGTCGCTCCCTTTCCTGCGCCCCTTAAAAACTCCGAATTTCATCGAATGCCTGCCAAATAAACCTGGCATATGGGGTATCGTACTCAATCAATCATTGAGCGAAGGAACATAATTCAATGCGACTAGGCATTTGCGGCTCTAGTAACTCTTCCAAAACAAACTCTGCCTGCTTCTTGCGCATTAGAGCGTGCGAAGTACACGGCTCTTACAATATCTCGCAGTCAAATACTGCAGCACAAGAAAGTCTATACCAGACTTCTGCATCTCTCGTAACCCGCTATCCTCCACAATAGTCTGTAATCATAGGCTCAATCCTCCCATATAGTGTCTAGATTCAGATCCCCCCTTCTCTCAGCTCCACACACACTCCAGCGTTTCCGCTTATCACGTCCGAAAGTTGACACCAATGATCTGCCGCGAGTGCCAGGGGTATCACTTTTCGTCTTCGAGTCCTCTCCGTCTGCTGCATCTGCAGCGGCCTTCAATTGTGCTATCCGCTCAGCCTCCAATGCTGCCTCTTCCGCATCTGGGGAATCGGGTATGGTTTCCAGACTAGAAATGCTAGGGCTTCGGGAACGAGCAGATGTAGGTGTTGACGGTACGGAGGAGGAGGCAAACGATCCAGGATAGCTTAATGAGCCGGAGTAGCTGGTTGTGCCGAGGAAGGAGTCGTTAAATCGGTAGGATTGGTAAGATGGCGAGGAGGTGATAGAGGATGGGGTAGAAGGTGCAGTACTAGCAGCCGTAGCATTCTGTTGAGCGAGGTATCGTAGAGGAGAGGACGGGCGCCGTGTTTTGAAGCTTGCAGATGACGGCATACCCAAAATAGGGGAGCTGCTCCTTCTCTCTGCAGCCCTCGGTGTGATGTCCTCTGCCATGCCCCCCGTCTCGTTGATATCCCTGAGAGCTTCTCTTGATCCGCGGTTTGGGAGGCCTGGAAATACATCGTCGACTGGCTTTCTGGGCGTTCTGATTCGGCTTGGAGAACCAAGAGGACTCGCTGGACGGGCGTGGGGCGAAGACAGTAAGTGGCCTGCGGCATTGAAGCCTGGAAGTGATTGTGTTCGGGACATTGGAGGTGCAAGAGCACTTGTTGATGATTTCGATCTCATGTGGCCACGAGAAAAGGGCGAGGTATTTCGTGGTCGGTATGGTAGGGAAGGAGAAGCGGAAACCGGAGAGCGTGGTGAGGAAGGGGTCGGTTCCGTAGATCGACGAATCGTCGGTGGCTTCTTGTTCCTATTTTCCCACTCGATCTTGTAGCTTTCATTTGTTTCTAGAAGCCGCAGATTAGGTACCGGGGACGTCCTGAACTCCTCCATCCTTTCTGTCTCTGGTACTGGCTCCATGGTGGCGGCAGTATTCAGCTGCTCCTTCAGCTGCAAGACGACGGGATGACAGAGATGTGTTTAAGTTCGAGATGACGGTGAGAGTAGAATGTAGGGCAATCCCAGATTGCTGGAGCCTCGTCGTGTCTTGGGGACCAAAACTATGCAACCCCTGATTGCGTTGTATTGAATCCAGTCCAGGATGTTCCCGGCGTCTACGCGTGGGGAGGCTATTCGGCATCCAGCGAAGCCAGCGCGAAGGTTATTAGGAAATGGACAGCGCTATGACGAGGAATGGCGGAAGGTGGCAGAGCGAGAATCCATCTGCTCGGCTCGATGTCAGTCTGGAGAGATACAGGTCGTGGTAAAGAATTCGTAGGAAATCGAATGGCGTAGGAGCTGATTAGGGAGGAAGACGAGGAGGTTTGGCAGGATCACGGGCGAGAACAGCTGCTTGCTGCTGGCTGTAGCCTCGCTTCAATTCAGGCTGCGGTTTAGGTCTCCCGTGCTTGCGGCTATTATTGACCCTTAGCAGTGGCATTACAAGTAGTGACCATCACTCACCTGGGGTTGCCGCCAATAATACACCAATACAGTGAGTGCAGCGTTAGGGGACTTACAGGCATCGCAGTGCGCCGTTGGGCTGCTTTAGGCTTCTTTGAGATTTCGCCTGACCCTGAGCGGGGCGCTGAATTCTACTTCCAGCATAGCCCACGGCCGGAACCCACTCCCTGGCCAGTGATACCTTACCGGAATACCCAGTCATCTGCCAGCAGTGCAGCTGCAGCTGCAGCTCCAGCAGCCGCGAACCCCTCGTTTTCCCTCCTCCGGAGTCTCAGTCACAACACCTGTGCGCTCAGCCAATCGATCGATCCAAAACACCTCGTACAGCTCTCATGCAATTGGCCGTGTTTGTGATTTGTAGCACTGATCAGCCCCCGACCACGTCCATCTCCGGGCCCTTCTCCTTTCCGTTTCATGCACGCTACTCAGGGCTTTGTTAGTCTTCATTTCTGTGCTGGCGAGTGACATATGTAACGTTTATGCGTCTCCAGAATCTGCTTTGTATCACTTCATGCTATGTTTCAATTCTAATGCACGGCGGATCCCTCGATATTGTTCCGTTGAGGCGAGGCGGTCAGGGTGCCAAACACTGGTCGGCATATTGAGCGATAAATCCTCGGGATCCGATATTGAATATGGATCGGGCTTTGCTAGATTAGGTTTCTAGCTAGGGTTGTAGATCTCAATTCAGACGGATACAAGGAAGAAAAGCAGGAGCCATCATAATCATGTGATCTCAAAGTTTTTCACGTGCAATACCTACCTATCTGAGAGCCTTCTGTTTGCAACCAGAACCCCAAGACGTTTGATGCTTGATACCTTCAGATATCACTTCAGGACGCTGAAACCTCTGCAAACTTGGAAACAGAGTCCTAGTAAACAGACGCTTGGCATTTCTCACAATGAGTTTGTCAGCCCCTAAAGTCAACAAAGGGGAAGCGAACACAGCCAAGTCACGCCAAATACCGTAGCACCAAACAAAAGCCCGAGAGTAACAAACGAGGAGTGATATCACCACCGGCATAAGCATTCTGTTGCACGTCGCAATCTGCAGCTCGCCGGCGATGATGCAGTCTGCCGCAGACTGTTGCAAATCAACGCGGTGACGATCTTTACAGAGGACGTATAGAAATATCCTCTCGAAATGTGTGGAGGATTTTGTAGAGGAAATGTATATGAGGATAGCAATGTATTACTAACATTAATTTAAAGATCTAAAATTACAGATCTCATATTATAACTTAAAATCAATAATCCTTACAAATCTATCAATGTAAAAAATAGTTTCTCAGGTCCATCTCAGAAATCATTCAAACTCCCACAGTAACGATCCATTTTGACGCAAGTGACTCCCTTGGAGAAAGTATTCATCCATTTCCTTAAGAACTTTGGCGTAAGATGAGGGGTAAGGTGAGGCGAATAATGTTGCTGATGACGATTGAGGCTAAGCACTGCTCCAATTGGATCGAACAAGAAAGAAAGCAGAGCTGGTAAACATGCTCTGATCTCGAAACTTCCATTCAAATCGGAGTTTCTGCAAGCAAGCACGAAAACAAAATGCAACAGATAGCTTTAAGCCAGGCCATTGTCACACAGGTGATAATTGAGGGCAACACGATCATCACATCTCAGTCCAACGGCCACATATATATCTTCAAATCTGTCAACGAAAAGCCAATAATTCTTGAGAACGACAAGGGAGTATGGGCACTCGCCGCCTCAAAGACAGTTTTTTTCATCCGGTGACATTGCCGGAAACCTTCGAACGTGGGATATTGAGACAGGGTATAACGTCACAATCCCATCTCTGTTTGTAAGACAAACACTTACTCTTCTCTCCAGCTTATGTATAGCCACCTTTGAAGGCCACACAGCAGCCATTCGAGCAATACATTTAGTCGACGATTCAACAGCAATCACAGCGTCCAGAGACAACACCCTTCGGCATTGGGATCTTCGTACCGGGTCCTGTATTCGTGTCTTCACAGGCCATGAGAACGGCGTCCGTTGCTCAGCAGTCCACGGGGAGCTCCTAGTTTCGGGCTCTCGTGACAACACAGCTCGCGTATGGACTATCAACGATGGGAAATGTCTCGCGGTGCTTAAAGGACACCAAGGACCTGTGTATGCTGTTGGAGTTTTCTTGCTACTGGAAGCATCGATAGCACAATCCGTGTTTGGGATCCCTTTACAGGGTATGTCATTCTCTACTGTATTCTGGATTTACTCACTTCTTACTGCGTTTCGTGACGCTAAGTTATAGCAGTGCATGTAAAGCCGTTCTCGAATTGCACTCCAAATTGGTAGGGCTCCTAACCCTCAGAGGTGACCGATTTGTGTCAGGGAGTGTAGATGGTGATGTATGTGTTTGGAATATGAAGGACCTCAAGCTCATACACAAGTTCTCTGCTCATGCTGAGCTGGTCAAGAGCCTTGCAGTCGATGACGGGATCATTGTGAGTCGGGGAGATGATGGTGTAAAAGTGTGGGATCTTGTAGATGCGGCTTTGCTGAAGCATCTCGAGATGAAGGGATCGGTTGATGCACTTACGATCAGTGGAAAGAAGGGGGTCGCTTGTGCGAGGGAAGGAGATAACGCCTTTCTTGTCATTATTGACCTGTGATGAGGCGTGTATTGCAAGAGAGAAAGAGTAAGATGATCGTTTTTGACAACGAGCTGTTGTTGAGGATATTTCAGGCAACATCACATACTATAAACTACATGAATTAGACCTTGGCCATTCGCTGTTCCAAGCCAAGTTGGTAGCGCTGCTATCATGCTCAGCAACTGCCGCGTCAGCTAAACATACTCTTGTGAGAACGACCACGTAGCCAACACTATTTGAAAGGCCACTTGGAATTAAGGATATATCATATCAGGATTTTTCTCGGTTCGTTATGAAGTAAGGGCTGCCATCAATGTAAACAGACTTGAATGTGCCATGAAGCTTCGAATCGCTGCCATAAGTGACGGGACTTCATTCCTCGATGTCAATAATCAGTAGGTCAACAACAGATCTTCACACCCGTTCAGAAAGGAATGATTCGCCGGGCCGAACCGTACATTGCCCTGAAGTAAGAGCGGACTTCCAAACCAAAGATCCATGGTTCCCATCAAAGCTTTGAGACTTCCGAAAGAGAACCTCGGTGGATTTGTTTTGGTGAAGGCGGAAAGAAGCTATGACAATAAATCGCTTTGAGAGACGAATTCATGGCATCTCAGAACAGTCAATGCTTTGTGGGGGCTATTTTACGATGTACTTCAATGAAGCGAGTGGTTTAGCTCATATTTCCTCCGACTGTAGCGAGTTCCACCAAGCACTACAGCCTCAAGAAGAAGAGAGATTCAATTCGGTATCTCAGGTTCCACGATTGAGCCGGTATCGACAAGCCATCAAGTAAGCACACACGGGACCACCATCAAACCAAGCAGAGATCTGGTGCAATACATTGTTAACGCACCGGGTGGCTGCAGCAGATCTGAAGTGACTCGACATAACAACCAACCTGGAAATTATTCTAGGACACAAGGAACTTAGCTTCCACAGTGCAACACCATCATTTCATTTTGTACGAAGGTAGATGCAAGTGACAGCGTGCCCCTGGTAGGTTCCGTTGCGAACTATTTATGAACTGATGATCAACGGTTCGTGTCAATCTGGGAAGTTCCGCTGAGTAAGGAGAAGATTGTGGATATGATGTGTATTTAGTGTTGGAAGCCAAATTGCAATGCACGGAGGAATGAACTTTGTACATTCCAGTTGAGAAAGTAAACCCGGTCTTTTTTGAAGTCTCTTTTTGACTCCGTGGAAAGGACTGTAATACAACGACAAAAAGACAGGCTAATGAGATTAAGACTAAGAAAGTTATGAATATCTCCAGGAGTATTCCATGGTACCCAATTTTAAATTGGGCTGTGAGCATTCAAAAATAGCAGATATATTTCTTAGTCTCAAGGAAATGTCAATAGACAAATAAGACCGATTTATTGGAGAAATTGAATACAATTCCAGAAAACTCATGTGTTCTGATGATAATTTCGAGAGATAGAAGCCTAAAATAGAAAAAGTTTAGAGGCCGTTGGGGTCCGCAGAGTCCGCAACGCCTTTCCTATTCGAGCATAGACCAGCGCTGTGAGGCTGGCAGGTGGCTTTTGGATGTTTCCGCTCCTTTTTTGTGCCATCAACACATCTCAATTCGATTTCCCCAACGGCGCAGTCCATTAAACCCCCTCGCACAGGGGAAGACTGCTTATCCACCACATTCCTTTGAGGAGATTCTGCGCGACCCGAATCTGCCAAGAAAGCGAACTTGCACATGCGATTTTAAGGGGAGGAAACGATCAGTTGAGGACACCGATAGCACAACGCAGCCATGGGGCCAACGCGGTCGTTACGGAGAAGTCCGATCACAGTGGTTATTGGTGTGGTGTTGATAATATTCATCTTCTTCTTTCTGCTGTCGCCTTCGAGTTCAGATTCTGCTTCTGCACAGGTTCGAAAAGCCAGCGCAGCATCAAATCCTCTATCCCCCCCTACATCACCCTTTCGAAAGCAGAATGAGAAGGCAAATGGCAAGCGGATACCACCTCCAGTGGTGCATTACCACATGAACAACGTTACCAGCTCGAGCGATCCGTTGGCAAACAAGGAGACGATTCTCATTCTAACGCCCCTGGCCAAGTTCTATCAAGAATACTGGGACAATCTCCTCCGACTCGATTATCCACATGAGCTAATAACATTGGCCTTCATCATCCCCAAGAATCGAGAGGGAAACGCGGCGACTGCGGCATTGCAAGAACAGATCGCCAAAACACAAAAATCAAGCCCAATCACGCAACGTTTCGCTAGCATCATCATTGAGCGACAAGATTTCGATCCTCCTCTTCAATCGCAATCCGAAACCGAGAGACACAAGATGGAGAACCAGAAGGCTAGACGAGCAGCCATGTCTCGAGCAAGGAATTCGCTGCTATTCACAACCCTTGGCCCGTCAACCTCATGGGTTCTCTGGCTGGATGCCGATATCATTGAGACACCGCCATCTCTGATCCAGGATCTTGCCGCACACGACAAGCCAATTATCGTACCCAATTGCTTCCAAAAATTTATCGATCCCAAGAGCAAGAAACCTGCCGAGCGCCCATATGACTTCAACAGCTGGCAGGATAGCGAGACAGCACGAAAGTTGGGGGAGAAGATGGGTGCTGATGATATTTTGTTGGAGGGCTACGCATCAATGGCTACATATAGGACATTAATGGCATACTTGGCAACAGACGGAGGAGACCCCAAGCAGGAGATTCCTCTGGATGGTGTTGGAGGTACGGCTTTGTTGGTCAAGGCTGAGGTTCATCGAGATGGGGCGATGTTTCCCCCTTTCCCATTCTATCATTTGATTGAAACTGAAGGGTTTGCAAAGATGGCGAAGAGATTGGGATGGGCGGCTACAGGATTACCAAATTACAAGGTATGTTTGGCCTAGCAGAATACTCTTCTTGCGGTGTGGTACTGACAAAATATCATAGGTATACCACTACAATGAGTGAGATGTCCGGCACAGTCCACTCTTACCTTCACGATAGATATCGAACTCGCACATCGAAGATACGACCTGCAGCCAACGAGAACCCGAGGGTGGAAGATGCATCGCGGCTAGCACTCAAGCTGCTCTGTGTAGGCAGAACGAAGAACGCAGTGCTGGTAGGGCGAGCTACGCATATGAGATGAGAACGAAGGATCCTGTTTGTGTAAACGGCGTTATTGTGGCATAGCATTATGTACTTTTTCAACCAGCTGCGGTTAAGGCTGGACTAGGAATGAGCTGTCAAAGACAGTTGAGGCAGGAGGGCTTGTGTGTATACCATAGAGACAAGCTTTTGTCATTTCTTCAGGATTGTTCGTTATATAATGGCATGATGATGCAGCGGAATCGCGTTTGTCTAAGTGATGTGCCTAATGCCAGTATACTTATTTGATATTCCCTTGCATCTAGCTTGATTCCCAACATTGATTCCCAGCTTTGATTTTGCCAGGCTTTAGGATGTGCTCATCCTACCTACTATTTGACATGCTCGCTAACTTGCTTGTCTTCAACATCCCTCCAATTAAATGACCTTCCAGTGTGTATGATTCGTATAATCTTTTCTAACCGTTCTTTAAAATCTAACATCCAGTCAAGACATTCCAAATGAGATCTCCCGCTCGCTCGCTCGCTTACACGAATGTGCATAGTAACCTGTTTACTCTTGTCTCAAAATTCGCCAAAACTCCTTCCCATTTATGCAATATTGCTGTTCAGTCAGTAAATCGTAGCCTGAAATTCCTTTCATCTCCCATTCCCCCACACTTGTCCAATTCCTCATTCCTTCATCCTTTCACATCAAATCCTCCATCCCTTCATCCTTTTTCAAAGTTCGCTTCCAAATACCCTCCCTTCACAACCCCATCTCACCTCCTCTCCCTCTCCTTCTCCCTCCCTTCCCTCCCCCTCTCACCACCACTACCACCAAGCTTGCCATCCTTCCCTTTCTCCTCCTCCTCCTCCAACCCCCCCTCCCACCTCTCCTCCCCACACCAAAACCCCACCAACCCCCTCGCCCCAACCACATCCCCCTCCCTCAGCAACCCCGCAACCTCCACCCCCAGCGGACTATCCGTGCCCGGCTCCCCTAACAACCTCCCTACACTCTCCAACGCGCCTACCACGCCCAGCACAGGCGTCCAGTTCTCCTTCAGCACATCCAGACACACCTCTCCTGTCTCCCACTTCACGTTCGGATGGCAGATCTTCGTGACGAACGTTATGGTCGGTGGTGCGTTCGGGTAGTTAGCCGGGATTGAGATGTTGAGGAGCCAGCGCCCGGTATGGTATCCTGTTGAGGGGGGGAGCGGCGCGCCGGTGAGGATGGCGCGGAGGGAGAGGAGGGTGGAGGGGGAGGGGGAGAGGGCGGCGATGAAGGGGTGGAAGGAGGGTGGGGAGGAGGCGAAGGCGGAGAGTTCGGTGAGGAGCCGTTTGGTGGGTGTGCGGGAGGAGGAGGAGGTGGAGGTTTTGCTCGTGCTGGACATGGTTATGTGATTGTTGTTTTGGTTTGTAGAATAGATAGCAAGCGGTTGTGCTTTGGAGCCCGCGATGTTGAATACCGACGACGGCAAGATACCGAATGCTAAGAAATGTTCGTAATTGATTTGTGTAGTGTCGCTCTCCGTCTGCTGTTGGTCGTGTTTGTTGGCTTAGAAGAGCAATTGAGAACTTGGAGGAGCTTCGAGCTTGAAAGTCGGCCGAGGTTGATGTGCCGATATTCGGATAAATAATGTTCCAGATACCACTTCCGTCGCTTCTGTTGTTGGCATTTCTAGGATTCACAACCATTTAAGGGAATAGCATCAAAAACTCGGTCTTGCCAGGAACAAAATCGGGTCATATTCTAATATATATTCATTATGGTTCGCCTCAGCACTTCTGTGCGAGCTTTATGCTTGATCTGTTTCATCTTGTCTCCTCTCAGGTGTTCTGCTCCTCTCCGATATGCCACTATCCACATTATCCATTCTAAGACCTGTATCTTGCTAGCAAGCTTCCATCCAATACCAAAAACAAGCAAGCCAGATCAACGGGCGTCGAGAAAAGAGGACGTTTCGCAACCAGCCAGCAAGCCAGACAGGCCATTCAAGTCGATGTCTTATATCTATCCGTCCAACCATCCATCCACCAAATTCCATCCCATATACCACTATCGATCGTCTGATTTCTTTCTTTCTTTCTTTCTTTCTTGCTCCATTCATCCCATAAAACCAGAATCGAAAAACTGCCCGTCATTCCCCACTCTAATCATCATCGCCCCATTAGAGGAGAGTCAGAGCAGTATATGCCAGCCATGTCAAGCAAACAACAAAAAGCGCCGTTATCAAGGAGAAAATGGACCACTATTCACCGTCTCCATGCCACGCAGCAGAAATATAAAATCCATCCATCCTATCATTAAAAGCAGCGCAATTAGTCCTCTCGAGATCCACCATCCGTCCCCAATGTAGAAAGAATCAAGCTTCGTTTCTTTCCAAGTTTCAGAAAAAGCTCAAAACGACACGGACTGAATCAATTTGTATGCCGAGAGAGAGCTCGAGAGATGAGTTTCGTCGCAATTTATGCATATGCTAGAGATTTCGCCCGCTGAAAGTGCAGTAACAAAGTATGAAAAAGGAAAATTCGGGAGAGCTTGATACTTAGCTCAAGCAACCCTAAAAAGAAAATATGCACATGAAAATCCGTTTCTTTATCATCTATACATCAAGATGGCGTAGAGCAATGCGCTCGTCATTGAGGGTCGATCAAGACAACGGGAGAGTGGTGAGATGAGCGTGCGCAACTCATTGTGTCGAAGGAGACGACTCCTTTGGCTTCCAGAATTGCATGAGGCGGCTGATGCGCTTTGCCTTGCTGCTCTTCTCCTTCCTCTCCACATCACTGACGCTAGGAGCACGAGATTCGATTGACAGCTTGCTCTTCTCTCCGTGTGAGCTGCTGATAAGTCGTGACAAACTAGCCATGCTTGACCGTTTCCGGGTGACTGCCGCAGAAGAAAGTGACGCAGATCTCTGGCCGTCCCGGAATTGAGGATGGTTACCAGAATTGTCTCTTGTCATGGTCGAATTACTGCTGGTCAGAGAAGGTACGTCGTCAACAGACATTCTAAGTTCGGGCCCTGGCTCTCCCATCAATAACGATTGGAACGCGTTTTCGTCCGTAACAGACGATGGAGCTGTTGATATACGTTGCGTGTCATACGAGAAGGGTGACCGTGGGGAGGGGAAGGATGATTGTGAGGCGGAACGAGGGCTGGTCGGAGTGAGGAATGGAGGCTGTAGAGAAAAGGGCTGGATATCAACGGGGGTAAGATCCTTAGCTGGGTTTGGTCGGAAAGGCGGCGTTGCAGTTGAATCTGAAGACTGGGCTCTCGAATCGGGTCGTGGCGGGAAAGAGTCGTCGACAATTTCGACAGGACTGGATTCCTCTTCCTCGATTGGTTCATCGACGAGAGAAGTTGTTGAATGTGCTGACTTTGTCGAACTCATATGCCGACGGTCCCCTTCACTCAAACCAGATCCCTTTCGCTTCAGTCCTCGTTGGAATGCAGCATCGTCAAAGTCCATAGGGTTGTCTGAATCCATACCATCCGAATCCACGACTTTGATATCGATTCCAAGGCCAGATTCCTCATCATCTTCTGGATCGCCAGCTTTGCTGCTAGTCTCCTTGTCAGAAGCCTTTGCATCCTCCCATTCTTCGTCTTCATCCTCCTCGAAAACGTCCTCCATTCCCATTGTTGAATTACTACCTAGCCGGTGGAGGCCAAATCGAGGATTCTCGAACTCCGGTGCACTCTCAGCTCGTCTGTGGTAATGCATTCCTGGTCCCGTGAATCCACCTAAGCCTGCCGCACTGTGCATGGCCCGTTTCCGCTTGCCGCTCTGCTGTGACATGTCCCAATCATCTCCAAAACTGGATGGAGTATTGAATGGTCCGAGTGCTGCATCCAGGTCAATTATGGGACTCATGGACTCCTCCTGTGGTGGTAGTCTGCGTGGCTTCCAGTTCGTGAAATCTGTTGGAGCTTCGGGTCTTATGAGTACTGGCTGTTCAGAATCAACCAGATTGAAGTCATTCGTTTGGTCTGCAGGGGCGTAGGCTCGGAGGGGTGGAGTTGGCGATCGGCGTGATAACTTTGGCTTGCGGTGACGTGACTTGCGTGACAAGATCGAACCCGCCCACATCCGGACCTTCTTCTTGTTCTTACTTGGCTTCCTGGATATGGAAGATCTCCTCGAACTTGGCTCTGTTGATTGGATCAGAAGATCCGGGGTAACCAGATCAGGAGATGATGGAGCCGTTTCAGCCTTTTTGGATTCTTTTGCGGATGATGCAGCACTGGTAGGACGAGATTTTGGAGATGATTCACCAGAGTGACTCTCGTGACCAAAAAATGACCATTTCTTTGCTGATCTTGGAGTTGAGGGTGTCGATCCAGCCGCAACATCGTTGAGAAGCGGTAACGAGCCGCGTCTCCTTGGTGTATTTTCAGGACCTCCCAATTGATCTCTATCCAGAATAGGCTCTGCGGTACGGGGTCGAGTATCCATGGTTCTATAAGTAGATGGCATGCTACGCTTCTCCTTCGAGGATGGGGAAGAAGTGCCAGCTGAGACAATCGAGGACATAGAATTCGAAACAGAATGTCCAGGGCGTACTGTGCTTGAAGAGTCACTAGAAACCATCGATAAGGGTCTAGGGATGATCGAAACTTCATCGGAAAATCCAACTCGAGTGTTCTTGAAGGCCTTAGGACTGGGTTCCGGGTCGGCCAAATCCGACATTGACCTGGCTGTTTGCAAAGCTGCGTCAAGAGATGCAGCGACAACCGGATGCTGTTCGTGCATTGCTGAAGGCGATGTTGGTGCACTCCCACCACGATTAAGATTTGGATTAGGTTTTAGAATAAAGGTCAAGTCGCTCACGCTGATAGCTGCAGATCTCCTGTGAGCATGTCCTCGGCGGCCCCCAGGGGGTCCAAAGGCAGCAGCTGGGGGTGGAAGAGCTCCTTCGGACTTTGTAGGACTCGATGATATCAATCCAGCTCCAGCGCCTGTCTTTCCGTCGCCACCAATGAATTCCGATACGTTTCTCTGGTGCATACTGCTTGGTCTCGCTGGGATTGTCTTTGGCGACACCAAGGATGGGGACACCGTCGACGATGATGATGACCCAAAGGAGAACTCAGGGAGTCTCTCGCCATCGCCAGTTCGCTCCTTCGAGTGGTTCCGGATCTCGATAGCACTCAAAGGTCGTCGACCTGAGGCCCGAGAGTACGAAGAGGGCGCAGATCTTGAGGAGGTCGAGGTTGGAGACGGTGCTCTCGCAGGGAAAACGAAGCTGGGGAGTGGCAGAGGTCCGGGACTGTCGAGTCGAGGTGATTGAGGAGGCTGTGAAACATTATCTATGGCCGTGGTGCGGAAAGGCCCATTCTCCAAGTCCAGTGCATTGAACGACATTCTTCCAGGTGAAGTTGCAGCCGCCATTCTGTCTTTGCCGCACGGCGGCCAGTGTCAAGACCCAGCTAAATTGAGAGCATAAAGACTCGAGCGAATTTTTAAAACGGAGTAAGTTGTATTTCGGGTATATTGGCGTGGTGATGGTCGGAGAATCGAGTTGGCAAGGTGATTACGGAGGAGTCGACAAACCAAAGCAAACCTGAACTCCAACTATTAGCACTGGCAGATCCCGACGACTATTTGTTGTAGACAACGCAGTGGAAGTTTTGTTGTTGTTGTAGATGTTATTGCTGCTGACGTACTCAATAAAGTTTCCTTTGATGTCTCAGGAACTCGCGGGTCGAATTGTATTGGCCAGGTGTGTTGACGGGGCGGTGTTGGTGATTTTGGGGTTTGGGGTTTGAGGTCAAAGGAGTGTGTGTTTATTAAGGAGTGGACAGTCCAGAAGACCAGAGCAATTCCCTTCACGGAACGGAGAGATGCACTGTCCCAAAGGGCCAAATTAGGTGGAAGTGAGGTTGAGTAGTTGAGGAGAAAGACGTGAGGGGGCGAGGGCGAGGGCGAGGGCGGGCGAGGTGAACGAGGAGAGGAGAGTTGAGTTGTTGTGTTTGGGAGCGGAGTGGAGTGTGGGATTTGGAGGAGGGATGGAGTGTGCGCCTGAGTGCCTGTCCTGTTCAGTCCTGTTCAGTCCTGTCCGTCGCTCGCCGGGCCAAACAAGATTTACGAGGTGAGGCCCAGCGCTAGCCCCCTTCCATCGATAGTGGATCTGGAAGAGGCGACTAAAACAAATCTCCAAGCCGACCAAGCTCGCCAGGCCAGGGCACAGAAATCACCTGCAGGCCCAGCACCGCATCCAGATCTGCACAACGGCACAACTTGTTCACACAACTTCACATCCCGTTAAGGTTTCTTCACAACTGAAGCAATGCAATGTCTACGAAGTGCTGCTAAGATTAGAACTGGTCTGTGAGATCCCATCCTAAGCTGCTTAATCAGACATGTTGAAACTAAGTCGGCTGGCTGACTGCTCGTATCTCGTCATTTGTTTCTTGCTAGTAGTTGTAGCGGGGGCAACAGTGCAGCACGAGCGAAGCATGGCAATAATAAGAGTTAATGGAAGGCATTGAAGTGAAAGGCCCGCCTTTGCTGCAGCTGCAAGTGCAAGTGCAAGTGCAATTGCAGTCGAGTTTTGGTGTGTGTGGGCACAATACGGTACTGTACCTACAGTTGAAAGTCTTGGCTGCATTGCAGAGAAGATTCAGGAGCGCCAGAAATCTGCCCCTGACGACTGGTCTCTGGGTTCAGGCACCCGGAAACTCTCGAGGAGCACACAATCTTGCATGTGTGTCGGTACTCGATGCTTCCTCAGAGTCAAAAAAGCAAACAAAGTGGTAGTGCCACGAATTCTGTCGAGGCGAGGCCCGGAAGAAGCACCAAAACTTGTACAGTACAGAACATATCACCCCCCATTATTACGGTAGATCCAGGAACCGTGGGTCAAGGGGTGCCTGCCCCTGGACTGCAATTTATGGGCGTGCTGCACCTAACCTCTCAAGAGTTCAAAGCCGCACCACTCCTGTGAGCACTCTGTACGTGCGTGATTCCGGAATCAACTTCCTACCATCTGAAGATTTCATCTCATCCCCCGTTCATTATCCCCTCCTTGCCCTCGTGGCAGATCTCGCGCCCGTCTGATCATGACTTGATACACCGATCCTCCTGAATATCTCCCTCCTGCGGGGCAGCCGATGCCCAAAGCTCATTTCGACGCCTCCGAGGCGCCCTCACAACCCAGGTGAGACACAGATACAGACCGCCCCGTAATGACATCGGCCAGGAAGAGTCCCGTGTTTATTGTCAATCTTTGCCTACAATTATATAATACCAGGCGGCTTTGATATTCGTATCTCCCAGGTCGGAGCTGCTCCTCCGATTTGCAGATATCAATGAAATTACAGGCATACGGGGATTAATTTCTCCCAAGGGAAAGAAATGGGGATTTGATCTCAGATCCCATCCCGGAGACATACTCGTGTGGAATCGACAATTTAAAGACCGCCCACCACCGCCCCACAGGGGTTCTCTGCCCTGTCGGGCTATGAGTATCCTGGTTCATCAGCCACACCAAAGAAGCCTGACATCGGCCGGTGCAGGTCCAGTTCTTTCCTCCAGCCAACACGGTTCGACACCACACAATCAACAAAACAGCCATAACCGTCTAGAGCTGGCTCTTGAAGTTTCCCCAACGAGACATCCTGCCGTCTTCCCCGCGCCCTCTTGCCGTGTTCAGGTTCTAGCCCACAGCCTTTGGCCCCAATTCATGCGATTCGGAAGCACCGCAAGTCCGTTGGACGCTTCACCAGCTCACTTCTGCTGGACTTGCTGCATGGAAGCTGCAGGAACGACATGAGCAACTAAACTCGAAGCAGCGATACCTGTCAGAGATCACCAGCGCCGTGGCCGCTCTGCCATCTTGATTGGCGGCAGAAGCAAGCCCGTCAGCCTCAAACAGGAAGAAAGAAGCAAAGTGCGAGAAGTTGGAAGCCGCTGTCCCTGTCTCACGGGCCGATGGTTCCAACGATCGAACGACAGCAAGACACGTCCATCTGCCCGAACTTTAAATTTAAAAATCAACAAGGAAAACCTCAAAAGAAAGGTCTCGAAGTGAAAATTACGATGGATACCTGGGAAATAATCCCGTGATGAGGCGGGGTGCTCCTAGTTATCATCCAGCCCAGTAATACTCATCTTGCAAGGTTACTGTATTGAGCGAGAATCATCATTTCGCGTATAAAATTGCTCGTCTCTATGAAAAAACCACCCCTCCTTTTTCCTTGCATGGGATAAGACATTTCATGTCGGAGCAGGACCAGGAAGGAGATTATCACTGGACCAACCATTAAACATTTACTCCATTCATTCTAACTTTAGAATCAAATATGTGATCTTCAGCAGAGGCCGAGTTGCAGCTTGGGTGGGTACGACTTCGAACGTCGATATCATATGATTTAACTTCAAATTTCACGCCACGGGTATACTGGTATCTGGGCTCTTGTACTTGCTCTTTTAGAACTTGGAAGGAATTGGACATTGCAAGGAATGATTATCTGTGATATCAATGTGGTGATGATATTTCTCCAGCTGCCACTGTGTTGACTTGTTGGCTGGCCGATGATGGGGAAAATTACATAATCAAGTGAAGATGCTTGGGCTCTTTTTCGAGCACGCGAACGAACTGCAAATCCAGCCTGACCACCATCCCAGCAACAGATGGGGTTACAGTTCAAACCAGAAGGAATGGCTCAACCAACCATCTAAAAGTTATCATGAGCCGGCTTACTCACCATCTGCGGCAGGCCACGCGCAATGTAGCAATCGTTCCAAGGAGGATACATCACGTGAACTGGTTCAATTCTCGAGTCTTCTCCAGGCGTATTCATCAGGAATATGCTAGGGAGACAGGGAGGATTGTAGGCAGTGATGAGACCAGATCAGAAGGGAACAAGGATGGATCCGTTGGGTTCGGCGTGGAGGAACCTTCCGGGAAACCGACTGGAGAGAAGGTAGAACTACTGAAGCAAGGTGCCTTGACTCCTGACACAGATGGCACGCCACCCATAAGCAAATATCGAGATCAACAAGAATTCGTTGATGTTGAGACAGTGCAGCAGTCTGGTCTGAATACGAGACCGAACTTATCTGATGCGGTGGCTCATCCGCGGCTTGGACGATCTGACCGAAACGAGTCTTTTCAGAACAGTGAGCAGACAGAGGGGCCAAAAATACGTAGGACACTCTCTAAGAAGCAGAATACAAAAATCATCAGAAGATTATCGCGCGTAGTAAACAGCACCAGAGAAGAGGCCAGAACAAAGCATCTGCTTGTCAAAGCCGGAGTTACATCGTCAGATATTATCAATCCTCTCCCGCAACCCACGGAAGAGCATTTGGCGATGGAGGGCGAGCAAAATGAGAAAGTTGACCTGTATCAGATGGCGAAACGCTCATGTACGCTCGAGTGTGAATTTCCAGAGAAAACTGTAAGTCGAAACTACGCCGTTCTCCCTTGATATATGGCTGATAATCTACCAGATGAAGGAGGATTTGCTCGCAGCAATCAAAGCTCTAGAGCCCCCCGCATGGAAGGTAGCTGGCTACCAATCCGTTGTCCTTCTATTCACGCCGAGCTTTGCTGCAATGGTTGAAAACGATGCTACTTTCGTCCCGGACGTTCTCAAAGCCTTGACATTCAAGAGGCAATGGATATATGAAATTTCTAAAATCCAAACAAGACTCAAAGTAGATGTTGTCTGCGCATGTGTTGATGGTCTATCTCCAGGTGAGCAATCAGCATTTTCTTAATTAAATAAACTAAAAAAAACGCTTTCATGTGTTTCCAGCCTCACAGACATATAGAAATGTGTCGGTCTTGCTCATTTCTGGCAAAACACTAATTTCAAGCAGTCCCAGAAATCTTGCTAGCATCTGTAGGCACACGGCAAAAGGAGGGGTTTTCAATCCTGTATGGCCCAGAGTGTGAGCCGATTTACTCCCCCCCGAACGAGATTGAGCGACCACCATCTTCCAGCCCTTCAATGCAGTCCAGCGTCACGATTCGTAAAGGTCAAAAAACTTCAGCAGACATCACCTTGCCACTTGCCAATACTCTATTTAAGACCGGCCGGCTCTCAACATTGCTTGTTTCGAGCTGGGAGTACAATCATGACCAAAAGGACTTCTTTGCTGTCAAAGAGCCAGTGGAGCGGGAAAATGTAGTAATAAAAATGTTCGAGGAAGTGGAACAAACGCTGCCCAAATCTTTCATACCGGCTATTGCACTAACACCCTTACGACCGATTGTCAGTGGACTTGGAAACATAGTACGAACAATCGATTTTGGTGGTGAGGAGGGCATTGGGCCAGCGTCTCGCGAGCTGGAGTCTACTGTGACTAAATATCTCAACACCATGGGATACGGAAACACTACTATCGACGTATGGGCTCTGGTCGTACCTCCAGAATCAGGGTCAACCTCACTCAAGATGGGATCTCATAATCCGATCCCGAAACCATTGTCTTTTACCGTCGAGGAGCTTCAAAGGCAGTGGTTGGTCTCAAACAACATGAGCCAATATTCTCAGCTCGGAAGGTTGATTCCAAATATGAGCGCGCAACTTTGCCGTGTCCGTACGTAATATCATCCATCGCTTCCATCTTTTTGAAATGCTGACAAACTCTAGTAAGTGGCGGTGGTGGATGGGGAGCAAAGCAAGGCCTGCTGTCTCTAGATCCACAGACAACATACAGCGAAGTCCCCGAAGCACGCTTCGACTTCTCGGGTGGATCGTTAGAAGAACAACAAAATTCTGCGCTAGGCAATATAGCACAAGAAGGAGCCTTGATCCAGTTCTTCGTCGCACGTCGCGACCCTTCTCCCCATAAATATCAACCGCGCGTAGATTGCATCGAAGGTCGCAAGCCCTCCATGAGACAATCGGCTGTCTTCGGCGCAGTTCCCAGCACTGTGGACGATATCCCTACACCGGCACCTGAAACCAGCGAAGAGTCTACAGACAAACCCAGGGATCCTTTCACCTTCCGATATGGCCATTTTGGATTTGTGTCCGAGTCTGGAATGTTCGTGCGCCATAGTCAGCACCCCACACCCGACCAACCACTTCCACCGGATAGTTTTGCCAAAGTCGACCTTCCCTACTCGTATTTCTACAATGACTACAGGAAACCCAAACCAAAGAATGAACAGGAGCAGAAATTGGTGATTCGAAAAGTTCCCTATATAAGGAAGGATCTCATTCGTCGAATTGGAGTGTCGACCTAGTCTCAGTGAATGCCTCCATCTTCTAAAGTGGTGCATGTTTGGATCCCTGTAGCATTCATGGGCATAGAACCTGGAAGACCGGGTAGGTAGCTTTGGTGGACTGTAGCTTTTGTGACATTGAAATGTATGTATTGTAGAGGCTGTATCAGAAACATTTGTAAGGTAGGCTCACTAATGCAAGGATAAATCCTGCTTTATCTTTTTATCGAGAGCACTGAATTCAAAACAAGATTCCTAGGATAACTATATAAATCTTCCACCTGCAGCATTGAATCCCAAAGAATGCTTCGCAGATATTCCAGGAAAAGAGAGCTTGGGAAGAGCCTCGTCACGTGGCTTGTGTTTAGCTCGGTTCGATTCGTGTCCTGCTCTGACGACTGATTTCATCTTGAGCTTCCCAGCAGCAACCTTTTCAACTTCCCAACATCAAACCTCCAATTTTGCCACCACCAACAATAATCCTCCGCATACCAAGACAATGGATCGCGCACTCGATGAGATTGTCGCCGAACGCCAGGTAAGCAATCGCGCTGCCGCCATCCTTGAATCATTCAGCCTCGCGTTTGAGGGCAGCACATTCTCAATCAGGACCACCTAGCTGACATTTCCTAGAGAGGCGGTGGCCGTTCCCGTGGTGGACGTCGCGGCGGACCTAGACAAGGACGAGAACGCACTGAATATCCTCGTGACGGCGTAAGAAAGGTACGATATCTGGAGTCACTGGTTCTTCAAATGAAAATGGAGGACGCATGCTAACGGATTTCCGCCTTACAGGTGCATACACCTCCTCCTCATCCTCACTCTCAATCCTCCTGCACTTGAAAATATACGTCGATACATTACATCCTCGTCTCAACTTCAGTACTACCTATGCGAATACACCGCTTGCTGTTACTCTTGAAGGCGCAGAGAAGTACATACTTGAATACCTCAGCTAACCCAAGCCTCCTCCTTGCGCACAGTCGACTCGAGAGGACAACAGGAATATTGACTCGTACGTCTTCTTGAATTCTGTACAAGAATGCGCCTCTGACCTGTAATAGAGAATGGGTTCACGACAAGTTTGACAATGACAGTATGAACCTCCCTCGTCTATTACCGGACTTGCACTCATGATTATCAGCCGGACGCCGAACAGCTCGTGCCGAACGAAGATACACCCCGGAACAGCAATAGTAAGCACAATCTGCTGTCCTATATGTTCCACTCGCTAATTCTGGGCAGCGACGCACCGTCAAGCAAGCTTCGTGTCGAGAACATTCACTACGATCTGACGGAGGAAGATTTGGATGTAAGGAAAAAGGGAATTCGGAGAATACACAACGAGACTAATAGATATAGGACCTCTTCAATCGCATTGGCCCGGTCCTGAAGCTCTCCTTGACGTACGATCGTGCTGGCCGCTCTGAAGGTATCGCGTATGTGACGTATGAATCCGCCCAGGACGCAAAGGCAGCAGTTCGAGAATTTGATGGAGCAAATGCGAAGGGTATGCCTGACATCATTCATAATTGACACCTATTCTAATTTTGTACAGGTCAACAAATTCGCCTGATTCCTATCCCATCTGGCCCGTCTGGCGGACGTCGTGCTCCTCCACCCTCCCGCTCCCTATTCGATCGAATTACCCCCGCACATCGATCCCGATCAGACTCACCTATCCGTCATTCCGATGTCAGCGGCCCGGCTCCAACTAATGTCGATCGCTATGTTCCAGGCGGTACACGCAGCCGATCCCGCAGTCCTCGTCCACGCAGAAGGGATGGCCGACGACCAGGTGCGCGCAGAGAGCGAGGAGAGAGAACTGGAGGCGGACGTGGTGGCGGTGGGGCTGGAGAGCGTGTTGCGAGAGATGGCAGACCTCGTAAGACACAGGAGGAACTGGATGCCGAGATGGAGGATTACTGGGGACAGAAGGAGAATGGCACTGGTACAGATGCTCCCGCTGCCGAAGCTGCCCCCAATGGAGACGACATCGACATGATTGAGTGAGCGCAACGCAGTTGTTTGGTTGCAAGTGTAGGATTACCTGGTTGGAAGGATGGTGTGGCAGCATTTGGTACGGATGGTTAGAGTGGTGCTCGTTGCGTACACTTAGACTATGTGATATGTGTAGAGGCTTGCACACACAGATGACTTCACAAAAAGCAGCTATGTTTCTTCCCTCCACGGAACTCTACTTCTGTTCATAATTGACTACGTTGATTGACCTACCAAAGCTCCAGGACTAACAGATACATCGTGCCAAGCACCATCAAATACAAAACTAAGTCACTCTCAACTGAAACATACCACGCGCCAAAGATTTTCAAACTACCCACCCGCCCATCAGAACCACCATCAATTTTTTGCAAACCCAAACTCCTGAAATACCCAGTCACCAGTCACCAGTCACCAGTCACCAGTCACCAGTCACCAAACACCTCTTCACCCAGTATGCCTACCACCAAACTTCCCTCCCCAGCCCAGTTATACCCAATTCACCATTCCTCGTGGCCAGCAAAGCTAGCTAGCTAAATCAATTCCTTTCTCAGCATCAGCTCTACCATTCCATTCTCTCTCTCCATCTCTTGCACTCCAACCCCATCTACCTACAAAGCGAATAAAAACAAGAGAACAGAACAGTACAGTAGCAAGAGTGAAAGAAAAAGAAAGGAAAGGCTCACTTACAACAGCGCCAGCGTCAAGTCGCCCCGGATACTAGCTTTCAACTGGATCTCGACATCGAGGTTGAGATCGAGACGGAGGCGGAGGTTACCTGGGGTGGAATAGGTGTGAGCGTGAGTTTACTTGGGGTTGGTGGAGGGGGGGTGTATAGTGAGATAGTGGAGGGACGGGAGGGGTCCTGTCTATGTATCTAGGTACTAACCAGAGCTATTCCCTCCTGAGCCTGGTCGTGGAATCGCTGGAGCGGTTACTGTTGGGAAATAGACTTCGTCAGTGCTGTGTCCTGCAAGCTACATATTGGAACCTGGCCAAGAATGGAACGGAAGACGACGATCCAAGAGGTACAGGTAAGTAGAATAGAGAAGGGCGAAGGAAGAAGGAAGAAGGAGAAAATCGGGAAGTGCACATACCAGGCGTGGGCGTATCCAAAGCACTCGGCATAGTCATCGGTATACTCATCTCATGGCTACTCTGCCCAGCAGGGAACGTGGTCTGCGCCGTAGTGTGCGTCTGTGTCACGGTGGTCGGTAGTTGCTGCAGTTGTTCTTGCGGTTGGGAGAGCAGCTGTGGTAGGATCTCCTGTGTTGGTGTTGGTGATACGGAGCCCGTAAGCGAGGGTTGTTGGACTTGTTGAAGAGCTGCTGCTGCTGCTGCTGCTGTGCGGCGGGATGTGGATTTTGTAGGGGAGCGTTTTTGGATCGGGGATTTGCTGGTGGTATTTGAAGTGCGTGGAGTGGTGGCGCTGGTTGGTTTGGATGAACGTGATGCCATGTTGTTGGGTTTGTTTGTTCGTTGGTGTCGAGGCTGACTTGACTGATCAATATGGAAGAGGGAAGGCAGGTTTGAAAGCGGATGTTACTACGGCTGTTAGTTATAAGGATATGGAATGGATAGTGGATGATCTTATGGCTTGTATGGACAAGGGATGCTCTTATAGGTATACTGACAGACTAGTTGGGACATCCTATGCTCAAAGAATCTGTGGAAGCGAGATCCTGAACTCAGAGACCTCAGCTGAAATCGAGAAGCAGCCCTGTGGGAGATAGGACCATTGGCTATGACATACATGGCGTTTTTGAAGTCTGGTAAGAGTCGCTGCAGTGTTACATTGGTTGTGGGTACCTGAATACTGCAGCTCTCCTCGACGATGTTGAACTAGACAGAGGAGACGTCGAGCTACAGGATTGCGTCATGCTGCTTTGGATATTGCCTCTTGAGTACGACAGATATCTTATGAAGTGTCCAGACTGGTCTGGTGCTTCTGATACGCAATCATTCACGTTCTCTCCTGAGCTAGGTCCGCGTCTGATTGCTTGCTCGCCTTAGTTGGTGAGTTTAGCTCACAGTTTTCAGTTGTCAAGTAACAGCTGAAACACTTCCACGTATTGTGAGAGCAGTAGCTTGCTATTTAACTGACACTGCATATTCACTACGACAGAAGATATTATTACCAAAAGACCGTCAAACACAAACGCTGTCGTTATACTGGTAAAAAGGGTATACAAAGCAGAAAACCAAAGATACAATGAAATGCTCCCAGGGTCGATCCAAGACCCCTCAAACTCCAGGACTCCTTGATCTTCCACATGCCTGAACCTCGTTTCCTACCCCTTATCTCCTTCCAGAAAGAGAGTTTGGTAATTGTCCCGATGTTACCATATAACCGCCCATCCTCGATAGTCATCCAAACTTACTCGGCTGCATCCGCCCAACCCCACTCAAATGCATCTCTGCGTGCATGCATGTCCATTTACCCCTCATGCCGGCACTCTGTGCACAACCAAATCGGGCAACGCCAGTCACGCGGCCTCCAAAACCAGTTCACCCCTGGGCTCATACATCGAACGAGATCAATTGCGGATTGCCAAAACCCTGATTTCGCCTCGACCTGCATGTGAAGATCGGGGCTAAGTTGCTTCAACGGCTGGCTTGCAGTATTGGATGCAAGGGGTTGCAAGAAAGTCTCCGGGTTCGGCAATGTGCTTGAATGCCGTGGATGTGGTATTGTGGCTTGAGGATAGGGATCATGAATAATGGATGTTGGCTTTTGGCAGCCATCTCGGATGGTCGGCTGGAGATCATGAGATGGCCTCGCAAGAGGAGACGGGATCTGTTCCTGGGGGGCTTGTCCTTTCTTCGCTGTGACAATACGACTCTGTCGGTCCAGGGTACATAGTGTTTGTTCTGACGATCGAAGCCATGAGATGCGACTTCACCCATACCGCATCCAGGACTCCGCAGGAGCTCCAACCTGGCTATGTCTCTCCAGAACTCTCACTTCCGCAGCGGCGTCTCTTCCCTTTCTCACACGAGCTTGAGATTCTTGCATTCTCTCCCTATAATGCTGCTCTAGAATGCTGCTCTAGTCTGCTGCAGCATCACTTCAACTGGAGATCCCGCGACTTCGCGTTCAACCGGTTCGCTGACTGGTAGCTCGTGGACCACTTCTGGCTCGTGAAATGTCTGCACTCTTATCAATGTGCCTCTGAATGGCACAGCAGTAAGTTCAGGACTGACTTGCTGTGTATCGCGCGCGTCTAGCTCGCTTTTGAACATGAATACCGAGTATGGTGACATTGATTCTTGGAATGATTGACTCGAGGCTTTCGAATTGGGAGCAGGCGAGCTCAAACTTTTGATCTTCTGGTACCTTTGGCGAATAATTATTACGCAACTGACAAATACCTTGATAAAATTAGTATCTTGGCGTGTTGAAAAGTAGCACAAGATAGAGGATACACACTGTAAAGAAGAGCGCCCCTCCCACGGCTATAGCCACGACGATGACAGTAGGAAGCTTTCGTGGGCTGCTTCCTGGTGCTGCGGTTGCAGATATCGGAAGTATCGCTTGGATGTCGCCCTTTGCATTCGGATCCCATTTCATTTGATGTATAGAGAAGTTTGAGCGCTCAAAATCGGCGATAAGATACCTGAGAACTGTTAGCTGGTTGTTGAAGGCACCTTGAAAAGAACACTCACGCTTCTTGGAGGAACGCTCTACCAAGTATGGTTTGACTGTTGTTGACTGCTCTTTTCAAAGGAAAATATCTGGTGGTATTCTGAACCAACGGCCACTTCGCGACTAGGTCGAAAGCTGCGTATGGAAGAACAATGTCAACATCGACCGCCAAAGTCGAGTTCGTAAGAGTAAACGTGACATTGGCAGCTTGCTGCACGAGCTTGTTGTGTAATGAATCATCAACGAAATAGAGTCCCGAGTCGTAGTCGTAAGTCAAGCCAAATGCGTCTTCGAATTGTCGGCAAACCTCGCTTGGGAGGTACAGGTACGGTACCGTTGAGTCGATCATTGCTGGAAATACGGATGATTTAAGACCTCTTATTCCGCCATTTTGTGATGAAATAGTGATAGCGTTGACATTCACCCCCAATTCTGAGCTGTTTTCATCATTGATACGAAATGTTAGATCGTTAGCAAGGAACAGCGAAGCATCGTATCCTCCAAGCGTTAGGCTTGCGAGAACTGTGTTGAACCGATATTTGTTGCCGGCGGTATATCCATAAGACAGAGAAGGGATTTGCTTTTGGGCTTTCAGATTTGCCATGTAGCTTTGCACGGGAGTGCTGGAAGCAGAGAAATTTGTTGCGGCGGGGTTGACTCCAAAGAGCCCCATGAAGATGTCCTTGGACGTAACTCCTCCCACAGTTTGATTGTCCAAGGCGGGTACACCACTTCCAACGTAACCTAGGGCAACAGTATCGCTTCCATAGGCGACGTCGACGGAAAGCCCAATGCTGTTTTCAACGGCGAGATGAAAAACTCCGCCTGCCGTGAAATTGTTCGGGGTCCTTATTTTGTGAGCCACGTTGACAGCGTTCTATTTGAGAATCACTTACCATGTAGAAGAGAAGTTAGTCTGGTAAATCCCACCTCTGCTATTTGCACAGTCTGATGGATCGCCCAAAGAGCATCCATCAGGAAGTACAACCAAAGGCTGGTTGCTGGCTGTTGATAACAGAACCCTGACCGTTTGTGGAGGTGAACCAACACGGAGGAAGAAAGAAGACCACTTGGTAAAAGTTAGTTCACAGAATTAAGGTTGATCTAAACAGTAGCAAATGAATGCACAGCTCAATAGGCTGTAGAAGTGGTTGAAGTTGAAGGCCACCTTGCATTCTGCCATATTGCCAGTTGATGGTACATATGTTTTGAGGACAACTCACTGGACCATCACTGCCGTCCCCTGGAAAATCATATGTCAGCATGCTCTGCAGAAAATAGGATCGAAAAAACGTACAAACTTGACTTGGAGGAACAACAAGAGGTGCCGGGGTGGCTTGCGACACTTTCGAAGAGGTCGATGTGGCAGCTTCACATGGTGGGAGTCGAAACAGCACATGGCCTATAGCAACGACTTGCCACGCTCTCCATGGAGTCATCGCAAAGAGTTGCGAAACATTTGAAGGAATAGACTCAAAGAAAGTTCATACTTAAGAAAATAACCTGGCCAGGGATCAAGCTCTGGATAAATTGAGTCTTGATAAGTTTGTGAGCAACAGAGTTTGGAAATACCTGAAACGTCTGGAACATATGTACTCTCAACCGGAAGAGTTTGTTGCAGAAGGTTGGAGCTACTCAGCTGAATGATTTGATCCTATTGGTCTGTTTGGCTTAGTAGAGTCAATGGGGACGGCTTGCATTGTTTGGCGAGTCCCAGAATATACCACACCAAGTAGTGAGCATGTAAATTTGGTATGGTGGTCAGCAACACTTTGTCGGAGCCACGGATGACCACGCCGCGAAGCGACTCCAATCAATCGATGTCTTAGGCGCGAGATGGGCGACCGGCTTCATGATTGAGTCGAGAGACGCGGTGAAGATTACATCCCATGCGGAGAATATCTCATGGATACAAGCCCATAAGATTGAGGCTCAATCTTAATTCCATCGCGGCAGGCGCAGCTCGTCAGCTCGGGATCGAATGACTTGAGAGACGTAGAGAATCATAAATGGCAACGTAACCTATTGTTGATGAGCCCTCGGGACTGGAGATGTCGATAGATTGACCTCAGACCCGCTCTCTGATTGGAGGTGAACCCGATTTGGGTGAGGCAATATTCGCGTTGGCGAGCAGTTGGAGACTTCTATGTGCCACACAAAAGAACGAACTTGAAACTCCAACGTTGTACCATGAGTTTCGAAAAACTTTTCATCACAATATCACCCTCCCACTTGAGGAATTCGAGACGGGAATTCTTAGCTGCCAATGTCCGAAGGTCGAAAGGGACGGGAGGAGCTGGGAGTAGGCGTTGGCAGATTGACAAGTGATTATACCAACGAGTAGCAGCTTGTTGGAGAGGGAAGTAGATAGACCTGCCCTGAGGAACTTTTGTATCAAAGACTTCTTTGAACCACCACGAGTATCGAAAGTGGTTGAACCATTTGTTGACAAGCGAGCGACAGTTGAGCGAAACTTGAGCGAGCCTTTCAGTCGAACCGCTTCGACTGAGGCTGCATCTGCAGAGATATGAGAGCATGATCTACAGACAAGAGAATGAGGCGATTCCGTGGAGGCGGAGAAGTCTTATGATGGTTGGCGATGTCGTGTGTTGGTTGTGATGGAAATGAAAGGCAGTCGCGAGGTTGATTTCGGTTGGTGCTGCGAAGGCTCGCGCCGCGATTGCCCCACCCGCTTGTCCATATCGGGTCACGTAAGCGAAAAGTTTGTCCTAAAAATAACCGCTGAGCTTACTCGACTAACAGTCTGCGCCTCCAAGACTCCAATACCCCAGCCCATCCTTCCCATTCCCCTCTTCGTTCCTGATAGTAGTTGACTGACGGCTGTGCATCATGCATATCCGTCCTGCAGTTATGGGGGCACCAAATCGGCCAAGTTCACATGCACCTAAATCCTTCACTTGCAGTCGCGTTATTTTTGTCCCCATTTTCTCATTTTGGCTTCGTATGACCTCGACGTTCTATCTGTTCTGCAGGTACCGTCAGGTCCGCAAACTGTGGCCAAGTAGAGATCCCTCATTTGTTCTTTGCCCAGAGTGGATGTAAAATTTGCCGGGTCTCTGATCTGATAGCAGTCTGATCGGCCCCCCCACGTACAACTCGAGGCACACTTGACCCCTGTGAGAATTTGGTCAAGATGCAAGATGCCGCTCAGCCTCTGTCGTACCAATAGTACCAACAAGACCCCAAAGCGCCGCAATGATATGTCATCTGAAGCTTTCCCAATTTATGTTTTGTTGTTTCATTTCTTCATTCAATAAGGTATCGCTATTCGCCATTCGTTTATTGGGTTGGAAGCCCTTTGTCTCAATGCGCATTCATAATGTATGTCTCGATAGTGTTCACTATCGGATCGTTGGCTCTCCTTCAAGTAGTCACATCGCACAGTCTTTCCAGTAATAGAGGTTAAAAGTCTCCATGTTCTCTTGTTTTCATTATACTGATAGATGGACAGCAGTACTAGTTGCGCAGAGGGAGCTCAACTCTACTATAACAGTATCGGAATCTGAAAGCCGGACGGCGAATCTGCCGCCATGTACAACAACCGTCACTTCAATTTTGGGCGAAAAATTTACAGCCCAGGCGGGGTCGTGTAGTCATACATTTACTGTCACGTCAACAATTCAACCAATCGAATCGAAAACGCATACGACAGCATCAGAAACGACATCTTCGATAGAATCGACGAGGAAGTCAAGTCTGACTCAATCAGCTGGCGCGACGCCGCCAACCAGTTTAGAATCTATCAGCCTCACCTCGTCCAGTACCAAAGTCGAGGAGACTCCAGCACAAAGCCCTACACCATCCTCGCCCACTAGTTCAACTAAAGTTGATTGTGTTGCGACAGTGACTTCGATTCTAGGGGAGTTTTTGGTTCTGGGAACGGGTTCCTGTAGTCAAACAGTTACAATCGTCAGCACAGTGAAGGGAACTTCCATCCTGGTGTCAACAAGTAGCACAAGCCGGACAACAGTTTCAACTTCTAGTGCTAGGGAAACACAGCTCTCCATTTCTATTTCCCCAACAAGTTCAAGTCCTTTCACTCCAACGGTTGTGAGCACTTCTTCGATATCCAATCCATCACCTGAGCCCTGTACAGCAACCATAACTTCAACTCTGGGCACGCCGTTTTTGCCGTTCCAAGGACTGTGTTCTCATACTGTTACTGTTGTAACATCTCCAGTTCAAGTGTCTCCGCCGCAAGCACCTTCAACATCAGAAGAGCAACCGCCTGTTCCCATCAACACAAGTGTTGATCTTGGTACGTCAACTTCAGCAACAATCTCGACCAGCACGACACTTGCTCCAGTCCCTCCACAACAACAAACCGAGTCCAGTGGTCCAAATGTTGGCCCCGTGAACACATCTTCAAGCACAACGCTCATCATAACGACCACTACAGAACAATATCCCCCACCGGCACCTGAAACATCCACGTCTCTCGCTCCCACTGCTGCAATATCAGCTCCTACAAGTCAGATTCCCCAGTTGCCGAACTCGCCCTCCACAAGTCTTCTAGAAGGGCCAGTTGGGACAACCTCCTCGCCGCTTGTTTCTGCAACGACGATCCACGATACACAAGTACCTCTACCTTCGTCTTCCATAGAGCCCGCCCCTCCTGGCTGTCCTACGGAATGCGCTGAGCCACAACCGACAAATCAGCCTATATCAGTTTCAAGTGTCTCGTCAGTTGTACCGATCCAAACCTCAATTGCAACAGAAAGCCAGGTTGTATCCCCGACTTCCGAGCAAGGACCTACCACGACGCAATTAAATGGCATTACAAGCTCAGAAGAAGTTTCGACACACCTTACGACACCTTCTCCTTCCATTCCTACCATCACCAACACTCCAACTCCAGGACCCATTATCATTGGATCTCAGACTATAAGCCAAGATACAGCATCGAACTTCATCTTCGACTCACAAACCTTAGTTCCTGGCTCCGCAATAACAGTGAACGGACAGCAAGTCTCGGCTGCCTCAGGAGGAGCAATAATTCTTAATCCAGCACCCCCAAAAGCTACACCCTCCTCTTCAGGCGAAAGTAGCACCGGTCCCGCACCAGCAATAGTCGTAGTTGACGGGACAAGCATCACCGGAAATACAGCTTCTGGATTCGTTATCGGCACGCAGACTTTGTTCCCCGGAAGTGCCATCACAGCTAGCGGTCAAGTCATAACATTGCCTTTACCAAATCCAACTCCTGCCCCCGTGCCAACACAAACTCAAGGTCCGGACACCATTCCTGTAATTCTTATTGGGTCCTCGACTTTCACACAAAACTCAGCGTCTGCTTTCATAATCGGAAGTCAAACGCTTTCGCCTGGCTCGGCTGTGACTATCTCTGGGCAGGTGATCTCGCTTTCACCTACGGGAAATGCAGTCATTGTCAATGGTGCCACGGCAACGCCAAGTCGAACAACTTTCTCAACCGAGATCCAAGCGCCTATTACTAGCTTGGTGGTTGCCGGACAGACTTTGACGGCTGGCGGGCGGGTCACTGTGGGCGGCGACGTCTTGAGTCTTTCGGGTGGAACTATCAAAATTATCGGAACAGTCACTGTCGGTGGTGGAGATGCGACTTTCACCGCAACGCCAACGGGAAAGAAGAAGAGCGCGGGTGTGAGAGTAGAGAGCAGCTCCTTGGTGTACATGACAGTACAGATATCTGTTATGCTCGGTTTGGGAGCGCTGGGGCTTTTCTAATAAGTAGGCGTGTACAGACGCTTCATTGTGCATTGCATGGGGAACGAGGAACGGAGTCATGGCATACATTTGGGGTTTGCACGTATAGACGACGATGTACTATTACTCAACCTAATATTCTGTATATACTTTTACAATCCAGTACAATAATTCAAGGTCCAATCATAAGTTCTCCCTTACCTCAGCATCTTCTTTGTTATCCAGCGCCGTAATTTCAGCTCAGATCTCTGGATCCTTCGTGTCTTATCGAGGAGCGACCACAATGACGAACCGCATTGATCGCGGAACGTTTCTGCAAATAAATATCCACTCTGCGAGAAATGAGCGTCAGCATGACATCGTATCTGACAAACTAGCAGAAATTACTCGAGTTTAACTCTGAGGAAAGCTGGCCGTGCAGAGTGCATTCCTAGATCCGGATTTATCCGATTCAATGGTGGCATAATCGACAGCTCGAAGCATCAAACGCAGCATGCTGGACACAATGTCTGCTCTGGCTCAGATTAGTGGAGTTGTAGTCCCTTGAGGCTCTTCGCTTGCTTCCAGCGTACTGGCTGCTCTGTTTGAAGCAATAGTTTCCATCAACTCATCATACTGCTGCAAACACCCCATTGTTCGATGGTGCCCTGGTCCAAGAGATCTCTGGAACCCCTCACAAGCTTCTATCCAGAGAACACGCGACTCTTCAAACTTCTTCTGATCTCTAAGGATCTTCGCCAGATTCCAGAGACTCAAAAGTGTCTCATAGTGCTCCCGTCCTCGCGCCTTCGTCCCTCCCTCCACAGCACGCCGCATCATTTCCTCTGCCTCGTCCAGCCGATCCAAATAGTGAAGCACCAACCCAAGGTTATTGACGCTCAACAGCGTCATCGGATGGTACTTTCCGAGAATTTCCTCCGTCCCCACAAACGAGCGACGCATCATCTTCTCCGCCGCCTCCAAGTCTCCCAGGTCTTTGAACAGCAGCCCGAGAAGATCTACTGTATCGAGCGTCTCTAAGTCATTCGGTCCTAGCAACTCTTCTCGCCCTTTGAGTGTTCTTTCGAGGACTTCCCTACACTTTTCATACTTATTGAGCTTCCTGTATATCATGCCAAGCAGATTCAGACTCCACAAAGTATCCTGGCTCTCGAAACCCAGTATCCGTTCTTGAGCTTCGGACGCTGCAATCGCAAACTTTTCCGCTTCTTCGAACTCTCCCCGATCGAATAAGCTGATTGCCAATTCGCTGGTACTTCGAAGCGTATCGACGTGATCCGAACCCAGTAAAGTTTGTCTTTGGTCGAGAATCTGGCGCCATGTTTCCTCGGCTAGCTGGAACTTTCCTTGAGCAGCGTACGCGACACCTAGGTTGCCCAACCATCTTAGGTTCTCCGATATGTCTAGCTCAGATCCCAGATCTGTAGTGGAGAAGTCAACTAATCGCTTTGCAGTTTTCTCGTAGTCAGAATAGCGACCGCATTGGAGCAGAAACTTTCCAATGATCTCATCGCAGGAATCAAGGTCATGTTTGTGCCATGAATTAAACCTCAATAAACCTCTTTCTTGAAGTACAGTGAGATTTTCATTATATGCGTCGATGTGTGAGAGCAGGACTTGCTGGGTAGGCAAAGGAATGCTAAAAGGCCCTTGCTTTTGGCTAGCTTCGAGAACGGCTCGGAGAACCGAGCTTGATCTGGGGAGAATATGTTGTCAGCATTTTGGAGTAAAATAAACGTATGCGAGATTTTCATACACTAGTGCATAACGAAGAGTCTCTTCGTCGGTACTCCGAAGGCGAATCCAGTCTTTGATCAAGGGATGAAGAGAAAGGTGGCAGTATTCGTCTTCGGCTCGTGACCAAGACTGAACGAGCGACATTTCGAGAAGGTCGTTCAAGATATCCACAAAATTATCAGCGTCCCACTGCATTTCACCATCTAAAACCACGTTGTCCGGGTTGAATCCCGACATTATTTGACCGTCCGGAAATGTGTCTCCAAGACAAGGTTTGAGACATTCAACCGGCCAGTGGTAACTTGCAGGCCAAGCTTGTGCTCTTTCGCTGTAGGCGCTAAACAGTTGCTCTGAGATGTCTTTACAATCGAAGAAAGCTAACAAAGTCAGTAAGTCCTTTTTCTCCTTTCCAGATTCTGAGGTTTCGAGAAGCTGCTGTAAGGAAAGCTCCCAAGTCGTAAAGACATTGAGTGAAGTCTCCTTCTCGTCCTGGGTAAGATGGCGCCGATATTGGGACAGCTGTGGTGTGTGCTTCATAATTTTGTCCCTTCTTTTGTTGTAGTGATCCATAAACTGGTTGAGACGAATCTTTTGCTTTCCGATATATGATCCGGCTTGGGTGATTGCAAGTGGGTGAAAGGCAAGCCGGCGGACAATGTCTTTGGAAGGAATCAGATCTGCGGCCGTTTGCTTCAGACGGCACTGCTTCCATAAGAGGTCCAGAGACTCAGCTTCGGACAATCCATCCAGTTCAACCAAATAGTCTAGGTCGCTAGCAAGGTAACTCGCGGCCGTGCTTCGTGTGGTAACGATAATTGAACCCTTATCAGAATCTGGGAAGAAGTCTTGAAGGTTATCAAAGCTCTTGACGTCGTCGTGATTATCAAAAACCATCAGCCAAGACTCTGGCCAATCTCGAAGTGTGTCTAGTATGAATGATACGAGTTCTGCTGTTGCGGGCTGGTCAGATCCTTTGAGTTTTGCAGCTATCGTTAGAAAGCTCTTCTTGACGGACTCCTGGGAACTGGCATCGGCCCAGAAGATAGCGCGGACTCCCTTTTTCTGCTCTCGACGGCAGTGTTCGAGCGCGATCTGAGTTTTGCCTTGACCTCCAAGACCACGAAGAACGAATACCTGCGGTCCAGCTCCAACTGAAATTCCCTTTTCGATTTTTTGGAGAATATCCTCACGTCCTACGAAGTAGCTGACTCGCCTGTTTGGAACCTCAAAGTAATCCCTGTCAGTCATTTTTACCACTGTCGGAAGGGGGGACATCATTCTTTCTTCCAACAATTCCGTCTAGGAGGTACGAATCAGCATGTTTTAATGTATTGCAGGGATCCTTACCGTGAGGCGTATTGCCTGAACTCCCTCAGCAATTTCTTCGACAGTAATTGCCACCCCTTCGACACTTCGTGTCAACTCATCGATGTCGTAACCGATTGAACTCAGAAGTGAGCTAAGGAATAGTTCAGTGACTTGCAAGTCATAAATCCAACTGGTTGCTATGATCCGGATGGTAGAATTCTCCATGCCAGTCTCATGGATGGATCAACCAGCAATTCCAGATTTTGCACTTACGTGTCTATTTCACCAACACAGAGCAAGAGGTTCATCTTCTCTCTTTCAAGATTGGCAAAGAGATCCTTCACTTCTTTCTCCTTCATAACCGAAGTAAAAGCCTTCCTCAACTTTACCCATTTGCTATCCGCAGCACCAATCTTGACCTTGGTCAGGACCGCCTGAAATTCGCTAACAAAAACTCCACAAGCAAGCAGATTTGACTCCATGGCAACGGTTTGGAGTGCTCGATTCTTGCTGATAAGATCGCACACATCGGCTAGCTAAATGTTATCAGTTTCTATTATGATTCCGGAAATGACATAGTCGACAAAAATAGTGATCAGGGGACGACCCACTCGTTGAATCTGTACCAGCTGCCTTCTGACTTCATCTGGGTTCTGGTACTTCGCATAGACATCACATGCACATCTGATGACTTCCCCACACTGCTCAGCTAGAGCTGTAGCCGCAGATACAGCGCCTAAGACCTCTGCCATCTTGATCGAGTTCTCGGGTAGGGGCCAGGGGAAGAAACCGTTCGTGTACGCTGATAGGTACTTGGACTGGTGAAATACAGTTTGCCGTTGGCGAGCCGGAATTATACCTAGTTTGCTGAGATAGAACGCATAAATTAAACTTAGAAATGGATGTCGTTCATGGTAACGTGTGGTACAAGATGCTGTGCGTTGTCACGATGCGGAAACTGGGGTGAGGCTGCAGAAGCGCCATGCATCATGCATGGCGTATCACAGGCGGGTTCGATCCTTCATCTTATTGGACAATCGGACCCAGTCTGGCCGTACTGTTTCTTCTGGCTTGTAATTCAATTCAATTTTTTTATCACTAACCGAGCTCGTCAGCCATGTTTGGAAGAATATAGGGGAGATTCAGAAAGTAAACAATCTTGTAGCCTCTAGCGAGTGGGAGTCGCGAGGAAGCGGCTTTAGCGAAAAACTTTCGGCTCTTCAGACAAGAACTTGTCGGCTGCAATCCTGATCACAGAGGAAGCAAACAGTAATGTCAAATCAAAGGCAAAAGACAATAAGTATGAGCTTTGTTCTCATAACAAATCACAGCCCAACTAATCCAGCCGCTCTCCTCCCTTCCTCTCCACTCAAAATCGCATCCTCACCACCCCATCCAACAAAATTACACTCATATCTCTGCGGCCCAGCATCCTTCTCAAAATCTTTCGGCACCTTCCCTCCATCCAAGAATGCTTTAACCTGCTCTCTCATATAGCTCTTGTTAAGCTCCGTCGTTGGTGTTGCAGCAATATATGCCACACTTGCGTCAAATTCGCCAAAATGCTCAACTTCAACAGCATGGAGCATGTCGCAATGCCACCAGACTGTATCTCCAGGAATCATTCTTGGGATGTTGAACATACATTCTGTCATGCGAAGATGTGGATGTGAAGATGGAGAAGCATATTGTGAATCGTTCCTGAATGTTCCCGGAAACCAGGGGTCGGAGATTTCGAATATCCATTTCGAGGCATCCATGATATCCTCTTCTTTGGTAGAGATTGGAGGCTTGAAGAAAGGCCGGAGAAGAATATAGGCGATTGAAGTTTTGACATCAGAATATAATACTAGACTTCCCTCCGACTTCCCAGCGCCTGTCAAGGTAGTCCAGCCTTGAAACGCGCGCAGAACACTAGAGTTATAACTCTGTCCAAAGATAGATTGCTTTGCATCTTTCCGCTTCTCAATATCGTAGCAGTCATGCTTCTCTGGACTTCCCGCGAAGATCTCCGAATACACTCCTTGATAGGCGGGATCAACCCATCTGCATAGGGAACCAGCATCGATATGTGGTCCTAGACCCGGGAAAGGAATCTTCGGAGGTCTAATCCGGACGGCATCTGCGTATGATAGGGGATCTGTGGATGTGGTAGGTGAAGTTGGTGAGTCATGCCACCAAGAATTCAGTTCGCGCTGAAGGCGTAATTGGCGAGGATGAGAGCGAGCAGAAAGTTGTGTCGGGGACCAGTACAGACTCAGTACGAAAAGAGTTGCCACCGGCCAGCCTAAACTAATCAGATTTGACCCACCACGCCATGTCATTAACGACCTACCAGTAACTTTCGACTTATTATCCTCATAATACTTCTTCACATCCTTGTACCACTTTGTTGCCAAGTCTTCACTCACGACACCCCTAACAACAAAACATCCCCTCTTCTGTAGCTCAGCCTTCTTGTCACCGCTCAACTCTAGTATCTCATCATACGACACTTCCGGAATGATGTTGGTGCCCTTCTCGCTGATCTCATCAGTAAGGATCTCAAGTTCTTTGCATACATTCAGCCAGCTGGTTCTGATAGCTGCTTCACCATAACTTTCCACGATGTCCTTTTTGTATTGGATCAGCTCTTCTGGAGGAGCACCAGGAGCACCTTCGCCATTGCAGGATGTGAAGACTGGCCATGAGGTGAATGCCTCCGAAGGGAAACCTGGCATTGCGGCAGTTGAAAAATGCGAGGGCAATACTTCTTCGCACAACAAGCGTTTGTGGCTCTCCTCATATGGTGAAGATGTACAAAAAGACTTCCGATATGTATAGAAATTGCACTCAAAGTCAGGGCTGTGCTTTGGATGGCAACTACTTAGGTGCGGGGAACGGGTTGATTGCCCCACTCTTACGAGCATTTCTAGTCATGTAACTTGAGTTGATCGACCGCTTGCTACAAGTGGCAAATGTACCCATAGCTGGTACATGAACCAAGTTTCATGAGCGGAAGCGAGGTTTGGACCAATAGAAATCGCATGTCTTAAAGTTCAGCATCACCAGCAAACTTTCTCTGTTTACCCCCAACAAATTAGCGAGCTGACCAAACTACCAGGAGCCTATTAAGGCAGTAAGAACGCCTGTATGCTGCACTCGTATATTCTGCAATGGATAAGTTCCTCCTAAGCCAGGAAGCATCCTCAACGTTAACACTTGTGATTGGCCGTTGTCTCTAGCCCGCCTGCTTCGAAACCTTGACAGGGACTTTCGTGACCGGCTCAACACCATCAACAACCAAATCCTCATGTCTCGGCTCCCCCTTCATGATCGATTCCAGATCCGGGACATCACTATGCTTCTCCCCATCAAAGAACTACACCCTTTCGTTAGCACACACTGTTGTCTGTTCCCTCACAGCGCATGAGACCTCAACATACCTCATCGATCTCTTCCAAAGTCTTCCCTTTCGTCTCAACCCAAAATAACAATACAAAAACAAGTTCAAGCACATCCCAAGCCCCATTGATCATATATGTCTTCCATCCAATAGCATTTAGCGCATGCGGGAACGCGAACGTCACCAGCAAGCCTGCGCCATTGACGATGAATGCGTAAATTGCCATGCCGTTCGAGCGGATGCTGAAGTTCAGTACTTCGGGAGGATATACCATCGTAAGTGGTGTCCATCCAAAAGAGTATGAGCCTTGGAATAGGAAGATTGATGCTACGGTACCGTAGACTCCGGCAGTATTGGTTGAAGTGCCGTAGGCTGTATGGAGACGTTAGTTCCTGTGTCAGAAGGTGGGTAAGAAAGAACATACCAGCTGTGAGACCACCGATCATAAAGATGAACATTGTCAGAAGACCAGTCGACCAGACAGCCAGGGACCTGCGACCCAGGATATCCAGGAGTGATGTCCCAAAGAGGCATATAACCAGACACCAAGCATTGAGAATGATGTTCTACTCAAAAGTCAGCACGCATCGCACCAGAACCAAGGACTTGAGACTCACAATCTCAAGTTGAGTCGTACTATCCGTGATGCCCGCATTCGTTAACATCGTCCCCAAATAATAACTAACAATATTATTCCCACTCAACATCGTAAACACCGCAACACTCAAGCTAAGCATCATCCTCTTCCTAGCACCAGGTGTCTTAACAGTCTGCAGCAGACTCAACGTCTCACCCTGCTCCTTCTCCCAAGCAAGCGTATTAACAATCTCCTGATACTGCACTTTCACAACCGGATCGTCTTTATTGCCGTCTGCGCAAGTAAGAGCAATAGCTTCGATAGCTTCTTCTTTCCGTCCCTTATGGATGAGCCATCTCGGAGACTCTGGGATGAACAGTAGAATGACGATACAGAGGATACTGAACAGACCTTGCAAAGCAGAAGGAAGTCTCCAAGCCCACGTACTCTGCATCCTCGCCGTTCCATACGTAATACCAGCCGAGATCAGGCCCCCGACGTAATAAAAGTCAAAGAACAAACCCAAACCCCATCCTCGCCACTGGGGCTTCAGCGTCTCGGCAATGTAGACTGGGCCAGCTGTCGCACTACCATTCATGCCCAGTCCAATCAAAATGCGGGAGATGACGAACATGGCTATGTTCTGACTGGCTGCTTGGAGGATTGCGGCGAAGATTGTGATGAGTGCTGCGATGAGCATGGCGTTTTTCCGGCCGACACAGTCAGTTACGAGACCGAAGAACATTCCTGCTAAGCAGCCACCGAGCCAGACTGCGGAGGTATTGAGAGCGAGTGTCGTGGTCGTGAGAGAGAAGTAGTCTGTATATGACGGAAGGATGTTGAGTGCGTTCCTGGAAACTATTAGTTGGGCTTTAGAGTGTTTGGGATGTGCATCTAATATTCCATCTGAAAGAGTTCAGACACAGAAGGGTGACATACATCATCGAGCTATCAAACCCTAGAGTCTCGAATAGTGTCAGCATATATTTCCTCTGTGCCTGAGAAGCAACTTGCTGTAGCCATAAATGTCGACGAAACTACAATCAAGACCGACACAGCCTTGCTTGACCTTGGAACCCATTTCGTGCTGGAAGAGAACGACATCCCTTCGCCAGGTACTGTCTCCTCCAAAGTCTCCAAAGTACAACAAAGTCAGGTCAAGCAACTACAACGAAAGTCAACAACCTCAAGCGAGGTGTTTCAAATTGAGAAAACAAAAAGCTACACGACAAAGCAGGACAGACCTGGGACATATACACATATCTAACAATCCACTCCAATACAAATCAATCCCGTCCCAACCTCCAGATAAGAAGCCTGATTTGAACCCACCCGGCCCGCCCAATCCACATTACTCGCAGGCCTCAAATTGAGTTCACAATACTGCACTAAACCCTAAACATGGGGGAAGCTAGGTTGCCTCCGGGCAAGAGTGGATCCAGAAACTGAAGCGAGAAACTCAAAAGTGCCCCTAGGGCCGTCCTTGCACTCATCAAAGACCCTGAAAATATGAGCTTGGCTTCTTTAACTTCATAAAATTTGCGCTAATGCTGACAACTGGTATTCTTTGAGTTGGTCAGCTCCTGTCCTCTGACTCGAGATGGGACGGGATGTACCTAACGGTGCATTTTGAGTTTCGGGTGAGATAGCGGACGAGCCAATTCGCCGGATTCTCGAAAGTCATGGCTGCTAGTAGATAGAGTAAGTTGTATCCGCATGCTGTCGGAATGGTGTCTAAACACCGGAATTTAAGAGTAACAAGGAAGCCTCACGGACGTCTAGCTAGCTAGAACCCTACAGGCATCTCGGGGAGTTTTCTATGCCATACCTTACGACATTATAGTATATTGTACCATTGTTGTCACTGGACAACAAAGCTTTCAATCATTTCTCTATTCATTTATATTTATGGTAGCCTAAAGACATGTTTGTCTCTATTCCCCCACCCCGCTCTCTCCTCCCTCCATCTGGGACTATTTCCAAGATTTATATCTTCTAGATGACCGGCTTTGCATAAAATCAGCGCTTTTGACGACCACCGCAGAGTGGAACATGCAAATCATCGTCACCCAATCGCTCACAAACTCCCACCTCAATTTCTGAATGCAAATCTCATATTTTCTCATCCCCAATTCATCAACACCTGTTTCTTCCCCTTATTCCCCTTCTTCTTTCCCTTCCCCGCTCCCTCACCATCCTCACCCTCCTCTCCATTAAGCCCACCACTTCCACTTCCACCAGCAGCGCCTGAACTCGATCCTGAGCCCACAGCCCAAGGATTCGCCGTCGTGGCAACCGCATTACCTCCTCTTTTTACCATCCCATTCCCATAACCAAAAATCGTACTTTGGGGTTTAGCAGCGGGTGGTAGAGCAGGGAATGCACTACTATCCTTGCCTACATTCCTGCTTGCAGGTCTTGATGACGGTGGTGTAGGACGCGCAGAGGTAGAAGCTGAGTTCGATGCTGAAGCAGAAGATGAAGCTGCCCAGGAAACTGTTGAGATCTTGCCTGTTGGCACGCTGGGTCTGCTTGATGATGATGCTGTTGGAAGACCAGGGAAGGGATTGATGCTCGTGGAGGAAGCAGGTGAGACTGAAGGTGATGCTGTACCCCATGATCGGGTCTGTGAGACTGAGGAGCGAGATGATTGAGCGGTTGATGACTTCAGTTTCAGTACACGGCTGGTCTTGGGTTTTGGTGCGGAGGATGATGAGGAGCTTGATGTGACGGCCCAGTTGAGCGGGATGGAACTGCTGCTACTGCTACTTGCGGCAGGGAGTGACGGGTAATCTTCATTAATGGCACGCCAGCTGTTCCATGCTGTACGAATCGAGTCTGCTTGCTTGGGATCCTCGTAGAGATCCGCCACCTCTCGAACGAGAGTGCCAAGAGCAGAAGACGACGTGTCTGAGAACAAGGCAAAGAAGGAATCGATCAGAGCAGGCGCGGTGATGGCGTTCTTCTTGAAAGAAGAAATGGCACTGCGAAATTGAGAGAGCTTTGTTGCATCATTTTGCAACATGCTACTCGCTCGTTCGACGACAGCTGTATGTCTAACTGCACGTGCATGATCTTGAGGTGACATGTTGGATTGTGATACTTCCGTCGTGCTGACTGGTCGAGGAGCCGTGACGACACTTGACGAAGGTTGTGATATCGTCATTGGTACAGGAGTTCTAGTTGGAGTAGGAGCCGAAGCAGCTGTTAACTGACCTCCGAAAGTACGACCAGTAACAGATTGAGCACTGTGAATAGCCATCTGTCGCTGGAAAGCCTGCTCGTCTCTTCGTAAAGGCTGAGCAGTTGAGGCTGGTATTGCTTCTGCATTCGGATCTCTACCTCTGCCCCGACCACGGCCTTCTCGCTGTTCTCTCTGACTACCACCACCACGTCTCTCCTGTATATATGGAGCTCTGTAATCGAAGGACGAGATATCCACCACTCTCGTATCTCTCCGTACATCCTTTGACAAGGTATTGCCATGCTCTGTCAACTGATGCGCCTTCAAATCCATCTCAGTGGCAAACACAATAAGTTTCTTCTCCAAGCAAGTCGGCTCCCTACAAATCCAATGATCCTTCGTGAAATGCGCAAACAACGCATCGTAGTTGAGAAAGTACTGCGGAGCGCCTCCATTGGTCTCACTACAGATATGACACTTCTCGTGACTATCCCTGCAATGGACATACAGCTCATCATCGCCATAAAATCTTGTCCCACAGAATGAACATAAAGGATGGCCTTTGAATCCACTCTGATCCACCGCACCAGGATTGTCGTCTCCTTTCTTCATATGCTTCGAGAGCTCGGCATCAGTGTACAAATCATGCTCGTGCGTGAAAGTCTTCTTATGCCTGGAACACAGATCACAGATCTTCTTCTTGTGTATCACCCTCACATGTCGATGCAGATCCGGCCAACTGATACAAGACACATCGCAAGTACGTTCCGGACAATTATACTGCAGCAGGAATATTGTGTCCTGTCGAATATCTAAACTCTCGTACTGAATCCCGATATTAGGATCTGTATCAAAGACATCCTCTTTCGTAAAGTCCTCGTACTTCTTTGTCTTGTCGTCCGTAAAAATCACAAGTGGCGCTGGTGTCTTTACCATAATATTAGCTCAAGACATCTCGGAATAATTGGCTGGGGACTACTCACCCGACAATGAGCACAATTCTTGTCCTTATACAGTGCCCGCATTCGTAGGGAACAGACATGACACGTCCGGTGATTACAAGGTGCTATACTCTCATGCTCGATATCCGACGCGCAAATGAAGCACACCTCCGCCTCGCCCTCATCCCCAGCTTTCTCATCCGCACCCTCTGGCCGTTTGTATCTTGCCGCCAGCTCCTGTGCATTCATAGGACTCGGTCTAGGATTTGCTTCTGCTGCTGAAACCGCAGGTCCCATTCTCTGGCCTTGGGTCAGATTCTGGCCTCCTCGTCCACCTCTCCTTGCACTTCCTGCGTTGGCATTGTGGTTCTGGTGTTGAGTCTGCTGGCCGATTTCTCCTCCATTGCCGTTTGCATTTCCTCCTCGCCCTCTCCCCCTTCCTCTACCTTGGCCCCTGCCTCTCCCACCTCTCGAGCCATCGCCCCTCGGTCTCGAAGGCAATTCAGATGTACCAGGGCCAGAAGCAGTAGCTCCCCGTGCACCCGTCGATCCCGCAGCAGCGTCCATTGTGTCAATTGTCTTTTGTACGCCCCTTTCTGTGAGGTCTTTGTTCGTTGGAGCTTTTATTAAGACTACGTTGCTTGGAGTCCTGGCACGTAGACAGTGTCGTTCAGAGGCGTGGGGTACTCTAGAGCAGTTGTTTGCTTGCTGAATGATTTCCTTAGGGGCACCACTAATTTTACAAAGGCCGACGTCCGCACTCAAGCGACCCCGCAGTGACTCCTGTCCGAATTTGTCAGCCTTGTGAACGAGGCTGAGTTGCCTCCTGGAAGATGATAGTCATAAAGAGTCATTTTGAGCTGTCGATATTGCAGGCTGAATCTATTTATGAAAGAAGGTGGCGCACAAGTCCGGGTTCATTTGGTTGGAAATGTGAGTAAGAAGGCGCTCTAATCCGCAAGGAGCCATACCAAAACTCCAAGCGGACGAGAAAGTATATGCAAATATGCTTTGTTCAAATGCATCTTTCAGGTATCGTGCTATGTAAGGTTACAGTCCCGAATATGCATTCGTAGAGTTCATTACCTCCTTTCATTGAATACCGCTACCCATGAGGCACTCCACCCACCCAGGTCCATGTCGGAATCAAAGCCCATTCGTTCATTGCATGCAACGCCGAAGCAGAACCTGCCATACAAGCCGCACCATATCCTATCATTTCGCATTGTAACGCCCTTCCTTCCATGTCCCCTCATTTACGATTTCGTCGCCCTTATTTCGCCTCTCCAAATACTCCAAGCCCCGATCATTCATTGACTATTCCTCCACATCATAGAGTTGCTTGCTGAGGATTTTATTCATGGTAAACATATGTACCTTATCGACCTTGAAAACCGACTGTAGCTTTTCGTCGCAGCGGATCTGTCGCTTGTCGGCTGGATCTTGGAGGTCCCTCGCCTTGATATACTCCCAAATCTTCTTAACGACCTGAGGACGGGACAGCTAGAAATGAACCTCGTTAGTAGAAATCCCTAGGAGACAAGAGTCGACATTGAGGGTAGAAAGAGGCCAAAACATACCGTAGGCTCACCAACCAACTCCGCCAAAGGTGCACTCAAATGGTACTGCTTATGAAAACCTCCCTTCTTTGGCTTCTCCTTGACCTCTCCATCACTGCCCAGCTCTACATCACTATCATCATCCGCCCTGACCTTACTCGCGCTCTTCCTTGGCTTCTTGGGCGTACGCTTCGTCTTGACCACCTTCTTATTGCCAGCACCTCTTGTAGCTCTAGCAGAACGATTTTCAGCCGCCTGCAGCATAGCCGCTAGCTTGGCATCATCCACCGCTGTCTTCTCCTTCTTGACCTTCTTCTTAGGCGGCGCCGCATCTTCTTCAGAGTCGGAGGGAGAGGATTTTATGTCTGCGGAGGCAGAGTCGCGCGAACTGCTGGGTGGTGTTGATTCTTGCTTGACGTCTTTGGTTCCGTGGCCGTTTGTAGATGCCTCTTCGGCGGCGCGAGTAATAGCATCGAAGTGGTTGAACCGGACGTGAATGAGGTCGGAGATTGGGCCCTACATTGACATAGATATCAGCTGTGTTCGTTTTTTCTGCGAAAAGAAATGCAGAACTCTGCATAAGCTTAAGCGTACCTTTTTGTCTGATATGTCCTGATTTAAAGCAGCCTGCAATTGCTTGCGAATCTGCTTGGCCGAGATGGTCTGGAGGTCGCTCTTTTTGAGAATGCCATCGATGATAGCAGTGTACTGCGCCGTTTCAGCGGGGAGTACTGTATTATGTTAGCTAAGGCATTGCATGGTAGGAATGCGCCCAAGCTGGAGTTGTGGTTCTTACAAGACATCTTCCCTGTTCTGAGGTATGCAGTCTTGTCTCCGCAATGCCACCAAGGTAATGAACCAGTTGAATACAAAGTAGGAAGGGAGTCAGGTTCGTTCCTTCTAAAGGCGGCCGTGAAACTGAGGTGCAGAGGCCTGACTCTTGGTGTTGCGACAGCAAGCTGGCGGTCCAGCAGTGTCTCAAGCCACGGATTAGGAGAGAACAAAAGACAGTTTCAGGAGTTGGATTCGCAGAGAAGACTTCCAGAAGAAATACTGCTAGCCAGTAAGTGTCCTGGTAAGTAAAGTGAAGTGTGCAAGTAAGGTGACTGCTCTCAAGGTGGTTCCCGCCAACAAGCTATCCCTTCAAAGGCTGGGAAGAGGGAGGGGTCAACCGCCAGTTTCGTAAATGAGTCCAGTTTTCTCTCTCCAAAAGATGGAAGAACAAAAGATCGAATGACAAGTCGCAGGTTCTTTTTGTTGCGAGAGGTTGCAATGTGGTTTTGGTGGCTCAATGGGTGGTGTGCGTTGCCGTGGTCTTCTTGCAGGTGAAGTGAAGGTGAAATAGCTACGGGATGCGCCACGACTAACCGTGCCGACCTGGGGCTGCGGTCCTGGGAGACGAAGCTTGGCAACAACAAAGTCAATATGTTTTGAGAACACAGCGCGCATAACAGGAAGATGAGAATGATGATCGGAAGAAATATGTCCTGTTTTTACGCCAAAGTTGGACGGAGTAAGCTCTTTGCCCTCATCTCACCTAATGATGTGTCTAGAACCAATTTAGCCACTTTGCCAAAATTCTAGACCTGGCCAGGAATCGACGAATGTAGCCTGCACCACAGGGTTTTCAGCCTCACTTCTCCTCTTGTGATCACAGTTGAAATTTAGATCATGAAAGCGCTGTATTCGCTGTAGCAGAAAGCTGCCAGGTATCGTCCAAAAACAAACAGTCAATCATTAGGGTCAATCATAAACCAACTACTTATACAAGGTCGTCCTATCTTCCAACTATTTTTGAAATCCGCAATAAAACCCCAAAAGCTCAAAGACCAGCAGGCAAATAGTACTCCCTAAAACGATCCGTTTCATCCCATTCCACTTGATAAACCAATTCCCAGCAGACGATCAATAAATTTGGGAAACGTCTTGTCCAAAAACTCAGATATCCATCCGGCAATGGGCCAACATCTTTCTTCAACTTCTCACTCATATCTTCGTAGTGATTTTTCTTATTTCTCAGAGCACGCAACAGATCCAGAAGTCTGGTTCCTGTATATTTTCTCTGCTTGCCCATTGACTCAACAAAGTCCTTGCCCAAGTGCTTGAGAAAGTCTTGACGACAGACGTAAGGGGCCTGCTTCTCTAATTCTGCCAGAGTGAAGGATGGAGGATCACGCGGCTCTTTCTCAAAGTGGTCGGAGACGTCGCAGAGGAAGTTGAGACGCTTCTTTGGCGACCAAAAGAATGGATGTGCCATAACTTGACGCGCTTGCGGTCGTTGTTTTGGATCCGCTTGGAGCATAGAGCCAATGAGATCTTTCGCCTCAAATGCATAATCCCCGAGAACTTCAAGAGGAGCGAGGTTGTACTGTCCCTTTCGAATGTTGACTTCGCGCATAAACTTGTCGCCGCAATCGAAAGGATGAGAGCCTTTGGTCAGGACGTAGAAGAAGACCAGGCCAAGCGAGAAGATGTCGATGGCACGTGTAGCTCTGCGGTTTGGAAGCAGATCTGGATTGAGCAGGAGGGATCCAGAGTTACCATCAGTGCTAGCATCAACCATTGCTTGATGAGCCCGACCATCCTTGGCATCGTCGTCGAGGAGAAGTTCTGGAGCGCGCCAGCCCGAAGTACCTGCAGCGTGCGCTGTTGTCGCACGGAACGATGATTGTTCGCCCTCTAACTTTTTACAAAGGCCGAAATCAGAAACAAGAAGCCTGGGTTTGCCATCCTTGCCCATCGCGACAAGGATATTTTGAGGTTTCAAGTCTCGATGGACGATTCGGAGCTTGTGCAAATGCTGAAGACCGTTGGTGATCTGATAGAGAACGTTAGGTAAGTCTCTTTCACCAGCCTGTGCCAGATCACGGTTGTTTTGAGGCTTGTCGATGACATCGGCAAGAGATGCTGGGCACAACTCCAATGCAATGTAGAGGAACTCTCCCGCGCTTTGTTGGGCATAGTAACGAATGACTGTGACGATGTTAGCATTGAGCCAAAAGAGCATGGACGGTGGGGAGTTACCATTTGGATGGTCATCACTTTCTCTTAGAAGCTTGGTTTCTTGTGATGCAATATCGAAAAACTGGATGAGCATCCGCTTAACGGCAACATCACGTCCATCGAAATTACCCTGAAAGACTAATGTGCCATTACTACCAGTCCCGATGAGTCTGTCAGTGTTGACTTCAAGAGCTCCAATTCGTATGATTGGTCCAGAAACTTCTTGAGGGTCGCTTGGTATTGTACGGATATCAGGCTCAAGTTGAGGTTGCTGACCGAGCTTCTGAGCATTTCGAACAGCATCTTCAACAGTTGGCGGAGGTTTTGGTGTTACAATTCCATCATCCGATGCACCTTGAGAACTAGCTCGGCCTTTCTTGTGCTTGACACCCCCACGGCGACCTCGATGTGCCTTTTTGGTTTTCTCTTTCTCCGGACTTCCAGGTGGCTTTTGATCTGCTGGAGTCTCAAGATTTGTGATTGGTGGCAACTTGTCTGCCGCCCCATTCGGAGCGACTGTTTCTTTAATTTCGACCAATGGCACGTCGGATGGTCCGCCCAGAGAAGGTACGTCCAGAACCTCTCCCTCGGGAACGGCTGGGAGACGGTCACCGAGATCAGATGTCTTAAGAACGACACTTTGCGATTTCCGATCGACTTTCTGGTCCCATATATCTGACATGCGACCGATTTGTGTGCGAACCTCTCTTTGTTTACTGATAACAAAGACCGCTATCAGACAATAGAGGAGTGGATTGTGGAAGAAGTCCCGCAGATAATTGAATGCTTGGCGAGGGAGTTGACGTAGAAGTTGCGGGAAGGTCAGATCCCCAAGTATGTCGACAGCATTTTCAACTGGCGCCGATATATCGCTGTTGTTCTCCTCCGTATACCCAGATATGGTCAAGGGGTTGACAATCTGGGCAACTTCAATAGAGTGTAGCCCAACCAGCGCCTCTGAAAGTCGATCATGATCCATGACATCCCATTGAGGATGGTGATCCAACCAGCTTTGTTGATTGCATTGCGCTGGCCTAATACCTCGAACAGCCAAAGGATAGGCCTTTCCCGACATAGCAAACCAGCTTCCATCCTCGGTATGATTGAGGAAGATGCTGCTGGCTCTCTCGTTGAGCGAAGTCACGTCCTCATTGCTTGGTGGTAGCGGTTGTGGCAGCAGAATCAGATTAGGATCGCCTTTGTCAACACTCCACGGTCTAGCCACGTCAAACACACGTACCACTGGAGTGGAGAATTTGTGATTGAACATTCGTCTAGGTTCGTTAAGATCTCTTCTGTCATAGTCGAACCCGAGTATCCCTCCGTCGTGCCCAGTGTAAATATACTTGTTGTCGAGGGATTTGTGGTGCTGTCGTTGCAGATCTTGATCAAAGTTGTTCGGACCCCATTCCGAGAATGTGAGGGTGGTGATATGTCGTCCATCTTCATACCCATGAATTGTGACTTCATACTCTGTTCTACCCAGGGTCAATGTAGCCACTTTAGGACACTCTTCTTCCGAATCCATTCGGCCATCTGAAGCCTTGCAATTCTGGTTTCCCATGGCACCTTGTGAGCCAAAATAGCTTATCACATTCCCAGTGTTTGCATCAACGGTGACCATGCTCGTCTTCTTCCCACCATTGTATACGACTTCCATGGTTTCGTCATAGTATGGCGTCTCTTCAACCAACCCTTTGATTGTAAGACCAGTGTTTATCAACCCGCGGCCGGGTCCACTGGGAATGTACAGGAACAAATTACCATCTCGACTCGGCTCGACAATCCACAAGTACTCGTCAATCGATTTTGGGTCGTAGTTCGGGTCGGCCGTTGATCGGTTTCTTCGGTGGTACTCGGTTTTCACCATGGGCATCTCCACGGACAGATGCCACTTCTCCCTGCCAGTCTTCCTCTCCCTGGCATGTAACTTCCCATCGACGGTCGCCAGAAGCACAAAGTCTTCTACTTCCCAATCCTCAAGACTCCGCGCAATGTGCGGCGAGCCAAGCCCAACCGTAGTATGGAGGGGCCGTCTTGTAGGAGGTGCTGCAACGGCAGATTTTGCCGGAGCCAAAGTTGCGATGGCGCTCGCATCGTTAATATTGTTGTTGTTGATCTGCACACCCTTATTGGGGGCTATGGTGTTCTTGCGTTTCCCATAACTGGCAGGTGTCTCCACGGAATGAGGTATCTTAGTCACCTCGATCCTATTGTTGCCTTCATGAGGTGACTCGTTCCGCCGGACCGCGGGTCGCTGCTGCTGCTGAGCGTCGACAAGCCATGGTAGGAAGAGGATGGCCGCGGCTAGTAGTATGAAGTTATTGACGTGACCATCTCGAGGAGGCCGCCGTCGCGGCATTGTGGACCTTCAACGTTGCTGCTGGGGTGGAAGACAGAACAAAGTCTGTCTGGAAGCGATTGGAATTTGATTGAAAACGTCGTGAGATGGAGTGAAAGACGGGCTGCTCGTCGTCGTCGTCTCTATCGATGATGAAAACGTAGGATCAGAACCCCTCGGGGGGTGAAGGGAAGGACGTTGGATCGATATTAATAACCGTTGGATGTACTGCGAAGTCGTCACGGTTGTTGTGTTTCAGGAGAATCGATGGAGGTTCGGCAGGCTTCGACGCACGTAACTTTAGCTCCGGGAAGCAAGGAGCAAGGAGGTGCGGGGCTGGTGGCAGGACTCTCGTTTCGGGCTCAAAGGCAAAAATAAAAAAAGGCTGAGCAAGACGACGACGACGGGAGGTTACTTTCAACGGAAGATGGCGCGCCTGGGAAGGCCGGAAAGGAAGGCCACACAACGAAAGTATCCAACAGGTTAATTGCAACAATTGTCAAGTGGCGATCGATCAGCCGGCGCATGGGCATTGGTGCTATTTGAACATTTGACACAGGGCGAGAGCGAGAAGGGTCAACTCTGGTCCGTCAGCTTATTGCATCTGGTCTGTGGGATGTGATTCTGTTATCACGCTACATTTGTGCCACCACACTTCCTGATTCGTCTTGTATTACGCTTTCCTCGGCTGGACCTGCGAGTCGTCGGTTTCGCTCCCACTGGTCTTGTTCTTGCGCTGCAAGGGGGCTATGCTTTGCGCGGAAACGTCTAATTCACTCATGCCAGGAATCAGGGTAGGAATGTAAAAAATCTTATAAGGTGGTGTGGAAAGAACGTCTCAAGGTCAAGGTTGAGTACAGTAATCGATGCTGCTTCTCGGCAATTCACCTGTGTTCAGATGGCACAGGTCGTGTGAGCACCGGGTGAACGAAACTTGGTCCCTGAGCTCCTCGTACCACAAAAACGAATATGGGGCAAGTGTGTGATTGGATCGATGGAACATTCAAAGGGATCTTCAAGGGAAATGCGTTTGTGCCGAGTTCCTGGTGCTGATCCAGCCCTGTTATGCCGCAGTGAAACAGTGTTGCAAATCTTTGTCCGCTAGAGAATGCCCTTGCTGGAAGATTTCGAAGTCATTCCATTCATTATTGAGGCTGCAATATGATCTATGGTATGGTACAACGCTCGTAACTTTTCCCCATTTCATAATACAGAGAACTCCGGCGCTATTCGTTCATCAAATCACCTTTCGCGTCTCCGTGGTGCACTACGGATGATATTGTCCACTCTCAATAGAAGCTATCAAAGTGTTAGCACTGTCTTTGATACAGTCAGAGGCGAAACTTACTTCAGCAGCTTCGGATGCAGATGAAACAACAGCCTTCTTGAGCTTGTAACTCTCAATCACTCCAAGCTCACGCATGTCTGTGATACCACCCCCTGGAGTAAGCAAATCCAAACCGTACGTAGTCATGCCATCGTAAATGGCAGTTCTGAGCTTCGCAACAAGATCACTAGAGTCATAACCTGCATTGTCGGCGAGAATGGTAGGTAATTGACGGAGAGCAATAGCAAATGCTCCAACAGCAATTTGCTTCTTTCCGTCAACCTTCAGAGCGGCTCCCTCGACAGCCTTGGCCATCAACATCTCAGCGCAACCACCTCCCAAAGTAGTTCTTGGCTCCTTGACAGTTTGTGACAGAACTGCTAGGGCATCATGAAGAGATCGCTCAGCCTCATCTAGAAGCTGCTCAGTTGCTCCACGGAGAACAATAGTGCAAGCCTGACCAGCTGCAACGCCAGAAAACTTGATCAAGGTATCCTCACCAATGATCACTTCCTCGATGAGGTCACAGTGACCGAGCTTTACTTGCTCTGGGTGGTCAAATGTTGATGTAATGTCTCCACCTGTAACCAGAGCCAGTCTCTCTATCCCATCGAAGTCTGCATGCTCAATAGACATAATTCCAGCATCCGAGAAAAGCTGCTCGGGCCAGTTGTAAATAAGTTGACGATTGATGAAGCAGTTGATGCCATGTGCTTTGATCTTCTCGACCTTCGCCTTCATCTTGTCCTTCTCCGCCTTCTCTAGCTCAGCAAGCTTTCCTGTCGAGGTAACCTTGACCCGAGCGCCAAAGATCTTAATTTTGTCCGTATCCATAGCAGTATTTGCGATCAAGATCTTGGCTTTCTCTAACCGCTTCGGTTGGTTCACACCGATTTTCTTGTCCAGAATGAAGCCTTCGTCAAGGTATGAATCCATAAGCTTTCCGCCGGCCTTCTTGATGATCTGGATGTGGCTGAGATCGGAAGAGCCCTTCAAACGCAGGACAGCATCGCAAGCCAGCTCTGCAAAATGGTTTCGGTCTTGCGACAAGACTTTCGAACTCAGAGTCGTCCTTGCAATAGCTAATAAATCTTTCTTGAAAGCCTCGGGGTTCTTGCTGTGGTCCACCGCAGATTTCTCCAAAGCTGCCAGCGCCGCATGGCTTGCTATTCTGTATCCTTCGATAATGGTCTGTGGATGGATCTTCTTGTCCACCAACTTCTCTGCCTCTCGTAACAGCTCTGCAGCTAGAACTGTGACTGATGTGGTTCCGTCTCCAACTTCATCATCCTGGACTTTTGAGATATTGACGAGAACTTTGGCAGCAGCATTATCGAGTGCTATCGATTTGAGGATTGTTGCGCCGTCATTAGTTACCAATATCTCCCCTGTCGAAGCACTTTGGAGGATCTTATCCATTCCCTGAACAGCCAGTTAGCAGGCGTGCAGGTTTATCTGGGCGAGTCGGCAGCTATGGGGAAAATACCTTTGGACCCAATGTTGACTTCACTAAATCTCCAACAGCGATAGCACCCACTACAAGCAAAGTATCAGCACATATCTCTTACACGTAGCTCGCAACAAATATATAAGCCTTAAATCTGCATCATATTGGCATCTGCCAGCTTTAAGAGAGCTTCTAGAAAGCGGCGTCAGGAGAGCTTGCGGAAGCTCTCTACCCTGGAGGATTGGGCTTACCAAAAGCCGAAAGACGAGCATTCTCTCCCTTCTCCTCAGTAGTTCCATCGTCGAAGATCTGGGTAGGATTGAAGGACGCCATGATTATGGATGTGTTGTGTTGATATTGTGAGGTTGGCTCGGTATCGAGGCAGCTTCAGGCGCGTCCTCAGAGTCCCTAAATTTTCGCGCGACAGAGTCTCGCCTAAATTCCTAGCCCACCACACCACCGCAGGGCTACGGACAAATGATACCTGGATGTCGATTTTTCTTGAATACTGGCGCATTTGACTCCACGACTGACTCACTGTCTCACTCACAATAACTCTGCTGCCTGCTGAAGGGACTTAAAAGCGATATTCCCGCCGAGAAGTCTGCGAAAACGCTAGCCTGACCCGACTTCGCGATCCCACACAAAAAAAGCCCGCCGACGAGGGGTAAAAATCTACAATCCACGAAGACAAGTCACAAAATAGATACAGACAACGAGAGAGGAGGCCACCTAAATCGCAATCATGGCGCCGAGCTTTGATCACCTACCAGATCCAGAGGAGGAGGATTACGATGAGGATGAGGAACTTGACTTTTCAGATTTGCGAGAGAGATTTGAGGTTCAGCTTGAGCAAGGATTGGACGCATTTGTGGTCATCGATGGACTGCCAGAGGTTACGGAAGAGACAAAGCCAAAATTGATCAAGTTCTTGAGGAGGAAACTGGAGCCAGTCGGAAAGATAAAGGAGGAGTCGATTCACATGCCACTGGATTCCTTCGGAAAGTCAGAGAAGTAGGTCTTGACCTGTGCTGTGCCTTGACCTATAAATACTGACAATCCCCAGGTTTGCGTTTGTTGAGTACTCTTCCCCAGCTGAAGCCGTCGCTGCATGCAAGCAACTCGATGGTGTCCCTCTCGATAAGAAGCACATCCTTAGAGTAAACAAGTTGACGGATATTGAGCGATTTGGCCGAGAAGGACGAATTGATGAGAACTATACAGCTCCGAAGATCGAAGATTTCCAGGAGAAGGAGCATTTGCGATCATGGCTGGCAGACCCAAGTGGCCGTGGACGGGATCAATTCGTTATGTACAAGGATGATAGAGTTCAGGTCTTCTGGAACAACGAGAAGGATGCGCCAGAGAGCATTGTAGACCGACAGCACTGGACCGAATCCTTCGTACAATGGTCTCCTCTAGGCACATACCTTACTTCTATGCATCAGCAGGGTGTTCAGCTCTGGGGTGGCCCATCTTGGATCCGACAAAAGCGATTCCCTCATCCATTTGTCAACTTGGTAGATTTTTCGCCCAACGAAAAGTACATCACAACCTGGTCAAATCGCCCAATCGTTATTGGAGAAGAAGGTCATCCAGCGCTGTCTGTTGATGATGATGGAAAGAACTATGTTATTTGGGATATCGAAACCGGCAAACCACTCCGATCATTCGCAAACCTTGACCTTCCAAGCAACTCAGTTGATGAAGCTGGTCAGCCAGTAAAGCGGAAGGTTGTCTGGCCAGCATTCAAATGGTCGGCTGATGACAAGTATGTTGCGCGATTGACACAAGGTTCGTCGATCTCAGTCTACGAACTGCCCCGTATGGGTCTTCTCGACAAGACATCAATCAAGATTGATGGTGTCATGGAATTTGACTGGGCACCTGCCACGCCAAGAAGAGAAGGTGTCAAGACCTACGAGCAACTTTTCTGCTTCTGGACTCCTGAAATCGGCAGCAACCCAGCCAAGGTTGGATTGATGAGCATCCCCTCCAAGGAAATTGTTAGAACTCTCAATCTCTTCAGCGTCACTGATGCAAAGCTTCACTGGCAGTCAAATGCCGACTACCTTTGTGTCAAGGTCGACAGACACTCGAAGTCAAAGAAGTCCCTAGCAACCAGTCTTGAAATCTTCCGTGTCCGTGAGAAGGGAGTACCTGTTGAAGTTGTTGATGGTATCAAGGACACCGTCATCAATTTTGCTTGGGAGCCCAAGGGAGACCGATTCGTCATCATCACCACAGCCGAAGTTGTCGCACCTTCAGCTGTTCCACCTAAGACATCAGTTGCATTTTACTGCCCAGAAAAGGTCAAGGGTGCAGGTGTTGGTAACTTCAAGCATATTCGAACCTACGACAAGAAGAACAGCAACGCCATCTACTGGTCGCCCAAGGGTCGCTTCGTCATCGTCGCAACTGTTCACTCGCAACAAAGTTTCGACATGGAGTTCTTCGATATGGACTTTGAGGGCGAGAAGCCAGAAAGTGACAAGGAATTGACTGCCAACTTACAACTCATGAACACTGCTGATCACTACGGTGTTACCGATATTGATTGGGATCCAACTGGCCGATTCGTCGCTACCAGTGCATCGATTTGGAAGCACGCGGTATGTTTCTCTTTACATGATTTGACATTCATATAGCTAACGCATAAACAGATGGAGAACGGTTACCACCTGTACGACTTCAAGGGCGAGCAACTCCGCGAAGAGCCAGTCGAGAAATTCAAGCAATGGCTCTGGCGCCCACGCCCAGCAAGCCTCTTGTCCAAGGAAGAGCAAAAGCAGATCCGCAAGAACCTCCGCGAGTACAGCAAAGTCTTCGACGAGGAGGACAAGGACCGCTTCGCATCGGCCGATCTCGCAGTCGTCGAGCACAGACGCAGACTACTCAACGAATGGCTTGCATGGAGAGAACAGATCACCCAGGAAGTCGCCGAGGAGAGAGAAGCTCGTGGCCTTCCACTCGATCCCATCGAAGGTCTTATTCAGAAGACCGACGAGAGCGAGGACCAGGTTATCGAGGAGATTGTCGAAGAGATCGTGGAGGAGACCGAGGAGATCATGCCATGAGAATTTTCTGGGCTGTTGTTACTGTAGTTTTTCCATTTCATTGCCAACCTTCTCAGGAGTTTATTTACTTTCTTGCATTTCTGCACGCCTACTTGCCTGGGGTCTTCATGCTTTGGGCTACGCTATGCAATGCCGAAGGTGGGATGCATACTTGTCCATGAAATAGAGATGCCAGCTATGAACTGAGGGGATGACATGAGTGCGTAGATCATTCTAAAAGCATAGCAATGCAGAATCAAAGAAAGTATGAACCATGACTTTGTCTCGTTTTCTTCGTTATGTCCTGTGCAACCTATCTAGATATCCTTACATGGACTTCCTTCACTGATGACCATCCATAATAAGTCCTCCAATCGCAGATATCAATTCAACAACACCACGATGTGCTTCAAGCACGTAATACTAACCATCACGGATCTCTCCTTCCCACTCACGTGTTGCTACAGCTCCATTTAAACCCGATCTCACATCTCAAAGTTCAAGCTTCTCTCATCCTATCCTTCCTCATCTACAACAAATTCTCACAGCTCATCATTCCACACTTCTTTTCAATTTCCTCAAACTGTAGTAATTAGAAAGTGAAGATGCCGCCCCTGGCTACAATCGGTATTCTTTCTATTGGAGAAATGGGCATGAGCTTTGCGAAATTGCTCGTTGCGCATAATTACCGTGTAGTTACGAACTTGGAGGGTCGAAGGTGGGGTTGCATATTTGATTTATTTTGATGCTATTCAGGTGCTTTGCTCTGCCAACTTTATTCTCGAAAAATTCTCTTCTAGGGCCGCCATCTTTTTGTGGAGTTCCGCTCTTGCTTTTGTGACAATTTCTTGAGTGTCGAAATCTGCATGCTACGGAAGGACACAAGGGGCTAGATTAAAGGTTTTCCCGACTATAGCAGGTCTCAAGAGATGAAAGGCCATGATGCTGTCTGCTGTACTTTTTTCCTGCTTCTACTGGACTTCATCCCAATACCTGTCAAGATCATTCGCTACAGGCTTGAGCAGGAGCAGTGATCCGAGCTGACGTCTTCTAGTGCAGAAACACAAACACGCGTCAAAGCAGCTTCAATTGAAAGCCTCCCCAGCGACACATCTCTAGTCACGGAATCAGACTACATCTTCTCAATAGTCCCACCTCGAGACGCAGTCGCCACCGCAAAACGCATCACAAGCGCCTTCGCTGCAATATCTACTCCTAGATCAGCGCCACTCTACTACCTAGACCTCAATGCCATATCACCAAACAGCGCCCGCTCAATAGCGACACTTATCTCAACCGAGGCACCCGAAATCAAGTTTTTAGACGGTGGCATTATCGGCGATCCTCCATCCAGGAAAGACGCCTCAGCTCAGCCTACTACGACATCCTCTAATCCACCCACATCTCACACATGGAACAGACCTTCCGTCCCAGTCTCAGGACCTGATCCTCTCTCTGAAGCTCCAATATCGGGCCCAACTCTCGAAGCTTTGTTAAACGTCAAACATATTTCTTCCGAGATTGGCCCCGCTTCTGGTCTGAAAATGTGCTTCGCAACAACAACGAAAGGATTTACAGCTCTCTGTATCCAAGCCTTCACTACTGCCTCACGCCTCGGCGTCCTCAATGAACTCAAAAGCGAGATGTCAGAGCGTATTCCTGGACTATACAAAGCCAGTGGCGGGGTGGTCAACATGGCGCCAAAGGCTTACCGATGGGTGGAAGAGATGAAGGAAATTGGACGGACGCATGGAATGGATGGTGGGTTTGATTTTGAGGGGAGGGATGGTGATAGAGGGATTTTCGACGCTGTGGGAGAGGTTTATCGGGTCGTTGCTGATGAGACTGTGTTGGGTGAGGAAAAGACGGAGAGGCGGAAGAGGGGTCGGACGGTGGATGATGTTGCTCTTGCTGTAGGTGATGGATTGGCTGCTAAGAGAAAGAAGGATGAGTGAGGTTTGACGAATTTATAGAAGTAGATTTAAGCTGATTCTGTCTGTTGAGTAGGCATTCTCTTCCAAATTCCTCCTGCTCTTGAACACTGCTCCCGAACACCAACGCAGTGAAGCCTAAGCATTATCCGTAGGTTGGTATGATCTTGGATTTCCAGCTTTCTCGTACCCTCTTTAGTCTAGGCCGCCGACTTTCCCACTGCCAAAACTAGTCTCTGAGCCACACCATAACAGCCCTCTTCAAAAGACCGACAAAGCTGCAAGGCTGAGAAAGGCGGTCCTGCGTGCTTACCACCTCTTCTTTAGGACTAGCGTTTTGCAGACCACCTTCGCTTAGGTACAGCTCTTCTTCACCTTACCACTTGCCAACGACTCTCCCCAGCGCGGTGACCAGCTCTTACCTACTCACCTTCTTACTTCATCAACTTAAGCCCACGTCAATTTTACAAACCGTATTTTCCTCCGCGGCAGTCCCATTCGACAAAGCATTTCGGATCCAGTTGAAGTTGTCATTACTTCTTCCAATTCACAACTTGAATCATCACAATGCCGCAAGCCTCATTTAGCGAAATAGGTAGCGATTATACCTTTCTTCCTGGTAGTTTTGTACTTGCTAATGCATTGATTCAGACATGAATGATCCCACGACTTTGGCATTCTACCGACAGTTGATTATTTTTGAACATGACCATTCGAGGCCGGAAGTGCTCTTTCCCAATCCCTCAAAGGCAGAACAACGAGCCATCCAAGCTCTCTCACACAGCTTGGATCTGGTGTATGAATATACGCTGCAGTCTAAAAGCGCAAGGGTCGTGAGACAGCTTTCTGATGACGCGCAACCACCATCCCCGAACCAGGAAGCTGAGCCTCGGGCCGCGGAGGAGTTCCAAGACCAGGACTTTGATCTATCTGGATTCGACTTTTCTACAAGCCTGGATGAAATGCTCGCGGGTATATCAGATGCTCCGCATGGCATTTGCGCCGATGAGTCAACGGAGCTACCTTCATTGAGACAGGAACCGTCTTATTCACAGCCAACATCCACTTGCGCGACCTTCCCATCACATTCGTCTCTATCTGAGGCGTGCTATTCCTCGTCTCCCTTCTGGGACCCCATGCTGTGGGCCAGTCAATCATCTCCTGGGGATTCTGGTATCTCACCAGGTCTGGAACTTCCTTCGCTGAATCCAGACATCGCATGTGCGGCATCACAATCAGTCTCACACGACCCCATGCTAGCCGTCACAGTAAGTCCATCAAACCTTGTTAAACAAAAGATTGACCAGGCCCATACACCCTCTCAGCGTGAACGCCAGCGTGCATACCGGATTGCAAAACTTGCTGGTCTAGAGCGTGTGTCGAGCACCAAAAGCGAAGCTGAAGGATCCATGGTTTTCAATAACTCGGCTGAGGATTTTATTGATGAACCAAGTTACAGTCTGCACCCAGGCGGGAGTAGGTCCGGTTCAGTCAGTAGCGTTCAAAGTCATCGCAGTTGCCGCCCTCAAAGCCGAGTTCAGAAGATTTTTCGACGACAGAGCAGTGTAAACAGCACTGCAAGCTCAGGTTATCGGGAGATCATTTTCGATTCCAGTTCTACGCATTCAGCTGGTAGTGGAAGCTCATTTGGATCTGCGGCTTCTGGCCGGCGTACACCACTCTCAGAAATTGCACGTGCTGGCTATAACATCATGAGAAAAGTTGGTGCATGCTGGAGATGCAAGTTCCTCAGAAAAACAGTCAGTTGCACCCTGCGATTAGAATTTCTCTAATGCTATTCAGTGTGATCCACGATCACCGTGTGCCATGTGCCCCAAAAAGAGCAGTCAACATGGGTGGATGGCAGTGGGTTGCCAACGCGGCTCCTTCGAAGCCAGAGAATACCTCTGCCTGGCACGGACAGCAGAATCTGAATATGAGGACCTATCAGGGTATGACCTGAGCGAAGCCGATGTGGATTTGCTGAACAGATTTCATTCGTCAGGAAACGAACAGCGAACCAAAGACCTAGCTGAGATCAAGAAGGCGGGGCCTAGACTCGCGAAATACGACTGCTTCCAGGACACTCCTTTGTGTGAATTGGTTAATGAAGTTATTGGACAGTTATGCAACTCGGAGGGAGACCTCGCCAACTTTACGCCCATTGATTAAATGCTTGTTGGATATCATCTGGGAATGGTTGGATCATCCACCTTCTTCAGCATCTGCGACTGATCTGCGAATGATGGTTACGGTTCTGTTCGAGGCTATAAAATATCAAGATAAGTACTGGGGCCAAAATCAGAGTGTGAGTTCTTCCTACCCAATTGTATCTGCCGAATGCTCAGGCTCACGTTCAGGATCAACTGATCGCACTATCTCTCATCTGCTGGCGCAGTTGTCTCGAAGCTCTAAGGGTCAGATATCGCATAAACCTCGATGAGCAACCAAAACACTCTCGATGCACATCGCGAAATTGTGAGATTGTATGTATTGAACAAGTCAACTCAAGCATATCACTCTACTCAAAGGAACTTTCACGTGTGTTTTTCAGCAAAGAGAGTATGCGTAATCGGAAACCTTGGTGGCTGTCGGCTTTTTATAGTTTCTACATTCAGAGCTTCGTACGTAAAGCTTTGATCGTTCTTGGGGAAGACTTCTGCCCGGCAAGGCATTCTGTAAAACAATACCAGCAACTTCAAGTCAGGCTGTTCATTGCCAGTATGGGCACTTACGATCCAATCTCGGAACCCGACCCAGATCTCAGTGGTGCTATCGCCAGAGAATTTGAGAGTGCACGACTAGCCGTTCGAAAGGCGACTTGGGCTGACTCTGGGATACGGTCGTCGGCCGACTATTTGAAGATGCTCTATGAGGACGATGGAGAGCCGATGGACCCGCAAGGGAACCCTCTGTTAATCACGAGGACTTCGGCTTTGGAGAATATGTCTACATGTGAAGATTGATATATGAAGGACAACTCTGTCTCGAGTACTCTATCTCAACACCGTATCTATCAAGGAATGTGCGCCAACCATGCTATGTAACCCACCATTTAATGCAACAATCTATACCAAACCACCGAGCCGGAAATCAAACATGCATCCCGCCACACAAAAAAGTCAAACCTTCTTGGCCCTTCAGTCACCAAATGACAATACTACAGCTCCAACTAAACAACCGTATCGACAGTGCACACCTGCCAAGCCTTATCTTGGATCAAGCCTTCGGCATGTGTTCTGATAGTTTTGCAGCAAGCAGGAGTTCCAGCGTTGCGCTCGGTATCACCACAGGTGAATTGGGTGAGGCCACTTGGCTCTGCGAAGCTCTTGAGTTGCGTTGTCACCTGCGAGTCTTCTTAGAGAGGTTTGAATTTGGGAACAGAAAGGAAATGTACCATCTTTGCAGTCGCCATTCTCGCGGAACTCGTGGCAGCACGTGCCGAATAGGGGCAGGCCGTCGTTGTTAGGAGCGCACTTGTAATATGTTAGCTTGAGATCTTTGATGGGGAGACTTCTGTTCTCAACTACCCGGAAGACTTGGACGTCTGGCACAGCGCGAGTCTCAGTCCGGCTCAGGGTGGGGAGAGCCAAAGCACAGGCTGCGAAAGCAAGGACGTGGAAGACGAGAGTAGATGCGAACTGCATTTTAACGGTTGTGTGTTGATCTGAAGAAACACTTGGAAAAGAAAAGCTGTTTGAAGATATTGGAATGCGAGGATGTGAAGTGTTGAGTCGATTCTTGTTGTTGCGTAAGGAAGATGATGACGCTGATGAATGAGATGGACTGGAATATGAGACGAAAACTCCAACATTTATGAACACCACTGAAGCTCTATTTCGAGCTCGAAATGTGCCTTGCAGCAACTTTAATTCTATATTTACATTTAGGGTAAGCGACGAGGGTAAGCGAAGCTCGAGGAGGCTGAGGGAGCTCGCTTTCGCTCTCCGCACTCCAGCCTCATCTCACTTCCAAGCGTAAGTGACCACTCAGAAGAGGATGTTCTATTAGGTGGATCTTGAGGTGTAGAGCTGTGGCCGGAAAATTCGAGTGATCAATGAATCCTTGGCTACACAAACAGAACGATATTGAGGCTGGTGATGCCAACGCGCAGCAAGTCGGCGGGCACCAGACGCAAAGTTGAGCTTTCATAATGGACCAATACTCTCCAGCTTCGAGTACCTAGGAAATGTAGATATTCTTCCATAGACTTCCATGTCGTCTGCGACCCCAGAACTACGCGCACTTGACACAGCAGTCTAGGCACAGCGAGGTGTACCTGAATAATTAAGAATCAGACAAATACCAGGATGGATCCTTCTAGAGGTGGAGTATTATTGCTGATGTACCGATTTCTTCTAATCTCTTGCAGCCATTGGTAATGTTTGTGCGAATACGATGAGAGCTCGCGATACGCTCCGGAACCTTCGCGCATCTGACTGGCACAGAATCTTGCTGGACAGTGAGGCTTACCATAAAATTCGTCGTCCTTAAACTCTACTGGGTCGGAATCCTTTGATATCTTGAGCCTAGTCGATGAAAGAATGTTCAATTGGGCCTACTTATGTGGCTTGTACGTGGAAATGGTTCGCCTCCTCCCTTCAACGCCTTTCCACCGTGAGTAGATTGGCGACTGCATGCTCAACCAAATGCTAACAAGCAAACATGAAAACGAGATTCTGGTTCGTGACAGTTAGACATACCTTGAACTGGATCATTTGTAGTAACTCATCCTCAATAATTGCAGAAGAAGGTGCAGCGGAGTGAGCATAGCCAATCACTTTTCTTTGCTCGGTCAAGGATTGATTTGTTCAGTGGTTCCGGATGGAAGCAGCAGGTCAACATGGAAGGAGGAAGACTGAAATCGATGTATGGAGTTCTCTATATCTCTTTGAGGTCTAGGTGTTCAAGCCCGGCCTATTCAATAGGTTTCCAAAATAATGTGGCATCCTGATCCCTATGTGCTATTCTCAAAAGTCCGAGTCTGTTTTGTGTGCAATGCGTTTGAATACGCCTGAGACTAACCCTTTACTAGCCGGGCACTAATCGTCGCTCGGCGCTCACCTAGTATCTGCGGATTCTGATCAATCTACATAGACCTGATAGACGTCACACTGTTCGCATTTTAGCATCGCCACATCACTTCTTGGGTTGCTCTGTGCAGTTGAATAACCCGCTCGTAGAAACACTCGTTCATTGTCCAAAGGTCTCAACTTCCTAAATGTTCCTATGAGTGATTCACTTTGCTCCATTTCATTGCTCCTGTGAAATGGCATGTAGGGTTGATCTCTATGGAATCAATCTCTGTACGACTACGAAGTAGTACAAAACGAGCATAATATTGTAGTCCCCTGGCTACCAAGGGAGAAGTTGCCGAGGAGTGCCGGCTCCAAGCGAGATCCCAGCAATGCCCCGTCTGCTCACTGGTGGATTTAACTGAACCTTGAAAACTCTGCGCACCCTATTTTTTGACTTTTACTTGTAATGAAATAAGAGCCAAAATCACAAATCAGCATTAGATAGGCCTGCTGGCCCAATGGCAAGGCGCTTGACTACGAATCAAGAGATTGCAGGTTCGATCCCTGCGTAGGTCACTCGATGATGTCTGATGGACACATTTTTTGTGATTTGTTTTTTGGGGCTAAGATATTTCGCAGCTCAGCTTAGAACGCATGTTCGGCTGGGCCTATTCTTTTGGATCTCTTTTCCTACCTAGCTGTTATCTATAGTATTACAGTACTTTGTGCTCCGTAAGGTCCTACGCTATGGTGCCCGAGGACAGGCCCGGCAATGCGTTTGCTAGGTAGGCTTCACTGTTTGCGCACCCAAACAATTAGAGCCTTTACGCCGCTCATAAAATATGATGTTCCTTTCTTGTGAAGACTGGAATAATTAACACTGTCCTAATGCCGTGCGACTTATCGATACAGCCCGTCTACTTCCCTGTTTGATGTTGTGGCGTGGATGCGGAGTGTTCGGCTTCTCGCTAAATCAGAATTCATGAGATGGAGTCTCGTTGATGCGCTGCTGAAGATACGAGAGATAAAATGTTACGAGATCATTTGGTTACAGTGATCCAATCTCTGTATTGGAAGTTCCTCTGTATTTACGGGGCTGAAGGTTCAGCCCATCGGCTGCTGATCCAGGATTGCCAAAGTTGATGTCAAGGGAAGCGTCACTGTAGGACAGCGATCCTGCATTTTACGCCTTTTGATGCTAGTCGTGATTGTTCCTGAATACCAATAACATACCCTCGGTACAGGCATACGTTAGATCTGACCATTTTCGGTCTTCTTGTCACTAGCATCTGCCTTCTTAAGCAATTTCCAGCGTACAAGGTTCCCGGCACTTCGTATTAAGGCCGGCTACCCCACGGCCAAGAATAAACATCTGCAGATCTCTACATCATCCCGAATGCACTTCTTGCTTTTTATTGATCAGCCTCGTATTTGACTTTGGCAGAGAAGTAACGGCAGTAAGATCAGAAATAAATAACAATGCGTCACTTGCTCCTTCCTCCAATTCATGTAAACTTGTTAACATCCGTAAAGCCTTCTCCACAGCCACCAATACAATCCATCAACGTCAACATCAACATTAATTATATATTTCAACCCTCGAATCGGACATACGAGAGAGCTCGCGACAGAATTCTACGCTTCAATTTCTTCCATCAACATGCGCTTCTCAACCACCACAGGCCTTATCTCTTTCCTTACTCTCCTGTCAACAGCCACCGCCCGAATAATCGGACTGGAAACACCTCGCACTATCGCCGCCGGGGAGCCTTTCACAGTCTCTCTTCTCACAGAAAACTATATCGTAAGTGTTTCCACTTCTACTTAGAAACGCAAACTGATTCCCAGCTCCTTCACAGCAATCTGTATACGATGTAGCCGCTGCGTTTGGCATATCTCCTGGTGCTGGTTACCCCGACACTCTTGGAACTGTTATCGGGTCGAATTACATTGGTCCAGATGGGTCCAACAGCCGGCAAAAGCTCAACTTCACGGTCTCGACAAACAAGGATCACAGCGCTGGCCGTTCAACTCTTTCAGCAAGTGTTTTAAGTCTGTACGGTGTATCGTCTGGTCCTATTCTGTACCCTTTCAATGTTTCGGTGACTGTTGGGGATACGACTAGCACCGAGAAAGTCAACACTACCCTCTACACTCAGTGAGCAGACATTGGAAATGATATGGAATGCAGGAGAGGGATGCTGCGACAGCATGGGGATTCAGAGATTGCATCAGTGACACAGCCAGATTCATGGACAGGTTGAGGGGCAACACCGGGAAACATTTGCACGGTATTGGAGTTTTTGATTTTCTACAAATGCAGAGATCTCATTATTGAGAACACAAGACCTTTGTACTATCATTACTCATGCGTCTCTTGTAATGTCAGGTCATGGCAATGATTCCTGGGTTCACATGATATCACGTGAACGCAAGACTTCAAACATTGAACCATGTGCACTGTGAGAAAAGATAGAAATAAAAATCTCGTGAAAGGAGTACATCCTCATAACTCTGTGTAACATTCTCCTCATTTGGTCTTCCCGTAATCTGCGACCTCACAGAAATCTTCTTCCCGCTCCTTCCCCTTCTGTTTACAAGGACTCGCTTACACATTCACGGCTCTTCATCCCGCCATGACCAATCACAATTGGAGAGATCCAAGGCATCGAAGTGAGCCTATACATCCTCAGTCTCGACTACGATCTCCGACTTTCTCAACACCACACTGCGCTTCAGACCGCAAACGCTTCCACGATGTCACTGGCCGCTAATGTATCAAGAGCCAGTGGATGGCGTGCCCAAGGCAATTACACCACGGTAGCCGACGCGTTTCCCCAGTGAGTATCCCAGTAGCATAGCTCACACTCTGATATTGACATTGACGTTGTTATTCAGACTCACCAACCTGACTCTCGATCCAGGTACAGGATTCAGCCCTCGAATGGGCGGCCAGAACTTCACTCACTGCTGCCTGCTTGCCGTCAACGAATCTCTTGATATCAAAGACGGCTCTATTGTCGAGAGACCATCGTCCTTCATCAAATCTACAGTGCAAGATCTGCTTGCTGCAACGGAGGCAAATCAGTTCCCGTGCACCGCCAAATGGGATGGCAACACTGCCGGCGCTCCTCTTGTGGAAGTTCCATACTCGTGGTTAGAGGAAACTTGCCCTGGCTGGCAATTGTCAAGATCGAAACCGGAGTCACAGTGGATTTCACCCTTCGTTGGATTCCTCCTGCCCGCAGTCGTGTTCTGTACGTCATCTACTTCAAGTCAAATCCCTTACAATGGACCAAAGACATCTCTGGAAGAACGCTAATTGGCTTGGTAGGTCTCATGATTCCACGTCGAAGAAAGCTCGCTGTTTGGAGTAAGCTGTTCATCCCAGACTTGTCCCAGGTCATGTCATGGGTCATAGCGCCGTTTGCCATGCTGGTAGCTGGCATAATCGTCGCGAGTGATACCATTGCATGGTTGTCGGTATGTTTCGCCTTTGGCAGCCCAAGTAAGTAAGCCCGAGTTCACGAAGCAGGTTAATGCGGTGGTTAGAGGATCAAAATTGTTCTCTCGCATTCCTATGGTTATCTAAGTAACTGGACATTCAGTGCTTCTGAGCGGATTTTACGAAGCCTATCTCGATTATATGATCATCAGCTTTCTTCAGGATAAATTGCAGAATTGTCGTTTAACAATCGATATGAAAGCTCGACTTCTTTTTGTTATTCTTTGCGGCAATCTGGATCTAGATCCTGAGGCGATGACATTGGATGAGGAGATGTTGGATTTGCCACCACGAGAGGTTGCGAACGAAAAATGGCCAGATATTACCCAGAATCCGAATCGTGACGCCCTAAATCTTAGCTCACCGTGGACCCACGTCGAAAATTTGGTTCATGAGCTTAGAACATATAATGACGGTAGGTTAAGCATTATAGGTTTGATTTGTTACAATCGGCCACTGATACTACCTTTCTTTGACTCGTAGCCACACTTCAGACTCCAAGGCAATGGCCGATGCACGATACCACATGCACAGTTCCGATGTGTACTGAGTTCAAATGCATCGAAAGGCCAATTTCCAGAACTCAGAAAATCCAGAAAGAAATTGGCAGAGCGAAAACTAGGGTAGCCGTACTCCATCTTGCTCAAAAGACGACAAAGGCTAATGTTGACAGTTACGAACAATGCTAGCATGCCAGGTAAGAAAATGAATACCGAGTCCGATGAAGGCAACCAAAATCGACATGAAGCAAATACTTTTTTGGACCCGAACAGAGTATTCACACTGACTGCTTGAGATAGTATTCATTCGGTGCTACTGTTGGTGCCCCAGTTGTGTTCTTCCTCGGGACATTTGTGTTCACCATTGTGACAACCCTCTCAAATGTAAGTATCTCAGCCCGATGATACCTGGATTTCTACTTCAACCAAAGCATATACCTGACTCCTCGCCAGCTCGGTGACAACGACACGAGCTTGGCATTAGCGTTTGGAATGTGGTACATGATCATCCCCCATATATCCATTGTATCCGGTCTCCTTCTAGCTGGTAATAACCCGAGCACCCTCGAAGGAGTGGTTGCTCACGAATTTGGGGACACCGACCGTCGTCTCCCAGCCCAAAAACACTTGGGTACTCGGATCTTTGAGCTTGCCTACGACAGTCGATATAGGCCCCAATGGCTGTGGTTTCGTGGACGAAGCAAAAGACATTGGATCGAAAGGGTTTGGAAAACATACGAGTTTCGACATCCAGCCGGAGAAAGGGGACCAATGGTTCCCGACGAGGACATGGTAGCACTGAGGCGAGCAGCTGCATTAAGCACAAAGAGCTGGGGCGTCATTATTGGAATGACATTGTTACTTATGGGTAGATTATCTAGAAGTACTCGCCTTACAAGATTCAACTTTATTGATGAAATGCAGGGGTGCCCTTCATACTCGCCTTTCTTACAGCTTTCTACACCCCGCAGGTCGGAATCAGCTGTCGGACATTAACATTCACAGTCTATACCATCACCCAGTTATGCCAAATAACTCTTTGGCTTTGGGCCTATGCTGGTGCACCAGAGGAAGGAGCGTGCCCTCAGTTCTTGCGCAAAGGAGGATTTCTGCACCAGACTGGGTTCTACACACCAACAGACGTTTCTTCTCTGCGTTCACGCCATACTTTCTTCACCCTTAGATCCCTATGGTCAATTGTTTGGTATGTAGTCAGCTATCTGAGCTTTAGTTGACTTGCTGACTCCACCGCAGGTTTAGCTTGGCAATCATATTTGGTCTTGGCGGTGTCTTTACAGCAATCGGAGGCACCGTTATGCAGCTTATGGGCGTCTATCGAAGCGGATTCTGCGACTTGAATGCCGAATGGTGGATTCGACCTCATGATAATACCCCAGTTGTGATTAGTACGAATTACGCACTTGCGATTGAAGACGCCAACAGGTACTGGCTGGCCTGTGGCATTACCGCAACGCTGTTCCTGGCTGTGGTTTGTTTTTGCGGATGGTGGTATCAACGTCGGTTGAGGGGACTTTTCAGGGATCTAGTGAGCAGTCTTGGGGATGTCAGCAAAGAACGGGAGGAGATAAGAGCTGCTCTGGCGAGAGACTGATGTCAAGTATTTCAAGTGTGGTGGAGACAAGGAGAGTTGCCAAGACCGACAAATGAACAGTTTTGGAGCTTTTGACGCGCCATATGATCAAGGCAATTCCAATCTCTGCTCGAAGACATTGCATGAAATTAACATGCCATTTCTATGTCATACAAGGACTATATGTGCTGAGAAGATCGGAGCAGATTATCCTGCTACGTTTTCTGCACCCAACTCGCTTAATTTTTTATTCCAAAAAACCAACTTGCATCGTCTATCAATTTTCTTTCCCTTGGAGAATATAAAACTGTATATCTACAGGTCTTAGTTGAGTCGTAGACATTCTTCCCCTCACCTTCTTGTCTTGTCTTGTTCGGTCATCAATTCACTCCTTCCGCTTTGAACTGGTCGCACTTGCCTGAAGTTTTCACAGCGCGCTAGCTCAGTTGCACGGCCCACCAGCTTTACCTTCCATTTCTACCAAATCTTGGAACCTTTCCCGCACATTCCAATCCTTCAAAAAGCACACAACACCAACGAACTGGAGGCAATTCAAAGCCTCACATCAAACATCTCACATCCAACTTCTCACATCCAACTCCTCGCAAGAAACATCCTAGATGACGTACAAATCAGTCCTCCCGCAGCTTTTTGAAAGAATCGCTGTGGATGGGGCGATAACGCCAACCGCCCTTCGCCTGAGGGTGGAGGAAGAGCATGACCGCGTCCAGCAAGGCGAGCCAAGTCTCGATGATGATATGCATCAGTATGTGGTAGAGAGGAATGTCTGGAGAGCACTGTGTAAGTTCTTTGCCACGCCCAAGATTTGATCGTGAACTTTGACTGATATCTACAGACTCTGACGAGTATGGCAACACAATTCCTAGGTTCACTGGCATCAAGCCAGCTCCAGCATCGCAACTATCCACGATTGAGGCTGAACTTGCTGAGCCACAATTTCCAAAGCCTGCTGAGTTTATTCAATTGGAGACCAACAAGACGTCACCTCAGAATCCTCCTAGCCACGTGCCACAATTTCTTGCCCGACAATCACCTTCAAGCTCAGCCTTGTCGAAGACAGAGCGATCTTCTCGAACAGAGTCTGTGACAAGTATGCCGTCTAGGTCCCCGCAACCTGGTCTCAAAAGCCATCTCCGCCGTACCGGATACGAACAGAAACGACAAGACCAAATTAAAAATGCCCCTAAAAGTCCTCAAAAAGACTCGAAACGTCGACCACAAACTGACAATACCTTCGGTTCTCATTACCCGGAATCCTTTGAACGTCGGCTGAGAAACCAACCCAATTCGAATGCCGTGGCATTCAAGCAAAATTTGAAACAACAATTCGACAACTCAAGACATCCACTATCTGTCCCTGTTGGATATCGACCGTCATACTGGGATGATGAGCGAGGCTGTCCCTTTGGTGCCGTCTTCCCCGTCGGTAGCAATACATACACTGCTATTCTCGGACCCCAAGCGGAATATCTCATAGAAATAAACCATCGACTGGGGTACGATTTGCGAAACAATATTGGGCCAGTCCGACTCTTCTTCCTACGTTCTTCATTGGGGAGGGACAACACAACTCCCATGGTGTGGCTGGATGTCGCGAAAGGCATGGACCCAAATACTCCAACCAATATAGAGCTGCTGCACAAATTCCAAAGCTTCTTGTATGAATATGATGCTAAGAGTGGAGAGCTCAGGCCGATTCATCTTGCTTTCGACGTTTGGGTAGAACGAGCTCCAGGAATTTCCCGGCAATGCATCGAAAATAGGCGTCAACTACAATACCCAATCTCCGGAAAGGATAATACCAACAGAAACTATTCAGAGCATGTGGATGCCAATAGGAGAAAGGAGAGAGATTTCCAAGCTCTTGACCAATTTCCTGAAAATTCTTATCCCTCCTCTGAGGCAGACAATAACCGTCGTCGTGAGCCCCATTTCTACCAGGAGCGCTCACACGAGGTACGAACTCGGGAGCCACGAAACTCAAATAGGGTACAATCGGTACGTTGAGATTCACCCGTGACTATTAGTGAAGTCTGAAGACTAATCTTTGCAGAGCGTATCTCAGTCTCGATCTTCAAGTAGACAGTCCGCCACGTCAGAGAGCACCTACAGAGTAGTGAAGCGTGAGAGATCAGTGAGTATCCACATGCCCACAGTTATAACAAGTTCTAATCTTTTCCAGCGATCTCCAGAGATTCGCCTAGCAACCAGACGACGTCATTGAAGCCCGCATAAATGAACGAGAACCCCATGTGAGAGAAATGTTGTTATATGCCAAGTGTTGGGAGATGGGAGCGGGGGATATCATACAATTTCTCAACTTTTGGTTGAGATTACTACAATTTGGATGGACGGAGAACAATTGCGATACAAAGATAATGGTTTGTACGTCGCATGGGGTATATCATACAATTTCTCGACATTTCCTTGGGACTACTACAATTTATGAATGGAGGAGGACAATTAAGGCATAGACATGAAGGTTTAAATGTCACATCACAATTAGGAGCTGCAAGTTAAGTCACTTGGACAATTGAACGCTGTATTGCTAGCATGGTAGTTTTCAACGCTACAATGTACTCAACAGAACACAAAACTGCCAATAACCACGCTGTTTTCTGAAAGTGAACCATACCGTCTGCAGGCACCAGAAAATTCCCCCACCTCAAGAACACCAGCATACCTCCAACTCAGCCCTCCAAAACCCTGAACTCTACACTACCCGCAGTACCCTTCACCTGAACACATCTCCTTCCCTCCCTTCTACAAACCACACACTTTCCCCTCCCATCAGAATGCTCAATAGTCTCCGCATACGCAGCCTCAACATTCCGTCTATTGATTCTGCGAAGACATGTATACTCTGGGTACAACCCCCACCTGTGAGCACCAATAAGGTCTTTATCTCTCCAGAAGAACGTCGAGATTACGCTATATAGCGTCTTGTTGTGGTTGTGTATCGTATTGACAGGTTCCATGCTCTTGAGGATATCGTGGAGTTTGTCGACGCGGGTGTGCCATGTGCTGGAATTGGCGTTAGGGGATGGATTTGGCATTCTTCCGATCTGCTGCGTATGCGTGACAGTATTGACTTGATTGGCTGCAAGTTCTGGGACATGATTCGATGTCTGTTGTGAAGCCTCTCGACTGATTGTTCTGCCCGCTGCTTGAGAAAAGCTGGCTTCTCTTCTGATCCTTGGGACTTTTGCTGGTCGTTTGTCTCTAGCATCTGGGCGAACACGGGTGGAATGCTCGTTCAGATGGGAAGTGTGGAGCCTCTATCGGATCTGGAATTTCTGCGGCCTTGAGACTTCTTCCTATCTAGAAGAGTTCTAATACTCGGTAGTGGCGTAGCACCATTCGCCTCTTGAAGTTGTTTCGTGGTTGGGAATCCGAGGGTTTTGAGACCTGGAAGCTGCTCTTGTCCATGATGCAACTGTTGAAGCTTCTTCGTGCTTGGGAATCCAAGAGTTTTGATGCTTGGTAATGGACTTGTGTCATTTGATTCTTGGAGCTGGGTGGTGCTTTGAAAGCCGAGATTCTCCATATTTGGTATTTGAGCACCGTTCAAGGTGATTGAGGGTACTGCAGGGACTAAGAGAGAACCATTTTGCGTGACATTGACAGCGCCATCTGTATTCATAGACGCCTCATTTTCAACATTTTCAACAACAGCCCCTCGAACGTGATTGACGACACCACTGTGCCTGTCCCCGCTTGGTGCATCATCTTGCTGCCTCACCGATGAAGCCAGAGCGCTATCCGTTTGGCTCGAGTTGTCTTCTTCGCTTTGGGCTTGTACATTCTCCTTCTCACTTGTTGCCACGACATCGCTATTCTCCTGAACCTGTAAAGACTTCAATCAGCAAATTCCCACAAAGCTCCACACCATTCCCCGTCCATCAACACCATTCCCCTTCCTCTCACCCCTCCCTCTAAACCTCCCCTAAACCCACCCCCTCCCTCCAAACCTCCTCCTAGGTACAAAATCTCAACTCCCCACTCACCTCCTTCCCCTTCCCCTTCCCCTTCTCCTCATTCCATCCCCCCATCTCCATCCTCAACTCTTCATCCCCCCCCTCTCTCACAACCCCATCCCTCACACCCCTCAACTCCCCCAGAATCCCCACAAACTCCTCATAAACCCCAACCATCTCCCCAAACAGCCTCCTATACTCCCTCAACACATCCCGTACGCAATGATGCGCTTCCGTTGCGCCTTGCCATTTCTGCTGCGCCGAGTGGCAGAAGGCTTGGATTTGGGTGGGGTGGGGTTGGAATTTCGTGAGGGAGAGGTTAAAGGGGAGGGGGTTGGAGGAGGGGGAGGGGGAAGGGGAGGATGACATTTGGGGGGTGGTGACCGAGTGTGTAGGTGTAGGTTGTGGTTGGGGTTGGAGGGGGGTCTGGAGGGAGGATGGTGAGTGGTGAGTGGTGACTGGTAGGCAGGTAGGCAGTGTCTTAAAGAGTTATTGATGATAGCTGGAGTTGTGTGGTGTTTTGTGGCTTGGTCGAGCGGAGCGGTCAATGATATCGATAACGATAATGGCGATGGTGATGCTGGTGTTGTGATACTGATATATCTTGATGACAAGAAAAAATAAAGAAAGTCCAAGATTGAGAAAGCTCTTCATACCTTCCTTGCCTTGCGCTCACGGACTTGGCAATGGAAGTCAACAAAGGCAAGCGCGAACCTCGCTTAGCATCATGCGGGTTGCTTTGTTTCTGGATTCTGGATTCTGGATTCTGGATTCTGGATTCTGGATTCTGGGATCTGGATTCTGGTTATTGGTCGCTTGGTAGGTTGCTCGACAGGTCACTTCAATTCGCTTTCAGGGTCGGGTAGGGTATGATGATATATATGATATGGTATGTGCACCTCGGTATCGATTAAGTATCTGTATCTGTATCTGTATCTGTACGTCCATCTATATATCCATCCCATCCCATGCCCCCATCCCCCCATCCGCCCCTGTCTCTCAAACCACTCATTCCCAGCTATTATCACCCACTACATACATACATACATACATACATACATAAATCCATACACACATACATACAATCTCACTCTCCCTCGCCTCACTCGTCCTCACCTTACTCCTCCTCATCTCACTCCTCCTCATCTCACTCCTCCTCATCTCACTCCTCCTCACCTCACTCCTCCTCGTCCATCCTCTCCTGCTTCCTCCTATCCTCCCCCTCTCCTCCACGGTATCGCGCTCAACTCCATCAATACAAGACATGGTCGCAGTTTCCAATCAGAATTGCCGTTCTCTCTCCTCAATGCCTGCTCCGCCATCCTACAAACTGAACGAACCAGAAGGTTCTTTGTTGCGAACTGTTGACCGACCCGATCCGGAACGAGATCTATCAACACTTTCTCACGTCTCCGTGGCAGGCTTGCAGAACCCGAGAGCTGCTCGTAGGATAGAATTTGCTTCCCCCTGCACGTCTCCTAGCGGAACAATATGGCGAAGCCATGGGACCTAGCAGTTACCAGCATTAAGACGGCAGTAAAAATGCACATCTGTCGCTCGCTATCTCCCTAGTACTCAACAGTAACGCCTCACTAAGACGAGATCACTGCATCCCCGGCCCCTTAGGCATCTGCCCACCCCCCATCCCGGTACTCCTCGCAAACGGCGTATCGATAGTCCCCCAATGCGTATACGCCGTATGCGGCGGCACACTAGTCATCAAATCCTCCTCCTCACCCAACATCCCCATCCCCGCATACGCACCTCCCAAATTCGGCATATTCCCATACTCCTCACTCACCACCGGCCCCGTAGCAACATATCCTTCCGTACCAAACAAGTCTCTCAGATCCCATGGTAGCTCAACGGGATCTTTTTGGAACCATGTATGTACTACGTTGCCATTTTGTGCGCCGTTGATATTGCCAGGACCGGTATGTGTAGGCTGGGGCCCGTAGTCGAAGCCAAAGGAGGCTTGTTGTTGGTCCATGTACTTTCTATATTCCTCGCTCTTCTCATGTGAGTCTGAGCGGGCGTCAAAGATGCCGACGATTTTGGCGAGTTGAAGAGCTACTTGGGTGAGAACTGTGAAGGTTCGGCAGAGCTTGATGGGTTGTAGGGAAGCCATGACGTCGCGGACGGCCTTTTTGCGGGAGTTGTCTTCGGCGGTGTCACGTTCGTCCCAGGGTCGAGCTAGGAAGTCGAGAGCCAGGATGAAGACGGAGTGGTAGATGTAGTAGGCATCTATCCAGGCTACACCATCAAACATACCTGTCACTAGGAGTTGGTGGAGTAGTGATGTAGCTTTCCGGGAGTAAGTTCCACAGGCATGACTGAGATTCAATTCTTCCGTATCCAGATCATGAGAGCGAACATGTCGACCTAGCTTCCTAGCCAATTGAACTCCAACTTTCCTCAGAATGAAAGGCCTGGTGACGAGAGACTGTATCTGGTGGAACTGAATATGCATGAGGATGACAGCTCGTCGATGTTTCGGGATCGAAGAGAGGTTCTCAAGTCTCAAAGACGGAGGCAGACTATGATTCCAGGAGTCCAGGTCTAGTAAAAATTGTACCGCAACGCTCATCTTCGGAGATTCGCCTTGCTGTGTAGCACTTGATGGTGAAGAGTAAATCTTTCTCCTCACATCAGAGAGCAACTTCATCAGTCGGACGGAGTAATCGATGAATCCTGGAGGTACTGAAGATCCACCATCAAGCATCATCTCATCTGGAAACGTGACATTGACTTCTGAATCATCAATAGCACAGGGCCTGCCCAGAATAGCGCACTGATTCTGCTCGAACATATAAGCTGTCCACCAAACACGTTTCCGAACTTCTCTTTCCATATCATCGAAGCCTCCAGAAGTACCTTCTCTATGCATACCAAGAGCCATAGCCATCCTGGACGCACAGCCCAGTAACATGAACGCACTGTTCCTTTCAGTGCAGTTGTGCTGGTAAAGTTGAAGAAGCAGAATAGCCTGAACATTGACCAGAGTAGAAGCACTGATCAACTGGTGCATCCTCGACTGGACCAGATTAAGGTAATGCCGCTGTATCTGCATAGATTGTCTGGCATCGCGATCTTCCAAATTCTGAGCCCCAAATACAATCATCATAAAGATGCAGCAAATCCAACCGGGTTCGATGTCACGTAGGAGCACCTGCGGTTGAGTCCACATGGTTTCGTACCGAAGCTGAAAGGTAGGGTGGTGGAAGAGGAGATAGTTCGGATGAACATGCTCGAAATAAGCATCGACGAAAGTATCAGTGACCTCTTTACCTGGCAACAAAGACAGAACCGTAATCCTCTTCAGCCGCGCTGTCAAGGCATTGCTGTCTATGGAATTCGGGAAGAGTGAAGGTGCTCGCTGTCTGGGTATTCTTGATGAAGGCTCCCCGAATTGTCTGTCGATATTGTCCTCTGAAGACTCATCGCTCTCATCCTTGACAATTGGTTCCAAAGCCTTACTCCAATTCGACCCCGCAAAGTCCGCAGATAGTTTCGTCCTCTCGTCATCTGGTTGTATCGTCCTCAGAGCCGCATTGAATTCTGCAACCATATTCCTCACTGTCAAGACGAATCCAAATGAACTGGAGGGCCCAATATAATGCGATGGTCCTTGTGGCATAGGAACCAACTTCTCCTCCACAACCTTCCCCTTCACATCTGGATTCTCCGACTCCCTCGACCCAATTGAAGGGCTGCCTGCGCTGCCCGCAGACTGTTGTGGCGAAGGCGCATTCTGTTTATGCGGTTGATTAAATACTTCCTCTGCCACAGTCTGCTCGTCAAATGTAGGAAGTTGGATATCGTGCGCTTCAGCAATCGCATATAATGTATCGATATTATTTGTATCTCTGTCGGGGTAGAGACCTTTGATCAGGGTGTCGAGGACTCGGTATCGTACACTGAGGGTCTCGACGCTGCCGTATATCCTCGTCTTGCGGGGTAGAGTCGATTCGCAATTGACGCCGACCTCGAGACAACTCTGGCACGGCTCATTGGCATCACTGCCGCTGGATCTCGAGCATCGTATGCGCCTCTTCTTACAGCGATCGCAACTGACCAGTGCCCGCCGGCGCAGATGATCCGGGATGCGAGCTTTTCCCGTCTTCTTGGTCTTGGCAGGATGATCCATCATGGTGTTGAGTGAGCAGCCGAATCAGCCGCAGATTCCGGGGTATTGGTTATTGGGACGGAGAGAACGCTGATCGGAGGTACAGAACGACGCTCATGGATTGGAAGGATTTGAGGGGGGGTTCAGCTGAGTGTGGATGTTTTGAGGGGGAGGGGTTGAAGAAGGAAAACGCGTTCAGGTGTAGAAATGGATTGAAATGCGGTCGGTACTGTATGGTATGGGTATGGGTAGGTAGGTGCATACAGCTTGGGTTAATTGCGGACCGAACATGGGGCGGAAGAGAAGAAAGGCGTGGGAGTGGAGTGGATGGGATGTAGGTACTGTACTGTACTGTACAGTACAGTGGGATGGAGGGCAGTCAAGCTTTCTCGAGACTCGAGTCCTCCTCGTCGCAGGGCAAGAAGAGCCGATTCCGGGGGCGGGCACCCTTTACTGCACTGTACTCGGACGACGTCTTGCTCTGCGTGCAACATGCTCCAAGTTACTGAGTGTATGGTTAAAGGATGAACCTCTGCTATCCTCTGCTGCACTGTAGGTAACTAAAATGAAAATGCGGAGACAACAACCTAATACCGTATTGTACGCAAAATCCGTCCGTCAAATGGTTACGAGACGTTGCTGACGAGGACAATGTCTCGTCATGACTCCAGAGGGTCGAGAACATGGGCAGGTCGGTTCAGCTGTGGGGGGACATTGGTGGGTCGGCTGATGGCGGGGGAAGTGAAGAGTGGGTTGGCAGCCCAGATCAGCAGCTGCACGAAAGAGTCTACAGGGTTACACGGTATCATGGCAGCAGGGTTAGGTTAGTGGCACGTAGACGTGCAGAGTGAGATTCGACCCAGTAAGGCATGTGCTGTGCTACGCCTATTCTAATCTCCGATGTCAAGGTCTTCAGTTGCTTTGGCGAAGAGATTGAGATGAGAGTAGATGTCGGCTTTTGAATCCGGTCCTGTCGGCCACTTGTATGAATATATATGTATGCGATGCAATGCGACGAATGCGACGTTGAAGTTGGCGAATGAACGGAGTTGCAATACGATTTACGATTCATAGACTCTTGTAAAGATGGACAGGTAAATTACAAGCAGAGAAGAAAGGTTAAAGAACCTGAGAAAGCCAGGTGGGTGATTTATCTGAAGCCAATGACAGAGTATGCTTGGCAATACCCCCATCATCCTTTGTTCGTCTATCTCCTACAGCTATTCAGTCTAAGCAGCATCTAAATTATTATACAAGAAAAGGCACCTTTTCTACCTAAAGATCGTAACCAGTAGTTCGTAATTCTCCGCGTCCTCAATATTATAATACGAACTCCGTGCCTCCCTACCCCATGTCCGCCAAACGCCATCTTCACTTTTAACTTTCCACACTCACACATCTACACCCGCACCCACCTCACCTAAAGTAATGGCAGGGCCGAAGGATGCTCAAAGCTTTATGCACAGATTGACTTTTTGGGTTTGTTCGTTCGGAAAGATCCCGAAGTTCTGTACTGGTGACGGACGAGGCGCCGAGAAGGCTGTCTGTGTGGAGATGGATATACGAAATGGCAACACAAGGAGTTGTCAACTAATACCTGGTACGAAATATGGGAGGGATAGCATGAGTGCCGAAGATTCTTTTTTATTCTGGCTTGATGAACGCTACTTTACCACCACACCCCCCATCTTTGAGTCTTACCAACCCAGTGCACTATCCTTACCTGATACCCTCAAATCCCGAGATCGGATTTGATTGCCGGACGCTGACTGTTTACTTACTCCCCCTCTGCTCTGCCCCTGTCGCCCACTCACCCATCCACTCGGCCTCTTAGAACCCAGCAGATGTTAGATCAAAGCTCCAAAAAGTGCAACGATAAAACCAAAGTCCAATATTCCATTCTGATGTATGGGGTGCATAAGAGTTAATCTATCTTGGCAGGCAATGGTGGCGTCTTTAAAGAAGACTTTCCCAGCACCCCAGTCCATTTCCGTCCAGCCCAGTCCCGTCCGCTCCACTCGCCTGTCGCTCGGGGGGTCGGCTGAGAACCCGCCGGCTTGGGATTTTGTGAAACCCAGCCCAGCTTGACCCATCTCAACTCAATTCAACTCAATTCAACTCAGCTCAAGTACTTCCCTCTGTATGAAGTCAACGACGTCTCTTCACCCCATGCATTAAGAAGACTTTAATCCTGTCCCGTCCTGTCCCGTCCTGTTCTGCCCAATTCGCCTCGAGCCTCCGCTCACAAGTTAAGCGGGCGTTCAATTCACCACCGTCTCCGCTCCTCCTCTCAGCTCTTGACTTTGACCCTACCCATATCTTCACTCAATTTGACAGACAACGTCAACAACACATTCATGTTTCCACCTAGTTGATGAATACATGCATGCATGCACAATGGCCGCCGCCGCCGACCTTAAGTCAGACCCTCCACACGACCCCGGCACTGGCGTCACGGAACCGTCCTTCCATCAAAGATCATCCATTCCAACGGCCACCATCGCTACCGTAGACATGGACCCGGAGAAAACCCATGCGGACTTCACGAACCATGATTCAGGCTCAACGTTGTCTGAGACTTTGAGGCTCGATTCCCATGGTCTACCTCTGGTTCCTCAACCTAGTCGATTCAAAGATGATCCTCTGGTATGCCATCCGCTACTTGCAATTCCCCCCTCAATTGCCCTTCTTTTCGTCACCCTTCCTTCCAGCCCTCCCAACGTCAATACGATTTATATGCATATTAACACCTCATAGAATTGGCCATCATGGCTGAAATGGGCCGTCCTAATCCAAGTCGGCTTCATGGCCTTCCTAGGACCCTACAACGCCGCACTGATCAACCCATCCCTCGTCCTCCTCAGCAAAGCCATGCATGTCACCACCCAGAAAGCCGCCTACAGCACCACGACCGCCATCATCACCGGCGGCGTCTCACCATTCCTCTGGACACCTCTTACCAACTACTTTGGTCGTCGGCCCATCACACTGCTCGCTATTCTTCTCACCATCCTAGGAGGTATCGGATCAGGAGCCTCGCCTAACTTCAGTGCATTAGTGGGCACGAGAGCACTATGCGGATTTGGCTTTGGGGGTATGATGTCCGTGGGTACGGCGTGTGTCAATGATATGTTCTTCTTGCACGAGAGAGGTGAGAAGACGGGCGTGTATTCGATCTTCGTCACGAATGGTGCACATGTTGCTGCACTGAGTACGTCCCTAAACCCCTTAACCTCTCCAACCTTAAGTTCACAGCCTAACACCACTCAGTTGGAGGATTCCTCGGTCAAAAAGCAGGCTGGCAGTGGGACTACTACCTCGGCGCAATCAGTACCAGTGTTTGCTTCATCGTCGCCCTATTCCTCATGCCCGAGACTCTATTCTCCCGTGATCCAACCTTCCTCGCCAATCGTCATGAGAGAACGTACATGCAAATGCTGTTCAACTTTAAGGGCAATATGATTCCAGGGCACAGGCTCCGTCCATCAGACTTCCTCCAGGTAGGCAGCCCACTCTTTCCCCCTCAACCACCTAAGACTCTCTCTTACTATCCACACTCGCATTTGTCCATAACCAACCAACCACTAACCCCCACCCCACAGTCCCTCACCCTCCTCCGCTACCCCTCCATCGCCCTCCCCTTCTGGTACTACACCTGGTCCTGGACATTCATCAACGTCATGCCCGCCATCTCCCTCGCCAGCATCTACACGCACTTCTACCATCTCCGGCCGGGCCCCATTGGCGCCTGTCTCGGCACCTCCCTAACAATCGGTTCCATCCTCGGCGAATTCTTCGCGGGTCGCGCCTCCGACTACCTCATGCTACAACTAGCCCGCCGGCGCAACAACAAAACCAAAACCAACAACAACAGCACCGACAGCACCACCACAACCAACGAGCGCAAACCCGAACACAGACTCTACCTCTGCACCCTCTCCGCCATCTTCATGCCCCTCGGCCTCATAATCTTCGGCTCCACAGTCGGAAAATCCAACCTCTACATCCCACTCATCGGCCTCAGCGTCGGCGTATTCGGCCTCCAGATCGCATCCACCACCCTCTACGCCTACACCTCGGACTGCTACAAACCACAGACTCCCGAAAGCGGCACGGTATTCAACCTAAGTCGCGGGTTGTCGTTCGTAGTAGGGTATTTCGCTCTACCGTTTGCAAGCGAGGTGGGGTATTTTTGGGCGTGGTTCACGTTTGCGGGGGTGTTGTTTGTGTTTTTCTTGCCGATTGCGGGGTTGATGGTTTGGGGGGAGGGGTGGAGGAGGAGGTTGGGGGAGCCGGGGTGGAATAGGGATTTGTGAATGTGATGAATTGATTACTTATCTGCCTCTCGACTCCTTTCCACTTGGTCATTTCCTCACTTCCCCACTGTACTCTACTCTCCTCTACTCTACACTATTACCCCACCTCACCTTCCCCCGTCTAGACCCACTACCTTCCAACCTCATCTCTCATCATCCATCTCCACATATCCCGTCTTCCACATTACCCCCCCACCCCTTCTCTTTTCTTTCCAGGCCAGATCAGATTCCAGATAACACCCAGACCAGACCAAACCGAACTGAACAGATGAACAGATGAGCAATACCGACCGGGCACGGAGAGAAACAGAAAGAAGGAAGGAAGGAAGGAAGGAAGGGTGGAATTTTTTTTCTCACCGAATGGATGGTTAATGAAATGAACACTTTTGATACCAAGAGCAGAGGCATGGGCAAGGGCAAGGGCAAGGGCAAGAGAAAGGGGCAAGGGAAAGGGAAGACCAAGTGAGAGGAGGAGAACCAGGAGGGAGGAGGGGAACCAGAAGATGGTGGAATGTACTCTGCTTTGCTCTGCTTTGCTCTGATTTACACAGATAGATAGCTTAGATAGGTAGCTTAGATCCCTCTTCACAAACAACGAAAGGATGCCTCACGGCAACAGTGTAATAATGAAAAACCAAACCCAAACCAAACCAAACCAAACCAAACCAGGCCGATCGATCCTAAAACATTCCATCGCATCGACCAGATGTCAGTCAGTCAGTCAGTCATTGATCAAGACAGTACGTATTATTATACGTAATATAATATAATATAATCAAACCTTAGCTTAGCACTGGGATTTTTTTTTTTTTTTGGGGGGGGGGGGATATTCAGCTAGGTAGGTACTGAGCGAGGAGGAAACCATAGATACGCACGAGTATTAGGTTAAATCCCCACGTGTCACCATTAAGTTAGTACATTCACATCCTAGGTAGGGAGGTAGGCATAGTAGAGTAAGTTTGGATCTTCGTATGCATATCGGCATTCATCTAAATGCTACTCACTACCTCTCTGCATGCTTGCTTGCTTACTTGCTTGCTTACCCATTCCTCTCTTCCCCTCTCTCCTCTCCCCACTCCCTGCAATATCCACTCAGCATGTAACCACTCACTCATCAAGCAGTCAAGCAAGCAATGCACTCAGTCCCCACCCCAACTCCCGTCTTCCCAACCACACACACACCCATGGGAACCACAACCAGGAACAGAAAACCAATAATTCTCATCCCTCATCCATCATTGTATACAAATCTTTCTTTCCTTCCCATCCGCACATTTCGCGCCTGGAAAAATCCATATATCCATCCATTCAGCCATCCATCCATATCCCCACCCTATCCATAGTACAAATAAAAAAGAAAAAGAAGTAGTATCAGTATCAGTATCGGTATGAGCATCGGACCTGAAATATCCGTGCACTTTCTCTCTTTCTCGGACATAACAAAAACAACACAGTAGAAAAAATCTTTTCCGCCAGAGAATAGAAGGAGAATCAACAAAGTAAAAATGACAAACAAAGCAATGACATGAAGACAAAGATTGTTTCTTCATCGTCTCGATCGTTTTGCCCTCGCATTCGTTCAATCGCTGAAACGCAAGAGGACAGTCGCAACAAAATCCCAAACGCCTCGCCGTCCCTTGAAGCTGGATCCCGAATCCAGGCAAGAGGATAGGCGTCATCCGAGCCGATCCATTCCGATCCAGTCCGTGTCCGTATTACTAACTCCGCATTTCCACTTTTGAAGAAACGCCATTAATACATGAATGATTTGAAGCACAGTTGTTGCCGAGGACGGCTTCAGTCGGCAGCTAGTCGAGCAAAATGTTTGCTCCAGATCCATCCGACTTGATCACCTGGATCATCTTGATTTTTGGCAAGCCACAGCTCGCCTTTTTCGCCGATGACATCAAAGATCTGAATATTGTTAGCTTAGCTTATTTTCGGGCAGGAGGGATACGCTACCTCGCCAGCTTGATATGTCAAGTAGGGATATCCAGCTTCTGATTTCGTAGCACTGATATTGAATTCGAACAGACTTGCAGCAAGGTACAGCACGTTATAGCCGCCTGACACATTTCGATCTCGAGATGAGGCTCTTGATGAGCGCTGACTATCTTCAGGACCATCAGGTAGAGGCATCGCGGAATGGAAGACCCCTGAATACGGCCTGGTAGATGGAGGCGGGCCATCAACATAATGTGAGTTGTATGTTGATCCCGATTCACGACGATACTGGCTGTTGTAGTCATTACTTGGACGCATTGGAGTATCAGAAGTATGGCTGCGACTCGTGCTAGGCCTCGCCGTACTTGCTTGATGTCGTGCACTGCTCGCGGTATCAGGAGTTGCAGGTGATCCAGATCCGGCCCGAGAGTGGCCAGTTGAGAATGAGTGGGGCTGATGACCAAAATTAGGTAGACCAGGAGCGTTGGCCACGATCGGGGAGAACGTGAATTGTCCACTGTGTCGCTTTGCAAAGTCAGGTGTCGGGAGACTTGGTGACTTGTCGCTGTTGAATGAGAGCCCACGGGAGCGATTTGACAGATTCGAAGGTCTCCCTTTTCTCACTGACTCGTCGTCCTGTGTTGATTGCGAAGGGCGTGAGGACATTCCACTACCAAAGGTTCCATTGATGATACCCAGCTCCTGGAATTTGGCCTCAGAATATTTGAACTCTCGATGGAACATGTCCGTAATCTCTTGTACTGTTGTTGCCATCTGTCCCTCTTCCAGGTTCTGACTGAGCTTTGCTTGCCAAATACCCCACCATTCTGATTGCACATACAGTAATCGAGTAGAGCAGATCTGTCCGATGGTGTTTGTCAATCCCGAAAGCTTTGGGAGCTCAAGTTTCAAGGTCTCGTTCAACGCCTCGTATTGAGCTACCAACTCTGCCAGCTTCTCATCGATCTTCTTGCCCTGCGCCTTGAGAGCCAAGGACTTTTCGTAGTCAAGTCGGCGTTTGTTGCGTTTCTTTATTGCAAGACTTGGTGGGCCGTAAAGAGCAATGATCTTCTCCACAGGTTCAATGACTTGCTTTCGAACAGCTGCAACATGGTCCTCAAGTCCAACACTTCCCACATCTCTCATAGACATATTGAAATGAACCCATTTGCTCTCGATCTCGGGGTATGAGCTTGCGCCCAACCTCATGAAAAGCTCCATGGATGAGAACAAGCGTAGATTGTTCTGGACATAGTTGGTCGCCTCACGAGTCTGGTACTCGGCGTCTCGTAGGATGACCTGAAGCCTAAGGTAGTCGTCGCCAAACTTCTCGTGATACTTGACATAAGCCTCATCATCTGGCGGTCTATTTGGATTTGCTGCAATCTTTTCGGTGCGGCGTCCAAAGGCTTTGGCAAGACCAGTTCGGACATCAGACTCCTTTCGCTTCCTACCAACAATCTTCCCGACCATATGGATGCGCTTCTTCAGGTCATCAATATCCTGGAGTAAGTTCCCCAATTCTTGTCGTGCGGTCTGCAGAGCATCAAAATCCGGATGATCTGGCAAAGTATTCTCCTTGATCAAAGTGAGGAAGAGCTGATATCGAGTGATGCGCTGAACTGGCTTGACAAGAAGTGCATCAAGATCCCATGCTCCTGTAAGGTCCTTTGCAACGAGATTGCATTCGCTGAGCCAAACCTTGACTGCACCGTCATTTTGGAGAGCAGACAAGCGACTATTAGCCACTTCGCTATTCTTGAGATAATCAGTGTAGATGACCTGCATTCGTTTGAGGTGTTTGCCAAAGCTCGCTCCAATGAATGTTTTTCTGTCTTTCTGGTCATCCGTTTCCTCATTCAGAGTGGCCGCTACGGAGAATCTGTCAGTTGAGGGCGATGAACCCGTAGCCTTGTTTTGCCTCGTCTTGCGTGGGGAGTAGATACTGGACGCAGCGGACTTCAGCTCATCTAAGAACATGGTCGAGAAATCCACAATCTCGTTAGTGTTTCTGAAGATGGCCTTGACATCACTGGGGTCCAGTTTCGGGCAGGCCTCTGCCGTACCCTTGTAGATCTCCTCGACCACATTCATGTCCTTGATATACACAGACTCTGTATCAATCAATTCCTTGATCCCCATCATTCGTTTGAACAGACGTTTCCGAGTTTCTTCAGCAGCTTGTCTTTCTTCATCGGTCATCGTCGACTCCTGGAGCTTGGTTTTGGAATCATTGTTTGCTTCATCGAATGATATCTGCGTGCTTGATCTCGGCGTTGATATTGATGCTCGAGGAGAGTACATATCATCGCTCGCTCGCCTTGAATCTGGATTCCGATGGCCATTCAGACTCGATTGGTATGCACTGCTGGGAGGTCGCCTATTATAGAGGCTTGCCGGAGGTGGCGATCGCCGAACTGCTGGAGACGCTGCGTCTGAGTCTGGAGGAGGCGGAGGTGGGGAGTAGTCAGGCCAAGTAGGAGTGGTAGTGCTGGCATTGAAAGCGGGAGGACTGGTAAATCCAAGTCCAAGTCCCTCGCCTGTTGATATCGGAGGAAGTTGATGTTTGTTCGGACTCGGAAGCATGTGTGTCTTAGCTGCAAAGCGAGGAGATGGAAGCGGGCTGTATCCTTCTGGCTTAGGAGGAACTTCTGGAGAGAGTTTGGGAGGTGGAATTGGCTTTTGCTCGGTCTCTTGTGGGTATGAGTTCTCCTCCCGCTCAGAATAGTCCTCCGTGGTGCCAACAGAATAATCTGTTCTCCATGACTGGTGATGTGAATGGAAAGTCCGAGGTGATATCTGGCCGTCCCTACTTCCGTAAGTATGCTCAAAGTTATCAGCAGAGCTCGTTTGGCCAGCTCCTTCTGAGCTCTCATAGTCCATATCAGTAGTCGGTGTATTGAGATAATCCTGTCCACCAAAGTCGCTCGGAGGAGCCAATGCAGTATGGAGATTTGGAAGTTGAAGCCTCGGTGGCTCGGCATGATCCTCTGGGTAAGATATTTCGGGGGTTTGGCTATGAAGGCCTGTGATTGTAACGTCTTCCACGTTGTGATGGCCATCATTGCTGGAGAAATGCTCATCGCCGGAATCGAAGAAGCTGTCAGGTCTTGATTGATCTGGAGTTACTTCGTGAGGGCTTGCAACCGTGACGGTCGAAGTGAACACCGGTTGCTCTTCTTCATGAAATGCACCTGGAGGTGAAGGGTCTCTCGCAAAAGCATGTTTTGTAGGTGTTGAGTCCGGTTGTGCCTCCTCCACTGGCGTAGCGTCGAGTATTATCTGAATATTGTCTTCCTCCATTCCCAGATTCTGCATTCCAAAGAATGCCTGCTCCGGACTTAGTTGATCGTCCAAATACTCCATATGACTGGAAAGTCCACTGGGTCGGGATGGAATTCGGCTTAATCGTGCTGCTTCGGTCTGCGGCTCGTTCTCAATTTCTGTGGCATTGGATATCGCAGATGCCGGAGGTTCATCATCGTCTACGAATGTTCCTGGTATTCCTAGTGTCGGAGAATCCTCCTGTACTGGCACATTTTGCGGCACAGGTTCCGGTCTCTGGAACGAAGTATTGATATGCAGAGGAGGCGACTTCTGTTCCGTGCTGTGATGCTCTGTCCGATGGTTCTCCACATGGGCCTCGACTGGAACGTGGACATTTTTCTCGGTGTCTTGCAGAACTATCGGCGCTCTCGCGGCCTGCCGTTCAGTCAGACGTCGCAGATTATCAGCCCGTATCTTTTTCTGCTCATTCTCGTGAATTGATCTGGTATATGCCCTTTGAATCAGCTCCCGCTTTGCTACGAAATCCTCCTTGCTCAACGGCACCTCTGGTCTCGTCCGCTTCCTCACGTCGTTCGCCTCGGCATTGTTGCGAATAATTTTCATGCCAGACCTGATATGTTGTGGGGATCCAGACCGTTCGGCGGCCTTCTGTCGCGTGCTTTCGGTCGATGCAGAGGAGACGGGGAGTCGGGGACGTGAGCTTCGAAGAGGTGGAGATGTCTTGGGTGGAGGGGCTGAGATGTAAGCCTTGAGACTGGCATTGTTTGATGTAGACTTTTCCGCGTTCCTCTTGCCTCGAGGTGATGAACGCGGGGTCTTCTCCCGGGTAGTGGGCGTCATGGAGCGGCCGGCAGGGCTCCACGGTCTCTGCTCAGGCTTTCGTAGCTTTCCATTTGAAAGTGTCTTTGTCGCAAAGGGAGAGTTCGCGCGTGTTGAGGGTAAGCTCGACGAATCAGACGAATTACTCAGCCGCTTGGAAGGCATGGGCAACCGAGAGGGAGCTTGCACCGCGGACGTAATGGGGGGATGGTTTGAAGTCTGAAACGATGGGTGGACACCATTCATGGTATTTACCTTTGAGTCTTGAAAATCGCTATGATTGCGATTGTGGCCTATCGAAGAACGTGGTTTATTTGTATCGACATCCTCCAGTGTCGGCGTTACACCTAGGTACCATGCCGTTGGGGAAGATGGGGAAACATCGAGGTCTGATCTACTTCTTCTATGCTGCGACCAGGAAGGATGCAAGCTCGAGTCCGACGTCCTGCGCGTTGCGGCCCGAGGAATGCCATATGCTATATTAGGCGTCCCTTGGTCTATAGGAAGAACTTCACCAAATAACGGTCGTCTTGTTTGCGGAATTGAAATCTTGGGCGATGTTGGAGAAAGGTTCGTCATGGATTTCGACGCTTGGACGTTGGATCCAGAGGCATTGTGCCGCGGTCTTCGTGGTACGGCCGACTGGGTGTTATTCGAATGCTGGTCCTCGGGAGCAAAGCGAGTCCTCTGTGGCCTGGAATTCGCTGGTGATTGTGTTATCGTAGCCCTTGTGACAGTCCCTGCCGGCCTCGATGCTGTATTCTGGGTGGCAGCTCGAGCTTGATATCCACGCTCCCGCATATATCCAGAGGCATTCGGATCCTTGACAACAGTCCTCGGCGCAGGTTTGCGTACCACAGATGTATCTTGATCATTGTTCTGGTCGAATCGTTTCAACAAGTCCTTTACGCTAGGCTTCCCAGGATTGGAATACCCATTCAGAGCAGATGTAGACTTCGCATTTCCAAGGGCTCTGTTGTCTAGAGGGGATGAGGCCGAACGATATGATGGCTTTAGAGCGGTGCGTACTTGTGGCAATGAGGGATGTTTCGGTGTTGTTCCGTTTCCATTCGATCTTAGAGACGATTGAGCTGGTCTTGACTCAGATATTTGGGCGGCCATCTCTGGAGAGGTGGGATTGTAACCGTTTGTCGACTGCGTCACGCCGCGATATTCTCTGTAGAAATCATCGGGGTCTCCTCCATTCAATATGGGCCCAGTATATCCATTCGCAGTCACGGCTTGCAGGTTCTGGGTGGTGAGGAAAGGAAGCTTCGGGGGTAATTGCGGCGATCGTGCTTCGAATTCGGGGAGGGGAGGAGGGTCGTAGGCTCGCGTGTGATGTTGGTGATGCTCGGGAGAGGAGGAGAGTGGCCTAGAATAGAAGTTCTGGTCTGCATTGATACCGCTTTCCATCGTGCCTGTACATCGATCAGGCTTGGGGCCGTGGATCTAGTCGAGCGTCTGCAGAGCGAGCACTAGCAAGTACAGTTGCAGCGCAACACGGCTATCCGTAGCTAGGGGAGGGGAGCCCGGCTCACTACAGCACCAGAACAGCAAGGCAGTGTGCAATGCGTGACGATGGAGTGAAGATCAGATCCATGCGGCCGTCAAGTCCAAGTGTATGAGGTCGTGGGAGTTGCTGAGTGGTTGCGAGTGATGATTCGCCGAGGGTGGTTTGAGGATTCGACGTGGTCCTTGCTGCACGTTAGCTTTCGTTTGTGGCAGCCGTGAGTTGGGCTGTGCGACAAGAACGACTGGACAGGAAGGCTGGAATATCTCAGGTCGACTGTTCGCTGAATGTTGGAGAACGAAGGCGTGGTAATGAGGATCGTAGTGTTTGGAGATGGTGGGATGGCGTTGAAATGAAGGAAGGGCGAGCCGGACGATAGTGCGAGTGCAGTCGTTGTCGATGAGGCTTGTTTCTTGGTGCAGTCAGTCGATGGAAGATGAGCTGCCCTGGTAGTACGAGTAGGTGGGTGAGGCACTTTGGTGGGTGCGGTGCAGGTGGGCTCCTCCTCATGGACCGACGGCCACTGCCCAGCACTGGTACTGGAAGTTATCAAGTACCAGTACCAATATCAGTGCAGTAGTGAGCCAAATGCGGAGAGGAAAAACGTAGAACTGGAAGCTGTGGAAGGTGCTGCCCTGTCAGGCTCTGGGCCTCTGGCTGCCACTGTGGCAGGCCCGGCCCTGTCGATTCCTGCCAATCCTGCTCTGATTCCGGGTCTGTCCTGCCTGGGTCTGATGAAGGACGAGCTCCTACAGTATAGTAGCAGGATTACCGGCAAAAACCTAAGCAAATTGCCCTGTGCAGGCAGATAATAAGAATTATTCCTCGCCTCGTTCCCCACGCACAATTACCTAGGTATTGTTCCGTTCCGTTTGATGCGCCTGATGATGAGCTGACTGCTGCTGCGATTAATTTTGCATCGAACTACTTTGCCGTCTAGGGAGAACAAGTTCAAAGTCTTCTTTCTGGCGTGCCATCTAGGCCTTTAGGTACCTAGTCCAGCGACTCTAGCCAGAACCAACCATCGCAGCTCCCCACCCTACTCTACCAGTCTACCTACCCTCCTACATTCCCTCGCCTCCTACCCCTGTCCCGTCTCGCTTCAGCGCTCCCAACGGCGTGCTTTCCGTCCTTAGCAGCCACGGGCATCGGCTAAAGCCTCAGGACGAGCCGGATCATCAGCGAGTCTCAGTCTGAGGCTGCGCTGCTCAGGATATCAGCGCACCATGGACGGGAAGCACGAGAAGATGCTGCAGTGCACTCGCTCCACTCGTCTTCCACCTACCTGGGCAGATTCGCAACATCCCACTTCCGTACTCCCAAGTGCTTTGGCGGTGCTGCGCGGCGATGCCCACCCCAAACGCTCATTTGATTTGATGTCTAAGCGCGTCCTCCAATAATAGTACCCGTGTTGGTCGATCGTATTGTATGGGTCCTGCATCTTGCCAATCCCAAGCAAGGGGGTATCTTATCGAAAGCATCAATAATTCCTCATCGGGGCGAACCCCGAACTGTCATATCCATCTTTATCGATTCCAATCTGAACAGCAGTTCGAGAGTTGCCGGATCTCTCGCCCGGTCATCATTGCATGACAATTCGCGCTACTCCTTTTACGCCGTCGCAACCATCTTGATTTATCCGGCTTCTGGAAGGGTAGGCGGCCGCAACACACCACTGCACGACGAGACCGGAATAACCAGTAGCATCGCGCGTCTGCATCTATCCGCTCGACGCGTTGTGCCCCATCGCCATTCGCTATTTCCCGCGTTTGTACCACGCTCGTGATCGTAGAGGGGTCATCTCTTGTTGACTTGGGACGGCAGTGTGTTGCGCGCACCCTCCGACAGACTGATGGTTCCGACTAGCCTTCCCAACCATTCGCCTTCTCTTTGTTTGTTCGCCCAGGATTATATAGTGCCAAGGGGTTTGCGCGACTATTTAATTAATCAGTCAGTAATGTTGTAACCTTCGGAAAGACTATACTCATTAGAATTAGGTTTATGGCACTTCCGGAGAAGTCTGCTCTGCCAGCATCAACCCTCGTAGCACTTCCGTGAACCGGAAAAGATGGAAAGCAACTGACTATATCGCCTCCGTAGATTCATAGCAACATGACTGACAGACGAAAGAGGAAGAGGTCGGGACAGGCCATAGGTGATCAGAAACGGCAGAAGATTTCCCAGAATAGTCTTCCAGTTGTCAAAGATGCGTTGCTCACCAAGTACTATCCTCAAGTCTTATCCTTGAGAGAATATCTTCTGTCCAAGCTCCCAGTTTCGTCCAGGGTCCGAAGAAGGAAAATCCTATCTCTTGGGAGAAAAGAAGACAGTAATAAGACCGAGCAAGAGCTTACCCGTTGCCTTGACCAAACTCTGGTTGGGGTGTCAAGATTTAAAGAAGTATCCCAAGATGACAGGTGGAAACAATGGACGACATTTTCGCAGAAGCCGGATGATTCTGTATCATTTGCAAATACCAGCGGGGTTGGGACATATTCACAGTCTGAGGTATGTTTATTTCAATATCCTTCGGAATGTTGACATTCCGCCACTGAGACATTGACAATCTTTAGATTGTGGACTTCGCTATCTGGCTACTCTTCTCGAAATCTTCCAATGGGAAAGTGCAACATCTGCTATGCCAAGGTTTTCGAAAAGATGTTATGCATCGGAATATCCATCAGGGAGGAAATGCTGGATCTTCAATTCCCGGCGTCACTTCAACATACCCGAACAGTCATGTGACCGAGATGAAAGCAAGGCCATGGCCTCAAATATTATTGCTGATGGGCAAGGAGGGGGAGAGGGCAATGATCGATTTGATCCTGGACTGTGGGATCTATCTGGCTGTAGAGAGTGGTCATGGCACTTTTAATCAATTGAGTGGTAGGGTTATTTTTCTAGCGAGTTACGGACTTGGCTGACCCAAACAGGAATACCACTTGCAGACCTGCCACTCCTACCGAAAACTGGCGTCATTCCTTTGAAATCAAAGAAAGCAGTTACATTACGTAGTCCTTCCAGTATCAACTTTGTTCGAAACCGAATGCTGTATGCCAAAGCTGCATTGAACGCCAAACGAGAAGTCAGCTTCGGATTAAGGCACATTCGTAAGTCTTCTGCCTCCGCCTACTGGATTTGCTTATATCCCTAGATGTTCTCAATCGATATCCTCTCCCCAAAAGGGCAACAGAGGATAAATCTAGACACCCTCACACAATTCAAGTCATGATGTACATTTTCCCCCGCCAGTTTGGACTTCACAATGTCTTCACAAGCGACGTGGACCCAAAGCAGACAGTACAGCCATTCAAAGATTATACCCTGAGAGAAGACGAGATAAAAGCGAAGTTTCACGCAAAAGAACCCAAAATTCCCAAACGTTTGCGAGGGAAAGGAGCAGATTTGGTTCGCAAACTTCAGATTCGCCACAATCGATGTGCATACAAGCTGCTGCTGGAGCATTATTGTCCAGTAAGTGCCTTCTCCGGGCGCTTGACTTGGCTAACTTCTAGATCCTTGAAACCCCATTTCGCCTGCCTGATGTTGAGTCCACTGCCGGATCATCAAGCAAGTTCAAGACACAGATGTCAGTTATGAGCGAAGCGGACCCAACTGGCAAGACTCCAGATTTGGCGGCTATGCCTTCCAAAAAGCCAACCATGATGAGCCATGCTACACCTGCAGCCCAAGTGTCCGCTTTTTGCCGTGCAGTCCTCTCGCACCTGATTCCTTCGGAATTTTGGGGCTCGGGAGAGAGTGCTAGAGAGAACGAAAAAGTCTTCCATCAGAACATCAACAAATTCATCGAGCTGCGTAGATTCGAGACAATGTCCTTGCACCAAGCGACACAAGGATTGAAGGTAGTCAAACCCTGCAGCCATTGATTCTTGTCTAACAGCTTCAGATAACCGATATCGCATGGCTTGCCCCTGGCATCAAAGGCAAAACCTCGCAGTCCGACATTTCCAAGCGATGGGAGATATTCCACGAATTTCTCTACTATATCTTCGATTCTGTCTTGATACCGCTAATTCGATCCAACTTTCACGTCACTGAATCCAACATTCATCGATACCGTCTATTCTATTTCCGCCATGATGTCTGGAGAACTTTGGCTGACCCTGCGCTTGCATCGTTGAAAGTCACAATGTTTGAGGAGATCAAGCTAGAAAAGGCTCAGAAGCTACTGGAGTCACGAGAACTGGGCTTCAGTCAGGTCAGACTTTTGCCAAAGGAGACTGGTGTAAGGCCAATCATGAATCTTCGACGAAGAGCTTTGAAGAAGGTCCACCACTCTACAATGCTAGGACGGAGTATCAACTCGGTCCTGGCACCCGTTTACAACATTTTGAGCCTCGAGAAGGTAATTTGTCCACTCTGTTGACGATATGTGCTGACCCGCCAGACAACCAACCCTTCCCTTCTAGGCTCAACGCTATTTTCAGTTGGCGATCTCTACCACAAACTCGGCAGCTTCAAGGCCAGCCTCCCTAAAGCCCACTCCCCCCTCTACTTTGCCAAACTCGACGTTCGCTCCGCATTCGACACTATACCTCAATCCGCTATACTTAAACTCATCCGCGCCTTTCCCTCCGAGTCCAGCTACCGAATATCCAAATACACAACACTGAAACCAGGGGACAACCATATCTCCGACACGACCGCAAAGCCCATCCGCAAATGGACTTCATTAGCGCATTTCCCCGATGATTTCGATACCTTCTCTGAAAGCCTCTCATCCGGCCTCGCAGAAGGCAAGAAAAACACCGTCTTCACATCCAACGTTGTCTCCCGATTCTACGACCGAGACGAGATCCTCAATTTGCTAGACGAGCACATCAAACGCAACATGGTGAAAATCGGAAAGAAGTTCTACCGGCAGAAAGAAGGCATTCCGCAAGGCTCAGTCCTGTCTTCTCTACTCTGCAATTACTTCTATGCTGATCTCGAGGCTACGCATCTCGACTTCTTGGATTCAAACGAGAGTTTGCTGCTGAGATTAATTGATGATTTTCTTCTCATCACAACCAATCGTTCGCATGCAAAGAGGTTCTTGGAAGTCATGCATGAGGGACTGCCAGAGTATGGCGTTACAGTCAATCCGGATAAGACGCTGGTGAATTTCGAAGCTGCAGTGAGAGGGAGGAAAGTACCACGATTACTTGGGGATGGGGGGTTTCCATATTGTGGATCTTTTGTTGATACAAAGACGCTGGATGTTAGGAGGGATCGGGAGAGGAGGAAGGATATGGGTGAGTTCTTCTTTTCTTTGCGACTTGTGCATGTGGTGAGGGATTGTTCAATGCTGATATTTTACTTGCGTACAGCGGTGCAGGATTCCCTGACGGTGGAATTCTCGCGCGTCCCGGGAAAGGCATTCGGAAAGAAAGTGCTAAGTAAGTCAACCTTCTCCTTTAAATTTCATTCCTTCAATTCTTGTCCCCCAATCTATTGTTCTGGCATTGTCATTCCCTTCTTTCGTCCTCGCGCGCATATCCGTACAATGTCGTCGCAAAAGTTCCGCGCCCAATCTGCAGAACACCAACACTCGCTTCACTCTTGGCGGCCCATCCACAGGCCCTGCCAACTCAACCCAACTTCAATTCTTCTTCTGCGGTCAAACAGCCTAAGAAAAATCGATATATGTATCAAAAGAAAGCTGTTTCTGCCACATACGACCATAGACTGAGGAAAACTGGGCATCCCGTCCGCTCTGCCATACATAAGCCTCAGATCGGCAGATTAGTAGTTGGGTGGGTGACCACCAGCGAATACCTGCTGTTGTATGTTTTTTGCACCTTTTTTTGGACTTTCTGGCGAGTGCGAAAGATGCAACCGCTGGATAGGATATACCTCTCTACTTTCGCTTCTTATATTGATGTTTATCAACTCTTCTTTCCTCATTTTTCGTTTTTGTCCCCGCTCTTTATGATCAAGGAGAGGGCTACGCGCTGGCACTTTCCTCTGTCCCTCTTGTCAGAGAGTCATTCACGAACGCCTCCATATCTCCCATTCCACCACCCACCACTTCGATCTAACCCTACTAGAAACCACTAACATCCCTCTCCTCACCCATAGATTTCTTCAAGATCCAAGCACACGCTATGTTCCTCGACACAGCATTCAATTCCTTACAAACAGTCAAAACGAACATTTCAACTGCGTTCACCGAGACAGCTATCAAAATGTGGATGTATGCGCGTTGCTTAGGGAAAGGAAAAAGGCCGAGCAGTGGCATGATCTGCCGTAAGTACCTTCATCCATTGATCATTGTGTGGTATGATTTGCTTGTCAGAATGTTGTAGGTGATAAGAAGAGTGAATGGAGACAGAGAGAGCTGCATAACAGGGGAGTGGAAGGGAAAAGGCGCTGATAGTGAACACAGGAACGATCGAGAATCTCATTAATCTAGCCTTCGTACTCATGAAATCGAAAGCGAAGAATAAGAAAAATGTGGGATATAAATGCGGGTTGACAAAAGTGCAGGTTGAATGGTAAGTTCCCCATCTTCCTGCTCAGATGCATTTCTGCGTCGCGTGTGTGAGAACACATGGGCTGATCTTTCCGTTCCGGTGTAGGCTGGCGATTAATGCCTTCAGCGATGTCCTCGGTAAGAGACAGAGTGGATATAAAGAGGTCATTAAGTGGTTGGATGGTAGAATTACGAGGTTGAGGTAGAGAGTCGTTGATATTACCTGAGAACCAGAGGTCTTGAAATGGCCTCAAATGAACGTCACGATATGTAAGAGCCAAACAGATCTATTCTCAATGCAAAGAGCTGTCCTATGAACGCAAATCAACCACCTCACCCTAGTACGGAACCGATTGATGCCCAGCAACAACCAACAGCCCTACGCCACCGTGCCTGAAACCATAACGCTCTCCAGTACAACGCCGCACGATATCAAAGGCATGCATGTACCAGCTCAGGCCTAACCAGCCATTTAAGTGTCGGGCCCGAACTGCTTCCCCGAGTAGCTTCACATGCAACCGCACCTACCCCGCCTTCGACGTAAGCAACAAGCAACCAATCGCTAACACGGTATTTGTATAGCTCGAACCTTCATGCTGACATAGCTATATTTATGGTGGTAATGATGCGGAGGCATCTCCTGAGATCTCTACTTTCATACTAAGAGTTAGAAAGTTGTAAAGGCTTTTAGATTGAGGATTACAGAGTTCTAACTAAAAATCATAGGTGAAGAAACGCGTTCCGGATCTTGGGTTTCAATATGGCGACTCAGAAACCGACGTATACACTGGCTGGTGGTATGTACACGACTTCTGAGAACTTTCTTTGGCATTTTCTAAAAGCACGTTTCTAGGTCAGCCAAGTGCAAACCCCTCAGCTGCATTGCAAATTCGAGCTTCACAAGGAATTGGCGGTCTTTCGGTTCTAAGTGATACTCAATTGATCGAAACACTTGCTCATTTCGCACGCGAGAGAATTCCAGAGAGGTACCTACCACTACCCATATCTCCAAAATGCATCCCCACTCATCAACTAACCCTCCCTCCAGGAGCGTCCACGCCAAAGCCGCCGGAGCATGGGGCTACTTCGAAGTAACCCACGACATCACCGACCTAACCTCCGCACAATTCCTCACCCAACGCGGCCTCCAAACCAAAGTCCTCCAACGGATCTCCACCGTCGGCGGCGAAAAAGGATCCGCCGACACAGTACGCGATGTGCACGGCTGGGCGATGCGCTTCTTCACCTCCGAAGGCAACCAGGATTTCGTATTCAACGACCTCCCCGTCTTCTTCATCCGCGACCCCATCAAGTTCCCCAGCATGAACCGCAGCCACAAACGCCACCCCAGGACAAACGTACCGGATAATAATATGTTTTGGGATTTTCATGTTAATAATCCGGAGGGGGTACATGCCTTGATGCATCTTTTTGGGCAGAGGGGGATTCCGGCTTCGTTGAGGCATATTAATGCGTTTAGTGTGCATACTTATACGTTGAATAAGGAGGTTGGTATCTACTGTCCTCTTTTTCTCTCTCATCCCAGATTGAGTAATAGGAATTGGTTGATAATGTGAGCAGGATGGTAGCTACCGCTTCGTCAAATTCATCTTCACCCCCGACGCCGGGATCGAAACCCTCGACGCCGCAACCGCCCTTCGCTTAGCAGGCGAAGAACCAGACTACCACGTCAAAGACCTCTTCAACGCCATCGAGCGTGGCGACTATCCGACATGGACATTAAACGTGCAGGTTATCGAGCCGAAAGACGTGGCTGATGCGCCGATTGATATTTTTGATAATACGTTCACTTGGCCGCATGAGAAGTATCCGCTCAGACCGGTGGGCAAGTTGGTGTTGAATAAGAATGTGAGGTCCTTGTAAGCGAGAGGGTTTGGTTGATACTGATATGTGGGCATTGTAGCCGGATAACTACTTCCAGGATATCGAACAAGCTGCTTTCTCACCGTCACAGATGGTTCCCGGAATCGGACCCTCAGCAGACATGAGTATCGACCCCTTTCCATCCCTCCTTTCTCCTGAACTTATATCTCATCTCATCTCCTACTAACACCCCATCTCCCCAGTCCTCCAAGCCCGCATGTTCAGCTACCCCGACGCAGCGCGCTACCGCCTCGGCGCAAACTACCAACAGCTCCCACCCAACCGGCCCCTTGCCCCCGTCTACTCACCCTACCAGCGCGACGGCGCCGGCACCATAAACGGCAACTACGGCTCCGACCCGGACTACGTGCAATCCGAGTTCGTGCCCATGGCATTCCGACAAGGCGCTGCTCCAGTACATATGCAGTGGAGTGGAAAAGTGCAGTCGTTTGCTACGGGGGGTGTCACGGACAAGGATTTCGAGCAGCCGAGGGAGTTGTGGGGGATTATCAAGAAGGAGGGGGCGGATGGACAGTTTTTGGATAATATGGTGCCGACTTTGGTGGATGTTGTGCCGCATTTGTTGGAGAAGGCTGTTGGTGAGTTTGTCTATCTTTGGGAGTTGTGGAGGGAGAATGGGTGGTGAGGGAATCAATGACTGACTGTGACACAGCGTTGTTTTCGAGAGTTGATAAGGGTTTGGGTGAGTCTATTGCTGCGGCTGTGGAGGAGAGGAAAGCGAAACTTGGGAAGGCATAAACATGGAAGTTGGTTCTGGATATCCTGCTTGTAGGAGCTTTTATTTCAAAAGTTGATGTCTAAATATAACACTGTACTTGAACCAAATCATTGATGTCCTCCGAATACTGGTCCTATAGAAACAGACAAGTGAACTAGACACCCCTCAGAGCCGAGTGCCCTCAGAACTAGTTGACTAGGCTCTCAAGAATTAAATAACCCTCACCAACAGCCCCCAATCCCTGATCCCTCCTTCCCAACCCATCAAATCTCACCCGTAAAAAACAGCGACGGATCAAACGTAAACCCCGCATCAGGATCCCCATCCCCATCCCCAATCCCAATCCCACCACTCAGCCACCCCTCCCCATACTCATCCCCATCCCCATCAATCCCCATCCACCCCCCCAACAAATCCATCGGCACCTCGACCATCCTCATCCCCAACTCCATACCCATCCCCATCCCCTCCCCCTCCCCCTCCACATCCACCATCCCCTCCAGCAAGCCCCCCTCCTCATCAAGCAAAATATCCTCCGCCCTCACGGGACAATTCAGCACCACGGGATCCAACCCAGCTTTAACCCACGCCCTCCTCCTCGCCTCTCTAATGAACTCCCAAGCTTTAGAACCCGCTGTGCTGAGCGGTCGAGAATCCCAGTGTCCGTCCTCGGTCGATTGGATGCCGTTGTTTTCTTGCGGGCCGCACATGTAGATTGCTAGGTCGATGAGTTTGCGGGTTTCGCGGGCGAGGGGGGAGTTGGGATCTGTGTGTGAAGAGGAGGAGGAGGTGGTGTTGGTGGTGGATGAGGATGTGGATGTGGAGAGTGAGATTATGAGGGCCATGATGCTGTGGAGGGGTTGGTGTTGGCCTGGCCAGCGCCAGTGCCAGGGTTGGAAGGAGGGGTTTTGTGTGATTTTTAGGAAGCCGTGGAGGTATTTTCGGCAGCCTGCTATTGCTCTGGAGAATTTCAGTGTGTGTTGCTTCGGCGTCTTGGTGGCACTTACTGCGGATCTTTCTCTTCCAAGTATGTTTCTAGTTTCTGTCTTCTGACAGGTCCCTGAATAATAGCATATGGTTTTGCGGACAGAAGAGTGAGCACAGCCTTTCCGAATTGTGCCAGAACTGGATTCGATTGCGTTTGTCGAAGCATTGACATATTATCATGACCATTTAGCAACTCGTCCTGAGAAGCTAATTTGGACTCGATCTCAGTAATCTGCTCGATACGTGAATACAAGTCTGATCTGATAACATGTATCAAACTGAGAATATGATCTAGATCTTCACGAGAGAACCTATTCGAGTGTATCACACTCAAAATCCTGCTCGTTTTCCTGTAGAATTCAACTTTCCCTCTGACAAGCACGCCGAGTATTGATTTTTGGTGGTCCTGTGCTGGGATTCCGAGATGTGGTAGGTCTTCGGGAGCTTCGCTGGAATCTTGGACTTTGCAGGTTGTGCAGTCTATGATGGGAGGTAGACCGGCTGCGAGTGCTACTTGTACGTCGACGGCTACCAAGGACCACCAGAGCTGTCGACGAACTTGAATGTCGATTACGGAAAGATCTGGAAAGCTAGCTGGGTCTTTGTGTAGGCCTGAATTTATTGAGAAGTATGCTCTGAAAGGTCCGTATTAACACTTACCTAACATCTGTGCCACTCTGGTAGCTAAACCGACAAAGGAACAGCACGTTAAAGGTTGCTCTTCCCTCAGATAAATTGTATCTACTATCATGAAGGCAGCCAATGTATGTAATGAAGGAGACTGGGGGAAGTTTGTTAATCTGATGGCTCGCACAGCGCGCTGGTAAAAACTAGATGAGACGTCTTCTCTCGACCGTCCCTCAAATATCTCGGCGAGTCGTCTCCGCGAGGATATTGCACAGCCTGCGAAGAGTACAGCTGCCAAGAGAGCAAGGAAATGAATGTCCAGGTCGAGATCTGCCGGATCATGTCTATTCACGATTGGTCTGTCAGTACAGAAGCCTCATTCACATAGTGAGCCATTGAATGAGAATACGTACCCCGCAATATATTTCTGAGCCTCTTGCAAGAATGTAGGTCCATGGAAGAGAGGAGAGATGGTGTGATAGCCTTCCATATAAATCCAGATCAGGGCTTCGCACTGCTCTTTAGATGGCAAATCTTCCATCAGGTCACTTGCACTGCGTCTCCTTGTCGCATATCTGGGGGCATTGAGTTCTGAAGACCAAACAGGCGGTGGAGGGAAAATATCTCCGCATAGCTGCCCAGTCAATGTTCTACTTCGAGAAGTGCTTTCTTCAGTACTTAACGAAGCTTGTCGATATCGGCCGCTGTATGCAGCTTCTGACTCTTGAAGCTCTGTTTGAGAGGGGCTTCTCGGGTTATAGACATCGGCATGTGAGGAATAAACCTGTTGATTCTGAAGCAGCTGATTTATTTCGGTGACCTGGTAAAGGTCAGTAATTGGTTGCCACAAATCATTTCGATAAAAAGACATACTTCCTGACTTATCATGGCGAAGAAGTCAGGCGTGACGTATCGGCTCTTTGACTGTGGTCCAAGGTAGAGATGGCCATTCAGCTCGTCTTGCCCTCCTGGGGCCTGGGATGAATTTGTCGAATCTTCCTGCTTCAGAGCCCCACTCCCTGAAAATTTTTGATCAGCACCAGTTTTCTCATTATACTCTTCTATACGGACTCGAAAATTGGAAGACTTACTCATGTCCTGTAAAATCCCATCCAGCCGGTGTACTCTACCACGAAGAGAAGCATAGTCCGCCGCAACCGACGAGGTCTCATCTATGTCAAGATCCTTTTAGTACAGTTTAACACCAAACTGTGTTTAATGAAATGATCAACAGTACCTATGAAAGTGAGCTGTTGACTGCCATATCTGTTCCCCGTCTCGTATTGACAATCCAGGTTTCCTTGGCTACATCTACCACATCGAGGCCGAACCTACTCAGAACTCAATTGGTCTGCGAAACGGTACAAGACACATCTCATGTGTTTTCTGAATTATAGCATTGGATTAAGAAACCAACCTGATCACATTTTACTTTTCGCCGCGCACATCTGTGGCATGATCGAGAAGGTCGGGGCCTGCTCGAAGATGGCATTGAGACCCCCGACATCCTGCCTGTGAGTATTCCTATCTGTCATTCCCTCCTTGGACTGATTCTTGAGAAAGATTCCAACTCCATAGAATTAGCGCAATTGTAATTTTACATTAAGAATGACGGCCGTTTCGGCTCATGAAAGAATTACTGCGCTAAGATAGCTGTAAGCGGGGCTGATGAGGGGGAGTTTTCACGTGTAATCAGCGAGATTGGAATAGATAGCTGATAAGTAACTACTGGTACCTGAGATCCCGTATAGCCTTGACATATTAACTTGCTCTTGTTTGAATTTTGATTGATAAAGTCAGCAACATTGCTTGACTATACTCCTCATCGAAGACACGTGACGTTGTTTGCATTTCTACTTCCAGGTTCGATGCATCCCTATTTTCGTCTATGCTGAGCTGCTGAAAGTTTCAAGCTGATATTAACAGTCTATGTAGAGGATGGTTCAGATTTCAAGATACGAGAGAGTCTACATGCGAAGCCGTCGAAGGTAGTGCATTTCTCGACCTGGGCGATGAAAATGTTTCAGCTGGGATCGGTTGTCCCGAAGGCTAGAAACCTCCAATTTTACAAACTAGTGCATGGATTAAGATCCGATGAAAGCTTTTTCTATTGTACAAGATTGAGGATGTCCAGGCAAGCGATTGTGGAGTTATTGCGAAGTGATGGTTGTCAATTGACTTCTCGCTTATCCAGTTGTCTCTGAGGGAACAAACTTTAAACCGAATTGCTGTTGAGTCTCTATTGCTTTGTAAATATCAGGATAGCAAAAAAATAGTGCTTGATTCTGGTTAGCTATGGAAGATTTTCTTTCACAGCTCATGTACAAAGCAGGATTTGAAACATAGGTGCTGTATAGCAGTGGATTGCCATTTCTCCGGACTATCTGCATTACTCTTGATCTAGGGTTCGAGGTGGCTAGGTAAATAAGGATTGGACTGATTTAGCAGTTGATGCAAATTCTAGAAGATTTCTATCATTCAAATTTACGTTAGATTGGTTGTTCTGCGCCACGATATAAAGAAATCCACTGCTTAGCGCCTCTGTTTGCCATACTTGGGATTCCAGAGAATTAAGAGATTCTCGTCACTGTTACAATTGGGGTGTATAAGAGCGTCTCATGTGAAAATGCAAAGCGTACCTTAAGACAATGGCGCATTCATTTGATTCCATTTTTATTGTTCCATAACGGGGATCTTGGTCTGTGCTAAATCGAGTGAAAAATAGTCGTTCAAGTATCCTATCACTAGCACACAGACACAAAGGTTCTATTTGTAGCATAAAGCTCCGTTGATCAAGTTACTAATTTTGGATCAACACTAATAGTTTCATCTTTGAGTTCTATTATTATGATGGCAATAAGATGTCATGCTCCCCAAAGAAAGACAGACACTTTGTTCATCCAGAAAACATTATAAATACAGCCCAACCCGGTGCCCAAGAGTCTCTTCTTCTTCTTCATAAAGTATCAACAGCATAGAGTTTTTATACGAAAGACTGACAAAACACCGAAAGAGCTTTTCAACATATGATACGAAGAAGAGAAGCTTTAACACAAAGACCATCATGAGTAATATACAATTCACCATGACCCCAAAGCAAAGACGCGAGATTGGATACTGGGACGATGAAAACTTCACATGCTACGTTGAAAGGTGCACAAACAAGACAGGAATTCAAGGCGCCGCCTGTAAAGAACATTCGGTATTTATTCACATCTACACTAGCCCCTCGATCTGAATCACAAGGCAATCTTCACGGAGAATTCACTGACTTTGAATTATGCAGGATGAGAGAGCGCAGACCTACCCAAACGACCGTACGGGGTTTAGTTATGACCTATGCCTTCCGGGAGGCGAAACACTTGAGGGGAGAAATCCTCCTTATGCTCCACCCTCAGGAACGATCCCAGACACAAAGCCAACAGAATATCACACACCAGCCCCGCGTAAGTAATAGTCAGCGGAATTTGGGACGGACAAGTCGGCTTTTGTGGAATGCGTCAGGAATAGTTTTGGTTTTTCCTGGATTGGGATGATGCAGGGATCAGGGCTGTCGTTCTCCTTCTTACTATCCTTTGTTTTCGCAGGTTAGATCAGCAATTACGGAGAGGAATTCAACATATCGTTCTCCTGAAATAAATTCCCTTCTTTGTCTTTGTTGCTACTAATAACAGCTTCTTCCTGTTCAACACCCGATGAATCATGCATGCATGCGGGAGAAGATGAGGTAATATAAGATAGTCCACAGCCAAGTCAGAAAGAAGGCCTTGACTATTCCTGCTGCTGGGATGCTGTGTACTATTCTAGGTTTACCTATGTGTGGAAGAGAACGAAGAGTTCAGTGTGTCTGAAGCAGATGTTGAGGAAGTTTGAACCAGTCAGAGAATCATTGCCAAATATGCTCCTCATACTTGGCGACTAATCAACGAAGGAAGTCACTCACAAAATATACAGAATTAGGGACATGTTCAAACGAGCTGAGAAACAAAAGAGATGGAAAGTAGATCTGTCAGATCTAAACGCTCGCTCTCCATCTTGACAGTTGACCACTTTCCCGAAGAGATACTATGCAAATTGCCACAAGCTCCCTCTCTGAACCTTGAAATTCTTTTAAGTGCTCACATCACTCCCCTCCCTCGCTTCATTTCATCTCACGAGAGCTGACACGAAACTACCAGTCTCTCCCATCCCTCCCATCATCCCAAAATGGCACTCACATCACATGACACGCCACAATACCACCTCCGCGGAAACAACTACCTCACTTTACCTCACTTTACCTCTCCCAATCTTCATTAATCCTAGATCCCAGCTCGTTCATCGATCGAAAACTCCCACACTCGCACCAATCGCTGTCTCTCTCTTTCTCTCATCATCATCCCTGTGCACCCAAACTCAAACTCAAGGCATCCGAGGCATCCCATCTTTCGGTTCGCTTCGGTTCGCTTCACTTTCATCTGCGGATGCGATGCGGAGCGGTGCGGCAGCCGCACCTGCATGGTCGCCACGCCACGCCACCTCCTTTCGTTAAACCAACATGCGCCCGTACAATATTACAATATTACAATATCGTAATGCTGATGTGAGGCCAGGGTAAGAGATGGACTATGAGTGGATGGATATAAGCCGTTCCAAGGCTGGGCTGGAGGAAATGGAAGGGTGTGTGCGGTGTTTGGGTGAAGGGTTTCGTACGCTGTGATATGTGAGTGGATGGGTACCCGGTGCGTGGGTGTTACCAACGGTGAGATGGGTATATAGTGATGGGGGCATGCAGCTCAGCTGGCTGTGTGTTGGTTGTGAATTTTAATAAAAGCTTGGAGAATCGCAGCTAGATTGAAGAGAAAATCTGACACTTCTTTCCTCTTGATTTCTGTGAATTATTTTTGTAATTGAGACCGAGCACTACTTTTCTCTTCCTGGAATTTGATTTTGTACGAAGAAATTCGTTTCATCATGATCGACATCTTACTTTCCGACTCTCAAAGAGCAATCCGTGATAAAGCCGCCCAATTCGCTTCCGATGTCCTCATCACAGCAGCGGACACCTACGAGAAACACCCTACACAGAAAGAACGCTTCCAAGCCCTTCGTCCATTCTATAGCCAAGCCGTGAAAGCCGGCCTCATTAAGGGCCTCATCCCGAAACCATTCGGTGGGACAGCCGGTACTGTGGTCGAAGCAGCTTTGCTAGTCGAGCAGTTGTGTAAACATGATCGGAGTTTGTCGTTGACGATCTTCAGTACGGGGTTGGGATTGAGCTCGTTGTTGATTGCGGGGTCGCCCGAGCAAAAGGAGGAGTACTTGAAGCCGTTTTTGAGTGAGGAGGGTGAGCCACTGGCTAGTTTGTTGCATACTGAGCCGGAAGGGGTGGCGAACTGGTTGGAGAAAGGTGGGAGTGGATTGCGGACTTTGGCGAGGAAGGATGGTGATGAATGGGTGGTCAATGGTGATAAGGTAAGTTTCACGACGTCTTTTTGTGATGTCAGATGAATTAACATGGACAGATATGGGCGACAAGCTCCTGCGGTTGGGATGATCGTGGGCCAGATCTCATGTGTGTTGTTTGTCGATTCTCCGAAGATGGACAACCTCAAGAACCAGATGTAGATCCAGCAGAATCATCCATGATCCTACTCATTCCCCGTGAGGTTGTTGCGCAGAACAAGCCCGAAGCATACCAAGTACTCAAGCATATCGAAAGTAGCGGCTTCTCTGCAACGGGCGGGCCTCATATTCGATTCACAGACTTTCGTGTGCCAGGGAAGAACCTTCTTGCAGCTCCAGGTACAGCTGGTGCCGTTATCACTCGGGCTTTCACCTCATCCGCAGCACTTGTTGGTGCCATGGCCACGGGGATAATGGCTGCTGCATTTGAGGCTGCTCTTGCATTCGCCAAGTCTGATTTCAGAGGTGGTGCGCAGGCACTCTTAGCCCGACAGAGCGTTTCGGATCTTTTGATGGATGTGAAAATGCGGACCGACGCAGCTAGGGCAATGACTTGGGTAGCTGCGAGTGCCTTGGATAATGGTAGAGGTGGGGAATTGGCGCTTGAGACCAAGATCTACTGCTCGGAGCTTGCTGTAAAGGCCGTTACTGATGCGATGCTGGCAGTCGGAGTGTGAGTCCATCTCCATACTCATGGCAGGTTATTGACTCTCTCAGTTCCTCGTACAACAAAGACAGCCCATTCCCGAAATTACTGAACGACGCCATGTGTCTCCCATTGACCGGCGGAGGCAATGTTGGTATCCGGAGGCGACAGTTGGAGCAGATTTTTGTCGTTGATGATTACAAACCGTGGGCTGCATCTTTTGGTTAGGTGTCAATCAATTAGTCGCCAATCTCCATTTTCATCATCTGTATTTGGCCATCCAGTGAGCCTCGACTGCCGGATCGGGCCCGCGCATGAGCTTCATTTGATATGGCGATGTCGATCAAGTCAAGGTAATGTTCTGTTTCTTGTTAACCAGAGAAATTGAAGAGAACATGTGTACACTTACTACCAACATTCCATCGTTTGCCGAAATGACCCAGGGTACTCTTGAGACTGTCCATATTCGTTGACCATTCCGGACTTTGGAACTCATCACCCGAGAACTTTATGTACAGCAACGTTGATCTGTATACAGCATATGTTGCTGGCAGAGGGAGGGCCGGAAGGTCGATGAAAGCGAGATCCATGTGAAATCTTCGCGATATGTCGATCGTCATTCTAATTGCTGAAGCAAGTGCCATTCCAGCAGCTTCTTTGCGAGCATTGTATCCAGGTGATTCATCCATCAAGTTCCAAGTCTTTTCGTGGAGTAATACCATAGCACTGACGGATTAGTAGGATCCTCAAGCAAGCCATGAAGACGTACCTTAGGACAAGACCAATAGCGGCACAACATTCTTCCCAACCATTTATGGCTTGCTGGACAAGTACCATGGCGAATGACTGCATGGCATGATCGAGAGCTCGATACTTTTCGAAATCCATTTCCCGAGTGTAAGACGAATGTGCAATGAGGTCTAGTACCTGTCCGAGGAGATGTCCAGCTTCTGCAGCCCTACAGAAAGGTCCTAGCCGAGTAGTTGGTTGATTCGAGGCTGAAATGCCAGATGTGGTGCGCATCGATATGGGTGGCGGAAGTCCAGATTGTGCTTCTTCATCTACTGGCAATTCCATTGCTGGGGCGGCATCACTCCAACTCCCAACCAAGAGATGGATCTCATCGGGAGAAAGATCCTGATTCAAGTATCTGACAAGCGTTAGAAGATAAACTTTATCGTCATTCCTGGCACATACCTGTCCAGAGTGACAATTCCCCACCACAATCTCCCGAATTCAGTGTTCTGGATATTGCGCGAAGAGTTCCGATACTGCACAGCTTTCATTTTCATTGCCATTCTTGAACAAATGGAAATCGTGACCTGAGCAGCCTCGGTCATACCATGCCCAATCTCATACAGCGAAATGAGGAGTCCCGCTTGGATGACTTCCTTTGTCGATCTCCCCGAAGACACAATAAACGAGTAGAGAGTTTTCGTTTCATAGTAGAGTGGGGTCTGCATTTCTCTGAAGCTGCTGTTGTTTCCCGGGGGTCGAGTTACTAAGAACATGGCGAGGAGGAGTGAGGAAAGCTCCACATTGTTATCTTGGGTAATTGTTTCGAGTCGCTTCACGCAGGCCTCGGAGTCAATGACAGGTAACCAGACATCAATGGTCCGAAAATAGGTGGATGTCACAGATGGGACGCCATCTCCATTGGAAATGATAATGTTAAGAACCTGAGTCGGGATCGACGCTTCCAATTTCATCGATCGCGGGCATCCGTCCGACAAGGCATACGTCAGTTTGGCGGCAGTCTGAAGCTGAGGAAGACTCGAGCCCTCAACGGAAGAGGCCGGCGACTGTACTGTTGTCTTTGGAGGGTTCAGATCAGACGCACTATACTCATAATCGCACTTCAATAATAGCCTGAAGTGGTCGTCAGCGGGATATATCCATGCGATGGCGGGAGACGCACTTTGCACATCGTGCACAAGCAGGCAAGTCTTTGCTGCACTTCCTCTTGCCATTCTTACAATTCCAGCACACCTGTGCAGCGATCACTCCGTCGCCCATCTTGAAGCTCTTCTGTTTCTCCCTTGCCCGTCTGATCTGGGCGAGAAGAGGCTCTTCGAGGTATGGCCCCCCCTGAGGATCACGGTGAAGGATCGGAGACGAGGCTTCCCCTCACCACGTGACGCCGATTGTGAGGTTGAGGTTTCTGGATCAGCCCACCTGACACCGACGCCCCAGAGCACTGCTGCAGTGTGATTGTTAGTTGTAAATGCACCAAGCAGTAAGGACCGAACGGCATTGATAGGATGATATACTGCTGCTGATTTTGCTGATGTTGCTGACCTGGCGGACTCAAACTTGGACATCGAGGACTTGACGGAGTTGGTTTGGCTTATCGAATTGACTTTGCGGCTGACAGTCCAGCCGATCCGGATAGGGAAGATAATGATGATCCAGACGCCGGACGCTGATGGCAAATGTCTCACTGTAGCGAGTACGGTAACCTTAGACGAGACAGATGAGTGCCGACAGGACCTCAACTCCCTCCCCCCCTAAGGTAGCATTGTTTCAACATCCAATTCTTCATCCGCCGCGATGTAGGTAGGTTCTTTACTGCTGTTGACTTTTCCATAATTGACAACAGAATTCGCGAACGGCATTCTCCAGACTTCGAATTGACACGGATTCTTCCTGGCATGGCCCTGCAATGGTACGTCGACTGGGTCCGACTCCTCAAGCTAGAGTTGGAATGCTCGAAGACCTCTAGAAAGTTTCCCTGGCCGGTAGTCTGAACTTTAAAAATCGTCTCGTAAGTGCATGGGAGAATCTGCGACACTCATCGAATACCTTCAGGACCGTCCTCGCCACTTCTGAATCGGTTCCCAGCGACCCTCGAGTACATCATAGCATCCGGGCCACATATCGAAAGGGCTCTCTACATCACTCGTAGAACCCCTGGCTCCTATATCATGATCGATGGGTGGTTGCTGTTGACCGGGTTGGAGAACAATGAACAAAGGATATGAGGCGATGTTTTGAAGTCGAAGCTAGAGGTGTTCTAGAAAGAGTCCGGTGGTTTGGTAGTGCGTCAACTCTGCTGGCGTGGATTGTTGCAACCTTCATGGGAATGCTGTTACGCGCCCTCGAGGCGCCAACATTTCGACAAGACCGACCGTTGCGTAGGGCACAAGTTAGAACGCCTCTTCAGCCAATGATGGGATTGGCGTCACAACGGTCACAGCCGCTGGTGTACCCAAGACCCGATGAGCACCATCGTACGATGTCATAGGATCATTTCACACGGGCACGACACAGATGTATACATAACCGGAAGCGAGGTGGCAAAGGGCCAATCACGACTTTCAATGCGATCTGGAAGTCAGTTGCAGGTAGGGAAAGAGTTGGAGGATACCAGAGCGTAAACTTTACTTCACTATACCAGCTGCAAAGGTACATTTACTATGAGTTGAGTCACGAGACTGAGTGATTGTACCAATCTATTCTCTACACGTCGTCAAGCTTGGTATTACTATCTCTAGCCTTTCGCGGAATATGTGCTTATCCTGAACTTTGTCTCTCCATTGTACACCGATAGATCCTCAGTTGCTTGTTTTCCTTCCCTTTCAATCGTCTTTCTGATCTCCTCATTCCTCGGAGTGATCCTACACTTGAAGAGGTTGGGTCGGATGTTTAGTCCATCACTATTTTCTAGTCAGCATTGCCAAACTCTAGGCCGGTCTGCGTACGTGTAGTCAAAGATGTCCACCGGAATATCATTTCCTGCTTCGTCCACAGCTTTTTGGATATTGAATGCCCATAATAAGCGAGCAACACTGATGAATGTGCCCTGCTCAGCAAGCGCTTGACCGGCACATACTCTTCTTCCCCAACCAAATGTCATATAGCCTCGCTCGTTCGGAAATGGCCGATGATCTGGATTACTTTCCAAGTACCGTTCGGGATTGAAGCGGTCGGGGTCTGGAAAATCTTTCTCGTTTCTGTGGATTGCCCACACGTTTCCTTGGACCCAGGTATCCTTCGGTATCAACCAGTCCTGCAAATGTCAGCTGCCGTTAACCCCGAAAGACAGAATACGCACCTGATAAATCTCATCTCGAATGGGAGCATGCGGCTGACCACCAAGGATCGCTACTGACCTCCACCGAAGCACCTCCTTCACAAGCGCTTTAACATACACTAAATCCTTCTCATCCTCAAAACCCGGACTTCGATGCGGCCCAACAACCCTATCCAATTCCTCCCAAGCTTTCGGTAGACTCTCAGGGAATGCGCAGCACGCCAAAACGAAAGTGATCAACGTCGAACTCGACGTATCGCTTCCAGCTCCGAACAGCGAGCCTGCCAAGGTTGACAGCTCCATGTCCGATAAATTGTACTTGGGAGCTTGTTCGAACAGCTTCTTGGAATAATTGTCTCCACCTTCCGTGTTGGCTGCTTCCTCTGCTAGGGCGTAGAAGAAATTCTTAGCTCGAGGTGTTCCAAGTCCTTTCTTCCAGGGCGCGATTCGATTTGGGAATTTGGCGAGCCAAGGGAACGTTTCCATTAGCATGGGAAAGGTCTTTCCGGGTACATTGCGTTCGGCTGCTCGTTGCATGAGAACTAGTGAGAGGATCAGCAGTTGTCACTGGGTTCGAAGGATGTTGATTCTATATGCGGAGGCCTGCACGATACAGAGAAAATGGCGAGCACCTACATATAACTTCCGTGATAATCGGATCCGTAATCTGGGATATCCTCCTCCCAAACCCAATAATCGACACAACACTCGCAGCATACCTCTCAAAATGCGCAACATAATTCTCAGAATCAGTAAGCAAATTCCTCAACACCACCTTATTCTCATCACTCTGCAACTTCTGATAGTTGCGAACCTGCTGCAACCCAATCCCCATATGTGTCAACTTTCTATGAACACGAAACCGCTCTCCATACTTCATCGTCACCAGACTCGTCTGATCGAATGCCAATTCTCCGAAAACTATCATTCGTGGTCGAGACGAGAACGTAGCTGCTCGTTTGTCGAGGAGATCAGATGCACTTTTGGAGTCGTTTAGCCAGACGGTGGGGTTGCGTCCGATCCAGAAGGTGATTATGCCTGAGTTGTACTGCTTGGAGAGTGTTTCGAAGTAGATCCATGGTTTTCTGTCAGGTAGAAGATGCGTGTTGCCGATAATTGGGAGAGGGAAAGGTCCTGGGGGCTGAGAGGATGAGTAGTGTTTTCGTGAGATGGGACGGGAGGCTTACCATTTTTCGGCGGAGGAGAAGCATACGTGTGTAATCGATTATGAGCAATGCTGCGCTTGCAGCTATGAATATTAGAGCTACATGGCTGAATGTGAGACCACCAGCAAGTTGGTGTAAATGTGACAAAGCTGGCATGCTGTCCGAGTGCTCAAGAATCTCAATCACACTCATAAAGGAGCAGGATGTTGTTTTGCCTTGGCAAAGTGCAAGAATTAATAAACTTTAGATCTGGATGAGCTTGACAAAAGCTTCGAAATCCCATGCTCGGGAAACCTCCACCTATATAATTTCGAAGCAGGTCTTCTCATTGGCCCTAGATTTCTCGATTTAGTCTTCGGCAGAATGAAAGCGATACTTGATCCCAGTGCTTCACCCCACATTCTAGTGCGGGGTACAGATGGGATTTGTTGGTGGGGCTATGAACCCCTCCATTGCCTTGCAGGGTTGATATTAATGTTTCTCCTTAATATAACGGCTATCCCTGGAACTATAATTGTATGTATGGAGAAGAACAGTGAGTAAACACCATGGCTTCTCGCTCGGAATTTGGCGAGTCAACAACAGCGACTGAAGTCGCCAATGCATTCTCGGAGCAGGTCAAAGGCAAAACAAGTAAACAACCCCTCGGCTATCACTTACTTGTCTCCCAAACTGGAGAAAAAGACTGACACCACCCAGTCCTCATCGTAGGCGTCTCACCCCAAAGTCTGGGCGAGCACATCGCGCTCTCCATCTCCCAGCACTCACCCTCACATCTCCTCCTCGCCTCCCGCACACCCAGCAAAGTCTCAACCGTAATCTCTCAAGTCAAAGCTATCTCACCAGCGCTCAAAGTTATGTCCATAACCATCGACCTCTCATCTCACCGATCCGTTCGTACCGCAGCAAAAGAGATTCTATCCCAGGCCCCAAAAATAGATATCCTCATCAACAACGCAGCCGTCAATGTCCAATCTTACGAAAAGACCGAACAAGGAATCGAAATGCATTTCGGAACTAACCACACCGGTCTTTTCTTACTTACCAACCTCTTACTCCCCTCTCTCATCGCCGCCGCCGCCTCATCATCCTCAAAGCCAGGCCAAACACGCATCGTGAATCTCACAAGTGCAGGACATAGACTTAGCCCAATCCGTTTCAGCGATTGTAATTTCAAAAGGAGAGTCGAGGATCTTCCCGAGGAAGAGAGGCCGCCTCCTGGATTGCCGGGTCCTTTGATGCCTGCGCAGGGAGAGACGTATAATCCATTTCTGGCGTATGGGCAGAGTAAGACGGCGAATATACTGTTTAGTGGGAGCTTGAATAAAGCACTTGGGGAGAGAGGGGTGAGAAGTTATGCGGTACATCCGGGGTGTAAGTCATCTCTACCACGAGTAGACTCTGGAGTCTGGATTCGCTGACGTGGAGTATAGCGATATGGACAGGGTTGGCGAGGAATTTGGATGAAGAAGGCCAGGAGCTCATCAAGAAGACGGGGAAGGTTTGGAAGACGGGCGACCAAGGCGCTGCTGGGGCTTTGGTCGCTGCTTTTGATCCAGCTTTGAATGGTGAGTTTCCTGCTTCAATGCACTTTTCGTAAGGTCCTACTAGCATGTTTTATGCTCGTGCATGCTGGGATGAGGCTGACAAGACGTAGTAATTCCAGAGGGAGGGTATTACATGGCGGATTGTCAAGTTGCTGAGGCGGCTCCAAGCGCGATCGATGAGGGTATGGCGAAGAGGCTGTGGAGTTTGAGTGAGGATTTGGTGGATCAGAAGTTTGACTTGACGAGTCTGTAAAGAGGTATCGAGACTTTAGTCCAGAATCTCGGGGCTGCTAGACTGGTAGGATCTATGGAGTCTGCCTACGCCAACTAGAACGTGGCAGAACGAGTCCCCGCATAGACCGTAAAATGAGATGTTTCACGAGTATACTCTCACTCGTCGTTGGCGCAATTGTATAGAGACTTGGAGGTGCCAAACACATTCGCGGTCACGTGAGCGTACCTTGGTCACCTCCAATTGGACTGAAAGGCACGACGGTTTGTAGATATGCTTTGACATGAAACCATACACAGTAGTCAGAAAACTATCATGCTGTCATTACTAGAGTTACATTTGACCAGACTACGGATTTCGGATAACGCAGTATGTCCGCTTTTCATATGTCCTCCCAGCTGCGGCAGAAGCTTACGTACCCCGGCACAAAGCAGCGCCCCATTGAACTATGCTTAGAAATGACCTCAAGAATATCACTTTTAAGGTTTTGGAAAGTCTTGTTGATTGTGCAGGAATTCCTAATTGTTATCATACGATCCGCTCTTTATGCGTCCTTTTCTTTATAAGATAAATCTCAGGTACTTTGAACACGGTGAAGAATCGCAGAGATGCTACCTCCAAACTGATTATCCCGCCGCTTTACACCTCGGAAACTTCTAATTTCCGTCGCTAAGTTGATTTCGCCGGCATCCTTTGGCTGCGGCCTATTCAGTTCACCTCCGTTGAAATTTTTTATATATGATCAAAGGTATGAGCTTAAATATATCTTCGCTGGATACATTCTTCCATAGAATCTATGACTCGTGAATGTTGTTCGGAACCATTAGCCGATCGTCCAATTATTCGCCGCCAAGAGACAATCGATATGTCCACCATGCCGGCAAAGGCTTCGGATGTAAGGAGGAAACACCCTTGTATGTATTTTACAGTTTGTGATATCTCAAATTTCTTGGTGGATACACTCGGCCGCTAATTTGCTATCATACAGGTGTGCTTTGCCAGCAGCGAAAAGTAAAGTGTGATAGGAACGAGCCATGTGCAAATTGTGTGAAATCAAGAGCAGAGTGCATTTCACCATCCACACTACCACCGAAGAAAAGGAAGAAGAGATTTCCGGAAGCGGAGCTACTTGCTCGATTGAGAAGGTACGAGGATCACCTGAGGGTAAGTCGCTCCCCTTTTGCAGAATTGATGGCGGGGACTTCATCCAATTTCAGCGTAATGTCCCGAGATTTAGAAACCTTCCTTGATCAAGGAGCTTACGGTGCATATCTGACGAGTGTTCTGTCTAGGCTTATGGTGCCGATATCGACGCTATCAACTCTGGGGGAATTGTGCCGCTCCCAATTCCTACTTCTAAACCACTCGACCATGGTACAGAGGCAAATGATCCCCGTGCGGTGGATCAGCATATAAAATCATTGGCTATCAGGCGGTCACTGAAGCATACAACTCAGTAAGTCAGCATACCAGCCCACTTCTTTCTTGCAGTTCCTTCTCAATTCACGTGAAAAGTAAATTGGATCACTGCCCGGCGCTAATGTGTGGTCTACAGTACCCCTTGGACCGGTGTGGATGAAGAAGTGAGTAACTACCTTCTCGAAGATTTACTCTTCCTAATGAATATAGTTCCGAGATGCGGAAGACATCCTTCAAGGATCTTCGGGGGATGAAATGTATAAAAAACCCATCACAAGAACCTATGATGCTATTCATTCCGACGGTGGTGACCTTCTTTTCTCCACTCCCGCCGCCGACAGAATAATCGACCTCCACCCCTCAACCGTTCAGATCTTCCGACTCTGGCAAAAGTTCCTTGACAACGTCAACCCCGTCCTCAAGCTTTTTCATGCTCCAACAGTCCAGCTTCAAATTTTAGAAGCTAGCGCGAATCTAGAGAATGTGTCCAAAGAAATGGAGACGTTGATGTTTGGTATTTATGTTACAGCCATCTGTTCGCTTAGCGATTCCGAGTGTAGGAGTATATTTAGTGAGGAGAAGGAGGTTTTGCGTTTGAGGTATTCAGGAGGTGCAAGGCAGGCTTTGCATAATGCTGGATTACTGAGGACGTCAAATCTTACCATTCTACAAGGATTTGTGCTGTACCTGGTAAGTCTCACCTTGATAGATGCCTTGTCAATTCTGAGAGCTGATCCTACATTTTCCAGGTATCCTGCCTTAATTTCCATGGTGAGTAGTGTCCAGTTCCCAGGCACCTCGAGATGAGCAAAGCTCAATGGTTGGAAATAAATTATATACCTTGAATTTCTCTCGATCCAAACTAACGTTTACAGTTGATCCACGATCCCTATTCTGCTTGACAGGTATTGCAGTACGCATCGCTCAGAGAATGGGGCTTTGCTACGATGCCGCTAGCTACGGTCTTCAACCCTTTGAAATCGAGATGCGTCGACGTCTCTGGTGGCAAATCATGATCCTCGACTTCCGCGTCGCTGAGCTCTCAGGAGCCGGCTGCTCGATCCTCACCCACGTGTGGACGACCAAATTCCCGTTGAACGTAAACGACAGTGATTTATACCCAGACATGCGTGAACCTCCCGCAGAACATAATGGTGTCACAGAAATGGTATACGTTCTTCAAGTCTGCGAAATTACCTCGTATTTCAATAAGATGCGGAGCTCACATGCGCCGCTGCATGTCAAGGATAAAGAAATTGATGAGCTGGCTGTGCATCTTGAGAAGACTTACCTGCAGTACTGCGACCCTTCCATCCCACTACACGTCCTCACCATTCTGATGGCTCGGACGCGCATCGCAAAACTACACATGGGCCCCCGCCACTCACATATGATTCAATCGAAAAGCATGGGTAACGCTGAAAAAGAAGGATTGTTCAGCCTGAATCTACAAATGCTGCAAAATCACAACACACTAATGGGATCGAACGCCATGAAAAACTTCTTCTGGCATATCGTCATCAATTTCCCATTCCCAGCCCATGTGTTCCTTCTCACGGCGTTGAAGACAAGAGTCCAGGATGAGATGAGCGATAAGGCATGGGAGGCCTTTTCGGAATTCTTTCGCTTGAGAATGATGCTATGGGACAGAAGCGAGACGGTGAGACCGAAGGAGAGTGCACTGCATGCCGCGTTTGCGAACCTAACTGTCAAAGCTTGGGATGTGAGGGAGAAGGCGATACCTGGCATTGAAGTCCCACCTATGGTTGCTACGATGAGAGAGGAAGTCAAGGCGAAGAAATCGCCCAAAGACACCATGACTGAAACGCCGCCCGTGGTTGCTAGTGGTGGGAATAATGGTGATATGTTCACGGATTCATTCTCGTGGATGGATCAGCCGAATGTGGGGATGGGACCAGTCACGGATCTGGGGTCGGGTGTTATGCATGGTATTATGATGGGACAGGATAATTCGTCGGTGGGTATGGGAATGGGATGGGACTTTTGGAATGATTTGATGCCGGTTTATGGCGGTGGCAATGTAAATGGTCAGGAATATGGGACAGGACAGAACATGTATAGTACGTGATGGACTTTTTGATTCTGAATATGTATTAATAGGTAGCGGTAACCCTTCTCACCTAAGGTAGGAGTATACTTGGAGTGTACAAAATAGACAGTCATCCATAACCAACCCACGTCACTGTCCCATCCCAATCCAGCCTCACATTCAGCCTCTCCTCAACCCAATTTTTAATCGAAACTGAATCTGGGAAAAGGAATCGAGTGTTCTCGGGAAAGTCAAAGTTTGGTGTCTTGCGAACCTATTAGTCTCTCCTTTGAGATCGTTGCTATCATGTATCACAACAAGATGGTATCCAGACTTACCGAAGGGTTCGGCACTTGGAAGTGGTACGATGGACCGAGAAAGATCTTGTGGCCGCGCAACTTATTCTCCCACTCATCAACGGAAGGAGCTCCTTCGGGTTGGATCCGTCGCGTGCCGGGCTCATGGGATGGCTCGGTGGGGTTGGTGGCTGAGATTAGCAAAGCAGCTCTCAAGACGAGGACTGCAGTGACGAGGATCATGGCGCCCACGATCGCAGATTCCTGAACGATCCAGACAACGATTGTCAACGACCTGATGCTTCAATGCGACCCTGCTTTGCTGTGGTTCTTTGGAGAGCTTAAACAGGATGCTGGAATTTTGTTTGGGGAATCACAGTGGTGATTACACGGGTCCGGTAAGTTTGAATCTTGGTGAGCGGAACTAAGAATATCTCATCCGGTGATAAGGAGACGTTGAAGCTGGAGTTCCAGCTTAGGTCTATCATCTGTTATCTTCTTAACATTACAGTAAACCATTTAGAGGTGCAATGGAATGCATGATGGCGGCACCATGGAAGCGAACCAATCAACACCAGGTCCATCTTTGCTACAGTACTGTACTTCGGTTGGTCATTTTTGGTTATGAAAGCTCCTAATCTACACATACATCCACGCTGCCAGACAACAATATATCCTCACAACTCCACCTCGAGGTACATTTCATCAAGAGCAGAACATCCTTTCCAGTATAGCAACACAATCAGCTACTCCATCCCTGTACGCCTATCCCACACTCATGCCACGAGCTGACTTCAACCTCAACTTGACAACCCCCGCACACCAACAGCCAACAATCCAATCCTACAAGAATAAAACAAACAATATACTCAAGGCCAACGATAGCTGAAGCCTCTCATGGCTCGCTCATAAATCTCCCTCATTCTTTCGATAACGGACTGGACCTGCTCATCAGCATCAAATAGATCCCTCACTTCTTTTCGCTTCATCTTGTCAGAGTTGTCATTCAGTCCGGCGTCTGTCATCATGCTCTTGAACTTCATATAGCACAGACTGGCAAGGTGTTTGTATTCATCAGAGTCCTCGAAGACGTTCTCGAAGCCTGCACGGATTCGGCAGCGATCGCGCAGAGTGGTTCTCATGGACTCGATCTCAGCCAGCTGTTGCGATTTAACAGTCGCATGGAAATCCGAACAGAGCCTCTTGTGGTAAGTCTGATTAAACATCCTGCGATCCTCGTCGCTGCTCAGAACTCCGAGGAAGAACAGTGCTGCATCTGCGGCGAAGTTGGGGCGTCTGATCATTCTTTGCGCGCTTTTAATGACTGCTCTGTTTTTCGTCCCGCGATCATCATACCACCTGCCATCAAAACCCATGCGACCCTTAGCATACTCCCACCGGATCCGTCTAGCGTGGATACCAGCCTGGACAAGCGGCTCTCGTGTCTCTAGCTGATCTTTGAGTTTGGAGATCTCTTCCAGTTGAGTGTCGTTTCTTGCCGCTAAAAGTCGAGAGTTAATTTGAGCTGAAGTGAGCTCCTGGATCTTGGAGCGGCAAGACTCATGATCCGATCTTACTGTCTCCAGTTCGTCCTTGAGGCTATGCAGTGTAGATTCAGCCAACTCGAGCCTAGCTTGAGAGCAGTTGTGGGCAGACTGCTCTTTGTTCAACAAGATCTTGAGGTTGTCGTTTTCAGAAAGAAGACGTCTATTCTGCTCTTTGATATCGTGCTTGGAATCCGCAAAAATCTCCTCTTCCTTCTCCGAATCATTACAAACTTTGTGGAAAATTTCGTCGAGCTTCCGCGCATCTCGATCCTCTTTCTTCTCCTGTTCGAGGCGCAGTATCTGATTCTGAGCGAAATCCGCAAGTTTCTTGACCTCATTCAGTTGAGCCTCAAAGACACCATTCTGCCGGACAGCAATATCCATCTTCCTCGAAAGTTCTGTCACCTGCTGTTCAGTCGCATTTCCAGAGTCTGTAGCCACTTGTTGTCCAGATGACTGAATTGTAGTTACCTGGGATCTCAAGAAAGAATTCTCGTCGAAGAGATGAGATATCACAGCAATTTCGGTCTCCCGGGCTTCCTGCAATGCCAGAATCTTTGTGTGAAGAAGTGCTGTTTCTGGGGCATTGATTTGATATTGAGGCGCATTTTTGAGTCCCTGAATTTCGTCCAGCAATACCTGCATCTCCGCCGACTTGGCCTTTTGGATGTAGCCTTGCTTTAGGATAACGACTTCTTGCTTAGAAGATTCATATTCTTGGAGAACTTGTTCAAGGCGACATTTGGTATCTTGATTCTCTCTGGATATGATTGCATGCTTTTCCTCGAGTTGAGATAGTTGTACTGATGTCACTGAACTGACCCCCTCTGCTTTTGCCAACTGTTGTTCAAGTGCCTTCAGCTTCTCTAGATAGAAGTCATTGTTCTTCACTAGTTGAGAAGAATTTTGTAGCAGACTATCTCGGACTTTATCTGATGTCTCAAGCTCGATCGTAATAGCCGAGAGTTTGTTTGATAGTGCCTCACGTTCTTTGTATGCTGCGGCACTAGCTGCTTTCGCATCACTCTGTAGGGTCTCGATTTTATGCGTCAGTGAAGATTTCTCTTCGCTGAAGCGTGCCTGGATAATGTCAATCAGGGCTTGGAGATCAGCAATCTTCTCTTCGGACTTCGTCGCGTCTTCTGCTTGTCTTGACTCTGATTCAACTAGCTGGGCCCCGAGCACTGAAATCTTGTCCGCCAACGCCGCTTCCTCCTTAGCGAAGTGCTCTGTAACTTCTTTCATATTAGCATGAAGCTGAAAGATATCCATTTTAAGCTCATCTGTCAACTTCTCGTGAGCGGCTGTCGCATCGATTGCAGCAGCTCGAAGATTAGCTGTTTCTTCCAAGTGTGCTTTCGCTTCCTTGCTCTTTGCTGTCGATACTTCATCAAGCTTGCTTTTGAGTTGGTCGACGCTTTCTTGGGCAAGTCTCAATGTCTGCTCAGTGAGACTCAGCTCCTTGGCAGTCATCTTCAACTTGGCAGTGGTCACCTCGGAGGGCTCGTAGGAAGTTGTAAAGCTTTCTGTGCTCGAAACGGAACTAGCTCTTTCTTTCTTGGTGCGACACGCGTCGTCTAGAATCAACTCGGAGATGCTGGATGCGGTGCTTGCAGTGACAGTACCTGGCACAGGTGCGCTAATCGAAAGACTGATTGGAGAGATCTAATGTTGTTAGTAAAGCCATGGCGGATAAGGAATTGCCCACACATACCGACGAGTACTGGCAAAACTCATCTTTGCAGTCATTTTGAAGTTCGCGAAAATCAGATACGCCTACCGATGTTCCATCATTGGCAGACGAGCTTCCACATGGAGAAGGAGAAACGGTATTGTCAGCTCTCAGCGGCTTTGGCACAGTGTCAGTGTGAACCGAAGAAAGAAAACAATCCCAGCTCACCATTTTGTTATTTCTGCGACGCATGGTATCTTTCGCCCGTGGCGTCTGAACATTGTGAGACTGAACGTTATCACTCTTGACTGGAGTATTGGTGGACGCATCCTGCGTCTTGTTCAAGCAGACTGCTGCGAGACCTTGGTCCAAGAAAGGTAACATCGACGAACTCAGTTCTTACAGAGCCTGGAGTTCGCTCTCAAGGTTGCGGCCCCTAGAGTTCCACCAGCTGGAGAGAGGTTTAAGGGAGAATGGTGTTGATTGAGACGCGTATTTAAAGTTGGCGTTCACGGTAGGAAAGTAAAGGGAGCAGAGTGAAGGAAAGGTTCGACCTAGCGTGGTCCTAGGTCCGTGCTAGTTCTCGGTTGATCTGACATCAATATTGACACTGCCCTGAACTTCTGGCTTCGTTCATGGGACCATACATCTCTGAGCTTTTGTGATGCCATGCCTCTGAAAGATTCGTGCCATAATCCCATATATCAGGTCGAATGTGGCTCACTGAGCACCTGTCGTCTTGTACAGTGATGATTATGCAAAACTGATCCGCCTAATTCCCATAGTTTGGGATGTGAGTGTATCTATTCGGTTCCATCCTCTGCTGTCTATGCTACTTGAGTGATGCAACCTTTAAAATACGACTCGTAATTAATTTGGTATCCAGGAAATAGCCTGCAAGATGAAATTCTTTGTGTAGTTCGTGATTTGTTTGCGGCAAATATCGTTTCCCATTCAGCTTCAAAGTCCAAAAAGCTTCAAGGGAGAGAACCTAACTTTTCTGGGGACATCTACAAACAATCTTTCGAGATTTAGGCATCTTTCAGTGAGTACGTGATGTAGAGAAGACGAAAAGTAGCAGAGCCAAGGTGCGCGAAGTCCGCTTAATGCTCTGGATCTGCTGTGTCTGCTCATAGATCGCAATGTTCTGAGACCTTGGTGACCGTATGCCGCCACAATAGAATATCGCAAAGTTTGGGTGTTTTGATGACAGATGTTCATTGACTGAGAGACGAAAACTGATGCCATGGGAAAAAGAGAAGATTTTGGAGAATAACCTCGAATCCCCAACCTCTATCAGCCATTCCCCGCGCAAAAAGACAATGCTCCCGACCCCTCCAGATTTTGTAGAAGTCGAAAATGAAATTCCAAAGCTCAAACACCTCGTTTCATGTTCCTCGTGCGAATGCACCTCGCCCGAGAACTCAGAACGCTGCTCAAAGGTCAGAAGATGTTCTGGCTCCCAAAACATCACAAACATACCGAGGAAACTTAGTTAGTGCTTCAAAAATTGAAAGCATAATGCCAGAACCAGGTTAGACTTTCATGATTTCGATCAAGAAATGCCGAACCTTGTCTCCAGAGTTCAAATGTTTCCCAAGGAGACGTTTTGAATGCTCTCTAAGTCCAGATCAGTAAGTTCAAGATGAGACTTCAAGCAGATATTGGGGTCCTCACCAGGAGATCCAGAACGCTCCACCAATGATGCAGTAGTACCGTTTTCTCTACTAGAGAACAGATCTTGGCTCTAACATCAAGAATCACTTGGGGCCTCAGCCTTAAGAAGATGAGTAGGTCAGTTGTCGTTCGCGGTAAACTTTGAATGTCTCGTTGGCTATCTTCTTCATTTCCACACGGATTTGCTCAATGTGTTCGTTGTTGTCCATCTCGGCGTCAAGTTTGTCTTGGTCTGACGGACTGGCCTTTTGGTAGTCACCACCCTCGATATGATTTGAAATCCATGCCTCGAATTTGTTCCATAGTCTAGTAAACTTGGCTTCATTCTCTTGAGTACAGCATGAATGTGGAGTGTCGAGAAAATAGGAGAACAGTTCCGCATGGATATTCAAGATCTGAATCTCCTTCCGGCTAGTGATTCTGTCCTGTGTATGACGCTTGTATTTATTGACAAAGTCAGGTATGCGCTCTTCCGTCAGTAGATCTCTTTTAAACAGCTTTTGATCCCCCGCAACATCACCGCGATGAGCGACATCATTCTTGTCGCTGACTGCCTTGTGATCGCGAAGGCCTCGACCTGGAATCTGCTCCCATCTTCCACCAGCAATGCGCCTGCACTTGCCTTCTTCCAGAAAACCAGCACGGATCTTGGCGGAGGTTTCTCCAATCTCTTGAAGGTCATCCTCAAGACTTTCCACGTATTTATCAAGACGATCCTTCTCGACCTCTAACTCGCGTAAACGACTTTGACTGTTCTCCAATTGGCCGTGGCATTCGGAGAGTCGTCTTTGCAAATTGTTGATATCAGACTGGTGTACAGATTTCAGGTTCTCGATGTCCTTACGAAGTCGTTCAATTTCGTTGGCATGGCCGTTATCTGCGAGTGACGCTCCGAACTTGTGTGATATAAGATTGAGATTTCCGGCATTATCGTAGAGGAGATCGAGGTTGCGGACATCACAAATCTGCCCAATGGATTCCTAGAACGGCTTTAGCAGGGGTGAAAAGATAACATAAGGTCATTATTCACCAGAATTCCACCCAAAGGCGCAGACATCTTGGCAGTGTAAGTTTCAGTAACCTTTGAGGGTGTGGAGGTGTTCAGAATCGAAAGCAAACTGCCAATCTTTTGCTCCAGGACTGATAGCTCAGCGGCAGCCAGCATGGATACATCTGCTGCACTTGTACCATTTCCAATAGATAGAAAGTCAAGATACAAATCCATATTCTGAAAAAATGCATCATCAGTGACCCGTTTTAGAATGACAACTTGAACAAGTTTTGGCTTACCTCTTTCACTGTACCAATGTTATCACGAAGCTTTGTGGCATGTTCGAGAAGTACCTTTTGAGCGTTGTCGAGCTCAACTTTCTCTTCGCATGTGGAAGTCTTCACATTCTCCAGCTCAGCAATAATCTGATCAACGAGGTCGGCCACATTTGCGTTAATGGCATGAGCTTCTGCAAGAGACGACATCTTGTCTATCGTTACGATCTGTGTAGTGGAAGATCAGGTGTTGAGTTTGAAGGAAGAAAGAAAGAAAGAAAGAAAGAAAGCAAAGAACGAGCCAGAAGAATAGATGGCAGTTTATATGAGCCTAGATCGTTGTTGACTAAAGTGGTTGACTTAACAGATTAGGCAGAAACTTCCTGAATTCACCCCTCCCGGCCCGTTGGGTGCTCAGTCTTGTCTCTAGCCTAACTTCACCTCAACGTTTACATCCATTCTCAAATAATATTTGAGATGAGGACCCTGAGTTCTGGGGTTTGTGAGCTGCTCTCGCGTCAAAGAAGGCCACAACAGCAACATGTCTATGAAGTATGAAGTGAAATACGGGATGGATCACGAGGCACATTCCGGTATCATGGTGTCTATTATGAAACGTGACTCAGAGTGTGTATTTGCCTGATAGTTGATGGGACTATTGATGATCGAAACTGCAAGATCAGTAACCACGGCGAGATCAGGTGAGACTTTGCAATAGGAGGACTCCCCATATATAACTCTCACTTGGTTCGATACTTTAGATCAGCGAGTTGATAGACCACCCTTGAAACCTTCAATACTAGAATCCCTTGATCGACGGAGTAAATGTGAAAACCACTGAGAGAATTGGCTGTGGCATGCGACTAAACGAGTGTCATGCCTTTGTGTGTACCGACACTACATCAAGTCTCTGTTATTAAATTTGGCTCCCACAATCTCAAGAAAACTAGTGCTCATCAACATCTCACTTTTGTTTTCTCTGATTCGATACTTGGTTTTCAATCAAGAGGAGTTACTGGCTTCCTTTACCTACAGGTCAGCTCTGCTGAAGTGAAAGACTGGTCGGTATAGTTTCTCTGTTGACTGTCACATCTACTGATCCATTCTCAGCCACAGTCACGCACGAATCCCTCGACATGAATCAGCTAGAAGGACCCGAGAGCAAAGGTACTGGCTCCACCAAGAAAGGTGAACTGGTGGTCGATACCAAATCTAGTGGACTTGGTGCTCACCAGCAATCTATCCATCCCCATGTCAACACCAAGACGAACAAGCAGGAGGGCTTTGCTACAAGATCTGCAGATCTCAACGATGTCGACCTTCCTACACCAGCTAAGAAGGTTAAAGTAGGCAAATCAGAGATCAAGGCTAGAAATGGCACGTCCGTCAGCCCGTACCTGGCCGAGATTGAGATATTGAAGGGACAACACATTGCAGAGATCAAGAAGTTGAAGGAAGAGTATAAAACTGAAATTGAGAGTCTCAAGAGCGAGGATCAGGATTTGCGACAGGTGAAGGCAGTAAACAAGCTGGAAGAAGAGCATCAAGCCGAAATTGAAAAATTAAAGCAGCAGAACGAAGAGCTTAAGCACACCGTCGAGGCTCAGAAGTCACGAATCAGAGTGCAGGAGCACTTGGTTCAGGTTGGAGCCGCTGTTCGGGGCCGCTGGTTCGAGCTGGCTAAGAGAAACGCTGGCGTTGGAGAGCCTATTGCAGTTATCGTGGAAGCAGGAGAAAGAGCCATCACTCGGGGTAACATTCGTGCTGACCTAGCCATGTTGCAACTGGGCTATGCTAGCCTTCCTTCTGGTAAATCAACCACGCCAAGTAAAGTTGTGCCTCATTTCATATGCTGTCATATCCAGCATACTGCACTGAAAAGAGGTCCTGACTGAAGAGTTGCTGACATTGCCCGAATAGTTCAAGCAGCCCAGTCCGCTGTTGGAAACCTCGATGCCGATTCCAAGTACAAAGAAGGTTATTTCAAGGATTTGTACACACTGAGCTTCAGTGACTTTGCCCAGCATCTCCTCAAGAATTTCTGCTCGTACCCACTGAAGAAGCTAGAAATCTGCGAGATGTCTGGAACAATGACAAGCCTCACTGGATATTCTGTTACTTCAGAATATGAGTACATGAACCTCTTGTAAGTTATAGAATTGTATCCATCGCTTGACTGCACGAGTTCTAAGCAGAACGCTCTATTCGTAATTTCGTCTTGTCCTCTTGGAACCTTGGAGTCAAAAAATTACTGATACACAATTTCTGTTCAGACATAGCTTCCAGGCCTTGGCGATCCGTGCGGATGAGGAGTGGGTGAACCATATTTGTCACCTCTGGCCTGATCACCAACGACGTCTTAATACGGCGAATAACTGGCCACCCCTGGAGATGATTGTTCGAGACATGAGAAGCATTGTTGAAGAGATTGCTCAGGGCGCCCCAAACAGTCCACCTCCCGCTTTCAAGTCGCCCCTGGCCGCGAAGACCAATGCAGACTCTCCCTTCAACGCTTCTACGAGAAGTGCTGCTCCAAAGCCCACAGGCTCGATGACTGCGAAACCAGCTCTCTCGGGTTCAGCTTCCTGGAACACATTTGCTCCAAGCCAAACCACTCCAGACACTCCAAGCCAAACCACTCCAGACAAGCCTGACAACGCCTTACTCAACTCTGATTGATACTCAGAAGCGGCTGCCAACATGGTGTTGCTTAGTGGAGAATGACTGGCTTGGTTCGAATCAAAAATTCAATGACCATTATTTGAAATTATGACAGACGACAAACATATTTTTACGCATTTGTGGACAGGTAAAATCTAGCGGTGCTTTGGTCATCTGCAGGACTGAGTTCAGGAAATTCCTGAACAGCTTGATGCTTATTGCCTGAATTTCCTGCCATTGGGGCGAGGGAGTCTCAAGTCTTAGAATAGCAATGATATTCGGTTTCTGGTCTTTCTCGTAAACGAGTTGACCTCAATGCTTTCAAAATCTTCAATTCCATCTCAACTTTGTCTACCTGGCAAAAGCTCGCCGGATTTGGCCCGTAGTAAGACAGCATAGACTCTGGAACACGAATCTTGTGCTGCAGCTTCTGAAATAGGATCAACACAATCTGTGCGGTATGGACAAAAACTTTTGTCGTTCCTTGACAAGCTATATGATTCAAGAACCGGGCTGAAACAGAGATGCTCTAGATAATGTACTGCTCAGAAACTACCCCTGAACAAATCGGCCTTCTGGTCTTGAACTCTGGATTGCCCAAAGGGCAGGAGAGAATTTCAATCCGAGAAGTGATGTGGTCGTCGCTCATTTTCAACAACATGGAGAGCGGAAGTCGAACCGCACACCAGTATCCTCCAACCTGCTCGAGCAAATCCAGTAGGCCAGAGTCGGTTTACTGCTCCGACCCAGACCTCTGTTCTCTGGGGACATTTCCATCGGAACACACTTTATCAAAACCTCCATGGACGCCAGAGGTCCAGACGATATGCAATGGACCCTTTCGTTATACGCCATGAGACGAAGCCCCTAAGCAGAAGTTCTACAGCTTCTGGGGCTTCAACCTCGTTTTCCCCTTCCTCGTCCACCTCCCCTACCACCACCCCTTCCTCTTGTACTAGGAGTTCGTTTAGGCCCTTCGATGTCATATATATCCTTTTTACTCAAGGTCAGAGTCCCTCCTGAGAATCTCCCTACTCCAGGCGCACCAATGCCTCTGTCTCTCTTTCCGGCGCTGCTTTTCTTTCCCATCTTGGCCTTTTCCAGAATTATGCCATTCTCTCTAGCTTCCGATCTCCTTTTTGCTTCCTTTTCAGACTGTTTCGAGATGATCCCCTTTCTATGTGACATTGGCATTTTTGCTTGTCTCAATATTGACTCCTTCGATCCTAATGCCTGAAGTCGGAGATCCGTTGCCTTATGACGATTATTTCCGCTGAGAGTAGGGTTCTTGGAAGATTCTAGGAGATGTGATTCGGCAAGGAGTCGTTGGAGGGCAAGGTCTTTCTTGAGGTTGGCTGCTTCGGAGGCATCTTCGTCGTCTATCTTGGTTCCAGCATTGTCTCGTATAGATACGGTCGGAGCACTTTTCGGTATCTTGGAGCTCTATACAATCTGTTAACACATAGAATGCGTTGCCATACTGGAACAAGTACCATAAATGACTTGAGCTCTTCCTTCGACATTGCTGCCATGCGAGATAACGCGTCTGTGTGTTCCACCACCTGTACTCCATTTTCCTCGCCATCCGATATGCCATCCCAGTCAGATTCTTCTTCCGATTCTTCTTCAGGCACCTCAAACATCTCGATTTCCTTCTGCACCACTGGGAGAGGCTTGAATTGGGCTTCGAAGTGCCGCCGAAATATTTCTTGCGCGTCCAATTGGTCCGAGTCTGATTCAACGCTCGCCACCCTATGAACTGACTCATTCTTATGCGCTACCCTCTTACGTTTGCCCAGTGCTGTAGACATATTGTGCTGCTCTGGCGCGGACAGTTCAATTCGGGAATGCTCTCTGGAAATATTTCAAGGGATCACGGTGCTAAGAATTATTGATCCGATGTTTAGCCGGCTGAACCTCGACCCCTCCATCCCTTTTGGAGCCTCTGACTTTGAACTCCACATCGAACCCTTCAACCATGACCAAATTTCGCCCATGCATAGACCTGCACTCGGGACAAGTGAAACAGATTGTTGGAGGCACCTTGACTACGACATCTACGGATCTCAAGACCAATTATGTCTCGAAGCTACCCGCGGGGCACTTTGCACAGCTGTACAAAGACAATGATTTGGAGGGAGCACATGTTATAATGCTAGGTCCAGGCAACGAAGAAGCTGCCAGAGAGGCATTAGCAGTATGGAAAGGCGGTCTGCAAATTGGAGGAGGCATAAACGATAAGAATGCGAAGCAATGGATTGATTGGGGTGCGGACAAGGTTTGTGAAGTCGTATGAGCCATGATGTATTTTATTAAGGTGATGGCAGGTTATCATAACATCTTTTCTTTTCCCCTCGGGAAAGTTCTCTCAAGATCATCTCGACCTCGTCCTCGCCGCTCTTGAAGGTGATAAGGAAAAGCTAGTCATTGACTTGAGCTGTAGGCGGAAGGGTGATACTTGGTTTGTTGCTATGAACAAATGGCAGACCATCACTGACATGGAAGTGAATGAAGGTGAGACCTAACCTAAGAACCGACTCTGCTTTCTTTTTCTCAATCTCTGACAATCTCTAGCATCTATCAAATCGCTCGAAGAATACTGCTCCGAGTTTCTCATCCACGCGGCAGACAACGAAGGTCTGCAAAAGGGAGTCGATGAGAAGCTCGTGGAGAAATTAGCAGAGTGGTGCAGCATTCCAGTAACATACGCAGGAGGAGGAAGAAATCTTCAAGACCTAGACCATGTCAAGACTCTGAGTGGCACTCGCGTGGACCTCACAATTGGTAGTGCTCTCGATATATTCGGCGGATCTGGAGTTACTTTCGAGGAGTGTGTTTCGTGGAATCGAAGTCAACCAAGACGGTGAAGCTTTTTGAAATTTACCTTCAAATGACAATACATGTTCTGCAAAAATCACCTTCGCTCAAGGACAACTGGAGTAGTATTCATCATGGGTCTTTCAATCGGTCATCACGTTCGGAGCCACATGGGTCTCTCCTGTCCATTGCAATCGGTCGTAGGGAAATCTGCGGAGCTCAATTCAACTGCGCTGCACGTGAAGTGCAAATCGGAGGCTCCAGAGACCATATCTGAAACCATTTACAACATTTCAATCCGAAAGTGGCTGCGGAACGAACGAGACTGGAGGGAGAAGATTGTACGCAGCAGCCCTGAGGTCTCTGAATTATCGAAAGATTACAAAGCAAAGCTTGACAGCAATCTGTCCCGTCAAAAGTTGCTCTCGTCGAAGCACTTCAGTGGCTGGGAGTTAGCATGGCAGCTTGCAATGGCGGAAAGTCGAATTGCTCTGATCGAAACAGAGATCCGTGATGCTCGCATCTTCATCGGAAAGCAGGCTGGCAAGATGTCCCGCTCGAACAGGCGGTCCAAGCTGCACTCACGAGCTAAACGTAGGGCTTGTAACGATAACACCTCCAGAGCTTCTGATTCTCTCCAAAATGAGCTGGTAAAGCTGCTTCGACAAATGGTGACTCTCAGGAAATCTAATCTAGAGCTTAGAGAGCAGCTTGACAAGCCTGCTTTAGAGCTTAATCTTACTGTGCAGCAGATTGTGAAGCATCATCTCTCCAAGAGGGCTGATGTCACCGGTCCACTTTACGCTGTCGGCATTGCGATCAGAAACCGGTACCTGGAAAACTGTGCGTATCACTCGCGGAACAAAGAAATCGTGTTGGCTGGCAATGAAGCTGCACACAATGGAAACGCTCTCGCAGATGCAATCTTGTATCATCCTAGCGAAGCCAATCACCGGAAGGATACTTTGACTTATTTAAAGATCTATGGATTGCTACCCCACACAGTCTGGAAACACAATCGCTGCAAACCGTTCCTGCAACTGGTCACTTGGTACGGAACTGTCAAACGATGGCACCCCCACAATTTTTCCTTCACAGAATTTGCTAAGGCATGGCCAGCGGACTTCTTCAAAAAGTACTCCAAGCCGCAACCTGAGATCTTCCAAGCGGACTTTGCGAGGGGAAATATGACTGATCTCATGAAGCTTATCGAGGCAAAATACACCATTGAAGCAAAGCAGAACAGAAGCAAATACCAGTGATGGGCTCAACACTCTACAATTTCAATATGGGGCTAGATGATATGGAGGATCGGAGAATGGATATGCAAGGATGGAGACAATGTAGTCCTGGTGATATTTTGCCAATGATGCGGGTCGTGGGACGTTGAACGTGCCACTTTAGCTTGCCTTATTCATCTTCTTTCTCTAAGAGTTTACTTCTAATCTGCATTTGCTTTGAATATCCCTTAATATCATCACTGAAGCCTGTCTGATTATCCAGCGTGCCTCCTGTATGCCATGTGGTGTGGCCAGGTAAGTTCTTTCCTCGCTACTCTAGCCGGAAAGAGCTGTTTGTCAACAGCTTGCGCCTTCTCTTCGGAAATTCGTCGTGATTTGGGCAGACCACAACTCAGTGATTTAATGTCCAAACATCAACTCACACCATTGAAGTTTCATCATGGAATCCGAGATTGACGCCTTGAAGGTAAGACGGGCACAATCGATTGACGCAGATCCCCAGCTAATATATATGCCGCTCGCCCGCCCAGGATGAGAATGCGCACTTGAAGGGCATTGTAGTTACGCTGCAGCGGTAAGCAGTAGATTCGAATGCAAAAATCGTCCAGTAAGTAGAAGCCATGCGACCTGATGGTTATCCAATACTGCAGAAGCCATTTGGGGCATTGCTAACTAGTGTACTTGACTAGATTGCAAGTCGAAGCAAAAATATTTCGTGCTACAATCAAATCGCAAGATGCCCAAATGGCAAAGCTGACGGCCACAATTGACATGCTCTCCGCGCCTACTAATACCCAAACTCCTGGTTCAGAGAGCGGTACCTCGAAGTCAAGGTCCACAAAATCATTGTTAGTCCTTGTGAGCAACATTAAGATCGAAAGTGGCAGAGATGAGGAAATCAAAAGACTTGAAGGCGAAATTCAGCGACATGAAAAGGCAGCAAAGCGAATGGACAAGATTCTAGGAATGTTGAGAGGAGAGAACGAGCAAGCACAAAAAGATCTCGAGAACTTGAAGGGGAAGATGATACCCTGCTATAAAGTTGGGTTTTGGATTCGACAGCGCAACAGGGAAGAGGACTGGGTCCGCCGAGGTGGAAAGAGTTCATGGTTGTAAGTTCACTCCTGTGATCAAGAATACAGAGGCGTGTCCGACCTGACTTCTTGTACTCCGCCCACTCTTTTGCTTTGGATAACGATGGATGGATGCATAATTGACCATCCACGGTCCACAGCCCAGCTTCAATCATATGTGACTGCTCTACACATTACGCAGATCCTCTTTCGGACGCCAGTATCCTCTGCTTTACTGACGATCTCGAAGATGTTGATTCCACTGATACAGAGAGATGGTCCCATTACCAGCAGCAGTATTGTGTTTCTCCCGACGTGGTTCTCGAGAATCATGGCTTCAGCAAGTTTTTGGACATCCTGAAAGGATATGCCAACATGCAGCGCTACGCTGCAGAGGGCTCTACATCTGCAGATGATGCTACCAAGTTCTTGAAGAGCTCAAAGATGTTTATCGAAAAAATCTATCCTGGTGGTACATTCAAGTCTGATGAAGATATCGAGAGGGATGTTGTCGCAGATACTTTGTATGAACACTTGCAAGATATTGTCGGAGCTGCTACTATCAGACATCGAACATTTTTGAAGGACTCTAAAGAAGTCTTGGGATGATTCTTATGGCAGCGATTTTGCGAACGTGTTTTTTTTTTGGCCTTGCATGTATGGATTACAGGGCTGTACCTTCTTGCTGGCATTTGACTTACTGGGTTCTGGGATGACATACTGTCTGTGGAGCCTCCGCAAACAATTTGATTCTTCATATACCAAGCCGGAGCTCTCTCCATCTTCCCTTTCTGATCTGTGAAATAATAATGAAGAGTCATGTTCTCGATACATGCACACAATCCTTAGCTGCTTAACGTACTGAGTATTAATCCATGTGAATATAGTCTATATCTTTCATTGTCGTTTGTAATACCGTCACCAAAAAATGCATTGAAACTTAGCGCATCACAGAAGAAGGGCGCTTCAAACCTTACTGATGAAGCCAATGTTCAAAATTTCATCACCAAAGTCTCGTTCTAGCAACCTCTACGTTCAGTCCATCACGATAATCAGAATACGTGACTCTAATGGAAGAGAGGCCTCGTTAGCTTGATTGGTCATCTTGCTAAGCACGTCGTTTACCCCAAAATTACCTGGATTCTCGAAGCATAAAGTCAGCAAAAAGGCGAAAGGAATACAATGATACCTGGTTGAGGATGCTCCAGAGTTGTATTTCCAAGAGAAGAAGATATTACAGAAGTTCTTATTAGCGTTACGTGAACGCTGTCGACTCAAGATTGAGATCCCTTGTAGTCCCAAGGACTTAGATGGAGACTGCGCGACTGCTGATGAAGTTCTAGAGATGATGCTCGACCATATTGTGAAGCATCAATTGACAGCCACAAAATCGTAAATCAAGGAGATTCTAAAAAATATCGGGCGGTGAGGCAGGACGCTAAGCGCAGCAAGACCGGAGGATGACAAGCAGAACCATAAATCAAAGGCATTCCAAAGTCTCGTAATAAGCCTCAAAGCAAAAGATTCAACATGCTTTTTGTCAATCGCATCACTTCTAGAGACTCATGTTGGGTGCTGCAATGAGGTCAAGGTTCATGATTGAAGGAAGGTGGCTAGGAATGCCTCCCGGATGCCAAATATCAACAAACAATTAAGGGTTCTGAATTTTCCCCAATAAGCTCTGTCCGATAAAGACCCTCTCAGATATCATAAGCCTATAATTTGCAAGTCTTCAAAAATATCTTCAGACCTGTACTGGACCTTCTCCGGTCACCATGTTCTCATGTGGTGGTATCGTCCTTCAGGTTGCCATTGTTGTTGGAAGCGCAGCCCTCGCTTAGACGAATTTAGCGCCACACCAACTACTTCAACTCTTCGTCAACCTCTCTCGTCAATCTCTCTTCGTCAACCTCTCTTCGTCAACCTCCCTTCGTTAACCTCTTTCACTTCCCTCCCTTCAAGTCTCATCAACCTCAACGGAGAATACCAGATCTATCGAGATCACTTCCGCCCTTCGTTACCGGACAAGCAACCTAATTGTAACATCAAACAACGTCACTGGTGAGTAGTCGTCGGGTGAAACGCCTCAAGCCTGCCTGTCAGACGCGTCTCTGTCCTGCTAGGCTTCAATCTCACCTCTTGACGATTGACTGATCTCGGTCTAGGACAACTCTCATTCGAAAGGCCCTACTGCTACGGCAACACTATCACTGCAATTCGCAGATCTCCATCCTCGCACGTTCCATCCCTCGCAACCGCCATTTCAGGTCAGAAGTTCACTTTCTATTCCCCACCTGCCATATCCAATAGATAACATCTTTTCAACTCCTTTTCAGTCGTCTTCCCTCCCAGCAGACCATGAACTGACAGTCGACAGGATTTGAGACTTGATCGCACCCTCCCATGTCGTCTCCAATCCATACCACCGCCAATGGCGATCCAAAGTCTGATGTATCTCGCCCAACCACACCTACCAAGTCCACTGCTGGCTCTGCAAAGATTTTTACACCATCGAAAAACCCACCCGTTCCAAATTCCCCCAAGGACTACGTCTGTGACAACATCTACTATGAAGATCATTGTTCACCAGACCCCAAGCGGGAAGAAGAGATGTACACCGAGAAGCTTGAGTAAGTCTACTGTCCTGCCGTTACACAAGATTAAGAAGCTGATAAATCCAGGCTCATCAAGAAGCAAATTCAAATCAAGAACATTGCTCATGAAATAGAACAATTGACCTTCAACCAGAACGAGTTGCAGAGCATATTGGAACTTGCCACCGCGCAAATTGAGCCACTTCAAATTCAAGTCAATGAGCGTACTGCGACCTATCTATACAAGACAACTGCCATCGCCGAGATCAAAGGCTCCCCTAATGTTCTCAACATCACAAAAGAGATGTCGGCTGCTGAAGTCCTCGAAGCTCGCAGAGCCCAAGCCAGACTTGCCAAGCTCCAGCTGGAAGCTATGGAGAGTGAGATTGAAATGCTTGAGGCACAAGTCCTTCTCGACGCTGAGAAAGAAGCCACTTGCACCAAAGTCTCTGAGTTCGAAATTACTCGAGCTAAGCTTGCCGAGTTGACCGCTGATATTTTCGCTCTCAAGAGTGAGTACCAGAAGTCCAACTTGGCATGGACCTCGAAATTCTCAGCCGAGGAGAGTAATTTGCAAAGCAACTACGCCAACGACGGTACCAATGATGTCTCTACCAAGTTGGAACAACTATCATCTGAGAACACAGCCCTGAAGGAACAAGTTCAGGTCATGCTTACTAAGTCTACTGCTCCTGGTGACAACATCATTGCAGGTTTGCAGCATACCATTGCGACTGGCACAGCACTGAACAACGCCCAGGCGAATGAGATCGAGTCTCTGAAGGCTATTATCTCAGCTGGTCAAGCACAAGTTCAGGCTCAGGTCAATGAGCTCCAATCGCTGCACGCACAAGGTCAGGCGCAAGCCCACGAGCTTCAAGCATTGCATGTCAGAAACCACGCGCTGATCGACGAGGTCCAAACCCTCAAGGCTTACATTACCCAGGCTCAGAAAGATGTGGATATGAACATGAAATTCACTATCAAGAACCTCGAAGAAAAAATCGAGATCATGAAGCCTCTTGTACGTTCATCCCACTATTTGAATGTCCTGAAATTATTCGCTGACATTGATTGTCGATTTAGTATCGACTTGGTCGCCAGGTCCGCTACCGCAACAATAATAGCATCCTTCGCAAGAAGTATGAGGGACAGGATATTGAGTGCAACCTGGATAACTATGAGGAAGGTTACCATGCCAGATTTGGCGGTCATGTGATTGCTGACTCCATGATGTATCATAGCCATGGTGGTACGAAAGTCATCAATTTTCCAGCATGACATTAGCTAACTCCCACTTAGGCTTCGATGAGATTCACCCCATGGGAAACGATGAGAAGAAATTTGAAATACTTCACCATGGTATCACTGCTAAGATGGTCTGGGACCACCGCCATGACTTCACCATACTTGCAGAGATCCTGGATATGGCGTCCAATATGACAGCTTATGGCGAAAAGAACACTACTGGTATTGCTGATGACTTTGAAGGCGAAGACGACGAATATGGTCTCGAGGATAAGTTCGCACTGGTAAGTACCTAGGGTTGTTCATCCTTTCATGTCTCAAGATATACTAGGGACATTTGGTGACAGTTGCTAAATATACCGTGCCCTTCAGACGGACTTCGGAAATTCTGAGTTCAAGAAGCTCTTCGTTAAGGTCATCTCTCACATCTTGCCTTCCTACAAAACCTTAGCCATCACGTCCGATGATGAATTCAGAAAGCACCAAGATCTTGTGGATGCCTTCCATGCCATGTATATCATCTCATCTGAGGTTGTCAAGAACAATTATATCGCTCGTCGCAAGGGAGTTGAAGATACTTGGGGTAAGTTTGTAATCCTACACTGTTGACTTGCGAGTACAACTGAAACTCGTAGACCAACCCTGGGAGAATGCTTGGGAGGAGTGGGATGACTGGGTCCACAAGGCCATGATTCGTCAAATGTGCTGAATTTCTATTTCACTGTCACGTTGTCATAATTGCAGTTGCATAAGGAGCTACTACAGAGAGAGAGAATCTCCTATATAAAGGGGTAGCGTACTCAGTAGTACGGCCTATAGTACTGAGTCTACGCCTATAATCCCCATATTTCTAACAGCCCCCCTATTCTCTATATCTGTAGTAAATAGAGCCTTCCAAAGCAGTACAGCGCTGAATATTCCCGAAGCGACGCCAGAGTATCGCTGAAGCATTGCTGATAACTTGTATTATATAAGGAGCCTCGATTGTGCCTTATTAACTCCTGTAATATACTAGTATATATATAGTACCTACGTCTCCTGTTTTCCTAGGAGTTTAGTAACTTTACAGTATTAAGGCATATAAAACAGTATAAGAGTGCATCTAAATCGCTCTCTTATTAATAATCTCCTGCTCCTGCCGCTCTTATTCACTCTTCTTTATAGCCACCTCGCACTTTCCTTTTATAGCTACTAAGATATTCCTTACTAGCCTTCTCTCTAGCCTCTAAGGTATATAAAGGTTATTCTCTTCTAGTTCTGTTTCCTTTCCTTCTTCCTTTAACCGCGGAATAAGATTTATCTTAACTGTTAGGTATAATGGTTATATGTCATGTTTTACTTAATTCGCAGTTATATATTATTATTAAGGAAGATATTTATTAAAGGACTGATTTTCCGCGAAGAATATTCTATTTTTTATAGGTTCCACCACTAGAAACAGCCTTAATTTATGCAGATCTACTGTTAATTAGCTAACTGTTATTAATCTTAGAGTTATTATTAGAGAATCAGTTGTTACTAGGTAACCCTATATATATCTTATATCGTTTAAACGATTCTAAAGGTAAAGCCTTCGTAAGAGTATCTACTATATTATTATTACCTGGAACGTGTTTTACTACTAACTTATTATATAAAACTATATCGTCTCGAATATAGAACTAGCAGATATTAATATACTTTGCCTTTAGATGGAATTTCCGTTCTTTTAAGAGAGATTCGGCTCTAGCGTTATCAAGATATAGTGTAGGAATTCGGGATAGCTTTATATCGAGGTCTTTCTATAGCTTAAGTAACTAGGCTACTTCTCTAGAGCTATCACTAGCAGCTATTATCTTAGAATCTAAGCTAGAGAGAGCTGTAGACCTTTACCTATTAGTAGCCTAAGAGATTAGACCCCCGTAGAACCTTACTATCTATCCTTAGAACGATTTCCTATTGTATTCTGTCCCTTATGTAGCGTCAGTCTAAATATTGAATATATCGTCGTCTAGCTTTCCCCTATATTCTATTCCGATTCTAAATATTATTCCGTCACCTTCTATACGTTATAGATATCGGAGGAGAGGTTTCATGTCTTAGAGGTGAGATTTAAGGGGATTTAATATATACCGCGCTAGCTAGCCTATTATATAGGCAATATCAGGTTATGTGAGGTTCAAGAGGTATATTAGAGAGCTGATAATCTACTGAAACAGTGAGATCTCTTTAGGGGAGGCTAGTATAATACCTTTATCTTTAGCTAACTCCCTTAGTACTATTCCAGCGGCTGCAGGTAAGGTATTACCTCTAGCTTGTAACGTTTCTAACTCGGTCGGTGTCGTGAGTACAGACTCGTCGGTTGGTATCAGCTATGAAGTAAGGTAACAAGACGCTCGATTCTCAATAGGAATTGAGACGTTACAAGCAGTGGTAAACTAGGTGTAAACTTGCTATTTGATTTGAGCACGAAGCTCTACTATCTAGGAAACTACCTACTCGTTATATAGAACTTCCGACTTCCTGTGCAAGCCGTGCAAGACGTCTTGCAGGGCGCGCAAGCCCGCAAGCCCGTCTAGCAAGCTAGCACATCACGTGACCCATGTCCACCGTGATCAACATAACTATTATTATGACAACGAGCGTGGAGTATGGTACTACTCGCTAATTCGTACCATTCTCTTGTTGGTGCCATTCTCTCAATGGTACCATCAACCCTTTGGTACCAAACACCGACTGGTGCCATCCACTTGGTAGTACCATCAGTATTATGGTGCCAACCCGTGACTTGTACCAAGACTGAGCCTGGTTCGTGACACTATCCCCCTTCCAGCCTAGCGTGTCCTCACGCTTAAGTATGCCTAAGGAAATATCGACGACTGCCCACGGCCGTCTTCTTCTTTCATCATGCCACCCGAACGCTCAACCAAAAGAGTCGATCATATTGCGCTTGGGCGACAGATTGAATTGAGTGGAAAAATCATGGCACCCTGTACCAGATGTGAAAATGCGAATTGCAAAGACTGTGTGTCGCCCCGCGATCCCAAACTGACTCGGTGTGGTCGATGTGCCCGTCTAAACAAGACATGCGATGTGCGTACCGTGAACCGCATGCCGACAGCGTTGGATTGGGAGTCCCTTGACTCCCAGATCGAGAAGTTGGATGCCGAGGAAGAGGAGGCGATGGCGAAAATCCTTCGTTTGAAGAAACAGAAACGTTTCCTCTACGAAAGGCGGCAGAAGATGATTGCTGCCGGGCTGAACTCAATGGAAGAGCTCGACGCTCTCGAAGCGTTGGAAAAGGAAGCTGAGGAGAAGCGGAAGGCGGAGGAGGCACAGAAAAGTGCTGAGTTGGCAGGCGCGGAACGTCCTAGTTCCGGCGACGTCGACCCCCCCTACGACCCGACGGTCGGCCTTCCCTTCGACCCTGAGGACCCGCTCTGGGCAGACCTGGGTTTCGTTGATGGAAACTGGCAAGCAGCTTCGGGCAGCGAAGGTTTGACCTAGGTTCCCAAGTGTTCTCGGATTGTGGGTAATCCTTCCATTTCACTAGGTATTTGATGATACCGTACTTGTACTGACAATCCAGCAGTTCCTCTACTTCGTATTCTTCAAGCGGATTGATGGGTTCTGCGATTGTTTTTGGGGCTGGTGGTGCGCCCGGTGGTGCTTTTTCCAATAAGGATATATGGAATACTGGGAATACCTTCTTCATCGTGTTCGGCAGTTGGAGTTCGTAATTCAAAGGTCCTTTGACTTGCTTGATCTTGAACGGTCCTAATTTCTTGTGGTCCAATTTGTCGCTTGGCCGCTGCGTGTTGATGTTTTTCCGTAAAAGATAAACCCTATCCCCCTCCTGTAGCGTTGGCTCCTGGCTACGCGTTTTGTTGTAGTAGTGTGCGTTTCTTTCTGCTACGAACTGGAGTTCCTGGGATAATTCCTTGTGTAGGTCCTGAATCTTCTGGACCTGGATGCGAGCCGCATCATTATCCTCAACCGTCAGGTTGGGTTCTCTGTATGCGACAGGTTCGTAACCGTAGTTGGCGAAGAATGGTGTTACGTTGGTTGTTTCCGTGGTCGAGCTGTTGTAGGCGAACTCTGCAAGTGGCAGCAGTCCTACCCAGTTATCTTGTTGGTAGTTGATGTAGCATCGCAAGTATGCTTCAACGACTTGGTTCATCCGTTCATTTCCTCCATTTGTCTGAGGGTGAAATGCTGTTGAGAGTTTTCGTTTGGTTCCGAGGAAACTCGTCAATGCCTTCCAGAATTTGGACGTAAACAGCTTGTCCCGGTCGGACACTATTTCTTCCGGTACTCCACGCTTGGAGACCACTTCTTTAAGGTATACCTGCGCTAGGTCCTCGGCCGTGAGCGTTGATTTGACTGGTACTAGGTTCATGTATTTGGTAAGTCTCTCCATGATGACCAGTATCATATCATAGCTAACTCCTGTGGCCGGGTCTTTGGACATGGGTAATGGTCCAATAAAATCCCATGATATCGATTTCCAAGGTTGTGGTGGTATGGGTACTGTGATCATCTGCCCATAAGGTGCGTGCCTGGTTGGCTTGTTCCTGATGCAGGCATCACAATTTCCAACTACCTCCTTGACTACTGCGCGAAGTCCCTCGCCCCAGTAGCATCGCGAAATCCTTAGGTACGTTCTTCGTACCCCTTGATGTCCGTGTGCGGGTAGTCCATGTTGTTCCTGAACATATTCCTTGGTCAGGCTGGGCGGGAGCCACAGCTTCCCATTTACTCGCACGTATCCTTTCTCAACCGTGGTGTGGTTGTTGGTCTTCAGGAGAGACCTTTCGAGCTCCTGAGCTTTCTTCAGTGTTTCTGCCCAGGGTCCCTTGAGTTCTAAGGCCGCTGCTTCTCGGATGTGGGGGACTAAGTCCCCATTGTCCAATTCCTTGAGCAAGGCGGTTTCATTGTAGATCTTGTCTCCTTCGTACCCTGGCAGCCTGCTCAGGGCGTCGGCTCTGGCGTTGTCTTTTCCTTGCACGTACTTGATTACAAGATCAAAAGAGGCAAGTTCCTCGGCCCACCTGGCCAACCGTCGATTGTCTAAGACCTTAGTGGTTGTGAAGGTTCGAAGATTCATATGGTCGGTGTGGACGATGATTGGATACTTGGCTCCTTGCAGATAGATCTTCCAATGTTTGCATGCTTTGACGATAGCCATGAGCTCCTTCTCGTATATGTTGTAATTTTGTTCGGCTGGGGACATTTTTTCGGAATAGTAGGCGACTGGGTGTAGTCGGCCTTCCTCGTCTCGCTGTAGGTGGGCTGCACCAGTACAGGTATCCGAAGCGTCGGTTTCGATTATGCTTTCCCTTTCCTCGTCGAAACTGTAAAGGATTGGTTCCTTGGTGAATTCCTTCTTGATTCGTTGGAAGGCTTCCTCGCACTGGCTAGTCCAGGTGAAAGAGACACCCTTCCTGGTCAGGTTGGTGAGCGGTTCGGCGATTTTGGAGTAGTTTCGGATGAACTGTCGACAAAAATTGGCAAATCCCAGTTGGGATTGCACATCCTTGACGTTCTTGGGTGACTCCCACTCTTTCACCGCTCTGACCTTTTCTGGGTCAATGCTCATCCGTCCTGGGTTTATGACATATCCCAGGAAGGTGACCTGCTTGACCGAGAATTCACACTTTGATAGTTTCAGTCTAGAATCTACCTTGTGTAGGGCTTCCATGACTTGTAGGACGTGTCCTTGGTGTTCCT